TATATTAAAAGTTTTTAATAAAAAAAAGGCTAGCTAGCTATTATTTTACTAGAATTATAATTATAAAATTAAATTAACTAATTTTATTAAAGGATTTTCTAAAAGTAAGCTTTATAATTTAAGTTATTTTAAACTATAAAAATTAAAAGAATATATTTAAAAATATTTTATAAAAAAATTTATTATATTTTTAAAAGTATTTTATATATTACTAATCCTATTTATATTTAAAAAAATAAATTATTAAAAATATATATAGATTACTAGAAGTTAAATGAAATTACTAAAAAAAATAATTATTTACTTTTTTTAATTAATAAGATAATAGCTAAAGTAGCTAAATATAAGTATTTTATAAAGATTAATATTATTTTAGCTTTTAATAAAATATATATAAATTTAAATAATAAAGATTTTATTTTTTTTATAATTTATTTTAAAATATATAAATATAAAATACTATTTTTTAGATTATTTAATAGATTAATTACTTAGTAAAGCTATATTAATAATATTTTATTAAAATATTTAATAAACTTTTATTAAATATATATAAATAATATTTTTATTTATAGCAAAACTTTAAAAGAATATAAAAAATATATTTAAAGTATTTTTATAAAACTAAATACTACTAAGTTATAAATAAATATTAATAAATATAAATTTAATATAAAAAAGACTAAATTTTTTAATATTATTATTAATAATAATAATATTTATATAAATTTTAATAAAATTACTACTATTTAAGAGTAAGCAACTCTTATAATTATTAAATAAGTATAAAGCTTTTTAAGCTTTTATAATTTCTATTAATATTTTATATATAATTTTAGTAAAATAGCTTAAGCTTTAAATATATTAATAAAAAAAGATTTAAAATTTAAATAAATAAAACTTAAAAATATAACTTTTAATAAACTTAAAAAATAAATTATAAAAGCTTTAATACTATAATATTTTAACTTAAGTTTAGAATTAATTATTAAAACTAATTCTTTAAATTATATTAATAAAAGAATCCTCTTTTAAAAAAATACTAATAAATATATTTATTTTATAGTATTCTATAATAAGAATCTTAATTTAGCTAAATATAATTATAATATTTATAATAAAAAATTAATAGCTATTATTAAAGTATTTAAGTTTTAAAAACTTAAATTAAAAAAAATAGAAATTCTAATTAAAGTTTTAATTAATTATAAAAGTTTAAAGTACTTTATAATTAATAAAAAGCTATTTTAAAAATAAGTTAAATAAGCTAAATTATTTATAAATTATAATTTTAAAATTAAGTATTAAACTAGAAAAAATAATACTAAAACTAATATATTAACTTAATAAAGCTATAAAAATTAAGCTAAAAAAAATAATATTTAAGTTTTATTGCTAAAAAAATACTTTAATTTATTTTTTTTATAGCTTAAAGAAAAACCTAAAAATAAGTCTTTTTATTAAATTATAAAAAAAGTAAATTATAAAAATATTAATTTTAAATAATATTATATTATTATTTATAATAATACTACTAAAGATAAAAATATAAACTTTAAAAAAGCTAGTATTAAAAGGAAAGTTTTTTACTAAAAAATAAATTATAAATCTTATTAATATAGATATTTATTATAGTTAAAAAAGTTTATAATTAAGCTTTTATTAGTTATTTAAAAATTAAAAAAAATAGTTAAATTATTTTAATAATATTACTATTAACTAAAAATAATAAAAATAATCAAAATATATATTATTATTTATTATATTTATAGGAAAGGCAAGTATCTTTAAAATAAACAATATAGTTTATTATATTTTTTATTTATTCTTTAATAATAATAGAAAATAATTAATATTAATTTTATTATTAATTTTCTAGAATATAATAAAATAAATAATATTTATATTATTATTAATTTCCTAACTAAAGACTAAAAATATATACTAATTACTTATAGTAAAAATAGAATCTCTATAGAAAAAACAATTATTATTTTTATTAAATATATTACTTTTTATTATAAGTTATTAGATATAATAATTTTAAATTAAAAAAGATAATTTATTTTTAATTTATAGAAATTAATATATAAAAAACTAAGAATTAATAATAAACTTTTAATAACCTATTATCCTAAAACTAATAAATAAATAAAATAAATAAATTAGAAAATTAAAACTTATTTTTAAATATTTATTAATATTTATTAAAATAATTAAGTTAATTTCCTACTTATAATAAAGTTTACTTATATTAATATAGATTTTATAGTTATAAGTATATTATTATTTTTTACTTTTAATAGCTTTTATTTATAAATAAACTTTTCTTTAAATAATACTAAATATATTAATTTTTATAGCTATTTATAAATAGCTTATATAAAAAATATTTTAATAAAAATAAAAGTTATTATTAAAGAATATTAAAATTATATTACTAAAACTTAAAAATAAATAATAATTTAAGCTAATCGCTATAAATAGGATATAGAATATAAAATAAATAACTATATCTAGTTAAAAATAAATAATTTTAAAATTAAATATTTATATAAGTTAAACTTACCTCCTTTAATAAAATATAGCAAAGTATTTTATATAAAATTTTTAAAGAAAAATCTTAATAATCTACTCTTTAAATAAATTAATTTAAAGTTTAAAATTATTATTATTAATAGTAAAAAGGAGTATAGTATAAAATATATATTATAGTTTTATTATAGTTATAATATATTATAATATTATATTAAATAAAACAATATTAAATATAATAATTAATAATATAATATATATAGCTTTAATTATTTATTTAAGTTAGTAATAAAATTTTATTATTATTATTTTATAGCTATAAGTAGTGTTAATAAATTACTTTATTATTATATAAAATACTTTTAAAGATTATAGTATTCTAATTTATATTATTTTAATTATATATATATATTATTTACTTTATTAATACTTTTTACTAATAATATTATAATATAATAAAATAAAGTAAAAAAGAAAATAGTTTTATTAGGATTTAAACTTAAAATCTTTTTTTAAAAAATAAGTAGCTAAAGTAATAGCTACTTACTATTAGTATAAATTAGTTTTTAACTTAGCTTAAACTACTTTTTCTTTAAAAAATCTATTATTATTATACTATAAAATTTACTATAAAAAATCTATAAAAAATAGCTTTACTAAAATTTAAACTTAAAATCTATAAGTTCTATAGAACTAAAATAACAACTATTTATTATTAATATAAATTAGCTTCCTATTAACTTTAAGTCCTAAAACTATATATATATTACTAATTATATTATAAGGCTTATTATTATAAAAAACTATAAAAAAGGAATATATAAAATAATTTCTAAATTTAAAATATAAAAGTATTTAATATATATATTAATAAAAGTTTAATTTAATAATAATTATAATAAAGTTTATATTATAGTCCTACTTTTCTAAACTATAAAAAAGCAAAATTTTAATTATAAAAGTATATAAACTAAAAAACTTAATAGTAGTATAGTAATAATAGTAAAGTTTTAATATTTTTTATTTATTATAATTATAAGTTTATTATTTAATAACTTTTTAATATAATTTTTAACTATTTTTAACTAACTTAAATATTATTCTCTTTATTAAAATAAAAGTATAAAAAAAATATTAAAATAAAAAAAAACTATAATTAGCTTAATTTTAAATTAATTTTTTTTAATAAAAAATTAATTAGAAGACTAAGCTATAGCTATTTCTAATACTAATTTTAAGTTAAATTATTTATTTTTTACTATTAATAAAAAAGCTAATATTGTAAGATAAAACTTATTAATTTTACTAAGATTTAAACCTAATTTTTTAATTTTAATTATATAAAATATTAATTAATAAACATTTTACTTATAAAACTAGGATATAACTAACTATATTATAAAATTATTTAATAAAACTAAAAACTATTAAAGAAATATTTAAGTTAAATAAATAAAAAAATATAATAAAATTAAAAAAAAAATTATTTATTAAGATATTTAAATATAATTTTTATTTTAGTTTAAATTCTTTAGAAATATAGTTTTTATAATTGATAATAAAGCTATTTAACTATTTTATTAAAGAATTAGGATATAAGAATAAAGTATATAATTATTAAACTTTTAATAACTATTAAATAGTTTAACTTTTTAATTAATATAAAGTTTTATTTATATTTTTAACTATATATAACTAATATAAAAATATATTTTAATAGAAGGGGGGTATTATTGTAATCTAAATTATATCTTTTCTAGTTATATAAAAATAGTAGTATTAAAAGCTTAACAAGTATTATAAACTACTTTTATATAAAAGTAAATATATATAGACTAGAAAATTAATATATAACAATATTTATTAGGTATATAAGTAAAGTTTCCGCCTAAAATAGAGCTAGTTCTCTATCTTAGTTCTTTTTATCTTTCCTAGGCCTTAGGAGCTAGTTTTTACCCCTAAATAGACTCTTAATATTTTTTTAAATAATTAATTTCTTAAATTACTTAATTAAGCTTTAAATATAGCTATATTTAAAGTTTTAAAGTTTAGATCTATTAAACCTTATTATAAATAGGCTTAATATAGTTTAAAGTTTTAAAACTTACTTAAATTAGCTTAGTTATTAAGTAATTAATTTTTATTTTTTACTAAGAAAAAATCTACTACTAATCCGCGTATTTCACGGCTTTCGCGCCTAAAATCTTTTGTAAACATAATAAATATATAAAACTATTAAGTATCTTTATATTTAAAGTATTTAAAACTTAAAAACTTCTTAAAACGTTTTTAAAGCGTTGTGCAATTGTTTATAGGGTTTAAAAATCATAATTTAGTCTAAAACCATTAAGGTTATTTAGCTGACCTAGTCACCTGTACTCCCCCTTTTAGGCTGAGAAATCCGATAGCGTGAGCCCTTCTATCTGAAATTCAGACTCAGATTCCAAGCAATCAAGGGTCGGATATCAATACATGACGCTTTGCCTCCAACGATTGATCATATCTCCCTTCTTCCGATCGTCACCAGTCTGCTCATTGTCTCTGCCTGCCACCATAGGATGAGGCGCATATCCACTACCGCCGTCGGCGACATTTAACCTGCTCTGTGAAGCTTGCCTATTCATCTCCATAGCCCACGAAGTATTTCTCGTACGCGGAGCCGGGGTATACTTGACTTCATCCGAGACCAAGGGTAAGCCTCCTTTGATAGCTGGGTGGGCTTGCAGAATATCCGCCATACTACGGCGTTGAGCCAGATTGGGCCCTTTGGTCTGAGCACCATTGGAAACATTTCTATCGCTGTCGCCAGAAGCATTACGTGACCCTGCAGCAGCTTCTGCTTGGAGACGCTTTCGGCGCTGACCTAGGGTCTCTGCTTCGAGATCCGGGTTCTTGGCGGGTGCAGGTAAAGGCTGTTGTGGTTGAAATTGAGACAAGATCTCTGACGAGAAGTCAGTGCTCACCGGACGCGGATGCGGAGGTATCTGCGTTTTTTTCATGCGCTTGATACGCTGAGCAAGAGTTTCACTTCCATGATCTTCATCTTCGTCCTCTACTTCCTGTTGGCTCTCACGAGGAGACTTGGGAAAAGCTTGTCGCTGGTAAGAATATTGCTGTACAAGACTATCGTTCCTTAAAGGAGGTGGTTCACCGCGAAGCCGAGCGCGCCGATGACTGAGAGGTTCACTATCTTCCATCTGTCTCCGGGCAATAAGACCAAGCGGACGATTGTCGTCGTCCTGTTGATTGCGCTTTTTCTGCTCCGAATACAGCATCCCAAGAGGGATGTCTTCGTCGTCCTCGTTTCCAGGCTCAGCAGGGCCATCAGGATCCTCCCACGCAAGGATAGTATGTTTCTGCTTTCTGCTTTGTTGCTGCACTTGAGCTACAGCATCTAGCTGTAGGAGAGTCGAGTGCATACCGTCCGGAAAAGCTGTTGCTGCAGTCCGGTTACGAAGCTTTTGCCGTTCCTTTCGCATCTGCAACTCTGCGAGTAAAGTAGTTGGTTGCTCGTCGGCGGGTCCAATTTCTGCATCCTCAGCTGGTGAGTCGTCTTGCTGTGGTTCTGCATCGAAGCAGGCTTCCTGCGTTTCATCCTGATGCTCAATCGATGGCCCGTTGAGTTTCTCACCGTCATCACCATGCTCTGATGGTCGTATCTGGCTTTCGATATGATCCTCAAGTAAAGTGCCACTACTTTTCCTACGACCAAGATAGGTCGCAATGCTCATTAGACTGTTTCGCTTCTTAGCGTCTTCGAGCATGTTTCCCCTACTAATCAGATCATTCCCTTTGCTAATTCGCCGCCCACTTTCTGACATTTGACCAATGGGACGAGCTTTGATAGGTGCCCGACTATAGACGTCGCCTCCAACTTGGCCTACAATAGGATGATCCGTAAAAGCAGTAACAGGAGCTGAGGCTGAGGCATCGAGAATACTATCTAGAGTTGCCACGGCTGATGCACCTTTCACTTCAACGTCATGTCTCACTCCTGGAGAGTCAAAAAACATTGTAGCCCTCAGCTGTGGGGGTATGTTTGCCATTGTCCGACGGTTGGCCCTGATCAATGGCAGAGCATCTTCCTCCAAAGGCTCAAGGTCTTCGTTTGGTATCTCAGGCGTGTCAGGAAGCCAAGCTGCGGACTTTCGGGTTTCATTGGGGGGATTGCCAAACAATTGCGACCGCCTTTGGTCTCGCGAATGAGAATTTGGCAGCTTCGATAGCCTTTTTGGAAGATTGAGCATCATAGGTACGGGAGCCGGGTAATAAACCATATTGTCGCCCGAATGCGAATCCAGATATGTCTGCGGCCTTTGACCTTGAGCGAAGTTTGTCAATGGTGGGTCCTGTGGCGTATCTGCCGGGAGCAGATCTGAGGGACGAGCGACCGTATGCACGCCATCGAAATCCGAGAAAAGACCGTTCGCTTGTCGAGCCGTATCTGTTGAGTGTCTTAGTTCCAATTCTTCACTTGCCATCATGGGCTCATGTTCGCCGAACTCAGGCTCAGAAGACTCGGTCCGCGGAATGACAACATCATCTAGATGATATCCTCCGTCATTCGCTATTCGTAAGGGTCGAATTGCCTCTTCTGTAGGTGAGAAAACAGGCGCAAATCGTGTGGACAGCGGCGAGTCGAGAGGTTTGCCTTCTTGTACCGGCTCCGTCACTTGCTCCAAGCGTGGCTCTTGTGAAGCGGACCTATTCTTGAGCGAGTCTCGCGTACTGGACCGAACGGAGCCCCGTGGAGAGGCAAAGTAAGCAGCGGGTGAAAAGCCCCCAGACCTGGCCACACTGTTTGTACCAACAATAGAACTAGAAGCGTGAGAGCCATAGGTGTAGGATAACTGTCGATGGAGGGCTGCCCGATCAGGGTCCTCCAGCTGACGATTTTGTATTGAGGACCTTCTGCTATCTGATTTTTTCTGTTCTTCCCTCATTTTCCTTATCTCCTCCCCAATGTCAGATGATAAGCTCATCCTCTCCGCGCTTTGCTCCAGCCGCTCGATATTGTTCACATAGGCACCTTGGATGCTTTGCAGGTCGGGCGTAGGGCACTCCATAGGTCCAGAGCCGTCTCGGGAGACGGTCCGAGGACGAGTCCACGTCTCGGAGGGAATGGAGTGTAGATCTAGATTGGGAGGCATCGCGCTGAAGGGCGTTCGGTGAGTAGGAGATAGAGGGGAGGCGCGTATTTCAGCACAATCCGAGTCTGAATTGGCATCCTCGGCCTGAGTAAGAGGATTATACGACATAACGGGGGGGTTTTCACCCGAGAAGGGTAGTGATCAGGTCTGCATTAGGGAGCACAATTGACCAAAAAGTCAAAAGGTGAGCTCGAGCGTGTGACACGAGACTGGGCAGAAGATACGTAGAGAGGCAAAAGAATTATATTTAGCCGCAAGTTGCCCTTTTTGCCGTCACCTGCCGCTTAAACGGTGGCCCGCATCGGGCCCTCTAGGGAGTCTAGGCTCTAAGGGGAGGTAGCCCCCGGCCAGGCCCCTAACTTCTAAGCGCCTTAGGCATTAGCCACATTGACATTCCGCTTAACAGCACGCGTCCTTTCATCTTATCAGCACCCTTGCAATGGCCTCATGCACAACCAGCGACGATAATGCAAGGCAAAATGGGTATGTCTTGCCGAGCGGTCTGAACGGATGAGTCTGCTCCCAAATTCGTGGCCACTTCTTGAATCCACCAACTGGCCAGGATGCCTGCCTTCAGCCTGGGTCGAGCTGAAGTCAGTGATGGCGCCTCATCGGACTCGGATCACAGACACAAACGGCGCAAGACCAACCCTATGTACCAGCATTTGCAAGATGCTGCTCCAAAGTCCACCGGACCCGCTCAGAAGGCCCCGCCCAATGCATTTGCTGCCAAGATGATGGCGAAGATGGGCTACAAAGAAGGACAAGGTCTTGGAGCTTCTGGGATGGGAAGGCTTGCGCCAATAGAGACACAGCTAAGACCACAGGGCGCCGGACTTGGAGCAGTCAAAGAGAAGACGAAGCAAGCAAAGCAAGAAGAGAAGAGAGAAGCTGCTTTTCGTGGGGAGCAGCTAAACGACTCGTCCGAGGAGGAGAAGAAGAGGAGAAAAGAGCGACTGAATAAAAAGAAGTCTGGCGTAGCTGGAGGCTCAAGTACCCCAACCGCTCGACCGAAGCAGAAATACCGGACAGCTGCGGAGATTGAAGCGGCCGCAGAAGGGCTTGAAATACCGAATGTCCTCAAATCAATCATCGATGCTACCGGTCAAGAGACAAGGTTGCTCTCCTCGACTCTGGGGCTTATGCGCGCACAGGATTCCATGGTCACCGCAGAGACAGAAAGCGCGAAGTTATCACGAATGGCACAACGAGAATCTATCGCCTACGCAGAAGAGTGGAGAGCTCTGCAAGAGCGAAAGAATTTCTTCAATGCCCAACAGCTGGATTTGCTGAGCTCGGCAGAAAAAGGATTTCGTGAAGGGCAGACAGTGGATTATCTAATCTCAAATATTGAAGGACTGCAGAGGCTTGTTTTGAACGAAGAAGACAGTTGGGAGATTGTGACAACAGAAATTGAATCCGTTTTGAATTCTAATAACATGGAGGATGACTCACTGGACTTGCAGGACGTTTGCGTTGCTATTTTGCATCCGCTCTTCAAGAGGTCTATGCAAGACTGGGATCCTTTCGCTGATCCTAAGGGTTGCGCTCCCTATTTACAAAGGCTGCAAGCAATTCTACAGATCCCAAATCTGTCGACCAACAGAGAGGTCGCACGATCGATTGATGCCAGCCAAACACGGATTCAGAACAAATCTACTTCTGCGTACGAGACAATGATCTACGCCTTGTGGTTGCCTAATATCCGATCAGCAATTACAAGATGGGAAGTATATCACCCGGAGCAATGTATTGCAGTCATTGACGCTTGGCAAGCCGTACTACCACCGTTCATACTTGCAAATGTCGTCGACCAACTGATTCGACAGCGTCTGGTCACAGCTTTGTATGCCTGGAAACCCAAGCGAGACAGGGATGGTAACAGTCGCTCCTCTTCGCCCGAAAGGTGGCTATTTCCGTGGTTCGCATACCTTGACGAGCAGCATACTGATCTGAAAGGCTCTGGCGGATTTATGTCGGACGTCAAACAAAGGTTAAAAAGCGTGCTTTCAACGTGGAACCTTGGTCATGGAGCATTTCCGGGATTGAAACATTGGCAGTCAGTCTTCAAATCTGACCTTTCGCATATGCTCGTTCGTTATGTCCTTCCTCGGCTAGCTGAGTATTTCACTTCCAATTTCGAGGTTGACCCCGCAGACCAAGACATGGCGCCTTTGGAGAAGGTGCTCCCATGGGTGCCTTATTTTTCTATCGATGCAATGGCGCAACTCTTTGCTGATATCTTCTTTCAGAAATGGCACAATGTTCTATATCTGTGGCTAATTGGGGACCCCAACCACACTGAAATAATGCAGTGGTACCAATGGTGGAAGCAGCAGTTCGTGGAGAACCTACCTCTAGGATTTAACGAAAATCTACTCATCGCAAGGTGCTGGGACAAGGGGCTTACAATTATCAATGTAGCCTTGGACGCTATGGAGCGAGGCGCTAACATTGAAGAGGAACTGCAGCCGTACTTGATGGAGCAGGAAATTGAATCATCCGTCCCGGAACCATCGCCTAACCCTCCAATATCGAAGTCAATAGAAACGCCTACAACTTTCAAAGATGTGTTGGAGGACTGGTGTGCTGAACATGGCCTGCTCATGTTTCCCATGCGCGAGGCAGACATTCGGACTGGATTGCCTCTTTTCAGAATTACGGCAAGTGCAGGCGGCAAAGGAGGTGTTGTCCTGTTTTTGAAAGGCGATGTCGCATGGATACGGTTGCAGAACAAGTCATTTGAACCTGCGGCGCTCGATCAAAGATTGGTTGAAAAAGCTGAAGGGAGGTGAGGGGGATCAATTTTCAGAGAAGCTTGAGGATGAAGACTCAAATGCTGGTCAAACGCCACGTCAAACACTTTTTGGGTGAGGCATTCCAACTGAAAAGGGCTGTGCTGAATGCTAAGAAAATGTGACTGCCTCCTCTTAGGTACCCATACGACCTCGATCTGGGTAGTCAATGTTCTGTGTCGATGCAATACAAGGCTATTCATCAAACGAATCCAAACAAAGATGATCGCTCCACTTGGTCCTGACTAAAATAAAGTCATGAGTATCTCTTTTTTCCCCTGACAAGATGAGCCCGGAGCGCTTTGCTTGGATTTTGTAACCTCGAGCATAGGTCAGACCCGTACACATAGCCTCGAGAAGCGCGTCTCTCATGACTCAAATCTTGGAGTCAATAGGCTTTAGAAAGTCCAACCCCACGCTAGTCTCCAAAAGTATTTGCGTGGAGACTTCTATGTTACTGATGGGGGCAGTTGATTTTCTGTCAATTTGTGAAAGCAATTGTGAATTGTGTCCTCCTAGATATTTCTTACTTTGTACGTTAAACCTCGAGCCACAAATTTGATCTTTGATCTTTGATCTCTGTCATATGGATACATGCAGCACAGTATTCTAGCACTTCAATTTGTCTCGCACTTATATGGGCGATCCTTGGTTGGAGACGTTCTATGCGTTCTCTAGTAAAAAACAGAATCCTCCCTTGTTTTGGCGCTACTACGTCTATTCTGAAGGATTGTGAAATCCTTGAAGGTGTATCGAAGATAGATTTTTTTTGGGAAAAGTCTTTCCATTTTCTGCAGATATTACTCCGTAGGACTAGTAGACGCTCAAGGTTCGCTATTCTCGAAGTAGACACGGTAAATTCAAGACACAATGAGACCAATCCCGAAAAGTACCAGTATGTAGTAAACAACAGCAGCAGTGCTCTTTGTAATGTGACTTATCAAAAGGTGTGGGAAGAGAAAGGTTAGCTGAATGAGACTTTGGATGGATTTTATTTCTGCATATGGTAACATAGCTATCATATTTGGATTATTTCTAGAAAACGTGAAGTACATATCTTCTTCGGATTCAGAATGTTGCCCGTCGGTGCTCAGCTTGTAATAGCTTAGGACGGGACCTGGAGCTTGTATTTGGTCGACCAAGTGCCTAGGATAGTAAAGCCCGGTAAACATTGGGCTATTAACATCCGGAAATCGCAGTCAAGGCTTCGTTCAAGAGACCAATGCGGCATTAACGCTTATATCATAGTGACCTATTGTTCACACATTCTCCGCTAGTCGCAAGCTCCATTCGAAGGAGGTCGGCGTCACTGGTGGTAATTTTGACAAGGGCTGCCAGCCTTTCACGGTTAAATCGTAGCAGACAGAAGTACTCAAAACTTCATGTTGAAAGGTGTGACTAAGATTAGGCCTATAATCACGGTGGGAATTATCGGTTGCCACGAACTTTATACCATAGCGTTCTCGTCAACGCATCCCTTCGAAGTGGCTATGTGTGCGTCAGTCCATCAATCTCGTCTTTCAAGCGATCCACTGGTCGAGATCTTACGCTTTATTGATTTCAGCCTTCCTTCGGCTGGCAGCTTCGATATAAAGACATCTTGGTACCAACTCAACCTTTGTGCGCTGCTTTACGCGGCGGAACGTCTTTTCTATGCCGCAGTCCGCCAAATATGTGTGGTAGGTCTACGGATCGTCATGTGGATTGAAAGGCCTCATAAGATTGGTGCGAGTTGGAGGATGATGCCAAGCTTCGATGCCCCTACCGTTCACTTTTGCCATCAGCAGCAGCTTTCTCCTTCTCCTTGACTTCACGCTCTTTATCCCTCCAGTATTGCCTTTGGACATCCTCACTCTCCCAGTCTCGAATTACTCTCCATTGATCGTCATGCTTTAAACCAGCGTCTCTAATATCACAGGGGCCTCTTCCCCACTTCTCAAAGAATACATCTCTGCCGAACTCCATCCACATCTGGATACCTTTCTCGAAGCCATCAGAATCGCGGTAGAAGGGCTCGCCTTCACCACCCTTTTGTCTCGCTTGCCAGGTATTACGGCCTGCTGTACTCTCCGCTTTGGCTCTTTGCAGCACATCTAATTTCTCTAGTACATCCTTGTACGCTGGTGAATTCTTCTCGAACTCTTCACGTTTTTTATTCATTCCACTCTTTTCCACTGGACCCCTCTTATAGAGAATCTCCAAATCGTCCAAGGTACTTGCTACGTCCCAGATCTTTCCAGCTTCAGCAGGTTCAATCTTGAAGTCTTTCATCCATAAACGCTCGTGCATGTCGCAGTCTGTCATGTAAAAGGGAACAAGGGTGTCCCAGCCACCAACATCGACAAATGCTTTCGTTCTCACAAGAGCCAAGCGATCGTAGTCGTACCACAGGGTGGCTAAAGGCCCCCAAGACTCCTTTTGCGTTTCTTCCATTGCTTCAACAGCACGTGTGTAGGCAGACTTGTACGGCTGCCGCTCATACTCTTCATCGCTGACGATGACGGTATCCATGTGCGCCCACCAGTAATGTTCCCAGCCCTTCTGAAGTGATGTGTAGGTGTAGAAATTTTGCAGTTGTGCAAATGTCAGCAATGTCGGTGTGGAAATAACGTTTATGCCAAGTACTTTTGTTAGCCGATGGTGATCCAGGAAAAATGGATTCTGAAGGGTGAGCAAGCCGTCGCGGTTTGAATTCATCACACCAGTATTCTCTATCACGTAGATCTCGCTGGGAGGCCATCCTGCTACAATATAAGACACCACCGTCTGCTGGAGGAGACGCCAATTGCGCGTGAAGCCGATGAAGAGCGGCGTCGCATGCTTCCTAGTTTTAGGTGGCTTGTTCCAGCTCGGAATGGGAGGCAAATCGTTCGGACTTTTCGCGTCCGCAGCGCGTGGGAAATTGTCTTGTATGGGAGGAGGTTTCTCTGATGTAGGCTTGTAAAGAGGTTTGTACGGTTTCGCGTTCGGGTCAAAGCCAGCTGGTTCGCCAGTGAGGGAAGGTGGCAGTTTGTCGTCTACATCCGGCGGGAGGGAATCAGAGCGGATGATGAGGAGGGTCGCAAGTACGATAACGGGGATTACTAGAAGAAACAGATAACGGCGAGCTCCTCTTTGGAGGAACATGCTGAACACTGAACGAATGATGGTAGAGGAGAGGCTGCGCCGCCTCAGCGATGTGATCACTCCATGGATTGGTAAAAGGGGGCGTTATGATGGTGGTTCGAAGGATTGTGCTTACTAAGCAACATGATGGCCAAGGATAAATAATGTACTGTCTTAAGAATTCGTAGATTATGTTAATCTTTTGTCATTTGACAGCAAATGCCCGGACCTTGTTTCGTCTATTATGTAACATACTAACGCGGGACATCGGAATATGCCTTCAACTTCCCACATCTAAAGATGCAAGATCCGTTACTCCGACCTCGAAAAGGGGTATATTCTTCTGGATAAGTGTATATATATACATCTAAAATGCGTCCTCACGGGCGTTTCACTTTTAATTCTTCGCACGTCTGCCTCGAGTACTCAGTACTGTCCATCATTTTCCTTCGCTTCCATTGCCAGTCGACTAAAACTGGTAGGAACTGCCACAGATCAAATTCTGGCCACATGCATTTCAGGAACACGATTTCGGTCTCTTCGTGAGCTTGCCACAACATAAAATCACTGAGTCTCTCAACGCCTGATGTCCGGACCAGAAGATCCAGTGGCGGTAGACCTGCCGTGTACATGTGATCGTTGATCACTTCTGGCGTAATAGATTCGACGTCTGGATAAGAGTTGCTTTGCGTTTCCTTTAAATCATCTTCATCTTCGATGACTGACTCGTCCGGTGTAGACCCTTGGTTTAGCGTTGTGGCAGTCGAGTTTGAGTCTTCCGTGTCGGACGCAGCGCCGGAGGTTGGCGAATGCGATCGTACCTTGGCGGCCATGGGTGCAGGAGTAGTATTTGAGAACCTTCTCGCTCTGATATTGTGTACGATGTGTGATTCAGAGAAAGATCTCTGCTGACTTGCCAGTGGTTTTGAGTAGTCTAGAACCGTATCCCGGATTGCCGCCGTCATTTCGGCATGGCTTGTGTATGGGCAACAAATATTCAAGATGGCTTTCCCATTCCCCTTCGTCATCTCAACCGCACGGTCCATTGCTTCCAAAACATCGGGTTTAATAAGCTCTTTCTGCCCGAGAATTTGTATGCGGGCGCCATAGTGTTCTAACAGATCCCCGTGTTGAGCAAGCTGAGCAAGCTTGTGTTTTGCCATGTCCATTAAAGCATCGACTTCGTATTTTGATCGCTTGAAGTTTTCGATACTGAAAGCATAGATGGAGACCACTTTAACGCCGGCTTTGTAGCAAACTTCGAGTATCTGAAAGAGTAAAGGTTAGAATCACAACGAGATCAACGTTAGAGACCGAAAGCTGTAACAATACCTTTGCCAGTGCTTCAAATCCCTGGTTATGCCCTTCCACAACCTCTATGCCGTGCATTCGAGCAAAACGCCTATTTCCATCCATAACAAAGGCCACATGCTGTGGTAGCGGACCTTGCCGGAGGGCACCAATCAAGATCTCACGAAGCTGTTGTACCCCCCACTCGATTGGGGGAGACATAAGTATCCATTTTCGAATCTGAGAAAGGTGCATGGAAGGCATTTTACAGACTCCAATCGTCAACTATCTTAGGGCACGACTTTGAGCGACCTGGAAGCAGTTTTCAACGACCTTGAAGGAGTAGCATGGCTTCTTGTGACCTCTTGCTTCTTAAACGAAACCAGCATTGGCAGCACTTAGTCAATGGGCTGTCATGCCACCCCATGTTGAGCAAATGGTCAGGGTTTTGGGGCTTACGCAAAACATTAGAGCTAGTTTCAATGCTTGCGGCCGCTAGCCTCAGATGCATAATCTTAGAACTATGCAACACAATCTTCTGAACGTATCCAAACTCCTACATAATCAGCTTAAGGCCCACTTGAAGGCATTCGCTTTCTCTTCTTGACACTCATTTATACCTAATTTTCCATTCTTTCTATAGTTGATGGCCTAGTCTCAAGAACCTTGCCGTGCAGACGTTACCTATGATATCCCACTCCTCAGCTTGCCACAACGGCAGCTTTGACGATGTTAGCCTACCTACAGGGTACACGACCCAGGAACAGGCGCTCTGCCATTCCCACTGATGCCAGCGCTCCAAAAAACGGCTCATCTATAAGCCAGGAAAGGCATGATAGCTCCTTCGGTGCTGAGTTAGAGCACCCTACTTTACATCCCCAACGCCGAAACTCGAGCAAACCCTCGCCTATGTCGAGCGCAGCTCCTCATCTTCCCCCAATCCCACGTATCGCGTCTGGAAATGATGGGAGCTCAGAGAGGTCGGCTCAACAGAGGCACTGGAGTTTCAAAGGCTCCTCTCAGCAACCGAGTCAAACACTTGCGGAATCTTCAATGTCTCCATGGTCCAGTCAACCGCGAAACTCCATAGCTAAGACCTCACAAGATCAAGCAACCTTTCGACAGGTGCCAGCTACGTTCTCGACGAATGCAATCGAAGATCAATCATTAGCATCAGCAAGGCAAAGGAGACCAATTGATCTTCGTTTTGAACAGATGAGGTCTTATTCCGAGATGCCTTTCCAACAATCCGTCTACAACTCACATCAAAACCCACAGATTATTCCACAGGCTATCAATCCTCCTACTCCTCCGCCGAAGGCACCGCACCCGTTCTACCCCACATATGAAAATGCCTCCACTTCTAGCCAGCAGGAGAATGTTCTTGACGGCCGAAAGCAAGTACATGAGACCCGATTCAATACTTGGAACCAGAGGATCTTCAACAGTGCGCAACGTCAACCACAGATGCCCATAGAACAGGTTTCCCAACCCTCCCAGCAGATCACGACAATGAACCAACAGCGGTATATCAAACCAAAACTCAATCTCCGGAATCCGATGGCGCTTCTTGCTCGAAAGCGGTCTCAGCGAATAAAAGACAGTGATTTTGCGGAAAACCAGAAAACAGCTCCTTTGAAATTGCCGGATGATTACGATCCTCGAATCCGCGGGCACGTTGTACATGATTTTAGCGCACCAAGAGCAGATAGACATCTGCCTGCGAAACCTGATGAGGAGGCGGAGAGGACCAAAAGACAGCGATTATCGGTGCCCAACCTCTTTGCGAGGCGAGATGCGAGTCCGAGCAGCGGTGAAAGGGAGCATACCCCGATTTTCAAAGAACACTTCGATGTCGGCCTTGAGAAGGCCCAAGACCCTGAACAAAAGTCCGAGTCACTGCAGAGGATGGCTGTAGCAGCTTCACGGCCGCAACCAAGATCCTCGCAATTACCTTCGTTCGCTCGAAACCTCCCTTTAAATGTCTCGCCTCACGCTGGAGCTGAAGAAAAGCCACTATCCCAACAGAATATTGCTTCTTTGACGGTTTTGATCGAGCCCCCAGACCAAGGTCAAAGTCACGCTGCACCCTCACCCTCAATGTCACCACCTAGAGCAGCATCAATTGCCGCATCGATCTCAGACAGGAGTACATCTGGCTTAGGATCTCCACAACGCTACAGAAGCACCTCTTCCCGGTTCAGCTTTGATCTAGCCGGAGTTGGATCTTCCACCCAGGAAAAGCTGCTAGAAGATAAACACAGACAAAAAGTACAGCAAAAGCAGCGGCAAAGTACGTTGAGTGACGAAGCTACGGATGATGACGAACAATATCTAGATTTCGGTGGGGCTGCAGAAGATGCGTTTGAAGAGCGTATCCCTGGGGTAAATTGCGATGATAATTATGATTACGACAATGATATCAGCCTACAAGATCAAATGCCCACGCTGCAGCGCGACATGGAAAGCTTCCAGATTGCATCGCCGAACAAGTCGTCCTTCGAGAGCACTACTAGTCCTATCAGCACTGGCGTCACTTCACTGGATACGCCAAGAGACTTTCTAGGTCTACCTTGGCATACTGCTCTGGCTGCAAAATCATCTCCTAATCTTTCACAACTCCAAGCAGACGACACAGTACCTGCTTTGGGATCTGACGTGAGCTCTCGACCTCGATCTACACCCGACGATCCATCCAGAAATGTGCCCACATCTAATGCCTTACAGCATAAAGGACTATTAGACACACATCTTGTGGCTCTTCCGCAACGGCAGAGCATTATAGATGATGACATGTACTTTGATGATGGCATAATTGATGAGATTGGCGAGGTAAGCGACCAAGATTTCGACGAGGATGTTTTTGATGATACTGGACATGGTTTGTACGGCCTCCCGTTGCGGGATCGAAATTTGAAGCCAGTCAATCCCATTGAACTGGAGGGTGGTAGCAATGCAGAAGGCAACAATGTCACTGAGATTATTCGAAACAAGAATTTTCAGAGTAGGGATGGTCTCGGCTGTTCATCACCCCATCGTTCGCTTAGCAGTGGAGGCATGTCTGCCGAATTGCGAGATGCTTTGACAGAGTTGGGCCAGCCAAACCGACACATTTTTAGTCAGACTGCAGGCTTGACCCACGATAATCTTGCTGCATACAATCATAACGCACTAGCCTTGGCAGTAAACCAGGCAGCTATGGATGGAGCATTCGATCGTGCACCTACTGTGGGGACCTCGCAGGAACCGCAGCCTGATTCTACTGGACTGCCATCATTAAGCTTGGAAGATAATGGTGCAACTGGTGTCGAATTTAGTCTTCCCGCGAACGAGGATTTCGGCGACGATGAGCTCGACGACGACGATATCGTTGCTGCGGCGAACGCTGAAGCGCTCGAAAATGATGACGATGGATTCTATGGCCAAGAATTTGGATTTTTCGCGCGGGCTTCTGGCACAAGCGAAGTTGAATATTCGAATGGTGGGTATTTTGGTCCTCGTACCATAGAAGGAGTCCATCGCTCCCACAGCGGCAAGGCCAATTTTCAGGAGCCAAGCCTGACACCAATTACCGAGCGAAGTGAATGGAGTAACCGCAATTCCTTCATCTTCGGCCATCCACTCTCAGCCGTAGCAGCTACGAACCCAGCGTTCAACGATCAAGCAGCCGACGATCTCAACGTCCAGTATGCCATGTTGAAACAGCTGCGACGCGGCGCCTGGGGTGGAAGCGGAAGTGACATGAGCTTGCAAAGTAGCTCTAATAGCCAAAACAGCGGCTCCCCCATCACTTTCGTGGGGCCCAGCGTTATTTTGCCGTCACCTCTTCAGACGAGCAGTACAAACCTTCAAAACATGGCTTCCTCATTCCACAGCTTCAATAGCAGCAGCAATGGCCGGCCTTCATCGAACGATAGCGACTCCAATGATTCGCCTACGATAACGTTACCAACGCAGCAAACACCAGGTATGGTCTTACCACCATCATCACAATCAATGGCACCACCACCATCAGTCCCAATTACTGTTCAAGAGAATCGACCCAACACGGCACGGTCGAGCGGCCTCAAAAGCATCCACAGTCGGAATTCCAGCGTAGCCGAGAGTGTCAGCTACAAAGAGGAAGGAGGAAAATGGGTAATTGAAAAGCGGCGAATGAGCGAGACAGGAGAGCGAGTCGTAGGCAGGAGCGTGATTGAAGGTGCCAGAATATAGTTCAATAAAAATTTACACCGATATGGATATGATAATATGACTAGCAAGGCTTTGGGAGTCCCTTGGTGGAGGCGCTCTGTGGTGTCGATAATGAAATAGAAGGAGTGAAGGGTGATATGGGCGGCGATTTTGGTTTTGAAAATAGTGATACCCAGCGGAGACGATCGGACGTTATTTGGCTACGATAGGCTTTTCTTGGCGTAAACAATAGACGATATGGCTGTATCACCGTCAGTTTCTCATTCCCTTAGCCTGGACGCGGAGGGAAAGCCTTCGCAACTGTGTGACTGAATATGGCATAAACGAGGATAAGGACAAAGACGGGTAGGAGACTAGAGAAAGTTACGTCTCGATCATACATTACTACCTAGATGTACACTAATATCGCCAAACAAGCAAATATCATCGTAAATACCTTGCCACACGTTCGCAACTTTTTCCTTTTTGCCCTGAGCCGGACACCAAGCATATCAAATCCAGAGTCCTACTTTTTGCAAAGCAATACCACGCAAGCGATGCACCAAATAAGCTTCAGATATCATCTCCCCAACACCGACGCACGCGAAGAAAGACCAAATCATTTTTTGAACATGTAATGTCCGTACAAGCCCCCAACTTCGCTCCACGCAACGGGTACTTTTCTCATGCCCCACCACATTGCGCCCATCTTCCACGAGCGCCGACTTCCTCTCTGCTGACCAGTCTCTGCGTTCATAAGGCTGCTGCTGCTGCTGTTGCTGCTAGTGGTACTTCCACTGTCGCTGCCATTCGCACTATTGACGGGCTCACGAACATACCAGCCTCGTCGTCCAAGTTCCTTTACACACCAGCCGAGGCGTTTGTTGGTATTCCTGCACTCGCGCAGGGAAGAGATGGTTTTGTCGCCCAACTCAATGACTTCGAGGGGGACGGTCTGTGGCGTGAGAAGGATGTTGGAGGGCTGGGGAGTGTTGAAAAGGCTGGATTGAGTGATGGACGGGATGGCGGTTAGATCAAGATAGTGAAGATTTGACGGTACCCAAGCCTGTTCGTTGTCCTGGTCCTGAGAGTTCAGAGATGATAGATTGGGTCGGAAGAGGTTGTTCACGTCCTCAAGCGAGAGATTTGCAGTAGCAAGACCAAGCTCTTCCACGTGCTTGGTCAGAGGTAGGAGGTGGCGGATGTGGTGTGGATGGATATGAGCGCCGTTGAGGTTGAGTGAACGGAGAGTGGTCGGAAGAGCAGGGAGAAGGCGATCGACATCCGCTTCCCAAAGGAGCCGATATCGAGAGATATCGCATGAGAGATTAAGATATACTAGACTTTTGGCAGCAGGGTGAGAAGTGAGGAAATCGACGACGCCTTCGCCAGTCACGGTGGTGCATCGGCCAAGGTTCAGGTGCGTCAGTCGTGCCGAGATAGGCAGAGAGGCGAGCGCCATGTCCGTTATACGGGTGTGTGACACATCGAGATGGGACAATTGCGTCAAGCGTGGGAGAAGTGTTTCGAATGCGGAACCCGGAAGAGTGAAACATTCGTGAAGACTTAGTCGCTTGAGGCCAAGCATGGTCGAGGGATTATCGCGCAGCTCTCGCATGACCGAAGAAAAGGACTCGACAAATGGCTGCGATGAGCATGCGCAGAGATCGAGCGCTCGAAGCTTTGGTAGACGAACCAAAACCGTCTTGAGGACATTTGAATCTACGTCGTCATCCAAGTTCTCCTGTAGCAGGATCTCCTGAACCCAAGGAGTGAGCTCGAGACATTTAACCAAGGTTCTTGGAGTTAGATTTTGGATTTCAGAGTTGGTCTGGCGTGATCGACCAAGACCAACGGAGGTGAAGTGAGAGAGATCTAGTCTCCTGACTAGGGTTCCGAGACCTTGATATTCATTCAAATGGCTCAGAAATTTGGAAAATATCTGAGAGTGGGGAATGGTGATCTGTTTATACAAGGTGTTAATTGTGGCCACGTGAAGCGTTTTTGAGGTAAGTAGGCATGCAATGAGATCGACATTGCGTGGGGCATAGCCTGATGGTGGGAGATCGATGGCTAGATTGGCGATCACATCATCTTTAGATTGGCGGTCAGCTTTGCATTAGGATTGACTGCCACGTGCTGTACTCACCAAGGACCTCGCTCGGCAACTTCTCCAGGGGCGCCTCTCCAGAACCATACTCCTTCTTCTTGACGGGCCGGTCCTCTTCCTTTCGCCTCGGAAATTCAAGGTCCCATCCAGATAGTTCAGAGATACCGGTTCTTAGGTTGGTGTAGCTCTTGCTCCGTTTGCTGACGGTTTTGACAGCTCCGCGGCCACACCGGCAGCAGCAAGAGCAAGCGCCAGGCTCGACAGGGCTGAGGGTCGGAGAAAGTTGCTCCTGCTTGGGCGCTATGGAGGCATTGACAGACTCTAGGAAGGATTGGGCAATACCTGACCTCATCGTGCCAGCGTTAATATGGTGTAGTTAGGTAAGAGTGTGGTAAGAATAACAGCAATTGAGAGGTGTTTGTCATACAGTAGACAAATGCGTTGCGTAAAAGCTGAGACTGAGCGCTACTCACCACTATTATCCTCTTTCACACACGCGTCCAACTGGCCGGACGAGCCGGCTAAGGAACTGTCCCTGCTGCTGCTATTACTCGGACGCGAAACAGTCTTGTTACCACCGTGCGCGATATCCATGGGCCTTCGAGGCCCCGATTGATCGTCCTGATGTGCCAAAGAGGAAGTGACATGGGCGCGCTTGTCGGAAGTGGTAACGTTTAAGATTGCAGCGGGAGCTTTGCTAGAGCGTTCTGCATGAGGAGGCTCTTGCGCATGTGCCAAATCTGGGGTAAAACCTGGGGTAGTAAAACGACGCGTCGAGCGATTGGTGAGTCTCTTGAAGTCGGAAGCCAAATATCGATTTAGACCGGAAGATGATGATGATGTCGCCATGGGGAGTCCTTGTCTCGCGGTAAGCGCGTCGCTTTGTGGGCCTGAAAGCTGTGTGGTTGAATCTCGATGATACAGAGACTGCGAAGAGTAGAAGGAGCAAGAGGTATTTCAGGAAGAAGAGAGGAGCGTCAAGACGAGATAAAAGAGCCAGTAGCTACGGAGAAGAGAGGCACGCCTTCTGGTGAGGAGCAGTAGAAAGCTCGTGACGCAGTTGCTAGTGCAAAAAGTCTTCAAAACACAACAAAGCGGCAAATCACGAAGAATTGGGTTATTCAGAGTTTGAGCCTGCTTAAGCGCATAGCACCGGGTATGGCACGAGTTGGTTTGGTTCCAATGCTTGGTACGGTAATAATGTGGTAGAGAAAAAACGGCGGTGATGATTATGACACCATCTGGGGAGAGGATGACTCCTCCTGCTCCTCGACGGGATGAGGTAAAACGTTGCGAAGGAAACGTAATACATGCCCCAGTCCGACGGAGCCACGTGAGAGGAGAAAAAGCTTTCTCCGTGGCGACAAAAGCCAAGCCATCAACGTTGCTGCTCCTCACAGGCGCAAAGCTGTCGACTCGACGCAGGCATATTCTTGTTGCTTTGGAGTCGGGAAATGGAGTGAGGTGGGAGATGAGTGGAGGTGTTCTAGAAATTGAGGCTCTTTGGCCCGGACCCTTAGGAGGCGAACGAGATTTTTGGTTGGACCCTGAATCAATAATATTTCATTACCAAGTACCAACGTGCCTGACTAGGCAGAAAGAAGCGTCTACGCTTGTCCACACGTCATGCTACCTCTGCTTGCTCTGACAGACAAGAGAGCTAGGCAAAGCCATCATTGTTGTTCAGCTACGGTATTGGCAAGCATGTCCCGCCTTCAGCGTATATCTGACGGGCCAATAACGTATCTACATCGGTAGTCATCTGGAACAGCATCATCCAGTACGACCATCATGCACCGCGCTCAGGCCAGGGACGGAAATCTGGGGTAGTCTCCTGTCGGATGTCGGAAAGAAGCACAGGCCTGTCTACCGAAAATCTGGGGGATAGCCGCCGCTCGCCTTACACGTTGCATCTTCGAAGATCGAAAACGGTCCTGCTCGATCTGTACAGTATTCTATTCGTAGCATCACATCTCAGAACATGCAGATTATCTCCCAAAGACATGTTCGCCAGATACCCAACGCTTCGTAGCTTCACAACAGATCATGTCCATTGGTAACCTAAAGCCCATGGCAGTACTTCCGTACACTTCTACAAAGTCCTTCACGTGCGAGCCTTTCCTCGCCTTTTAGGCGCAGGCGTGCCATTCGGGGGAGGGCCAGCTGCCCCTGCTTTCTTAGCTCGAGGTGTGCCATTGGCCGCGCCGAGCCCTTTGACTCTCTTTACTTTGGGCAGCGGCTCTTCCGGCTCGTCTGCAAGCCCCTGAGAGCCTTGATAGGACGCCAGGCTCTCCGCCCAGGCCACTACTTTGCCGCCGACTGGCCCTGGCTTTGCACGCTCGACTATCTCGGTCGCGTCCACAGCTATGTCCCGGAGAGCCTGCTGAGGTGGTTTCGCAGGCCCTTTGTTGCGTCTGGTATTCGTTCGCGTAGCAATGGCAAGCTCTTGGGCCTGGGTTTTCTGGAGGATGACTGGGTCTGTGCCCTCCGCTCTTCGGACCGGTATGAAGCTTGGTACACCAGGAGAGGGGTTTTGGCGGTGCAGCGTGGCGTGTGCGACTGCTTCGTCTGAACGGCGTCGACTCTAAATCTGCGTCGTCCCCTATCTGCTCATCTCGATCTGCAAGGCTATTTGAGTCGACTTTGGACGTACTAGGCGGGGTCGCAGGTTTCTTTTTCATATGCCTCTTTGGTGTAGCATCTTGGGGCTCCTCCGAACAAATTGGAGCATCGCCTCGAGATCCTGTTACCTTGCGAGGTGATCGTCTTGGGGATTCCTGGAATGATTTTGGTAGTTTGGGAACGGGACCAATAGCGGTAGCAGCTTTTTTGGCTTGCGCGCGATTGAGAAAATCCTTTAACATGGAGGTATCATCACTGAATCTGGCGGCAGGTCGAGTTTTTGGAACAGGCAGCTCGGCATCAGTAGCAGGCTTCTCAAAAGCTAATTGCGCTTCTTTTGTCTGGGCCTCAACGAGGGCGTTATCTATATTGTCCGCGTTGCCGACATCCAAGACCAAGACTTCAGATGGCAACATCGGGCCTTTAGAGTCCTCAATAGACATATCCGTGCAATAGCCATCCTCATCGGCCGACATCAATGGCTTCGTGCTTTGCTCGGATTTGTTGATTTCCGAAGGCGATGGCAACACGTTCGGAGGCGTGATTGGAGAGTCATTGTCTTCCACCTCTGAGGGGCCTAATGTAGTTGCGCTGATTGAGGCTTCGTTACTCTTGGGGATCTGTCGATCTTTACTTTCCTGAGCCTCATCGCTGAATTTTTGTAAAATTTCCCTCTCCTGCAAAGTATCTCGCTTTTTAAGCTGCTTCTTCTGTGGACTTTTTTCTCTTTTGTGGGTTTGACCTCTTACTTGGGCTTGCTCTTCGACGTAGACTTTCTCTACGAAGCAAGGTGGTCCCGATTTGAGGGCTATCGAGCAGCATAGGGCCTTCGTCCGACTTCAACTCCCCTGGTCGCCTCGAGCATGACGGTGTCTGTTGTTGAGAGGATGTTATGTTTGCTGTAGTCGGAGAAATTTGCTCTGATTTCTCGAGCTCGCCGTCAAGGTATGGAACGTCACCGCAGATGTCGAACTGATGCTCCGATTGCGCGTGGTTCATATCCTTCCCAAACGATGAAGAATCCTGACAGGCTATTTCCGTTCGGTCCGTATCATCGCTACTGTCTGCTGCTTGCATTCGAGAATCACGCTCCGTATCAGGATGACCGTCAATCACTTCGAATAAGGATTCTTTGGGAAAATATGTCATATCATTTAACAGTAGAGTCTCGTTTGGCTTTAATACTTCTCGCTCAACTGCATTTGTCGCTGATTTGGGCGTTTTGTCGATTGTTTCGAGGAATGGACCGACCAAGGCTCCACCGTGCAATTTCTCGTTTCCTTGGAGATACTCAGCACGATTCTGCGATATCAAATTACGACCCGCTTGGCCTGCGTCCTCTCGCACTAATGCCTTCACAGTCTGTCCGCGAGTCTGCTTTCCTACGTTTATACCGTCAGCGGGTCATTGGCACGCTATGGAAGACAGCAGTTTTACTCTTTGGTGTCCCAACGACAGTCTCCCTCAAAGTGGCGTGAAACTGAAGAGTTTCCGATCTACCCCTCTCAGGACCACTACCACCTTTCTGCACTCGCTGTTTCTTCACTGCTCGAGGCGTATTCGTAGAGACGTTGCCCAAGGCTTGTCGACCTTCGTCTGTAACTTGTTCAACCTCCGACTCCGATGGTACGTTGGCGCGTACGTCTTGCCGTTTCCAAACCTTGCGGCCCTTGTGACGGGCAACGTGGGGCGACTTTGGCGTCCTCTCCCAACCTCGAGTGATGTGTTTTGGGAACTCTAATTGAAAGTCGATTGCTAGGCTACTGTTCTCCCTAACGACGAGTCAGTCATACGCAATCGACGCCGCCTCGGCCTGCATGGTAAATGCGCAACCTAACTGACCAAGAAGATATTGGCGCAGGTCCTGTCATTTTCGAGGAACAAAGAATTATTGCGAATAATCAAACAACGCAAAGTACATGAAGTGAACGAAGCCTCTCAGTCACTTCCCCTGAGCGAAGTCCATACTTCTATTGATGCAATCCGATCGTCGCAATATCAATGAGTGCGCTGGTACAAATGCGGGATCGAAAATGTAAACAAATGCAATGCGGGCTTGAGGGATGCTTGGCACGGAAATAGGATCAGCCGCCCGCGAAACCTCAAGCCTCCGATAAGGTAGTCTGTAGGCAACATACATCAACCTCGCCATGCGCCCCCAATAACGTTGAACAAGCTTGTCAACGACCTTCGCAGTTGCAGAGTGATGCCTTCGAAGGGTTCTAGTACCAAGCTTGCTCCGCCACGCCTACCACCGTTACCAAAACTCAGGATCCGTCGCCCAAACGCGCCACAAGAGAATCCTTGTGTTGGTGTAATGACATCTGTACTCGGTAATCTTGTAACCCTTTGTTTATATCATTATAAAATACTCACATGTGGCTTGAAGCATGTTGGGCTTCGTCGGGATCAAATGCTGCGGGTTGCGTTGGACTTGAGCAGCAGCTAAGGGCTTGCATGGATACACCGGTATGTCATAGTACAGCTTAAAATCCAGCAACTCGTGACTCATACGTTGCTTCCCTACAGAGACCACAAACCGGCAAGAAGAACACAATCAATTATCACCTCACGCGACTCTATCCAAAGATTGCACCACCTCACAAAAAAAGGAAATGAGGCAGCCTAAAAAGGGCGGAAAATTTCGCCCCTCTTCAAATGTTACATTTGACTGGGTACGCGGAAGGATGCATAGTCTATCGAATCGTATGGACGAGACAATTGGTCAACAGGCAGATTCTACCATATACACGCCGCTATGTATGCATTATTCGAGTTGCAAAAGGGGCGAACCGTACAATCCCCGAGCTCGTTGACTTTGGATACTTTGAGCATAGCTGCGCCGCAGCCAGAGCAACTAAGAACGGTCGCAGATTGAGGCCAGAAGTAAAATCAAACATGTGACGGGATAATGGCAAAGTCGTGGAGAATGCAGAACGATTCAAGAGATGTTCTATATCGCTAAAAACGCTGGAGAGTTGATAAGAATGAAGGCGAGGTCTTACACCATGAAACTCTCGCCACAGCCACATTGTTCCTCTAGATTGATGACTTAGCAAATATCGAAGGCGAGATATATTCAAGGAAGAACGTACTTATGTTCGGGTTTCGAAATACAAATCGTTGCTCCAATTTGTCTTCTACCCAATCCATTTCACTGCCAATAATACTAAATAGCGCTTTGCTATCCACCAAGACTCTGACACCATCTTGTTCTACCGTTTCGTCAAAAGCACCGGGCTTTTCAACATATTCCAAGTTGTAAGCCAAGCCAGAACAGCCTCGATTTTTAACACCCACCCTTATGAGCCTTGGCTCGGGTTGATCGAGAAGATTCCGCAATTGTAGAATGGCATTCGGAGTCAAGTTCATGGCAGCCTTTCTAGGTCGCAGCTTTGAAACACGCTTTTTGGGCATAGTGGCTTCTGTTGAGGTTTCTATGAGTGGCCTCGACTTCTGAGCCTCGGTTTCGGGTATCGTGGCACCAGGTGCTATACTTCTGTCTCCAGACTCTGATAGCCTCTCAATCTGTTCGATAGTTCGAGAAGGTCGGACTTGATGGACCTCAGCCTTTGTGCCTGCAATTGATGTCTGATGTATGTTGGTATTGCGAGGTGGCGGTGGGGTAGGCTCAAACGGATGTGGTGTGTATTCTGTAGCAGTGTAGAGAGAGCGGTGTGTGCTGTTATGGCGTGCCTCACATCGCAAGCAGCGGGGTGGCGCTAGAGACCTCTGCGAGGCTGTAGTGACATTCACGAGCAAAGAGGCGATTCGGGATAAGCTCAAGGCGGAGCTCCTCAGAGAGTGGTTGTACCTCTGTAAAGACATGGTACTTTACAGAGAGGCCGTCGAAATCATGTATGTGGGGTCAGCAAGGGCACGTAGCATAATAGATGAAACAGTGCGCCTGTGCTGTAGGATGGTCCGGAAAACATCATGGCCAGTGACGACGTTCGCAGGTTACTAATGACAGCTGACGAATCAGCTACCGGCAAATTCCAATCCTTGTGGTAGGGCTGGTGTTCAATGTTCCCGCTGCTACGACTACCACCAGTACTATCATTTCATATATTGGCCTCTGCTGCCTTTCATGATGCAGTCTCGCTCTTATTGCAAATGCACATCTGATGGCTTCCGCTCTAGACCCAAGTGTGCAGAACTGCTACCGTTCAACCTCCATGTCTCTAAAAGAAGCCTGCCTTTGATTCTTTGTTGTTAAATCTGAGCACGCTTCGACTCAAACGCACTTCCTTAGTACCTACCTGGAAACATTTTTCGATAAGCATGTAGCTCGGTCAATACATAGTAACCTTTCGCCGAATAGGTCGTACAAAGCCATCCTGAGTTATGGAGCCTTCTCCCCTGACCCAACAAGCGCGTCCAAGCGCCTTTCAGCCTAAGATAGCCCAGCTATATGAGGAATTGTTTCAGGACGATGACCTCGATAGTACCTTTTCAGACGGGTTCTGGAGAGAATTCTTCTTATTGCGTCCGGATAGATCCAGACTGCAACAGCGAATTGACCGTCTTCATCCAAATGACTTGCTTAATTCCCAGCATGAGTCGCAGCAATTATTCATTCAAGCTGTATCCCAACTTAAGGCAGGCCGAGCACCTGCAGATGAGAACGCACTAGATGTATGAGACAACCTGATGTCGAACATTGCCTCGCGACTTACTTATCAGACTTTGATAGTCTTCTTGAGCCTCATCCTTGCAAAGCGATATACAAACCCGAGTGCCGATATTATCAATGTCGTGACGGGTCTGCATCAGGTCGACTCCGTCTTCGTTGATTTTGCAGATGCAATAGAAGCCACAATCCATGGTGGGCGGACATGTAAGTCGCATACTCAGCTCTCATGACCATTGTAGCTGAATGTCGAGGATTAGCGGCCATTCGACGAAAAGCCATTGAAACGGCGCTGGTGCTTACTGCTGGAGCGTATCAGACCAGCCTCATCACATATTTCACTCATCGTGATCTTCTCCTAGCTTTGAACAAGGTAAGCTTCTTTTTTGTTCTGGTCGAACCTCCGGCCACTTAGCCTGCGCTCTTCTCCAATCCCGCACTGCCCGCCAATCATGGCCTAGTTCTGTTTCACGAACACTGAACTATTGTGTTATCAGTTTGTGCTCTTTGAAGAGAGTGTGGAGGCTGCCTCACAAGCTTTCTTACTGTTGGGGCTCCTGGCCAACTATAACAAGTTCGAATTTCGAAATCCATACCGACTAAGCCTGGAGAAATTCGATAATGAATCAATCATTCAAAAAAATGTGTTGGCCTTTGGTGCTTCAATGCGTAGCTCACGAAATCATTATGTTGCCATTCAGGATGACATTGCAGAAGGCTGGACCCTAAGTAACACCTTGGCCTATGTAGGTCTTGGTATTCTTACAAATTCTAAACAGCCACATCATGCTCCAGGCGATGAAACGCAGACGAATTTTGGAGACTTGTATGTCCACACCAACTCAATTGCGCTTTGGAAGTACTAAGAACACTTTACAGGCCAGATCACAAGATTGCTTTACTGCTGGGAGGATACGAATTTGCTTGTGCTAACAGGAGCTTCTGCTATAGCCTGATAAGCCAGGATGCAGAGCCGAATACGACGGAAAGCCCATTCAGCGCTTTTCTATCTAGCATGTCGTACCTCTTACACCATGCCTACCGCTCGTCAAGAGCGACTACATATGGAATTTTATGTCTCTTGATCATTCGCGTGATTATCGAGGATATGGAACTCTGTAAGATTCTTTGCGATCCACAGAGTAATCTCCCTGTTCGCCTTTGTCGACAGCGCCAACCCTACCTCCCAGCAACGAGCAAATCCAGGCCCTCAGTCGCTTCTATTCTTGACATCCTGGTGGATACAATCAATCACAATCTTCGTCGTAACCTAGACCTTCAATTATACATCTCTACACTCGATGTCCTACATCGCCTTATTTCATACCTCGCCTTCAGCAAGACTCACCTAGCCTATCACTGGGCACTTTTGTGGCAGACTCTCATATCCTTCCTTCGATTCATAAACACCTATGCCTCAAGTCTTGCCATCTTGGACGCTGATCTCCCTCGTTTACTTAAACCCCTTGTTGACACATTAGCTCTTGCGGTCACATCAGGAGAGTCATTTCTGCCGGACCCTGCAGCCTATGACGACCTATTCTATAAGTTAATCGAGGCCGGTGACATATTACAACGCTTCAGGTCCGTCTTTACAGGTCACATGAGTCATACAAGCGAGTATTCGTCGTCTAACGCTTCGGAAGCGGGGGCTATTGACATCCTGATCCACGTCTCAGCATACTACCGGGATATGGTACAGCTAGCGGGACAACAAGGAGCTTTGGGCAACAATCCAAGTCCTCGTCAAATCAGCAAGATCATCAAGCAAGGGTATGAGAGTCTACGTTTGCCCACAATGGAGGGGCTGGACAAGTGGGATTATTTCAGGGAAGGAGACTACCGGGGCTTGTTGAAGCGCGCAGCGAGGATTGCTGCCGACGACACGAGACAATTATCTACGACTTGACGGACAGGGTCTGTTCGAAGCATGTACAGCAGCTTGCTAATCAGATTTGTTAGAAATGTGAGCGCTATTGTTGGATAACAGTAGAAACAAAGCATGAGGCCTGTGTCTAATCCCGCCTTCTGAGGTGGGGAAAGCATTTGCGGTCCAATCTTGAGCGACGCACTCGCGTGGCTTGGAGATTGTTTCTCATATGCATGCAGAATGATCTAGTGTGAGAGGCTAGATGTTCACCAAATGCCAGATGTCAGAGACGGGCTCAACGGTTAGGCAATCCACAATGCGCTTCTATCTGAATGTTCGCTCTCCGGAGGGGATTTCCGGCTGCTTAAATCTCTCAATTGCTGGATATATAAATACCCTTCAAATCCGTTTGACATGCTTGCCAATTGACTTCTGACATCTTTAAATTTTTTCCTACACTGTATTCATTTGTAAATTATCGTCGTTCGCCTTGTTTTAGCCCTACGTCATCGGCTCCGCGGGACGAATATCTGAACTTTTTCGGGAACAAGACCACCATGGCCGCAACTGGTACGCTGATCCTCCGCAAAGCACCTGTAATTTTTAGTCGTATTTCTCCTCGCTTTTTGCCCCAAAGAACATTCCATATCACCCAGCGCTGTCTGCAGCACCGTCAGCAGCCCCATCCTAATGCCATCTTCCTTCCATGCCATACCTATCAAAATCAACCCCGTGAAAGACTGACACCTGCTCACAGGAGAAGATACCTACAGCCTTGGCCTCCAACGCAATAAGGCCTGGGCGCAAGACACCGCCTCCGCAACACCCGACCTCTTTCCCACCCTCGCCAAAGGCCAAAGCCCTCAGATCCTCTGGCTCGGCTGCTCGGACTCCCGCTGCCCGGAAACCACTCTGCTTGGCCTCCAGCCCGGCGATGTCTTCGTGCACCGCAACATCGCCAATGTGATCAATTCTGCTGATCTGTCCTCCGCTGCAGTTCTCGCCTTTGCCGTCGGGAACCTGAAGGTGAAGCATGTCGTTGTATGTGGACATACGAGCTGTGGAGGTGTAGCGGCTGCGCTTGGCAATGCGAGTGTGGGGGGTATCCTGGATGCGTGGCTGGCACCGCTCAAGAGGCTGAGGGCGGAGAATGTAAAGCAATGGGAGAAGGAGGGAATTAGTGCGGATGAGCAGAAGTCAAAATTGGTGCAGGCAAATGTGAGGGCTAGTGTGAAGGTTGTGAGAGAGAATTCTGTGGTGGTTGAGGCAGTGAAGGAGAGGGGTTTGCAGATTCATGGGGTCGTGTACGATGTGGGCAGTGGACATTTGGAGGAATTGGACACGCAGGAAGGGGAGGAAGACAAGGGGTTTAGGGAAGGGGTTTTTAGTCTGAAGTAGATGCTAATTGAATAGGCATCTCGGATTGATCAGATGTCCCAATCCATCTGACGAAATCGACGCAGAGGTCTTTCTGCTGACCTCTCGAGCACGTCTTTGTGGGTCTAATACTCGGCCTTTTGCTAGCCTGGAGCCTTTCTGCATTAATAGACTGTAAACAATAAAACGGTCTCGTCACTGCCATTCAATCCGAATACCCTTCCATCAAAAGGTGGAAGTTCATCGACCGCCGACAACGATACGCCTGCACTTCCTCATTCTGGGGAATGACTCGCAATTCGGTGAAAGAAAACAGTCTAGGGTCGTATATTGATCGTATAGCATCCGAAACATTAAGATACCCATACCATAACGCCTTGCTCTAGAACATTTGACCTGCAATTCCCAGATAGACTGCCATCTATTTTGCTCGACTTTCTTGCTCTCGTAGATTGGACTCCAGTCGATCTGCAACGCTTTGAGACTGCGCTTCATCGTATCCAGGTGGAGGTTCGTCAGGCTGAGGGAGCGGCTCTGCTGTACTTGGTTCGAGCCTGGATGCCATATCTTCACCATTATAACTTGGCAGAGTAGCTCGCGTCACGCCATCTGAGCTTATAGGCGTCGGTCTTTGGAGCTGTGGTACGCTTTGAAACGAAGATGATGTGACTGGTTGCGAAGCTGTGCTGGAGGTCCCCGGACCCTCGTAAGCGGGTAGCTGTTCTAAGTCGACATCGATTGGCGCAGCTCCGCTCCTGTTCGCTCGCCCACTTTCTCTGGCAATTTCAGCCGCGTGTGTAACCTGCTCTTTGATTTGCTCGAAAGCAGACTGATAATCAAAAGCTCCTCCTTCTCGAAATGTAATCTTGATTTGGACGACGTGATGGTGTGTAGAGAACCCTCCTCCAGCCGTTGGCGCAAAAATGCCTTCCCAAACGTTTGGGCCGAAGAAGGGAGCCGTCACATGTGTATCTTGAAGTGCGAGAATAGGGACGGAAAGTGATTGAAACTGGGAAGTTGGGCTCGTTGGAAGATACACCAACTAAGATCATGACTTAGCAATGGTGGCGCGACCCTTCCATGTTTCAGTCAGACTCATACTCTTTGAGTAGTCACAAACGCTCTGCCGTCACTGCATTTAATTGAAAGCGGTTCCTTGCCCGGATATGAATTCGGTGTTTGTAGGGCAAGTGACGTGCGAGAAGGGGAGGTGATTAAGACTCTCTCACGAGGCAAGCGCACAAATTCCTTCGAGGCTCCATCTAGCATCACCCAGCTTTGTAGACTCAGCATATCATGATACATTCGAGATTAGGCTGGAGACGGGAAAGTATGAAGGGCTCACTTGATCGACATCTTATTAGGCGGAGTCCTTTTAACGGTATGTTGAAGGCGGTAATTATACCATCGGTTGCGAAACTAGTTTTGAGCTTGTCAAGGTGACACAAAGTTGCCTCTCGACAGGGAAGGTTCCATGAAGCCTAAGATATCGAACTCTAGCCGCGCGTCAAACCCGGCACTTCGCTATGTCGTCGTTTTGCCACATACTTCCTTGAATCACTCATCCTGAGGCATTTGACATCGCAAGTCCAAGATAGTTGTCACTGTCTTTCTAGTTCTCACGAGGAGCTGTACTGCAGCAAATCGTAGCTGTTACTATGGTTAAATTTCTCGACTTGCCTGCTGAGCTCATATCTCAGGTCGTCAGCCATCTTCAATCGACATGTGATTTATTCCATCTCTCACTTCTCTGCCGAAAGGCACATGCAATCATGCTAAAAGATGGGTACCGCGTCTTTGTGCAGACCAACTTTCCAAATGTCCCGGTCCCTGCGCCAATCGAGTATGTTGGTGGCACAGGTCGCTTTTACAAAGATGCTGCCCACGCTTTGTCAACACTGTCTCGCAATTGGGATCGCAAGGCGCTAATTGCAAAAGCCATATGGCCTGGTCCAGGCTATGGGCTAAAGAACCAGAGAGTAGGTAACAAGCAGACCATGGGCTTCACGCCTGTGATTAGTTGCCATGAAGCCTGGTATGGCGGTGATTGGTGCTCGAGAAACCAGGTCGTGGCCTGGGGTGCTGGAGCTGAAGTAGTCTTTGGCTCAAGCAATCTTGCGCGACCATCAAGCCCTGGAGCAGATGAGCGCGAATTACCGTATCATTGGAGAGATTTTAGTGTATACCGGGAAAAGGGCATGTGCGAAGGCCTGGATGATGTCACTTTTGTGCAAACGATGCAGTCCTCTGGTACTGATACTGAGAATCTTCTTATAGGTAGAGCAAGTGGTCATTTAACACGCGTTTCGTTTGAGGCTCAGCGACGTAGATTCAAACGTCGAGCCAAATACGATACCTTTAAGCAGCCCATCAAATCAGCTACATTAAATTCTGAAGGTATTCTCGCCGCTTGCCTGTCAAAGAACTCTTTTGCTCTCTATGATTGCAGGTCCGAGGAGCCGAATCTAGGCCCCATGACACACATGAACCTGCGACCTTCCGAGGAGTCGAGTATTACTCGTGTGGCTAAGTTTCTACGTGATGATCTAGTAGCTGTGGGTTATGGACCATCTGCGGCATCCATTCAAATCCTCAACATTGGAGATTGCAATGTGAGGGAAGAGGGTCTGATATCTTACGGACAATCCATATCAATTGCAACAGACCACGGAGAACAGCGAAAATCAACGTCAGTATATTCTTTTGCCACGCTACCACCGTCTAACCAAGCAGGAGGCAAGCATGGGGAGCTTTTTTTAAGCGGAGGATACGATGGAGTTGTTCGCCTGCACGATTTACGGTGTGCGAATCGCATCGCCGCAACGTTCAGTGACCTTGTTGATTCTTCTGCCATCTATTCTCTAGTCTCATACGGCCGTGAGCGTTTTGTGGCAGGCGCTGCTCGTGACACTCTCATGAAGGTTTTTGACCTTCGAGTGCCGGGCTCCAGAAGGTACTTTGCAACTGACCTGCAGCCTCATGGCAGCACGAACAATGACATCCAGAATGTAGCTTGCGGATCACTCAGATATTACAGCCCAGAGGATGACCTCGAAGGGGGCTTCGTGGCTGGAATGTCTTTTTGAGCACCGGCCCTTCACGCAGAGCATGTCATAGCTATAATACGAGGTCACCTGTCTATACATTGTCCAGTCCATCAGCGTATTCTCCAACCCTTTTTGCTGGAACTGAAGGCAGAATTCTGCAAATTGATCTGGCTTCAATGATGGATAGATTTCCTGATCCTGTTTTCGGTAAGGTCCCGAATACACAAAACCGCGTCAAAGACATCCAGCGCAAATGGGACCCAAGAGGAAGCGTAGCAAGATTGCCACTCTACCAACACCCTGCGAATGATAGAAAAAGTGTTCAGATAAAAACGCAGCGCTCTGTCGGTTACTACGATGACCGCCTGCCAGGTTGGGATGAACGGTGGGAGCCTTGAGTTGGCTTTCAGAAATTGGAACCGATTATATAAAAGAAGTAGTGTCACATATTCACATGACCAAAATACAAGGGCTGGTTGACAATATGTACTAGTGAAATGTTGTTGCAAGGTGAGAAGCCGTCCGGCGATCAGTGTTTGCTTGCATGCTGATTTGGCGCTCGCATTTTCCATCTCTGCCTTTTTGAGAGGTTGCGCTTGAATGGATGAGCAAACTCACTGGCATGTATGATATGCTCTTACATAATCAAGCGGGACTTGACATGATCTTGACGATCAGTGAGTACCTTCTCCTCAAGTCACCGACCTTCCATATAACAGAAGACCTCCAAAGAGGAGTTTGGGCAAAGCAATTAGCGTAGTCCATCCTGATAGTCGGCGAGTAAATTTTGAGCTGTGCTATTGCCTAGGGTTATTGCTCGTTGGGACGATCTCTTCGTTGTGTGATGCTTATTTCTTCGACGGTTGGTATGATCATCGTTTTTGGACGATTCTTGTTAAGACCTTCAAGCAATGTGCAGGCTTTGCAAATACGTTGACTTGACATATAACCGCAACTCTGACATTTCCCCACTTGTTGCACCATTGGTCTCCTCACCTCATCATTCGGCTTTTTGCATGCCTGCCGCTGGTGTCTCTGGCCGATCAACGTAAAATCCAATTCTCTGCTTTTTGTGACCTCGCTCTCGGAGAGCTTTTGCTCCATGTCCGCCATGTCCCCTCCACTATCTTTCTCATGTGAGCTTCTGCACCCACCTTCACCACTGGCACCACCATTGATTATGGTATTCAATCTATCGTCTGATTTTTTAAGGGACTCCTCGGGTACCAAGCGTGCCATGTCTTCACCACTTCGAACAATGTCCAATATTGAGGTGGGTCTTACCTGCTCAAGATTCTTGATCAAAGTCCTAGCACTTCCACGGAAAGCCTCTGGGCTGTAAATGCATTCGGTCGTAAAATAATCTAAGCCCTTGTAGTGCGCATACATGACGATTTCTTTTTCATAGGCATATTTCAGCGGCTTACTCCTCTTAATGTCGCTCGCAGAGCTAGCAGTAACAATACTAGTCGCCCGCGACAAACGCGGTAGGTCACCACGCAAGAGGTTCATCAACACAGTTTCAGCAATATCATCGGCATTATGCCCTGTCACCACATGGTTGATACCAAGCTTAGCAGCGCCCCGATCAAGCGCTTGCCGGCGAAAGACACCACAGTACGTGCAGTTGCCCTTCTTGCCAATTTGTTCGACCACTTGATCCATAGTCCAGCCGTAAAGATCGCTGTACCCCACAATACGTAAAGGCATGTCATACTGTATTGCATTCCGCTTCACTGTCTCTAGGCTATCGTCTCGGTAACCTTTGATACCCTCATCGATAGAGAGCAGAACAAGCTGAAGCCCATAATTATGCCGCTCGTTCAGCGTCTTGAGAACAGATGCGAGCACAGTGGAGTCCTTTCCCCCTGACGCTCCGATTGCTACTCTCTCGTTCGGGAAGAACAGGGAATTTGCGATGATTGTCTCATGTATTTCAGCCTCAAAAATGTTGAGAAAGCAAGACTTGCAAAGCTTTTGACCGTCTTTTGGGCGAATGATGATTGCGCGCGCAGAATCGCATTTCGTGCACGGTATTGGAGGCATGATCACCTTTAGTATATAGAAGTTTGAGGTTTAAGATACTACTCGTTTGTTTTAAGGTTAAGTAGTCTTGGCATCAAATATATCAATATTGCCATTGCGCTCTACTTGCTCACTTGTTCAGCCGTCATTCATGCTAGTCTATCAATCACTGTACAACAATTAAATCTTATATTAGAGCAGAGTGCTCAAGTTGAAAAATACAAATATTAAGACCTTGGGCGAATTTGAAAACACGAATCAGACCTAAGGATTACGAAGGCCACCAGAGCAAAATGCATACGGTATTGGTAGGGTGTATGAAGTGGATGTTCTTCTAATGGAGATCGATGAGAGCACAAGTCATTTTCATACAGCTTCCCTCGAATAAAAAGCCCAAACAACAGCCTGACGTAGAAAGGATGGTTCTTGTTGTGCCGACAGGCTGACACGCATGTGGCTTGCATCGACCGCCGTCTCGATGATTATGCGTATTTAGGGGTACAAATGCCGATGACAAGGATCCAGGACCTCAGCGCTGGGTCCACGTTGACGTGGCTGGCAAGCGAAGATGCTGGCCGATTACCTACTTGCACATAATCCACCAATATCTCGCATGGCAACATCTTAGATGATGTTCGAGATCAAAGCTCCGCATATGCTGCCTTTCGCCGTGTTGCAGCACGAACCCACCTTCGGGGGAGCCGGCTTGTGGGTTCTCAAGTCGTATTGTTTGAGACTCAAAATTAGTATAAAGTCGGCGAAAGGTGATTGCCCGAATCGCCCTTCTCACGGATCCGTCCGTGCGCCTTCATATCTATTCCAAGGGGTGTACAGGGTGGATCCTGGGGTCAAAGCAATCGTCGGATACTGCTTTTAGGCACCACTAGTCCTTCTATTCATAATGTTCAGCACCGAGTAGCTTCACCAATTCTCAGGCTCCGCATTTTGCGACTGCTTTCTACCTACCCACTACATTTAACTTTGACACTTCAGCCTCGCAGTAAGGGTGGAACCCTACGCCCAAAGTCAGGACGGCCAACCGAGCTATTGCGAAAAGACATGGACACAATTACAATAAGCTATAGTTAGTCAGTTACACATGCCGGGATTTGACTGTTCCTTCGTACTACTGGGGCAATAATAATCGAGAAGGTTCTAGCATACCATCTTCACCATGCCAGGCACCCTATGCTGCACTTGCAACGTCGCGCGGCTGTTTCAACAATTACGATCTGCAAGGTACGGTCCGGCCAAATCTGTGCTGTGTATCAAGCATCAGAGCTGGCGGTATCCTGAGAGACTCCCGCAGCTCATGAGTTCGATGGGCTTGAGAATGAACCTTGGCACATGGGACGAGATGGACAGTCTGCAATGGATGCATTGGTTAAAAGTCTCTGCATCTAACTGGTGTTCACCTTACATACGAGCTGGTCCAGGGAAAACGAATGGTCTGCGACAGACTACAACAAGTTTCGGGGTGAAAGAGAGCCTTGTCATTGGGTCGCCAACAGAGCACGCTGCCAAGTCTCTCTTCCCTGCTGGAGTGGCTCGAGAGATTCCCCAACCGTGCGTGCATCAAGCTATCCCGACTTGGTAAAGCATTCGTGCAGATGCTGCAGATTCGGCCCTTCCGCCTGCTCCCATTCTACTTTTTGCGCAATCTCTCCCGGTGCGATTTCCCTCTCGAGGTATATGAAACTCAGATCAAGTCGATCCAGAAATCCGAACTGAACAGGCGGAAATCTGAATCTTCGTCTTCGAAGTGTTCGGCTATCAGAAGACAGTGGGTCTACGTGACCCAGAAGTCGTGACGCAATCCAGGAGGATATCATGCATATTCCCCTGCAATACCGTCGTATAAGTCTACTGGCCCTCAATATTCCGCCGAACTCTGTATACATTTGATGCTGCTAGATTGCACGACCCTGCAATACCATAATCATGACACTTTTTGTCTGCGAAAAAAGGGACACACGGTCTGAAATGTTTGGCGTTCTATTTCCATTCAGGCCTGATGACCGTACACCTCGCTTTCCACACGCCCCGCGCTACAGCATTTCTTTCATACTGCCGGGCTGCTTCACCATGTCTGAGACAAAGCCCCCCGTAACAGAACTCCTCACAAGTCTAAAGGACGGTTAATTTCCATATTTGGCTTGCTAGGCTTATCATTTGTGGGTTATTGGCCCAAAAACTTCCTTTCTCGTATTGCCGCATCTATAGGACACTTTCGCAAAGAGAGAGTCCAATGAACTGCGTGCATGTGGTCCAATCAAGGCAGCTCCTTGAGTGAGCCGACCTCGATACTTTGGAGATGCTGCAAAAAGAGCCCTTTCCATGCGCAGAATCAGTCAAACCTGTGTTTGCATCTCTCTCCACCACACAGAGCTAGCTCGAACACGTTCACCAATGAGTCGGCGGATTCTACGCGAAGTTGCTGGCGGCCTTGACGTGACATCTTGTCGGGATTGGTCTGGCATAAGGGTACGTGCTGCAGCCGCAGAGGCCGTTGCAGTATCGTAATGTTTCAGCAGGCAACGTCCCACAATGCTCCATCAATAGCTATCACACCATCGTTCAAGCGGTTCTCGAGGCCTGATACGGGTCCCAGCCGCGTCGCCGATGAGTCCCCAAAACGCAGAAAGCTGGTGGTTGCAAGCAGGAAATGATACGTCGGCAACCTCACGGCGAATTTAACAATGTTACGAAGCTGACATGCCTGAGATGTAGGATTACTTTGCAGATGGTCAGGGTTTGCTTTTTCTCCGCACCGCTGTCTTTGACTTAGATAGCACTCGATTTCCCACCCCAATAACAGATGCAGAAGATTGCGCAGCGTACCTGCCTGATCGAACCTTCGTAGAATAGGCATTCGCTAATGAGCTGAGCCTTCCTAGACCCCCTTCAGACGGTGTCCATCACGCCGATGAAGCAGCATCGAAGCATCGGTGGATCTGGCGGCTCTCTGAGAGGGAGCTGTCTTTTCCTCTTGCCGCGGTGAAGGCGTGAGGGCAGGTTTGTCGGAGGAGACACCCGCGTCCCCGGAGACGGAAAGGCCAGGTGATATTATTATCTTCGTGCCATCCTGAAGTCCTGAATTCCCGTCGCGGTGGGTCCTGTCAATCTAACCTTGAGCTGCGACTGTTCGGCAAGAGCCAGCAAGTGAAGGGGAAATAATAATGTGTATGTAGAGACGTCAGGGCCAGGAGCAGTGCGCGTGCAGGACAGCCTGCATAATCTACAGGGATATATCCGCTGATAGTGACCCCTTTTTAGCCTTGTCACCCTCTCTATTGCTGCTCTGGGTCAATTGATGGAGAAAGCGAGCGGAGGAAGGCTCGAAGGCCCGCCTCCTATGGTCGGAAAATGCTGCAAAACTCTCTTATATGCTTTCGAACGCTTCTTTTACGCATCATGACCCATGTTACCCCAGATTTTCCAAAAACCCGTAACAGCCATTGACAGCTCAACTACCGCGCCTTCGTCGCAGAATACAAGAGAAGAGCCCTCACTGCCAATCTGCCGTCGCCCACTACATAAACCGAGCCCAGTGCGCCGTTTTCTGTCACAATCCTGTCCTGTTTCGAACGAGTCTCGGTCCTGCCTGTCCACCTGGTCCTAAAGAGGGCAAATTACTGGCAATTCCTCAATCACCCTCACGCTCACCCTCAATCAACCTTCAAGACCCTTTCGCTCCTCCATCCCTTCTAAGCCACTCGGCACCCCCCGAAGGATTACTACTTCATTACTTTAATTTGTGCTTGCCCAATTATACCAGCCACCAAGGCCCCCTCGGCCTCCCTAGCATCTCCCTTCCGTCACACCAAGCTGCCGATCCCCCCGCAAAATCCTGGTCCCCATCAGAAGCTACTCACCTGCTACTCCTTCATCAACCCGAGCAATCGCTTCGAAGGTCCCAGCTGTGCGCCAACACCAGCTACAATGGTCGACAGAGTGATCAAGAATCCTCCCACCAAGAGCAGAGCCTCGACTGCGTCACCACCGGCACGTCCCTTTCAGTGCCAATGGCACGAAGGGTGTCCCAAAGTGAGCGCACCATCCCTGACAAATACGACACCTGTGAATACCCACAGATGCTGACCTGCACGTCCTCATTTCCAGAGCTTCAATCGCAAGTCTGACCTGCAGCGCCATTATCGTATACACACAAATGAGCGACCCTACGCGTGCGACTATAAACCTTGCGAGAAGACATTCATCCAGCGCAGTGCTCTGACTGTCCACCGAAGGACACACACTGGCGATAAACCTCACAAGTGCCCTTACACCAACTGCGGAAAATGTTTCTCTGATGTGCGGCCCTTCCCTCTCTCCAAGCCCTGAAATCCTTCTTGCTGACCTCCTCGCAGTCATCTAGCCTTGCCCGGCATCGTCGAATCCATACCAATGACAAGCCCTATATCTGCAAAAATACCCAATGTCGGAAAGCGTAAGCAACAACTGCCAAACGCACGTGAGTCAGCGCGGCCTAACGTCCTGTAGTTTCTGCCGCAAGACAACAATGACCAAGCATTTCCGGAAAGAGCATCCGGCGGAGTCGCTTGACCATGACGAGGACGCAGACTACTCAGACGTCGAACCGTCCGAGGATGACCCTTCTGTTGAACAGGATGGCACAGATTCCGGTGGCTCAGCAGACTACTTGATTGATTCCACGGTCAAATTGGAACCGACGAACAATGCAGCAGCCAGCAACTACAATGCGAACCTCTGGCGACTGCCAGCCCAGACAGCTCAACGCTCGACCCAAGCAGCCCATACTCAATCAGGCGCAAACTTGGCCACTAATCATCAAGGCCACACAGTCAAGCTTGAGCGTTCGGCGTCTCACGCTTCACAGCGAAATATGACCGATCCTGCCTTAAGTGGGCATGTCGCCGCAGTAGGTTATGGTGGTCGAGCCAACATGTTACCACTTCAGATTCCACGCTCACACGGTGATGATCTTGCCATGTGGCAGGCGCAGCAGCTTCATGATAGTCCTCATAGTATCTCTTCGGATCCGAGTTTCTCTGTGCAAGATCTCAACAATACGAGCCCTGTGCCAACTCATTTCCAGCAAGTCTTGCCCATCCGCCGACCAAGTCTCCAGCCCGTGCACGATATAATCCTAGATGATCCCCGACAAGGACCATATACGCAGGAGTCTCAGCAGAACTTCAATTCCACGCCAACCCCGCAATACAACCAGACACCACCAGATTTTCGTGAAGAAATGCCGCGTACTCCTGCTCCAGGCCAACAATTACCTCATTTTTCCTCCGGGCTATCCAACGCTCAGTATCAGGAACCACATAGTCTGCCCCTCGAGGAGTACAACAATCCTGCTCATAATGATTTATTCAATATGTCACAAGCTCGAGGCGTTAGCCTCTACATAGACCCATTGGACGCTTATAAGGAGCTCAAGATGGAAGACAACATCTACACACAAATGCCAGAAGCTACCTATGGATGGAGCTGATCCTTTTGAGCTTGCGTCGAATCGGCCGAGAAAGATCAGCCCCTCAGCAACGACTTCCTCGGGAATAGAGTACCTAAGGTGCCAATCACCTGTCTTCTAATCAGCTATCTCACATACGCTCCTACCGCTCGAATACCTTTGAACGTATGGAATATAACGACTTGTACGACTTGTTCTCTCCTTTTCCTTGTTGCTTGAGCGACACGCTTATGACAAGGGCGGCGATTGTGTTTACGCCGTCTAACGTAAACCAGAAAAGTTTGAGATATCCATCCTTTTGCTTTTTTGGCTATGGTGCTATCAGGCGTTCAGAAATTGGATGTAGGGGATCCTTACAAAAGTAAAAAGAAGTGGAGAGAGATCAAGCTTAATCGTCTGCAGTGTGGGGGTGATTTTCGATCTTGTGGGTCCCATCTGTTATCATCGTTTTTGGGCTCATCTCCGAAAGACGCATTCTTTCCGGCAGCAGGGTTGGTGGTTCTTCTTACTGAGGAACGGGCAAGGCCTTGACAATGTACCGAGCTGAAAGCGACGAGCATGATGATCCCACGACGACGGAGAAATGTACGGAGCATGTGTAATCACTGTAAGAAGTTAAGCACTCAGTATATAGCAGTTCCATCAATACTCTATCTGATTTTTCGACCACTTGAGCCATTCGCGCTGAACATTCTGACCTCCTTTCTGGAAGTCACAATGATAGCCACTCATCACAGCCCATTATGATTTAGAAGTTTTATTTCTACAATACAGGATTCGCACATGACTTGCAGGCAACCCTGCATTGCTGTTGCAATACGCCATACTAAACTTCACAGCAAGGCCAAAATCTCTAACTCCCGAAGAGGTTAAGATATTTCTCAATTAGAAAAGCCCTGTGTACTGGCCTTGGCGAGCTAGGCTCGAAAAGCGCAAGTGATCCCTGAGGTCGTGGACCATCATCAAATCCAAGACTACCTACGACTATGTGCTAGTCCCCTACGTTCAATGATCACCGTCTCCTCGGTGTCCTTACCATCTCTCGAAAGCCCATGCACTCTTTTTCAAGTCATCGGGCATAGATAGACTCTGCTCGCAGACCTCTTTGTCCGCAGATTGCGGTCTGACGGCTTTTCAAGATGGCGGTCCCAAAAGACACACTCTTCCGCTCGGCGGACATGTCTCTTACGCAGCTATACATTGCGAACGAGATAGGAAGAGAAGTTGTCAGTGCGTTGGGCGAGATAGGAGAAGTTCAATTTCGAGATGTATGTGCAGATCTCCTTGCAAGAGTTTCAGACAATGTGGCTAAGCGGGTTATCTTGCAGCTCAATTCGAACACTACAGCTTTCCAAAGGACTTTCACGCAAGAGATTCGAAGATTAGACAATGTTGAACGGCAGTTACGTACGTGAACTTGCAAAACAAGGAGATACTCTATCTAAAATTGAACTAGGGTACTTTAAGGCAGAAATCGAAAAAGAGTCGATTCCCGTGCGTCCTCGATATGAGCTACCAAACATGCTTGCCGCCCCTTCAGCATCAGAGATCGATGAGCTTGCCGACAAATGCCAAGGCCTCGAGCAGAGAGTTGCATCTTTGAACGATAGCTACGAAACCCTAAAGAGGCGAGAAATTGAGCTTACAGAATGGCGATGGGTTCTTACCGAAGCGGGAAGCTTCTTTGACAGAGTAGTACAGCTCAAGAATATAAGATAATTATGATACCAGCTAACTGAAATCAAAGGCACATGGTAATGTTGAGGAGATTCGACAATCAACCGACAACGACGAAGCCCCGCTACTTCAGGACGTCGAACAGCAAGCTCGAGGTCAGAATGGCGATGCCTCGGGCCAGACCTTGTCGGCCATGAACATCGGATTCGTATCTGGGGTCATACCCCGTTCTAGAAATGCTGCTTTCGAGCGGATTCTGTGGCGAACCCTTCGCGGTAATCTGTATATGAATCAAGCTGAGATCCCTAAGCCACTACTCGATCCCGCTAGCAATGAAGAGGTTTACAAGAACGTTTTCGTCATCTTTGCGCATGGAAAGGAAATCATTGCCAAAATCCGCAAAATATCGGAGTCACTAGGTGCTGACTTATACAGCGTTGACGACAATAGCGAGCTTCGTCGTGATCAGGTTCATGAAGTTAACAGCCGACTGAGTGATCTGGGCAGCGTTCTTGGCAACACGAAACGCACCTTGGACGCTGAACTTACGCAAATAGCAAGAAGCCTTTCGGCTTGGTTAGTAATTACTAAGAAGGAAAAGGCTGTATATGAGACGCTAAATCGTTGCTCTTACGATCAAGCTCGCAAGACCTTGGTTGCTGAAGCATGGGTACCAACCAACTCTCTACCACTCATCAAGTCCACCCTCCAAGACGTCAATGAAAGAGCCGGCATGACGGTGCCCACCATCGTCAATCAAATTCGAACTTCCAAGACCCCGCCGACCTACAACAAGAAGAACCGATTTACGGAAGCCTTCCAGACGATCATTGATGCTTACGGAACCGCCAAGTACACCGAAGTCAATCCAGGACTTCCAACCATTGTGACGTTCCCCTTCCTTTTCGCAGTGATGTTTGGTGATCTTGGTCACGGATTTATCCTAACCTGCGCCGCTTTGGCTATGATCTACTTCGAAAAGCCAATGTCAAGAACGAAACTGAACGAGCTGGTCTCCATGGCATTCTATGGACGTTTCGTCATGCTTATGTTTGGAATATTTTCTATTTACACTGGACTGATATACAACGATGCATTCTCAAAGGCCTTATCTTTATTTCCGAGTCAATGGGAATGGCCATCCGACTTCAAAGAGGGAGACTCGGTCGAGGCACAATTGAAAGGTAATTATCGCTATCCTTTTGGCCTTGACTGGAATTGGCACGGAACTGAGAACGAGCTTCTGTTCTCGAACAGCTTCAAAATGAAATTGAGTATCCTGATGGGATGGTCTCATATGACCTATTCTCTGTGTCTCTCGTTCCTGAACGCTCGCCATTTCAAGTCACCAATCGACATTTGGGGCAACTTTGTACCTGGCATGGTGTTCTTCCAATCAATATTTGGCTACCTGGTCTTTTGCATCATCTATAAATGGTCGATTGACTGGTACCCGGCGAACGGAGAACCTAAGAATCCTCCTGGACTGCTCAACACGCTAATCTATATGTTCCTCCAGCCAGGAGTAGTCGATCCCAAGGAGCAACTTTATTCAGGCCAGAAAGCAGTGCAGGTCATCTTGCTCCTCATTGCAGTCATTTGTGTTCCTATTCTCCTATTGCTGAAGCCATTATACCTTCGTCGAGAGCACAACAGAGCCCGCGCTCTCGGGTACAGAGGTATAGGTGAGACCTCAAGGTTCAGTGCTCTTGACGAAGAGGGTGAGGATGGGCAAACCATGAATGGTGGCAGGGACAGCATGGGCTCTGACAACGAAGCTGCCGCCATGATCACGCAAGATATTGGGGATGAAGAGCATGAGGAATTCGAGTTTTCGGAGGTCATGATCCACCAGACTATCCATACGATAGGTGAGGCAATTTTCCCTTTTTGGAAGTACTGCAACGCTAATTGCCATAGAATTCTGTCTGAATACCGTATCGCACACAGCTTCTTACCTCCGTCTTTGGGCCTTGTCTTTGGCCCATCAACAGCTTTCGCTGGTTCTCTGGAGTATGACTTTGGAGAATGCCTTCGGGATGACCGGGGCTATCGGAGTCATCGCAACAGTGGCCTTCTTCTTCGTCTGGTTCTTCCTGACCATAGCTATCCTATGTGTGATGGAAGGAACGAGCGCAATGTTGCACAGTTTACGATTGCATTGGGTAGAAGCTATGAGCAAGCACTTTATAGGGGACGGCATCGCGTTCGAGCCATTCAGTTTCAAGCTGTTACTGGAAGAGGAGGAAGAAGGAGGCTGAGTTAGTGTGTAGACATAGCGCTTAATGTATAGGAGCATGGTATGTGAGCTCACATTGTGTCACGTTGTAAGGTGCTGCTCCCATGTATCTACGGTATTCTTCGTAGACGCTGTCGGAGCATTGAGATCTCCACATGTTCGCTTCCCGATAACGTGCATTACCCCAGAAAGCTTGGCGTTCTTAGCCTCCGCCCTGCCGTACCTTACTCGCTCTCAGCGATCTGAGCTGTGACGCAGATTATCACAACATCGGTCTCTTTGGATGAACCTCATGAGCACGCGGTGACTACTTCATCTTCCTTGGAAATAAGTCTAGCCTATCGTCACCGAACCATTGGAAGCTTGTGTAACTCTAGAGAGCCTGTAAATCGGCGGATGCGTCTTCAGGCCATGAAAACGGACACTTCGAAATTTGAAATCTGCACCCGAAAGACATGTGCGCTTGTCTGACGTAGCTGCAACCTGAGTCGAGACATGGCAAGATCAAAGGAGCTTGTGCCAATGACTACATGGCTCTATGACCTATTCCTTTGGTCATTTTCTGTGCTTGTAGACTTGTTTTTCCGTGAAGTTCATCCTCGAGGGTCATGGAAGGTACCTCGACGAGGTCCAATTATTTTTGTTGCAGCGCCCCATGCAAATCAAGTAGGTCGTCATGCGATATTCCGGAGGAAAGGCCTAATGACTTCGCAGTTTGTTGACCCGCTCATCCTCATGCGCGTTATCCGCACTGAAGCTCATCGACGCCTTGCCTTTCTCATAGCTGAAAAGTCTATGCGGCGGAAGTTCATCGGGGCCGCGGCGCGAATCGTTGGTGCCGTGCCTGTGGGAAGAGCACTTGACAGCACAAAGCCTGCAAGTGGGAGGGTATACGCACCCGATCCTACCAACGATTCCAGACTAATAAGAGGGGTGGGAACGCGATTCGAAAGCGAGGCGCAAATTGGCGGATTGATCGTCTTGCCATCCATCAATGGGAACGCCGCAAATGCAGAAATACTTGAGGTCATGAGCGACCAAGAACTACGGCTGAAGAAAGACTTCAAGGAGGAGGTAGCCCTGAAGCAGCTCACCGGTCGGCCGTTTGATTCATCAGGTGACCGTTCAAATGTTGAGGCAAGCAACCAATTCAAGGGGATAAACTTTAAATTCGCGCCGAAAGTAGATCAAAGCAAGGTGTATGATGCGGTCTTTGACCGCTTGCGAGCTGGTGGATGCGTCGGCATATTTCCCGAGGGAGGAAGCCATGACCGGACAGAGCTGCTACCCTTAAAAGGTAAATTTTCTTGTTGAAAGAGATCAAAAGGCTGAAGTTTGCTTAGCTGGGGTTGCCATTATGGCTCTTGGTTCACTAGCCGCAAACCCAGATTCGGGTCTGACAATTGTCCCTTGTGGGATGAATTATTTTCATGCCCACAAGTTCAGGTCCCGGGCTGTGGTTGAGTTTGGTAATCCTGTCGAAATTCCAGTGGAATATGTTGAACTGTACAAGAAAGGCGAAAGACGCGATGCAATAGGCAGATTACTCGACTTAGTCTACCAAGCTCTCGTGACCGTCACTGTGACGACTCCTGACTACGAGACGCTGATGGTAATTCGACTTCACTCACGTGGTAAGATGGCACTGGCTGATTCTTCTAGATGATACACGCAGCTCGAAGGCTATACAATCCCCCGGGCAAGAAGCTTCCCTTACCTATGGTCGTCGAGCTGAATCGAAGGCTTGTACAAGGGTATACTCACTATCAGGATGATCCTCGCATCATCGACCTCAAGAAGTCTGTCAACGAGTACAATAAGCAATTATGGCGACTCGGAGTTCGCGACCATCAAGTCGAGTACGCGCGGTTTTCCGTGATCAAGGTAGTTGTTTCGCTGTTCTATAGATCTGGCAAATTAGCTGTGCTAGCCTTAGGAACAGTTCCTGGGCTTTTTCTATTTGCTCCAGTGTTCGCCGCCTCGAAGCTGATCTCCATCAAGAAGTCTCGCGAAGCCCTCGCTGCATCGACAGTCAAGCTGGAAGGTCGAGACGTCATAGCAACGTGGAAGTTGCTCGTTTCTATGGCGCTTGCACCATCCCTCTATGCATTCTACTCGGCGGTTCTTACCTACTGGACCTACAAAAACCGCGTTCAGGGATACGTACCCCTATGGGTGCCACTTTGGTTTGTCCCAATTCCTAGTATTGTATTTTTTATCAGCATCACATTTGCAGCGCTCCGATTTGGAGAGATTGGGATGGACATCTTCAAATCGCTCCGGCCATTAATTTTGTCTCTCAATCCTAGCTCAGCAAATACCCTTGTTAGACTGCGAAAAAGGCGGGAGGTTCTCGCTGAAAAAGTCACCGACATGATCAACACCCTGGGCCCAGAGATGTTCCCAGATTTCGACTCTACGCGTATCGTCGCAGACCCTTTCCATGATTTGGGCGCCTTCAAGGAGACGGGCACGCCTAAAACGCCCACCTATACTCGCACGCCTCCTCCTGGGCAGCCAACATTTTCTCCACCAATTAGACACAGCAACAGCGCTAGCATTGGAGGTGGTACATCTAACTTAGCCCACCTGCCTCGCAATGAGTCCCTGCATAACCTTGGTAGCATTAGCCTGTTCGCTTCTCGACCTCCGAGCCGGAGCAGAAGTCGCAGCAACTCTAGCGGTGGGCTCATGAGCAGCAGTAGCTTCCCATTACAGCGCTTCAGCACGCTTGATTCTAAGGAAGGGCTAGATGAGGTGTCGAAGAAGATTAGAGGAGCGATGAGGGAGAGGGGCAAGCAAAGGCGCAAAAGTGAGGAGAACAACGGGGCTGGAATATTTGAGCTTACGATGGACGATGCGGAGAGTGATAGGGAAACCCCCGAGAACTCAGAGGGGAGGAAGGAAACTTAAAATCTTGATTGATGAATCCCTTGGAGAGCCTTGCTAGGCTATCTACCCAGTGCGCGGCGTTCATGGCGGTGTTTTAGCTGATGGATACCCCATGAAGCAAATCATGACGGCAGTAACAGGTGATGGACAAAGCGTCATCTTGTCATAACTAATGGCTGAGATCTCATCCCCCTTTACATCTCACAGTGAACATCTAGATACGTCCTATGCGCCTCTCGTCTCCTTCAGACTTTCTGGCACAGGACCGATATTTGGCCCTCCAATTCCCTTCTCGCCTGGTTGATTTGTCCCCTTTTCGATACCCACGCCAACATTCCCTGAATCTGATGCGACCGATGCCTCTCCAGGTTGCTTTCCATCGGTGTGACCTGCTGCATTTGTGGCACCTTCGCCGTGCTCTGTTCAACGAAGTCAACCAACTGACCACCTTATGAAATAACGAGGTAGTGGTCAGGGGGAAAGTGAAATGAGAGCTATTCACTTTGAGCTTCTTGTTTAAGGAACTTCGCCGAGGCAGCTTGGCCACCAGGTGTTTTTGAGTGAGGCATGATAGTTGCAGAAAAAGTAGAAGGTTGGCTGCGAATAAGACGAAGGATTAATATTTATGGCAGGAATGATCAATGGAGGTAAAGTGTCACGTAAAGGGGACGTATACTACAGTTTCGATGAGAATATATATGTATCAATTACATCACTACCATTGCGGCTCCATGACACTCGCCACACCCCAAGATCTGGATCAGACGGGCCGACGCGGAAGTCTAATGCTATCAGATCCGAGATCCGAGAGCTACCGTACACGGTTTCTTCGAACCGAGATGACCGGCGAGCTTCTCTTCCCAGCTCTGACATTTAGCATGTAGCATTCTCGTGCATACTTAGGAGCCGTGAATGATCGTTGCATATGCAGCCGGCAAGAAGATGCGGGTCCGGTTTCCTCGCATCCCTTTCTTTCGCATTTTCTATTCCACAACCTTCACGCTCTTTGCACTTGTCCTAGCTGCGCTTATGCTAATCACACCGGGTGATCATATCTATCAATCATTCCAAGCAGGGGAGCTGTATCGTATCATAATCGTTGCAGGTGTCTATATCCTTACATTCACGCTGGCTATCTTTCTCTACGCTGCTCGCCTCTTCAGCACTCGAAGTGCACTTGCAAACATTCCTCGAGAATGGAACCTGGCCGGAGATGGGAAGCAAGATGCTGGTATCGGTCTCGGCATGGGAAGAAGTATAGGTCGCCTTGTGAGGCAGAGTTGGGAGAGAAGTGCTATTGTCGCCTATGAAGGGACGCCGCGAGATTTAAAGGGCGAAGAACAAGCAATGCACATTCCTAGCAAGAAGAAGAATCGAGGACTAGCGATGAGGGATGAAAGGCAAGGGTCTATCGACGGCACCATTGAGCCTGTCTGGGGGGTTGTACGCCATTCGGGCTGGGCAGGTCCCGAATCACCTTGGTTTCCAAATCTACATTTCGAACCTGTTATCGCCGAATTAACAAATATAATCGAAGCCAAAGCAGTTTCATTAGCTCCAGAGGTAGCCGGAGACGAAAGTGATGATATCGAACAAGTGGATCAGCAGATCTTAGATTCAGTGGTTGTAGAGCTCGTCCGGCGGCCTTCTTCAATGCCTCTCCGGGACTATGTGGCGCAGCTCTCGAGCATTGGGATATTTGGGCAAGAGCCACCAGTTCAGCCTGTTACTGAATTCATCAATCTGTACGAGCAAGCACGCTTTTCAGACGAACCTCTGCATGAGAACCAATTCCGGCTTTTGATGGTCATGTTGAATGAAATCCTGGATAACATGCAACCTCCGGACCAAGCAATGGTGGGTGAGATAGGAGCAAGCGAAACTGCCGAAACCTCGTACAATGTTGTCACGGATGACTCAACGGATGATCAGCTCCCACGACCGGGTACACCAAGAGTATTTGGACAACTGGTGCGCAGCGAGGCTTCACGCCCTTCCACGGCCATTCGAAGTGATGCACAAGTCACTGCGTATACCTCTCAGGCGCGCAGGTCTCGAAGCATCTCGAACATGTCGATCGACTCTGGCTCGACGAGCGCTTCCGTTGTGCACAACAAACCGTCGAGCTTGCAAATATCTTCGAGAAGCGGTTCTGTAAGCCCGTCAAATACCGCAAGCTCTGAAGCTACAGCTTCTGGAAGTGTAGTATGGAAGGCAGAAGGGCGAACCTCGCTTGAGCTGCCTCATGCGTTTAACGGTGGCGAGATGAATGGATAATAACGAAATTTACAAGACCAATGCTAAGAGATACCCAATTGCAACGTATTAGCGGGGAGTTTGGGGCGTAATTAATTATGATTGGGGGACGTATTTATGGAGGTTTTCTCGATCCTTTTCAATTACCAAAAGAGTCTGTCTCATGGCCATTGCAGGTCAGAAAGTTGAGAGCACATACATCGAACGGAAAAGCGGATGGGAACTCATAAGCTCACAAGGCCTCCGATACTGCCTAAAAAAGTGTAACTTGTTTAGGGGACACTAGTACCTTACCAGGCTTCCCGGCCGTCCCGCCCCCTAAAACGAGGAGATTACAGGGCTCCTCCGCTGCGCCACTTATTCTAGCGTAGTTTTGACCGACGCAATCTCCTTCTCAGCCTCGTCAATGGTAGCTTCATCATAGTATCACCGTGCGCCTTTCAATTATTTGAATGCTATCTCAAATGGTGATGATGGCTCTCGAGCTCTGTTCAAAGTTGACAACAGTGGAGCGACGGCGGTAGGGATGTCGCTGGCATGGAGATGTCAAATTTACAGCCGAGCTCCTCGACTGACAAGGGAGCTGCTCAGCGTGTCGATACTAGATACACCGATGACCCGGAGCGAACGAGATCGTCAGATCTCTCAAGAGCTGATACATCCGGCACCGAGGGGGAGACAGCTCCAATCAATGGCGCGGCGGAATATCGAGTCTACAAAGTCAGGTGGTTTGGTTTGATACAATTGGTCTTGTTGAACGTCATTGTCAGCTGGGACTGGCTGACTTTCTCGCCCGTAGCCAACACGGCTGCTGATTTCTACGGCACGAACCCCAGCATTATCAATTGGCTCTCGACAGCTTTCCTTTTTGCCTTCGTCGCTGCATCGCCTTGGACAATATTCGCCTTACATCGTGGGGGACCGCGTCTGGCTATCATTACCTCTTCGATCCTTATTTTGATCGGCAATTGGATACGATATGGAGGCACGCGGACCAGGGTGCCATCCTTCGGGCTGACTATGTTCGGTCAGATATTGATTGGACTTGCCCAGCCCTTCGTGCTCTCAGCACCGACCTACTACTCAGAGCTTTGGTTCTCTCCACGAGGGCGGGTATCGGCTACGGCCATTGCTTCACTTGCCAATCCATTTGGAGGTGCCTTAGGCCAGCTGATCGATCCTTTCCTCGCCAACAAACCATCCGAGATACCCAGCATGACTCTTTACGTTGCAATCATCAGTACCGTAGCCACTATTCCATCGTTCTTCGTCCCCGCTAAACCTCGGACGCCTGTCTCGCCGAGTTCGACGCAGAGGGCACCAGACATCCGGTCCGCTCTGCGGCTGCTATCCACCAATCCTACGTTCTGGCTCATTGCTATCCCTTTCTGGATCTATGTTGGCTTCTTCAACTCGATCAGCTCTCTCCTGACACAAATCATGACACCATACAAGTTCTCCGAGACCGACTCTGGCATTGCTGGTGCCTTACTGATACTCGTGGGACTTGTCGCTGCGGCAATTACTTCGCCGATCATCGACCGCACAAAAGCCTATGTACCCCTGATTCGGACGTTAGTGCCTATCATAGCCTTGTCTTACTTGGCCTTCATTTGGGCACCGGGAACTCGCTCGGTCGCAGCACCATTCGTAATTCTCAGTGTCCTCGGCGCTGCCTGTTTCAGTCTCGTACCAGTCGCATTAGAATTTCTAGTAGAAGTCAATTATCCAGTTGGGCCAGAAGCAACTTCAACTATTTGCTGGACTGGTGGTCAGCTGTTCGGTGGCATCTTCATTCTCATTTCGGACGCGCTCAAGGCAGGTAAAGAAGCCGATCCTGCCTTCAATATGGGCAAGGCCTTGATCTTTCAAGCGACTTGTGCTTTGGCGGTCGTACCTTGCGTATTGCTACTTGGTAGACTGGGAGCTATCAGCAGCAAGCGTTTGCATGTCGACAAAGGTACAGGGCCACCTTCGACCACCATAGATACAGGATGATAGAAGAAGCTTTGATTTGGTCGACAGATCGTGCTCGCTGCTCACTCTAGGGGATGCCCAAAGTCTCTCGCTTTCTCATCTAATAGATGAGCGGTTGCGTGGCATTCGCATCCACTTCAAGAGCCATCTCATACTTCACAGCGGTGTCCAGAAAGCAGTCAGTAATCCAGCTAGCCACTAAAACGCCACTATTGAGTCCTACCAGCGAATACCCGCTGCCGCCTTTGCAGGTACTCCTAACGTTCCCGATCCATTGTGTCACATTCACCCAGCTGGCCTCATCTGTGCGTGGCCAACCCACAAGCGGCATGTCTGGTAAACGATATGCAATCCCTGTCGATTCCCACATCTTTTTCATCATTACTGCGATTGTACATGTTCCGTGAGTGTACCGCTGGGGGACAAGCTCTATCCTTCCTAGACCAGGAAAACGCATTGTTGACGAGCTAGGTTTGCCTCTGTAAATGAAGTCACCATACTATAGCACTCTTAGCATGTCAACACCCCCAGGAGAATGCACATTTTGAGATGCGTCAGGGGTTGACTTACTCCAAGGCCAAACCAGTCCAACCTATCCGTCAAGAGGAAAAGAGCCGAGTCGCAGTCGGCAGACATGACATCAGGTTGAGGTATCGGACCGGAGGGCACCCATTCTCGTGCATTCACGCACCTGGAGAAAGGAATATCTGCTGTCGCAGTTGCATCAGTATCTATGAGATCGTTGGTAGGTAAAGCTTCCGTAAGATTCAGAAGCAGGGAAATGAAGAGAATGATGGTACTCCACATGGCTGAGGAGCGCCCAGCCAGGATTTCCTACAGAAGATTACGTGGCTCAAATTCATCGCATGACATGTGGTCAAGATCGTTATCTGTATCTGAATCATTGACGCTATTTTGCGTCGGTAGCTGAGACAAACATGCGTCTTGCCCTCGATGAGACATCGTGAAATATGCGAAAGGTTTTATTCTAGTGTAAATTTTTTAGATTCGTAGGGAAGTATATTGATGAGGGTTCAAATAGATAATCGAAGGGCTTTTATCATCACATTTCGAATACTAAGCTTAGACTAGCTACAGACTTCTCGAAGGGCATGCCATATCCTATCCATTTTGCATATGTCTTCTTCATACACCTGATTTCTTGAACCTCTACACGTCATGCAGGTGTTAAAGGTACTTTCTCAATGCATGTATAAATGACAAGATCTCTCTTCCTATTCACAATATCCATTGCAACATGCTGACATCTGGAACGTCCGCAGGCCAGACTCATGCTTTGTAGGGCACACCACCTAGCATCAGGATTAGTAAAGGAACATTTACATGAGAGTGATATTCTTACCAACAAGTCTGGCTCACGATCTCACGTCCACGTTTGAAGGCACGAATTCCTAATGAATCGGTATTCCAGGAAATACCGCACTCAGAATAGTGTCCTTCAATGATACACACCAGCCGCACTTACGATTGACTGCTCCTCGTTCGTTGAGAATGTCAATTATATCATCCACAATTTGATGAAGCTTGTCCTCGCGAGCCTTGATCTCAGCTTCATACGCTACAATTTGTACTTCCCAGCCTTTTGGTAGGCTTTCTTTTTCGGCGATAGCCTCGTCACGAATTTCTGAAGTTATCGATTGATTTGCATTGTCAAATTCGTCGAGACTAGATTCTGCGTCCCGGCCGGCGATATAATCATCCCAGCTTATCGAGGCGTCGTCTTCTTCATCCGTAGCAAGAGAGACTCCACCGTCTTTGATACCATTTACATCACCGTTACAAATATGAGCATTCTCATCGATAGTAGTGTTTCGAATTGTGGCGTCTGAACTACGTCTTGTGGTGGGGTCAATGTTTCCATCTTCATTTTCATTTTCAATTTCGATAAGATGGGTTTTTCCGACGAACCTTGAAATTGTTGTATGATTGCTAGTGTTATCGAAGATAAGCAGCGAAGGCTCTTGCGAGAACAGTTCCTGAAGTTCCTGCGATGGTCGTTTACTGCAAGCAAAATTGTCCGTGCAATTCTTGAGAAGCCGCTGCTTCGTTCCATCTGTCAACTGCGCCTGAAGCATCGAATAGGTGGTCAGAAAGCTTTTGAATTGAGCTTCTACAATGACTTCGGCCGCATCGGGATGTATTAAGGGTGACGTCGATTGAGCATCGCTAGCTAAGAGGCGTCAACTATCTCTACAGCGGTCTATACGTTCCTAAGCCATCGACAAGCGTGCTTACCTGGAGCTCTGAGGCCGAAAGCTGGCAAGTTGCGTGTAGTACCCGACGCCATTTCCACTTGATTGTGTCGATCGATGCTTTTGTCAAGTCAAAGAAGGCTCGAGAGAAATGTGAGCTTACGTGGCCACATACTTGCAAGAAGCCTGTTTTGTCTAAGCCCAGATTCGGGATTGAATCATTGATGAGACACCCTCGATCTTTGTGACAACGCAGCGGAGGTTAGTGACGATATTGGTGTTGTGGATCGAAGATCAGGTGCGCCCGGCGTCGACGTTACAACATGCAAGTGGCGAAAAAGTTACCGAATAGCCGATAGACAGAACAGCTTGGATTGGCCCGGTCCCGCAGGCGGTGAAAGACTCAGGTCTCATCCAGGTTCCAATGAATGTTCAGATGTGTTGGTGGACACAAAAGATGCCTATATATATTTACATTAGCGGAGTCGACTATGGAGTCTCTGACAGTATTGCCTACCTTGTAAAGATGTAGGAGCTAACAATGATCCTGCTTGACCTGAAATGTCCGTGAAATCAACCCGTCTTGATCAATTGACACTTGATAGCTGGCCAAGCCAAGCCAAGAGCGGTCATCAACACCCAGCGGTGACGACGCCATTCGGATGCATCGTTGCCATTCACCATTGTGCAGCACTTTAATAGACGCCGCATGATAGCATTATCTATCACATATGCACGTCTTCTTGCATTCTGTGTGCGACTTGTTTTTCCGTTGCAGCAGCACCTTGCTTCACTCAATGATGGTGCCGATTGAAGCGAATGGTTCGTACTGGAGAATCAATCGACATCGACATTGTGCATAGATCTTTTAAAACAAATTGAAGATTTTGATGAAATGCCATATTCTGCTTGAAAGGAGGCCAATAGTTATGACTGGGCACCGCATGGAGCGAGAACATGGACACTGGGCGGCATTGAAAGCAGGACAACAAAAGGAGACTTTGATGGACGGCGGTGCACATGATGCGAGTTTTGCTTCACTTCTGTGGCAAGCTCAGATATTTTCTCGGTGAGTCCACAAGCAGTGCAATCATGGTGAATAAACGCAATGAGCTAGAACACCGGCCTGCTCCTCTTTGCAGCATAACGCTCAATTACGGGACCTTCGAATGTCGTATCGGTTTGGGGATCGTCGTGGGATCTGAAGGCTTTGTCAACAGGGCAATTGGGGCAAGTTTCGTGCTATGTATAGTACTTCAGGCTGCCAGCTGAAATCCAATGGGCGCAGCCAAGGAGGCGCTTCCTTTGTTTGGCAATAGCCCGCGTGCTCGCTCTTTATTCGCTTTCTCTTCTTATCCATTTATCATGAAGTACGTTTGACCTTCAACAAATATGAAGCTCTTCCCAAACGTCTGCTATGCTTGATCTTCCTCTACTAAATTCTACAATCCTGTGTCGAAATGCCTTGGACTGCGATCGTCTGGAAAGCACAATCTGTACCGTTACTAATTTCATATGTTGTCGACTGGATTGTGATTCTGTCAGTCAAATCCGGCCAACAGCTTGCAAGTCCGTTGAATATTGGCTAACACTTTCAAGTGCCATTGCTGCTTTGGGAGCTGGTTTCTCATACATAGGGCCTCGCCGAAGACCATTCAATATTACAGACCCTGAAATATCCTTCCCACATACGGAGGAGACAGTATCCAGCTGGGTCCTCTTTATTGTCAGCGTATTGATCCCTGCAGCCATAATCTTCGCAGTGAGCCTCCTTCTTGGGCCAGGCTCCACCGCACAAAAGCCTTCGACAAGCGCATTGCTGAGACGGAAAGTGTGGGAATGGCATGCAGGGTGGATGGGCCTAGCTCTGGCTTCAGCCATCACCTTTGCCATAACTAATGGCACGAAGGAAGTTGTCGGCAAGCCGAGACCGGACCTTTTGTCTCGATGCAAGCCGGATCTTTCACGAATCTTGGACAGCGCTGCCGGGGCCATCGGTGATCAAGTCGAAGAGGGGATCATTCTTGTGACGTCGGAAATCTGTCGCGGAAGCGGTTTCGATCTCGATGAAGGTTTCCGGAGTTTTCCAAGTGGTCACTCGTCAACCGCGTTCGCGGGCTTGACTTACTTGGCTCTTTGGCTATCTGCTAAACTTGGTATTGCAATACCTGTCCTTAGATCTCCTGCGCTGGAACGCGGAATCGTTGGGCAGGAGTCTAAAACACCGTGTCGCTCTCAAGGAGCGGCACCTCCGATCTACCTCCTCATATTTCCACTGATCCCACTTGCTACAGCTATCTTTATAGCCAGTAGTCGATATTCAGACTTTCGTCACCACGGCTTCGATGTCGTATCTGGTTCAATCCTTGGAATCGCCTGTGCTTGGCTAGGATTCCGCTGGTACCACCTTCCTATCCGAAGAGGAGGCGGCTGGGCTTGGGCACCACGCAGTCCGCAGCGGGCTTTTATCAAAGGCGTCGGTGTATCAGCCTACGCTGACGACGAAAGCACGGTCGTGGTGGATGAACAGATGCATTCGAGGGCGACAAAACCCGGAGGCCATGATGTAGCTCCAACCCGAGCCTGGCGCTGCGATGGAGAGAGTGAGGATATTGAGATGGGTCATCTCGATTCAGTACATAGTCATACGCCAACAATTTGTAGCGATTCTAGTCGCCGACAATTGAGATAGCGCAGGTATATAGCTGAAAATCTTCCTGCGTGATATGAAATGGCTTATTATAAGCAGGACCTTTAAGGGCCCGGTAGCCGCTGCTCATGATGCAATCTACACGCTAGATGCGTAGTCCTCGGATTGACCCATTAGACATCAGTGTTCAGTTCTGCTGGTGCCGTTCCTTCACTTTACAAATATACGACCAGCAACTCGGGGTGTTACCCTACCGGAATGCCTGGGCTACATACCGTCGTGTGTTGCTGACACAATACGGGGACTGGAAATGCTTCTTTATTGCTCCACCCGGGATTATGCTCGGAGCATCGGACATTTCGGCCGAGCTTGAATATCATATCATGTACAAACAAGCTCGACTCCTCGCAAAATAGGCAGTCATGCAGGTCATCCTTTCATACCTCTCGCCAAGTACCATTTGAATATATGAGCCACCCAAACACCTACCCGAAATGATTCCCTGGAATCAGGACAATCTGTGAAAACCTCCATTTGGTGACCAACCATTCGAGACCATCTCCATGGCTTTGTCCCAAGCATTGTGGAAAGGATTGTCTTTTCTGACTCCTCGGGCCTCAGCCGACTCGCTCCAGAAGAAATATGATACGTTCTCAAAAGCGCCGGAAAGCCGATTGTTCCCCAAGGTTGATCCTACTGTCGATGGAGAAGATTGTGACCATGACTGCGCCTCATGTGAAGTCCATCTTCCTCGAAACTTCAAAGTAGAAGAGACGAGGAAGCTATACGGCCACGTCAAGCCATGGGCGACGCATATGCTTGTTGCTACCGGCAAATCGGATTGGGTGGGACATGTTGAAGGGGAGAAAGATAGCGTGATGGAAGCCGTGAAATACTCCAAGATTGAGCCGAGTAACGGGGTAGGCCTATGGCTTTCCTAGAGTGGAATTGAATTACTACTTACCACACGTACAGAAGCTGATGATCTCGGCATCCAACATGCCTATGCCTGAAGATGCGTCATCACAACCACCAGCCGACCGGCCAACGTCTGTGCTGCTCCTCCCAGCATTCACCATTGTGGAGAACGTCAGCCCATCCTCCGTACCAGATCTCATCAGACTACACGTCTCGCCTTCCTCTACAACCACGACGCCACTCGGTCAGGCTCGAATCGATCTCGAAAACCAATCCGACTCGAATTGGCAAAGCACAGCCGAAACCCCTCCCATCACACCACCAATCTCATCCGTGATCACAACTCCATTCACCACCCGCCCCTACCCTCACAAATATCTTATCCTCCTCTGCTCCCACCGTACCCGCGACGCACGGTGCGGGCAATCTGCCCCGCTCCTACGGCGAGAGTTCGAACGGCACCTACGGCCCCTCGGACTCTACCGAGACTTACACGATGAGAGGCCTGGAGGTGTGGGGGTTTACTTCGTCAGTCATATTGGCGGACACAAATTTTCTGCTAATGTGATGGTGTATCGTCGTGCAGAGAGCGGAGACGGGGGTGGACTAGGGGAAGCGAGCCAGTGCATTTGGCTTGCAAGAGTGAGGCCCGAGGATTGTGAGGGGGTTGTGAGGTTTACTGTGCTGCAGGGCAAGGTGGTGAAGCCGGAGAGGCAGTTGCGAGGAGGTTTTGATCGGGAGAAAGGGCTGGTGAGCTGGTAAGCAAGATCGAAGCTAGCTGACCTTTGTGCGTATAGCTAGTCTCTGAGCGAGTGACAGCGTGATAAGTATTCTACCAACTTTTCACTCCCCTAGGTTCATTTTTGCTTGTTGATTGTGCCCTCCAACACCATCTCTTCAGACCCAAGCTTCCTATCTGAGAACGTCTAGAACTTACAAGCAGCACAGTCGCCTTTATGGATCTTGATTATTTTCGACGTTTTTTGATTAGTTGATGCGACGCTACTTTTCCCGTATTTGTCTATCCTGTGAGCCACTCTATTCTACCATCCTCGCCTGAATCAACAGACGGTACCATTTATCCCATTCTAGATTGGCTCAGTGGCCGAGCTCCCACGCATCAAATGCTACCCATGGTCCCTCTATCTGTGACATTATGGAAAAGCTGAGTGAAGATTCCTGCTCCATCAAAATCGAACCCTAGCGTAGAAGTGAAGATGGCTGAATCGAATTTGTCGATGACTTATGAAAGCTTGAGGAGCTCACTCACATGATAATGGATGGTGCTACGATGATAGTCAGTGGGAACAATTTAGTAGCGTCAAGGGTGACTTACAGTCGACATTCTGCTTGATGGTCTTATGAGGCAGCACAGAACCACCATTGACATATACTTCATCACCAATCGTAACATCATCTCCGAGCACAGTTACATTCTCCAAACGCGCCCATTTGCCGACAGAGCTGTTCCATCCCACAATGGTCGACTTGACCCAAGCATGGTCTTTGATCTTGCTCCTCTCTAGCAGCACACTTCGTTGTATTCTCACACCATCACCAATGACTACATTTGGGCCGACCGTCACATTAGGGCCAATACGGCAATTCTTTCCAATTCTGGCGGAAGGGTCAACCATTACATTGCCGCCATATACGTATGATTCCTTCGGTGAGCACAGCTTCTTAGATCCTTTCTTGGTAAGCGATGACAGATAGAGGCAAGTTCCTGAGAGAAAGTCCTTTGGCTGTCCAACATCCATCCAAAAGCCGTCGAGGTCGAAAGAGTGCAGTTGGCCGTCATTACAAATCGCCGGAAACGTTTCCTGCTCGATCGATGTGGGTCGCAGCTCTATCCTTCTCAAGACTGAGGGGTTGAGTATATAAATACCAGCATTGATCCTGTTGCCAACGAATTCTACGGGTTTTTCGACGAAGCGGTCTATGCGGGATGGATGATCGGGTTTGTGGACGACGACGCCATATTTACTGGGCTCTTCGACTTTGGTCACGACAATCGTACCCTCCTCGCCATGTTCTTTGTGGAATGCGGCCAATTCTTTGAAGGGGTAGTCGCAGGTGATATCGGAGTTGAGGACGAAGAACGGGGAGTCGTCTTTGCCTAGGGTCTTCTCGGCGAGCTTGAGGGGACCTGCTGTGCCGAGGGGCTCTTGTTCGATTGAAAATTCTATTTTTACATCGTATTTCTCTTCATACTGATGGCCATTAGATCAATTGCATGCGCTGAGACTGAGGCTATGCCATACTTTCTTCAAGGCGCTTGCCATGACTTCTGGACGGTAATTGACTGCCAGCACAATAACTGTGACCCCCGCGGCCGCGAGGTTCTCGACTTGATGCTCGATCATCGGTCGATTGGCGAACTCGACAAGAGGTTTAGGTAGTGTGAGAGTCTACCCATAGTCAGAATTTTTGACTTTGATTGCTAAACTCATGTGCAACGAAAGCAGTGTTTTCGTGGGCCTTCGTACCAAAGGGCGTAGACGGGTACCGTAGCCCCCAACAAGGATGAGAGCTGAGAGAAATCAGTGGAAGGCGTCGTCGTATAGGGCGGAATTGCCCACCTTTCATGTTGGCAGTCAATCAATATACAGACTTCGGATGATGAATGGGTGGGTTCGCAACGAGGCCGAGGTGCTAGGACAAGGCACACAAACAAGACGATCAGGGTTCGCGCGTTGGAGGGAGCTTGATATAATGGTGACGACTGCGAGTAAGAAGATGGCTTCGGCCAGAAAGTTGACAAGTGTCGCAATGAAGCTCACTCTGCTCGTAAAGCTGCAGAAGCACCAAGCTCAATTAATTTTCTCGTCCGCTTTAGGCCATGCTCGAGGACCCTTGGCTTGGCGTTGTATAAGGGGCTTGCAGGACGCTACCCCTGACTAAAATCACTTTAATTCATGCATGAGAAAGTCGGATTTCCTTTCCCTCAATCCCCTTTCCCATCCATCCATCACAGCTGGTATTTCCATCCAGAATTACTGCCGACTTGAGCTTTGCCTTTAGCATCTCAGTGCTACCCCACATATTAACAAAATTCTACGTAAAGAGCCAAAAGTCTCCAGGAAGATATGCTGAACAGGGAGCTTGAGTCTTGTGTTCGAACTTTGCATGCCTGCCGTTCACTTTTTCTGCAAAATAACCGTGTTCGTCTGACAATCTACTTTCAAAGCCATGATGGTTAGGGTTCTCCGAGCGGTGTGGTCAGATATGCCGATGAATGTTTCTTTGAGAGATCGCTGTCATGATGTCTTCTCACTGGGTATCCTGTGGTAATGAAGAGGGACTGGTTCTTGCTATGCCGTTGGGAGCTATTACTCGTCCTCCCACAAAATTCGTCATCCATTCTTTCACTCTCCCAAGCTTCCCCAATCGCGGACCCTCTGTCATATCACGATATATTTCTCGAGCTTTGAACGCACCCCCGGTATCACCGGTGTCCATCACATCACGACAGAGGAGATCAACCATTGTCACCCCTCTTCTCAAGCTCTGACCATAGACTTTACCTCTGAAGGAACCCAAAGCGACATTCCTGGCAAGTACGATGTCTCTCGGTCGCAACGATTGAGTCTGTACTCTGAGAGTAGCATCACCCGCGTTTACAGGGCCCAAGTTGTCCTGTGACTCTCTAGGGTCCAGCCAAATGTTGATCCCAAATCCAGCACTCGTTTCATCCCCAACTAATAATTCAACAAGTTCGACAGTCCGTTGCCACTTCCTGGTCTTGATGACTCGCGGCTGGGATATTGAAATAATGGCTAAGACTAGGTTGATCGTTATCGTTTGAGGTGATATAGAGCTCAGATAGGCGGCATTAGGTACATTGTTCAGGCTGCTGATATGACCCTGGCTCAGCTTTAGATAGAGCAATTTCACGCGGGAATGCTCTTCATCGATCCTTGTAGACTGCAGCGCTGAATCATCGCTTGCATCTGTCATGGTGGGGGCAACGGACGCATCTCCCACGAATTCAGAACATGCTGCATCATGAGTTGCAAAAGAGTGCTCATAGTATTGTGTAAGCGCATCTGCTTGTGCTTGAGGCGATGAGTAGCCTGCTTCTGAGGATAATGCTGACAAATCTTCTGCAGTGAGATACGATGCTTGTGTCGAGCCAAAACAATTTGGCGTATTCCACGTCGGACAACTTGCCGGAGACAAACCAGTCGGAAGATGCTCATGATTTAGGGACAGAGACCTCCATTGAGGAAACACGGTCTCTGCTGTCGGTATGATTTGGTCAGCATCTTGGTCGCCTGTAGTAAACCTAGACGGAGATGATCTCGTAAGGATGTCCTTCGACCAGTCGAGTGACGACCGCAACGGTGCGCCGGTCAAAAGTATCGTTCTCCGAGGCCGAGATGTCATAAGTTATTCAAATTAAAAACAAAGCGCAAAATTTAGCAAAGACGAACTCTCGAGCGAAAAATCAAACATCGGCTTTGGTAGAGTATTTTGTAAATCAACTCGACGTCTTACTACAAAAACACTCCAGAAAAGTCATGTCCTTGACCGCCTATGAGGTGTGTCAGGACAGGATTTCACGTGTGAAAAGCAAACATGGTAAATTCGTTGACGAAGGTCTCGACATCGAGTGCTTATGTAGGACGATTCAAATGCTGAGGAGGTTCCATCGATCGGCTGTGCGTGCGCTAAAACAACTTCCTGTTGGAAGTGGCTGTTTTCTTCATGATCTATATTCTAGGCTATCCTGCACGTAGCTTTGGTCTACTTTTCCACCATTCACTTTGATTTCGCTCTATACGAATGGGCAATATTCGGCTCATGTCCTTTCCTCTCAAATGATCCGACCCTCCACTCACTTCTCTGTCGATTTGCTTGACAAACGGGTAAAATTTATTAAGTGCAGTATCTCTCCTGTTGTTCTGAATCGTTGTGCATATTTCATCCATCCGACTAACCACCTGCACATTAGTCTTTTGAGTGATGATATGTAAAGCAGCTATGCTATCTTTTCTCGTAAGCGCCGCACCTATCTACCTAGTAGTCTCATACGTTATAAGTAGTGTAGCTAGTATGTCACCGAGTATATCAGTGTCACACTTCTCAAGCTGGCCCAGAATCTCTTTCAGCACAGCGACGGCGTGGAAAGCGGTCAAGTCGACTTCTGGGATGACCATGACGTTGGGCGTACCGAGTAATATTGGGCTAAAAGACGAGCCATTTCAGTGTTCGCCCTCGAAAACACAGTCTAGTTGAGCATATTTGAGCTTGATGGATCCATAGACGGTTTTGATATTTGCTCCTCGCTCACGTCATAATTTCTCAAGTTTCACGGTTAGAGATTAATACTGTGGTCATTCAAGCCTGCAGTGAGCATAGAAGCTGATCAGCGAGATGTACTGTGCTGTCAAAAGCCTTCGACATAGGATACCAGTCGCAAAGGATATCCAATCGACGAATATTCGCATGCCAATCATAGCCATGCAAATCATCATCCACTTTCAAAAAATCTCGTTTACATATCATTAGCCCTCATCATCAACTTGCGCTTTCAAAGCCTTCCGATAGCCCTTCTCTGCAGCCTCAATAGCTCTCATGGTAGGTGCAAATAGCTGATTGACAGCCTTTGCGCCTCCAGAAATGCTCCCTTCATCAAAATCCTTAGGCCGTTTTGCTTTGCTATTGTATTCCTTTATTTGCTTCCTGTACTTTTGGACCACTTTCTGCCTTTCATTCTCCGCATCCTCTGCTACGGCCTTGATCCTGTCCATTGCCCTATCAAGCGACTCAACAAGCCTGCCTATCTCTTCTGCCCGACTTTGAGAGCCGGAGAGAAAAGCTGACCAGAAATAATTAAGGAACTCTGTGGTCGTCGCGTGAGTCAAAGTCAAGCGATCGAAGATAACTTGCGAGAGGCCCGAGGTCGACGTTGAAGCGACAGTGGAAAAAGAGTCAGATGAGGTGTCGTCGTTTTGGAGACGCTGTTCTGATATTGCAGCTAGCATTTGCGAGGTTGCACCTGCGAAGGACGCCTTGCTACCTACATGACTTTCGTGTTCAGCGTCCTCATCCTCTGAACTGTCGCTTTCTTCGTTGATACCTATGGCCGTAGAAAGGTCACGATGTGACAACGCCATATCAATATCCGCTCTTAAGATCTGCAGTGCCTTTGACGGGTCCTGCTTGGCGTAGCGCAATGCGTCTATGGAAACGCCAGAGTCTTTGTCCGAGGCGAAGAAGCGAGACTGGTCCTTGATGTTGAGGATATTGCGGCTTTCTTTAGCCTCGCCTTGCAAATCTCGAAGTCTCAATTCGTTGAACGTCTCTTCATCCATGCCAATAGGCTCTGATGGATCCTTGTCGTTGGGCTCGACCTGGGAAAGGATCTTTTCACTGAGGGCATTCAAAGTACGAATCACGGGAGCTCTGTTTAGCGCAATGGGCCGCATGGTTCTATCCCCGTCATTACCTTTTCGCTGGCTGTGGTTCTCTTCATTGCCCTCGATGTCTATGATGTGTGGGATGTGGTTGGACATACGTTGTCGCGGTCTTTCCTCATCCTCATCAACCTGCAAATACTTATCCAAAATTGCATCTGTAGGGTCATTGTCCATGATCCGCTCTCCCTTCAGCTTTTTGAAGAGACGGCTCTGGAAGAATTTCGACCAGAAGTCTTCTTCCCTTATCTTTGGCACATTTTCATCATAAACGCGCTTGACTAAAGAATGCTGCTTGAAGATCAATTGAATTTGTTCTTTGCTTATGCTAAGCTTGGTAGTCCCATCCACCGTCACTGGCTTGATAACGGAGAGAACATTGTAGGCACCCCTCGTTTGATTTTGCTCGACAGCATGCGCCCGCAAAAGATGTACTCGACTAGACCAGAATTGGTTGGAGAGCTGAGAGATAGATATGGACTCGGGTTTTGTCCGCAAGGATTCTGTGAAAGTCCTTGAGAGGGACGGGCTGGCCTTGAGCAATGACTGCTGCAGCTGAGCATCCTGCTTCAACTTCTCGTCATCGTAAAGAACACTGGAATCGCTAGGGCTAATCTTCGACGTTACAGCACTTGCCATGGCCATTGAGGCTGATGGCACCCCGCCTGCTGCAGGGGAATGTCCGCCCGACTTGGCAGCTTGTATTGCTTTACTGAGGGCGTCGCGCAATGAGTCTGCCTCTGCACGTGCCGTCGTGACCGAGGTAAACGCGAATACATGTGTTTCTGACGTCTGGCTGCTGGGAGGTTGTATAAAGATTCTCAACATTACTTTGGCACTGCTTGCCGGGGTCTGTTGCAGATCTTGTCAAAGGTGAGCGGTCTTCAAAGTGGAAGCCTTCATGAACGTTGGAAATGGAAGAGGTCAGACGAACTAGTAATAGTAGAGATAGGTAGGCTCAAGGCCGGCTTTGCCCCAGGTGGTGTGATAGGAGTCCAAGAGACCGACTGGCCGTCTTTGGACAGGGCGAGGGTGCCATCTTGCTTCTTATAAGCGGCAGAGCCTCTCGGTGGTGCCATGTCCACTTCTCAATCCTCCACATCATGTCATGATGCACAGGTTCTATAAGAGAAGCGGGTCATGCCTTACAATTGACTCATTCAGGCAAACCGGCAAGGTGACAGTTTTGTCTACCTATCACGATGACGCTGTATCAAGATCAGCTAGCACGAGAGAACTTGAACATTTCGAAATGCCAATACGTCTCTCTATTTCAAGTCTTGTAGCAGAACACGCGAAGGTTGGCGTTGAAGAGTTGAAGATTGAAGAATACCTGTCGACAAGCTGAAGCCCTAGAACCATCTTAGGCTAGTCTTGTCGATAAGGTATTAACAGGCTGTTAACTGCAGCGGCTCAAGCGGTGACGCTTGCTTGAACACGGCTAGCAACGGATGGAGCCGCATGTGATGTAGCGGTCCCTTCCTGTAGGTGATTTTGCGGAGAGGCGGAGGTGAGGCATTATACGATCATCACCCACCCCAATTTTTATATGAAGTTGATCAGGTAGAGTATGCTCTCTGTTCATTCTAAGAGGACATTTCCCAGCGCTTCACAATTTCTATGCATCTGCAAATAGTTTGCTAGCCGAAAGAAACAATGCTTCGACCTTCCCTGCGCAAAACTGGTGTCTGCCTCACCAGAGGCAGTCGCCTAGCTTCAAGACCAAGATGTGTGTCTTGTTGCGTTCGATCGAGCTCAGGCTTGACCAGAAAAGCCTTTCCTGCGAGCCATGTTCCCCAGCAAACGAGAACATATGCTGTTGCTGCAGAGGAAACCAGCCAAGGGGTCGTGAGTTCCAAAGTTGGATTATGATGGGAGTGGCGGTGTCGGCTAACGGATGATCATTAGGACTCAGCGGATTCCTTTCTTCAGGGAAATACTGCAAACTATATCGATGAGATGTATATGCAGTGGAAGAAAGACCCGACGAGTGTCCACCTCTCATGGCAAGTTTACTTTCGCAACATGGAAGCTGGTGATATGCCCACATCTCAAGCCTTTCAACCACCACCAACCATCATTCCAAGTCCTGAAGGTGGAGCTCCCTCGTTTATGCCAGGTGCAGCAGTTGCCACAGGCGCAGGCGAAGATGTGAACGACCACTTGAAAGTGCAGCTTCTTGTCCGAGCGTATCAAGCTCGTGGGCATCACAAAGCGAAGACTGATCCACTAGGTATTCGCGGTGAAGCGGAAGCTTTTGGTTATCATAAACCGAAGGAGCTGGAATTGAATCATTATCAGTTCACGGAGAAAGATCTGGATAAAGAATTCGCTTTGGGCCCAGGCATACTTCCTCGCTTCAAAACTGCGGGACGGGAAAGGATGACTTTGCGCGAGATCGTTGCTGCGTGTGAAAGGCTTTATTGCGGCTCCTATGGTTGTGAATTCATACATATTCCGGACAAAGATCAGTGCGACTGGATAAGAGACCGCACCCAGATACCTTCTCCCTACAAATACTCTGTGGATGATAAGCGAAGGATCTTGGATCGTCTGATTTGGAGTTCCAGCTTCGAATCTTTCTTAGCCACTAAGTACCCCAATGACAAGCGGTTTGGCCTTGAGGGAGGCGAGACCTTGGTTCCGGGAATGAAGGCATTGATTGATCGTAGCGTTGATTACGGCGTCAAAGATATTGTCATTGGGATGCCGCATCGAGGTCGGCTGAATGTACTAAGTAATGTCGTGCGGAAACCCAACGAGTCAATCTTCAGCGAGTTTGGCGGCTCTGCCGAGCCATCAGACGAAGGCTCTGGAGATGTCAAATATCACCTTGGCATGAATTTTGAACGTCCAACGCCTTCCGGCAAGCGTGTTCAGCTCTCATTAGTGGCAAATCCGTCCCATTTGGAAGCCGAAGACCCCGTGGTCTTAGGTAAGACGAGAGCAATACAGCACTATAACAATGACGAGAAGAATTATTCGACAGCGATGGGCGTACTTTTACACGGTGACGCCGCGTTTGCAGCACAAGGTGTGGTGTATGAGACAATGGGCTTTCATTCTCTCCCAAATTACCAGACTGGCGGCACAATCCATCTTATTGTGAACAATCAGATCGGTTTTACTACAGATCCTCGATTCGCCAGATCAACGCCATATTGCTCAGATATAGCCAAAGCGATCGATGCCCCAGTCTTCCATGTCAATGGCGACGACGTTGAAGCCGTCAATTTCGTTTGTCAAATAGCCGCTGATTGGCGCGCCGAATTCAAAAAGGATGTTGTTGTGGATATTGTCTGCTACAGAAAGCAAGGACACAATGAGACTGACCAACCCTCCTTCACACAGCCTCTGATGTATAAGCGCATTGAAGAGCAGAAATCAGCGCTTGCGAAATACGAGGAGAAACTTCTAAAAGAGGGCTCATTTACCAAAGAAGATATCGAAGAGCATAAGCAATGGGTCTGGGGCATGTTATCAAGCAGTTTTGATGCGAGCAAAAACTATCAGCCAACTTCAAAAGAGTGGCTAACGTCTGCTTGGAATGGGTTCAAGTCGCCAAAAGAATTAGCGACTGAGATCCTTCCACATCCTCCTACTGGTGTACCTGCAGAAAAGCTCCGCCATGTTGCAGACGTGATTGGTGGCGCACCTTCAGCCTTTCATGTTCACAAAAATCTCAAACGTATTCTGGCTGGCAGAAAGAAGACAGTCGACGAGGGTAAGAACATCGATTGGTCTACGGCTGAGGCTCTTGCATTTGGCACTCTTTGCGATGAGGGTCACCATGTCCGTGTTTCTGGACAAGATGTTGAACGTGGAACGTTTTCTCAACGTCACGCTGTATTGCACGACCAAGAGACCGAGGATACTTACACCCCAATACAGCACGTCAGTGACAAGCAAGGCTCCTTTAAGATCGCAAATTCTTCTCTGAGTGAGTTTGGCACACTCGGCTTTGAATACGGATACTCTTTATCATCACCCAATGCCCTGGTCGTATGGGAGGCCCAGTTTGGTGATTTTGCCAACAACGCTCAGTGCATAGTCGACCAATTTATCGCATCTGGAGAAGTCAAATGGTTCCAACGATCTGGTCTGGTAATGAGCTTACCACACGGCTATGATGGGCAAGGACCCGAACATTCCTCTGGTCGTATGGAGAGATACCTCCAACTTTGCAACGAAGACCCTAGGATCTTTCCCGCAGAAGATAAGCTCGATCGCCAACATCAGGACTGTAATATGCAAATTGCATACATGACCACGCCTGCCAACCTTTTCCACATTCTACGACGGCAGATGAACAGGCAATTTCGAAAGCGTAAGTACCCAGCATGAAACCCAGTTCTAGACCTCATGTTAACTTTCACTCTAGCCCTGATAATGTTCTTTTCTAAGTCCCTTCTCCGCCATCCCCTTGCCCGTTCGCCCATCGAAGACTTCACAGGTGATTCGCACTTTCAGTGGATCATACCCGACCCCGCCCACGCAACCGGCGACATCAAGTCCCACGATGAGATCGACCGCGTGATCCTTTGCACCGGCCAAGTCTACGCCACTCTCCATAAACACCGCGCCTCCAACCCCGACCTAAACAATACAGCCATTACGCGCATCGAGCAGCTTAACCCCTTCCCATGGGCGCAGTTGCGTGAGAATCTTGACCAGTATCCCAACGCCAAGACGATCGTCTGGGCGCAGGAAGAACCGCTAAACGCAGGAGCTTGGAGCTTCACGCAACCGAGGATCGAGACGCTGTTGAATCAGACACAGCATCATAATCGGAGACATTGTATGTATGCTGGAAGAGGGCCGAGTGCGTCTGTGGCGACGGGACTGAAAGCGACACACATGAAGGAGGAGCAAGACATGCTCGAGATGGCGTGGTCGGTGTATCAAGATAAGTTGAAGGGAGAGTAAATTGCTGTCAAATAGCGTAAATAGGACCACAAAAAGTGTCGGCGTTAGTGGATAATATGAGAGCGGTTCGTTCTTCTGTTTCCTGCCACGAATAACAGTAGCATAGTACAGTAATAGCGACAATCATAAACATTCTCGAAAAAATAAATGACTAGCAATCCTTTACTTCCTTGAAGTATACTACGTTCTTTCAACTTTTCCCCCTTCAAATTAAAGGCCAAGTTCCCCATTGGCCGCTCAATCAGCGCGGTTCTGTGATTTGATCCCCCTGACCGTCTAGATCGCAATTGAGCTTCCAGTACCCAAAGAAAAATTCGTGACAAACTTTAGAGACCACGAGAAGCTTCGATATACTCTGCGCTAGCGACCTCGTACGGCTGGGTGAAGAAGCGCGCTGAATTCTTGTTCAACCAATTCGCCAGAGCCTGAACTTCCTCCTTTAATTTCCTCACTGACTGAGCGTCCATGTTCGTCTGGGAGATGAGTTCTGGGAGGTGCGCTATATGTCTACGTCAATTCCCATATCCGAGAAAGCGCCGTTCTGACAGGGCTGGGGAATAGTCTGGGAAAGAGGAAAGAGCTGACGTACAGAAGAGCCTGCACAGGTGCTCCGCTCCATACACTTCACCTATGGTTCCCTTGCCACGATACTCCCCTTCATTCTTCTCAATCCCCTTTTTGATTTCATAATATTGCTGGCGCTCAAACCGATACAGAAGAGCCCTCCCAAGACACAGTTCGAAATAGTCCTTCATTCCCATAATGACTTCCTCAAGAAGGTCCGCTTCGGCAGATCCAAGTCTACGATTCTTTTTCTCCTCGTCGAAGTATGCGTCGAGGATGCTGTTGACGGGAGTTTGCGAGGGCAGTGAGACTAGCGACAAGTTCTTGGTGACGAATTCCCAGTCATCGACGAGGATTGATTTCAAATGGTCGGGCAGAGGGAGACGGACAGCTGGACGGGTGAGGAACGTTTCTTCCTGTAGACACACTTCTGTCAGCATCGAGCTTTGTTATTTGGTCGCAATTCAGAAGAATGAAACGACCAGTGACAGATAGCAAGATTGTCCATAAACAGCGGATTCAATGATTGGCAAGACTGTCCCACCAGAAAAGAATGAACCTCGGGGACCGATGACTTCGCTCCATACGAAATCTGTGGCTGCTCAACATTTGAGAGGCTTTCCCCAATCCCGGTCGACTTGCATGAGTTCCCTGGGGTTTGAGCGTCCTTGCTTTTCTCAACTCCAGTCGACTTGTGTGAGCTACCTGGGGATAGAGTGTCCCCGCTGTTATCTGAAGGCGAAGACGAGGAATATGTGGCCTTTGAAGGCTGGTGGCCACCATGATTGCCAGACCGTAGTCTGCTGTCCACTTTGGGTATGCATTTCTAGGAGAGTTTATCTCCTAGAAGTCTTTCCTTAGGCATATTGGAGGCAACCTGAATAATTTGATACCTCAAGAAGCCACTTGCGAGTGAGTATATTGCTGCCTGATGAAGCAAAATATAAACTCGTAAAGTGAGATACAAGGACATACTTTCAGTGCTTGGGAAATAATGTAGAGTCTGAATTGTGCACAAGATGGATGCTCGTGTAGATTTCGGCGGTCGAGTGGCTCTGGCAGGACGCCAAACGGTTATTGGGGATCAGTAACAGACGGCCGAAGCAGGTGGATTCATGTATGTATGTGCCAGTGTGCAATGGCAAAAACAAAATCTCACATCAAGACATTCAAGCTCAGATAAAACATTCGGCAAATACGAAAAAGCTCACCTTCTCAATCTCGTACTCCCTAGCTCGCTTTTGAGCCCGTCCAGTAGCAATACTAGGTATTTGGCGATCCTCGCTGGCACGATTAGAGCTCAAGTCCGTCTCAGCGGTCCGTTTCTTTATGGACTTTGGTTGGGCCGAGCGACGAGTATCGTCCAGCATGCTTTTCATGCCACGAGCAAGCTGCAAATTCTCGTCGTTGTATTTCTTCAAACGATCCGCCGGGACCCAGTCGTCCCAACTAGAAAGATAATTAGCAGGTACTTGAATGGAGAAGCATCTTTAAAAGGTTGTGTCTTTTTCTACAGGCATGTATGGCCGAGAGACTGTCCCGGAAACCTTTGGCTGTATGCTACAGGGAGACATTGGAGACGAGCAAGGTAGCAGGTGTAAAGATGTAAAAAATTGCAAAAATGGCTAATTCGTGAAGACTTGGCGACCTACGTGTTCTTCCATCCCTTGTAATGAACTCGATAGAGCAGAGAACTCTTTTTGTCTGACGGATTTGACAATTTCGAATCTAGAACCTTTGCTTCGTAAAGTAGCTCATGATGAAAACACAGCACTTTTTCGTCTTTTGGAAAGGTGAGGTCACGAGCAGGAGCCATTTTGATGTGTGTGTATGAGTCGGGGATGGGTCGCTAGAAAAGGAGGAGAAGTAGTGAAGTATTCAGGAGTGGAAAAGGAAAGTTGAAAGCTGGGCGCGTTGAGGGAAAAGAGCCACCAAATTCAGCCGCCAGCGTCTAATGTCCACGACGCCTTTGGAGCTGTCTATATATTTTACATCACATATCCCATAATTTCACATTATGTTGTCACAAGTTCTCGTGCACGACGGTTCGACGTGCATCTTGATATCCTACGTATATTGCAGGAGAAATGTAGATTGCGTATAAAAGCGATTTATTGAAGCTACGTAGTCTTTCACTCATAAGTATACATGATTTCAAGGTCGGCCGTCAAGATCATTGCGTCTTCCTGTCGGAGGCATTGTGTATTGTGTCTGCCCTTCACCTTCGCTAACAATTTCCCTCCTGAGCCCCAGCCAATCAGCTTCCGGCAAATTCCGCATAACTAAAGAGTACCTCATCCAAATCCACCACTTACTACCATCGCCCACACTCGCTGTCGCCGTGAAGTGTTGTCGTAGCTGCGGTAGCGGCAGCTTCCCCCGTCTTTACCTTTGATTCTCTATATACTCGTCACAATGGGTTTCTCAGAGACTTTCAGCGACTTCTTATCCTCATTCTCTCTTCCCGAATTACACGCCGAAGCTCCACAAAAAGACGAACAGGATCAAGGCGAGGAAAAAGGAGAAGACTCTGAGAGCAATGAGGAAAGTGGAGATGGCGAGGCCGAGGGTGGCGAAGAAGAGTCAGGAGAGGGTGGAGAGGACGGAGGCGAGGAGGAAGAGGAAGAGGAGGAAGAGGAGGAGGAAGAGCCCGTGGATATGAAGCCTCAATTAGAAGAAGGTACGTAGGCTTCAATGTCAGGCTGAGCGTTTCGCACAGCACTTCCCCGTATGGCGTATTTCCTACTGCAGCGACAGCAATCCTTTCGGCAAACTCGGAAAAGCTGAAGACGAGCCATTGGGACCAATCCATGCCGTTCGCTATCAATATTAGAGCTTCTCCGGAAATTACATAATACGCTGACTCCTGAATCACCAGAATGTTCAAAGTCAGCGCAATGCGCTCCTCTCAAGCACCATTTCCATGAATGCGCCGAACGGGTGACCGCCCAGCACGAGGATCCAAACTTCAAGGGCGCAAAAGAAGACTGTGTCGAAGAGTGTACGTTTCTTTGCCCGCTCGCTACCTGGGGTCTGCCTCACAAGCTAAGTACATTTGCTAACGTGAGACAGTCTTTCACCTCCAGCACTGCGCTACTCAGTGCGCAGCCCCAAAGCTGTTCAAGCAATTGAGATAGCTAGAGCTAGATCCAGAGCGAAAGCGAAAACATCCACAATTAGGACTCAAAAAGACCTGTACAGCTTTACATCTTTCAAAGCGGTCGAAGCAATGCATAACATGGAGATTGACTGCACCGAGCTCCTTCTCAACTATCTGTATGTGAGGCTATCATAGAAAATGTACGATGACTCGTCAGTATTACAGTCTTAGTGCTATGCTGTGCTATTCTAATGACTGTGCGTCACCCAATGACATGGTAAGCCTGCTAGTCAAATACTCATTTGTCTTACCAATCATGAACACTCCACAAGCGTGGAAATCAGCCAGACTTTTACAAGTCTGAAAGCGATCCCTATTCTACTACGTGCCCAATTCGAGCTTCCTGCATCGGCTGTGCATTGTGCTCCGCTGCATGAGTATCCAAACCTCGATGCGCAAGGGGGTAGCGGGGACAACAATCATGGAACACTGTCTTCCAGAAGCTGCTCTGACCTACATCCCCGTCACTTTCTCCACTGGTCGGAGGTCTTTCAGCATGAAGGTTCTCTGCTGTTGATCTCTGAGGTGAGCTTTGCTGCTGCTGTGCAGGCTCCGTTCTTGCAGCCCTATCCCCCATGTGTGAGCTCACCCAAACTTCATTAGGTTGATACTGTGGCAGTGCGTACTCTTGGTGCGTCGTTCTTTGGGGGGGCAAGTGTCCGCTCCTGATCCCCTTGAAGCTGGAGCGAACCAGAGTCCCGTCTTCCCCTCTCATGATAGCACCTCTTGGCAATTTACTGACCTGACGGCTCCACTCCTTTTGTGGGGGCGTTGACCTTCCCAACAAGGTGAATCTAGGCTCTGGCGGAGGCGGTAAGCGATAAGTCATTGCCTCCCGCGACCCAAAGCTAGGAAGATCTGGAGGAGTCGGTGAACGTAGAGGAGCTGATGAGATGGGTCTGTGAGGTTGTGGTAGGGGTGCATTCGATGGTAGTGGTGGTGCAGATGACTCCGAAGAGTCCTGATTTTCCTCTGGAGGAGGGAGATCGGTGAGGGAGAAGGAACGCTTATGCGCTGATGCTAATCCTGGAGACCTAGATTGAGATCGGGTTCGTGGACGTATGGTGCGGAACGAGTTTGTTGAGAGCCGTGAACGAAGAGTTGCGAGGCTGTTCTGTTCAGTGATCGGATAGAGTTTGTGCGGTGTATGTTGCTTAATGTTGCGCGGGGGGACTCGAGGAACGACGCAGGGACAGAAGTGCCATCTTCGCGGACAATGGTGTTCAGCCATGCTGGCGTAGGGTCACCTTCACTGGCACCCCTGGTATCAGGAAACAGCTGATCATACTCGCTCTCTACGGGTATCATCTGCTCTGGTGTCGTCGGTCGTGACTCGTGTTGTAAAGACGCATCATAAAGAGAATAGTGTTGCGAAGGACATGATTCGGAGGAGTCAAGGTTTGCATTTAAATCCTGCTGCGTACGTTTGCGATGAATAGTGTGATGACTTTCTTGGACAGTCCCCGGTGGGGATGGGGAAGGGGAATTAGTCATGTCCTCAAGAGGAGAGCGAGTCTTTGACGAGGTCATCTTTCGGACAATGTAACAAAGACATATGCACACTTATAATGTCGAGCAGAGAAATGTTGATACAAACAAAAGCTAAGTGACTGTGCGAAGGCGCGTTGTCCAGCCGAAAACCGTCGGGTCAGATCAGACGGAAGGGACCAAGAGCGAGCTCACCAATATGCACACATGCTTCCGTACTATGTCTTCTCTTTAGCAGACATACAAGAACACCCAGGTCGCGTTCGCCTGTCTTGTCGCCTTCTCTTTTGTATAGACACACAATTACAGTATATGTAGCCATCACCGTCGTAATCGACAAACCAAGGACGATGATTGTTTCACTAATTCGAGCTCATTGCCATTAACCTCTCCATTTATATTGCAAATGAGTATTTACTTCGAGTGTCTTCGATATATGTCATTCACAGGAGGTGGAAAAAGCTCTCGAAGTGTCTCATGACGCCGTCATGCTCTGGCTAAGAGAGGACTTGCCAGGTGGCTGCCCTTTCTTAAGCTCTCGGAGTTGGGCTTCTAATTTGCGACGCTCTTCCTGCTCGTGCTGTATACGATGTCAGATCATTCTCGCCTAACGTATAGGTGAGCCTTACCCTTAGAACTCTCATGTTTTCAGCTCTGCTTTCCCTCATCATTTTCTTGAATTCATTTCTCAGGACTGCCGTGCTCGTTGCGCCCTTTTCATTTGATCCTCTGTCACCTGGAGTACCGGGGCTCCTGACACCCAGCTTGTTCACCCGCTCTTCGCTCAATTGAGTTTCAAGCTCCTCGCAATGATCTCTGAGCCTGTCTGCTGAGCTCTCCAAGCTCTCCCGCTCCTTCTCAAATTGAATGCTAGATTTTGTCATAACTTCATACTCAGTGATCGTTTCTGAGAGTTCTTTACGTAAAGTCTGGACTTGTTGCTGCCAGTGCTCTATTTCACCAGTCTTCTCCTTAGTGGCTTCAAGCTCGTGCTGAAGCTCAGCAATTTCTTGTAGAAGTGCTGGATGCTGCGCGACTTCAGCTGCTCGCTGCGCGCGTGTGCCATAGGCACCATCTAATTCTGCTCTTGCCACCGTGACCTCGGTCTGCAAGCGGACCATCTCGCCTTCGAGCTGATCCATCTCGTTGCGGGATTTCTTCTTCGTTTCTTCAATTTCCATGCTCAAAGAAGCCACAGTGGCGTCTTTCTCGCCATCTGATTTCGCGTTGATCTCTCGTTGCTGTTCAATCTGCCGCTTAAGGATGTCCTTCTGATTGCTGAGATCCGAAATTTTCATCGTCAGGGAAGCGACTTTCGAGGTAAAGGCATCGATTGAGAATTTTTCGCCGTCAGACATACCCTGCCAAAGATTGTTTAAGGCGCTTTCGAGACGAGCGGAGTCTCCTTGATAGGCTTCGGCAGATCGAGCTTTCTCTTGGCGATCTTCTTTTAATTGGAAAATACCTTGCTCTAGTGCATCGAGACTGCCATCGAGAAAATTGATTTGTTGGTCTGTCCCTCGTCCGGTGACGCTTGGGGGCAGGGGATGTTCAGCATTTTGGCTCAAGCTGCTACGAAGTACCATTCCATGCAATTGCGTGTTTAATTCCTCGAGCCTCTGCTCCGCCTTCTGGGTCGACAGTTGGTAGGATTGTGCATTTTTGTGTTGACTGCTCCGCATGTGTCCGAAGCTTCGCTCCATATATGAGATCTGCTTTTGCAAGGCCTCGGTAGGATTTGCTTCATCGAAGGATGCGACATTTGGAGGCGGCGGAATTGATTGAGCAGACCCGGCTTGCAAGATAGCCTCTTGTAATTGCCGATTAAATTCGAGAAGCCTACGCTCTGTTTCCTGGATGGCTTCCGTCTGCTCTTTGAAGGCATCAGAGTCTGCACCAGCTGGACTCTCATCAAGGACTAAGTCAAGCGTCCGGTAAAAGCTTTCATCGTCGCCCGCGAAATCTAGCCCTATGTAGCCGTTTGGAAGGCTTTCGACACCATTCTGGCGAGCTGGCGCTTGTTCCTCTAAGTAGCCCTTATGTGTCATTTGCAAGACACCAGCAGTGTGCTCCAGCAACCGTGACTGAACCTCCTGCTGGCGCCTCTCCAATTGCCACAATTCCTGTGCCAGATTTTCGCACTTTTGGTGAGCTGCTGCGATCTCTTCTTGACTCTTCTCGCCGCCTCTAGTGCTGGCTGTACGATTATGGCCTTGGCCTCGATCTAACTTGCTTATGGACGTCGCGGCATCTCGCATCTTGCTTTCGATGGCTAGTTGCCGCTTCGTAGCCTCTATTCGACTGGCTAATCGAGGGACTTCTTTCTTCAGTTCCTCGACTTCTTCCACTGAAAATACCTCATACTGCTGACTATCCACAATTGCGGTTTCCATAAGAAGGTGCAAGGTCATTGGATCATTGATATCCACATGCTCGGACGAGCGACCTGGTTGGCCGTTCTGGAAGTAACTTCAGTTTTGCTTGTACGCAAGATTCAGGCCGAGCTCACCTTTCTTGTTCTTTGATGGTCAGGCTGCTTCGATCCGTCGTAGCCGTTGAGCATCGCTTTGGCAGTCGGTCGGAGCGGTGCTGCTCCCGCCGATCTGGCGTCATTTGATGTGCTTGTAGAATACTTTCGCGTCCCAACACCATTCATCATTGCGTTCTTTGAACCCTTTCGGGCTACATCCTCAGTCCTAACCTCAAGTCCAAAGCAAGCATTTGGGGCCCGACTGCTTCAAATAGGAGAACTAAAAGATTTCTGGGCTGGGTATGAGAAGAGTAGCGAAGTGTAGACCCAATCATGCAGGCAAGACCGCATGGGCTACTGGTGGAAGTGCTCCTTTTCCTCAGCCTTCGGACTTCCATTGACATGCTAAGTCAAGTTAGGCTAAAGTGGCTCCCAAGTCTTGGCGGCCTCGTAGGGCTCGAACTACGCTCGAACTACGTCAGCTGCTCTACAGGTGGTTCTACGCTTCACGAGCAAGACATTATTCTGGTCACTATTTGGTCTTGACTCGCAAACCTTTTCTCCGCATTCAGCTTCAAGAAACGTGCGACTTGCGCCGCCTAAGACACAATGATGGGGCAATTGCATTTGGTCTGCTGATACATCTCTCGAGCTGCGCATATCACACGCGATAGAACTAATCCCTACCGGCTTCTCGAGGCCCTTTTTGCCCACCTCGCACGAGTGGTATTCCGATCATCTTGATCTGTATTCGTGTGCCGACGTCTGCTTTACCATGGCGCAGCGATATTCCATGGTATGTTGGTCAAAGATGCAAGTCAAGATGGATGAATGCTGTTGCTGTTGTTCGTTGTTGACGCATGTCCTGAACATGAAACGTGGAAGGGGACGTTGGCAGTGAAACCACATGGGCCGCCCCAATTGTACTGCGACGACAAATGTGTTGAGGCAGAGATGCTTCAGATGTGCTCAGGAAGCGTTTTGACTATGTTTGGGCACCTAACATGCCCCATACTTAAACATTTGCCCTCGCTGGCTCCACATCCTTTCATGTTGTTTAAGAATTCCGAGTTCAAAAATGCTGCCGCTTGGCGTACATGGTTTTCCAAAATAGGAAATGCTGCATATTTGCCTGCTGCTTTGCTTTTCCATCCTCGCTGCAGCTCAGGACGGCACTTCAACAAACACATTGCAAAGTCTCGCTTGCCAGCTTGCCAGTATCTACCAAAAGCCGAATGCGTCAGCCTCGTACCCTGTACCGGCAGTAGAGGTAAAGGACAGCTTGGACGGGCACATCAGTCTCGAGAGCTCAAGCTTGAACTGGACGATGACCAATGTCTTGGGCCAATCCAAGGACATCTACGCCATCGACCACCATTCAATCCTAGAGCAGGCGGTGTTCCTAGACACGTCGAAGACACTGCAGAACTCTTCCTCAGCAGCAGTCCTAGGCTTAGCCGGATGTTCGCTCTACTTCAGTCTCCCCTCCGCCAATCTTGGTAATGATGAGAGTGGTAGCTGCGTGTCTGTACTAGACAAAGATTGCGTGAGAGACTTCACAAAGGTGGCTGTAGACGCAGCAACCGCTATATCCAGGAATGCCGACCCTACGCTCACCACCTCTCAAGCTTGCGCCAATATTTCAAATTCCATGCAGAAGGTACCCAAGTCGTGCTCAAGATTTCAGCAGGATGGGAGCAAATCGATTGGGAAAGGCCTATTAGCATATTCCAGTAAATCCACCATCCACCACCGCACCATTCTTCGTTCTTGAGAAGAGAAGCCTTCTATCTCTTTGACTAACAACAATACCGCAGCTCTCAACCTCTCCCCTCCCTCTCAACCCAAGTCCCAGAATTGCTCAGGCTTCTCCGTTTCCGATCAGCCCGTTCCCGTCAATATCTTCAGCCAAAGCTACGCTTTCCCCAACGCAGCGAACTACACCCTTTACGACCAATTCGTGCGATCGACCACGCCCATGTTGCTCGCCTTCTTCTCAAACGCAACGTCTGGCGTCCAGTACTCCGAACCGTTCGCAGACGCTCACCTGGTCTGCTCGGCACCAAGGAATGCACAGCCCGGTAGCAGAAGCTCAGAGACGAGCGCGGCAGAGCCTGTCTTGGGAAATGTTGACGTGCTGCAGGTTGTCTTGTGGGCTTTTGTTGTAAACGCGATCTGTTTTGCTATGCTTTGAGCCGTCACTTTACCTGAGCATGATTCTTATATTTAGCGGGGAGTTTGGGTGGGCTTATAGACGCAAAAGCTCGTCATTATGAGTAAACGAAATTGATGCCACCCTTTGAAGACTGTATTGGGGCAGCATTTGATTGAATCAAGCTGGCGTGTCTTCTGCTGCGAATTTCCGAAAATCTCATCTCCTCCCAGCGTCGAGTTTTACACTGGCGCAAGTGGTATACCTGATACTGACTGTCACAAGTCTCACTTGTAAACATATGTGAGCAGCCCATTGAACGATCTAAAAGTTTCCTCACTATAAGAGCTTACGAAGAATCTGAGGAGCGGCTGTAAGGAAGCCCTCTTTAAGGTTCCGACACCCCACACGTTGGTTCTCGTCGCCTTATCGCCTCGTTCGAAGACGTGAACGAATAAATGTCTTGCCTCAACCATTCTTCATCTTCTCCTCTTCTCACGGGCCTTCCGCAATCCGAATTGCACCATGGCAACCTCAGACCCAAGAGTGGCCGACTTCCTTGCACGGAACAAGTAGGCAATGCCTTACCTCCGGCTGTCAATGCACCCCTATTGACCCAAGGATCACAGGCAATACGCCCAGACTCACAAACCAATTCCGACCCTTGAGTCACAAGCCAACGACCCTCCCTCGCCGGCGATAATAGTCATAACCTGCTTCGATGTCCGCATCCAGCCTCAGCAATTCCTCCAAATCACCGACCCAACGGAGTCCTTCATCCTGTCCAATGCAGGCGGCAGAGTTGACGCAGACACTTTGCGCTCGCTCATGGTCCTAGATAACGTCAAGGGTATCAAGTCCGTAATGGTAATTCACCACACCGATTGCGGGCTGACGCACGCAACGGATGCGAGCCTGAAGGAAAAGTTGAAGAAGACGGTGCCAGAACTAGAGGCAGAAATTGAGAAGCTTGGTCCATTGGGGGAGATCAAGGAGTAAGTCGCTCTCCTCTTTTCTCCAGAGAAGCGGTTGCTTCGGAAGAGTTTGAGCACGTGGGGGCTGATATGCTGCGTAGCATGGACCAAAGCGTTAGAGATGACGTCGCAGCTATTCAGGATTCGCCGTACCTGAAGCATATCGATGTATTGGGGTACGTGTTCGACATTGAGCACGGCATTGTGTCAGAGGTGAAATAGATGCTCTTGTTGGATAGGCTTGCCCCCATTGAAGAGACGCTTCCTCAATTTGCCCCCTGAATTGGTCCACGACCCCGTGGAATATGCCTCGTCTCCTAACCTGGCCTTCGCCAGCCGCAGCCCCTGTACCACTTGCTCTCCCCTCGCCTTCCAAACGTCTCCTCAATCCGTCGAATCCTTCTCGTCCTGCCTTTGTACTTTCTCCCACTACCCAAGCTGGAACTCGCCATTGGCCCCAAATCGCAGGGCCCCATTCACCACGCCATGCCGTGCCCGACAACCAACCGACACCTGCTGCAAGTGCAGAGCCTGGTAGAGAGGACAGTGCAAGCTGGCCTGCGAGTAGATAGGTCGTCGTCTTATCACTGAACACAAGACCACTCGCGTCTTGACTCTGGGATGAAGATAGGGAAGTTATGACACGATATTTGTAGACTGTCGGTATAGCCGCATGATATTGAGCGAGCAGAGCGAAAATGATGGGTGTCGGTCCAGCTGGGAGGAGATTGAGGGCATTGAGCGTCAGCGGTCGCAGAGCCAGCAGCAGCAAGGGAGCTAGCAGTGTGGTGGGCAGGTAGGTCAAAGCCAAAAAAGACTAAAGTCCATGAGTACACGTTCAGTCGCGAGTGTTATGAGGAGGCAATGCTTACAGCGAATTTACGAGAGCCCCAGAGCCGTTCAATGACTCTCAAATTATAGATGGTCATTGCAGCGAAGAGGAGCTCAGTCGAGTTGTTGTAGCAACACTGCCACGTCAAAAATCTCCATAATTGTTTGTATGTCCAAATGTGAGGTATTGCCAGGATGTGAAAATAGTATTTCGTGTCACTGATGCTAACAATGATAGAGGATGCAATTATACCGAAGAGAAGTAATTTCGAAACTGGAGCGGCTGTGAAGCCCGATGCCAACATAATGCTCGAACCGCATTCATGCTTTTACTGCAGCATATAATGTGAAGAAGGCTGAGGTAGTCAGACCCCTGCATACCGAAAGTCTCCCACGTACGCGGACGTGATAATAAATACAAGTTGGCTCCCGCCCGGGGCTTTGCCCCTTAGGCCAATGTGCCCGCGAGCCTAGAGTCTGGTGGAGTCGCCCCTTGAGCGAGATTTGCAGTACATCGATGCAATCCAATCCCAAAAAGAGTTAGTACAGATAGACCAAGTCATACGCTTTGGATATCTAAAGAGTAGGTTGAAAAAGTTCGGATGCTACCTTATGCTAATGCTTCGCTAATGGGTATTGGTCAAGGAATCAAAAGAAAAAAGGCTTTTCGTCCAGGCTCAGGATTATATCGAATCGTGTCCCAAGCGTCCAGTCCGCTTCAACGATCTTACGGTCTCTTGTCTTCATCATCAATATTACGATTCACGTTGCTAAACTTCGCCCGAGGATCTTTGAATCCTGGCTGTGGATTCTTTCCTTGATACTTGGAGCTTATACCATCGTTGCGTTTCCCTTGTTGCGCTCGCAACCGATCCTTTCCATCACGACGGGGCAACGTACAATTGTATTGGTTGTGGCCTCGCTGACCACAATTGTGGCAATTAAACGAGTGTTCGGGAACGGAATAGCGCCGGCGCTCGGGGCTAGCACTTCTACGACGATATCTTTCTGGCGATCTGCTTTGCGGTCGGTAGTAAGAACCAACTTGGCCATCGTCGCGAGACATGCGATGTTCAAGCGGCAATGGATGTGGAAAAATGGGCGCTGCATCGTCTGCGATCGACGATGGCAAGGGATGCTCGACGCGATCGTTGTCTACGCGAGCGACTTTGTTTCGTATATCTGTATCATCTTCAGCATGATGCCTCTTCAAAGTGGGTGTGACCTGGTTGTCAAGTAATGCGCCAGAAGACTGTGACGCAGTATCGTTGTTGGCGGTTTGAAGCGTCAGTCTGGACGTGGATGCTACTTTAGCTAGCACAGAGTCTTTATTCGTGGAAGATCGAAAGATCGATCGTTGCTGCAGCTCGAGCCGTTCCTCCTGCTCAAGTTGCAATTGGATCCCTTCAAGCTCTTTCTTCTTTCGAAAACGTGCCAGCCTGCTTTTGCGAAACTCCTCATCGTTGTATTCTGTCAGCTCTAACCAGTCTTTCAAATCGGCGTTCGTGTCAGCGGCTGCTTGCCTAGGCGAGATCTGAGCTTCAAGATCCAGTTGCTGAGTATGAGCACTTGGGCCCTCCTGCACATCCTCATTGGTCCTTCCTAGATAGGTTGTCTCTGTGTGGCTAATGAGTCGCTCTGGTTGCGGCCTGGAGCCAGCCGCGTTCCGATTGTTTGGAACAGCTTTATCATTAAGTCCTGTTTCACGTCTTCTAGCTTCAGTATCAATAGGCCTGGTGGCCCAGGCAAATTGTTGGTCGCCGTTCAGCGAAGGGTTTCGGTACTGAGGGACGTAGGAGTCATACTCAGCCGCGCGGGCTTTCTGGTTGGCCCAAATCCGGCTAGACCTCTCAACAGCAGATTTGGGGGTCTGCGCACTGTCTGAGCCTTTCCGTTGAGCAGTCGATGAAGTATCAAGAGGAGGTTTAGGGGGCTTGCTGATTGGCCCTTCGGGTTTTTTGAGAGGTGAATAAGTTTGATCAACTTGACTCTGGCGCCGAAGCTTCTCTTGGCTTTGTCTCGAGGCAGCCGGAGGCTGCCTATATGCAGCTTCGACCTCACTCTCCCGGCGGCTCTTCTCCTGGCTATCAAGAGAAGCTTCTTTGGAAAAGGATACTTTGTGAGCAGGGGCGACTTCCTTGGCTGCTGGCATTTGCTCGTCGTCGCTCCTAATTTCCCCCTCAGACAGATCGGGCGAAGATCGTTGCTTGCCACTCGGTGGCGGCGGATGGTGTGGTAGCTTAGCAGCGCCCGCAATGTAAAGTTCTTTGCTAGAATGCAACTCATCGCTCGCATTCTCCCTGCTCTTGGTAGAGGCCGAATGTGGGTTTGGGACGCCATTCGAAGGACTTTTGACAACCGAACCTAGATTGTCCATTGGTGTAGTATTTTCTTCGGATTTCGGAGGGCCTCCTTGCCCTGTCTTTGAATCTACGAGAGCTGCATTCTTTCCTTTGCGTGGCTGTGACGGCCGATCTCTGGCCTCCGCCACTAGACTCTCGATATCGTCTGTGATACCCATACCAACAGACGTATCCGCAGAACTTAAGGGCTTTACATTGGCTTGAACCATGACTTTTCCGGCGTCGGCGGTCGGTCTGATGGCAGGGCTTGAGTTACGTGAGCTTTTAGGTCTTTTTGCTAGAAGCTTCGCCCTCAATTCGTTCAATTTCTTCTCATTTTGTTTAGATGCCTCATTGTTTGTTACTGAAGAGCCATTGGACAAAGCATGGTCGGGTAAAGGAGTGTTGAGGTTTGCAGATGAGGAAGCCGTACTTCGTAAGTGATCTACGAGTGATAGGTCGGGATCACTCTTGTGAAGAGATGTGATGTTCAAGGCTTGTGGACCCGTTCCTGCTGTGCTGTAAACTACATGATCGGGCGGCTCATAGAGACCTTCCTGATTCTGCCCAAAGCTCGCTTGGTTGCCTGTCTGAATGGTATTCTGCGTGTCGACACCAGGTCCATTCTGCAGCATAGTCTGCCATTCATACCCAGCAGTCCAGGGCACTTGTGAAAGGTTTTGCATTGGAGTACCAGGTCCGGGTGATATCAGAGAGCTCATCAAGCCTTGCAACCCTTCGATATTGTTCACTGACTGGTTTGGTAGTGGAGCTTGAGGAGTTGACGGAGGCTTTTGAGGCGGTTGCGACATATCGGTCGTTTCATAGTACGAGAGCGAGCACTGCGAGGAGGATATGTCTTGAAAAGAGGGTGAGATGAAGAGAGAGCAGTTCGCCGGCCTAGATCGATGCTAGTCTAGGAATCTGTTTCGGGTGGTCTCATATCGATTTCAAGTGCGGTGTTCTTGCTCTCACCTGGGCTTCCCTGAGGATAAATTTCACTCTGCTACAAACAATTCAAGGATTGCATATATATGAAAGGAATGACTTTGCGACTAGGTGGAAATGATGTGATAAATAATCGACAAACGACGAATGTTCCTTGCAGCACATACGCGACCAGAACAAGCGCTCGGTTCGCGCTGTGATTTTTAGCCAATCACAAACATCCCTGGCTGCAATTAATCCTACGAATATTTGAGCAGGCTGAGGTGCAGGAAATCAAAATGGTGCATTGAAAGCAGTATTTTGATAAAGTTGATGTATCTACCTTTAGTATAGCCTGATTCTTGAAGTCGACCTGTGCGCTGATACCCAGCGTGAAGCCTGATGTGAAAACCCTCCAACCCCGTCATGAATGGATGTATCCAGGCGCGTTCCCCTTAGGCCTCCTCACTCACAACTTGTTCTCCTGTTCAGGTGAAGGAATATCTCTCTCCTTTAAGACCCTGTTTCTTCCAATCGGCCTTGATAACCGCTTTTAGCATCTTCTCACTTTCACACATCTCGCCAGGCTCTAGTCGCATAGCATCCTTGATGGCATCCCAAATACGCCTGCCACCATTGAATCGCTTCCACTCATCACCGTTTCTATGCCAATGTCCTCGCTTGATGTTCACTGCTTCCAGGCCGCGCCATCCCAGTAGGGCAAGTACACTTTCTTCCCTCCATCTTGCTTGTTCTCGCCATTGCCAGTCTTTCCCACAGGCGTACATGCGCCATTCAGAGAATGAAATGTCGACCGCCTTCAGCTGTTGGCGATTCTTAAGCCATTGCAATAGCTTGCACCAGAGGAGTTCATTATATGTACCGAATGAAGGGTCAAGCAGTCCCACGGTAAGGTGCATTTTGAGGTGTTTGATTTTGGCAAGATTGGACGGTCCGATCTGCTCAAGCCACCATCGTGCTGCTTTTGGCTCTTTCAAGACATATGTGTTGAAGCCGTATAAGACACCGGTCACTGCCTCTTGCCATGAGTGGTTGTAAATTGAGAGCAAGCCCGAATCTTCCGCAATGTTCTTTCGAACCTGATTGTTGCGCGGTGGGCATTGGACAGTTGATGCGTAGTAAGTTGGGCGAATGAAAGGCCGGGGACTGTCGTTCGCTGCGCATTCGCAATCATTGAAGACTGCAGGGCAGCCAAATGCAATGATTTTCTCCCTGCATTCAAGCGGAAGGCGATGGAAGAAAGGGAACGGTCGGGTGGGATCATTGCGTCTATCAGGCCACCCTACAGGTAGCGCATCTGGTTGATCGAGTAGCTGATCAGATGGCTTGACTGTCGATTCTGAATCTTGGCCCATTGTCGAAGACTTTGCATCGACATCAAGAAATCCAATCTCAGATACCGTACCATCTTGGATCGTCTCATTGCCAGATACTGTTGACAAGTCGTCTACCTTATGCCAGAATGAAAGACCTGCCGTGTGCGAGGTACCGTCTCCATTCATGGAAGGAGAGTCTCCTGGCTTTAGGAGACCACCAGTAAACCTGTCTGTAACAATCGTATTCCGATCATTCAGCCATGCGCCCACGCGCTCTCCGTTCCGATCTGCGTCGCCATCGCCTCTTGTGGGACAGCTCTTGGGCATTCTGCGCAACGGTGGCATCTCAGAATCGGGGAGTTCGCTCGAAGAGGAGTTAGAAATATCCATATGTATTATAGCATCAGCAATCTTCTTAGGAACTTTCAATTTGTGATGATCATTAATCCTATAATGACTGTGCTTGTGTACGCCTTTAGATGATTGTTTGTGTTTCCCTCTAGAAGAACGATAAAAGTGCTGTTTTCTAGACGATACGATAGAATCGTGCATGCTTGCAAGGGTCAGTGCTCAACAGCACGTAAAGGTTTATGGACGATGCAAGTGCGATGGAAGAATTTCACCAAAGTATGGTGTTGGTGGACCAAGGTGTCAAAAGGTCATGTGCCAGGGCAACACAGCAACAAGAGTATTCGATATTCTCGAAATGTGAAGACGCTGAGTTTAACGTCGTGTGGTTATAAGTTAATATGGATAGTGGTTGTGGTAGCTTAAGTTTTCATTCATTCGATGCCGGAAAGCAATATGAGCAATGCTAGACATATGCATACCATTTTCGTTCCATCGAGCAAGAGCCAAGCAAAGCTTTCAATGAATCGCTCCCCACTCGTCTGCGTCCTCCTCTACAGCATCCTCAATAGTCGGCACACGACGCCCATCCTCTTTCATCTTCCTCCTCCTTTCTTCCCTAGAGACCAAGCGACTTGGTGTCATGGGCGTCAGAGGGGTGTTCGGCATGTATGGACTATATGGTGTCATGGGCACTCCAGTACCCGGCGTTCGCAATCTTGGCACAGGGGCTTTTCGCTCAATGACTGTAGCTTTAATTGCAGGAGAAGGTTGGGGTAGGTCGGCATTGTAGTTGGTAGGATGGGTTCCTCGGAGAGGCAGATATTGATTGCTTGTACTACCCGCGGTGATTGTCCGGAGCGGTAAGGGTGCCGGTTTTACTCTTGAGGCGTTTGAGGACATTGAGCGGTTGGTGTTCACAGTTAAAAGCTGTGGTTGGCTCTCCACCTCTCGTATTGTGGGTACTGTCGGCGACTGGGGTACGGAGCCGCCCTTTCGCAGAGATGTCATGGGGAATCTTGAATCCCTCGGACTAAACCTTCCGACATCGATATTCTCTGGTCTCTGCCTTCCCGCTTTGTGTTCGTCCGGCGTTGGTGGTGGGGGACCTGGGTCAGGATAGAATCGTGGACTTAGGGGCTCCTTCTCGCCATAGCCATCGTCATAGTCAGGCGCGAGGCCAGGCGAACCCATTGGGGGGAGATGGGCAGCCCTCTGACGCCTTTTCGCCCGATACTGCTGAATGACGATCTCGATGAGTTACGGCTATGTATTGAAATGGGTGTTGGCCTCGAGACTGTTCGAGGTGATTTGGTCAGAGTCCTGGCCGGTGATTTTGCATCTGACCTCGGGGGAGGCCCAATGCTTTGGGGCTCGTTGCGAAGATGCTGCAGCTCTGGAGGATGCTGAGACTGCTGATGGCCGGCTAAGTCTATCTTCGATGTCGAGCGTTTTTCATCTTCTGCCGCTACAGCAGCGTACAAGCGGTCCATCTCGCGCTCATTTCGGGCCCTGTCGTCCTCAATGACACTTTCATCGAAAGTGACCACGCTGGCTTGAGACTCCGATGGTCGCCTTTTATGCTCCTTCTTCAACGAGCCCCAATTAACGCTGCCTCGAAATTCCTTGATAGGACTCGGCCAATTGTTCCGCATATCAACGGCGCTGTTTGGACTCGCGCCTTTGGAAGCTGGTGATGGATCGAAGACCCTTGGGACGTCTGTTTTGACTGGTTTTACCATCTCCATCGATAGTGTCGTGGGTGAAGTTTGGGCTGCTCGTCGAAGACGTCGGCCGACAAGGAGAAGAGCACTTCCAATAACAACGACGGAGAAAACGTAGGCGGCAACTATGGAGGCAATCTGTGCTGGAAGGTAGGACTTGTCCCGCAAAGCTGACGCTTGAATTGGTGCACCTTTCCCAGGCGCTTTCGCAGGCCCGTTGTAGATGCTGACGTGCCAGATGTTCTTCGAAGATACTCGGGCGGCGAAGACAAGAAGGGCAGGGAGGGAGAGAGATAGGTGAGATGGTGGTGGCATTGTGAGGCTCCTAAAGGGTCCTCAGCACATGCGCATGCCTCCCTGAATGGATTGAGGTCGAGATCTGAAGATGAAGCAGAGTGTTTCGAGGCCTGCATGTCTCATACAGGGGGTGCTGCTCGTTTATACATATGGGCACATTGGGTGTGAACGCTGTAGACTGTGAGGCATGTTGATTGCGTATCTGATTGGTGTGACGTGCAGCTCTAACCGCTGGGTTTTCTTTTGGCGTCAATGCGCTCGAGGGGTTGTTGGAACCTAAAAATGGAGCTTTACCTATTCCTAGATCGCTCTGCTATTACTAGTAAGGTGAGTTATTTCAATCGGGCGAAGACCTAGACATCATCAAGCACCCTTTAAAGAATTGACTAGGTATTCGAAGGGTCTGGACTGAGGAAGCGGGAGCCATAGGCAGAATGCATTTTGTATCACGCCTGCGTAGTGCGGAGTATGGACTTATACGTGTTATGCATTAAATATTGAATGCAGGCTTATGCTTCAAGAGCAAGGCTTCTCTGCAATGTAGGCATCGTGATCGGGCAAGCACGTCTCTAATTGTGATCACAATCACTCGCATCACTTGCATCGGCGGATTTTGGCCGTCAGCTTGAAATTGGAACCTACTGGATCAATGGATTCTTGTAGTCAAATCTGTAGGATTCAGCATTGTTATGACTCTTTGTGCTAGCGTGGATGAGCGTCACTTTCCATCCGTGATTTCAAAGATGAATATAAATACCGGAGGATTCCCCGAGAGAATGTGGTGATAACAAGGGGATAGACCTTATGTCCTGGCGCAGGTTGACGTCAGAAGTTTGTTGATCAAACAATAAAAAGGGCGCGATTCACTTCGAGTGAAATACGGCCCAAACAGCTTCACTCCTGCAATTTGCTTTATTCCAGTAAACTTCATCAAAATCTGAAGCTCAACCCTTCTTCATAAGAGGCTCGTGTACACTCTAACATCCAAAGCCAGACGCAAGTGACCAAATTGGCAATGGAATACACAAGGTGGGCGCAAATGAAAGAGAGCCGACGTGTTGCTAACAGGCCGAAGGCTTGGACAGTCCGGCCTGAAGATTTCCAAAATTGTGGTAGGAGCAATGACTTATGGCTCCTCAAACTGGCAACGCTGGGTTCTCGACGAAGAAGCGTCGTTACCAATCCTTGAGTATGCGTACAAACGTGGCCTCAACACGTGGGACACTGTAAGTCATATCGCTCAACCGGACCAAGGAGAGACCAATGACCCTTGAAAAGGCCGACGTTTACTCCAATGGGGAGTCAGAGAAGATCATTGCAAAAGCCATCAAGCAATACAAGATTCCGAGAGAGCGACTTGTCTTGCTCTCCAAATGCTATTTTGGCGTCGCGGATGAAGGCGAGGGTCAGCCTAGAATCGGGCAGATGTCGACGAATGATGGTCCGCTAGTCAATCGCATGGGACTCAGCCGAAAACACATCTTTGATGCAGTTGACAAAAGCGTGAACCGTCTTGGAACTTACATTGATGTGCTGCAAATCCACAGACTCGACCGTGATACACCAAAGGAGGAGATAATGAAAGCGCTCAACGACGTGATTGAATCTGGCAAAGTGAGGTATATTGGTGCCAGTTCAATGGCTACTTGGGAATTCCAATCTCTCCAGAATATCGCGGACAAACATGGATGGTGCTGACATCCCCGTTCCGTCATTGAGGCGAAATCACTAACTCGATTTTCGCAGGCATAAGTTCATATCCATGCAAAATTACCATAACCTACTTTATCGCGAGGAGGAGCGAGAGATGCTCCCGTACTGTCGAGCCACGGGTGTGGGTTGCATTCCATGGTCTCCTGTTGCGCGAGGCGTTCTTACACGACCTTGGGATGAGAGGAGTTCCCAAAGAGAACAGTCGGACAACTTCCTGAAATCCTTAATTCGATCACGAGAGACTGAAGTTGATAAAGCGATTGTCGATCGGGTAGAAGAGGTAGCCAAAAAGAAGCGCATTGGGATGGCTCAGGTGGCGATGGCATGGTCGTTGAGAACACCTGGTGTCAATCCTATAGTGGGTTTGAGCAGCAAGGAAAGAATCGATCAAGCTGTGGAGACGCTGAAAGTACAGCTGACGGACGAGGAGGCCAAACATTTGGAGGAGCCGTACTTGCCAAAGACCGCCCAGGGTTACTAGTGATAGTGTACCTCGACTTAGCGTTGAAAGGGCTTGCTTCGTCTTTAAATGCTACCGACCATAATTTCATTACTAGTACACTCAATCAAGGCTCATGATTTTTGGCTATTTGAATTTCGAGTAAACGACCGCGATTATCAGGATCACTAGCACCGTGATGATTGCAATCGTTATAATCCGATTCGTAGCCATTCTACGTGATCAGTTAGCAGACTTGGCTCTAATGGAGCTCACACTTTCATAGGGGACTATACCTACGAGCCATCCCCCGTAACGTCTTGACACTCCTATCTACGTAGCCCTCAGACTCTAACATCGTCGCCCGCGTATGCTGTATCGTCTCCCTTTGGATCTGTAGGTCTGCTAAAGTACCTTGTCCAATGGCTTCTGTCTCATTTGCTATTCGCTGGCTATCGCGCAGTCGATGACTGCTCCTGTCCAATCTGTCGGTCCCACTGAGAAGCTGTTGCCTCTGCTCTACTTGCTCATCCCGTTGATTGGGATCATCAGTATATCGTGAGCCCAGCAAAGCCGATTTATCTGAGCTAAGAGACTTGAGCTTGCGTTTCAGGCTATCGACATCTGTTTCGTGGTTTCTGAAACGGGAATTTATGGAGGCTCTTGTTGAGGTAGGAATGTTCTGTTTCTCTAGGCGCATTTGATCCAGCTATATTACCATATCGTCAGTATGTCGCATTACTACATATCATGAGCAGCATGAGTACGAAGGAAGGATGCGCACCAACTCTTGTGCTTCTTCCAACGCCCTCTCCGCGAGCCGTACGGCAGATTTTCGTGGTTCGCCGCTCAACTCTTGGATCTGGTCTAGTTTCTGGGAGAGATCGGCTTGTACAAGCTTCAACTCGGCTTCATAGCTACTGAAGAGCTCAGAGCCAGCGTCCGTATCCAAAGGATTCGACATGGTGGGTGGTGGAAGGGTGCCTAATCCGACAAATCGAGAGGGGTTGAATTGTCAATAGTACGTGTGGTGGGTTTGACACATGGATATCTAGTTTAGATATCAGCGGAAGAGGCGATTATTGTTCTGCAAAGCCAGGTTTGCTCAGAAGTTTGTCGCAAGAACGGTAGTAGAAGATGCTACCTGTGGGTGATGTATCTTGAGATACCGGCGAAGTAATTGCTTGGCGTTCGGCCGGATTCAGAGGCCAATCTCCGGGCAACATTTAATGCAGGAACCAAAATTTACATTTTCGTAATCGTACCCCCAACATTTCTCAAGTAAGTCGTCTTGCAAATTTCTCCACTGTATTCATGTTTTGCCACGTTGTGTTTGTATCGTCTTTTCCTGCATTTGAAGTTCTTCATCCAAGACTGCCAAATGTACGCCGTTCTTCCTTCACTCGTATCTAGAATGTCAAAGAGAAAGAAGATTGCCATAGTAGGCTCTGGCTGCAGCGGGCTAGCAGCGCTATGGGCGTTGAAAAGTACAGAGCATGATGTCTATCTTTATGAAGCGAAAGACAGGTTAGGAGGGCACACGAATACTGTTCCTTTCACGAATGGTGGAAAGTCGACTAATGTGGACACCGGATTCATCGTGCTGAATAGCGCAACATATCGTCAGTCAGCATGATTGTGCCTTGAAAGTGCTTGTGACTCACATCTCTAGCGAATTTCATTGCTTTCCTGAAACATGAGGGTGTTGATACTGTCCCGACCGAGATGACGTTTGGCATCTCTAGAGACAAGGGACTCTTTGAATGGGCGGGAACATCACTGTCTGCAGTCTTCGCTCAACGAAAGAATCTACTAAGCTGGCGAATGTGGCAGATGATATTCGATGTTGTCAGATTCAATCAATTTGCTTTAGACCTTCTTGCTGAAGAAAACGAGAGCGAGCAAGATCCGAGCGGTGCTGACGGCTACGTCTACCCCTTCTCAAAGCCCCACAAGCAGCAAAGCATAGGCGATTATTTAGACGCCAATGGCTATTCCGAGGCGTTTCGGGACGACTACTTAATTCCAATGACAGCGTCCGTCTGGAGTACCAGTCCTGACAAAGCGTCCTTGGAGTTTCCTGCTATCACGCTTGTCCGCTTCATGTGGAATCACCATCTGCTGAATACTGTTATGGCTCGTCCAACGTGGATGACCTTGCCTGGAGGTTCCCAAAAGTACATAAAGTCAATCATGAGCGGCTTTCCAGATGATCACGTGTATCTCAGCACCCCAGTGCGTTCAATCATTAACGTTGCTGGAGACTGTGTCTCGATTGAAACGTCGGACGGCGCCTATAGAGTCTTTGATCATGTCATCCTAGCCACACATGGAGACACCGCCGCTTCCATCATCTCTCCAGGTGCAACAAGCGAGGAGAGAACGATCATGGCTGGTTTCAAGACAAGCAGGAACACAGCAGTCCTTCACTCGGATCTGTCTCTCATGCCAAAGCGGCGCATCGCTTGGTCTTCTTGGAATTACATCACTACCTCTCCTTCCCCAAATATTCAGCCAAGTATTTGTCTCACTTACGATATGAACATTCTCCAGCACATTCCTGCTGCAGATTTTGGCAACGTTCTAGTAACTCTCAACCCTCTAGAGCCGCCAGCCAAACATCTCACCCAAGGAGAATGGACATATCACCATCCTCTGTACAATGAAACCGCCATTCGCTCTCAAGATATGCTACCACGAATCCAAAACGTTCGAGGCATCAGCTATGCAGGAGCATGGACAAAGTATGGTTTTCATGAAGATGGATTCAGCAGTGGCTTGAGGGTTGCAATGGAGCATCTTGGAGCAGAATTGCCCTTCGAGTTCGTCGACTCAACTTTTTCTCGTGGGAGACGACCGTCGCTCAGCTGGGCTGACTTCACATTGAGAGTCGTCATCAACGCAATTCTCGTTTTAGTTACCATGATCAGCCCGCTTTTAGGGCTCGTTAGGCGCCATTTTCGTGGCTTCGAGAAGCGCAAGAAGATATCTTGATGATTGCTCACTTACTGTGGCTCTATGCCTAGTGACTGTTGCCTCATGTGATGATACTCGTTTCAAAAGGCTTCTGCAGCAATAATCCAACTGCTGCAGGCCCCAGCAACAACCCCCACAACATTCGCATCGTCGCGGGTCTTGAATGGTACGTTTGTCCACTGCATCTCAAAGACTGTACACGCAACTTCGAAGCCCAGCTGTCCATGCTCATTGCCTCCGCAGCTCCAAATGGTGCCCTCAGCCGTTAGAACAAGCAATTGATCGAAACCCAAGGCCACATCAACAATATCCACGCCTCCTTGAATGTCGACTACTTTAATGTCATCCCCTGGATCTGGCAAGGCAGTGATCTTTCTCGCCTCTCCTGCTCTGCTACCCCAGATATACAGATCCATTTCTGCCGAAAGCGCCGCACCGACCCACTCACACATAACGATCTTCGCAATCGCAATGCCACCCAATGACATCGCGTAGCAAGGCAGAGCAGCTGGAGCATTGGCGTGAGACGATCGTGCTAACAACGCAGGTTGTAAGTGTGATCCGAATGTCAGCAGATTTCCATCTTCAAGCAAAGTCACGAAGGCTGTTGCACCAGCTTGTAACGATTTTACCGGGCAAGATAGCGGGTGAGACGTATTCGGCGCACCGCCGTCTATGAACGAGCGGAAGGTTAAGAATGTTTGAAGCTGATACCGGTATTGCCCGGGATGAGGGATGTTGCAGATGGAAATGCAAACTTCTTCGTTGCCTGCAATGATCAAGTGGTCGATCCTCATGACTTGATTGCCCTGTTGCGCACGCCATGAGCCTTCAGGCCATCGGTGTTGTTCAAAACGCAGCGGATCGTCTCGCAGCAATAGCAAGCCACCTTCACTCAACGCGCCTAAAACTCCACTCACATCGCCGAATACGCAAGACACATCTCTCACTTTGACGCCGGCTGGCAAAACAATGCAGCTAGGCTCTGTACTTTTACTGGGCCGAAAGCCATAATGCCACAGTTGAGAACCCTGCTTGATGACGGTGGCGCTCCATAACGAGGCTAGAACCTCAATTGCTTCGTCTGTGTTCAGGACTTGGCTAAAGGTACAAGTCGCGCGTTTTGCAATTGACCGTGAATGAGGCCGAGAATTAGATAATTGCACAGATGAAACCGGAGGTGGGGAGATTGATGCTGGAAGCTGAGAGTGTGCATTAAAGCCGGCTGCGTAGAGTTGCATTGTAAAATTCTCGAGATATGTCACACCTGCGTTGACAAGATGTGCATATCTACTTGTCCTATCATGATATTACAGCTTAAGCTGCGTTCTGCATTGCACGACAGAAAGCTACCCTGACATTTCGCCGATTTTTACTTCGTTGTCCTTTTGAATGTAACGGAGACTCTGCAACCTGAGCACCTCGTCATGCACAGTTGTAAGCAGGCAGACTTGCTAGGTCTGAATTCTGTGGCTTCATTCCGATTGGCAACTGTTGCTTACTCATTCTACAAGCCAATCAGGGGGCTCACCACCGCCACCGGAGGGCTTCAGCTCGCACCGGGTTGGAGCACCTGAAATAGAATTGCTTCTGCCTTGGACTACCTTACGTACTTCCTGCCATTCTTGGGTCTTGATGGAATTGTATTTCCAAAGAAGGGAATGTTTACTCTATTGTTGGTGCATTGACGGTTTGTGAAAAAGCAATGAACGCGATCGCAAGAGGCCTTTCCAGGACCCCCGTATTCAGCGAGTTGAACGTTTTCTTTACTTTCAATGGTGTCTTATTAAGTAGTAGACCAAGTGCTTGAATGCGCAGTCTTGCTTCTTGAGTAGCTTTCGTTCATTTTCTTCGCGCGAACATATAATAGAATATGAGTGAGGATGGAAATTCCGCATCCCAACATGTGGAGGCTCCAATCCTCGACGAGACCTCGAATAGACCAGAAGTCTCATCAGACGCAGCCAGTCCTGTCAATCGCAACGTCCACAATCTGCGACTTGACACAAATCAGGAAGAGCCGTCGCTGAAGTCAGAGACATCTAGCATCGTTCCGACGAGTGCGCGACTAAGCATCGCCACAACGCACCACGCAATCAACCTCGAGAGTAGCAGCGAAAATGTGGGTGCAATGCTGGACAGTATCCTGGCGAACCCAGGTTGGAATGTTGGACGGGAGCGGAGGAACTCGATGTTCAGCATGCGCAGTCTACAGCCGACGCTACCGCCATATGAGGAATATCGTGGCCATGTGGCTGGACAAGCTGGAGAAGCTGGCCCGTCAAATCTTCGGCAGGAAGCTGGCATGAATCGAGTTACTGATCAGAAGCGGCCTGTCTCTCCTGATGACCATGAACGGGAAGTGGGAAACATGTCCAGGGAAAATGAAACACTGCCCAGTATCGATGCTGACCCCGAAGTTTCATTGACGGCCCATTATAGTCGTGTAGTCCGTACTCTCGACGAGAGGTACACAGATGAATTGGAGCGCCGACGCCAGGAAATAGAGAGATTGCAATCGACCCATACGTCGCAGCTCGCGCAAATGCGAAACGACGTGGATGCTGTGTATCGTATTGAATTGAGGAAGCGCAGCCAGGAAACAGAAAGGGTGAAGGAAGAATTTGCCTCAAGGGCTGAAGAACTTGTACGTGATGCATTGAAGAGGGAAGAAGGGAGTAGAAATCTAGTCAGCCAAGTGAACTTCGAAGCTGAGCAACAGATGCAGGAGTTGCGTGAGCAGCACATGCAGGAGTTGCAGAGGGAGAGGAATGCTGTTGAAGACGTCTGGGAGCGTCGATGGCGGGAGCGCATGAATCTACTGGAAGAAGAAAGGACTAGAAGCATTCGCAAAAGGGACGAGAAATGGCTGTCCTTCATACAAGAAAGACATCCTCAAGCGGTCGATGCTGCAAAGTCAATGCTATGGGAACTTGCTGAAAACAATAAGTGAAGACTTTGACCTGAGTCACCATAATGAAAGCATTCAGGCCGAATTGAGAGATCATTCAACGTCCGCAGACTCATCAATTTATTTCGAGCTTTGCTCGTGCTGCAACGTCATCGCTGAACTCACGTCACGCTGAGTATCCACTGGATCGATGAGGCGCGTTGTCATTTAAGCTCCAGAGGCTATGAAGAGCTGAAGTAGAGCCTTAGCGGCCGAATCCGACTCACATGTGTGTTGGATGGACGAAGCTTTGTTGGGTACGACTAGCCCAGTCAATGGCATTTGTCATTGGGCTACCAGTCAAATCCTCTTTTTGCAATTTGGAAAGTTGACGGACTCGAGATGGTGTTAGTGGATCCTTTTGCGCGTCTGGCTTGAATGTACTCCTCGAGTGATCGATATCGCAAGCCCCATGACGAGATGGCGATGTCGCGTTGAAACGTTCAACTCATGTCCGAGCTCCATCAGATCTCAACGAGCTGTAGGCTAATCGTGGCCCGTGCATCATCCTCAGATCTACTAATTTAGCCACGGAGATGTTCGCCCTGCCAGAATCACCTTTGTCACTCACCAAACCATCTGATGGTGGTTGAATGATTGGCGAAGCAGACGGTTCGAGGGTCATGGTCCTATTGATACAACGGAGGCGAAGGATGAAAGGAGTAAGACACCTTAGGCCTAAAGGTTAGGAAGCGGCTACGAATAGCCCCGTAATCACGTCCCAATCTTCACGCGATCCCATGTGGTCATGGCCAGGGGAGCCCTTGCACTGGCGAAGCTTAGGTGATCTGTACCATGGTACGTTGCGGCTACAGCCCGCCCGGATTTCCGTTACCGATATCCGGGTCAGCTTGCTTGTTGTCTGATGTGGGTGCTGTATCTGGTGTATGGTACAAATAGGTATGACCGAATACAGTCCTGAGAGCCAGGCATTGCGAAGCTTTCGAAGCGCCACCAGTGCCACCGGCCGAAAGGTTGCACTATAGCTCCGAGGAAGCCCAATAATAATGCCATACAATTATTGCTCTCTAATCTTTTTGCGAGTTTGAAAATACGCCGTGGTCTATGCACCTTCACAGACTCCGGTGCCGAATAAACATCGAAGTCGATGTTGTTTGCAGTGTGCTCGGATCAGTATAGTATCTGACACGCCTAAAAGGCCAGTTGAAGCGAAGTTCAATCGTTCCACGAGAAGAAGATTCAACGTCAGGCTCAAGCTCTGTCCTAACGTCATGCAACTCCTCGAAGTTACCAGTGAAAACTTTCCAGACTCAAGCGAAAGCGTAGATCCTTGACCTCCTCGAATTGTGCGCACTCTGGAGTTTGGAGTCTGGTGTGCCCTACCGCGAAGACTTGCCCCGTTAGCCCCCAACCTGCTTTAAAGGCTTCTGTCAAACGTGCATACCCTTTAGTATAGCCATCTCTCCTCGATTGCTGGGATCCCATGCTTGGAAAAGGATCGTCGATAGACCGATCCTCCAAGCCAATTCGGGCATCCATTATTATTATTGAAGTGGTGAAGGTCAGTAGCAGACCTCTCGCCTATACGTAATTTCGCTTTCAATTGAAAGAAAACCAGCATCTAGGCGAGCCGGTGGGAAGTAAAGTACACGATTGGCCCTCTCCAAGACCCTTTCCAAGGGCCATGAGCTGCCCTCACGTCATCCAGACAATGCTACTCGAGTCCCTTGATAAATTGATGTGCACAATACATCTTGATTCACCATCCATCCCTCTTGCAAAATTCAACTGTATCATCTATGAAGGGAAGAACAGGTCTTTTGGTACCTGGCCCTGGAGTAACCCTTCGTAATTTCTTTGGTGCCAATAATGACTGAGAGGCAAATCAACCCGAGAAATCTTTGGCGAATGCTCATCCTGATTGGGATACAGCTCCAAGCCACGCTGACGCCTCCTGAAGGGTAAGAGCAGGTTTAACCCGGCTACGCAAGCGATGTCCAGTCGAAGCGACACCGCCATTGCCAAACGACGGCTAGGCGAGCGAGCTAGGCATGCATCGCGTTCGTCTGACCCGCATCCAACGGTGTGCACGAGGACCAGCTTAACCTTTGCTTTGGTGCAAGGGGCCTGCAGTGGTGCAGGCATGCAGCCGATTTAGCGCGGCACAACAAGGAAATTCCCACCTCACCCGTCTTCCAACCAGGTCATCGGGTTCGAGTCGTTCGTCCAGATGGCGTAGCCACTGTTATTCCACTGCTCATGTAGCGCGGGTGCTGAGGAGCGGCGACCATTTTGCACCAGGCACTCGGACATGAGCGCTATCCAAGCTGCGTCATTACTCCCCCGTTTAAGCGATTCAGGAGTTGTAGCCAATCCCTTATCAAAAGCCAGCCTCACCACAGCAGCACGTCGAAGGGTGTGGCAGCGGCAACCGGTGTCTTCCGTGCAATATCCAAGTGGACTCAGTGGAGGCGCATGGACGTCTGAAATTGGTAACATGCGTCACTGACGGTTCCTTCCCCATAAATAGTGACCTGAATATGATCGATGATGTCGGTGCTCCAAATCCTAAAGCATTTCTGACCAACTGTGCGGGAAGCCAAACTTAGCGGTTGGAAGTTGGGTTTGCTGGTGGTAAAGACTGTGCTTATTTCTTGTGTTGTGCAAACTTCTCCCTTCTCCCAAGCTCGTCAGAAGCATCTCACGAAGAAAACTGCAAAGCCCGGCCAATCCATCATTCCGTACTTTACATCGAAAGTGTGAAGATACCAGAACGGACTAACATACCCAGTCAGCAAGGCACGGATCACTGGCGTCTTGAACAGGCTTGAGATTCGTCAACGTTGCCTCATTCGATTACGGTGTCGCTGCACTTCTTCCTGGGCTAGACATTGATCAAGCGCAACAATCTCATTGGGGAAGCTCGCCGTCAAGATCACGAAAGTACCAGCAGAGCTGTCTTTCAAAGGACATAGTGCAGTCCGAAGATGGGAAGTTAATCTTTAAGGCTCAACGATCTGTGCGGGAAGTAAACTATTCTCTTTGTCGTCCTGACCATTGGGACTGCTTGCTACGACATCAAGACCACAAAGGGAACCTCGGTTGATTCTGTCCGATAGCCTCCGAAGTAAAACTCCGCCGTCTGGTTCTGAAGATCTACAGCTATCGTTCAGCAGACGCCGGTCGCGATCTCGCCACTGCTTCTCCGGAAATAAGGCATCAGCACGAACTCGACAAGTATAAGCCGTCGCCATCGCATTGAGAGCAGTGAACTCTGTTATCCATGTGTGATTGCTTGATAGACTGAAGTTGAACGTGGTCCGTGAGCAAGTAGGAGAAACTTTGGTGGCTCCTGCTTTACCTTTCTGGTGTTTGGCCAACTAACTTAACGCGGCAAATGAACCACAAAATACCAGCGAGATACCAGCCTCTCGCTATTGCACCTCTGGACAAAGCTTTTTCTCTTCTTTGGTCTACCAGGTCAGGCATTGATACTGAAGTATCAGCGTAAAACTTTTGCGAAAAGACGAGCCTTAGCATAGGCAAAATCACATAGGCAGCTTTATCGCTGGGTGATGGGAATGAGACGTCTACATCAGCGCCTGGCGCCTCATCATCATTACTACACCTTTGAGGCTCCACAACTGAAGAATTTGACGCCTTCTGAACTCTGAAAATCGTCAAAGACGCTCTTTTGGCCAGCTTTCTGATCCGAATCCACTTCGTGAACTAAAAGGTACGACTTAGGCGACGTTTGTTTACATATTTCCAAACAAAAACCAGAACACTAAGTATTCCCTAAACTTCAAGCTCACTAAATCCATGCCTTGGACTCCTTGAGAGCCAGGGAAACAAGCCGTGGATTTCCAGATACGTACCGCAATATCGCTCTCACGGCTCTGGCAGATGACCACTCGGTACTCATGAACAGTCCGCCCCTCTTTGAAGGCCTTGTGCGATTCGATAGGTACGAATCGAGCTTCTGAAAGGAACCGCCGCGTGTCGCTTTCCCTTCAGCTCGGCAACTAACGATGCATGCCCCCAGCGCTGATTACGATCTCTATATACGCCAAGAGCCAGAGAGGGCCAAGGTTTGTCATGGTGTAAATGACAAAGGTAGTGCGCTTATCTCCCTGGTAGACGATAGCTGACACCGTCCCAGACCGTAAAACAATTGATCCGCCTCCCGCAATTCAACTCCAACATATCGATCCTAGTGATCCCTCACAGTAAGTGTCGATCTACAACTGACGGAAGCATCTTCGCTCACAATACAAGGAATTATCTTCAGAGTCCGTACTTCTTCATGACATGTAGCCTGATAGACCAGGATCTTGGTAAGCATGGCAAAGTATCTGCTGGGTGTGAAGATCCAAACGCTCCACCTCAACCTGCATTACTTGGCATGCTGGTTTCTTCCCTTCACAGACTGAAAGACACGAATAATTTGGGTACGCAGCCCTGATCGGTGTCCTCAACGCTGCTCCTGACAAACATCTAGATGCTGGCTTCTTCGTTTTTGGTGATCTTTCGGTTAAGCTAGAGGGGAAATTTCGTCTACGGTTCAGCCTTTTCGAGATTAAAAAGTCAGCAATACCTATTGGAAAATCGAGTGCTTATCTAATTCTGCAATGAACAGTGGCCAGGCTGAATACATTAAATCCGTCAACTCTGCGGTATTCGAAGGTAATTAGTATCCGATCTGGAGACTCGGACTATCTGCTTACCGAGAAAGTGTTTCATGCCAGGACATACCCAGGAACATTGGAATCCACTGTCCTGTCCCGCTCTTTTGGCGATCAGGGGATAAAGTTGAGGATCAGAAAGGAGCCTCGTATACTGGGGTAGGTGTGTATACTGCTTTTCCCCGAAGTCGCTAAAGAGTGATAGCAAGCGGCCCGCTCAACAGGCAAGTCTGCCTTCAACGCCTTTCAGCCAAGAAAGCAGCTCGAGATCATTATCTCGCCAAGAAGGATCTACACTTCAAAGTCCAACAGAACAGGGTAGCGCGTTTGCCACGAGTCTTCGAGATTCGAATTCTGGGTACGCCGATCGGACCTCAAAACGACACAAGTAATTCCAGAGACGATCGTATTGTACAAAAAGCTGACTCGAAGTTTTTAAGGTATACTCACAGTGGAAGTACGTCCAGCGATTTGTATGCAAACCAATTTCGCCAAACCATCCCCCCATCTTACCAATCTTCCTCATACCCACAAGCGACGCAGCAGCATCCGATGTTTGCACATCAACTTTCCTTTGGTCAGGAGCGAATGGAACCCTCGACCTCGATTCAATCCGAAGTAGCCGATTCCCCTAGCTGGCTTGGTCTCTCTGCGCAGCAACAGCAACAGTATGGACGTCCGCCAAGCTTCATGCAATATGAACCTACACACCCACCGGTACCTCCAGAAAGACAATTGCCATCTTCCACACCAGCAATATTTAGTTTTGGAGGGGGTCATCAACGAGTGCTAGAGCAGGGCTCCTATGGCTCAGAGCCAGGTCAGCCGCAGTATTGGGACGAGCAGCGACATGTGGTAGGTCGAAGGTCTAGCTATGGTACTCAAGACAATTACCCGCAGCTTCCATCAAGGACCTTGCCCGCACCAAGTCAGCCGGTAGGCAGCGCGTCGAACCCAGGTTCCCACACGGCTGGAGGGCCACCAGTAACCTCTGCAGGCTTTGAGCGGGGCATGGGTGCATACCAAAATAGTAGCTACTACCCAGGGCAACCACCTTTCCGTTGAGCACTAACTACAAAATTTGCCCGTTTTGCACATTGACGATCTGACGAATTTCTTATGCATGCCAAAAAGGCAGATTATCCGATGAAAAGCGTACAGAGTCACCGACTGCATAGCGTGGCGATTGGTTAGAAACCTTAGCCGAAGCCATTGGAACAAAAGGATGAAGAAGTGAGAGAATGATTTGAACGAGACAGAAAGCCAACCACTGCAAACGTGTTGGCCTCATGAGAAAAGTTGGCAATATGATACAGGTGGTGAGGCAAGTATCAAGGTAGAATCGCCGTCTTCACAGACATTTAGAGGTAATGTTCAATTTAGAAAAGTATGACTTGGAATGCTTCGAGTAAAATTTCGAGACTCGGGACCTTCGATTTTGCCCGCAACAAATGGATAACGCAATCTTTGGCAGTCGAACGCATGATCATAGTAATCACTATCGTAATCTCAGCCCGCAGCCTCCTTCACTTTCTCTCCGCCGCCAGGAGGCTCATCCACAAATTGTGGCACTTCATCCGTCAGAAAGCCTGGCTCTTGTCCTGCACCAATGCCCATCCCTAAGCCCAATCCCCCTGCCCCCTCCATCTCCGCCTCGTCCCCAAGAGCTTCCAACTCAGCATCCAATTCAGCCTCATCCACCTCCTCTGGCACATCGTAGCTCCTCCCCATCGCCTCCTGTATGTCATTTCCCTGCTCCATCAAGTCCGCCATCTCATCCTGCATCCTCTCCAATTTATCAATGTCCACCTTCCCGAATTGCTTCCTCAGATCCTTATTCGTTTGCTTTATCACATCCACTGTCGTCATGGTGTTCTTCAAGTTATCCGTCATCATACTCGCCTGACTGAGATTCCATGACTGCTGCTCGTACTGGTCGCGCTGGGCTTCGTATTGTTTCCGCCGCTGGAGCAATTTCAGGCATTTGGATTTTATGGCGGATTTGCCGGGCCCGTCGCGCATTCGCGACATTTTCTGCTGGAGGGTGGTGAGTTCGGCGTTGATCTTGGAGAGTTTGACATCGAGGGATTCGGCGTGGGAGTCTGTCTAGGTGGCTGGATCAGTGGGCTGAATCTGGGGAGGGGAGGAGAAAGGCGGACATTTTGGATGGCGGAGGAGAGGGTGGGTCTGGGGCCTGTTTGTTTAGCCCCAAAGAGGCGATTCATGGTAGCTTCTGTTTCCTTTGAAGTTGCGAGAGATGGTTGCAGTATTTAAGAGGTCGAAGAAGTGGAGAGACGGCGGTTGAGAGTCGATGAATGCCTCAAATCTGGGGCTAAAGGGAAGGAGAAAGAAGAGCAAATGGGCTCTTCTCCATTCGATATCAAAAGTCTGTTGGCTAGAACCGCGGCCGTAATCACAAGACGAATCTGAATTAATAGTTGCTTTGGAGATTGCTCTTGGAATTATGAATGGATGACCTCGTAGGAGAAGGAAGTCTTTCGTATGCGACACGTTTGTCGCGCGATGGAGGCAATGACGTAGCTTGCGCACTGGTGGTTCGCTCCGTGCGCCTGCATCCTTGTTGACGACCACCTTCAAGAGTCTGGAAATTTTGACCGCTCTCACAACGTCATTATACAATAGCACATCAATGGATTCGAGTATCCTGTGGAAGTGGTAGGCGTACATATACGCTTGAATCGGTTTATTGGTAGTTTGGTGGTGCAGATACGTAGGAGGAAATTTCCATTTTCCTTACGAGCAAAAGCCCGGTCATTCTTGATTGACGGCGAATAATAGTCGCAGCTTTCGTTCACTCCTAGCGTAGATCCCTTGTGATTTAATAAGGGAGTCTCAATTAATCATAATAAGGCTGAATGCTATAGAGAATAGACATACATATGAGTATCTGTAGAATGAATTGTCTAGGGTCTCCAGGACTTTTAGGACGTACTTGCTCAGTTTAGGCTTTTCCCATACCAACTAGCACCAGCAACGCAACATTCATAATTACAATTACAAGCCAGATGACCAAAGCCAAGGATGACAAGATCCAATGATTTCTCATTTTCACCGGTTCATCGTGGTCGTTTTCGTCGTCTACATCCTCAGTATCAGTGCCAGAATGAATCCCCGCCTTCATATACCGGTTTCTGCATGTGAAGTATATGAGTGGAGCCGACACAAAGGGTAGGCATACACTCAAAGCGACCTGCGATGCATTGAGAGCATCTGAAAGTCCATCTTTGCCCACTGCTCCAGCAATGATAATGCTAGGCGTGATACTGATTGACCGCGTGAGCAGCCTCCTGAGCCAGGGGGCAATGGTCCAATTCAGAGCACCTTCACTGAGCATTTGACCAGCGATGGTACAGACTATACCTGCTGATGTGCCAGATAGCAGAAGCGCAAGTGCAAAGATAGTGCCTGCTGCTGGGGCGATTGTCTTCGCCAGAAGGCTGTGGATTCCAAAAAGATCGGCCGATTCGGCAGCCGAATTTGATGACAAGGACGCGCCTGCGACGATCAAGATAGAGCTATTGACAAAAAGCGCAAACGTGAACAACGATATAGCAACTTCAGCGATAGAATAACTCAAACAGGACCGTATGGCTGATAGCGAAGGCCTGTATACGGACTTCTCCAGGGTTCTAGGGCTGGTATTGCCGGCCTGAATATCGAAATGGCGAAGCCGAGACTGAACGATACCGCTCCCTAGATACAGACTATGTGGCATCACCGTTGCTCCAAGAATGCCACAACTGAGATAGATACCATCGCCTTGAACGACTGCCGAGGATGGTAAGTATCCCCTGAAAACTTCACCAACAGAGACGCCTGTGAGAAGCGAAAGCTCAATACAAAAACAGATCACCACTCCTAGGACGAGAGCCATGACAAAGATTTCGAAAAGTCTGAGCTGCCGTAGATTGCCGTTTGGGTTGTAGAAAAGCAGAATAACAAGAACGTCGACCAGGGTTATCGCACAACCCGCCACCAATGGAATCTTTAGCAAGAGGTTTAATGCAATAGCGCTCCCGATGACTTCGGCAATGTCTGTCGCAATTATTGCAGCCTCCCCTAGGATATAGAGAATGATATTAAGCCATTTCGGTAGGTGTGCTCTGCAATTCTCTGCTAGGTTCCTACCAGTGATGGTCCCAAGGCGGATAGCTAATGACTGCAGCACGATGGCGAAGATATTAGACATTAGTACAATGAAAAGCAGCCTGAATCGTTTGGCCGCTCCCGCAGCGACATCTGTGGAGTAATTACCGGGATCAATGTATGCAACAGCGACCATGAATCCGGGTCCTATAAATCTACCGTATTTCAGGAGGACGCGGCCTGTCGCTCCTGGTATGGTCGAAAGATTTCCAAGGAATGCTTGAGATTTCCTATGTTTACCTTCCGAAGGGTATGCTAGCCTGGAGTTTGCGGTGTCGTCGGGACCAGGGGTTTCCTTGTCTAGGGGCTGGCCTTCCATACCAATTGAGCACGCATGCTGCTCGGACTTTGAATCATTGGGTATGGTACTGATATCCTGATCTGTCCTAGTATTGACTATGCCATTGAGGTCCTGTCTTGTTGTCAAATCCGCGGCAAGGCCCGAGGGATTCTGATTTAGGCCATCGTATTGAAGGGGCTCGTCTGTTCTGGACGGACAATTCATCACTGATGTCAACACAAACACCGTGTGGAGGGCTCGAAACCCTTTGATATTCAGCGGAGCAGGTGCGTTCTTAAAGTATATCTATTCTGCCAAGAAGTGGCTCATCCAATTCGGCTAGTAGGAAATGTGCGGAGAGAGAAAGCATTCGTCACCACCGATGACCAAGAGGCTCTTTTGCCAATGCGCTGAAAAAAGAAACTTGAGGCATGGGTTTCTTGGTACACCTAGCGGTACCTCCGTGAGGACTTATATTACACGTGAAGCTTTCTTTTAGGTGGTTCGGTCCTGTGGCGACGAAGAAGACGAAGTAAATGTAAGGGGAAAACTCGCATGCGAAGACTCGATGTGGGAACAAGGCAAGGAATGAGGTACAGATCAGCAGTCTCCGTGACACTACCTTTGAAGTTCTGATCAACGGCCTGCCGCAGGTCATACTCTGCGTTTCTTGACAAAATCGGCAAGCATGAAGGTCTTACTTCCGACAATCTGATTAGATTATTGTTCGGCCAACAGAAGCGCTAGGCCTTTTTGGGACATATATTTACGGGGCCACCGCACCCAAGACAGGAACATGTAACTAAGTTTAGCTAGCTTCACAATGACCAAATATTATATTTGTTGAAGGTTATTGTATGACATACTCGTTCGTGACGAGAAAGGTAGCTGGGCATTCGAACCTCACCACTGAGGGAGCTGCAGTATCGAAGTGCCTGCCATTGCCAAATGAGCGTCGCACCCTTTTGAATTACCTTCAATCTCAATGTTCCTCCGCATACTGGGCAACTCGCATCACTGTAGGAACAAAGAGCTTACCATATTGCTGGGATGCCTTGCTACCCATCATCAAACTCATCTCCAATCAGACCTCTTGGACTAAGCACAGGAAACGCCCAAATGCTACCACCTGACCACCCACACTTCTCGCAGCTATCAGAAGAGACAATTCTCGATCTACACCAAGGAAAACAAAACAGTAATCGGTCATCTAGTCGAGGAACCAGTTCACAAAGAGGCGATGGGGATCAAAGAAGGACAAGAAGCTCACGAAATCTAATGTCATTTCTTGATAAAGATAAAAGCAGAGGAAAGGACAAAGCGGCTGGAGGTAAAATAGGAGGAAAGCATACACGCTCAAAATCTTCTACCAGCATACCTAGTATCTTTTCACGGGCAGGTTCTTCCAAGAGCAAGAAAGATCTTGACACTGAAGAACAAGTCGACAAGGAAAACAGAACGCCACCTCCAGCTCCAATCTGGGCACAATTCGCCACACAAGCTGTGCCAGGAAGCTCAAGTACGACTAAAGTTCCGCTTAACGATGAGCGCACTAGAGAAGAGGAAGCCGAATTGTATTCTCCTCAAGATTATTCTCCGTCGAAGCAGAGGCACTATCCCATCAATCAACAGCCCACCCTTGGAAGAAGGTCTCAGCAGAAGCCTCGTCCCAAGTCAGAATGCTTGCCGGGTAATGACACCCGTAACATTCTTCTGGATACAGTATCTGGCTCTCGTCAGGACCAGTCGCAGAGTCAGGTCTTGAAAGCTGCAGGTAGGGGTCGGAAATCATGCTCAGATGAAAGAGGGCGTAAAATGCCAGTGGAAGGCGAAGACGGAACGAGTAGTATTGTCCCTGGGCTCACAGTCAGTAAAAGGGGTTCTAGAGTGATGGCTGCTGTCGCAGTATTCAATGGAAAGTCGAAAGATCTCAAGAAGAACGAAATGAGTGATCAAGGAAAACATTGTGATACTCGACCACTTGATCCGAAAGCAGTTGAGTCAGCTTTCGAATCGCTACTGGTACGAGGTCCTTGAACTTGTTGATGGACTGTAGAGTTGACGAAAGCTTAGGATGCAAGGAATGTTCCTCAAAACACGAAAGATAAAATGAGGTCTTTGGACACAACTATCAAAGCAGATCTAATCAAACAGGACAGGACGGGCTCGGGCTCATCATCCAGCGCTGAGGGTATGCAACATAGTCGAAAGCCTAGCTTAGGTGAGCGATCAAGGACTGACTGTAGCCTCCCTGGAGACTCTGGTGGGACGTCAGACTCTGGTGGTTTTGAGACTCGCAAAAGCTCTCGGCCTCGCAGTCGTACCTTCACTTTCAACAAAGGCGAGGGATCACCTACGAAGAAGCGTAAATCTGAGCGATCTCGTTCGCGTCAGCGACCCCAGCCAGGCGAGCTGCAAAACTCAGAATCCTCTTGGTCACTTAGTGGTGGAGATGCGTCCAGAAAGGGTTCTTTCGGTCTGTTCAGCAAAGCGAACGTGTTTACGACGCCGGATGACTGCATCAAGTATCTCAGGGATGTGAAGATGCCGCAATCGGTAGAGGTAGGGAAGATCCATAAGCTGCGGCAACTGCTGAGAAATGAGACGGTGGAGTGGGTGAACAATTTTATCACTCAGGGAGGTATGATCGAAATCGTCGATCTCGCGTTCAGAACTATGGCGGTAGAGTGGAGGGAGGATCATGAGGATACGCTGCTTCACGAGACCCTCTCATGCCTCAAGGCTCTCAGCACAACGTCTCTTGCTCTAGTGACTCTGACCAAAATCCACGGCGATCTATTCCCTGCTTTGATCAGATTGCTATTCTCAGAGGAGAAGAAAGGCCCGAGTGAGTTCACGACACGTACTCTCATTATTGGCCTTTTGCAATCATATCTCTCCAGCGCCCCGACACCCGATATTGCGACTCGAGCGCGCATACTACTCGCTTATCTGAAAGATCCTTCCAAGCCCGAAGAAGCCCAGCCTCTTGGTTTCATAGTTTCCATGCACCATCCACGACCATACAGAATTTGGCAAAAGGAAATCTCAGATGTTACCAAGGAGGTTTTCTGGATATTCCTTCACAACATGAATATCGTTCCTTACCCTGATCAGCCCTTGGACGGAACTTCGACATATAAGGACCGTCATTTTCCAAAACCACATCCTCCAATTCCTACAGCGCCTTACATTGGTGGTGTAGAATGGGACGCCACCACCTATCTCACCACGCATCTTGATCTGTTGAACGGCATCCTGGCAGCTCTACCTACTACTGATGAGAGGAACGCCCTCCGTCAGGAACTTAAGGATTCAGCATTTGAGAAAGTCATGGGCGCAAGCCTTCGGACATGTAAAGAAAAATTTTACGGAAGCGTTCACGAGGCCTTGAGCACTTGGGTTGGCGCGGCTCGAGAAGATGGATGGAATGTTCAAGGCGTACGAGAGGGTGCTCTTCCAAAGACTGCACCTAACAGCCCCAAAAAAAGCGCAAGTCCAGCAAAGAAAGAGAAAGGTAAGGGAGACCCTCCAAAGTTGGACATGCCAAAACTGGATCTAGGTGCAGGCATCGGCGGAGTGGCAGTGTCTGCCGATCAAGGTGGATGGCTTTAAAGATGTCGAGATTGTGGTGGACGAGGTCTGCTCTTCTGCTTGCTTTACATTTCGAAACGTCACTAAAGAGTTTGGTTTGCCTTGATGCAGGGGCTTGGCGCTTTGTTGATTTTATGAGCAAGACTGTCATGGTAATGAGTGATAATGAATCAATGAATCTGCTCCTCATAGTATTTGAACCAAAGGCTATGAAGGGATCATGCATACATACTCAAACCATACCCCTGCACTGCAAGCCTGGGCCTCTGTTCCATGAAGCCTTGTGAAAATTGTCTTTTGCATGTGGTTCTGAAGCTTACCAACGTCTTCGTATCCAATCTGTCTCTGGGTTTACATTTCTCGGTTCTTGTAAACTCGAGCTTCACCGTTAGTAACGCCTCATCTTTTCTTTTGCTTCTTTCGTGAGCAGCCTGTTACAGATTCAAATCTTGCTGTTGTCATGCTTAAGATCCGCGAAGCCTGACATTCACCATCAAGGCTCTCTTATCCCATAAAATCCATGTCTTCTGCTCACTCCATCCCCAAGGCTCACCATTCCAGGAGAAATCAAACTCCCAAAGCAACTTGGCCAAGATCAAGCGCATCTCCAAGTATGCCAGGTTCCTGCCTATGCAATTACGTGGACCCAACGAGAACGCATTCAGGGCATCTTTTCCTGGGTCTTCCTTGTTGGGTGACTCATTCTTGGAATACCTCAATTCCTCGCCCAGAAACCGCTCCGGAATGAACGTGTCTGGCTTTTGCCAATTATGCCTCGAATAATTTGATGCGAATTGCGGTGCACTGACGAAGGTCCCTGCTGGAAGCCAGTATCCATCTACATATGCACCTCCTTCTGGGACGACACGGGGCATCCCCAATGGGACTGTCGCTCCCATTCGAAGACCTTCCTCGACAACGGCGGTGAGATAAGAGAGGCCGTTGACTCGGTCAGAAGTAATATCAGTCGAGTACTTGAATGATTCGCGGATTTCCTTGACCAAGATTTTGTTAACATCTGGAAACTGGAGGAGAAAATTCATTATCGCTGCCAAAGTGGTTGCGGTCGTTTCACTGCCAGCAACGACCAGCACGCGGAAAGTGGATTTAATTTCCGGAACGGACATGCTTCGGTCGTCGTTGTAGCGTTGGACATATGTCATGAAGTCATTTCGTTGGGAGTCGATTCCGTCGTCGATGCGTCTCTGGATTTTACCATTTGCGATGGACATCTGCTCCTCGCGTTTCTTTGCGAGTGATCTCGCTAAGAAACTGCGGACGACGATTTCAACGCCTGGAAAGAATTGAATTGATTTCACGATTGCGAGAAATTTAAAATGAGTAAAAATTGTGGACACCCAAGTATGCAGACGGGACGTCTCCAGGCAATGAAAAGACTCTCCGAAGGCAAGATCCCCAACTATGTCGACGACAGTGTATTCGAACCACTTTGTCAAGTCTGCAGTGACTACATCTCGACCCGAGTCCCTCAATTGGACCTTAAGACGTGTAACCAATAAGTCGACATATCGCAGTAGCAGGTGCTCTTGCGACTTCAGGGCGCGTTCACTGAAAGCGTGACTCAATAAGCGCCTATACCTCGAGTGATCTGCATCGTTTGCGCTAAGTATCGAGTCAATTCCATCAGGTCCAGTCGCCATCCATAGTCGGTTCTTTGGGAAATTAGGGCGGCCTTGGTGATGGCCGTAGATATCGCGCCAAGCTTTAGGACTGGTGAAGGAGAGCTCGTTGGGAGCTATCCGAACGACTTGTCCATAAATCTCGTGAAGCTCCTTGATCTTGTGTGCTAGTGTACCCTTTTGTAGTAGATTCGAGTAAGGTATTCGTGAGATTGCCCAACTTTTAGGTCCCGGAAAACTGGATAGCGGATGCCAATAGAGACGGTAGAAGACTATGATAAGCAATAGTTGGATAACTCCGACCGCCACTACTGCACTGGAAGTCGAAGAATTTGCTAACATCTTGTTGCGAAAGGGTTTGACTGATTGGTAAGAGATGAACGGAAGACTTCGAATCAGCAAGCGATGTGCTAAAGTGCTGCCTGTCCAGCCGCAATGTAGTAGGATTCGGAAGGACTTGCATCATACGTCATAGAACATTCACTTAAATCGTGTTCTGAAGTGAGACGGCCAGAGTCTCAACGATTTGTGATCTGTTTGTGTGTGGGAAAATCCATGCATGCGTAATACTCTTCCCTACCTCACTTCATTACAATACCATAAGACGAGACCTTTCATGTCCGACTGTTTGATATACTGCGGTGCGTGCTCAAGCCATGAACATAATCATGCGCTTCACTGTTGAGATTGTCAAATGAAAAACGATGACATGCATTTACAAGTCTGGCTACCGTACTGGGTCCGCCAAGTACGCTGTTGAGCGGAACACAACCATGGAAAGACGTCAAGAATGCTTTGAGAATAGGCTATTTCCGCTATGAGATATGCGCTCATCAATCAAACGTAGCTCTCGTACGGTAAATTCGAGAATGAAGCAGGGATTTTATCTGTTGTAAGAGCTGCTTGAGAATGACTGCTGGAGATCCACGTAAAGTGCCAGATGAATCTGGCTACTACGTGTGAAAAATTCAGTCGTGTCTGGAGCCCACTACGAACTCTTGGAAGCCGTGCAGCACATGATCTTTGAATTTGAGACTGTAGTAGAAGAGCTGGAGAGGACAGGAAAATGTGAAATGACGAGCGAAATAGCTGACTACGATGGAGACGCTGACAACCTTTGCTTCGACACGTTGTGGCAACAATAGATCAACAACGAACGAGAGAGAGGTTTGCACAAAATGGACAACACAATCAGCACATATCATCATTCAAACGGTCGCTCCTGATGCTAGAGCACCTTCGATGACATTTGCCGATTGATCTTACCACGCTGGCAGGAAGAGATTGGATCCGAGCTCTCTATGTCGGAAACGTCAACGCACGGCAGTTCGCTGTAAGTAAAGAACCAGGCTCGGTTTAGATTTCGTGATGACGCATGTCGAAGTCGCAAACTATAGCTATCGTGTTCAGGAAGGACAATCCACAGAGGTTGCCTGAGGGTGCCTAGCGTCATTGACGTAGGGCTGAAGCCTCACGTGCAAAAGTAAAGTAAGCAGAAATCTGCCATCAATTAATGCGGACTTGTTCGCTACCATCACCAGAGCTTCCAATGAAAAAGTCCAATTATACAAATCAAAGCAATCTCTGTTATCTAAAGCCTATCTGATCTCGGTAGTGGAGCTGTATATCGCAGAGCTATCCTTAACGGCAAACCCTCCCTCCACTCTGTAATTAAACCATTACCATCTGGTGCCGGGCCGATTTGTCAATTCCACCACCGCAATTCAGCTGATTCCCTATGCATCTGACTGAACTACACTAGTGGTACAAGCTCGCTGCTCATGAGCAAGTTGCAATATCATCACCCGCCTGAATCGAGACCGCAGACTTCAAACGAAATTGTCCGGGTTGATGGATCAAGGCTCACAAGCTCCCTTCCTACGGTCCCATCACACCAGGTGCCAATTGAACCTTCAAACATCTCACTTTGATTAAGTAGGTGTAGTGAAAATGTTCTGGCGCTTCGGTGGATATGCAAATATATCCACTCTCAACAACATCCTTGAGAAGCCAGATGTCACCCTCGAAGAGGTCCTCGATGAGGCAGATCTCATCCAAGAATTGAAACAATCAAACTCGAAGCTCATTGAATTTCTTCGGGACGAGAACGTGCTGCGGCGATTATTAGAGTATGTGACCGCTCCGGAAACGCCGAGACCGGAGGAGGACGAGGAAGTAGAGGAAACCGAGGATGAGGATCAGTTGCGAGAGAAGTCAATGAGCCCGTTCCGAAGGTCTAGAGACAAGAAAGAGAAATCTAGACGACGAGAGGACGTTGAAGATTGGGAGAAGGCAGACAAAACCCGGACGAAGCTTGCTTACACTGCATGCGAGGTTCTTTCCTCCGAAACATGGTCTATCACGGAGTCATTATTGGAAAGTCACCAATTGCTCAGGACTTTCTGGGACTTTCTGCGGACAGAAGCTCCACTTGATGCCACTGAGGCTGGGTACTTCACAAAAATCAATGAGACATTACTGGACAAGAGGACAGACCGAATGGTCTCATTTCTACAGTCTCTCGATTTTGTCATCCCAGCGATGCTCCAGCACATTGACTGCGCTGCTATCATGGACCTATTATTGAAAATCATCAGTATGGAGAAAAGCGAGGGTGGCTTTGGCGTGGTTGACGTAAGGCTTCTATAAAAACACTTGCGCCGGCAATTCACTAATTCATTGTAGTGGCTACAAAGTCAAGATGTCATACCTAGGTTGCTGTCATTCTTGGAGGAAGACCACCCACCAAGTACTCAAACTGCTGCAGGAGACTTCCTGAAGGCCATCGTCACGATTTCTGCCAATGCTTCACAAAATGAACAATCTTGTATAGGGCCCAACAACTTGACAAGACAACTTGTATCGAAAACGTGTATGGAAAAATTGTTGTCAAACATGCTAAGGGGCGGCAACCCTCTTACGGTGGGGGTTGGGTTGATAATCGAAATCATAAGAAAGAATAACTCGGATTACGATCCCGATATGGTATCTGCTCCAGATTCAATCCCCTCAAGCAACGATCCAATATACCTCGGCACTATGTTGCGATGTTTCGCCGAAAGAGTACCGGATTTCATGGAGCTCCTGCTAAGTCCAACACATGCTGCTCCTGGTCGAGATGGTAAAGTCCAAGTGAAAAGGAAAGAGCTAGGCGTTGCTTTTGGAAACAAGATCGAGCCACTCGGGTTCGATAGATTCAAAACCTGCGAGTTGATGGCCGAATTGCTTCACTGTAGCAATATGGGGCTTCTCAATGAACGTGGCAGCGAAGCATATATACGTCAGCGAGACGAAGAGAGGGAAAGGCTGAGAGCGCAGGGGCAGCTTAAACAAATCCGGCCTCCAGACTCTGCTGTGACTGAGTTCTCCGAAGACAGCGCACCGTTTACAAACGGCGTATCACCCCTAGGACCAGGTCTAGCCAACGAAGAGACTAGAAAACTGGGTGTGGCTAATAACTCGTCCGAAGATGATGGCTTTGAAGATGTCGGCCATCCTGCCGAGGAGGTCGATGAGATCAAGGATGATTTTGACGAAAAGCCTCTTTTTGAAATAGAAGCGACACCAGCAACGATTCCCGAGCTCTCGAAGTCAACAAAGCCACGCCTCGATCTGGATGAAGAATTTGTCGACGAGCCTCTTACTTCCCCAAGACTTGAAGCGGTCGACGAAAAAGACATCGGCATACCTGAAGACGCTGTTCCTGAGCCGTTGCACCCTCATTCTTCGGCGTCTCCCACTTCGCCCACTTCTGGTCTGACAACCGCCGTAGGAAGTCTTGCTGTTGACAATGATATAGCTATGACGAACCACGACTCAAGCTCTGATGAGTCGTCAGATTCAACAGTCCCGGAACTTCCTGGCAGTAATCAAATCGATGCCGCGCCGCCGCTACCGAAACGTGATCAAGATCAACATAGAGCATTAGAGGAGACGGATATGGCCCAAGACTTCTCTCCCCATCCTGAGGACAAGCCTGCACCGCTTTTTGCAGGTGGATTGGAGAGCGCATCAAACAGTGATGAAAGGCCTGCCTCGTTGCGGGGGGGAATTGATTGAGCCTCAGAGTCCAGAGACCATTAACACCATCCAAGGCGAAGACGGAGACAGCTTTCGTTCCATCAACGCAGCAAGCAGCGACCAGGCTTTCAACCCGCAATTCGAGTACGACTTCGATGGCCAACCCATGGTTGGCGATTTCCTCAAAATCATGTTTGTTGAGCATCAGGTGGTGCCAACAATACTCGTAAGAGACCTTTGTGAAGCCCAACTTTGTTCTTACTAACCAATCTTCCTAGGACTTCTTCTTTCGATTCACTTGGAACAATTTTCTACACAATGTGGTTTATGATGTTGTCCAGCAGGTCTTCAATGGCCCGATGGATAGGGGCTATAATCGTTTGCTCTCCATTGATCTTTTTCAGAGCGGACGTATCACGCAGCGAATTATAGAGGGTCAAGCGCAAAGTGACGAAGCCCAAAGAAAGACCAACATGCGTCTTGGCTACATGGGCCACCTTACACTTGTAGCAGAAGAAGTCGTCAAGTTCAGCGACCGAAACCCTCCAGAGTTACTTTCCTCGGTCGTGCTCGAGAAAGTGACAAGCCAGTCATGGAATGAATATGTTGAACATACCCTCTCCGAGACACGAGAAAGGGACAACGCTATTCTTGGAGGCGTACGACCAGATACATCATTAGGTCCGCGTCAAGCTGTGCTGAATGCAGTCAATGCCGCAGGCAGCAGTTTTGGAGGGGGCACTTCGAGCGTTCTCGCGAATGCAGGTCTCAATGGTGGCGCCACCGGTCTTGACTCAATGGACCTTGCAAGTAATGGAAGTGGGACATCCAATGGTGGCTTTGGCCTTGGTAGTGGCTCTCTATTAAGTGGCTTTGGAAGCTCAAGCGATGAGGAGGATGAAGAGATGGAGGAGATGGAGGAGGGGGATACTGGCGCTGGCCAGGATGCTGTAAGGAGCCACGCCCTTTCCATTCATGCCATACAATCTCGGCAGTGACCAAAGATCCGCCTTACCAGGCTTTTTCATCTTTCCGAGAACAATCTCCTATTATGCCATTTGGATGGGCATGGCTAACCTTCCTGCCGCAGTTCCTTTCGTCGCATCTTAATTCAAGCACCTCACCTCCTAGCGATCCACCACCCGCCCCTCCACCACTCAATCTTCCGCCCAGCCGTGCTCGTCGCCAGCTTGCAGCTCGCCTGGCGTTACATAGCCAGCAAAAAGCCGAGGCCGAATATTCCACCGGCAAAGATGATACCGAACCACTGAGTAGTACTGAGAATCTTGAAGTTGTTCATGACGATGACTCTGATGATGAACGACACAGTTGGGATGGACATGATATTTCGCAAGATGATAGCTTAGAAGAAGCTGAACAAGGCGGAGCTCCAGAATCGGGTAGTGAAATTCATGTAACAGAGACCGAGGCGAAGAAGAAGTCCACTCCAACAGCATCGAAGCACTTGGATCTTGAAGATTTTGCAAACAGTCCGGCGGCGGACGCTGATGATACCCCAGACAATGATGAAGACGTGGAGATGCGAGTCGCTTTAGGCTGAAGGGAGCCATTGCTCAAGGCTATGTATGGTGTAGTATGATACCCAATGGAGGAAGAAGGGGAAGTGTACAATAGCCTCTTTCTTTCGCACTTGTTCATATTTAACGAGATTTTCACCGCAGGGAGGGGCATTGGAAGTTGAGGTAATCTGTAAGTGTCTCTTATATGAATCTCATCCATCAGAGTTATCGTAGCCATCGCTTCGTGATGCGCCTCCTTGAACATGTGAGAGCGTGTCGTCATTGTTGGTCTGAGTCAAGTATGAGAAGTGAAGTCAGGAGCTACGGCTGTCTCATTTGTCAAGACTCTGCACGACACAAGTTCGTAACTTGTCATCCCTGAATTCTCGAATACCTTTGTGCAGTCGCCAGTACAACTTTGCTGTAAGATTACAAAACCTTCGAGGGAACTCACGAACAATTTACCTTTATTCCTCCATCTTTCCCAAAACATAAGTATCGTCTTCAATCGTCAGTACGATGACACGCACCAAAGGGCCAGAGCCTGCTTCGGCAGTGCCTTGCAGCACCACGTATCTCGAGTCTTCACACCCTCTAGCTGCGAGCCTCAAATCAATTAATAACAGCTTTGGCAATCCTGCTTCAACTACACCCATAAACGTTGGTGTACATCCGTTTATAGCAGCTGCCACGGCACCCATGGTACCTCTCTTCTACACGATGCCGGTAGCAAATGCCAATACCGTTGTGCAAGAGGAGCATTCGGGCGAAGTTGACCAGCACAAAGACGTAGTATCAGACCCTGTACAACTCCACACTTGGGGCCCCAAAACCCACGTACGCACCTCTAGCCCAGCAGGCGACCCCAGAGGCACAAGCAGAGACCACAAGAAGAAGAAGGGTCGCAAAACAAAGAACGGTTACGTAATCGGCTACAAGCCTCCCAGCGACGACGAGCTTGGGAGTCCAGACTTAGAAGGTTCCGACGACGAAGCCAGGAAAATGATAACGGAGGACGAGGGGAAAAGCTTCAGGGTTACGCTAAAGGGGGCTACAGAGAGCATGACTTCGCAGACGGTAGAGAAATTCAAAACAGAAGCTGGAAAGGAGGGCACCAGAAAGACGCATGTGACATTGGCAAGGATCACAGTTGTTGAGGAAGAAGTAGAGACGAGTTAAGAGACTAAGTGAGGCTGCTCGAGACTTGCTGCTAATAAGCTATTGTACGAGCGAAAATCAATCCTGTTGGCTGTGCTCAATCGCTTCTCGTCTTTCACGTCGTTGCTCTCTGATCTCTCGAAGAAAAAGGAATCAGCTATCCCACAGTAGTGACTCATCCTGCGTTTTTGCATGAGTGAGTAACTGGATCAATAGCAAAGGCCTAGAATCTATTAGGTATGCGACTATCTGCCGATTTGGCTAGGCATACCTCCTTTCGGTCTATTTCAGCTCACAACTGTCCAGCCACAAAACCTATCAACAGCACATGCGTTGGGGAAACGAATACCCCACCAAGCTATCAGGAAATATTGCTCAATTGATTAACTGTTGACTTGATAGCGTCCTCACTTTTGGCCTATAGTATTGAGCTTGCGTGTGCTTTATCTTCGCTTTGGTCGCAAAACTCAGCCAGAATCGCTGCCGTGGGACGCATCTATTTCCACAAATTATGTCAAATGCATGTTCAAGGTAGCTGAGATGACTATCATGATGCAAAATCCCGTGACCACCCTGAAGAAGGGGGTCTGCCTGCATGGAAGTCGGGCCCATGTTCCGTGGCCGAGTGAGAGCTTATAAAGGCCATGGAGAAAGCCTTTATGAAAATGACTTCAGCTTCTCTGAGACTTTTCAATCAGCCCAACCATCTGATATTGAACACACGCAGCTGCGATCGCTATCATGGCATCCGAGCAAAAGCCACTGACTTCCAATGACCCTCCGCCAAAGCCCGTACCAATCAGGCTGGAGGTGGACACATGGTGGTCTTCATCTGATCAAGTTCACGTGGACCAGCAGCAGCTCTTTATTGAGGCTCTCTTGGCGTTTCAAGCCGTGCCTGTAACGGAGCAAATGTCATATTTCCAGATCGCAGGTGGGCTTTCTACGCGGACAGAGTACGCGCATCTTCGATTGAAGTATGGCAGGTATTCCTGGACAGCCTTGGGAACCATGGGGTGAGAAAGCGGAGCCTGCGACACCGTATCGTGGATACTGCACCCACGGAAGCATCCTTTTTCCCACATGGCACCGCCCTTATTTGCTGTTGTACGAGGTTTGTTAGGGCAATGTTGTTACTGAGAGCAAAAGGATGCTGATTTCTCATCTAGAAAGCAATTTAAGACATCATGCTTGAAAAAGTAGTTCCAAAGTATCCCATTACTGGAGGGCTTCAAGATCGATTGCGGGCTTCTGCAAGGCAATGGCGTCTTCCTTACTGGGACTGGGCTGAGAGGAAGTCTGTTGACCACGGCTTGAAGACTTACACCGTGCCTAAGATTGTGAAAGACAAGGAACTTGATATCATGACGTCGACAGGTCCTTTGAAAGTGCGTAACCCTATGTATCAATTTGTCATGCCGAACAACGAAGTCATGGGTAAGCACGGAGTACATCACTACGCCGAGAAGCCCGCCGGAACCTTTGATTATTCAGCTATGGTGAAGTCTACCTCATCCTTGTCAGGTTTCAGTGCTGATGGGGTGCAAGTTCGAAGCATGCTATGGCACTAGTCGTTATGTCGATGCTCCCGACAAGGACGCTACGCCATACCCAACCGACTTCGTGGAGGGCTTTCAGGATAACGCTAAGGTTGAGGAAGCACTCCGAGGGCATGGTTGGTATCAGAACAAGGATCCAGATAATCCTGTGTACAAAGATACCCTGGCTGAAGCAGTCTATCGATTCTTTTCCGAGGAGTACTTTTCGGATTATTCGAAGTTTGCATCTACAGCTCTTGAAAAGGGTCAAAACCCTCAGTACTTCCTCTCGATCGAAGGTGTGCATAATAATGTGCACAATTGGATTGGTGGGCAGGGTGTCAATCCTAAGACTGGTAAGACGATGGATGGCCACATGACTGAGGTGCCTGTCTCTGCGTTTGACCCAATCTTCTGGCTACATCACGCGTAAGAAGCCTCATTGATTTTCAGGATAGATCATGCTGAGTCGCTTTTTAGCAACATAGATCGCCAATTTGCTATTTGGCAAGAATTATATCCCGATTCATGGTTCGAAAACACTAAGGAGAAGGACGAGGAGGGAACTTACTCCATTGCAAAGCAGACAACTAACTCGCCAGACGTCAAGCTGAGGCCGTTCGATGATCTACAAGGTAGACCTTACGATTCCGACATGATCCGCGACTGGTACAGCACTGGATATACCTACACTGAGTTGACGCCGTGGGATCCAAAGTACTCACCTAATGGTATATACGATCGGAAACTCTACATCGAAGACCTCAAAGCGAAGATGAACACTTTGTGTGCTTCGACTCGAAACCTCTGGCTAGACCTCGGCGATGAACTTGGCTCAGCTAGCACTTCGCACGCTGAAGACTACGTAGTCAACGTCACCTATGATAGGTTCGAATTGGAAGGTGCTCCATACTTAGTGAGTATCTTGTTCAAGCCAGCCTCTGAGGTCAGTGTTGTGAACCAGTACATGAGTCCTGAATATGTTGGAGGTGTCTACAACTTCTCTGCACCTAATCCTCGATGCCAGAATTGTGACGATCAGCGCAAAGAGAAAGCATTATCGACAGGTCAAGTGCCAATCACGACGCCACTGATCCAGCGTGTAAGGGATGAAGGCGTAACAGACTTAAACAACATGCAGGTCGGCCAGGTAGAGGAGTGGTTGAAGAAAAACCTAGACTGGCGAGTCACCATATGTTGAGCGAATCGCCATCCCAATTAGAGTCAAGTGTTTCTTGCTGAATTATTTCATAGAAAGGCAGAGAGGTTCCGCTGGATCAGATGCAAAGCTTGAGGGTTGGCGTAGCTTATGGTAAGGCAAAGCATTCCCCTGAGGATGAGATCATGAGCAACTACTACGGCTATGACTGGCTGTACGGAGCCACCGCTGGTAGAGAACGGGGAATACAGGCTGTAGAAGCGTTGTGAGATTTCCATAAAGACACTTGGTCCTGCGCCGCTGGGCGGGTGAAGTAGAACTGGATGATGGATCGGATGCTCACCAAGAAAGGCCATGCTTATCCCAGAACGTTTTTCCAGACTAAATATTGACCCACTTCCAAATCTTGGGGGACAGACTGCCTGGTGCTTGTGCGAAGGGATCGCTGAAATTGAGGGCCTGTCGGGCAAGCTAATCACTTTCAGCAGTCAGATCAATCACTTCCTTCTGCTTTCCCTTGTCTGCTACATTCATCCCTCCACGAATGTCGCCTTCACTACCCAAGTACTTGCTCACGAAGGCACCTAGAGCCTCAAGCGGAATCCCGTGTCTCATGCCCGTCAATTCATCCCAACTTGAATGCAACCCTATCAACTCTCCATTCTGAGCACTCACAAGTGGTGCCCCGGAGTGACCCCAGTAAGTCCAGGCATCATGCTTCAATGTCCCGATCGCTTCGTTGTTCTGCGGATCCGCACCTCCTACTATTCCATAATACTTACCCTCAGAGAGCTCAGTGAGGTTGTATTTCGTCTTACGGTAAGTGTCCGATTCGAGATCTTCCGCACCGGGCTGGCCAAGGCAGAAGATTGGTGTTCTGATCTTGGGTACTGCAAAAGCTAGCGGTAAATGAGCGAAGACAGGTATGTGCTGTGGTCCGGGTTGAGTGATTTCTATGATGACAATTTTGAGAAGGGCGAGATCGCGAATGGGGTCCCAAGCTCGGCATTCAGCTTGCACAGCTAGACCCGTATAGTATAGGAGCCATTTGCGCTTATTGGCCTGCCATTCGATGGGGCTTTCGCCGATGCAGTGGGAGCACGTGAGGAGCCAGCCATCAGGATGGATGCAGACCGCAGTGCCTGCCTCGTGCTGGGCGAATATCAGGGTTGAGTTGAGAGCATTCAGATGCATTGGATTAGCTGAATAGAGACTGTATGTTGATGCTGTAGTCGCTGCTAGTTTGCGCTGTTTTCGACGGAGGATATTGTTTTCAGAAGCATCGACACTGTGCAAAATATCCCCGAGGGGTATATATTCAAGAGCTTCTACTTGGCTGAGGGATGTCGAAGTATTCTCAAAAGAGATGGGCGAAGCGAATACTGTCTTGCTCGACAATTCTGGCTCCCCTTTTGGCGTCGACCTAAGCGTTCGTTGATTGTGCAACATTGTGAAAGGCTCCTAGGAGATAGAAGGGGAAGAGAACTCAACCGGAGATTCATGGTAGCTGGGTAGAGAGGAAATCTAGGCAGCAACGCTAGATATACTCTGTTGCTGGCCGATCATCTCTTACCCTTCATAGCTCATGTCTTCATAATACTTACATACACAACGTGTATCTTCACGCTTTGTACAGAGTGTCCAGGAACCCTCCCGCTAGTTGCACAACCACAGTCTTATCGGGGATACTACCAGCCACGCCGTAGAGAGCGGCTGCATCTCCTTTGGCTCCACCATGTGCCTTCTTGCCTTCAGCAATTCGAACTCTCTCCTGCTCCTTCTCCTCTTCGACAACGGCTACAATGTCCGCTATGAGCTGATCCACGGCGGCTACTATTGGTAAAGTCACGGCTACGTGAATTCCAGGTGGGTTCTGGAGCGCATTCAAATGCCAACCCTTCGCGGACATTGCGTCTGCCAAGTCGTAGATATTTAAGCTCTTGGACGTGAATGCTACAACACTCACGAGCGGCCTCCCGATGATGCTGAGATCGTCATGTAGTATCGGGTTCTCGCGAATAGCTGTTTCGATCTTCTTTGCAGCTCCGACAATCTTTGAACAGGCTTCTGAGTATCCACTTTCGCCCTGAGACATCAGACTGGCCCAACAGCCTGCAATGAGTGCACCTGGTCGTGAACCAGCCATGCTGGGTGATGCATAGACACCTCCAGACCATCCTGGAGAGACGAAGTACTGATATTTGCGAAGCGACGGATTACGATAGAGCAGAGTCGAGTTCCCCTTTGGTGCAAATCCATATTTATGAGTATCACAGCTGATGCTGGTTACGCCTTTGACTCTAAAGTCAAAGGGTACGGTAGGAAAGCCAACCTTTTCAAGGAAAGGGACCAGGAAGGAGCCAAGGCAGCAATCAACATGCAGTGGAAGGTACCCTTTCTTTCGAAGTGCGAGCCGTGACAGTGCAGCTATATCGTCGATCACTCCATGTGGAAAATTTGGAGCTGACCCAACGAGGAGGATAGTGTTGCTATTGATGAGTCTCGAGACACTGGGAATATGTACGGTATGGGTAGGTGCTGGGCATGCCACATGGTGGACCTTGATGCCGAAATATGAGCCTGCTTTGTGAAAAGCAGCATGTGCTGTCTCTGGAATAATCCTTTCGTCCGGTCAGCGGGCATGGATGATCAGTGTCAGAAAATAGAATCCTCACATTTCTGGTTCCGTGACCCCTCTTTCGGTCCTCGCCTTCTCCCTGGCGCTCAAGCAAGCCATCAATATCGACTCTGTCCCACCGCTTGTAGTCACGCCGGCAGCTCCTGAAGGCGCGTTAAACATTGACAAGACCATTGCCACAACCTCTGCTTCCATCTTTCGGACGCCAGGAAACACATCCGGGTGTATTGGATTCGCAACGCTGAACTTCTGGAATGCTTCTGCCTGCATCTTGATCAAGTTGTCACCACCATGATAGACGGCACCGCTAACATGGCCGTCTTCCCATCGTGTGTGTTCCATCTTCCCGAGGACTTCAAGTTCAGTCCTGATCTGTTCGTCCGTCCAAGCTTCATGGGGCAACTTCAGGTACCGACTCGTTCCGGGACCTTTAGGAACAAGTTTCTCTTCTAATTTGGAGATTGCTTCTGTGACTTGCTTCTGTATTCGTGAATGCACGCCTGGCAGACTGAAGACTGCTCCATAAGTAATTCTTCTGGCCGATCGGTAGGCTTGTAATATGCTCCCAAACAGTCCATACCCTCTGAGTTGTAGAACAGTCTTTCGTGTCCATCGCAAGAGAAAGAAGAAAAAGAGCAAGTTACGGATTCTGTAGCGATGCTTAGCATTGATGTAGCTCACAGAACGTTTGAGAGTTACATGTCTCTACTCAAAGCTATGTAATTACCTGTCGGACGGATATTCGTTCTCGTGAGTGAGTTTCGGAGGCTGGTGGGGATTGGGGAGCTCCCCATTTTTTAACGATAATGTTATTTTGATTCTTTACGCACTGAATCAGCTAACCTTGCTACAACAAATCATTGAGCAATGGATACAAATAATGATTCATATCTATGGAGGCAAACGCGGGCACTGACGTGGACTCCAGCATTTTTTAGATTTGCCTCGGTCTAGGGCAGGCGCAGCCAAGTGATCAAGACCTATATAGCAATTTGAGTGGGCGTCTGTAGCGTTATGTAGCTTTACTTTTTCAGCTCTTTCATTGTATTCATTCTACCGTAGTAAGCTCCAATCTGCCCTTCCCTGGTCTTAAAATCAAATTTCATCCGATCTTCCAAGAGTTCGTCACAAGCGGTCACAAGCCATCGTCGTTCTCATATACTCTTTAAGTATTCACCCTCGCCAATTGTCTCTGTCCGAACTGCGGATGGATAAACGGCTTGGTCGTCTGGCAATATGATCTTTGTTGAGCTTGAGTTTCATGTATTTTCAGGATAGCCTTGAGTCCTGCTCCATGAAATCGATGATTGTCGTCCTCGTATTTTCAATAGAGGCAACATGTCGCAGGAGTTGAAGGTATGTAAAATTGAGTGCAAATAGCAACTGCCATCATCCGGCCCCTAGCCCAGGACTTTCGATATAGTATCCGGGATCAGGGGTTCTCTGAGCTTTGACTTCGGCCTTTGAAAGAGCCTTCTCCACTTCAGACACGGCGACTAGCTCTTTCACTTTCATGATCTGACCTGCTGTGGAAGAATTGACCGGTAGAAACACAGTCGCCATGCGTTTGTGGAGGCCGAGAGCGTTCAAGACACCGCGCGTCTTCTGAGGAAGGCCTATTGCGGAGCGTATGAGAGTAATTCTGAAGAATGCCATTGCAGACTGTAGTCAAAGTCAGTCAGGACTTGGGACGTTGCTTCCTTCACCGCTCGAAGTCTGCGACTTACAGGCTTGTGACCACAAAAAATCGATGCTCAAACCCTCGTGAAGGAAAAGTGGTGATGCTAATCCTTAGCGGAGAAGACGCGCCAAGCCCGCGTTTTCGGGGGTCTTCTCCGCAGGTTCTTATTGAGATCTCCCTTCTCTGCCCTACACCAGCAGGCGTGCCTTTTCAGGCACAACTGACACTTGTCAGCTATGGCTGACGCTACAGATGGTGTCAAGGTCCAGCTGACCGAGCTTCTTCGGCATCCTGAAGATCTAGACAAGATCCCCTTCCTCAAGTCGGAGTTTGCGAGGAAGAAAGCCGTAATTGATGGCCAGCTCAAAGTTGAGCTCAAAGAGCAACTGGAGGTGACCCAGTCTGGAATGAATGCCATTACTGATGGGCAGCGAGTTGTCAATCAGATCAAGGAAGAGCTCATGAAAATCGACAAGCTGTGTGCCGAGTCACAAAACATGATTAGAGACTTTCCGAACATCAATGCTGTCTCCCAAGTCCATAGAAATTTTAGCCAGGTCGAGATTATGAAGGCAAACATCGAATCATTTGACAGCCGCTTGGACGATTTGTCAACACTTCTGCATGAAGACGCGGAGGATCTGGAGGTCCAGTCGAATCTTCTGAATATACACTACGGATTAACACAACTGAGAGACATTAGAGACGATGCAATGGATCAAATCAAGCGTGCCTCGGACGAATCGTTAGAAAATACGTTGCGTATTCATTTTGAGCGTCTAGACGACATTGTTGGCATATTCGATGAACATCTTGGACAAACGTGCATGAATCTCATACCATTGGTGCAAGGTGGAAAGACGAGTCTGGTGGTTAGACTGGCAGTCATCATTGATGAGGAGGAGAAGGCAGATAAGAAAGTCAAGACACTTCAAGACGCGCAAAGAGACTACAAGGACCTTGCGTCGCGCTTCAAATCCATGAATAATAGTGCCAGACAAGTCCGAGGATACAAGGAGAAGTTTCTACAGGCCATAGAACTTTTTGCCCAAAATCAATTTGAGGTGATTGAAAACGATTTTCTTGAAGAACCGGACAAGCTTTCCAAATCCATGAAATGGTACTTCAACGATCTTCTCGCTGTTCAGAAGGGCATGGTAGAACTCATGCCCAAGAAATGGAAGATCTTCAAAACCTACACCAACATCTACCATAACCTCATGCACGACTGGCTCATCAAGCGTATCGACGATCCTGAACTCAGCCCGCCGCATATGCTCAGCATCATCGACTGGGTAGAAAGGTACTATGCTAAGATGTCCAAACTGGGATGCGCAGCTCCAGACCTCTCCCCTCAACTTCTCGACAACCGGGAAACAGAGCTCATCCGCGAGTACCGCCAACTCATCGTCAGATCTGTTGATGAATGGATGGACCGCATGTTTGCTGCCGACAAGAAATCCTTCCTCGAACGCCTCCCAGACTCGCTCGATACCAACGAACACGGCTACTTCCGCACCAAGACACTTGGAGACATGTGGCGTATGTTGCGCGAGCAATTGCTTGTCGCCGGCGAGTCTGGACGGACCGACGTAGCAGAGGGAGTTGTGGACTCTATGTTTGCAGCCCTCAAATCGCGACAAGCAAGCTGGCAGAAAATGGTTGATGAGGACGTGGCCCGGTATCAATCTCCTGCGTCCGAGCAGGAAGGGTTGCATGTATTGCAAGACTGGCTGCTAGCAATAGCGAATGACCAGATCGCCTGCATCGATGATAACGAGGATAACGGACAGATCAGCTATCTGACTCGCTTCCAGCGCGATCTGGACATGATAGTGAGCCCGCAATACGTGAACGCGCGTTCGCACACAGAGACTGAGGACCTCAAGGATGGGTTTGTAGATCTAAGTACGCATTGTATCGCCACCTTTGTAAGCTTGATTTTCACGGTCGATTTCCGAACTGTGCTGCCCGAGTTCTTCACGCAGAAATGGTACTCGGAATTTGGGATGAAGAGGATAGTAACGACATTCGAGGATTATCTGGGCGATTATCAATCCGTGCTGCATTCTTCACTTCTTGACGTCTTCATCGAGGAATTGGCCGAGGAGCTAATCGTTCGCTATTTACTTTGCGTGAGGAACAAATCCGTCAAATTCAAGCGTGGCGATCCGTTCACGGAGAAATTCAAAGACGATGTCCTCACTGCTTTTGACTGGTTTAGCAAGTTCCCTAATTTTGCGGAAATCAAAACGAAGTGGAAAGTTGTGGATTACTTGGTCAGGCTGCTGGAAGCTGACAAGGCGGATGTGGTGGAGCTGTATGCAGAATTCAAGCGGGAGAAATGGGATTTGCAGATGACGTGGGTGGAGAGCGTTTTAAGGACCAGGGATGATTATGACAGGGGTCTGATGAGTGCTGTTAAGCAGAAGGCAGGTGAAGTCTATGTGGAGAGGGGTGGAGAGACTGTTATGGGAAAGATCAAGTGATGCGATCGAGTATGGCATGAATGATACTACTCTCTTGTTGCGGAAATCAAATAAGAGATGAAAGAGGCCGGGGCTGATGGCGGAATACCTCGTCTAACAGCAATGGTAGCCCTGCTGGCTTCCGGCACTTCTGAGCAGCTGGACGGCCGCCTGAAACAGGGGCCTAAATGCGCCTCGAGCTCAAAGAGTGGGAAGACGATGGCCAACTGGAGGCCGGGTGAGACGCTAGAGAGGACGAGGGAAGAACGGAAGTCAGCAAGAAGCTTGCTTTGAGGGTTTGGGAAGAGACGTATAATGACTACGATAGGAGTCGGAATCCAAAGCGAGTTCTTGGAAGCTCCATTGCTAGAGGTGACAAGGAAGATGTTCACGTGCGTCATGTCGACCAGACTCTGCGTGGACTATTATTCAAAAGACCCAACGCGCAGAATGTCACAATGGTATTCTCCAAAGCATCGTAATGAACATGCCATATATATACATAGTCTGCCCTCGAATCTATGGGCGTAGTGATTATTCATTGGACCACCTTGCAGGCAATGAGGTTGGCCATACCGCTGAATACATACCATTTCGTAAAAATATGAGTCTCGCTCAAGCGTAAGAATTCTATTTTAGGCACGGCCTCGAAGTGTCTGTCTCTGTTGAATAGCCTCGATTCGTACCACATTATGATATTAAGTACGGAGCATCGATAGCATTCCTATGCGCCTCACTTGAAGGTGATACGGTTCTGGGGACGGCGTTGTTAGGAAGGACGACCGTTGCGTTGGCACAGTCCTGACCGCAGACTTCCATGGACAGTGCCATGCTCAGTTGCTCTGCGGTGAGATGCCATTTGGTTTTGTGGAGGAGCTGGTCTATTGAGAATAGATCTGCATGACCTGCAGTCAGAGGTCCTCGAGCCGGAGACTCTTGGAACAAAAGCATTCCTCACAGCCGCGTTTTGAAAAGACCAGTGGCGCTTGAGCTGGGTCAAGTCGAGACTTTTCGACGTTCACATTGAGAGCTTATCCTTGCACGCCACTGCCAGTCGACATCAGGGGCGTCCCAGGACCCAGATATTGCCGCGGGCAACCTTCGTACCACCAAAGCAGTCTGATCGATTCTGCGTATCCCTGTATTGCGCCGTCGAGCTTGGTCTGCCCTTAAAGCTATCCTCTAGCAGAGTGAAGACAGTGACTACGTTGTGCAGCAACGGGTCAATGATTGCTGTAAATTTCCGCGAATCCTTCGATGCGTAGGGTACGCTCGGCTTGCTCGTGATGGCTTAAATGGTCAAGACTGTTGTCAAAGATAGAGGTCGCATCTCCATGATCTCTCATGTCAAGGCTGGACGTCCATGATTGCTATCTAACGAGCAAGTCAGCAAGAGTTCACGGGGCATGGGCATGTTCGACGTACTTGGCTGCCAGCTCCCAGCGCCAGCCTCTTCCCGTTCGCATCCCAATCCAGCGAGATGCTTGGCTCATTCATACCGTTTTCAGACCAGTCGTCACCAATCCCACTGTCTCTATCTGCGCTATGGCCATTCGCTTGCGGCTTCGGCGCCTTGCTGAAGTCGCCTTTCCAACTTGCTATAGGGACAAGTTTTCCAGTTGTGTTCCATATGAGGACTTTGGTCTGGTTAGCCGCTGCCAACAGCGAGCCATCATGATTACAGGCCACGGCCAAGGGTGGAAGATCCGAGCCAAAGTTGAACGCTCGTCTGGGCCGCATGGTAGCGAGATCCCAATACTTGACAGTGCCATCTAAAGACGCACTCGCAAGGATCGGGGCTGATTGTGGCGCCATTGAATTGAATGCATAGGTCACGGCGGTAACAGTATCAGCGTGAGCTTGTTGAAGGCCACTTATGGTTCCGTACGGGTCAAGGCACACCATACAGCCGGTCTCTTCCTCGAGAATAGCGACGCTCTCAGGAGAAGCATTAAAGACGTGACTCCAATTTCGATCGGTTATTTGAGCATCTTTGACCGCCCACGTAATGCCTTGATCAGAAGCGATGTCCCAACGACCAATGGTGCCATGCCCACAAATCATGATCGTACTTACACCTGTCCAGACAGCATCCGTGATGACCTTGTCACATTGTAACGGCGGCAGTGGCTGAGAGATTTTCATGTCCCAGACTATGATTGAACTCGACCCGTCCCCAGACGAAGTGATACCTAGTAGAAGGCTGCCATCGGCATTCCAGCGCAGCTTGATGACCATTTCTTGGCCGATGGTAAGATCGTCCAACGCTTTTCCGGTATCTGTCCAGGTCGATACGTTGCCGACGACATCAGAAGGATCGGACCGAGTGGCGATGGCGAACAACGAGCCGTCTGGACTCCAGGCCATTGAGGTCACCAAAGAGGAATCGTTGGACTGAAGAATGTCGCAACTGTCAATTTGCTCGGCAGAAGCCGCGCCTGGGGCAGCCTGCCAAAGACGGCATAGCGCATCCCCACCAGTTGCCAAAATCGATGAATTGCGCGGATTCCACTTGATGTGCATGATGCTGTCTCTGTCTGGAACACTTAGGATCGTTGTTCTCGGAATCAAATTCTCCACTTTGTCGCTTTGGATAGCTATGCTTTGTCCATCTGTCAAGGTCGGTATCGGATGCGCATCTTGTGCCGCAGCCAGCTCGTCCCCGTCCACGTCCATTTCGACGGGGACGGTCTGACCATCATCAGCGACTGAGTATCCTTCTGGCGAAACTGCTTCCAGTGCTTCCCTTTGATTGTAGTCGTAGCCATTTTGGTCCAGTTGCATGACATCGGCATTCGCTGCATCTGTATTCTGGGTGCGACGCCCGCGCTTCCGCGCAGGGTCGGCGTCAGTCTGGAAAGAAGATGCATTTAATTCACGCTGGACTTTGCGCCCAGCAGGTGGTTGTTGAGGTGTCAATGGACCATCCCGTTGAAGCTTTTCGTGGTCGGGCGTAGATGCTTCTCGGATCGTTTCAGCACCAAAATACAACGTGGCGGCGGATGTGCCTTCTTCAACGGTCGCCTGCCGCTATTCAGAGGCAATTCATCGTAAATAAAACCACCAACATCAGTCACGACCTACCTTGGCGTGCGATTGTTCAATCTGATGGTACTTCAGACCTTTATGAACCAACGTGATCAAGGCCCGTCGCTCGATTCGTTGTGCGAAAGGCAGGGTCTGCGGGTCCTTCTCTCTCATCCAAAACTGCTGGAGTTTGACTGCGGCATGTCCATATCCTGTCGTAGAAGATTAATAGAAAGCTCGATCAGCTACCGCGCCCCTCTCGATGATGTTCACCTGATTCTTGAAGATACCTTTGTCGAACTGTGGTCAGCATGGGGCCGGCATTGGAGGCCCAATGGAGAAGGAATGACACACCTCCAGATTAGATAATTCACATGGTCGGAGGTCAATGATGCACCTGTCATCTTGACAAACCGGTGAGAATCGCGCTCTATCTACACAGACTACGGGTGGCCATGCCAAGGTGGTGGATGGAGATGGGAATAGGATATGAATGATTGAAGATGCAAAAGGCGCGTAATAATCGAAAACGAAGGGGGAGCCGATGGAGATTCCCAAGGCCTGGGGTCGCACTAAACGGGACTAAGTCGTAAGGTTTGGCTACCGACGGGCAACACGCGCCCTTTGCTTATTATGGGCCCGGGCTAGCTGAATGGGGCCTGTCACAATTAGATGCATGATGGAGATCTGGATGGGATCCCCACACCCACCACGCTTCTATTGTATATGGGTACGGTGGGCCCAGGCCATCAAGTGCAATATATTATCGAGATGTCATCGCTTTGGGGAAACATGATCGATACCCGTGCACGATCACTGTGAGACGAGACTGCGCCATGGTCTAGGGAGGAGCCTTGATTGGTGACGAGATGGTCCTCAAGTTCCCCTTCCCGGCTGTGGCATCCCTGCCATCCCTTCCCTCATCCCTGCGCCTGTTCCGTACGTGCCCTCCACCTTAGCGTCCTGCAAAGGCTGAGGAATTTCGGTGCAGACACGTTTCGATGCATGAAACCACCCCAGAACACCTCGTTTGACATCCAAACAATAACAATACCCTATTCAGTAGTCTCGTCAAGATGCAAGTGCGCATCAGCATCCCACCCTTGACCCGCCTCTTACTTGCTCTACTTCTCGCCATTTCGGCCACCCACCAAGCCTCCCGCTATATCTTCCATGCCCTACCCAGCGAGCTCCTTGCCCTCGTGCCTCAACAGTCCGTCTTCTACCCGTGGGTCTACGTCACTGCCGCTTTTGCAGAGCAGAATCTCATCACCTTCCTGATTGCTGCAGCCACCATCCTCTATGGTGGGAAATACCTGGAAAGAGCTTGGGGAGCAGCCGAATTCGGCAGGTTCTTTCTTCTGGTGACTGTCATACCAAATGTTGCGGCATCCATCGTCTACATTCTCTGGTTTGCCATCACACGAGATTCTGCAAGAGCGTGAGTCATCAAGCCCCTTTGACAAGTGCTGAGCGTCTACTGATTCCAATGCCAGTTTGACCTACATTCAAGGCTCTGTAGCCCTCCAAGGTGCTTTTCTGGTCGCTTTCAAGCAACTGGTCCCAGAGCATCTGGTTACGATCCTAAAGGGCGTTATTAAAATACGTGTAAAACATTTCCCTGCCATATTTCTAGCTGCAAATACTATCTCGGGATTTGTGATTGGCACCGATACGGGACTGGTTCTAGCGTGGACGGGCTTTTTCACGAGCTGGCTATACCTTAGGTTCTACAAAAAGCAAACAGACCTTTCTAGTACAACGACTAGCACTAGTAGGATCAGAGGCGACGCGTCAGAGACGTTCGCATTTGCATACTTTTGGCCCGACGCAATCCATGGCCCCGTAGCTGCTGTCGCTGACGTTGTATACAATGCATTAGTCACTGCCCGAATTTTGGCTCCTTTTTCGGCAGAAGACGTTGAGACAAGCAACGTTCAGGCATCTGCAAGAGGAGAGGCCGGGCTTCCAAGTCTGCTGAACCAAGGCGGTCGAAGAGGAGGCAAGAGAGAGGAAGCTGAGAGGAGGAGAGCATTAGCGCTGAAAGTCTTGGACCAACGATTGCAAGCTGCTACCACGAACAAGCAACAATCCTCAAGTCCCACGGAATCTGTGCCTAGAGGGGAAGCTGCAATTCCTTCAGAGGCTGAAGCTGCTGGCGCTAACGATAAAGTCTGAGAGCTTGCACACACTTCGACTTATTTGACTTGTTCACGTTGATCTTTGGAGGCACACGCAGCGACGCAATGCTGCATCTTCATGCCAATCGGAAGGGCTCCGGCGCATCATCAACGATTGCGACCTCATTGTGGTTCATTGACGCCATTGAATTACATTTTCATGCCCAAAGCTCAATGTGACAGCTCGGCATCTTCCTGGATCGAGCAGTAAGCATCTATTGAAGCGAATCGTCTCTGGATGTAAACGTCATGTTCTCCTAGCCTAGATACTAATCTACGGACCGGAAACGGCACTACTATATTTGGTGGCCTGGTGGGGACCAAGTCCTTCACCGCCGGAAGTTTAGCTGATGAGTAGCCGGACAAGCTGACATCACGACGATTCATTACGTCAAAATTAAGGATCGACGACATGAGAAGATATATAGCTCACATCTGTCAGCTCATAATAATTATTGTGACACGTCTTCCCCCACTCAGACCCAGCCACAGATAATTCCTACGCTTTATAAACTCGAATCTTTAATCGGACTACCAGCAACATGACTGACAATACGAACCCAGGCAATTTTGCCAATCGTACCGCTGAGGACGTCAAGAACGTTGCGTCAAAGGGCGGGCAGACTGGGACGGAGAACAGTGGCTTTGCTAGCATGGATTCTGACAAGCAGGTGTGTTCGAAGTTCCCGCTCCTATCTGTATCAGCTGTTGACGCTATATACAGAAAGACATTGCCTCTATGGGTGGAAAAGCTTCGAGTGGCTCATTCGAGCCTGGCAGCGAGAAGGCCAAGGAAGCCGGGCGTGAGTGTGATTTTTGTTTAGTGTTTGCACAAGTGTCGATTCCAACGCTCGTGCAATTGACTATTCCCACATCCCCATCCACCCCGAAATTGCCATTTAGCGACACAAACTCGTTGCTAATTTTCGACGACTTCTAGGCAAGGGTGGGTCTTCTTCCTAGAATGGCGATCGACCGTTGGAGCCATAGCTCGATGCTTCTACCCGCATTATCGATCTTTCGAGTAGAATATCTCGGAATAATCAACAGTCGATGGATAGCGTGAATCTGAAATGTTACATAATCAAGCACACTCTTTAAGTTACATTAAATTTCTGATCGCATTGTCAAGATCAAGTGCTTTTCTGTGTCCTTCGGCATAGAATCCGCTTTCTCATCATTACAGAATCAAGAATTACCATTTCCCGATCATGTTCTTAAACACTAAGCCACCATCTTGAAGATTTCGGTGTGAGGAAACAGTAGACAGATTTTGTATACCTACAAGCTGCAAATTTGCTGTTCAACATGCAACTAACGTATATCAGTTTTAGCCAGGAACGCACACTTTGAGTTTGCTTTATCTCTTTCAAATTATCAGACGTCGCTAATTGGCCTCTCTTATCGATAACGATTTTTTCGCACCATCCTCACATACAGCTTCGACGTAGAAACAACGCGAGAACCTGAAGCTGCGGGGCTGTTCCTGGGAGGTAGGCGATAATGTCTCTGAGCGAGAGATTAGAGAAAATTCGCTCTCCAAAGCTTCAGAATCAGCGTGAGGTGCAGAAACCTTCCACGACCGATTAAATCATCTGCTGAACGTGTACAGACTGCAGTCGTGCTAGCCGCGGTCGAGGACACATTGAAGTCGCAATCTTGCGAGTTCTCTCCCACTGCCTATTTTGCTGCCCTCCTCGCTCTCCTCACCCAATGCATTTCCGGGCAAGACGGCCTCGTCAACAAAGAGCTTGCTACTTGTGTCGTATACCTTCTTGATATTGTAGGAAGCCATGTGCCAGCTCCGCTGCTACGAAGCAAATTCAGCCAGATCTTGACAAGTCTTTCGCCGATACTGTCCAGCCCGGACGTGGAAGCGCCACTTGTGAGATCCTCCGTTGGTTGTCTTGAGACACTCCTGCTCGCTCAGGATGGCGCAGCATGGGCGCTTTCTCAGACGCAGATCAGCCCGCGCCGGGCAATTGCTGGTCTTCTCGTGCTTGCTCATGATCACAGACCGAAAGTACGAAAGCGCGCACAAGAGGCTATCGCTCACGTTCTACAATCGCCACCGCCCAGTCCAAGTTTAGACCATCCAGCAGCAGACATGTGCGCTGAGGCTGCTCTGAAAACGGCGACTGATGTACTTGCAGCTACTACCCTTCAGGGAAAGAAGGGGAGAAAGGAGTACAAAAGATTGCCTGAGGACCGTCATCCAGGCCTGATACATGCTTTGCAACTCATTCACTCTCTTGCATCAGTATCGAGGGGATGGCCAAGTAAAAAGATAGAGCCGCTTTGCGAGCTTCTCATACATTTTTCGGGCAGCAACGAATGGCTTACGCTGCAAGCTTTTGAGATCTTTGAGGCCATCTTTCGTGGTATGGCTGAGGAGGTTGCAAGCACAAAATTGCCAAAAATGTTGCAGGTCATTGAGGAGATGAAACCAGCTTTGGACAATGAGAAATTAGCACCGAGCTGGTGTGCGATCATCAGCAGAGGCTATGTTGTTTCTGCTCAGGTCGAAAAAGTAGAGACCTTTCAAAAGCTCCCCCAAATTTTTGAGTCTGTGAAGCAATATTGCTCATCAGGTAGCTACAACATTCGAAAAAGCGCTTCTGAATGTTTGATATCCTTCCTTTCAAATTGTATCTCTGAAGACGCCATAATCGAGCCTAGTATCTATGACGAGAAGGTACTGGGGAACATTGCGAAGTCCACGATAGATTTGTTGAGTATCAAATATCAGACCGCCTGGATGGAGGTTTTCTCTGTGTTATCTGCTACATTTGACGCCTACAGATACAGGTCAGTGAACTTACTTAATGAGATTGTTAAGATACTTGGAGGACTTCGAGAAAGTGATTCGTTCTCCGGAAAGAAAGAAATTGATCAGGTATTGGGACAGGCAATATCAAATATGGGACCCGCAAACGTTCTTGCCATTTTACCACTTGGCCTTGCAAAACCCATACCTGGCCAAGCTGGACGAGCCTGGCTTCTGCCTATTCTTCGAGACCACGTGCAGAATACTGACCTTATGCATTTTCGATCGGAATTGGTACCCCTGAGCGAAGTCTTGTATCAGAGGATAATTGATCACGGAGCTGCAGACAAAACAATGGAGCTCAAGATTTACGAGACACTGGTGCAGCAGATCTGGGACATCTTACCTGGATACTGCACTCTCCCTATAGATGTGCCCAAGGCTTTCGATCAGACCTTTGCTGAAATGCTTGCCAATCTGCTGTATAAGCAGACAAGTCTGCGTATCAACATATGTAACGGACTTCAGACACTCGTGGAATCATTGCAAGCTTTTGTGGCCAGTGATCTCTTGAAAGAAAACCAGCTTTTGCAGCACCGACTAACGAAGCCTGATGCAGAGGAAGCTCTCAAGCATTTAGCTGGGCTCGCAGGCAATTTGCTCGCAGTCCTATTCAATGTTTACAGCGAGACATTACCACAATACAGAGGTTACATTCTCCAGTGCATAAATGCCATTCTGAGTATCATACCCGAGAAGGTTAGTGATCAAGCCCTAGAAAGTGGCCGAATGAAATGAGGCTGACGACCTTTAGGAACTCCTCGAAACCTTCCATCGTGTAGCTGTCATGCTCGAAGACGCACTTAGAGAATCTTCAGATCAAACGCAAGCACAAAAGCAACAAGAAAAGCAGGAGCGCAAGCAGACAGACACGATGCCCCCAGCTTCACATACCCTTATGGACCTTGTTATCACACTTTCCATCTATCTGCCGCGCCATTCTTTTCCTGCCCTGTTCAATTTAGCAGCACACGCACTTCCACTCAAAAGTGATGCCCAGCTTCAGAAAAAAGCCTATAAACTCCTGCCTCGGCTGAGCAAATCTATCGTTGGTGCAACGGCGCTCAAAGACCGCAATTCAGAGCTGCAGTTGCTCTTACTTGATACGCAATCATCAGTGACGCCGTCGGCGAGACGAGATCGTCTGGCCGCCATTACGGTCGTCGTAGAGCACCTGCCAGACACTGAATTGCACTTTGTTCCTTCGGTCTTGAGCGAAGTCGTGATAGCATGTAAGGAAGTGAATGATAAGGCCCGTACCACGGCATTTGACCTTCTTATACTCATGGCACAGAAAGTGTCCGCAGGTGGCAAGATCGAGCAGTCAAAGATCCCTCATATGGACGATTCTGCACCTGTTGCTGAGGCTAGCCTGGAGGAATTTTTCACCATGGTATCGGCAGGTTTAGTTGGGAATAGCCCGCATATGATCTCAGCTACCATAACAGCGTTGGCTCGTATCCTCCATGAATTCATATTACGGCTACCTCGAAACGTCATGGAGGATATTGTACAGACTATGTCGCTCTTCCTCACGTCGACGAATCGAGAAATTGTCCGCGCAGTCCTCGGTTTTGTGAAAGTCGCGATTATCTCGCTGCCTGAAGATCTCATACGTCCTCGACTTGAGGGCTTAATCCCGGGTCTTATGCAATGGAGTCATGAACACAAGGCTCGATTCAGATCAAAAGTGAAACACATCCTTGAGCGTGCAGTACGCCGCTTTGGATATGATAGCATTGAGAGTTATTGCCCCGAAGCAGACAAGAAACTCATTCAGAATATCCGTAAGACTCGGGAACGTCGGAAGAAGAAGAATCAATACAACAAGGATGACCCTGAAGATGACTCTGTTGCCGAGGAGCCTTCGAATGGCAGCAAAGGCAGATTCGAAAGTGAACATGACGAAGTACTCTATGGCAGTGCATCTTCTTCCGATGCTTCCGATGACGAGACTGAGGCCCGCCAACGCTCCAGTAGCAAACGCAAAGCCAGTGGCACGAAGACATATATTTCCGAAGCGCAAGACGAGCCCCTCGACCTACTAGACCGGCGTTCCCTTGCAAACATTTCTTCCCGCAAACCTGTCCCCACCAAGCAACCTCCCACCAGCACAAAAAGAAAAGGCAAAATAAAGGTTGATGGCAAACTTGTCATCAATGATAATGACTCCGATGATGATGATAAGGGAGGTGGTGTGACGAGGAGCAATCGGAATGGAAATGATGATGCAATGGCTCTCGATGCGAGAGATGAGGACGAAGGTGGCGGCATCAACGCCTACGTCGAGGCTGTGAAAGGCAAAGATGCCATTCAGCGTGGGCAGAGAGGGAGGCTGAAGTACAGCAATAAGCGTGACAGGGGTGATGCTATGGATATCGATGGTGAGGAGGATGGAGCTGCAGCAGCTAAGAAGGTGAGGTTTGCGGACGGTGGGAATAGGAAAGGTGCTGTAGGTAGTAAAGCAAAGAAGAAAGGATTTGCGACTGGTGCGAATGGGCAGAAGATGAATGTAAAGGCTAAAGGGGGAATCAGTAAGAGGGTCGAACGTAGAGGATTAGGTGGTGGAAAGATCGGAAAGTTCAAATGAAGGTAGTCAAATATCGATCAGTCGTTGATATGAATGTTAGATGTAGATATCTGTGTCATACTGAGATGTGTATAGAATGATCTCTGCTTCGTTTATGAACAACGACGCTTCATGCCCCCAACCACGTAAGACCCCACCATCCTTCATGTCTGCGTCGTTTCAAGGATGCACGTAAATCTATAGGAGAGCAAAAAATAACATATACTAATCAAGGTTTCTCAAGGTCAAAGTATCCATGATGGTATGTTCCGTCTCAAGTAGCGATCAGTCTCAGGCCCTTTCAGCATTCAGCGTATGTTGCGTGCCTTCCTGCCTGTTGATTGCTGTCATTTCTGCGTTGTTCCTCAGACATACTCAGCCTTCACACGTCCGTAGTTGATGTCGTTGTGGATCAGTTCATAAACGGTATCAGCGGAATGATAGGTGACCTGGATTTTGTATTTGATAATGTAGTACATTGCGCCGTCGGCTCCCATTTTGGTAGGCAATAGAGACGGTGAAATGCGACTGAGGTCCGCATTGACGCTGACTAGTTTTTGAACCTCCGCTGTGACAATTAGTCTTGATAGATAGACCAAGTAAGAGGTGCACTGACCACAATCTTTATATTTGGGAACACCGGCATTGTTTTGATCACTCGACATTAGTATATTACTAGTCACACGTCGGAGGGGTCCATCCTCGATCTTGGATTTTCGATAGCGATGCAGCTGCACGGGCTCGTCTTCTTTGACAGTATCCCCCTGCCATAGCCATCAGTACATAACACAACGTCTGTAACGATTCGTTTGACGAAGAGTCTCAATACTACCTTTTTAATGAACCAGTTCACTAGCGAAATACGCCAGCTGCCATGATAGGAACTCCAGTATCTAGTACGTTACTATCAAGAGTGCTAGCTTTGAAAAGTCGACGATCAGTACTTACCGACGTGAGATGGGATGCTCGAACTCGTTGAATGAATGCCCACAGTCTGTGCCGTAGTGCTTACGAGCTGATCGGCCGCTGACCTTGACTTTTGTTGATGAGGGGAGTTTTACAGCAAGACCTTTCATGAGAGCTCCTTTAACAACAGCGGTCCATCTAATAGTCTCAGCATGCCGGATTATTGAACACCTCTTGAACTCCGCTGCGCTTACCCGTCTGGTGGTTGGATAACTTCAGCAGACACAGATGAGTGTTTGATTTCCTTGGCAATCTCTTCGCGTAGGTAGGTGTTCTGTCCAAAACCACCAACGAGAATGACTGCCTTTATCGGTTTTTTCGACTTTTCAATCTGATTTGTGACTAATTTGACGGTTTCATCAAGGACTGGCTCAAAGATTTCGCGAACTTCAGTCCCCTGCAAAGCGAGTTTCGCTCGTTTGACGCCGAGTTCAATATTGTCGCTAATACATGGTACTAAAAAGATTGTGAGAAACGATATATCGCCGCTTTACGCAGAAGCCAGCTTCGTTTGTACCTGGGACAAGAAACTTTTCTGCGAAAGTTCCCATGAAGTTTTTCTTCACCTGGACCGAGTATGAGAACAGACTTCAATGGAGATTTCATGAGTCGTACCACATTCTCGAAATATTCTGTCGCCTAAGATTGTAAGCTACGCGGCCGAAAAGATAAGGCGAGCTAACCTGTTGAAGCACATCATCATCCCAATTAGGATCTTTCCCTAGCTTCTCTTCGAGAAATTGCTGGAAGCGGCGATTCAAGATGGAAGATCCACACAAAGCGCCTGTTCCTGGGGTAGCTTCAACAATCTCAAGGACTGGGGCTAGGGATTCAACTGTATATGTGATGCAATCAACTGTGCCACCACCAGCGTCACAGAGAACGAAGGTGTCACCCTTTTGAATTTTCAAGGACTTCATCTTGTGAAGTGCATACACTGCCGCAGCTTCGGGTTCAGAGATGATAAAAAGTTCGTTCTGAGCCATTCCAGCCTTTTTTGCGCATGCGAGGGTCAATTCTCTCGCTTTATCGGACCAGACTGCGGGAACAGTGACCTAACAATATTAGCGTGTCGTTGAAAAGGACTATGCTGACAAGGTATGAAATGCTTACTATCCATTCAATTGGAGTGGAGCTCAATGCACTAGCGGGCAGCTTATGCTTCAGCATATGCTCTGCGTGCTTTCTCAGAGCGGTCATATAGTCAGTTGTCAGTTTTCCTGGGCTATAATTGTAGCCTGGAGGTGCCGCTAATGGGTCAGGATATTTCTGCGAAAGGCCGATCTTTTCTAGTTGCGAAGGATCTAGGTCGAGTTTGAACCATTGATGACGCTGGACGGCATCGTGAATCTGAAATCCCCATGTGAAGCCACTCCCATGATAAGCAATTTCTCTACCACCTGAGTCAGCTGGGTCCATCGCATATATCATTACAATAACGAACGTGGGACACTTCTCCTCGGTTTTCCCTTCAGCGCTTATGGAGTCTCCCTTGGGCCATGTTGTGATCGGGATTTGGTTCTCAGGCTTCCGTTATGTGAGCAAAGACACGTAAAGGAGATTGCAAAGTCACAACCTCACGAGTTTGGGCCCATGCAAGACCACTGTAAGTAGTGCCACTAGTAGCATGTCAGATTGAAGATATGTATGACGAATGGATCGAGAACTCACAAGTCGAATGCTATAACGATCTTCAATTCAGCTTCAGCGTCAGACTCTGATTCTGAATCATCACGCTTGCGTTTATGCGACATGCTGACAGTATATGATAGATCAGAGCTGTCAGGATCACCTGTGGAAGTGATACATGAAGGGCTGTGGCGTTAGTAAATCACAATTGTAGAAGCAAGAAAGACATTCGGATATGATATATGACACCTGCAATGAAAGCTCCAGGAGAAGTTTCGATACAGCTTTGTGCAATTCGATTGGTCGAGCATGGTCATTCACTTCATAGGTTAACATTCACTGAAGACACTCGATGATTGTATTTTATCGCATCACAACGCATTTTTGTTCGTCCACCTCACTTTCGAAAGCGGAAGATCTGTCAATAACCCATAAAGTTAAATATAAGTCATCACTCAAAGCATTGACATGATCCGAACCAAGGAGACTCTAGCATTGCAAAGGTATATGTGACATAACATAACGTGTGCTAGCAAAGGTACACATAGACCAAAAATTTTAATGATCTCCACAAGCTAACGAATACTAGAAATAAATCAAAGACGAAGATATCGCCAGGCACTGATTAGTCACAGAGAAAGGGCCATACCATGCAGAATTAATGCCGAGTTCACACCTTTGAGGGATGACTTCAGAGCTGACATGACGTTCAATGATACCAATCCTACAGCCCGTCGGCAAGAGTGCAGCGCTCAGTCGCCGGGTGCAACATTTGGAAATGAGGAAGCAAAGACGTCGGAAAGAAATGATCGCGGTGTCCCACAGAGTTCTAAAAGTGCTGACAACAGAATTGGAAATTCGCTGGTCTCTGGTTTCCTGAAATTTCGACAATTGATTTCGACTGAAGCGCAACCAAAGCTTGAGAAAGCCCATGCGGACCCAAAGGCGGCTTTTGAGGGTCGCCGACACACACTTCAGCCCGTACACGTCATTGACAAAATCAAGCCTCAGCCGCGGATGAACGCCCAGCAAGCTTTGCACAGAGAAAAAAATGAACGAAGGGAATCTAAAGGAGTCACTGCCATCTTCCAGCGACAGAAGACAGAGATTATGGACTTGCGTGAAAACCTTTCAAAAACCCAAAGCGAATTGGCCGCCTGCAAAAACGATCTCCTGTGTCTGCAGCCTTTAGCTCAAGTGCCAGATTCGGTGATTGAGGGGGAGTTCGACTCTCTCTGTCACTCTGTAACCGAGTGGGCGAATGATGAGATAGACACTTTTGAGACGGCAAATCCGGGCCTTAGTCTGACTGAGCTATTTGCCATTGATCGGAAGAGTCATCTAGGAATTTTACTACATGAGCATCCTAGGGCTTCAGAGTATGTCATCAGGTGCTCGCTCCACACTAGATTGAGAGATTTCGTTTTTGCTCAGGAAAATTACATGCTCGGTCTCTCAGGCATCGTGAGACATGCCTTAATCGCAGCAGAGAATTCAATGTCAGAGCTTGAACCTCGAAAGAGTAAGCATGAACATTGTCACGTGCTTGTCTTCAGACTAACAGGCCATAGACAAGTCCGTGATAGCTAATTGGCGTTCTGAAACATTGAGCGCTCTCTTAGCCACTGAGACATACAAGACGGCCTTCAACCAGCGCATTCAGTATATCACCAGAGAGATATTTCATGACTTACAATTGGTGTTGCCAGCGCTATTTGATGCTGAGGAAGCGAAGGTTCGGCTTTATTTTAAAGTTATGCAAGCCGCAAGCAGTCTTGCAAAGAAGGTACAGACTTCGTCAAGTCGCTTCGATTTCGATCACAAGGAAGGTATGTTCGAACCTCGAGAAGTTTGGTACCCAGCAACGGTAACACAGATCTCGCGCATCACGATGGTCGACTTGTCAACGAGCAAAGTTATCAAATCCGAGCGTCAGGTGGTGGGAGATGCAGAAGGAAACATTGGAGACTTCATCTTTCAGTTTGAGCCAGCAATTGACCGTATCAGTCCAAGCGGAGAAATAATCCCAATACGGAAAGCGGCATGGTTGATCGATCTTTACCAACCATTGGTAAAGCGACAACGAATGAAATGACTCTGTGCGAAGCCTGCAAAGATAGATTGCAGCTTTAAATGCAGTGGCACACAGCAGGCGTCACCGGTAATGCCATGTCTATTACCAGTACGTCAGCACACACCGTACGGATGTCGATAGCTCCACGTCTGTTTTCCAGAGACTAGGGGATCAGCGAATTTACTTTTGCTAGATGTTGATAGTGCAAGGCTCGCGTTGCCGTGGGAGACATGCTGCAAGCGAGCATCACATCTTCGCAAGCGGCAGGCTAGAGCTTGACTGAACCAGCTTATTCGCAATAGCATCCCCTAGCATATCATAGCCAAAAGGTGTGAAATGCAAACCGTCATCCCAAATCTTGTGCACTTCCGCTTTCTCTTTCGGCCAGGGAATGGCGCTACACACATCTGCCACGTAGAAGTTCTCCTCCTGATGGCCTATTATGAGGTCATTCAGCGCCTTGTATCTTGCACTCGTCTGATCACTCCGATCACTAGTCTCCGTAACAGTCAAAGCCAGCACTTTCGCCCCACTATCCAGTGCCGTCCGCCAGATCTTCTTCAACGCGTCGAAAACCTGTCCTGGTTTTGCACCAACGATGAGATCATTGCCTCCCCCTTGCACGATGATCCAATCGTAAGGTCTAGGAGTATCCCGAGCAAGTTGTGGCCTGAGACGAGCCATGTATTTCCCATTCAAAACATAATCCCCTGGGAGGGCGTTCACATGAATGCTCGGCTCGGAGGACGGAAAGCTTTGTTGCAACCGCTGCCTCAAGCGACGAGAGTAGGGATGAAAGGCGAGACCAAATTGGTAGTGTCCTCCGGTGATCGATGCGCCAAAGCAAAGAATATGTAGGGGTGGTGAGACGGAGCCCATGCTGGAGACTTGGAGAAGAGGATTTTGCTGCAAAATTGACACTTACGATTATTTTGAGTGCCAAGAGAAGCTCAAAAGCTAGCCGGCGAGATATTTTGGGGGCATCTCTGGACCGAAAAAAATCCGTGGGGATACCATCTCCACCGGTGATTAGAAGATGCAATTGTCAGATTTGAATCCTATAAATTGAGCTTAGGTCTGTAATCAATCAGGCATCTAACCTTACGCTAACATCTAGCGTTTCCGCATCTCAGGGGAAGGCGCGTTTAGGGCTATCTACATATCAAGAAGGCACTCTTACAACCTTCTTCCTCCAAGCTGCCGCCTTTTCATATCCAGCTTCAACGACCAGGCCTTTCTGCCCCGCCCTCCATCATGGACTCATTTCCGATGTCGGTCGCTTGCCTTTCCCTTTCTGTCAAAATGCCTACACTTTGCCGCGTGAAATTTTCACCCTCCTCCATCTACACTCTCTGTCCATGTTAGCATCTTGCTCGTATACATCATTGAATTTGATCCTCTATCACTTGTACAAGCAATGGCCCCTTCTCGAATAGAATCTGTTGCTCCGGAGGTGTCAGTCATGATCTTCAAATCTGCTACAACCCTTAACGATGTCATAAACCTTGCAAAATGCTCGAAAATTCTGTACAAAATCTGGCAAGCACATTTAGTACCCATCTACGAGAATGTCATATGCAATTTGGGTCATAGTGGGGCAGTTACCACTAATCGAAAACGACGTCCACGATCCGCGCCGCCTCAAAAAGTTACAGAGATACTTCTACTAACGTACCGTCTCGCTGAACTCGTTTGTGTTAGTTGGATCATCGATGTATATCCTCTGGCTCCATCATCTTCAGACATTTGGAGATTTCAAGCGGCATTTGGCAAGCTTCGAGACCTCAGCTGTCGTAGTCGCAAGAAGGCGGAACAGCAAATGAAAGCATTAGCACTTCATGACCTACGAGACCTCACTGCAATTTGTTTCTTTCTTCGATCTCCACGTTTCAATTGGAGTATAATACAGCCGCTTCCAATAAATGGTAAGTCTTGGTACTCTGACTGACTGTCTTTGCTGACGTCGATTCCCAACCAGAATGCGAGATGCTAGATTATCTCTCGACTTCAGGTGTTGTCGAGGAGATTGCGAACGAAAGCAGCGAGCGTGTCCTGAACATGAAGATAGTGAGATTTCTAGGGAGACGCCGCCCAACAGGCAAGGAACTAGCCTACTTTTCGCTGCTCGACCAATGGCAGTTCCTGGCGGACCAGTTACCCAAAACCATTTAAGTGCATTCAAGTAAGCTTTGATTCTCGATACCGATGTTTCCTATCAGGCAATGGCACCACATAGCACCGAAGGAAACTCTCATGTGTAGAGCGCAATCCGGCTTAACCCCACAGCAATACTCAATCCAATGTCCTACTTTGCACGATAGAAGTCGATTGTAATTCATGAAAAAGGTTGGAAGAATACAAAGAGGATCAAGGACCTACGTCTCGAATGCATGACTTGCCTTTATCAATTTACGAAAACACAACATCATTCTGTAACACTTGAAGAGCAGTAATTGTTATGGATTGGCTCAAGAATCCTAGGCGCGGCTAATGTGAGATACACGACAGAAATGGTAGTATGAACGACTGTAAAATGAGGTGGAATGGACGGAATATTTTACAGCATACATTTATGCTTCAATATTACTCTATGCTCACACCATTTTGCTCAATATCCCTGCATTGGCGGTGTAGCTCTCCAAGCACTAGCTCTATCACATGCTGCAACTTCCCAAACTCGTCTTCCTGACCTTTCTACCTGACTTAATTAAGTTGACTCGACTCGAGACAGCCAATTCATGATCTGTAAGCATGTTAAATCTGCTTTAGATGAGGCACCCGTCACCAAGAGGCTTACCATCATGGCCTGCACAAGGCCGACTCTAAGACCATAACCACTTCCATCCCAACTGGAGGCCTGCAGAGTAAGATTGTACATCCCAAGAGCATCTAGCTCCCTCGAGCGAGCCTCCATCGCCATCTCAATCGTATAATGCCATAAAGCGTTATTTCCCTCACCCAAGATCTGACCAGGCGGTTTGAGGTGGCCAGCGGAGTTTGGACCTACCCAAAGAAATGGCACATTTCGACCTGAGGTGTCAGCTAGGCTTACCCATTCATCCATACTATCTGTTGCAAGGGGCCAGGAGAGTGTGGTGGAGAGGCCAAGAGTGTGGATGACGGGAATGGATTTGTAAGAGTCGGAATCCGCGCGAAGAAGGGCCGTGAAGCGCTCATGAAGGTCGTCTGGTGCTGGTGAGCCAGAAATTGGGAGGAAGAAATGAGGACTTCCTGTGTTCATCTGATAGTTAGCAAGCGGTCTGTCTGGACTTCGTTTTGAGAATAATCGTACGGCTGCAGAAGTACGGCGTCGATAACCCTTCGCCACCGCTCTTGCTTCCACCTACAGAAGCGCTGTCTAGAATCCTTCGTTGAAAGCATTGAGGCCTGATGATTTGATTGTCGCATCTACAAGCGTTTTTTTCTTCGTCCTCAAGCTCCCACTGCTTCATTGCCCCAGTCGCAAGATCTTGCCTCAGTAAGATGTTGAAGGCAGCATAAATAGACTGTAACATGTCATCGCCGATGAAGACGACACCGTCGAATCGTTCGAGGATCATACAGATCTCCGGCGTGGTGTACCAACGGAAGTGACAATCCGCCGGGCGATATGGAGCGTCGAATCCGTGACGGCCGCCTGTAGACATGGACTCCAGAAGTCGTGCACGGTTTGGACAGAAATCAGTGTGCCTAAGCTTCTTGTTGTCAACGCTCTGAGGTGGTGTGTACAAGCTTTGAGCTGCGATGCCGCATTCTTGGTGGCCTTCGAAATGAGCGAGGAAACTGGTCGTTGCAATGAGTGAAGACAATTGGATTCAGCAGAGGGAAAAGCTCACTCATTAATAGCATCATGAGAGAATGGGATCTTGTCGGACTGTTTTGACGTTTTCATGGGACGAAATAGCACATAGAGGAGAACCGCAAGTGTGATGACAGTGATAGCAGTCTTTCGAGCCCATTTGCTTCGATTGGAGTCGTTGTTTCTGGTCAATGACATTTCTAGTGGGGGTGAGTATCTATCTTCGTCCTCCTTTTCTCGTTTGGGTGTAAAGGGAAAGGATTGATGAAAGCTGGATATGCGAGGGAATGGGTAGGAAGCCATGTTCTCGCGTTTTCAAGCCCGATGCACGGAAATCTTTACTAAGGACTCAGTGAAATGTGTTGCCAGAAAAGGCGAATGACCGACGCTAACATCACAACACGATGGCGCTAATACCAAAATGGTCGACAACCATGTCAGGGAAAGAGCGTTCAACTTGAAGGAAACATGACGCATCATCGAGGGTTGATGGGTACGCAGTGATAGATCATGTATCAATCAACATAGAAGCAGTGCAAAGAAGTTGAGAGCTCTAGTTCTTGTATGCAGTCTGACCGCGACTTCATCGCCACCGAAGCTGGTGGCAAGCTCGGCGGAGGGTTAACACTTTGGTGGGCGCTTTCTAGCCCAAGGCCCCGATTTCAACGGTGCAATCTCAATTTACTTGCAGCAAAGTCCCATCATGCAAAGAGAGCAGATAAAGACGGTCGTTACTGACACTCGAAATGAATGAGCACACACGGCGTGCATACAGACGAAACGGACGTTTTAGGGGGCTGTCAATCAGCCCCAACGCTTGCCCGTTGTAGATTTTGCGGGGAGTCCCGACGGGGCCTCGGCTTGGCGGTGGGGAACTCAATTCGGTACCATGGCTCTGGCTCTGGCTCTGGAGGGTGCCTCAAATGACTCAAGGCCTAACTTCCTGTGCTATAATTGCTTGATCCATAGGACGCATAATCTCCGATCATTTATTGACATATCATGTCTTTCCCAATGAGACTGTGAAGCTCCTCTCTCGAACTGGCTGAATCCCACAAGACCCCACCAGCCTTGTGCTTCAACAATAACGATGGGGGTATATACACGCCAAATATAGAAAGCCCGATCTTGATGAGCCGTATGAGAGCTTGGAAAAATAATACAAGAAACTCTCTACGGTCACAATGTCGTGGAAGGCGACGGAGAAATTGACGGAGAGCATCAAGCATTATGCTTGCTTCCCAGCCACTGGCGTCAGTCTCCGGCAGATGGTGCAATTCGGACAAACTCCATCGACGGGTAGACTCTTGAAATTCACATGGATGAGTCTTCCCTGCTGACAGGTCCCAAGGCACGCTTTTCCGCGCCTCGCAGTTCCTCTCCGAAGAACTTCCTATACGCCTTGCACATAGGGTGCAAGAGCTCGGAGACCTTCCAGATGGACTCAATGAAATGCCTTCCATACAGCGCGTGCAAGATTGGTACTCGCAGTCCTTCGAGGTAATGTCCTGCTCTGGGGCTATGACAAAAGCTTACAAACCCCCCAGGATCTGACACAACTCCCCAAACCCAACCTCTCATCCGAAATCCGAGAACGTTTGCTGCAGCCAATGAGACAGACTGGCCGTGACTCAAGAGTCCTCAGTCAAACTACAGATAATCCGAGCGTGAAGACTGGCCAATATAGATCCATACCAAACCCCAATGGAAGTCAAAATGGCAATGGTACGAATGCGAAGTCTTCAGGCTCTACGCGAAGATACTATGCAACTACAGATGACGGTGGAGACTGGCCGCCTGAACTCAACGACTACAATAAGAGATTCGCCAAGAGCTTGGAGAAGATCAAGCGGCGGCATGACAGTGTCGTTACTACCGTTGCACAGGGTATCCTGGAGTACAAGCGCAAGAGACAACGTATGCAGATCGACAAGAATATTCAGTCATTTCTGGATCGGTTCTACATGTCTCGAATAGGCATCAGAATGCTACTAGGCCAGCACATCGCCCTCACAGACCAGCGTCAATCCAAAGAGCCTGATTATGTTGGAATCATATGTACAAAGACGAATGTTGCGGAGTTGGCGCAGGAAGCTATTGATAATGCGAGATTTGTTTGCGAGGACCACTACGGGCTCTTTGATGCCCCGAAGGTGCGACTCATTTGCCGACCGGATTTGAATTTCATGTACGTTCCAGGACATTTGTCACATATGTTGTTCGAAACGCTCAAGAACTCCCTTCGCGCCGTTGTGGAAACACACGGGCAGGACAAGCAAGAGTTTCCTGAAACGAAGGTTGTGATAGCAGAAGGCAAGGAGGACATCACGATGAAAATTTCGGATGAGGGAGGCGGCATTCCACGATCTACCATTCCACTAGTGTGGACGTATATGTATACGACGGTAGAGACAACGCCCAACCTGGATCCAGATTTCAACAAAAGTGACTTCAAGGCGCCCATGGCCGGGTTTGGGTACGGACTGCCCATTTCTCGACTATACGCACGATATTTCGGAGGGGACTTGAAGCTCATAAGCATGGAAGGGTAAGCTATATCAGGAGAATTCACTTGTGAACATCACTAACAGGGTATGCTCTCAGATACGGCACAGACGTATATCTTCATCTTAATAGACTATCATCCTCGTCGGAACCGCTGCAATAGCAATCAGCAGCCATGATGGGCAACACTCAAGGGTTGGCGCTGAAAAATGCTGCAATACGGTCACGTCTCCGGAATCAAGGTATCAGCGTGCGAAAGCAGGTTGGCGATACGGAAGACATGGTAAACTTGGAAGGGGAGACCTTGGATCGCGACGACCAATTGTAGATAATGAAACCGAGCGCTGGGTAAAATCTGGGATCAGAGGCAGGTATCATCTGTACATATACTATACACATATCGTTTTCAAGACATGATTTATGCACTCGTTGACTTCCCCTTTTACTTCCCACTAGCGCTTCCTTCAGCCGCCTCACCCTTGCGACGCGCCTTCAGCTTCTTCTGCTTCTCTTCCTCCTCTTCGTCATCCGCCATCTCGTCCTCCCACAGGTCATTATCGTCCTCAATACCTATCAGCTGCTTCTTGAAGCGGTGACGCGTCTGTACAATACTCTATTCGCAAGATATGTGGGTATCAAAACTCCTTTCGAGGAAAGACCGTGCTTACCTCATTATTTTGCATGCTATGCCAATGCAGTAACTCCCATGATCCGAGGATACGCACAATCTTCTCACGTCTGTCGATCTCTTCCTGCATTTGACGCGTATCTTGAGGCATTTTTCTTTGTTTTTCGGTGTGTTGCTGAGAGCAAGTGAGTGGTTTCTTCGAAAAATGGCGATTCTGCCTCATTCAATTTTGGTCCGCCGTAGTCGACCTCCTTCGGGTATTCTGACCAAACACACCTCGAGTAACGGTCTATCACTGAGGCTGAGCTTGCAGAAAATGCCATGTGGTATGCAAGTCAATATCTCGGCTGAGGAGTTCGCACGTGGGGATGGAGATCCTTTCGGCTCTATATTTAGCTGCCTTCTACGCTTCTTCGCTGCATTTCACAGCATCGACAAGGATCAGAGAAGATTAGGCCTGCAAGATACGCAAAAAGTGTGCAATTTGGTTTATTTATCTCGATTCATTCACACATGGAAACGTTTGATCATCGTTTTGTGCTGACTCGAGTGTTCGCTTGCATCAAGATCATCCTAGTTCTGATTTAGAGAGAATGACGATAATAGTATTACCCTCACTTCCTGTTCCTATCATTCATCGTGTGCAAGTCTCGGTCTTCGCTCGATGAGATATTGCAAGGCCTTCTAGCTTTGCAACTGGCATTTTCAGAGCAAAGTTACAATGTTTTTAGAAACCCACACACTCAAGAGCCCTGCCTACACGAATCTCAAGTGTGTCAGATCTTTGAGCAAAACATTCTGATCGACACGCTTCGCCCCCGCCTGCTAGCTATGTCCCTTCTCGCCATGTATCTGCTGTGTTTACATTGTCCTGTCGCACGCCTACTGACATGTATCTGGATCTCCTGTAAGCCTTGCGTGTCAGGAGATTAATAGGCTTCGCCCCATTCACTTTACTATATTGGACGGCCGTATCAGCGTCATGTGCCGTCTACATTGAACCCTTCAACTCCTGTTTCCTACCCTCGTCTTTCCTTCCAGTCATGAATCCTCATACAACGCAAGCCCCGCTACATAACGCTTTGCAAGCCCGTGATAGCGAGACATCCACGAAGCAAGATACATGTGGCTACCTCAGCGGGGACTACTGTCCGCTAGCCCTCGACATATCAGCGGATTAACGCTAATGTGAGCCCAGGTAACCCTTTGACCTGCGGACACGGGTTCAGCTGTCGGAGCTTTGGTGTATCGGCAGCAACCCTGGGCTGTTGCAACAACGTCGAGTGTGCAAAAAGCTCTGCGGCAGGTTCCTGTCTAACCGTCACTGATGACATCGACGCCCAGGCAACCAGTTCGAAGAGCGTGCTGTTCTGGTATGTGATCAATCAAGCCTTCTCTGTTACGAATTCAGAGGCTGACCCAAAGATCTTGTATAGCACAGGACCAACAGCCCCTGCCTGTTTGACATATATCGGACTACAAAAGCCTACAACGGCGGGCGTCAATCTCACCTCGTATGCCTGCGGTCCTACCCAGACGATCAATAAATTCAGTATAGACGCAAATGAGACACCATCACCGATTCCTGGCTATGGCATTGCTTTGGTGATTGTCTTTGGGGTGCTACTCATTGGTGGTCTGGTTGTTGGAGCAGTCATTGTTTTTAGGAAATTAAAGGGGCGTCGGAGAGGTGGACGGCAAGGAGGTGAGTGGTTTGCTTTACGGGATTGGGGAATAGGTCGAGGGTGACACCGTCATTCACTTTGACGACTCAAGACATTAAGGATTGGTTTTAGACTTGGTGGAATGACCAAAATAGATCGTTTGTATTTGACGATATCCATCTACTTAGGTCGCCAGAACTGTAGGGCGCTTCCTCGGCCATGTAGAATGCTGGTAGACTCAATCTGACATATCTGATAAATAAGACGTCTCCAATTATTGTCCAAGATTACTGGGATTGAGCACACAGGGAGTTGGCATACTTCTTGACGGGCTCAGACGAGAATAAGGGACTCTCCTACAGCTGAGGCGAAGAACAAATTGCGCACTGTATTGCAAACGCCTACCCTCCGATACATCCAGACCGGTTCTTGTTCTTCGGCTTCGACACCCACGTGTTCTTGCTCGGTCTCTCTCACCTTCATGAGCAGCAACATTGATGATTCCCCTGTCTGGAGACATGAAATTTCCTTCATATCATCTTCCGACATGCGACACCGCGATTCAACACCGTCCTCAACAAACATATAGTCTAGCTTGCAAACGATTTCCTGCTTACGTGGTTCGTAAGCCAGTAGTTGACCTGTTGTAGAGTGCTTGCTGTGCACAAAATATGAGATGCAGTCTGAAAAGTCGAACTCATCCTTGCGACTGAGTTTTCTCTGCACAGCCTCCCAGGGGATCCGGATCGATTGTTCGTGCAGGAGACGCCGGACCTGACCAAAGACTCTAACTGATTTGATCGATGCCCCTCGTGTTACTATTTCTAGAGAATCGTCATTTTGGCCGTCTTGCCCAAGCCTTGTTCTTTCTAGTAGCTTGAAAGTCTCGATTGGCTCGTTAGGATGCTGTGTTTCGATGTCAGATCCAGGAGGAGTGGAGGCCCAAGACCAGCTAGGTGCGATAGACCAAAGATTTTGCTCTGGCTCTTTAGCAACTTCTATAGACCATGTCAAGCCTTGGAGAAAACTCTGTCGCCACAGACCAGCGAGGTACTCCTCTTTGACGACCTTTCCATTTTCTACAAATGGTTCAAGATACTGGATTGCAAGACCTGCCATCGCTGGAAACCTGTCTTCATTTCTCGTTATGAACCGCTTTGCATACGTTTTAACCAACTCGAGCCATTGTATTTGGATACTAGCAATATCTCCTCTGAAACGTGTGTCAAGGAACTCTTGAGGATGTCGTAGCCATCTCGATCTATTCGGCAATTCCAGCTGTCCGCGGTGACCTCCCGACTCGATAGATTGAGAGTGAAGGCAAGACCAGTACATACGTTGCCCAGAGACATAGAGTATTCTGGGTGATAAGCGCTCTTCTTGCAGCGTCCAAGCGCGAGTGAACAGCCGCGAACGTAACCTTACTTCATCCAGAGTTGTATCTACGTTGGCCAGCCAATGTCCCGAATACAGGCGACAGGAGTCTCTACGATACTGCCAGGCTTTCCTATAGCCTAGAACATCGTCCACAGACTTTTCGCTCGAGCAAATGGACAGCGTGACGGCAGCATTTCCGTAAACTTCATGCATTCTCGATGCTTCCTCATACCAATCATCTGTATCCTGAGGGATGCATACCGCATCTACCCAAATGTAAGGGATTTTAAGGCATTCTGTGAGTTTAATGGCATCTCTAATGGTCTCCGGTAGGCTTGATGCTGAGAATGCTCTTAGCCGCTGATCAAGGTTGCCCTCGTTATTCTGATGGCCGCGCAGAGTCTTTGAGGCTTCTATCTTGGTCGATTCTACTTCATCAACGGCGAGATCAAGCCCCCAACAGTAGCTAAGAGCAGCATACTCGAGCCTATCCTCCCCTGCAGTCTTAACTAATTGGAGGTCTCCAGATCCAGGTTCAACTTTGACAAGGTATGAAGGATTTCGTCGAGACCAACTGAGATTCTTGCATTTGGCATGATTCTTATCGCAATTCTTGAACCAGCCCCTCGCTTCCCTCAACACGAACTCGCTAGAACCTTCAGGCCTCAGATTTGTAGGCACTGAGCCTTGATTGCTTGAAATCCTTACGATGGCACTCTTTTGCGGTTGTGAGGTTGTTCCTATTTCTATAGTCAGGACACTTTCGCTCGTGCCACCTATTTGGTCCGTCTTTCCCCCTTTGACTGGCGTTAGTCGTGTTTATTTTCTCATAGGGGCTTTGGGGTGCCCCCTCTGACAAGATTTTCATTCAGGGGAAGGTCTTACCGGAAGTCTTGGGGAAGATAGACACCACGCCAGCCGAAGGAATAGACAATTGAGCCCAGATTGGGTCTTGTAGCCCCGAGACCGCCAGCATGTCAGCTTCTTGCTTTGTGAACTGGCGCAGCCAGAGTGCTCGCTGAAAGACTCGGCATGTTGCGCACTTTCGCGCGCAGCGTTCTAATTCGTGGAAGTCATTGTGGACCTTACATCTCAGCTTTCTTGCATTACTATTTGTTGTGCGTTCGAGCTCTGTCTTCTTCACAAACAAAGTGCCGACATTTTCACACCCATAGCATTCATATTCGTGGTCGGCATTCTTCGTAAGCTGGCAATAACTGGTCATAATGAGACCATTCAGATATTGATAGAATCAGATATCTTGAATCTAGCTGCATTTGGAGGTTGATTTGATCATTTCAGCTAGGTCTCTAACCACGAAGACTTGGTAGTTTATTGCGCTTGACGCAACTCAAATGTAAGCTTTGTTTCTCGAGCAAACCTAGCCCGTATCACTTTATACGAAGCTTGAGTTGCCGGCCTACTTAAGAGTATTGCTTTCCCGTCGTGAGAATTGAGATCGTTTGCAAAGGGTTGAAGAACAGACTGCCCACCAAATAGATGCACCGAGGGCACGTAAGGTGCAGCCTAATCACGCGGAAGGAAGACCAGTAACCCCGCATGTGCGTCACAGAGAGCTCAGCTGCGACTCAGCAGATCGATGTTGTTTTCGATTTCTGCTTTCCCTACCACGCCCCAGGTATCAATAAGATCCTCTGTCTAGTATTGCATACTTTGCATTGGGTCGAAGAACGTTCCTGGCTCTAGGACGCAGAGCATTTGGTCCTGTTTAAAAGCTGGTATTTAACTTAAACCATCATGAACGTCGCAACCTCTCGAACGATCCGCCACCTTACGGATAGAGAAAAGTCGTCCTTTAGTAGAAAGTGAAAATGCGAGATTACTTGCGATACGTTAGAATACAAGATATTTGTGAAAGATCCCTTTACTCTGATCGTTCTTCGTCTCTTGATGGTTCGTCAGTGTAAGTACCGATGATAATCTCTCTATCGTCGTATCGGCGATCGTGTTTGCGCCGGTTGTCAAAGAATTGGATGGCATCGGCAACAGCAGTTGCCAGCGATACAAGCCTGTTCGGACCAAATTGAAAGCATGGGTCAGCCTTTTCAACTAGGGTCACGTAGATCAATCTACCTGATACGCTTGACTTACCCTGCAACGATAGCTACAAACGCCAGGATCCAGAGATTGCTTCTGTTAGAATTGTGCATTACACCCCTCGTAAAGTCTACCGCAACAATGTCGCCGAATATCATCACCACCTGCAATATCATACTTGCAACAAGCGCCAGCTGTTGCTTAAAGTATTGTGCGGCTCTCCCTTCTGGCTCTTGTGGATTTTGTGTACGTAGCATGTCCGGCGAGGTCATCTTATTGCCTCCAATCGCCGCAACGCCCTGCGATATCTTCGTCAGATGAGGACAGACTGTGAATATCCTGGCACAAGGGGAAGGAATAGACATTAGACTTTGAGTCTTGTCATGACTTACCAAGCCAGAGGTAAACAACGAAGGAAGCATTCCACGAATATCCGGGTCGCTAGGACTTTGGAAGCTTGAACTTATTGAATTGTACATGAAGCTGAGGAACCCGACAGCAGCCAAGAGGCTATAGAATACCAGGCATGTGAAGTGCAGAATTTGCCAAACCGTATTATTGCTGGCCATGTTGAGCCTTGATGATTCTCTTTCTAGTATAAGGAAGTAAGATAGATGTGGGAGACAGAAGGACTCAAGGAGCTAAGAGCTACGAAGGGACCTGGATGCAGTATCGAACAGATTTACCCAGCGAAGCAATGGAATACAGAATGATGCGAATGGGTGAGTGAATGCCTACTACGGAGCTGAGTAGAAGGCGAGAGAGGTCACAGCCACGAATTGCCATGCCAAGCCTGCTGACGAACTGGACAGAGCCCCCAGGAGCGTCTTTTTGAGGGTCCTTGCGGCGTGCTCTCTCTTGACCGCTTCAAACGTCATGCATGTGAATTTCTGCTCAGTCAACCCGGAATCTCTTTTCGACCCTGCGTTATCAACATTGGAAGGCCGCGCTTTTGATTAATGTTAGGTGTATCTGGCATCGCATCATTGCCGCCGCCATATTGCCCGAAGAAGAACCAGAACCACCAAAAGAGCAAGCCAAGGCCTGCGCCTACCCGTCGTACCAGGTCTTAATTGCGCCTGAAGTGATTGAGCTTCAACTCTATCCTCAAAACCTATCATTTCTACCTCTTCCTCGGCTATTCTACAGCTACCATCATGTCGAAGGTAGTACGGAGCGTCAAGAATGTCACGAAGGGCTACTCAACCATCCAAGTGAAAGTCCGGAACGGTAGGCAGATTCGGCTGCTCATGATTTGAGACCCCAACTGATCGTGCGCACAAGCTACTAGCAATGACCCATGGGGTCCGACCGGTACTGAGATGAGTGAGATAGCTCAGATGACATTCAACGGGTAAGAAATCTGTCCACTGCCCCAACCTTGCATCCGCTGATTCTCGACCAGCTCCAACGACTTTTATGAGATCATGGACATGCTGGACAAAAGGATGAATGATAAGGGAAAGAACTGGCGACATGTGCTCAAATCGCTCAAAGTACTGGACTACTGTCTACATGAAGGATCAGAGCTTGTCGTTACTTGGGCGCGAAAGAACGTCTATATTGTGAAGACTCTGCGGGAATTTCAATACATTGATGACGATGGCAGAGATGTTGGACAGAATGGTGAGTGATTGTCCTGTTATGAGGTCACTACAGCTGATCCCTTGAAGTCCGAAGCTCAGCCAAAGAGCTTACCTCTCTCATAATGGATGAAGAGCGTTTGCGAATGGAGAGGTCAGATAGAAAGAGTTGGAAATCTAGAGTTACTGGCATTAGCGAATTCGGCCCGGGAGGTCCGGAAGGATTTGGGGAACAATCACAACGACCGAAACCTCAGCGACGCAGGCCCGAGACGGACGAGGAAGATGCGGAATACAGATTGGCGATAGAAGCAAGCAAATACGAAGCCGAAGAGGAGAAGAAGCGACGTGCACAAGACGCTGCACCAGTCCAAGATGATGACCTTGCAAAAGCCATTAAGCTCAGTAAAGAGGAGGAGGAGCTACGCAAACGTGAATTGGAAGAGAGCAACGCATCTTCTCTATTTGATGATACGCCCAGCCAGACGCAACAACAGCAGCCGCAATTTACAGGCTACAACCAAGGTTACCAGCAGCAAGGACAAGTGGATTTCTTCGGCAACCCAATCAATCAACAACCCCAACAAGCCCAAAATACAGGGTATCTCAACAATGCGTACTCTCAACCAACAGGCTTTCAAAGTCAGCAAACAGGCTTTCAGAATGGCTTTCCATCTCAGCAAACAGGATTTGACCAGAACCAGCTTCAACAACAACAACAAACCCAATATCTACAACAACAGAATACCATTCAGCCGCAACAGACTGCTTTTGACATGAACAATCCATACGCACAACAGCAGAACAGCTTTGGCAATCAGCTACAGCAGCAATCTCAGCAATCTCAAGCACAAGCTGGTAGCAACAATCCTTGGGCTACAAACCAGCAGCAGCAGATCAATCCACTACAGCCAACGCCTACTGGATCTAATAATCCCTTCGCAACCAACCGTCCTCAAGTCCAGCAACAGCAATCCAGCCCACCCACTTTGAGCTCTCTTGCAGAGCAAAGGACTGCCACGCAATCTAACCAGCCGTCAACATTTAACCCCATCGCAAACTATCCGGTCCCACAACAACAGCCCGCTCAACAGCAAAAGCCTGTGAACCCTCAACATGAGCGTCTGAATGCCCTCCTCGCAACCGGAGAGGGCATGGATACATTTGGTAATACAGGTGACCTACGAATACCAGCCCAGCATACTGCACCTGGGACGTTCGTCAACAGTGCAGGTCAAAACTTGAACAGATTGAATGCGACTCAAACGGGTAACAACCCGTTCTTCAGTCAACAATTTACGGGCCAGCCTCAGATGCAGGGTAGCTTTGGTGCTCACCAGCAAATGCCAGCGCAGACCGGCCCTGCCGGTATTTACGGCCAACCAAATAACAACCCCTTTGGATCAAGGCCACCAGGTCAAGCTCAGGCACAGGGTGGAAGTTTGATCGATTTATAAGATGATGCGTGGACTTCAGATAATTCCCTAGACCAAAGAATGCCGCGGACGGAGAGATGGTTCGATCCTTGTGTCAGTCTCCGTCACGGTGTGAAGTACTGAACCTCATCTGATACCCAATGTAGATATTGAATTGCCCCTAGAAGGCAGTACCTTGCTTCCGACTGTTTCCCAGTGCGACGCCCACACACAAAAGCACGATTTCGTGTACCGCCTGCCATGATCATCAAGGTATCTGGCAGCCTTCAATGGGGGGCCTTAAATGTAGGCAGAAATCACTTTGCAAGTCTGCCCATGAATTTTTGCCCAATAATGTGAATATTCACGAAGACATCAATGAGTCACCCGTTGACCAATTGAAAAGTAGCTCCATCTTCCTCTATTGATTAAGAAATTCGACTTTCATCTCAACGTTATGCAAAGTTTGGATTTGCGGGTGGGCGTCAATAGCCACCACGCTTAATATTGTTTCAATAACATTTGATCACATTCATCATCTTTTAAAAACACACAGAAACATTCTGAAGACACACCAGCTTGATTCTTGAATGTTTCGTCTGCTGTCTGACCGTACCTCCTGCTGAGTATTTCGCGCCTCCGAGCTTTGCTGCCTAAGTAACCAGCCATTGTTCAAACTTATCTCGGGATTGTGGCATTTCAAAGTATCCTCTGCTGTGTCATCTTCTTCTTCGACACACAAATGTCTTCAACGGACATAGACGAAGCATCTGCAGCATTAATTGCAGAACTCTATGCAGAAGACCTCGAACTATTGGATCAACCCATCGGCAGTTCGTTTCAAGATTATGAAGATCCTGTGACCCACGATGAACCCGAAAGCCCTCAATCTTCAGCATGGGGAGTGCTCGAATCGCCCATTGTTGAGTCTCCGGCAGGACACGCTGAAGAGGAGAATTTGGATGGCAACTGGAATAGGACAGCAATCCGGGGAGTAGATGACAGTGATGATGAAGAGACGGAAAGTGCAGATGAGGAGACTTGTGGTGCAGATGGAGAGACGGCTGGTGAAAATGATAATCTTGCGAATATCGAAAACCAAAGCACACCGATGAAAGCTGTGGCGACTGACACGTCGCTTGATTATAATACCATCGTTGATGGCGTTGTAGATCCAATGGGTGACGATCAAGCACCTTTGTCATCGGAGGCCAAGAGAAAGGGCAAAGCAACTATCCACGACGCAATCGAAGATGTCGGCAAATATCGCGGAGTCACAGTAAATGAACAAGGTCTTTCCCATGATAGCAAGGGAACATTCGCTGCCTTACCTGACGCAACGGACGCTAAACGAGGAAAGAACAAAGGCAAGCATAGCTGGGAGCCTCGACCCCGCCCGCCGCCTTCTCTTGACCCAAATTCTAACAAACCTGGGGCACGAGATGAATGCGAATTTGATCATTGCTTTGAGCCCTGTCGCAGACGCTACGACCCCACCACCGGTGGCACAAGCCTTCACATAACCATTCCATGGTCCTTCTCAGCCGCCAGGCTGGGCATCGTGTACAATGAGCAAGATGACGACGAAGGGAGGAGAGGCTATCGTCGTAGACGGGAGCGTAGCTATGAACCAGTCAAAGTGCATGAGATTTTCCTCGACGATCTACCGCCAGAGCCAAAGAACGCGGAGGGAAGACTTAGCGGCTTGACCGAACACCTGCGAAGTTTGGACGTGGCCTCGAACAAGGATGCAGACTTGGCTGAAGACACTCCTCAAGACACTCATGGTGAGATGACGCAGCAATCGCAAGCTCAGGCCACAGCTCAAGGCAATGAGGTGGCGGGAGAGCCAGCTACGTTATGACTTTACTTTCCACCAAACTACTCGAATTGAATAGATGATTGTCATTTCACTTGTGGAGAATGAATCTCAGACAGTCTTTGTCGCGCTGTCAGCCTGCCACGCTGCTGCTGGATCAAGGTCTCCACCACTCTATGACCTCGTCCCGTTGTGCATTGATCTTCACAAGTACCGACACAAATCGATCATCCTCAACACTTTCCTAATGCTATTAGACGTCCGAACTCGGTCTATTGATGGTAAAGGAGCGAAAGTCCTCGCATCCACCCCACGTTCGTTTAGCAATGTTCGACCCACCTCCCAGCACGCACGATCAACACACATCAACCTAGAAGCGCACCAGCCCCCTTCTCACAGCCTCCACATCATCATCTGTATGTTTTAGGCGAAATGGGGATCGGACAGAAGGCAGACTTGCTAGCGGTGCATGTCTGGAATTCTAGTCACCTCGATCCAGGAATACCAGACACTAATCATTCATATCACGAGCTGGCTAGTACTGTGATACAAGTGTTTGATCGGCCTCCAAACGTGGATTTTCCTACTTCAATGCGAGTCAGTGTAACAATCCGAGTCAAGTAAGCAGGGGCTCAACCGCTGCAGGGTCCACCAGGATGGCATTTTGAATTACAGAAGTTGGAGGATGGTGAGACGGCTCGGAAAATTTGATGGCTCGCAGAAAGGAAGGATGTTGGATGCAGCTAAGGGTCTGGATGGCTGACAGCGAACTGCAGATCAGGATTCAGGACGGCTGGTAATCACCAACTATTGTTGGATGTTGCTAGACACACTGGCACAGTGGATGGCATAAGCGCATAAACCAGCAGTCGTGGCCGGGCTAATTTTGGGGGAAGTTGTGGTGGCTTGGGGGGTCGCCGGAAGCGCACTCTTTCCTCGTTTAGAATTCAAAGTCTTAGACGAAGAGAATGGTTGTTGATCGTGGGTCTTCACTGGGAGGTGGTGTATAGTATTCAATTACTGCGGTTAGAGCGCAGGTACTCACGATGTAGGCGTGCAGGTTTGATAGAGTGCTGTTCATAAAAGTTGAATTGATTTCATTATGAACTCTGACAATAGTGTCCAGTCCTGGCGTGCATGCTCGTTGAATCGTTGAAGCCAAAAATTGCTGCTCGTAGATTATAATACATGGGTATCAGAACGCATTGCAGCAGCTGTTCGAAATCCCCTCTTAGACTTAAATGCATGCTCGAAGGCTTCGACAATTTGGAAGGAAAGAAACCTGGTGTAAGCGCCTCGAATGGCAGGAAAAAATCATAGAATCCCCCAGAGACAGCCTTATTGCCTCTACCAAACCGAGCCAGGAGTTGCACTCCCGATCCTAGGTCTCATGTTGAAGTTGTCAGGTTCCGCACTTGATGGTCGTCGCATGCTGCTACTTGGAATATAAAGCGACGCACTCGGCAATTGCGGCGCGTCCGTATACATCTGAAAGTCTGAGGCCATTGGGCTGGGCATGTTTGGAGGAACAGGTGACTGCCAACCATTCATACCACTCAAATGTGGTGATCCACTGCCACTGCGCGGCTCATGGTACGCAGGAGGTTCGAGCACAGGAAGCGCAGGGTGAGAAGTGATGGATGGCCGATGGTTGAAATGAATAGAGCCAGTGTTACCACCGAAGGCAGACAGGGACGGAGAACTTGCCCCTGGAGACGAACGGGGAGAAGGTTGCTGAAATCCAGGCCGTAATTGGTGAAGTGGTAATGTATCGGAGTGATATCCTATGCTGGGCTGCCGCTCCAGTGTTGGTACTCGTGGCAGTTCAGCGCCAGGTGATATGGAAAAGCTGCTATCGCTAGGTGAAGGTGTGCCAATTGACACAGACAGCTGAGAGCCTGAATCGGAATAAGTCGTTTCGTTTGAGGTTCTCCGTTGGTGTTCTGGTAGTCCTGCTGCAAGCGCAGCTGCAGTGTTCGCCGCAGCTTCTTCGACGGTCCCAGTATGATGATTCTGGTGACGGGTTAGCGTTGTTCGGCGCGTGAACGTTTTCTGACAATCAGCGAAAGGGCATTTGTACGGGCGTTTGCCCGAGTGAATGCGGCGGTGGCGTGCAAGAGAACTAGAATCACTGAAAGGCTACAGGACTTGGGTCAACTTCGTACAGCAATAATCCTAGAAGACCGTACCTTGCCGCATCGTTCACACATGTGCGGCTTCTCCCCTGAATGAACTCGCATGTGTACTGTCAGAGCAGATCTTTGGATGAACGGCTTTGCACAGCCCGGCTCCGGACACACGTGAGGCCTATCACCAGTATGTATGCGCTCTGAGAGCAAGGTTAGCTTCAGCTTCATCACTAAGAAGGACTGTCCTTACCATGACGAGCAAGATCGCTTCTCCTGGCAAAACCTTTCCCACATGTGCCACATGGGAACGTTCTGCTACCGTCATTAGAAGATGTTTGGCTAAGGTTCGTGTCAAGCCTCAAGCTCGTAGGTGTTGGTGCTTCGCCAGATTGCCGTCTTTCCAAGTACAACCCGTGGAAGGATGGCGAAGGGTCGAAACTCTCTGGAAGCATGGTCAAGGGCTGGGAAGGCTCAGTAGGCGAAGGGTAGCCGGTACCATTCCTCAAGGCTGGGAGGATCTCGCTGACTCGGCGCATTTGGTGTTGCTGATGGTTTTGCTGTGTTGTGGTCGAGGGTACAGAGCCTCTCCTATTTAGCATCTCGGTCACATCCATGACTAACGCCAGTCGTTTGATGTGTAGATGCGGGCCCCTGCTATCTTCAAGGTCGAGAGGATGATGATCACAAAGTAGACTAGGAAATCCGTGTTCGAGGAAAGCGTCTTAGAGCAAGTAGAATGCTGTGTGTTTGTCTGCGGGTGTGCCCAAATATATAGAGCAGCCTCAAAGACAGACCGGTCACTGAGTCATGGTAATCGACAGCATAATGAGACAAGCTGATAGTCGTTGGCAGCACTTAGTGTTAGGGCCTCAAAGATGAAGTGTATGTATAGTTCGGTGACTTATTCCTTGGACCGTTGGTCAGAGCTTGTGCAGGCCTAATGTTTCGCATCCGTTATCCGGCTGTGATAGTCGAACAATTCCCGACGTAAAACAAAATACTAAAAGCTGCTGTGCAGACGTTGATCTTCTGCCGTCTCAATCGGATGGAGTCTGTCTCAGAGTTCTTCACCCAATCTGGGAAGCTTGGTTCTTCTTAATTTAATGCACAACACTCAGCGTCTTCTGCCGTCTTGGTAGATCTTTTGAGCCTGCCGCGACGCCTCCAGGCCACTAAGACTCGTATCCGCGTATCGAAATGCTTCTTAGGCCTATGCAGTGTTGCTGTTGGCTTCAACACTTCCAATCAATTCCTCTCGACCAGCTCTGGATTTAAAGGGGATGAAATCGCCTTGAAGCAGTGCTGCACATCGGTTTCGGAGACGTCTACTTTCTCCGAATCCCTGGAAAATTGTCCTAAGCAAGATTGGGTCGCGTGGCGGTAAAAATAGTGAATGCCTGTGGATTCGGTGAATTTGCAAAGGCGAAGAGCGGTGCCTGCTTTACAGTGGATGTTCCAGATCTGCGGGCTGCTTAAGCTTGGTATGTTTGTCGAACGGTGGACCGCACTCCACTCAAGTTGGCATGCGGAACGGCTGAGTCTGCAACTTGACAGAGCAGAAGAGATGGTGGGGGCTTGAGACTAGAGTTGGGGATGTTATTCTATAAGCTGGCGGGCTTTGCAAGCAGGCAGGTCCAAAGTCATGTCAAAAGGAGCGTGAGAATGAGAAGAGCGGTGACATTGGATGGTCAAGAACCCATATGAGGCGACCTCGAATGCGTAATTGGACATTAAATTAGCGAAGGGCAGGGGTGGCAGCTGCACGAGGGGGCAAGGCCGAGATTGGGGATTGGGCAGACGCGCTGGCCGCTTAGCTGACGGACAGGGCATACGAGTAGGAAAAGGGAAAGCTAAGCGCATATAACCAGAAGGAACAGGCAGTGCTTACTGTATGCGTCCAGCGAGCCAGTGAAGAGCGATCCAGAAACACCACCACGAGAAGCGTGTGCATGGGACAGTTTCCCGTTATGCACAATGCAGGAATGTCGCCTGAAGTTGAGGCAGGAAAGGGGATATGTGGGAATGAGGAGGGTTACACCGAGCACATCGCGAATTTATCATCGATTCATCATTGGCACCACTGGAGATCGACATGCAGCGTGCGCCAGCGTGCAGGGTTTCCACCCAAATTTAGCCAGAGGGCGAGATGTCAGTGGCCGAAGACAACGTGCCAGCGTGGAAGGATCATGGAACCTTCGTGGAAGCCCCTTTAGAACACCTCTGGAAAGATCGTGGAAGAATGTCGCAAAGGCTAAAAGAAGCATTTAGTCCCAGTTTAATGCATTCTGAGAAAAGTCTCGTCTGGGGTAAACAATCGTCATTGGCGCATGCCCATAATCTCCCTAAAATCGACCGACGTGGGCTTAGTGCCTTCTCCACTCCCCACTGGCCTTGCATCATTGGCATCATTGGCATGCCCTCTTACGACCTCGTGCCTCTTTAGTTCTGGCAGTTGCACCACTGGGAGGGGTCGTGGGCTCGAAAGAGTATTGCCGCACAGCTCTCTCTGCCGTCGATCACCCTTCCGCCGCTTCCCTTGCGATAACCAATTAATTTCTATTCTTTTTACTAATGATCAGCGCTCCGATCTGTTTGGTACACATGCTACCGGGGACTCATCCTTGCGACTCGTGGCAAGTTCGGGATTCGGTGGCGGTTGGTGCTGCTTGAATCTCATGGAAATGAGCTAGGGTTATGCTTCTGGTTCACCAGCTTGGGGGCTCCCTCGAGCCTACCTTCCCTACTCTATCATTGGCATAGCTCTTCACACACTGACGATGCCGAGCCCAACAAACCCCATGTGTTTCCAACGACAAGCGTGGGCAGCCTTACAATCATTCAGCTCCGACTATTATTGCGCCAGTCATTTGACAGCATCAAATTACCCTTCAAGAGAACGGGTCGAGAAAGTCTCTTTGAAAGTTGGAACCTCTTGGGATCCAGTGGTAGTCCCGCACTCATGGTTGAGAGAAGGGGTTGTTGTCGTATCTCCTCGGCCAGCAACGGACCATTCTCGGCTCTCCAGGTCAATCTAGTCCAGCATCTCGAGTTCGCCTTGAAGCTATCAATCTGCGACAGGGACTGACTGTGGTGCTTGGCAGGATCCTGCATCCAACGGCTTTCGTGCAGATGGGAGCGAACCTTCGGAAGGCACGCAAGCATAGATCAACAGTAATGATCTAAACCGGTGCTGCGAGCAACTACGGCATTTGTTCTGCAGCGATGATCTCGAGTCCATCGGTTGTGAAACGAGCCTAAGGCGTTAGTCACGAGACCTGCTCGACCAGCAGCTTGAAGCAAAGCCTGCTACTGACGGCTGCGCTAGACAGGCATGAAATTCTCCGCGTGGCCCCGGCTTGTTCGGCAGCTTCCAGCCATGCGACTACTGGGACTAGGTCGATCCTGCAAGCCACTTTGATGGTACATCTAGCAGCGGTCAGGGATCATACCACGATTGTCATCGCACAACAAGGCGATTCCTACAGCATCCTGTTGCGGTCCAATCACGGAGCGGGTGGATGATTTGACGTGTCTCTCGACTCAGCCTCATGATGCACAAAGCGTGATGCTTAGGTAACCCGTGTCAGCCACTGCCGCGCTTCTGGGCCGTCTGAATTTAGCGAGCCTGAGGACCAGATGGTTCTACACAGCCTACAGCCTACTACTACTACTGGTTCACTACTGTCTTCAGCCTTCGTCCGTAGCCCGCTCGCTACCCTCACAACTGAGTCCTGTGACTCACCGCCTCTTCGGCGGTAGAAAGCGAACGAGATCGAGGCAGACGCTAGGACGTCAAACAGCGGTCTTGCGGCTCTCCATATGCAAGATCTCTAGGCCCTAGCGCGACTCTTGTATTCCCGTGCTTGCAGGTGTTGAGGAACGATCTCTTGAAGAACTGCTTTGTCTTGCTACGAATGGCTCACTGCTTTGCTTGAAAACGTCTCTGACTGACACGGTGCCATTTGCAAGGCAGATCGGGTTTCAGTTGTCGTCGACCGCGTGGGCTATGATTGCAAATACAAGCCAGCATGTCTACCTATCGAGACTTGATGGGTGTTCTCGTTGGATGGCTACTGAGAACAGACTGCATAATTCCATGAAATCATATGCATGACCTCGTATTCTGCTATTTCTGGATGACTTCCGGGTACCAATCTTTGCAGTGTAACTCATTCGCAGGGAAGTAAGTATGTCATGCGTCGGCGAAAAGGCCCGTCCTCAAGCTCAAATTCATCTGGGGTGCATTGGAATATGCGAAAGGATCCTCCACGTGGACCCTGACACGAAGTGCTCGACAAGGGCAGTGTTCGCTGCATCATGGAGACGTTCCTTGAGGGGCCTTGATAGTAAAAAATATGACCTCGCCCTTGAAAAGTCTGCACTGACGGTATGTTCACCTATAGTACTAGCTTACTCATTGGTTCGGTTCGAGAAAGTAGCCAGTCTATACTAATTCTCTGTCAGGTTGCACTGGCTGGTCTGGGCTCATTATCCCCACTTGCAGTGGAATAGCAGTACATCTCGGGTGGTGCCCTTGCATAGAGATGATATCGAGGGAGAATTCTTCATACAATCGGAGGCTCACGGCATTTCAAGGCTTCACTCCAGGGAACTCTTTCCTGCTTGCCACAGCGTGATGCTTGAATCTGGCAACCATGCTTGCAGGAACCCTCGTATGATTTCCCCTTCGTACTAACTCTTCTTTGGGTGAATTGTCTCATTTTAGTCGCGTGCAGGGTTGGAAGAGAAGGTTTTTACCCCATATTCCAGCCTGGTCTCCACATGCCTCTCTAAGCGCTTCTTGCGTGCTTGTTCTATTCTTGTTGGTTGAACCCTTGACTCCTCAAAGACTGACCGAAGTTCGTGGGGTTGCAGCTAAATCAGCTAAGATCGCATGTCTCTCCACACCTTTGATCGCAGACGTTTCGCCAGTCCGTACAGATCGAAGCAGTCATCAGTCTCCACCAAAGGGTGCCTTTCAGATTCGATCTAGGATCAGAGTCCTCTCTTTACAGAGAGGACATTGGAGAGAGGACATCTGCTTGCTTTGCATCCAAGAAAAAAGGGCGTCTTGACTATGGAGATCATATCCCGCCGGTTGTGTTAATCGGATGACGGGCAAAACTAATATTGCACGACCTCGTGAGCACTCTGGCGCATCGTGTATCTTCGAAATCAAAATTTAATTCGCAACCGTCGATGACAACTTGAGTAATTCCTTCTGCTGGTTATCGAGCCTGACGTGCACACAACAATAGACACAACAACAGTCGTTATCATGCTACGTCACGATGTGAAGAAAGGGGGAGTGATCTTTCAGAAGAGAGCTGAATGTCAACGAATACGGAGGCAACAAGTCAAGCATTCAAAGCTTTAAAGACATAAATCTAACATTCATATAAACTGTGGGGAAGACATGATGCGGATATGTCATGTACATTGATCCTATAAATCTGTTGGGAATCTGTATCGTATCGGCTGACGCCATGATAAATCATGCTGACGTCTCGCACCAGCTCAAAGAACATGTCCTGGAATTCTCCAAACCTCTGCCTGTAACGCCGACTCTCCTCCCAAGATCGGCCCAACACGCTGCTATCAGCAGCCTGCCCAAGAAAAGTGGAAACAGCCCAATGCTCCTGTATGCTCCCTCATACGTTATGGTCTCTGCCCTTCTCATATCCGGCGTCGGTAGGTTTCGTAACTTCTCCATTCACTGAGCCCTCAACCTGCTTGATGGTAACCCTCTCGCCCGCAGTCGAACCTGCTTTCAAAGTGGAGACACTTTCCCAATCCTCCCTCAAGGTCTCTTTCGACCCTAATCTCTCCAACTTGGTTCTCACGGCGTCTTGCACTTTCAGATCATCTTTGCTGACCTTGCGTCGCCGCCACAATATGTAGCAGACCATGATTAAGATGGCCACAATGATGACAGGTATTAGAATGCTGATTGTTGTGATCTTACATGAGTGGCCGCACTGCTGGGAGGTGTTTTTGCTGGACGCCGCCTTACTCGGGTTGCTGTACACTTCGTCCGGGCCGAAAGACTGGGCCTCACTGGGGGCTTCTCTATCTGATCGCTTGAGAAACATGGTTATACTGGCGGAGGAAAGCTAATGCTTTATCAAGTGACAGTGCAATGTTGATGATTTCTTGTTTCGAAGAGATGAAGGGGGGAAATGAAAGCATTGTGGAAAGGGGCCAGCTATGTACGCACAGCAACAGGCTCAGGGGCACGAAGTTAGAGCTTCATGCACGGCGTGAAGGAAGGATTCTGAATAGCAAGGCGTAGTGGACTGCTGACATGCACAAGCTATTCGTGGCACAAACTTGTGCACAACCAAAGCGCGTCCTTTCTTGGGTCGGTTCAGAGTCTAAAATCCCATATCTACCGCCACCGATAGATCGCGTGTGTTTCAACCTTCGGACGAGCACTGTTGGAAGTGGTAACATAACGCAATATTTTTGTTTCATGGCTTGCATCTGAGAAGGGGGGAAGACTCTCAGCCTCTTCCTAAGGGGCACGAACGGGGCAGTGGCACACGGGCAACAAATTCAGTGGGAGGACATTGACTGCTCGAGGAGCTCGCTGCAAAGATTCGAGCATTTAGGCTAGGCTCACAACGAGCCATGATGCTCTCCAGTGACAACAAGACTGAGCGCTACTAGTAATGTAAACCGTGGGAGAAGGGAGGAGGGGACCCTCGGGAGGCATCAGGACGTTTCTCCCCCGCCCGATTAAGGCTTGGCATTTCCCGCCCCCGCAAGGCAGCCCTCGATCCGCACATCGGTTGCCTGTACCTGCATTTCCGCTTTTCCCCTGAGATCCACAACGTAAATACACCCAATTGTCGTTCACAGTGTAAGGTATGATGAGCTGTACGACCCTTTGCTGTGTCTTAATCATTGACAGTCGTCATGGTTCTGGGCAGTGTGCCCTTGGGTGAAACTATCTGCAGCTGCTCATCACAGCATTATCGAGGTTGCAGGGTTTGGATGTCAATTTCGAAAAGCCGGTCGTTCTGCCTTGTGCGTTGAGTCACCCAGTGTGTGTTGCCTGGCACAGTCACCTATACTTAAAGACCTTGTTCTCTGACAGCTTTGCAATCCTCTTGTTGTTCCAGTCCTTGCAATTCTATCCCACCACTCGTTTAAACCCTTAGATTTTACCCTTGCGAAACGCTTTTACGGGTCAAGATGGCAGACGAGAACACTCACAAACAGGAGTTCGCCGTCCGAGATCTACCCACCACGAACGTTACGCTCTATCCCACCCGCGCTCAGATCGTTCGTGATATTCGGGACATTACGCTTAAGGTGATGAGGACTGATCCTTTCAACTAATCGACAATACTGACTGACCTCGTAGCCAGGAAGCAATGAAATCACTATACATGGTCTGACGCCGACGGCCGATGAGAGCTCGATCAAAGTCGATGGGAAAGGATCAGCTACAATTACGGACTTGGTTGTTGAACTTGTACCAAATCATGACAAATACGAAGATATCTACCCATCGGACTCTGAAGAAGAAGAGGACATAGAAAGTGAAAGCGAGTCGGATGACGACAGTCAAAAGATGAAGGATCTGAAGAAAGAGCAGGATACGCTTACTCAGGCAATTAACAACGCCTCGGAAGAAAAGGCCTCAGCGTCTGATCGCCTGAGCATACTGGACAAATATGGGAAAAGTTTTGGCAGCGATCGACCCGAAAACTTAAGAGAATGCATGTCGAAATATCTTGAAGAGCGTCGGAAGGCTTTTGAGGTCTTCAACGACAGCGAAAACCGTCTCAGCGAATTGAATGATCAAAAGGCGAAGAATAGGAAAAGTCAAGAGAAGGCTCAGCTTCAAGAGGCAAAGATGAACAAGAAAGCGAGACTTGCAAAACAAAAGGAGAAAGACAGGAAACAACGTGAGAAAGAAAGAAAGCTCCAAGCAAAGCGACAAGTCAAAGTGGAGAGGGCAAAATTCTGGCCGAAGAAGGTTTACAAAGTTATAGTCAGTATGGAGACAGCAGCGACAGAGACGACACCAGCATCCTCGAGGCGAGGTTCAATTTCAACGGTAGGGAAGGTCACACCTGATTTAGAAGCTTGCCATGTCGCCCTATCTATCTCGTATATTACATCTTCTGCCTGGTGGGCGCCGCGTTACGATCTCAGCCTGCAGACTACAGCAAAGACTGGGACTATTGTTTACAGGTCGGAGTTCTCCAACATCTCGAATGAGACGTGGCGAGACGCACAAATAGTGCTTTCAACATCACAGACGGCCTTTCAAGGACTTGGCAGTCCTGTACCTGTTATGCAACCATGGCATATCGATCTATCCAAGGCTTTAGGGTCCGACGTCACGAATGGCGCGCTTCGGAGCGTCGATGAACAAAAATTTGTTCATAATGCTGATCATTCAAATGCTGTGGCCCACCAGCAACCTCGCGATACTTTGTTTGGCTTGGATACCCTGGATGATAGAGGACGCCAAATGTTGAATCAACAGCAGATGCAGAAGAACAACGCAATTCAACGGCAAATTTTGCAGCAGCCACAGTCAAAGCCCCAAGCCTCATCCCTCCTCAGTACCAGTCATGGTCAAGGAGGCCACGGCGGACATGGCGGACATGGCGGATATGCCAGGCATGCGCAAAGCCGATCTACTGGCTTATTTGGCTCCAGCTCTCAACCTCCTGGATCTGGACAAGCCTTCTCATCAAACGCACGCAAAGAGAGGACGGTTCTAGCTGATGAGGAAGTCGCCGAAGAGAGCTACAATGAAGATGCAGCTACCATGGTTCCTGACCTCCCTTCAATCGAAACAGAAGAATCCAGCTGGTCTGAGTCAGGCTTGACTGCGACATATGACATCCCAGGCCTGCGCACTATCAGTCCAAGCTACACCATGCGTCGTCACAAGATCGCTTCTATCCATCTGAGGGATGTCGTTTTCTCCTACTTACTTGTCCCTAAGCTGCGAGCTGCAGCCTTCTTAAAGGCTCGAATTCGCAACAGCGCTGCTGGTATAGCATTACTTCGAGGACCTACGGGCCTGACGCTTGACGGATCATTCTTAGGAAATACAACTCTACCACGCTGCTCACCGGGAGAATCCTTCAGTCTAAGTCTGGGCATCGATCCGAGCGTGGTCATTAATTACAGTAAACCTACCGTCCGAAGGTCCCACGGCGGGATCATCAATCGCGAGACGAGCGGGGTCTATACACGCTCTTGTACCATCACAAACACGAAATCAGGTCGGCTTATTGAAGGCTTGCTTCTCGACCAGGTACCTGTGAGCGATGATGAGAGGCTGAGAGTTGAAGTGCTCCAGCCGCGTGGCCTGAAACGCGAAGGCGATGGTGCGAAGAGTGGGGTCGGGGTGGGCGTGGGATATGCTGGAAAGGAGGAAGCGAAGTGGGGCAGGTCAAACGCATTTTTCAAGAAAGCTGGTGAAATCTGCTGGGAATTCAAGATCGAAGCGGGGAAGGGAGGGAAGTTTATTCTCGAATATGAGGCGAGGTGTCCCACTGGAGAGGCGATCGTGGCAGTATAGGATGAGACATAGATAGCGTATCACCCAAGTCAGATTATGAAATTGGTAGATAGGATATACTTGAGGAGTCATACAAGAATTCAGCATAGAGGGACCATACGTCATCCCATCTCCCTCTGTGCTGGCGTCTCTTCTTCCTTTATATTCACGCGCTTTCATAGAGAGCCTGTTTGTTCCACTTTGCTAAGACAGAAGTAGTTACTCATACGCAGGATATCACGCTACCCTGTGGCAGAGTCTCGACAAAAAGGCTTGAATGACGTACCCTACTTCAAGTACGAGCCAACATCTACGACTGCGGTGAGGAATCCAACAAAGGCTTGGTTCAATGCTTATCTGAAACCAGTGGGCTGCAATTGATAGCAAGACGAACACGCAATCACTGGCGATCAAAGGCATTGGGCGCGATCATAGCACCAGTCCGATTGACTCCGTCTTTGCTAGGGTATCAGCTACGACAGATAGCCACTCGGAGCTTGCCCAATTGAGGCAAAGCAAGCCATTCTTGCGAGTTCAGAGAGCCTGATCAACTTCTCTATGTTCACACCATGACATCCCGTAACAAAAGACGTTCGCAACCTTTCGTAAATACTCGTTCAAGCCAACACCAGAAAGCCTGACCAAGTAAGGCGAATTTCGCTAGAACAAACGCCTTCGTCAATCCACGGACTTACTATTGCAACATGTCAGGAATGGAAGTCGTCGCGATCGTTGGGTGCGTCGCTGCCGTAGTCTCAGCCTTTGAGCACGGCGACCAACTGGTCAAAAAGCTCAGAGAGAAGCGGATGATCAAGAAGAAAGGCGCTCTACCTCCAGAAATGCTCGACTGTTCACTCCAGATGGGGCCTCCAGCCGTCAGATTGGCGCATGATGGTGGAAGACTGCATTTCGGCCGAGCTTTTGAACATGGAGACCGCATTGCCAATGAGGCATTCAAAGATATCATCATACAGCTGCAAGGACAGCTCTTAAGGCACCTGCTTGTCGCACAAGAAGATGACGGATTCGTGCATGACTTTGGCCCACTTGTGGACGCCTCGGATTTTGGCAGGCTACGGAGTGTGACGGTATTGAACGAGTTGTTCATGAGGTTGGCAGAGCGTGGCCCGATCGAGTCAATTCCAGGAGCCAGTCATAGGAGACACAATAGTACCGCCACACACCACGTGGGGAGATTACCGGACAATCATCAAGCCAGCGAAGACTTGCAAGGCTCAGAGCAAGTGCGAGGTGAAGCAGCCCCGATTGACTCACCGGAGCAAGTGGATCTGGGGCTGGGACCTCGACGCGTGAAGACCATAGAAACATTGGGCGGTGAGACTCCAAGCCAGAAGCACCCAACAAGGATTGCCACAGACAAGGAGGACGCAGCTCCAAGTACGCGAAAGCAAGCCATCCAGAAGCCTGGGGTTAGTCACCATCACCCATCCACACCGCCGACTCCGCCACCCAAGGATCATCCGCACAACGCCCCTTCAAGTCCCAGCAGGAAGAGGTACCAGGTCAGCTTTCCAAGGCCCGCGTCTATGGTAGAGGGGTTTTTTCGAGACGATAACAGCAAAAGTAAGAGCGCTTCAGCTTCGAGTGACGGGTCCTCAAATCTGCACCATGCACACAGAGGCGCATCACCCGAGTACAAGCCTGCGCTGAAGAGAGCATCTAGTGCTAGGGCCATCCGGGAGAAAGAGAACCCTGTCAGAAAGTGGGCGTCTATGAGCTCAGGCTCAAGCCCCAAAAACACGGATTGCGGTGGCTTTTGTCCAGGAGCTTGCACTATTCGGACTGGAAACCAGGGCATGATCCTGCGAAATCAGTCTGTCTCAATGACAGGCGAATCTTACTATTGGGGCTGTTCCAATTCGATGTGTAGTTTCGAAGGCTATGCTGTCAAAACAGGCCGAGAATGGGGATTTGACGAGACAATACGCGAGATGGCTGGTGTTCGCTATCGTTGGCGATTCCTTGCAAAGTCGCACATTGTGCCCGATCATCGAACAAGGCATCGGATCTATGACTATCAATGTATACTGTGTAAGTGATATTTCGGAGTGAAATCTCTCGCAGTCTCAAGAAGCATTGCTGACTCCAATTTGATGAAGGCAAAGCACAAGGCCAAGAAACAAAGATTGTAACGGGCGAGAGAGCGTTCATTGAACATGTCAGCACGCATCGAAACGAGCGGAGGAATCCATTTGGTATGCAGCTCATCGTAGCCGAGTTTGGGAGAGTTGCATTAGAGGAAGAGCCTTGGGATGTGAACTTACTACCACGCCCAGAAGACCTTCAGAGGAGAAGGGCCCCTCAAATCGAAGACCAAAGTACCGGCCTGGGCATCTCCATGAACGGGGAGAGAGCGCGAGAGAGCCCTGTGGATACGGGCTTCCACCATAACCCCAACAAAGAATGCTCCCAAGTCGCAATACCAACACCAGAGGTGAAAGATGTGCCCTTGCGACTAGATCCGGAGATCGCTCTCAACGAAGAGAAGGAGAGGGCTGGCCAAGGGGCCGTGCATGAGGAGACGACTCTCCTCCACCCAGCGATGAGACAAAGCTTCATGATGCCAGACCCATGGCGTGCATCATATGTAACGATGCAAGGAGAGTCAACTGCATGTTGAGGGGATGAACGTAGTCAAAAAGCAGATCTCAATAATGACATATAAATTTGATGAGTGCACTTGCATGTTGGAGTGAAGCACTGGAGACACGAGCCCCTGAGCGCGGTCTAGCCCTTTACGTGCGTCATTGGTCCGCATGATCGGCGCAGGGATTAACTGCCTCGGTCCATTGCAAAAGATTCATTCCCTCATCTGCCATGGCTTATATCGCCTGCATGGCCAGAGGGAGGCCCCTTCACATCTCTTATAGCTATTAAGATCGAAGACTGCCCCGTCCTCAGATCTTCTGAAGCAGCCTGCACGCTTACACTTGCTAAGTTCGAACGTTCCAACGCGGGAATGTCTCAATGTGAGTACCCAATATGCCTCTGCATTGTCCCGCTCTAACCGTAAGCCCAGCACAGCAGCGCCTCTCCCAGATACAGTCCCATCTCTCCTCCTCCGAAGCCGACATCCCTCGCGGTCGCGATTCCCTGCTTCGCAAATTCCCCGACGACGTCGTCGTCACCTGTGCCCTCCGCACGCCCTTCACAAAAGGTGGAAAAGGCGGTCTCAAAGACACAGCCGCCTCGGATCTACTCGTGCATAGCCTCCAATCCCTTCTTTCTCGCTCAAACATTTCCCCGGAATTGGTTGAAGACGTCGCTGTCGGCAGCGTCCTACCTCCAGGAGGCGGGGCAACAGAATTCCGCGCCGCAGCTTTAGTAGCTGGCTTTCCAGAATCGACGGCTGTGAAAAGCCTGAACAGACAATGCTCATCCGGACTACAAGCGTGCGTGGACATCGCTAACGCGATACGCTCGGGTATGATCGACGTTGGGATTGGCGCTGGAGTCGAGAGCATGAGTATGCAGTACGGTCCAGGTGCCGTGACAGAGTTTTCAGAATTGCTCGAAAGTCATCCGGAGGCGAAGAACTGCAAAGTTCCTATGGGGATGTTGAGTGAGCAGATGGCTAAGGATAGGGGTATCAAGAGAAAGGACCAGGATGCGTTTGCGGCGAGCAGTTATCAGAAAGCTCTCGCTGCGCAGAAGGAGGGAAGGTTTGATGAGGAAATTGCACCTCTGACGGGTGTTAAATGGGTAGATCCGAAGACTGACGAGGAGAAGATCGTGGATGTGAGTAAGGATGATGGGATCAGGGAGGGCGTCACGAAAGAGGGTCTGGGGAAGATCAAGGCTAGTTTTGCAAAGGATGGAAGCATTCACGCCGGAAATGCAAGTCAGATCAGCGATGGTGCCGCGGCTGTGCTTTTGATGAAGCGAAGTACGGCGGAGAGATTGGGGCAGAAAATAGTAGGAAAGTTCGTGAGCAGCGCTATAGTTGGGGTGAAGCCACTGCTGATGGGCATTGGGCCATGGAAGGCGATTCCGGTCGCATTGCAGAAAGCGAGAATTAGCAAAGAAGAGGTGGATATTTATGAGATTAATGAAGCGTTTGCGAGTCAGTGCCTTTGGTGCATTAGGGAGCTAGGGTTGGATGAGAAAAAAGTGAATCCCAATGGGGGAGCTATCGCTTTCGGTCATCCACTTGGTTGTACTGGAGCTCGGCAGGTATCCACACTTTTCAATGAGCTTGGTCGGAGAAAACAGCAGATTGGAGTCACCAGCATGTGTGTTGGCACAGGCATGGGCATGGCGGCAGTGTGGGTGAAAGAATAGGTTGGATGAATAAATGTCAGACAGCATTGCGAGCAATATATGAAATCGTCAAGCTCCACCATGGCATTTTCATTTCTCGTCGTGTATGCCTCATAGGAATTGGGACTGATATCCTGTTGAAGGCCTACCAAATTCTGCTCCTGCTTGAAAATCGCGTCAGATAGTTGGATGAAGCCAAGAAACTGCTCAAAAGTGGGACAGGGGTTGAGTGGTGCATTCTTGAACTTCTATTAGACGACCGGCTTCGTCTTTGCTTTAATCCTCGTTAAGTCGGCTGAGATAGTGCCAGTAGCCTCTGAAGGACCAGTTACTCTATGGAAGGGAACGACACGACGAGCATGTCAATAAATGCTGGAATTTTTGGGGTTCAAGGGAGCTATGTTCAAGGACGATCGTAGTTTCTTTCTCCTCTATGATAATTTATAGTACCCCTCCAGTCATCACGCTGGCTGTGACACCTAAGGCGGTACCTATGATACCTCTACCCTCCTTTTCTTTCGGCTTACCTCCCTCCTTCAGCAGAGTCTCTACAGCTTCAACTTTCTGCGCTGCCGTTTGTGATTTATCCGTCCTAAAGAGATAGCTTGCTTTAGTACGGTAACAACTAGCATATATTGTGTAATACGAAAAGACTGAGATTGATCGCGGTGTAGATATAACGAAGCATCGGAAAGTTGTGTCTGATGAAGTTGCTGACATTGTTTTGAGGTGCATATGTACGTGAAACTTACCTGGACCCGACTCTGATGTCGCTTTGTATCCTGACAACTCCTTTCGAATGAAGCAGCGTATGGGCCTGACCAATTAAAGTCATCACCGAATCCCACGATCCCTCTGTCGTCATTGTCAGCTCACCCATCCAATTGGTCGATGCTTGATCTCGACTGCGTTGATGATGGGGACAAAACAGGGGCTTATTTGGCCTGTGTCCCTCTCCTTCACGGCCAAGATATAAGTTCCCAATTCAATCAAGTCGCGAGAAGAAAGCCTCAAGCATCTTACTCCTTCAAGAAATGGATAGAGAAAACAATGCAGAGTAAGTGTAGGCGCGAACCTATAGTAGTGCCAGCAGAGTGCATTGTGCAAGACCGCACCTTCCTTTGATCTTGCGCCGCACGAAAGAGTTTCGTGACTTCTGTTACCTCCTTCGAAACACTTGCTGAGCCTGTGCCAATTGGTACCAAGCAAAGGTCAGCTATACAGCTTTGTGGCGTCGGTAGTGAACTGGTCGCCATTTCTTGGCCCAAAAATGGAGTCGTGTGAGTGAGAGGATAATCAAGGAGGAGAGGAGACTCTCCGGACAACAGATCTTGAGAACGGCGTATGTTCTTGTCCGTGTAGAAGGTTTCTTGGAAGATCACTTTCAGGCTTCAATGTATTCTCATACGCGATTGCAGACTCACGCGAAAGTCTAGGCTAATGGTACGATCGAATTCACGTAAAGAAAGCAAGAAGCTTGTCCCTGGTGTCTTTCGGAGACGTCCCGCTTACAATTGAGTCTATGAGTGACTGCACTTCTTAACAGTGTAGTCAATGGCTTGATCGACCACCAAGAAGTCGAGCATAGCAAGCAAAGCTAAGTAATTACTGCAGTCTAGGTTTGAAAATTATCAATACAAATGATGTTGTTTGAAGCTTGGAACACATTAGGTGGGTCAGGATTCGAGCTTCCGATATAAAACCGTGCCAAGAAACCACATATGCTGTGGACTTCTGCTCGATATCGATTCAGATAATTTACTGAAGCCAAGGAACTGCTCAAAGCTGGTGGGGAAGAAAGGTTACCAGTGTATTTCTGACTTCTGTTAGCTAGGCAGAGGATGAGGTGCAGGAAGGCTAGCAAGCGACTTCGAGGTCCCAGCAACTTAGATTGTTAAGGGTAGAGTATCTTCAGGGCACACTAGAAGCAATCAATTGATTCGTCGTATGCTATGCTATACTAATTGAAGCGATATTAAAGGAGTGTATGTGAATCGTCTAGGATTCCATACTTATGCTGAAGAGAATACTATTGATCGTCACGTACTGTTTGGTAATTCTCCAAGAAACTGTGGCGCATTGCGAACTAGGCTGGCAATTGTTGTGAACTGAAAAGAATGGTGCTAAACCGTTGAGCTTCTGTACCTATGATGAAAGGAGATCGTATTTTCTCTATACTATGATGTCCACCCTGAGAAGCTTAAAGCCAGTCTAGTTCCTCTGCAGCACTTCTGGCTGCATCCAATCCAGTTGCTTCGAGGTTAGTTTCGTAGTGCAACGCCAGCAAGATGCCTTTTGCGATGGGTCAGAGACTTCGAGAATCCGATCTTCGCTTGGTGCTTGCTCTGGCCCACGGTTCATCTCGGGGATCCATTGACAGGTCGATGGACACGGGTGGGTATCATTCTGAGTATGCAGGATTGTCTTTCAGCTTTTGAAGCTCCTCGCCAATTTTCGAGCGAGGGTATCTGTTGCATTATTGGTCGCCGCGCCAGTGGCTATAGTAATCCCTAGTGTAGCGAGCCAATAAATCGTCGCAGCCATGGATTTCAATTTCCCACTGTCAGGGAAGCCAGTTATCACGAAACATATGCCTCGAAGTTTCTTGAGCGAGAGCGCCGCTGCTTCCCGATCAACATTAGGGTGCCAGTGAGGGACGATGTCATTCAAGTATTTGTGCTCGACGTTATGTCAAGTACCTCTAACTCAGAGTTGTGTTCGATATTGAGGCAGGAACCATCTGGCGCCATAAAGGTAGCATCCTCCGGACTGTTATCACATATCAAACTAGTGCCGTTATCGTCTGTGATACAATGGATGTTGATTGATCTCCTTGGTAGCGTGTCTACTGTGACAGCGCTTTGATGATGGTCTCAATTCCCCGGCCGCACCAGACAGGGTGATGGCGGTTCCCACGTGCGAAAGGGATACTTGAGATCGGCTTTAGATCGAAGATTGGCAACCAATTCTGCTTGGCGGATGCGAGGAAGTATTGCTGTCCATGTACATGATCGGGACACAGTAGGGAAAAACGTGATGACAGTATCAAAAATTTAGAGAAAGTCGAAGCGCGGTTCTGAAGAAAGGAAAAAGATTGGCATCAAAGGGTAGCCAACATACGAATCGCAAGGAGGAATCAATGCTCTTGCTTTGGGATGCTGCAGTCAACATCAAGCCGCGGCTGTCAATGTCGTGCCTACCCAACCCGACGTCGACCTGGTGCAGTGGTCACGTTTGCTCCTTCCAATCTCTATTCCAGACTTTCGTACCGTCTCAGACTCAGCTGGCTCCTGCGCAATTCGGAATTTAGGGTTGAGAAGCTACGACAGACTTTTAGTCGAGCTATTAAGTCGTATTGCAGGCCAACAGCTGAACAGTAAACCAATTAAGCCGAGAAACAGTCTTTCGGAAAATTCATCGGGCCGGGTAGGAGCCATGGCGATTTTACGCTAGAAAGCTCCTGCCTTCCATTTCCATAGTTCTAGCAGCATGAGCCACTCCCGTTAGCGCCATAGCAATTCTCTTGGCACGCTTGAAAAAAAGCTGCCTCACGCCCATCTACAAGACTCATCATCAACAGCACCAACTACTTTTCAGAATCCGCCCTTTGTTGTTGTTGTTGTCGCTGTATCTTTGCCCTTCCCCATCAGTAAAATATTCGTGAATCCAGAAAAAAATTTGAAAATCTCAAAAAACCCAGATTAAAATCTCCGCCAGGGTGTGTGTGACCTCAATTCTTTGTCCCAAAGCCCCTACAAAACCCTTCACCTTCACCATACATGCATCCAGCCTCCTTTGTATGATTATTGACCGAAACATACAGAAGATTCTCAAGTTCCTCCTTTCAACCAGAAATCACTGAGCTTCCATCCTCGGTACGCAAGAATTCTGCCTTCGATTGCCTTCGCGCATTACATTAGTGGGATAGCTGATTTTGATCCTTTACACAGCTGCAATCATGTCAACCCAAGCCGCTGCCGATACCAACCCTCCCTCACTTGAGAAGCTTTCGATCGATGATAAGCCTCCAGCTGCCCCAAATGGGGTCCCTAACGGCATCGACACCAGTGTGGGAGGAGGGCAGTCTCCAAATGGACAAGACGCCGAGCAGACACCGAGCTCTGCCGTGCCAGGAGGCAGCAATCAGCCTCACTCGGCTTCGCTCTACGTCGGTGAATTAGATCAAGGTGTTACAGAGGCCATGCTATTCGAGTTGTTCTCTCAGATCGGTCAAGTCGCTTCAATCAGAGTCTGCCGGGATGCTGTAACTCGCCGTTCTCTAGGCTATGCCTACGTAAATTACAACAATACGAATGATGGTGAGCGTGCTATGGAGGAGTTGAACTACACTCTTATTAAGAACAAACCATGCCGAATCATGTGGTCTCAGCGTGATCCTGCTTTGCGCAAAACTGGCCAGGGTAATGTTTTCATCAAGAACTTGGACAACGCAATTGATAACAAGGCCTTGCATGACACCTTTTCGTCCTTTGGCAACATCTTGAGTTGTAAAGTGGCCACTGACGAAACTGGGGCTTCAAAAGGGTACGGCTTTGTTCATTACGACTCTGGCGAAGGGGCAAGCAGAGCAATCGAGAAAGTGAACGGCATGTTGCTGAACGACAAGAAGGTGTTCGTTGGCCATCACATTCCACGCAAGGATCGTGAAAGCAAATTCGACGAGATCAAGGCCAACTTCACTAACATCTATGTCAAGAATATCGAGTCGGAAGTCACGGACGATGAATTTAACCAGCTTTTTGATAAGTATGGTGAAGTCACGTCTGCGGCCATCACACGAGAGCCGGAAACTGGCAAAAGTCGTGGTTTTGGATTCGTTAATTACGCACAGCATGAATCTGCGACTAAAGCCGTGGACGAGCTTCATGACAAGGACTTCAAGGGTCAGAAACTCTACGTTGGACGAGCGCAAAAGAAGTCAGAGCGTGAAGAAGAGCTTCGCAAGCAGTACGAGGCCGCTAGGCAGGAGAAAGCAAGCAAGTACCAGAACGTTAATCTATATGTCAAAAACCTTGCCGACGATATTGACGATGAGAAACTCCGGGAGATGTTCACATCAGTCGGTACGGTGACATCTGCCAAGGTCATGCGCGATCCCATTACAGGATCCGACAGCAAGGATTCAGTAGATGACGAAAAAGACAAGGAGAACAAGAAGTCGGAGGCCAACGAGGGTGAGGAGAAAGCAGAGGAGGACGGCAAAGACGAAGAGGAAGAGAAAGACACGGAAAAGAAAGTTGCCTCCAAGCCAACCCTTGGTAAAAGCAAGGGCTTCGGCTTTGTATGCTTCAGCCATCCGGACGAAGCGACCAAGGCCATTAATGATTTCCATCAGAAGATGGTCGATGGTAAGCCCCTCTATGTGACTATTGCCCAGCGTAAAGATGTCCGCAAGAACCAGCTTGAATCAAGCTTGCAAGCTCGCAATCAGATACGCATGCAGCAACAAGCTGCCGCCCAGCAGCAGCAACAATTCATTCAACCCGCCATGTTCTACGGTCCTGGTCAACAACCACAAATGATGGCACCAAATGCGGGAGGTCGTGCAGGCATGCCATTTGGACCGCAACCAGGGATGATTCTACCGGGCATGCAAGGTGGGCGTGCTGGACAGTTTTCAGGGATGCAAGCTCAACAGAGTAATCGTGGAGGGATGGGAGGTCCACAAATGCCCCAAAATCCTTTCGGAATGCCTGGTCAGATGCCCTTCGGCGCAATGCCACAAGGAGCTTCTGCTGGGTTCCCAGGAGCAATGGGTTATTCTCCTGCTGTCCTCGCCCAGATGCAGGCTCAGATCGGCCGGGGAGGACAGGGTGGGCGTGGACAAGTGCCTAGTCTACAAGGTATGCCTCAACAGATGATGGGAGTTCCTGGAATGCGTGGAAGAGATGGTCGTCCTCAGCAATACGGTGGCCAGCCTGGTCGTGGGGGTATGGCAATGGGTATGCAGCCAGGACAAATGGGCGGTATGCAACAAGGTCGTGCACCTGGCGGCATGGGCGGTGCTCCCGGTGGTATGGCTCCAGGGGCTGGCCCCGGTTCATCAATGCTTGATCAGATGTCGGGCATGCCTCCAGCACAACAGAAGCAAATGCTCGGCGAATCAATCTATCCAAAGATTCAAGTCATGCAACCTGAATTGGCCGGAAAGATTACTGGCATGTTGCTAGAAATGGATCCACCTGAATTGGTGGCTCTGTAAGTTCGATGCTGCTGATGGATAGGAAATACGCTAACGGAACCAGGACTGAGGATAACGAGCGATTGCGTGAGAAGGTCAACGAAGCACTTGCTGTCTATCACGAATACGCCAAATCGCAAGGACCGACTGGTAATACTGATGGTGCTTCTGAGCAAGCAGAGGAAGAAGCCGCCAAGGCATGATTACACTGTATGACATTCCGGGCCGATCTATTATTGACATCACTTTGAACAAGCTTCAATTCTTCTCTTGACGCTGGGTCGACTTTTTTCTCAAGCACTTTAATTCCCCGCATGGGTCTCACTGATAGAGTCATGTATGATAGATTTCTTTTAAGGAACAGAGGGAGTATGGTGCCATTGGCGGCATGCGTCTTTATTGAGTCTATGGTAAGGTATCTGGATGTGGTCATCCAAGCACATCAACTCGATGCCATTGTCCAACAGAATTAGCTGAATATAGATTACCATAATGCTCATGCAATTCTCTCTCTGGACTCACTAGTACCTACAAGTAGACATGCCGAGTGCAGGTGTGCTGCAGCAGGTCTTTGTTGATCCTTTGAGAAAGCTCACTGCCTATCGGTGAATTTGGACTGTGTGAGAGTGGAAGATCTCTAAGCGCCGAGCTCGAAGGAAGCTTACCTGAACAAGCAAGGGGAGAGTCGCCAGATGCACCCTAGACTCCTAGAGGCCTCCCTAAGCCGCCCTAAAGGACTCCCCCTGTCTCCCTAGCATCAAGTCCAGCCGCAACCTTCGCAAGAGGGAATGCAATTGGCCCCAGGCCGTTCCCATATGCAAAGAATAGCATAAACGTCGCGCAGGCGATGTGACCAGATACATCTCCCGCCCAATCGCGCTTTATGAGGCCGCACTACGCTCACTACCAGTCCATATTCGCGTTTCCTTTCTCGGCCTGACTTTGTCTCGCAAGCCATGTGCCTAGCTCCCAATTCTTCATACCCCGTCCTCTGGCACGATACTGGCTGAAGCTACGCCGATCAGAAGTGCGTTTCATCAAAGTGTTCCTAAGCATAGACATGGCCATGCCATAATCAGAAGCGGTGGAGGCTGTTAGCGAGGCCTCTGCCTGTTGGCAATAATGAACAACCCCCATTCTTCCAACAATCTCGGTCCAGTCATCCTACCGCGGACTCCCAGGAGAAGGCAGAATAATGCTTTGCAACCTCCCAACCTGCTCACGACGAGCCTGGAGAATGCCAGGACTACACACCTAGGCGCTGGGGCAGCAGGACAAACCCCGATCACGTCAACAACGCTGAGTACACCTTTCTCAGCTCATCCGCATTCTGCCTTCACTCCCTCTGGCGGAGCCATGAGTGCTGTGTCGCCCTCGAATGTTCGTCATACGTCCAGCTTCCCCACGGCATACAATCCTCAACAATGGGGTCCTATCAGCAATGGTTCCCCTCATTCAACTCCACACACGCGGCAAAACCAGAGAATAGTTGCGCTCGCCCCCAGGCCTGTGGGACCAGATGGTATTCAACATAGAGGCGGTCGTCTATCGTAGAGAGACTAATTGGGAGAACAGAACCTGTATCATCTCCACCACCCCCATACTCCCCGCGCAGGGAACCAGACACCCGTGGTTCTTCTCGGCCTACATCCACCGCTATATCCCCGTCGGAGACAAATACACCAGACACTGACGTTTCGAGACATACTACACCCCTTACATCAGCTAATCCCATCTCACCCGACTTTGCCTCGAGACACTCTGCAAGGGGGCCTTTACCACGGCAGAGCTCATCAACGAGCGCTTCTCCGAGTCTCTCATCTGCCTCACATTTCCCCCCACCGCCATCATTACAGGGGCCCGGCTCCAGGCTGAGATCGTCATCTAAAGATCATACTAATAGGCTAATATCATCGTTCACTTCTCGGGCTAGAAACAATGCAACAAGCGCGTTACACATCAATACAGCTCAATTGGAGCTACAAAGTCATGGTGAGAATTCAAGCAGCCCTAGTGCAAGTGCGCCTGCTGCAAGAAGGGCTGCGTCAACGGGAGACATTACTTTAGCGAAAGGCCCAACACCCGTAGCTATCTATTCGTCTCCCGCTTGGGAGCCAGGAATGCCGCTGCCCCCTCCGCCCCAGGCTCCTCCGCCTGGGGGTGCGCGAACACAGAGTCTCAATAGACCCATAGAAAGCCCTGCAGTAGAAAGAGGCCCTGCAGTTTCACACCGCACAAGACATCCGCCGGGTCATGGGACACGTCTGGACACCGTACCTCCCACGCCAGCAAATTGGCAAGAAGAGTCTACAAATGCTGAGGCTACAGTCCATCTTCAACCAAATGGCGGAACATCCCTGCATATTGATACCGGAAGTATCTTACGAAAGCAGCCCATGACCCAGGATGAACGAGCATCAGCATCTGCATCGACCCCAAGTCACAGAAGGAGAGACTCGTCAACTGGGGGCCTCGTCCGGACTGCTGCCTTACGCAATCGTAGCGTTGTTGGTCTTCGAGAACGCCGCAGTGAAAGCAAACATGGGAAAGAGCGAGCAACAAGTAATCCTCCGATGGGTCTAGATACGGATGCAGCTCCTTGGCAGGTTCATGAACCTGTCAAACCGACCAATCTAAATTTAGGCAATGTTCTAAATAGCGGATCTAGTCGCCGAGATCGAACGCGCAGAACACCGGGGAGTGGAGAGCTAATGTCTTCTGGAAAATCGGTCACATTTCGTTCTGCTCCCGTGACGCAAGAACTTGCTTTGCCGGAGGATTCAAATCACAGCTCGACGCCAACACCACCAGCTTCTGCATCAGGGGCTGATCGTCAAGTAAGCAGTGCTGGAGCTGCTCCTCGACGCCTGTGGCGGCTCTCACAAAAGCTCTCTTTGTCAATGCCCGGTCATTCCGAACAGCGTCCTATATCTCATATCTTGCATACTCCAAACCAGGACGACGCACTTCCAGTACCACTTACACCTTCAACCATTGCGAAGGAGCGTCCTGTGTCCGATTTAATCGGACCTGAGAGCCCAAAGGCTTTTGCTGAGCGTGCTGTTGAGCGGCACCGGAATTTTGCTGAGCGTGAAGCAGATGCGGTCGACGATTCTAAAAGACTAGAGCTTTTCGTTCAATTCATTGTGGCTGAATCGAGGATTCGGCGAGAGCAGTATGCTGCTTTATTTCAGAATGAAGATATCAATATAGGTCGGCTTGTACGTGATCTCTTTCGACCGATCCCCACTGAACAGGAAGATGCCGAAGAAGATTGTGGTACTCCAGAAAATACCTCAAGGCGAGTAAGCAATACCTCGAGCGCCATGGCCGACTCCTCGTCCCAAGACGAAATTTCGTCCATGAGTCGAAAGGTAGATTCACCTAGTAGTGCCACTACTACAAGTCCCCTCCAGCCTCCAGCAGCAGGAGGTGTCAAGGATTTTATCCCTTGTCTCTCCCCCATAGCGAGCATGAGTGTTGTTACCGGACCCGAGGATGAAATGAATTCGAGAGGAAGGCCACCAAGCCGTTGGTGGGAGGCCCCGTCTCAATCAGGCTCTGCGGCAAATGATGGATTCAGTGTCCTCGGCAGAACAAAGCGGGAGTCTAAGTTCATGGGTCTGCCACGAGAAGCGCGAGACTCAGGCATGTTCTTTGATCACCAAGGGTCGGGCGGGCCAAGAGGGCCACAATTACCGGTAGAGCCAAGCCAGTATGGAAACTATGGACTTAACGAGTATCCCCCGAAAAGATTGGATGGCATGAAGAGGTACCTAATCCTGCGTATCCACCACCTCCTCCAAACCCGCCTACACCAGCATCAGCTCCTCCTTTCACTCCTGATGCCAGAGGCCTGGACATCTCACGTCTAGTTACTCTACCTCCACCATACCCTAGACATCATCCGGCCGTCAACAACAACCATCCTGACCTTGCGGACGTAAGAGCGGTTGTACGTTCTCTTCATGATATGGACGAGCCAGACTCAATACGTGGCAAATACCAATCCGAATACCAGAAAACACGTAAGCGAGCAGATTCTTGGTGCGAGCACCAGCGTTCTTTGCATGGACAAGACTTGCAATATCGCATGGAGTATGATGATATGACTCAGGAGCAATTCGACGCGCTTGAAGCTGAACTGGAAGGTAAAATGCAACAATCCGCTAAAGACACTGCGCAAGCGGACTTCGACATGTTCCAGGACATGGTCGTCTCTCCACTTCACCCTTTGTTTGCCGCACGTATCGCGCATGCCACATCCTCGTTAGAGAATTTGAGCAGTGCTCTATTTTCCGACGCACAGTCTAGGAGTCCAAATATGCCGCAGGAAGAAGGCGACGAACAACCCGAGTTGCTTGAAAAATTGACTCAGCTTAAATGGCTCTTCGAAGCCAGGGAGACACTGCATCGCCGGACCTATGACCTTCTAAGTGAACGCAATGACAAATATAAAAATGTGGTTCTTTTGCCCTACAAGCAATCTCAAAATCATGCCAAGGTAGTAGACGCTGAGAAGTTCTTCTCCCAGGATAGCCTTGATCGCCGAAAGAAAATTGAAAAGGCAGTGGCAGATCGAGCACATGCTTTCATGACTGTCATAGAGCACAATGTGGCGAGGGGTGTGGAGATGCAGTTGGACGCTTTCTGGCAAATTGCGCCCATCATGAAGGAATCCGTCTTGCACAAGATACCACACGAGATACCACTGCGGTTTGAGATTCGAATTCCTGCCGACGAATATGAAGAAAACCCCGACTACTACGATCATCCACTGCAATACCTCTATATTCTCCTGGGTCACGCAGAGAAGGCGACGTTTCAATTCATCGAGTCCCAGATCAACCTACTCTGCCTCCTCCATGAGATTCGTTCTTGTGCTCTAAGTGCAAAATGCAAGGTCGAGGTCAATGATGGCAGGTTGAGTAATGTCGACTCATATCCGCAGCAGGAGGAGAGGCGGTTGACCGCGGACCTGAAAGACAAAGTAGGCGTCATCGAAGGTCAATGGGCCGATGCGCTCGGCGAAGAAATGACTAGTGTACGAGAGAGAGTCAGAGGCAGGTTACTGGAGGACGGTGGGTGGGACGATGAGATGGAAGATGTATAAAGGGGTATTCTGATTGTCAGTATCCTTAGCGGAGGTCTCAAGGCGTGGCCAAGACAGTGGAAGCATGAAATCTATGCAAAAATCCATCAATCACTACGTCTATTCCGGTGTGTATCCTGGTGGACCATCCACTGATTTCTGTGCCTTCCACCTCGCACAGACTGACGAGGTGGTGATTCCCGCCAAAGCGTAAGCTTCTAATCTAATCTTATCGATTAGCGTGTGATGTCGAGTGAAAAGCGTCTTGCATGGTCATTACAAACACAGCTTTAGCAGTTGATTAGTCTGCTCATGTTCCAGTCAGTCTCATGTCTACGACCAGAGGCTTAAGAGAGTAGTGTTGTCTCTCACTGACATAGGATGGATGTATAAGAAATTTCTCCATAACCTCCCCGTAGATCATGTATCCTACATTCACCGGGAACACCAAATCCAAACGTCAAGTCAATCTATCTGGACGAAATAACAATCCGTTCGCCGCTTATGGCTCTCCAAAGCCTTCCGCTACTATCCAGACTTCCCAAAATCCTGTTACACACGCAAAACAAGAGCGAGTCCTCAGGGAGCAACAGCGGCAACGTCCCCCAGCTGCTACTTGCATACAGCGGACCTGGCGGGGACACAGAAGCCGGAAGGAGACTCGAAAGATATGGAGGCAGCATTGGGATTCACTCGAGCGGTGGAACACACGAGAGATGTCGAACACGTCGTACGAAACCCCTGCTCAATGTCTACAACAGTTGAGACTTCTCGCCCAGTTTGCTTCACCGAGATCGGAAGAAGATATACGGCGGATCCAGCACTTTGGGAAGAGATACCATGCATTCACTTGCAATGGATTCTCGATGAGCCAAGAAGCTTGCAACTATCCAACGTTCTCTTTGGGGAAAACGGTCGTCAAAGCCCTTCGCAACCACAGTGCAAAGACCTATTCGCCGGAGATTGTGACTTCGCTTCTCTACCTGCTTTCAAACCTGACAGCTACGGCTGCTCCATTTCTGGCCCTACATTCACTCGAGTACTATGAAGCGGTGTTGGATGCGGCTCGAGCTCACGCCGAGCCTAGTGCTATTCAGTCCGCGGTGGTTGAGCTCTTGGTGCGGGCGAACACGCGTTCCGAGGCAGCATACGAAGGCTTCGCCTGGGCATATCTGACACAAGACCAGTTACCTGGCTTCGCTGATAATCTTCGAGATCTGTCTTTCCGTGTTGATTATAGGCTCCTAGCCGGTGCCCTTAGCAAATCGCTGGCTAACAAGTCAACTAAAGATTTGTTACAGGCCGACGTAGATGATAGACTTCTCTGGCTCCTCTCACGCTTCATATATTTCCATCGGAACTCTACTGGTACCGTGAAAACTCCGCTTCAGCCTGATACGCATTATGTCACAATAGTATCAAAACTTATTTCCACCCTAGCCGACGACATTGGTCGCCGTATAGACGCGGTCGAGCTTTTGGATAACCAGGTCGTCAATGGTGAATTACAAGTATCGTCAGCGAAGAGGCTGCCAGACTTCATACGTTCTCAGATGCTGGATCTTATAAGCAAGGAAAGTGTTTCTGGACTTCTGACAAGGCTAGAGTCCGATAGAGCAACACCTCGAGCTCCAGGGCATACCTCAGAAGCCTCGACCCTGGCAAGCTATGTCCTGACGCTGTTGAGGGTCTTTCCCAAGCGAAGAAGCGATATCCAATTCTGGCTCTACCGAGGTTCATCTGTCACACGACGAAACGATCGACAGGTTCTACCAGCCACTAAATACTTTTACGAAGCAGCGAAATCGACACAGGTCTTCCAGTCTATCTTCAAGGACCCGCAACAAGCGATTTCTTGTCTTTCCACAAATAAGCAGAATGTTCGTGGTTCTATCAGCGTACCTACAGCCATCAGAGAAACAAAAGATCAGGAATGGCGGGTGGTTCTGCTATTTTTAGAGCTTTACACCTTCAATCTCCAAGTCATGGACGACGACGAGTTCCTTTCAGGAACCACGGATCCTTCTCCCGATGCGTCATGGACCAGACAAAGTGCTTTGCCAATGTCACACATAGAAAGTCTAGCCGTCTTCTTGAGGAACCTTGCATTCGCTTTGTATTGGTACTCTTCCGAAATAGCAGGCGAGGACAGAAAGGAGGCAAGTCAAAGCATCGGTTCCTATTTTAGAAAGATCGATTCTCATCCGGGTGATATGGACGACTATTCATCAATCAAAGCAGAGGAAAGAGAAGTTGGCGATATCAGTGGTATGACGGTCACGTCGGTGAAGGGACTTGTTGTTGGTGTGCTGCGAATGATCTATGAGCGAGAGTATGTGTACCCCCCTCTGAAGCTCCGGCATTCCTTTCTAAATTTCACTAGTTCAAGAAGGAAATTCCTTCCCAAGAATCTGTGGCTTATGACAAGATACTTTGAGATGGACAGGTTTATTTCCTCAGTTGTAGAGGAAGAGGAACACGGACGTCAGATCGAAGAATCATATGAGGAAGTCGACGAACCAATATCGAGAAATTTCGCTGGGGCTGGGCATGATTACGATGACCACAATCATTATGCCGATGATCCGCAACTTGTCGGAACGCATAGAGTTCAACAACTTCGAAATATGGAACGCCTCAAAGCGCAGCAAAGAAAAGCTTCGAAGCGAAAATATCTAGATTCTGTGACGCCGCGTCTCCGAATCCTGGAGAACATGCCTTTCTTCATCCCCTTCCACACCAGAGTGCAAGTTTTCAGACAATTTGTGGCACTCGATCAGCAACGTCGACGAGGTACCACTGATGCCGATGAGTGGCGATATGCGATGATGAATTCCCCGACTGGGAATATCAGCCGACATCGTGCCACTGTGCGTAGAGAGCATGTTTTCGACGATGCATACAACCAGTACTACGACCTGGGCGAAGGGCTCAAGGAACCCATACAAATCAGGTTTGTGGATCAATTTGGAACCGTAGAGGAAGGCATCGATGGGGGTGGCGTAACGAAAGAATTCTTGACTAGCGTCACTGGCGAGGCTTTTGCGGCAGCTCATGGTCAAGAGTCGCTCTTCGTCACCAACGATCAACATTTACTCTTCCCAAATCCGGCAACGGTAGAAGAGCGAAAAGAGACGATGAGGAGAGCTTTGTATAAAGAAGGGTCTCCAGACTGGAACGACAATGTCCGAGATCTGCTTCGAAGGTACGAATTTCTGGGTCGAATTGTTGGCAAGTGTCTCTACGAAGGCATTCTTGTAGACGTACATTTTGCCCCATTCTTTTTGTTGAAGTGGGCCCTGACTGGAGGGACTGGATCTGGCAGCAAAGAGACCGGTTACAGGGCTAGTCTGAATGACCTCCGAGACTTGGATGAGGGATTCTATCAAGGCCTTCTCGAGCTCAAGAATTATCCGGGTAATGTGCAAGAGGATTTTGGCCTTGATTTCACCATCAGTGAGACACTCAAGCTGTCTCCGACTCAAACCAAGACCATCACTCGTGACCTTCGCCCGGACGGCTCCAGCACTCCGGTGACCAACGACAATCGGCTCGTTTACATTGCAGCTGTGGCCCGCTATCGCTTACAACAGCAGCCTTACCTTCAGACCTCTGCATTTCTAAGCGGTCTTGGCACCATTGTTTCTCCCAACTGGCTTAGTATGTTCAATCAATCGGAGCTGCAGACTCTTATCGGTGGCTCAGGCACGGAAGTCTCGATATCTGACCTGCGTGCCAACACGCAATACGGTGGCGTGTATGTCATCGGTGATGACGGGATGGAGCATCCTTCTATCGAGCTCTTCTGGAAGGTGATGCAAAGCTTGTCGTCAGAAGATGTGGCAAAGGTACTGAAATTCGTAACGAGCACGCCTCGAGGTCCGCTCCTAGGATTTGGAAATCTCAATCCGCGATTTAGCATCAGAGACTCTGGTCCGGATCAGACCAGATTACCGAGCACGAGCACATGCGTGAACCTGCTAAAGCTTCCAGTCTACCACGACGAGAAAACGTTGAAGGAAAGGCTGCTTTATAGCGTCAATGCTGGGGCGGGATTTAACCTGAGTTGAAGAGGGATCAGTCAAGGGTGGATTAAAGGCATTATGACAGCTTGCAACGATCTGGATCGAGGCTACGAACGGCATGTTTCTAGTTTAGCGAAAGGGAAAAGCGTAGAGATAGAAGATCATTGATAGCGTTCGGTATTGACTGAGCATAGAGAGACTACAAGCACGAATTCGAGCTCTGACGAAGAATGAATACGAGTACGATCAGCCCCGCCCAAGAATCAACGTCACAACCAACACTCCATCTCCTCCGCTCCCAGAGGTAAACATAAAGTCATCGAGCGCCATGTAGCCATCAATCATTTCACACCCACTTCCTTCTCGTTCCCCTCCTCATCTACAACCGTCTCCCTCTGTTTCTCACTCAAGAAAGACCCAATCTACAGAACTTGCGCACCCTCTCCCATTTTCAAAAATGGCCGTCCTCTCTACCCTCCTCCACGCAACCTCATTCTCGCGTCCGTTCCTTTCCACGCTCGTGCCATCCATAGCCCTCGCCTACGCCATCCAGGGTGGCGTTGCCATCCCCTCCATCATCGCTCAAACAGAGCGTTTTTATGACCTCTCTGGCTCACTAACTTACCTCTCGTGTGTGGGCTTGTCCCTCTACCTTCCCACCATCCGTGCCCGCTATGCAGCTTCTGCTGCAGGCAAGGTGTTACCAGCTTGGCCGAACCTGTTGGCTGCATTGAAGGGCGGAGCCAATGCCGGCGTCAATTGGAGGCAGATCGTTCTGAGCGTTGCGGTTAGCATTTGGGCTACAAGGCGTACGTATCCTCTTCCCTCCGTAAACCCTTCTTGCCCTGCCCTTTCATAAACGAAGTCGGTTTCGAACCCATCATACTGATCAAACAATTCTCAACAGTGGGTTCCTACCTCTTCTCCCGCATCTCCTCCGACTCCGGCCGCGACTCCCGCTTCGACAACATTCGCCAATCCCCTCCCAAATTCCTCGGCGCCTTCTTCGCGCAAGCAACATGGGTCTCTCTCTGCTTGATGCCCGTCCTCGCTATCAATTCTCTTCCAGCCTCGACCTTTGCCGCCTTGCCTGCCTTCGTCGGTGTGACTGACATCATCGGCTTACTCCTCTATGTAGGAGGGCTCAGTTTCGAAGTGGCGGCAGACAGGCAGAAGAACCAGTGGGTGCAGGATAAGAAGGCCAAGAAGCATGAAGAGGATTTCTTGACCAGGGGCCTGTGGGGGAAGAGCCGACATCCCAATTATTTCGGGGAGTCGACGTTGTGGACGGGGATTGCAACATTGTCAGTCGGCGTGCTGGCTAGTGGGCCTGGTCAAGTGGGAATGGGTCTGGCGGGATGGGGTCTGCTAGGAAAGGTCGCGGCGGGAGCCATGGCAGGGGTGAGCCCCGCTTTCGTCACTTTCTTGCTGTTGAAGGTCAGTGGGGTGCCGTTGAGTGAGAGCAAGTACGATAAGAGGTACGGGGATAGGGACGACTATAAGAAGTGGAAGGAGGAGGTGCCGATGTTCATACCGAAGATCAAGTAAGATGTCATGGAGATGAAGAGGACATGGACTGGCGTCACACGCATACAATATACAATAGAGTTGACAAGGAGTTGATTAGATGGCTTTCGACTAGCCACAATATAGAGATATGTATTTATACTATCACACTATAGGTTTCACCATTGGTGCAATCACACCCTGCTTCATCAACACTCTCGGCTTCGTCATTCCCTGGAACGTCTCCTTAGTCGTCCACTCTGGCCCAACAGGCAGCCTCAAGCTCCGCTCATACTGCGCTCTCGTTTCGAAAGGATGAGGCAATTGGCTCGCCAAATACTTGCCATTCTTCTTCACTTTTTTCTCACTGATGATCACATCTTTCAGCTTAGCGTCCTTTCGATTTTCAGGGGCAATCCCAAGGACCTTCGTGACCTTGCGCTGACGAGGATGTGGTTTCGATGCCCTTTTGCTGACGCCGATGCCTGTCCAGGAGCCCCAGCCGGGCATGGTGTTATCGATGATCTGGTCGTCTTGCTCCTTCGTGAGTGCGTCCTTTTCTTCGTGAAATCTTTGGTCCAGCTTTTCGTCACCTGCGAAGGCACGGCGGGCATGCTCTGCGTTAGTGAACACAACTGGCTCTTCAGCTTCCGAGCCATCTTCCTCTTCTTCTCCTCCGTTGATTGAAAACCGGTTGAGGCTTGCGTTGTTGGATTGTGGGGGATTGGAGAGAGAAGCATCGCCATTGTGCTCCGCCTGTTGGGCCGCGCGAGCGCCCTTGAGAGCTGATCGTAAGGGTTTCTGCTGCGATATTTGGTCCCCTGGACTCTCCAATACGGTGTCTTCTGGCGTATTTGACCCATTGGCTCCTCTCATCACGTTGGATTTCCAAGGATCTTGCTTGACTTGTTTTGGGGCTAACGTGTGCCGATTTGGCGCAGACATATCCACAGTTCTGCTCTGATCGAGGTCGACTATGTCACGATCGATGTCCACCTCGCGTCTTCGTCGACTCTGCTTGTCCTCCACATCGGAGTCTTCCCGCTCTTCGAATTCGTTATGTTCAATCACGGCGTGCGAAGGCTCAGCAGATTTCCTTTGTGGACCGTAAGATTTGCGGCCTGTGCCTTCACCGCTTTCTGCGTCGCTTGAGGTTTCTTCTCCAGCTAAGTCGCGTCTTAGATTCTCAGCATCGGCATCATTCTGAGCTCTCCTGGACGCTTCTGCCCTCCTCATGAAATCCATAGATTCTAATCTATTGCCGCCTTTTCCGCCCGTCTCATCATTTGATGGTTCCTTTTGCAAAGTCCGTAATCGATCCGTCAATCGGGTTTGTTGGTCGACGTCGGAGCTGTCCTCCTCACTCTCGGAAGATTGGTGACTGTCGTCTCCATCCCTCACATCCTTTCCTTCAATTCTTCTCTTCAATTCTTCTCCACGTCGAGCCATCTCAACGATCCCTTCTCGAGCATCTTCGTCCCACTTCATTCTGTCACTGTATTTAACACCTTTCGCCCACTTACTCTCTCGATGTTTAGCACCCATTCTCTCCTCCGCTCTTCGCCGATCATTTCTTTCCTTCTCCTCCTCAGAATCGATCTCCCCATTGGCTCTGAGGGTATCACTAAGATGGGCGGCGGTCCGCTCTCGCTCTTTGCGATGAACTTTTCGATATCGCTTACTTTTTATTTTCTTAATCCGCTTAGCACGGATCTCTTCTCTAAAAAGAAGATCTCTCCTTTTCCGCAATTCCTCCCTACGAGCTAGCACTTCTTCTACTGGCAACTTGTTGGACTTCAATTCCTCAAAGGCTCGAATCCGATCGTCAGACTGTCCATCTGGGGCTGTCAAGCCGCTTTCCTGAAGAATATTTTTAATGGTGCTTTCCAGGTCTGTGAAAGGTTTAGAATGAGAATTTGGCAGCAGACGATTTTGTCCCTGTGGCACTGCTGAATCTGGGTCCTGCAACGGGAAAGATAGATGCTCAGCTCGCCGGTTGTGTTTGACAGTGTCAATCCAGCGGTTGAGAGTCTCTTTACTCTTCTCATATGCCGCAGTACGGTCGATACGATCTTGTTGTCGTTTGGGAAGCGGCACCTCTAGTTTCTGAGACTTGTTACGTTTACCAGATGATTTGGATTCATTTTCAGACAACATCTTCAGCGACTTCTTGAGCTGGGGATCTTTTATTGACGCGGCAAGAGCAGCTGCAGTCAATTTTCGTTTGGAAGTTATGCCATACTCAGAGGGTGGCATGGACTCAAGTGCGTCAGGTACAGACTCCTCTGCATGCTTGTCTTGCTGGTTCATAGAAGAGACTAGATTCTGTAAAGACTCCAATTTGGATGTATTTGCAGCTTCGGACTCGGAATCAGATACAGATAGCATAGACTCTTCCTCATCCTGAGAATCCTCTCCTGCGAAATCACCCTCAGTTTCTCCTGCGGACAATTGTTTTGCTCTTCTTCTCGCTTTCGTAGGCTGGACTTTCTTGTCTTCTGGCTCCTCGTCTAACATAGTCACGAGGTCCACACCCTCGTCACCAAAATCATCGTCCTCTTCCTCTGTCTCATCGCCCTCATCGAGATCAATTTCTCGCTGCTCTACGTCACTGCTTCCTCCTGCTTCTCCTCGTGTCTTCTTTCTCCTGGGCTTCACTGTCTGTGAAGAGCTCCCTCGAAATGTATAGCCCTCAAACCTTTCTTCATCACTTTCGCCCATAGCCTCATCGCTGTCTAATTCACTGTCGTCATCTTCGTCTACTTGACCAGTCATCCATTCATTACCACTACTATCACTTCCAATCTCAACGTTCTCGTCATCTTGGAAAAGCGGTCCCTTCCTAGCTCGTTTCGAAGGCTCTTCCTCAACCGCTTCGTCTTCATCGTCAGGTTCCCGCCGTCGCTTAGACGAGCTTGGAGCCTCAGACTCCCCCAAACGATTCCGTCTTGCTTTAAGCTGTGTGGGCGCTTCTTTCTCGGCGATAGCGAGTGCATTCAGAGCGCGTCTGGTTTTCCGTTTCTTGGCCTTTGGCCTCGGAAGTGACGGAGGTCCTGTGGATTGGCGGCCTGGCATTTGGGCTGGTCAAGTTACCATAATGCTGTCAAGCCAGCTGTATAATCTGATTGCAGTCTGGAATGGTGATATGATATCAGTTTACTGTTGAAATCACAAGAATAGAGACTATTGTGCGTTCGCATCGTCATTGAGAAATTTCTGGCCCTACCGTAGGGCTGAGCGCAACGGCACCAACGGCGTATTTCTCTAGGGGCTGCAAGCTCTCATGCAACATCCATACCATCGAACGGCACAACGCTCTTGCCAACATGCGGCCTACAGCCTCCCTATCCCGACGTCTCCGTCGCCTCCCTCTGACTACAAAACAAGCTGCCAACCGTGGCGGCTACTACAAGGGCACCGGCACCGGGCCCATGGGCAGACACACGAAACATGGTGGCTACATTATAGATTGGCAAAAAGTACGAACGTATGTCGTACCAGCAGAATTGAAGGATTGCAAGGTTCGTCCTTTGTGCCCGTTCGACGAGGAAAAGCCAGGTTCTGAGTGTTCCCACGCTGAAGATAGTCGCAGCTGAGTCCTTTTGTAACAAAAAGGATCAAGGAGGAAGACGTCAAGGCAATGAGCGAGGGCTACGAGAAGGGCCGAATGGGAGGAAAAGACTTCTTGGAACAATGGAAACACGATAATGGCATCGATTGAGAGGATACTGGCACATCCTGTCATTGCGTTATTACGAGAGCAAGTTGGGCGGGGACCTTCTGCACCAAGCCAGGCTGAGCGGCTGAAGAGAGCAAGATTTTCGCGCTAGAGAACAGATCAAGCTTAGGCTCCATGGGCTTTGGTGTTCTCTCAGGCTTATAAAAAGGCTCCAGCGGATAGCAGCCTGAGCTCGAATCCTTTTTCATTCAGCATGCTGAATTGGGAATAGTACGGCGAACACGACTCTAGCCGTAGACGTCAAGGAGTGCGGATGGCTACTGACATGGCAGGCTAAGCAAACGTCGACGAGTCGAAGGTGGATCAGATCAAGACATGCATCAATAATCTGTAGGCGGCAAACAACCCTCTATTTGCTGATAATCACATGGAAACTTTTCTATGCCTCCAGCTCCGATCAGAGCAAGAAACGCCCAAGTCTATATCGTACTTACCTTTCATTTCTTCACTTACCTATTACTATATGACATAACGTCGTAATCATCATCATCTTCAAATCTTCTATATGCCACCAATAGCTAAAAATTTGTCAGTCGGAACAATGAGGAGTGATTGTGCATGTATTTACCAGCGGAATATGCCAAATACCAAGTCCTGCTCGCACCGCCATCGATCCAACCCATGTCGAAACTTGAGTTGGCGAAGAAATTCCAAGCTGTTCGGGGATCTATACATGCTAGATTCCCATATAAGACTCCGCGCCACCCACCAGCAACTTTTGAGGCTGGATTGAATGAGGCGTCCGAAAAATACGCATTCCACTCTTCAGAAATGAAGGTCTGAGACCGTGTGTATGCCGAGCTTGGTGAGAGTGGAAGCATGTGGATACCCTGAATATACTCTGGGTTCGTCCCGAAGTATGTTGTATGATCGATTTTATTCTCGAATAACTGGATTCTGTTAAGCTTTAATATCATAGAACGTCCAACGGTTTGGGCTTACGATTCCAGTCACTTTATTGCCAATAAAGTTCGATGGCTGATTGATGTTGCTCTGTTTCATCAAGAAGTAGTTGTCAAATGTTCTTGCTAATATTGCAAGCATCAAATTCCCGCGAGCTTCCATTGACTGACTCTTGGTGACTATACCCCACATCTTGAGGGCGTATGCGAAGAAGGCGTCTTCACTAGTACTCTCTTCATCCTTGCTGTCCGCAGATTCGAAAAGGCCCTTGGCAAATGAGTGACCATGATACCAGTCGAACATGCGGGAGAATGGGAATTGCGGATCGTTCGAGGATGGCGAGGCTACATCACGAATCAAGGTATTAACCCAGAGGGCATTCGAGCTCGCCCAGCCCGGATCCAGATACGCAATGACTGCCGCTGTATGGATAAAATATCCTGGGTCTGTGTTCAGCGGACTAAGTGCAATAATTTAATGAGTTGAGATTTTACCATAATGGAAGTGATGGTCGTTGTAAAAGGTGTTTCCAAAATCCTGTCCTGCATCTTTGGTTTTGTATGTTGCAGACGAGACGATACCTCCCCACTTGGAATCATAGACCAGAGGGTAGATCTGCTTATTGGCAACGAACTTCGCGAATGCATCTTTCAGCTGTTTCAGGCCTTGTGCTGCCAAGGTGATGTCGCCAAGCAATATTCTGGTTGAGTAGACCACCATTGCGAACTTGCTGAGAGCCTTGCCGCTAAAGTACATGCTGTCTAAGTAGGTCTGGGCACCAATGTTCTGAGAGAGCTCGGCAGCTGCCACTTGCTTGATTATGCTCTTACTGTAGCTAGAGACGGAAGTCTTGGACCGCTTAGAGGGCGTCCAAGGGGCGAAGGCGATGTCGGTTGGTAGACTAGTCTCTACTAAAGTCCAACTATCAGCGAGGACGCCTGTTGCAAGACCTTTCGTGGTCGTTTGAAGATGTAGAGAGGTCTTGAGAGTGGCTGTAATCGAGTCAAACGATGAAACGTGGTGCGGCAACGCAAACATTAGAAGTGGCTGCTTAGTCGTTAAGCCTGCTTTTGTCCACTTCAATTGGTATGTACCCGTTGTAGCCGAAACGGTAGCAGTGACCATCCCGGAAGAAGGATAGGTACCAGCAGCTGTATCATAGATAGTTTCGCTAAGTGCACCTGATGGATTCTTGGCCACCTGGATTGTCCCACTCCAACCTTTCATACCCTGGACTTGGGTGTTAGACACTAATTGAAAGCCTGGGTCTTGACCGCTACTCGGAGTGACGTAGACGAGCCAAGTTTTGCTATCTTCTAGGGTGATACGGTATTTGAAGACGCCTGGTTTTGGTTGTTGGGCGGGTACGAGACTTCGAAAGAAGACAGCGCTCTGAATGACCGGCATGAGATCCTGGTAGACCGCCGTGACAAACCCCATACCTTGTACAAGTGGAAACGTGATACTAGAGGTGGACTGGGCTTGAGGCGCCAGCACCGCGCTCACGGAGAAGGCTGTCAAAGAACTCGTCGTGAGAACTGAACTATCACCAATCTCGATAGCTGAGAGGATGATTGACTGTATGCCAATTGGATTGATAAAGTATTGTGTGGGATAACCGGGAATTAAGACGTTTGGAGGGCCGTATGCTCGTTGATCCGCGTCAATGTGAGATACAGCCATACCCCAGCTTCGAAGGTTTCCGCCTCCTTTGCTCCAAGTCAGCGAGTAAGGATGCGTCCAGACCCCCTGATTTTGATTGCCCAAGAAAAGGTTGGCGTAGAATTTGTTCGTCGATATGGGGCCATTTTGATTCTAATCAGGAAAATAATCAGCGCGGCCGGGTCGTTCAGACTTGAGCTTACAATGCCTAATTTGGTGGCTAAGTGGTCGCTGCGACTACTAATTTGAGGCGGAAGTGAACTAGTCGGTAGAGGCTGAAAGCAATCGGTTGCTGCTCTGGCATCCAATTTTACCAGCCTTTCGTTTTCAGCCATAGACGTCGGCTTTACCGATAGGAATGTTGTTGTCGTGTTGCTGGGTCCCAATGGGTCTAGACTTCCTGCAAGAGAACTTTTCAATGATGCAGACACATTCGCAGCAAAAAATGCAGCGGTGATGGCCTGTTGGGATAGCGTTGGGGTTGGGAATGGGATAATCCTTGCACGCCCTTCTGTCTCTAGGGAACTGATGACAATCTAGGTCACGACAGTGAGGGCTGAGTCCTGAAAGTTAAGTAAGGCAGAGAATAGAAAGAGCTTACCCCTGTCGTATCAGGCGTTAGGTCGGGTGCGGAAGCATACGTAGGGTAGTACGTAGACTCTACAACGTGTAGAAAACCCCGATCGATTGAAGACGGAGATTGCGTCGCCCCAAAGGTGGTAAAAGTAGAGCTAGCTGCCAATACGAGGCCAAATATCTGTTGAACATGGGTTAGCAGTATTACTGTAACAGTAGGGTATTTCCGGAAAGCCATAGCGAAATTCCCTGAAGCTGCAAGGCCTTTATGGCTCGCAAGAATATTTGAACAGACAGCTTCCAATGAAAAATGCAACAATGGCGTCCGGATATTTTGATATTTGAAAGGCCTTTGCAGTAGGGAAAGACGGTGTTTTCTTTATGATACGACGAGAGTGGAGCTTGAGCCTTTCAAAGCCGCTTGTGTAGCAAATCTCACGTACTGAGGAAAGCTTAAAGCAACGTAAAGAATAAAGACAAAGAATAAGGAATATAGAATGGCATTGATAGATACCTTGTAGGACCAGCAACAGGGCAATGCTAAGTCCTTCGACTCGAACTGGAAATTTGACTGTGGTTGCTAGGGAGCCTCACATTCCACGTCTGTTCGGGGTTTATGCGGACCCTTTTGTCATGCTGGCAGCGCACTCACATGTTTTGCAAGAGAAGATAGGGCATGTGATATGCATTGATCAATTGTACCCGAAACGTCTTACCCAGATAGGAGCTGAGCATAAAAAATCGAACAGCTTGCGCTAAGCCGAACTTGGCCCCGCACCTAGTGAAAGCCGTTCTTCTTCTTGGCCTAAAGGTCTAAACCTTTCGCAGGGTATGCTCAATGCAGGTCTGGCGTGTAAGATATGTACAAAGCAAGTGAGATTTCCCGATCAAAGAATAAAAGGTCCATATTTACAACAGCAAAACTTCGTACAGAATTAGGGATTGAGAAAGTTAAAGAGCTGTAGTCCTGTCGAGCCTGCATTGTCGGGGTAGACATACTGTCACAAGTTAGTGGATGGATGGTATCGGTGCGGTACAGTTACTTACGAAGGCGAGAGCGATAATGATGTACATGCCAAGAAGCATCGATCCTTCGAGGTAATTTGACATACCATCCTAGCAGACCGTCAGTCAGAGCATCTAGTGGAAATCTCCACACTTACGGCAATCAAGTAGTTCGTCACGAGGACACTCAGGAAAAACACCACAGTCTCAAAGGTTTCAAAATGCAACGTCATTGGCTTGCCGATGATCCAGCCTAGTATCACCAAGAACGGTGTCACTAGTAGGGCAATCTGCATGCTACTTCCAATAGCAACACCAATTGCCAGGTCCATCTTGTTGTGTATCGAGACAACGACGGCAGTAACATGTTCTGCGGCATTTCCGACGATGGGAAGGAGGATCAACCCAATGAAGGTTTTACTGATGCCAGCGGTTGCGACAATCGAATCGATGCTTCCAACGAGATACTCCGCACAGACAGCCACGAGGACAGTGATAACCACGAGGACAACGGCAGCAGACCACGGAGATAGTACTTGCCCTGCTTTATCCTCTTCCTCTTCGTCTCCTGCTTCCCCGGAAGTCTCATTCCTTTGACCCTCTTCATCATTTCCGTCCTTCTGCTTCTTTTCTTCAAAAAGATGTGCGTGCGTCTTGAGCTGGAATACCAAATATAGAACATAGAGCACCAATAGGATCACAGCTGTCCCGTGAGAAAGCATGAGTATCTTATCCTGTCTCTTGTGCGCGTCCTCGGTGCCTTTCATAACTGCATACAGTGTTGCAGGGAGAATCAATGAGGCGGCTGAGACAGCCATCAGGGAGGACATCGTAGATGCCGCCGTCTCGTTGAAATTCTGAGATGGGTGTCTGATCCCTCCAGCGACGAAGCAACAACCAAGCACCAAAAGAATGTTTGAGAGGATCGAGCCGAGCATGCTCGCTTGAACAATGCGAATCTGGCCGTCCATAAGAGCAACGATACTGACCTGGGAAGTGTCAGTCGTTGGCAAGACTAATGAAAGGTATCGTTCATACAATCAATTCGACCGCATTGCCGAACGTAGCATTCAACAAGCCTCCCAGCGTCTGGCCCAAAGTAGCCGACAATTCCTCTGTCGCGAAGCTCAACAACGAGGCCAAGGGTATGATCGCAAGGAAGTTTAACACGAACACAGCTGTTGGTCCCCAGCCCACGTGTGCCGAGATAATACCCAATGGCACGAACACCAGGAATACATTGACATAATTGCTGGCCAGCGTCTGCCAAGTAACATGCGCGACGTGTGCTGGATATTTCACAAATGGCCTTGAGTCTTCCCACAATGGCTGGTCGTCTTGGTTGGAGAGCGGTCGATGAAGGAGGGAGCTATGTTCGTCTGGCGGTGCCAACATGCCTCCTACACGGCTCTGGGTTGGGTTTCCATTCTCTGGCTGGCGCATGCTGCTGCTTCTGCTATTTGAAGGGCGGACGACCCTCCGGATCTGCTCTTTGATATTAGTTGAAGCTATACTCGCAGCCACTTGGTCAGCTTCGGGGTTTTATCAAGAGAGTGGCAAAGAAATATCATGCGCCGAAGGTGACAATTATGACATGCATGCTTCGAGGGACAAGCTTAAGAGCTTGTCCGGCGAAGACAAGACATTGGAACAAGGCACCACTTGGCGAGCAGATACTCAGATTTTTCCAAGAGCTTGGGCCCAACTCACACATGGTTTTCCAAGACCACTGCGGCCGCCAAAAGACCAATCACGCCAGAGGTTGCGGATCGCATGCAGACCCAAAACGATAATGAACAAAAGGAAGATGGGGGTCACGGCAGAAGCGGTCGGAATAGTCGGAGACAAAAGCAAATGGTGCTGACAGCTTTATTCGAAAGTAGTGATATAGGAAAGCGCATTGAAGGGGGAAGGAAGGTGCGAGCTTGATGCGAGAGGGAAAAGTGCTCGCTTTCCATTGATGACGACCCTGGCGGCCATTTTTGCTTGATGGGTCAAATAATTGAAGGTCCCCATCTTGGCCCGGGGGGCTGTGCAGCTTTTGGTGCCTTGGCGCCACAAAACGGCAATCAGACAGCGGGAACACTAGAGCTAATGCAAGAAGGCCGTTTTTTATGCACCTCTGATGCTTTCTAACGCGCGGTATCTGCCGGCATAATCGATAGACAAAGCGAAAAACAATGCATCTGCAAGCTGGCCTCGTCGACTTGCATCGGACTGTCTATGGTCTTACGGAATGCTGGATAGAAGTGTCCGTGCCTGCATTCTGGTAATTATGGAGGCATAATCGAATGGCGAGTTTCCTGGGAAAGTCTCTCCTGAGAGGACTCGGATTCTTATTGTGGCGATCTTTTGAGGATTCAAAAATATAGAATTCTGCAAGTCCATATCTGAGCCTGCATTACCATCTCATGCCTATTCCAGTCCTGCTAATGCCTGCCCAAACCCGTTTGAGCGATAGCCCCCAACAGGGGCTTCCAGATATACACGCTTGAAGTATTACCAGTAATGGAACGTTTATATCCACCTCAGGATCCAATATTGTAAGGGTCTCCAGTCCTTACAATTGTTTCATGATGTTAAAGTCCCATTGATTGGTATGATAGAAGCATAATCCTGGCATCGTGAGCTATTTTGTCGTTCAGCAGGTACCAATTTCTCGCAAAGTGCAGAGGTGAGCGAATTAGAGGTTTCTTCCTCGCTGCATGTTCTTTGTTAGTAGTTGGATGAACATGACTTGCTTCAGACCCCAAAAACGGACTGAAGATAAATCGACTCACCCTTCAGATGGGAAACCGCAGCGTTCGTAACAATTCCAGCAGTAACCCTGTAAATCTGGGTCGGAACCCTCAGTTCTGATACACGGCTGGAAGATGGAGAAGTCAGCGCACACTATCGCCTTTTGTTTGACTACTCGTGCCCTTCCTGCAGCCACAAACCTCTATAAATTCCGGCCAGACCCTTGTAAAGCTGCAAGCCCTGAATATGCTGTTGCAGGCTTTGTAACATGGTTCGCTGTGTGGGCATCGAGGATCGGTCGAACGTAAGATCGAAGGTGCACTCAGGACCGAGATGAAGAAAGATAACGCGATCAGAAGGGCGTAACAGAGAATCATCGCGAATTGTAAACCAAGGCAGAGCCAAAATCTCTGTAATATTGCCTTACAAACACTTGAAGCTGTTGCTCAAGAGACTTAGAGGGGGAATTATGATTGAAGTGTCATTGTTGCTTAAGAATGTATGCAGACCGGCGGCATGATAGACCAGCAATGTCATCCGTGGCTATGGGTGTTCGATCGCATATATGAGAAAGAAATGACTTCCCTTGAGATCTGCAACATCTTGGAATAGCTGATCCATCAGTATGCAGGGGTGAGTGATCTTCTTTTCATGACTGTCTACGTTTCGCCGTCAATATCACGTACGCCGCAAGTCGGAAGCTTGTCACAACTTCCTATACTCAGATCCGAGACAACGTCCTTGACGTGACGATGCGCTAGCCGCAGCCAATGATCATGACTCACCTGGGATACAGACGCTACACAGTGCACATTGAAACCGACTTGTATACTAGGCATAGAGATCGGATATGGGGAAAATTAGTGCCTCAGATCTCGAGCCTCCATGAAGTGCAAAAAGAAATTTCGCCAAGGAGTGCTTGACACGTGACCGTCCGATTGGGGCAGTCTGGAAGCTACGCCTTCGGGACTAGGAATTCGAAATTCGTATGGATTTCGGTCTCTGCATGAGAGCTTGCGGCAACATTCATTTGAGCGTGCTGCAGATGCAACAACAATCGCTCTTTACTGGACAGATGTTGGCTTCCAGCTGTACATTAGACATCGCCTTTTGCCTTCCTATGGGGATTCTGTCGTTACCACCGCCCGGAAGCGAGGCTGTATCTCCACGCTCAGTCAACACAAGACATCCTGCGGCCTTGCAATGGTAAGCTGGTTACTTCACATATTCTTGTACGAAGCTCACGTTCCAGACACAATGGCTATCACACCTCTTCATCCCACTGGTCCTTCTCCAGCTGTGCCTCAGCTCAACCGCTCAAATCCCTCCTGTTGGTACCTTCGAGACCGACGTGACCACCGTTCGCTCGCCCGTAGACCCTAGGATTGCGATCAGATTCAAGTCACCTCCGATTGGAACATGTACAACTGTGTTCTCTACGCAGAGGCAATACGCAGGCTATGTATCCATCCCGCCTTTCGTACTTGCGCCCATACAGCAAAATTACTCAATCAACACGTTTTTCTGGTTCATTGAAGCGCGGACGAATGCCAGCTCGTCTCCACTCACTATTTACATCAATGGCGGACCCGGTAGCAGCAGTATGGTCGGACTATTTCAGGAGACTGGCCCTTGTGAGGTTGTTGAATTGACTAGAGGAAGGTTTGGGACACGAGCACGAGACTGGGGATGGGATCGAAGTTCAAACGTGCTCTACGTCGACCAGCCTAACCAAGTTGGCTTCTCATATGACATCCTGAAGAACGGCTCATTGGACCTCTTTACCAGTAATATTCGCCAGTCTCCGGCCGAAGCCCCTTCAACATCTTCGATACCGACTGTACTCAATGGTACATTTGCCTCAAATGATCAAAATGGCACAGCCAATACCACTGAAATTGCAGCTCACGCTGTTTGGCACATGCTACAAGGCTTCTTAAGCGCCTTTCCACAGTACAATCCGGCTCCCCCAACAACAAATCGGACCCAACCTGGCGCAGCAGCTATCAATCTGTTCACGGAAAGCTACGGTGGGAAGTACGGACCTACGTTCGCCTCAGTCTGGCAGCAGCAGAATGGTGCCCGCAAGAATGGCTCCTTCACCAGCAATAAGTCCATAGAGATTCAGCTCTCATCATTAGGGATCATGCAAGGTTGTGTGGACGATCTCGTCCAAGGCAGTTCTTACCCTATCTTTGCTAACAACAACACATATGGCATAAAAGCATTATCCTTGGTGGATCAGCAAACAGCGGCGAGCAGTTATCTCAGTGTTGGAGGATGCCAACAGCTCATCGAAGAGTGTCGTGGCGTAGTGAATGCATCTGACCCGAACAACGATGGAGATGTCAGTGCTGTCAATCAAGCTTGTCGTGACGCGCAAGATACATGCCAAAGGACTGTTGTTGCTCCATTTGCGTCTTCTGGTCGGAATCCATATGACATTACACAGAAATTACTCGATCCATTCCCTCCTAGCACGTACCTCGAGTATCTTAATGATGCGGACGTGCAGGCGGCAGTTGGGGTACCACTCAACTATACGCAGAACAGTGATGCTGTCGCTCAGGCTTTTCAAGCGACAGGCGATGTAGAGCGAGGGGAGACGATTCAACAACTTGCAAACCTCTTGTCCCGTGGAGTGAAAGTGGCCCTAGTTTACGGAGACCGCGACTATCTCTGTAATTGGTTCGGGGGAGAAGCGGTCTCCTTCGCTGTAGCAGCCAGATTACCCGCCTACGCTCCGTTTTATTCCGCCGGCTACGCCGACATCGTTGTGAATAATAGTTATGTTGGGGGCGCTGTCCGTCAATTTGGCAACCTCTCTTTCTCCCGCATCTACAGCGCTGGCCACCTCATCCCCGCATACCAACCCGAGACAGCATTCACGGTCTTCACACGTATTATCATGGGCAGCGACATCTCCTTCGGCAAAGAAGTCGATCTCTCGTCGTACAAAAGCAACGGCACAGCCAATGCCACCTACACCGCCAAACCACCAGGCCAGACAGATCCAATCTGTTGGATCCGTGATATCCAAGCCAAGTGTACTGACGACCAACAGCAGAAATTGCGAGATGGCGAAGGCGTCATTATAAACGGTATCTTGTACGATAAAGAGAGCGATTGGAAGGCTCCACCCTCCTCAATGTCTGTCCAAGCGGGCTTCCCTGGACAGGCACCTGCTCCCCCTAATCCTACAGTGCCGCCATCTTCCTCAAAAGGAAATGATGGCGCTATGTCTACTCCCACAGTACCCACAGGCGTATACACCGCGACTGCTACGCCGAGTCCATCCAAGAGCCGTGCTTCAGCACTTCATATACATTTTGTCACGCCCTTTACACCAACGATGCTCTATATTGCTTGCTTGCTAGGACATTGTATTTTATGATCATAAAGCGGTGGAAGTCGCAAGGAGGAGTGATTTGGGTAATCTCTCAAGGGGCTTTTAGCATTGTCTCTGTCGGCTTTAATCTGGGCGGGAGATTCTTGATTTGCCAAAAGTTTGTAGATACCCTTGATACCCCTTAGATGCTCTAGAGGATCCCAAATCCAGAAGTAGATAATGAATGACTTTTACTCAGTGTGCGATCAATCGTCCTATGTCAGGTGGTCGCCTCGCTAAATGCATTCTATCGTCTATAAGCTGCTTTACTGCTACTTCCCCACCTGCTCACCCCTTCCATTCGTGAGACATCGTTCGTGATCATTCCTCTCACCCATGGCTCTTACCCTCATTGAGCCCTCCGCAACTCCCCCTTGACCCTCACAAGATTGTCCCAAATCCAAAAGTTGTCTTGATCCCCCTGACGTAAAAATTTTCCCAGTTCCTCCTTACCACTTCTTCCTCCCCAGCTGGCACAAAGGAGTGCGTGACCCTCAATACGGTGACTTGGTCTTCATTATTTTGATCGAACACCAACTCCAAGCTCGAGAAATGCCCCTCGGGCCAGGTGGATAAGCGCCACTTTTGCACAAGCTTCTTCGGAGGCTCGAGCGTTTCGAAAGAACCACTAACGTTGCCACCGAAGATTGCGAACTTGCCGCCAGCTTTGACTCCTTCGAAGACTGTGGGCGGGGAGCGCGTAAATGCTGCGAGGCGCTCAGGAGAAGTGAAGGTTGTGTAGAGCTCCTCCGCTGTCGTGCGAAATTCGTCTGTGTAGTTGAGCGTTGTCGTATTTACCAATGGACCACTCGATATTGTAGTCCCTGTGGAGGAAGTAGTGTTACTGGCACTTTTGAATTTTGATTGGTTGATAGAGGAGGAAGTGGTCACTTTGGTTGTGGGGAGGGATGGCGCTTGTCCTGTGGCATGTTGGATATCTTTACCATGCTCCTCGATCAAGGAAGGCCCTAGCCGGGCGAGGCTCTTGCGGAGTTGTGGGACAATGGCCTTACGGACAAGGTCTTTTATTGGTTGTTTAGCTAGCGACTGATCAGAGATGTCTATCTCAAACTAGAAAATGAATGAATGTCAGCTACACTGGCAGGACGGAACGATGGGTAGGGAACATACGACATACTCATCTTCCTCTGTGTCATGCGCCACTTCCGGGACTGTTATATTGCCGGTCACATCATCGTCATCATCGGTGCTCCCTGTAAGCCGTAAGTTCCTGCCGCGCAGCTCTTGCCTAGAACTTCTGACTTACCAATATATTCCAATTGTACTTTCACGTCGAAAAGTGTTATGACTTTTCCCTTGCGCTGACTGACATCCACGTCTCCCTCCATACTCTTCACTTTCAGGATTTCCGCCGAAACTTCGCCCTCTTCTGCCTTGATGCCCACCAGGTTCTTGTCGAAGTACTCCCGTGCCCATTCCCGCACATCTTTATTCACCCAATGCCACTAGAGATTCAACCATGATCAGCATCGCTCCGTATGGTCAGGCACAAAAAGACTCAAGGTAGAGAATGGAGCTCGGGAAAAAGCTTAAGGGAGGTCCAAAGAAGGACGCCTGAGGGTCGGTTGGTCGGAAGGTGGCCGCTTCAAGCCGCTCGAAATCGAAATAAGAGGCTGTTGCAATCCCTAGAGACTGGCTTATGGGGCAGGCTTTCTTAGACAACAGAATCTAGCACGGCCACCTTTCGACTAATCGACCCTCAGGCGTCCTTCGCTGCTTAGAGCAACATCAAGTGAGACGCACATTGTTAGGATTGTGTAGGACCATATTGACCTTAAGATGTCACCTAGACTCAAGAATTAGATAGATCGATCCAATGTTCATGTGACGAACAGTTGGTTGTTAGAAGCAAGTGTCAGAATTAAAAGAGCTTGAGCTCAAAGTAAGCTAATCCGCATGAAGAGAGTACAAGTCTATTAGGACTGGTGCCAGAGCTGTGGAAAACACATCATGTTGAAGCTTGTAAATGAGCGAAAATGAAGACTTACAATAGCGGATGAAGATCACTCATCGACCGGCACAATAATGCTAAAAGATGAAGCCCATGTTCCAATTTGATGTGGGCAGGAAGAGTGACGGAAAGCTCTGGAAGAAGATACCAGCCCGTCAGCCCTATCGTGAGACCCCTATTCTAAGCGAGAGAGTATACACAATTGATATGGAACATTATTTGGGCAAAAAGGAGGTGCAATGAATTCGCAAGTTTTTGATACTAACAATACTGCTAGCTTGCAAAATGCCCGTCACGCCCATCCAGACCAATATACAACCCCAGACATGCCGTCATAACCAGAACAGAGTCGCCCAGTACGTCGTGACCTAACTCCAAAGTAGGTGAGAAGATGTGGCTTGTGAGTAGTACGCGACGCTGCAATACCCTATTTGCTACCAAAGCCACTCCTGGATTCCGGGCCAATCCAATCCGTTTCTGCCCAACCCCTGAAGTCGACGTTGCGCTTGGCTACTGGAATGGCAATGCCAAACCAATCACTCTCGTATCGAGCATTAGCAAAATTTTTATAGCATTTCAGTGTCGTTACAGCTGGGGCCAACGTAAGCTTCACAGTAGTGTCGCCAGGTGATTGGCGTTATCAGCTGTTTTGCATCTTTCCGCTCAGTCAAGACTTAAAGCCTTTTCCAACATGATCTTTCATGGAGCGCCCGGTGCACCTTTTTTCCACCCATACGAGAGCCCGTCTTTCATTGAATCAGGTGTTCGGGGAAATTCTGGCTTACGACCAACAAGCACGACACTAGCTCACAACATCAGTCTTTGCTCCATATCTCGAGGGAAAGTGACACACTTTGTCTGATAGGAGTGTACGGCACGATCTTTCAGCTCAGGTTTCATCTTCGCCACGAGTACACTGACTTCTTCTGCTTTCCACTGTGAACCGCGGGTCAATAGACCCATGCTGACTCCTTCAATGCCTTCGACATGAGCGAGCAGTTGGTACCTCCCAATCTCTTTCAGCTTTGGGTCTTTTGGCCACGGATTTGTTGGCGACTTGAGAATCACTTGTTTTATGTCAACGAAACCAGCCTGGACGAACCAATCATAATATTCCCCATAGCGTGGGATCGGACGGTTATAGTTGGCTGAAGCCTCTGTTATCGCATCAGACCAATAGGATATAGCGCTGTCCTCTCGCAAGGAGCCATCGTCGGAGCTGAAACGGCAGTCGAGCTCTTGAAGTTCAAAGTACCCGCCTGGTTTCGTGTGCTGAAAAGCTTTTCGAATGTATCGCTTCCAATTTGAGATGGAGCAAAGCATGAAGCGCGAATGAACGTAATCAAAGTGGTTATCAGGCCAACACCAATTTTGGTCTTCAATGTCGTCTATCGCAAGATGTACGTTATCAGGCACCCTGTTGCTCTTGCGTCACTTGTTGCCCGTATCCAATCCTTCATCAGGCAAGAACTCTTACCAATTGGGCTGGACCGGAGACAAGTCAACGCCATGGACTTCCGAGCCCGGATGCTGCTCGCCCATCTCTATGGGCCATATACCAGTTCCCGTGCCAAGGTCCAGGATACGCTTTGGACTGTCTAGAGGCGCAATGTAGAGGTGCCCGCTGCACAATAACCGCATAATATGATGTTTCAAGTCAATTCGGTCCAGCTCTTGCTACATTCGGCGACCGGTCAGCGTAAACTCTCAGTAAAGGCAGTCAGCTAGGGGTAGAAGGGAAGAGGCGTCGAAAGCGTCGGGGCGCAGAACAAGACGTTGTCACTCACTTCATCATTGGGCAACGGATAAGAGCCAGCTCTGTAGCTATGATATCGTCGGCCGTTCTCGTACTCATAGTCGACGATGCTTGCGGTAATTGAAGTGGTATCGTAGTTGCTCAAGTCATCGCTAGGGGACGCTTTCTGCAGGCAATTAGCGTTGTGCGATGTCGCTGTGGGCGTTTGGCACACCTGATCGACCTCTATCAGGGAAGGTGGTGGGCTGATCGCCAGCTTATTTGGATCTCTGAGTGCAGCCATAGCCAGTGGTCAACGATGTCTTTCGAGCGAGGCAGGTGAAGTGCCTCAGCTGTTGAGGTTATATCGCAATGGCCCGGAGGCCAAATGGAAGAGCGGTCGGCATGACATGGCGGGAGATGGGGTGGGATGTAGAGAATGGCGGAGTAAGCTAAGGGATGAAGCAGGTCATGGCGTGAGGAGGAGTGAGAGTCTGGGTAGGGGAGCGCCATTATTATGGATTAGTTTTTGCCTTTTCATGATTTTCATGAGTTAGTCCGAGTAGTTCTAGTCTAGAGTCTTGCTGGCTTCCGGCCTTAGGTTAGGGAGGCGATATAGGCCTTGGCATTGGACTGCTGGGGGCGATGGACCGCACGCTAGCCAGCCGAACACGCACTCCAGCAAGCACCACATGCACCGGCCTCCACCTAGAGCACTCTAAAATCCCACCTAATGCAATCCTACCGCACCATTATGCACCTTAAAGCATCCTTACCATGTCCTCGGATGCACCAGATCCAGCATCCTGGGTCCAGGAACCCACCACAGGAATTAAGTTGCTGCACGCTACCGAAGTAGAAGGTGCCTTACGCCTATGAAGAAACGAGAACATTCTTGTGTGGTGGGATTTCTCCACGCGAGATCTGCGAGCTACGTGTCAATGATTCCGATGCTCCAGATCTGTGTCTCCCAGATGTTACCGACCCTTCGCAGGCAAGATAAATCGCCGGCACAAAGCGGCGCCTTTGCAGCATCCCATCAAGCTCGCGATGTAACTCCAATGTGGCCTTGAGCTTTTTGCTAGCGAGTCACGGGTCTCGTGGCATCACTGGAAGTGGTCCAAGTCGGCACGAGCTTCCCATTCACCACTCTGGCATCCGTCTACGTGGGGTCATTGATCAGAAATAACTGGATGCTTCTGCAAGTCTTAAGAACGCTCGTGCTCAGTTGGCAATTGTTGGCTGCGGGTACAGATAATCTTTTCCGAGCTATTGCATGAGAGCAAAATCACGGCATTGATGTGGCGAGCTTGCTAATTGGCACTTCCGCAAAGCTTTGAAAACAGTGTCTCGAGGTCAACGATCTGTCCCAAACAATGAGAAACACAGTTTTAGTCATCAGGACACTCTTTTGATCGAGGTGGCTCGGATATAGCAAGGGGGTTTTTTGCTTTTGTCAAATGTCGCTCGAGATGAATAGCGATAAGCATTTACCAAGTTCCAGATTTGAAAATCTATTTATTATGAGACTCAATCACCTTGGCCACTTCGTCGTAGGAACCTAAGAATATGCCAGATCGATCGTGGATGTGTTCCGGCCTGACATCCATCATTCGCTGCATCTTACTGTCCACAGCTTGACCTCCGGCTGCAGAAACGCATTGTCAGCGAAAAAGGACGGCGACAGACTTGGCATGAATAGCAAGACGTAGAAGTAGAAGTCACGTACCATTTTCGAAAACCATTGCCATCGGAGCACACTCATACAGAATCCTCAACTTTCCTTTTGGGCTCTTCTTGTCAGCAGGGTACGCAAATATTCCACCATATAGCAGGGTTCGGTATGCGTCAGCCACCATACTACCGATATAGCGAGCACTGTAGGGTTTGCCGCTTGTATCTAGTGGATACTTCAGACTGTTGAAGTATTCCTTGACTGGCTCTTCCCAATATAGACTATTACCCTCATTGACACTGTATATCGCACGAGATTTTGGTAGCTTGATATCTGGATGAGTAAGAATGAATTCGCCAAGGGCATTGTCCAAGGTGAATGCATTGACACTGCCGCCTTTCATGGTAATAACGAGCTGGGTACTAGCTCCGTACATCGTGAATCCGCTTGCGACGAGCTCAGTCCCTGGCTGGAGAATCTCTTCCACTTTACCCTCACTGTCATCCTTGAGCCGGTAGACCCCAAAGATGGTACCCACGCTGACACCGGCGTCTAGGTTGCTCGATCCGTCGATTGGGTCGCATACGACCGCATATCGAGCTTGAGGATACTCATCGAACAATAGTAGCTCTTCCTCTTCTTCCGAAACAAGCATTCGACATCTCCCTGACGATCTCATGGCTGAGATGAAAAGATCATTGGAGATGACGTCCAACTTTTTCTGCGCATCGCCTGTCGCATTCGCGGACCCAGCAAGGCCTGTCAGGTTGATAAGTGTTGCTCGTCGGATGTAGTAGGCTATGGACTTGAACGAGAATTGCAGAGCATGGCAGAGAAGTCTAGAGGTCTCATAGCTTAGCTGCAAGCCTGCTTTACAGAGGGATCATGACGTGCGTAAATTCTCCAGTAGCTTCCTTGTGCTTTGTCTGTTCTTCATTGAGGAACCTCGTGAGAGTGATGATCTCGGTGTTGATCTGTTCATGGCCCACAGGGGCAGTGTCGCCATTTGCTTGAGACATGAAGGCAGGCTCAATTGAAGGGTTTGAAGGCTTGATGTTCTCGAAAATTGCAGAGGTTGTGCGCGGTCAATGAGCGTAGTAAGAATGGTTGGCAAGCTACCTTATCGTGTCTACAATTAGTCGGATTGAAAAAGGCGCAATGATGGTATATCCGCTTCAACCACTGCCTATTCTCGTGACCTGCAGCATTCCCTTCATCCTTTTTACAGCCCCCACTACCCAAACGTCAACCCCACTATGAGCCGAGGTCTGAGATCAATGGCCAGTGGGCGCGACCCCTGAATCTGATATACTGCTGAATGCAGTCAAGGCTTCTCACGTGATGATATAATTGTCTAGAGCATCTGAGAACAGCAGTGTTTGTGAGAAGCCGTGAGATCTAATGAACGAGGCGGAAACGGGCCAGCCTCGCCTGTCAAGCGGGACCCTGCAAGATGGAGACGATCTCTTGGCACACCAATTACTCCCTAGCTGCAAAATTTCTACTCCTTGAAGATCCCACATTCGCAACCGCTCGAGCTCACACGAGGCCTACTTCATGTCGTTTCATGCTGGGGCATTGACGTCTGCCAAGGACTTGCCTACCTCTACATGTACAATTGTCGCCGGTAGTCTTCAATCCCAACGAAAGGGTACTTGTGTGAAGCTCAAAAAATGGTAAGACCTCGAGAGTCGGAAAGCCGCTCTTCCGTACACTTCCTTCGTGATGATTTGTCAAACCGCAAAACTAGAGTCTTTGACCTACATGGGAATGAAACACTTATTGCACACGTCAGTCTGATCAACGTCGTCGCTTGCTACCACCGAACATATTTATGACTACCGGTTCAGCCACGCTGACAATTGATCTTAGGTGCATACAGTGAGGTATGTTCCTCTCAATACCGTACCTGAAGAATACACCTATCCCTATACGAGCGATGATGAACACTATTACAATATACGCTGGAAATTACCGGCTGAGACTTTTGTCCTTGAAGATTCTCAAAGTGCTGAGACTGAGCTCCTACTACCTGACCCTCTATTTTTGCGTCAAGATTGGCATGGAAAGCTGTAAAGGCTGATCATAGATAGCAAAAGAATCGCCCAAAAAGCCAGCGAGTGATATCGCCGCCGAGAATGCAGAAAAGCTTCAAGCACGCGGTAGCCACCTCATGAAAAAACGACTAGCCCCAAAAAGCATATTATATTTCCAGTTGTCGCCAAAATGGGAATTCTATCCAAAGATACTGCATAGTCGAGACTAGAGAGCACTAGAACACGAGGTTAAGAGAGGGTTCCAGTGATACAATCATATGGAACATTACGTGAAATCACCACATCAAACTTGGCCCTTGTTGGACGATCGGATATGAAACTGGAAAGCTTTGTTGCCGTGGCTATGAACCGCACAATCGACTGCCTTCAAGGTATGCCTCCTGAAAACTTTCATTTGCGAAGACAAATCATGATGAATGGCACTGGGCTCCGACAAAGCATGAATGGAAATGCCCGATCGTGCAAAGCCTCAGAAACTTTGTCATCTGAAATATTGATTTACGTCCTGGGGAATATGAGTTGTCTGATGCATCAGCTGCTAACATCTAATCTTCACCAGTACTCACTTGCCTCCAGCCAATATATACCTTTAGACGTTATACCTCTAATCGCCTGTAACAAGACGTACATGTGCCAGGTCACGAAAGGTTCGTGATGAACGAGGAAAGCTGTTCATTTTCTATGATGATCTCAATATAGATGACGAGTCAGATTTGGGTCACCAATGCTGATACAACTCTAAATACCATTCATGCAATACCTGAGAACTTTTTGTTGCGATATTCAATACGGCTTTCGAAAGATGAAATATAGGTGCTGACAAATCCATCATAGTCAAGAGGCCAGTTCATTCGTGTCCAGGACAGCCGGACAAAATGATAGCCTAGGTATGATTCCCTTCGCTTTTACTCCTCCTCTTGCTCCACATGATGAATCAATGAAAACACAATGACAAGCATATGTCCAAGCCGGTTAGCTGGCAAAGACGACAACAGTGTACTGATCACTCTTGCGCGAAATCTATTGTCGATTATTCTTCGTTGAAGAAGCTAGGCTAACTCTATTGTCTTGACAGCCTTATGTACCTGGGGTTAAGCTCCGGTACAGTTGAGCTTGGTCAGAGATGATTTCGAAATCATTGTAAGTCAGCATGCTCTCCACCCTAACCCTTTTGCATATTGCGAGATTCACATGATGATCAACTTTCACATCTCACGACGGTCGACATAGCTATTGCATTGATGAGAATTGCCCTGACCGGGCATCGAATCTGATCCAATCACCCTTGACTCCTTGCTTCATGAATGTTCTCCGTCGGGTATGACGTCAGAGTTGACATCAAATCGCTCCGCAGGTTTAGAGACCCCACAAGACTTTCCCGAATTTTCAAACGTACACACGATCCATAACCGAACGTACATCAAAATATCGAGCTATCCACCATGTCTTCCAATAGCTATTCCACTTTTCAGTCTTACTCCTCGTCAAGTGAGTGCTTGTTGGCAACATTCCACTATCATACTGTTTAGCAATCAGCTGACTCCAGAGCGCACTTAGGTTACTCAGACTCTACCGGTACTCGCTACGAGCAAAAGACATACTCTAATCCTTCTGGCACAACAACGCAGCGCAACACGCAGGAGGCTGGAAAACCAATGGTCAGCGAAACCACAAATGTCCCGTCAGGCAGACATGTGGGTGGGATCGGAAATGATCAGCGTCGTATTGAGGATGTCACAGATGATCCAGCGGCAGCGGACAAAAAATATGAAGAGCGTATTGAGGACGAGTACGCCAAGCGCGAAGGAGGTGCTTGATCGCTCACTAACGGGCTGTGAAGTGAGAGGAGGAAAGCTTGTCTTGATTGACAACCATGTTGTACGATAGGCAGTAGAATATGCGAAACCAGACTCAATAGCAAATGCTCAAAGATGACAATTTCTCTCCAGATGCAGAGAGCTCTCGTAATTATTAGGTCAGCAATCGCTTTGAATTGCTATTTCATCAGTGCTGCAAGTATGGTCCTAATATATGATGCATTTCTGCGTCAGCTTCAACAAATCCTTCCTACACATATCGTAATACTAGCAGAGGTGGAAAATCCAACAGTTCGAAACCGCCGGCCCCATTGTTTGCTAACTCTCCGGTAGTAAGAACTGGAAATGCCTTGCGGCGAACCAAACATCTTACACCACAAAGATGGCCACATATTCAGGATCATGAGAATGCATTGAGAACCAACGTTCGACGTAAGCTCTGCGCATCATTAGATAAAACGTAGAGTAGTAAGCCAAACATTCTACAAGCAAAGCCTCGGTCGGCGGCTCGGAACCGCTCTGATCCCGGGTGGATTACAGACAGTTGCTTCAACGGTCGCAGGTCCTGAAGGAGTAGGAAGGATTTATACAAGGTGTCCTGTTGGATGCTAAATTTGGGCTCTTACAGGCGATGGGGGTGCGGAATGACGCAGGAACTAGGGGGATCAATGAGCGAGAGAGGCGAGGGAGGGAATCTAGAAGGATCGTTTGAGGATAGATGTCTCGGAGGATAAACGGGGGTGGTTGAGTGAGGATGAGGCGGGTGTAAGAGTGATGTTTGATCTCTCTGTCGGAGAATGGGGCCAGCGTATGGTAGTAGTGAAGTATGTCAACAGCGCAAAGCAATCCGATGGTTTAGATCTTTCTTTCTTTGTCTCGGGCTAGAATGCATCGACGGAGCATGATTTGATGGGGAAGGTCGCCTTGGTTGTCTACGTTTGATGGTGCGGGTAAGATGGTGCTGGTGGCACGAGTCAATCCGCTTGCGGCAAGCGCCTTTTGTTTTCTGCTTGCGAGAGAGATCCGCCGAGTTCGGTCCATCAGATCTTGCACTGATCACTGGATTAGGCAAGCAGGTATTTGAGGGTGTATTGACATAACAGGCTGATCGCACAAAGCTCACCAGACGCTTCCAGCGTGGCGAGCATCATTTGATGAATAATTGAATCATCTGAGAGGACAGCAAGCCGTTACGTCTTGCGATTTCCTCAGCATATAACATTGGATCTATCTAGACATCGAGGCAAAACTTGCGAAGAGGCAACATGTAAGAGTCGCTTTGAGGTTCCATTATTTGCCATGGAGGCGCAACTGTTCAGTCATCAGCCACACTGGATATGAATAGACTTACGTAGTCTGTGTATAGCCTCGGTCCAATTAGAGTAGCCTCCGCAAGGACCATTTGCCCTTTCAGCCTAGAGCCCGCCGGTGCACAGCAAGTTTAGGCTTTGCGAACTGTTGCGAAGACACAAATCTCTGGCATCCTCGGCAAGGCACAGGCCAAAGAAGCTCACCAGTGCAGATGAGTGGCTTGGGACGCAAGATGACTGGTGAGAGTCAAGCGGAGAACCATAGGCTTGAACGCTGGGTCGTGCGGGACGATCACCAGGCCGATCGAATAAGAAGGTGCTGCTAAATTCTACCACCGGATCTACTCAGCTGCCATCGTCTGCAACGTACCTATGGATCATGCCCCGGTGGCTCCTCGCTTGATGCCCTCGCCCTCTCTGGTGTCTGGTGAGCAAGCGCTAGGCAGCTCAAGCAGCTGGTCAAATAGATCGCACACGGCCGGCGGTCGTGTGAGACAGGACGAGAAGTATAAGGAAGGGGCTGGATGCATTCCACCGTCCATTCGACCCAACAACGCTCTCCATAGCTGCATTCATCAGCGGTTGCTGGGATCCTCTTTTTTCCACCCCCAAGAATTTGTCAGATCTTCCGCCGCATCCATCGAGACAGGCATTCCTTACATACGGCTCTCACCCGAAATACCTGACACCGAAGTGTAAAAGGCGCTGAGGCCGATTGACCAGCCAGACAGTATCTTCAGAAAATTGGTGCCGCAATCAGGCCGCATCAAATTTGACCGCTTTCTCCCACCCCTCGGTTCCTCGCCGGCTTCATTGGCGCAAAGGCATTGAAACAAAATCCCAGTGACAGCAAATCTTGAAACGAGTGAGGGGGAAATTGAGTCATCTAGAGGGTATTGTACCTCAGAGAAGCTAAGGGTTTGAGGTATGTAGGGGAAGGGGCAATGATAGGTCGGCGAGTGTCGCGCGCTAAGTGATGCAAAGGCAAAAGGTATTCTAGGAAATCTCCTGCACCAAGCCAACAACCCACTCGAGGCCCACGGCCACTCAATCCACTGCAAGCAAATCAATCCAGTGCAAGCCTGCGTCGCCGACCCAGGCCTTTGCTTTCCACAGGTAAGCTCATTCGCTCCTCACCAATGGCAGAGTACGTCTCAGAGGTCTTCAGACAGCTAAACAGGTACCAGCAGGGGTCGTTTAATCTGCTTCGTCACCCATGCCGTGGCAGATGCCCATCTCGACTATTGCATAAAGATACCCAAAGCCCCTCTTTTCGAGACCACGAAACATTCACTTTCAGTCTCCATTCGATCACTTTTCATTCTTCGTTGTCTTTTCCGTTCATCATCATCCTCTTCGCTACTCTCTCTTCTTTGCAGCAAGTCGCCTCACCGGTTTGAGGCTTGACTCAGGACAGAAGGACGATAGGACCCAGTGTGGGATCGAGAAGGAGCATTACTCACGTCGGCATATATTGCCACCCGGGGGATTATTCAGAGCAGTCTTGACGCCAAAGAAACAAACAGCCCCACGCAAGAGTTAACCGTTCTGTCATACTGAGCGTCGCAACCAACAAGCGCTAGGGTGATCGTTGTGTGTTCAGAGACAAGACATTTTGTGGCCGCATCAACCCCTGAACCCCCCAAGCTCTTGTCCATTTTAGCGACAACCCCCAAAACCCCAGCTAAGGCGTAGCCCGGGGCTGCCAACAGACCGCCGCACAAACCGCCTAACTCCCCCCAACTCAATAATCATAACAATCGAGCATCCTATCGATCTTTTTTCTTTGCCTCCGTCGCCTAAGGCGGATTTAGATACTTCCTAGCCTTTTCGCCAACATCGTCGCCGAGCGGTTCACGCTCGACCACAAACGTCTCACTTACTTGCGAAAAACAATACGCTTCGCGGGCTTGACGCTCCCAAGCACTACGCTTCACGCAACGACTCGGGTTTCACCTCGAGCAGACAACCGCCTTCACTTCCGCTGGTCGGACATAGAAGCTTTTAACGATCACTAACCGACTCTCCCTCAGGCAATTAATTTGTGTCGTGGGGTTTTGACAAGAACCGCAAAACACTCGTCGCGACTACCGGTACCAGAAACACGGAAGCTCAGACGGTGTGCTATTGACGACATCCAGCCACAGCACTACTTCCCTCATTGACCTCCTTCGTGGCCCCCCATTAATCACTGAAAGTTCTAATTCTTAATTATCAATCCTACTTCGGCAGATCTGCCCAACGGGGCATCGGCCAACTGCGATCCAGCCTGTCATACTTTCGGCGGCTTATCCAGCAAAGGTCTTAGGTGCAACACCACCACCGCATAACATAACATCACCCTGTTGTGAAGGCTCTTGACTTGAACGATATAGACTTGGATCCTATTCCCCGTCTTCCTCGTCCCCACTCGTGCCTACGATGCCGCCCACAATGGCAACTCCAGTACAGAACCAGAAGGCCCTGGATCTTTTCATCCTGATGCCAGTGTCCTCAGACATGGTATCGTACCTTGCACAACAGGCCCATGCTGTCATAAGGTGCGAACATCAGTCTTTCCAAACGGACAAAGACCTGCCACCGACCCCACCGACGACCCCACCCAACGACGAAACCAAATCACTGTCACAGTCTGCTCTGCCATCGCTGGAAGAATTCATTCAGTCTCTCGTTGATAAGTCTCGTGTCCAGGTACCTACCTTAATGAGCTCCTTGATCTATCTCTCCAGACTGAGGGAGCGTTTACCACCTGTGGCCAAAGGCATGCGATGCACTGTCCACAGGATTTTTCTTGCTTCCCTCATCCTTGCGGCCAAGAACTTGAATGACAGTTCGCCCAAGAACAAACATTGGGCTCGCTATTCTTCTGTCAGGGGCTACGATGGGTTTGGCTTCTCCATAACAGAAGTCAACTTGATGGAAAAGCAACTACTATTCCTTCTGGACTGGGATCTTCGAATCACGAATGATGACCTCTTCATGCATTTTGAACCGTACCTCGCTCCTATCCGCCAGCAGCAAGCACAAAAGGAGCAAAGCCGCCGGAAGCATGTCAGGGAGCCCGCGACCCTTCAGCAACAGCGTGCTTACTATTCAAAACCCCAACCTCAGCGTGCTTATGCTTCGACAAGTTCCCTTCCTCTCCTACCTGGTCAGCCACAGGCTGTGGGCGTTTACGCAACTCCACCAAGCTTCTCGTCCTCAGCATACCTCTCGGATCTAGAACGATTCTCAGTCTCTCATCCTTCTGCTCAATCCACCTCGGAGCTTCCCCTTCGATCGACTCGGCGACCTACACCGACTCACCGTCAACGATCGGTCTCCCCACCTTCCGCAGAATCTGTCCCTGCCCTATCTCGCCCAGGCACTTCCACGGACAGTTACAGCTGTTCTTCTCGCTCCACTTCTGCCTCTCCTCCTTCGACCACACATAGCACTCCTGGCTCCCTCGCTTCATCTTATGGCGGGGAGCACGACGCTTTTGTGCCGATCATTGGGAGAGACGATGGGGGTGCGATCACCGACAGCATGTACAAGTTACGGCCCACGTTGGGTCAGCACCAATTGAGTGCTTACGAAGACAAGCCAGCGAAGAAAATGAGGACAGGAATGGGAGGAAACATCATTAGCAGGTTCCTCAATTCAACGCAGCCATACCGCGTACGAGCTTGAGGGCTATCACGACTATATCATGTCATCTGAATTTTATTTGCGGGGGTTCCGGAGTTTATCTACTAGAGCGAGCGAGCAACTACAATCAACAATGCATAGCGACGGCGTTGTATCTTTAAACCATCTGGAGATGATGACACAATATTGCACAGGTATCGGAGCAGGCTTTGAAAGACATGCATAGGATACCCCGGAGCAACACATAATGAGTCGAAATTGGGCAAGGAGCTATTCGGATGGTGGGACCGCCTCGAGCAGGGACAACCTCAGGCATAGATAGAATCAAAATCAATAAACATCATAATATCTCAAAAACAGCTTCCTTTGCGACTGCTCTTTCACGTTGCTGTAACAACGAATGATCTTGCGCTTTCCGTCATTTTTCAAATACAAGGCTAACAGTCCCACAGAATCAAAAGCCTCAACTCGTGATCCGACTAAGGCCAACACCCCCTTTTCCACCTTTGACTCTCCCTCCCGTAAGCAACCCAAAAGCTTACAACCAATCCCAGACATGAGAATGACCCACTCCTATCTCTACCTTAACGCGCGCCCGTACCCTCGTGATCACGCTATCACACCGATCCACGCACCCACCCACACAGATCACGTCCAAGACTTCCAACAACCACACCACTCGAGCAAGCGACAGGCGATAGACGCTCAAAGACAATCAGCCATATCGGCCCAGCCCTCCATACAGTCAATCGAGCATGCTTTTCGGAAGGAATGTCCCCTTTCAAGCAAAAGCCCGGGAACGATGGTTGGAGGTGCATTATGATTGAGAGTTGCAGCGTAGTAGTGAGTGTACGGAGGTTATTAAAAAAAAGGTTGGATATGCGGCCATGCGGCCAAACTCACTTGCTGTCATAACAAGCCTTGCCACCCACTTAACTCCCCTCACAAACTTTTCTAGGTGGCACAGCAGGAAGGAAGGTGACTTTGCTTGAAAAGGTAGTTGCCCCATTGTTGCTCCGTCACCGTGTAGGAGGTAGGTAGTGTGCGTCTCACTTGCTGGAATGAGATGTCCTCCGTTTTGAAAATTCTGGACGTTGTTGCATTATTGAGACGCCCATCTTGCTGTTGGATTCTGGATTCGCTTCTGGGCTTTAGTTGGCCCCGATGAAGGATGACCTGGTGGTTTTCGTGGTGCTGTAGTAGATACCACATCGAGACTGACCTGAATGAAGTGTGACAGTCGATTTGCGCGGGATCGATCGATTGGAAAATGTAGAAAAGAAAGCATTTTGAAAGTATGACAGAGACATGTATTGCCTCTGCGTGGATTTTGGAAAGAACCGACAGCTAGTTGCTCGTACCTTCCTTTTGATTAATTGTCACCTCCCATACCCACACGCGTAAAGTGCAATGTATTACAACCCTCCAGTAAATGCTCACATGCCTTCAATGCCCATACGCACAAAATGCGATCATTACACCCCGAAGTAGATGCAAATCAGAATCCCACCTTTTATGTATTACAATCCTTCTTTAGTAACTCTCAAGCGCCCATCCGACAATCTCCCTCTCCTCATCTGCTTCCTGTGCAGCGACCTCCACTCCATCTAACATAACCACCCCACTGCTTACAGTTCTCTTTCTATCATGCCCTTTCTCCTTCCTGTATCTACTCCCAGTACTGAACGTCCTCGCCAAGCCCACCTGTCCCTCTCCAGGCACAGGCGGCAGTGGCATGAACGGCGGTGGAGTCAAAGGCATATTCGCTGTGCTGGGCGTGCTAGGTACTGCATCACTACTGCCACCGAAGCTCAGCCCGGGTGAGGTTCTTGGTGGACTGACGTCTTTCTGCTGCGGTCTCTGTTGTGTAGATCGCGGGATGATGCCTGGAAGTGCTTGAGGAGGAAACGGGAATGCTATATTACCATCTTCGACGTCTCTCTCGCTTTTGTCTTCGAGATCGAGGAACAAATCGTCGGCGCTCATGCTCTTCCTATTACTCATACGTATCGAATTGAGGTTTTGATACATGTCCGAGGGGGCGTAGCGAGCGTTTGAGAGTATCGGGATTGGGGACACGGATGTTCTGGAGGACTTCTTGCTGCTGTTGCTGATGCTGTAGCGGGAATCATAGAGGGAGGAGGAGCGCTGGAATGAAGCGCGGCCGGTCGAGGCACCCGAGGTCCTTGGGCGCGATACGTAGGAGTTAAGATCGTCTTTCCGTATGTCGCTAGCGCGGATAGAAGCACGTTTCTCACGCATTGCTTCCAGGAGGCGCTCTTCTTCAGATGTGACTTTCATCAATTTGCTGCCTCGGAAGGGAGGCTTTTTGTGGCCGGACATAGATGTTCTTGCAGAGAGCGGGGTCGTCAGGGGCGTCTCGCCATTGGAACCGCTTTCTAGGGTGCTGTCCCCTCCGACGTCTGTAGAGGAACTTTTCTCTTCAATCACATCACGCCAGCGAAGGCTGCTGTTCCTACTGTTGAGCGGAGCACGCAGGGGGACCTGTGGGACTGGTGGAATCGCATCGGGGGTTCTCGATCGCCGAGGCGACCGTCTGCGAGAAGCTTTGCTGACGATTGGACGCGGTTTTGCAGGTTGCACTCGTTGTGCGTTACCCACAAGAATGTCGTCGCCGTAATCAGCTCGCTCTACACTCGCCCGAATACGATGCTTCCGAACAGAGAGCTCCCTGGATACCGTCGAGGGCCCCTCATCCTCATCATCTGAAGAGGAGAGATTGAGTACACTTTGAGTCTTCAAATCAATGCCTGCAAGACTTCCTTTGCAACTAGCTGAGGACCGGAGGCTTTTACCGGGGCTTGTCGTCCTCCGAGTCCGCGAATGTATATCCGGCTTTGATATCACAGAAGTGATACGGCTGTCCGCAGACGGACTGCTTCCGAACGTTGAAATTGCGCCCGATGAGTTGCGTTCGCTCAAAAAAGAATTATTGATCCCGAAGTCTGGTTCTGCTGGAGATGATTCCATGGGAAGAGGCGGGGATATGGGGTCACGCGTCTTCTCATCAGCGGATATGTTGGCTAAAGATTTTTCTGGCTCCATCTGCACAGCTTTCGCTCCCGGGTTTACGATCACATCATCCTCATCGAGCCCGTCAAACCAATTCCTTGCACCTGCTTTTGGCTTTTTGATGTTCAACTTTGCAGAGCTAGGGGCTATATCGAAAGCACTTGGATCGAGACTGCCCTCTCGAACTGCAGGTTGAGTCGGTTGTCGCCGGTCTGACTTGTTGCGAAGCCACCACCTCGGTCTTTCAAAAGACTTCGGAGCTGGATCAGCTGGACGCATCGGCTTTGGCAATGATGAATTAATTAGCGCAGGCGGCGGTGAAACTGCGTGAAACGCTCGAGGTGCCTCTGGATACAATGTAGGAGGATCATTTAGAGAGGGTCTTCGTCTGAAAATTCCTGCCGCCTGCGAGACTCCTGCAGTATTTAGGCCGTCTGATCCTTTCGAAGCTGTAGAAATTTTCCGAGTGTGTAAGATGCTCTTCTCAATTGGCGTCCTCAAAAGATTCTGTGAATTTTGCTGTAGGGCTGGCGATGATCTTTGCGATTGGATTCTTGGCAAGGGAGGGCTCATTGGTGAAGGCGTAGAGCTGTCTTGACTCCCTATCAAAGGAGATTTTGACTGGGGTTTGTGTGATCGAAGACCATTCACGTTTTCTCCGCGGGCTATTGGAGGACCAGGAAAATTGAAGTAATCGGCAGTTGGTGAACTTGCTACGACGTGATTGCCAAGCAACGGCGAGCTGCCTTGTCTCCTCAAATCAGGTTCACGCAGCTTCGGGCTTTCGTTGAATGAGTTCATGCCTTTAAATAGATAATTTCCGTCTGGTTGACCAGTCTCTCTCCCAGTATCAGCCCCAGAGAAAGCTCGGTAACTTGGTGATTTGCGGATGGTCTTCTTCTCTTTCCGCTTATCTTTCTTGTTCATACCACTGATGCCCGTTTCGGGGCCTCCGAGCAATTGCTCTGCTTTTGCTCCCGGATAGGCGCTGGGAGACTCATCGTGTGGGCTATGGAAGGGAGAGGTATATTGAGACCCGGGAGATGGTTGGGAAGAGCTGCTTGATTTCCAGCTTTGAAAGAAGGCCGGCGCCATCTTGATACTGCAATTCGAGTCGTGGAAACAATTGGGAGCCTCTCTCGGGGTTTTAAGACATCGTGGCTGGAATTGGGACTGCCATTTGATCGGCCAAACTGTAAGGGCGGGCAGAGGATTGCTGTGATAGATTGAGAGAATCCTTGATAGAAGGAGCTTTGGTCTCTTCGATGTGTCTTGCTGTGACTTTCCAACTCAGACGCTTTCAATTGGAGGGCGACGGTGTGGTTGAGGAATGGAGGAGGGTAGTGATGGTCGTGGGGACATGTGCACCGTCATCCAACATCCCTTCTTCTTTTCCCCTGTTAGGGAAAAGGGTGGCTTGAAATTGGGAAGGCTAGAAGAGCCTCTAAAAGGGTTAGAGAGGGGCGGATTCCTTTCGCTAACCAGTCGCGGAGGTATAAGTTTTGTTGGCTCGATGTCAAACGATCCAAGAAACTTCTGCCATAATAGAGACGGTGCCAGATCTTCTTCCTGCTGATCAAGGTTCAAACGGGCACATCGTAATCTCCCCACCGCCATGTTGCGCTCGCCGTTCCCGTGCATTTGAAATTATATCTATTCTTACCACGAGGGAGCAATAATTATCGCAGCCCCTGGGGATTGCGAAAACGATCAAGCATGCGGGATGATCTCTGACGGAGAGGGAAAGGTCGTTCCGTGTGGCTCCAAACCGTTCTCGCCCATACTTTCATTAGTTGCTCGTTTTCGCGTGGATCGACGGCTTGCCGTGTGCGGAAAGGCGGAAGGAGGAGCAAGAAGCACCTTGATGCACCCAATCGGAAGGCATCATCAAGACTATATGTTCAGTGGCTGAAAGTAAGTCCGTCAAAGGCCTGAAGTCCAGATCAAGCCAAGCCAAGCCCCAACCACCATCTGCACCGCAAGCAGACCCTTTGGGATATCAATCTCCACAATCTCCTTCCACCAGATCGATGGCCTTCTCGAGTTGAGCCTTGTCTGATCTCCCAAGACCTGAAAGATCTCGCCCTGGAAAGCACCCAATATAACCCGCCGCAACGTTCGTATCTAGCGAAGGAATGCTGTGAGGACTTTGCCAGCTAGCGATGGTGACCTTCTGACACACTTGTCTGGCTGTTTTGGTCTTGCTTTGCAATTTAACCATAGGATCAAGCGTAAGGCTCCATTGGATGAACAGAGCACCCTCTCCAAGTGCTGCTGCACAATGACCCAACTGGTTTGCTTCAACATGTCTTCATTCAGCCTCCTACCCATCCAAGCGTACATCTTGAGTCTGCTTCGCCCTCCAGCTTTTGCAATTCATGATGATCCTTTGGGTCTTTCAAAATATCACAGCTGAGCGTGATGACATATGGCTGTTGTGATGACTTGTCCTGTTCTCAAACCAATTCATACTGAGAGTGTCCGTCCACTGAATCAACGATAAACCCCTACTTAATTAAGGGCAAGGTTGAGTGAGCACGGGATCGCTGGGATATCGTCAACGCTTTTGGCTCCGCTCAAGAGTGGGAACTCTAACGGCTATATCGCTTTCATCGGGGTGGCTTTCCTAGCCAATTCTTTGGACCGGCTCTGACGGTAAGTCGCTGACACCCTGAGTGTGCACAACTCGAAAAGTGCAACCGATCGAATACTAGGGCATGGTCCAGAGGATTCTCAACGATCATCTAGTAAAATTCGTCCGTATCATCGTTAATCAAATCAATCGATCCAGCACCCCGTCCTTGGTCAATCAACCTGAAAGCCAGACCTCGGCGAGCTTACGCTATCACCCACTGACAATAAAGGTGTTCTACTAGCGATTCGTGAGGTCTTGTGTAGCAGAAAAGGTAAGTTGCTCAGCTTGTGCATTGCCAGCCTCTACTTGACCACCAGATCGCGTGAATGAACACGTTTGACCGAAAGCTCTCATGAAAGAAATATCAACTTCTTTGTTAGAACGGGCTGGAAAGAACCACTACGACTGCTATGTCACTAGCTTCTAGTGTGTATATTTGACATAAGCGATTGTTCAGGAGCACTGTAGCAATACAGACTAGCTTGATTTCGCCTCTAGGCAGATCTTGGTTGGATCACCTGCGTCGTCCGCACTGTGGCAATTCCACAACCTTGGAGGTGTCAATCCATCCCTCAAACTGTGAGTGGCTACAGGGAAGAAAATAAATAACCCTGCGTTCGCTTTATTAACGCTATCTGTACAAGATACAGATAGCTTTATTGAGTGTGAAAAAGCGATGAAGGTATTGCTCGCTCTTGACACGTGATAGGAATATAAATGAAGGCCACAGTTTACACTCGGCAGGCATCGGTACTGGGGACGATCTTCTGACCTCGCTTCGAATGTGTTGATTCACTTTTGGGCAATGCTAGATGGTACTAGATTGGTCTCCTGTGACTCGAGGTGGAAAACTGCACGCGCTACAATGCTTAATCTCTTGCAATCTCCTTATTGCAATCTCCTGTAACACAACATCATCACAACAAAATTCTCTGCCCACAATCGTGTTCTCTTCTATAGTACTTCACGCAAGAACTTTGCCAGGAATATCTCCACATGCAAAATTCCCTCTCTCACTCACCAAATCTGGAGCCAATCCAGCCAGACATACTTCAAGTTTTGCATTCAGTACAAACAGTTGGCAGAAAGGAGGGAATATGACCAGAATGCAAGTACACGTCCTTCTACTCATGTCCAACGCCAAAGCATGGCAACTTGGCATACGATCAACCCCCTTCTTCGGACCCGTCTCAGAAATGCGTCAAAGCTCTTCGTTATGGTCATGTAGACAGCAAGACGTTCATCAGCTAATTGGTTGCTACAGTCCACAATCACAGTTGACGCCACGTGATGACGTTGGCTCCTTGGGGTTTTGCCCATTCACTCAAATGTTTTCAAACACGATCGACAGTAGCTCGGCTGAGTGCACTAGACCAACACGGTCAAAATATAACCTCCCAATCGCTCTCCCTACTTTACCTAGAGATGGGTCGCTTGGCAGCAGGAAAGTGGGCCGGCCTCCCGCATCGTCTCGAGCATTGGTCGTCGACAACGTACCCTGCAACACATACAATTCTTCTTCTTCAGAAAGCCAGAGAACTGAAAGTAGTTTTGGAGCTATTGGCGACCATCTCTCAAGCAAAGGCAAAGTAGCAAACGCGTTAGACACTCCAGGAGACGGCGTTAGCCTACCTTTCTACCAAACTTACGAGTCAAATATCAGCAGGCTGGTTCAAAATTCTGAGCCAGATCGGCTGAGCGGTAGTGTGACCCACGTAGACACTGCTATAAGCAGAAATCAGGTAAACGACATAATTCGGATAGAGCCTTCGCAGAAAAATGTACTAGAGTTCTTAGACTCGATTGCAGAACACTGCCAATCACCCCAGAGCATACAGAATGATCATCATAAGTCAATTCCCGCGACCCCAATACCTATACCTGAGGTCTGGGTGAGACAAGGGCCATCCTACTGTGCAAAAACGCAGCTTGCAATGGGGCACGAATTGAGTCGCTCTAAAGATGGTGAACATGACCCTGCGACATTCGCTCTTCCGTACAATGTAAGTCTCGTCGCTAGATCATGGCGCCATGCAAGCCCAGCAGCTAACAGTTTCTAGTCTCTGGTTTACATGATGAAGGCTCCTAACGTCACAATTTTGAGACACTCTGTGAAAGACGGCGTTTGGACAAACAAGCAAGGCGCAAACAGAGTGCTTCAAAGTGCATGGGAAAAGCGAGGCTGTGATGAGAAAATCTTACTACTTTTCTCCATCACCCATGGGTAAGTACCCTATCAGCAACACTCGTTAACTGTTATTTTGTTAACAGAATCCATCAGTAGTAAACATAATGGGCAATTTTGCGGAATGGCAGAGATGGTCGGTCCCTACGAACCACACGCTGAAGCCCCACTGTGGGCTGAGAGGCATAAAGACGTCAGAGGCAGGATCAGTATTCGCTGGCTGGTAACCAAAGACGTGCCATTCACTGCATTCGATGACTTGAAATATCACGGGCAAGCAGTGACACAATTAAGGCACGCGAACACGATACCTGGTGAGACAGGTCGCGCAACGGTGCAGCGTTACTTCACAGCAGCCCATACGGATACAGCAATCCTCCATCCGGCATCTCGAGATGTTGGTCTCAATCGTCCGAACTACCATCAACCCTTCGATCAGAAGCAACGTTTTGGCTACCATCATTCCAGGCCACATCCACCCCGTTGGAGTGTCACACACCCTTCGGTGGCCCACAGCTCGGGCGTTCAACAAATATCGGCACAACACACCGGACTGCAAAATTCAATTCAATATTCCACTCAGCCTTACCCTCAACGACCGAATTATTACCGAGCCCAGCCACCTCTTTGGGGCGGGCAGTATAGGTACTCGCAATACGTATGAGTGTTTTTCTCTTTCTCTCTTTCCAAGCTTGGGCAAATGGTAGAAGCTAAAGGCGGTGCTGCTATCATGCGGCAATATATGGCGCTGATCAAGCGAAGGGCCACAGGTCAACTCAAGGGATTCATGTATGAGAGATGCTTGACGTTTGTGTTCGAGGAGACCAACTTCCTAGGCTCGCTCCTTTCTAGTAGTTGAGATTACAACCTGTAATTGTAGATCCGTACACAAGGGCCGTGATCCAATTCAACCCATGTTTGAACAGACTTTTCAGGAGCTTCAGTAATGGGTGCCTCGATCATGCCTTAGTATTATCGTGGGGTGTAAAAGAAGATGCAGTAAAGAAGAAGCGTGCATGGAGTGCACTAAGCCGCTTTTGGGCTCCGGGGTCGCCCCTCAGGTCAAGTTCTAGTTCTTCAAGACATTGATGCATCCGCAGCTCCCGCCGCAATACCAACTGGCCGGATCCACGCAAGACTTGTTGACCCTCGGGAGCAGCTGCAAAGATTTGGGCAGTTCAGAAGCACCACGTCCGAAGCTTAGCTGAGTTACTCGGAGAACACTTCCCGTTTCGAGGAGCCGCCACTACTAAGCCGATCACCAGCTTCATGTCAGCACACTCCAACCTCTTGAGAAGCTACTGCAGGATGTAGCCACAAACAGACAGCAGTCTTCCATCACATACAGCAAGATTTAGTATTACACATCACTACGATCAGAGTGCTCAAAGGGCAAAAGCAGCACGCGCCCTCGGCCGTGTCACACTCGCGTTTTCGACCATCATCATTCGCACTCCACACCCAACCTCATGTCACGTCTCACTTGAAGTGAGCAGGGATGAAACCCAAACCGCGTGGCCAAGCCATATCACCCTCCTCTACCCCCGTTGCCGCACCACTTCCTTCTACGCTGTCGCCACCGGCAATATCGAACGGGCAGCAAATGGACAGCAGTCTAGATTCACCACCTTTAGAGCCCAATACCAGCCCAAATGATACCATAGGCCAGTTCTCGTATGGACCTGCGACGCAAACGACAGTCGTGACAACCACGACTACGACTACAACAAAATTTCCTCCTCTGGTACTGCGCGCACCGCGGCACTTGAAGGAGCTAGACCCGAAGTTGTATCCCTTAGCTGCCTCCCCTACACCAAGATCAATTCGAAAATTGGTCTTTGAAGTGGACGGTCAGCCCACTACCTTTCAGGAGGCGGATGACACATTACAGACTGTGGAACAGGTATGCCAACTCATAACAATGGTAAGCGAGGGAAATACGATGACTGACTTAAGCCGTGTGTTTTCTAGTTGAGAAAGCAGAAAAAGGCATTGGCACAGTCTCATGGCTCCCTACAATCGGTTCGCAACATCTCAGGCCCTTTGGGTGGCCCTCACGTGAAAAGCTCCGCAAACCCTTCCCGAACATCTTCAACCTCCAATCGTCCGCTCGGTTCCTTTCAACGAGCCGGTACCAAGCGATCAGCATCCCCTGTATCAATATCAGAAGCCGCAAGACTGGCTGCTCAAGATGGTCCGCGCAAACGCAGACTGATAGCAGCAGAAGATAGAACAGCTCCTTCGTCGAATGACCGTGTCTCTAGAACATTGCAACCTCACTTACAAAAGCTTCAAACGTCTACTCCGATGTCCCCTGATTTGGGAGCTAATGCGATTACACAACTCCAGCAAACACCGGAATGGGATACACAGATCCCCCGTCCGCTAGATATGGAAGTGCAGAGATCTGCAGCCTCTTCAAGTACCTTCGAGAATGGGGGATTTGAAAACGAAGCTCAGATTTTGAGTCCTAAATCAGATGACGGGAGGAGCGAGGCGGATGAAACAGCGTTTGATCGGCAATCTTACAGCTTTGCAGATTCTGATTTATCCTCTTTTCGGAGTACCCAAAGCTCGAGAGCGATGATGACTCCAGGCATGGAGCGAAACAGTGTACAAGCTCATCATAATCCACACCGTCGCTCCTTCAGAGAACCATCTCGTGTACAATGCTGGCCCCGTCCTCAAGCATTGGATACTACAGCAACACAAGATGCCAGTCTACCAAGTCCAAGTCTTTCGCCAATCACTGCCTCGACGACTCTTGAAGGACGTCTGTCTCACACCAAATCTCGGCTGCCAAACTCACGCCAAAAGCGTTCGACCGATGCTCAGCTCAGCCGACAGCGAGAATATGACCAAAATGCTCTCAAGATCACAAACGTGGAGCGTGCCACATCCACCCCTCAAGCCCAATGGATTTCCGACTCAGCAAAACGGGAACAACATCTGACTCCAAGAGAAGACGTTGATCGTTCGCTCATGTGTATTCCACAACTCGTTGACGATTTCGAAGCGATGCCGGAGGAAATCAAACAATATGTGATTTATCAGCTTCTCAGGAGGAGCTCTAAGCCAGTGCTGCACTTTGTTGCGGGGGTGGTCAATCCAGCACTGAAAGTCGATTTTTTCAAGCATCTTCCACTTGAGCTTTCCGAAGTCATTCTTGGTCATCTTGACATCAAGTCTTTGAGCTCCGCTGCCCAGGTATCCAAGCGATGGCGACAATCCGTCGACATGTCCGAAAAGGTATGGAAACGTCTATTCTACGCAAATGGGTACACTTTGCAAGAGGGTGAGCTCGCCAGAGCAATTCGAGAAGGCTGGGGGTATCAGACTGTGTCTAATCCACGGGAAGCCGAACAAGATCTTAGTCTCCTTGTCGCAGCTTCTTCAGACATCGAATCTTCTACAGTAGTGAGTTTGCAGGATAGTGCACATCAACCACACCGCTCCAAGAGGAAGGGTAAGGCAAAAGGCAAAAGCGCCAGCAAGCCTTCACGCAGGAGAAAACAGGTGCCACTGTTTGACTCGCCTGATATTGATGAAAACGCCTTCCTTATCGTGAAGTCCGCAACTGATGGGCCTTATGCTGCTGCCAGTGCTGCCGCAGCAGCAATCTCCCTCCCGCACTCTAATGTGCACCTCTGGAAGTCAATCTACATGCGACACCATATCATACGGAAAACATGGCTGCAAGACGAGGTCGCACCAAGACATATAGCTTTCAGAGCTCATCAACGGCATGTTGTTACATGCTTACAGTTCGATTCTGAAAAGATTCTTACCGGAAGCGATGACGCTAATATTAATGTCTATGATACACAGACTGGAGCTTTGAGAGCTAAGCTGGAAGGTCACGAGGGAGGTGTTTGGGCCTTGCAATATGAGGGAAATGTCCTCGTTTCTGGCTCCACGGATCGGTCTGTAAGGGTTTGGGACATCGAACGTGGGATCTGTACGCACACTTTTCAAGGACATACCTCTACTGTTCGCTGCCTCCAGATATTGTTGCCACCTCCGGATGGTAGAGGTATGGATGGTCGTCCTGTGCTTCTACCTAAGACACCGCTGGTCATTACCGGTTCTCGGGATTCTCATCTGCGTGTATGGAAGCTCCCCAAGCCGGGAGATGAGCACCATCACCAGGCTGGCCCAGCGCAGGACGAGAGCACAGAATGCCCTTTCTACGTGCGGACTCTCACAGGGCATCATCATTCTGTGCGCGCGATAGCTGCCTATGGCGACACTCTAGTAAGCGGCAGCTATGATTGCAGTGTTCGCGTATGGAGAATATCTACTGGCGAGACTATGCACCGTCTCCAAGGTCACTCTCAAAAGGTTTACAGTGTCGTTCTAGACACCAAGCGTAATAGGTGTATTAGTGGTTCTATGGATAACGTGGTCAAGGTGTGGTCTTTGGAGACTGGCATGTCGCTATTTAATCTAGAGGGCCACTCGTCACTCGTTGGATTACTTGATCTGCAGCAAGATCGTCTAGTATCTGCAGCTGCAGATTCAACCCTTCGAATATGGGATCCTGAAAATGGGCAATGCAAGAGCACGTTAAGTGCCCACACGGGGGCCATTACCTGTTTCCAGCACGACGGCCAGAAGGTCATATCTGGCTCTGACCGCACGCTTAAGATGTGGAATGTCGCGAGTGGCGGATTTGTGAAAGACTTGCTCACTGACCTGAGCGGAGTATGGCAAGTCAAGTTCAATGAGCGTCGATGCGTCGCCGCTGTTCAACGTAACAATTTCACATTTATTGAAGTAAGTCACGCTTTTGGTGGCTAGCAAAACCATTCGTACTGACGTTCCATCAGGTTCTTGATTTTGGCGCCGCTCGAGATGGCGTATCAGAACACAAACGGGGCAAACGCATACTTGTTGATGCAGAGGGTCGCGAAATCATCGATCCACACGATACTAATCTCGAGGTTGACTTTATGGATGCTAATTAAAATGACAAATCATGAGAAGCGAAAGAAACGAGCAAATTTTCGATTACAATGTGGGGGATGTATGCATTGAAATTCTACTTCTGCGAAAATGATACCCGATATGGTTCGGACGGTTCTGTCACGATTATGACTTGCATTGCATTTACTTGCATAGCGATAGTTATTGTAGCGCGTGCTTCGGTAGCCCTCGCTACAGCAGCTTTAGACCAGAGACAAAGCACGTTCATGTTCATACGCAAAGACTAGACGCACATATTCATGATTCTAAGCATACAAGTCCGACCATCTCCATTGTCTGTCTTAGGGTTGCAATCATCTTCAGCCCTCCTTCCGTACGTCAGTCGTTAGAATATTGACAGTCTATATTTGTCTAGAAGAGGATGTCCTACTCTTGCATGTGGCTCATACATCACAGCTCAATGATTTGTGGAATGCGGTATCTGCTGTGCGACTATTTCTTGTGCTGAGCTGACGATCTGCTTGCTTGCAAGGCTACTTGAACAACTTCAAACCTTAAGAAGCGGAAGACAATGTTTTACAGCGAGCATTGGAAGTGGTACAGTCGGTAGGTCTTGCTTCACCACCATCCGAGGTCAAATGGCACTCTGCTCTCCGTTGCTTTTGAACTGCACAGACATTTTCCCTGGCTCAGCTCAAATTGAAATTTAAGGAAGTCAAGAGCGACGACTTGTGAAGTGGTCATGTCCTTTCCCAACAATTATGACACCTTTGACAAAGGTATTAAGCCTGCTCACATTCACCCACTGACTTTCGTACGTCAAGCTCGGTCTTTGCCCCTGCCATTCTGATGACTTTCTAGCTTCTATCCTCCGAGCCCGAATATGCGGACCTCGCACTGAGAGACGAAGCGACGCATTTCTGGGCCCATGGAAATGAGTCGGTCGAACAAGCACGACGATTGTACCTCATTTTTCGCATCGCCAAGATGATCCAAGCCTATATGGATGCTATGGGACTGTACCCTTTAATCTGGCTTTTTGAGCTACAATTTGAGGACGCCCTCACGCCCAAAGAACGAAACCAATTTCAATTCCAGTCGGTGTCCATCAAGGATTTCTGGGTCCCGTATTGGCGAAGACGTAGAGATGTATGGAGCCGAGACATAGGATACTTGCAAGTGTCTTATGGTGTTTGGGAGTTAGGAGTGGAAGTTTACATGCTGGCTCGCAACTCTTTGCAGCGCTGGCCCCGCATAGCTGCTGCTCCCAAATGTCACTCAACGGTGCTTACAAGCGCCTCATTCAACAAGATCCCATTTGAGATATGGAGCCTCATCTTGGGTCACCTGATAACACCTGTTCGTGCTCTTCATGAACTTTCTGGACGCGTATCAGACTTCATAGCACCGCAAATTCTGGGGTTGAATCGAGCCACTAGGATAGAAGCTTTAAGACTTTTGGACCTGGCCCCACTTACAATCAAGATTGAAGAAACAGACTTTGGAGGACTACCCTCTGACTTTCCTGGACTCTCCAATAAGATCCCTTGCACCAGGCTAATTGTTGACATTAACGTAGTCAAACTCAGCCAGCTGATTCCACTGCCCGTCCGGGCAATCCAGAGACTTCAATCTTCAGATTGGATGCAAGATTACATACAGTTCATAATCCGCGATTTGAGCCAACGAATCGGTAGCATGCCGAAACTTAAAGAGCTGACACTCAAAAGTCATCGGTCAGTCCTTCTGCCATGTGAGGCTGGGGATACCCGACAGGGTGTCAAGCTTAAGCTATTTCCCGACGAAGTTTTCAGGTGTTTTCGCAATATTAAAGGCCTTGAGAAGGTGGAAATTCTTGGTGACATCAGTGGACAGCTTATTCTGGAGCTTCAAAAGAGTATGAGGTCGCCTAGCTGTCGGGGAACAATTTTGTCTTCTGAACATGGGATGGTATAGACAGTCGATGATCAGCAGCATTGCTCTTGCACAGTCATGTGATGAATGGTTCTCGAGGTGTGGTGACTTTAGGGTTTTTCATTCAAGAGTTGTGGCTAGCTTTATCACTCTAAGCATTTTGGATTGTCATGATATAGGTCACCCGGTTTCCAAGCGTTTTTTGCTACTGGAAGTTTCTCACTGTTCAAACCAGTAGCCTTGAGAATAGACCAGCGCAATGTCTCCAAGCCTAGCTTATCAGGTCCGCCCACACTTACTTCTGAAGAGCAACACACGATCTCGGATGGTGCAATCACACCTGCGGAACTTTTGATATCTGCGGTAAATTTATCCAAAAGGGGTAGCTGAAGTACTAAATTCTCAAAGGAGCGCTTTTTGTCTGCTGTATATAACAAACGGTCCACCTTAGTGAGGACGATTTGGTGAGCAAGATGTTCCTGCTTAAGGAGAGAAAGGAGCTGTTGGTCAGAGCTCTTAAGGCCATGGACTGAATCAACGAGGACATATATCATCTTCAGTCTACTCAATGTCAGATAGAACTATAACAACTTGAAGTAAATAAAGGCCTACTGCTGTCTACCAACGAGATACTTGATGATCTCGTCGCCCCATTCTTTCTGGCTGCTCTTGCCATAACCAGGCATATCTACAAGGACGAGTGCTGGTTCTCTAGCCCCGTTTTCACTGGCAACGGCAAAGAAATTAAATGTCTTAGTTCGGCCAGGCTTACTGCTAGTGTGACATAGTGGTGAACCCATCAAGGCGTTGAGTAGGCTTGATTTACCTACATTAGACCGGCCAAGGAAAACAACCTCCGGCGCCATGGACCTTCTCACAGACCGAAAATTGGTAACCGAATAGATAATTTTGGGCGGTGCCCAGTTGAAAAATCCATATGCGTAGTGGAGTTGATCAGTTGTTGGAGGTTCTGAGCGGATGTAGTATGAGAGCCCGAATCGTTTCGTGCCACATTTTATTGGCGAGGCTGTGTGAATGTGCCGGATCGACCTGCTTAGAGATGTGAAACTGAGATAGTGAGTCGCCCACGTAGGAAGCAACATTTACAGATCCATCGTTGGGTTACATAAATGCGAGAGCAGAGATCATTGACTTGAGCCCCTTAGTACGGGATATCCCGGAGAATAGTTTACCCGTCCAAGATTTTGTTTCTCAAGCCTCACCTTTCAGATCGTCACCAATACCGGAAGACATGGCTATATCTGGTCCCCATTTGCGGTCGCTCTACCGCTCTATACTCCGTGAGCTACCACATCGCCCACTTTCGACCCCATCACCTATTCAACAGCGTGTTCGTCAAAGCTTTTCGACTCATGATGGGCATATCCAGCAGATCAATGAAATGGAGCAATTTATTCAATACGCGAAAGCTCAGCGAACCTACACAACGCTCCTCGAAAAATACAACCCGGGCATGTCCATCAATGAAGAGGACAAAGTCAGATTGACTGCAAAAAGGGTTGGAATGCACCTGCCGGAGGAGTTCACTACTACCAAGAAAGGTGATTGAATTGCTGAATTGCAGCTCTCCATTACAGAAAACGGAGCCCCTGGTCCTGGGTTTTAGTGCATTTCAAGTCCAAGGCAGTATTTTGCGAGGTCTTCGTGACTTGGAGGGTCGTCAGGAAGCCTTGTTGTAGAATCTTTGTCCCTAGGGCTCTTTTTGCCACGACATTGGTCGGCTGAGGGTCGGCGGAGCCTGACAGAAGGATAGCAGATCATACACGCTTTGGTCTACGCATTCAGGCGTTGGATGGGGCTCACTATCGCTCCATTGGGTTCACGATGATCAGGAAGGCTCTTTACAAGGAAAGTTGAGGAAGTCGCATGAATCTATAGGCAAAAACGAACTCAGTCCAAATTTCGTACGAGTCAGTACTGTGCGACAAGTATCACAGAGATTGACCTAACGAAACTGTGATTTGGTGATTGAAGATTCCGTGAACGCCCAAATCTAAAAACGACGGTTCTCTTACATCGTACATAGAAGCAACGTCATTGGCTTTGAAGCAAATAATCACCTATATACTTAGTTTTTGATCTCATGCATTATTATGTCAACTGAACGCGTCCTGTGCTACTGCTAGGGTGCAATTTTATGGTCATTCTTATGCATTTGTTGAAGAACTCCATTTTGTTATAGTGTCACGTGCCTCGGCTCGAAAGTACGCGACTTTCTCCTGACTTGAGTTTCGCAAGTGCAGCGCAACAACGCAATAAATGCGAACATCCCGACGCTCATGACGCCCTAGTTGTTGGAATTAGCCGTTCAAGGCTAGGAAGCAAACGGTCATGGCCATAGAATCAAAACCTAAGTACGATGGCAGGCTCTTCGGACTCCAGCTCAAATATGTCTCTCTCTCCCTGGTCAGTCCAAGATCAACATGAGAGGCGATGTAGAACTGACAGAGAACAGCTTGTATTCCAGAATAGCACTCTTATACTCGTACATATGCCTCGCTTCATCCACGATTTGGATTCAAGCTCACATCGCCGTAGCTACTGCATTATTCGCGCGTCATGCCCACAATTGGGGGGCAGCGGTACATCACTTCCACAGCGGTCTTCATGAACGAAATTCTCAAATTCTCAGTCTGTCTGACAGCTTCGTTATATGAAATTTCGCGAAGTACGCCTCCCTCACTACCTGCGACGGCTTTATTTAGCAGCTTGAGCAGCGCCATATTCGCAGGTGACAGCTGGGAACTTGCAATTCCTGCAAGCCTGTACGTTGCACAAAATTCTCTACAATACGTCGCTATTTCAAATCTGTCCGCAGCAGTACGTCTACTCAAATTCTTCGTGACATAATGTGGGCATGGAATCCATGTGCATACCCAATCGCAAATAGATCCTCTATGCCAGAGCTCTGGAATCTACAAGATGAAGGCCATGCTAATTGGTGACTGACACTATAGTCGTACCAAGTCACGTTCCAGCTGAAAATACTTCCAACTGCAATATTCAGTATCATACTTCTTCGGAGAAGGCTTTCATTGCGACAATGGGTCTCGCTAGCTTTACTCATGCTTGGTGTTGCAATTGTACAAATTCCCACCTCAGATCCCAACATGGCACCATTTTACATCACACATCCTCACTGGCACATCCCAAGATCTTTTGAGAATTGGCGTCATGCTGGAGTAGCAGCAGCGCAACAATTGAGAAAACGCTCTGCGACCTATGAGGGAATTGCGGAGGATGAAGGCTTAGTAGAACCACCAATGAATGCAGCCGTGGGATTTGCAGCCGCTATTGCTGGTTGCACCGTTTCTGCACTCGCATCCGTCTACTTTGAAAAGATCTTGAAAAAATCGACGAATTCCACTTCATTATGGATACGTAATGTGCAGCTGGCTTTCTACTCGCTTTTTCCAAGTCTGTTCATAGGAGTCATGTTCATTGACGGAGAGCACATCGCTAGACAGGGGTTTTTCGTGGGCTACAATTGGTTTGTATGGCTCACCATTGTGTTCCAGGCAAGTGGGGGCATACTCGTCTCACTATGTATCATGTACGCGGACAATATTGTAAAAAGTTTTGCTATGAGTCTCAGCATACTCATAGGATTATGCGCTAGCGTTTGGTTTTTTAATTTCACCATGACAAGAAACGTGGGTCCTCTCCAGGCAAATTCTTATCCAGCTTACCCATGTTTTAGTTCCTTATTGGTACGTCGATAGTGATCTTGGCTACATATCTGTATACAAGTACTGAGGGGCCTGATCGACAAATACCACCACCGATCAAGATCCACAAGTATGAGAAAACGACCATTGACAAAAGTCTTGGACGCCAGACCGGGACACCCAAAAAGCGGTCGACGACTCCATTAAGACTGTCGAGCGCTCAGTCATCATCACGCCCAGCCTCTCCCACTGGACATCACCTTCGCACTGGCTCTTCAAGAGAACAATTTGGTGCTAAAACTCGGGACGACTGATGATCCAAAGAAGCAAGTAGTAGTATAGTGTACGTTGTTTGTATATATGGGGAATAAAGACCGGCGTTGTGCCCCGTATGGGAGGCAATGGCATGACCCAAAGGGCTTGAAAAGTATAGCGTTCATGATAGTGAGATGCGAAGGTCAGCGACAACCCTTGATACCCCCTTTTTATTACATGATATTATTAGTGACTATCAGATGCTGCATATGTTCTTTGCGTATGGTTGAATCAGAAATCTTTCATTCGCCGTGCAAGTTCGTATCACAAGTTCATCTATTAGTACTGACCATACAATCGTGACCTTATGAAGATTTCATTCCATGGGTTTTGAAGGGTGCACAATTGAGTCCAGAGACTTTGTGCGTTACAGTCTCCTGCAGACGGGGTGAGGTACTCCCAAAATAGGTTCTCGAGCCCTAGCCGGCTTCTTGACGTCGGCAGCGATCTCTGATACCATTTCACTTCTCTCTCCCACGACAACGCTGTCCTGATATGCTTGCTCGGACAATGGCACATCAGAATGATGAAGTTCAAACCCTCATTCGTGATCTTAGAGATGCCCATGGTGATTACGCCTACGACGAAACCGAGCAACGGAATACCGTATTCAGGAGATCAAGTCCAATTCTGCGCGACACAAATGCTTCGTTCTCACACTTAAGAAAACCAAGAGCTCCTGATAATTACATGCCATTGCCAGTTTACAGGCCATTGCATGACAATACTGCCAATTTCGATTCATACAAGGACAATGAAGCCGCAGCGCTTGATGAATATGGTCTGTCTCCTACATACCACGCACACCAATCTAAAAGTGCTCTAGATCTGAATCTACTCGCAGAACCACTCTACCCACCTCACCGACAGAGCTTGGATGGATCTACCAAAGGTGCCATTGGTCGCTTTTCACTGCAACGTCACACGGCACCCTCACGTTCACCAAATTCGATCCTTCCACAGCGTCTGCCCCGGCCAATGAACAAAGGATCTAGTCGGTCGTCGTTCGCCTAATAGTCCTTCTCGTCTGACTACAAGCAGGGTCACTTACACTTCGCAAACCCAGACTCCCTACCAGTATGTCGACTATGCTACTTTTCAGATATCCGTAATGCTAAAAGCTATAGTTCGACCCCATCAAACGCCTTCCAAGCGTGATCTGATGTCCTCACCATCCCCAAATGCTCCAATCTCCAGTCCAACCATTGGTGTTAAACAGCGTCTACGCTTACAGACAGATTCTCAGCAGCCTCGGAATCGGTATACGAGGTCTCAAGTGACTCCAAACGGTCCGAATCTAGCTGCACCGGTTGACTTCCTTGATACCAACAGCCCTCGTCAGCACCACAGACAGAGATCTTTCTATGCGAATAACGATACATCTTCCCCTTCAGAATCCTTCGGAATGCAGGATACGAGAAAGCACGCGCCAGATGCTCCTCCCAGAGTCCAGGGCATTCAGTTGATCTCTCCTAATGAGCTGCCAGATCGATTTCGATCGATCTTCAAATATCCCATGTTCAACGCCATTCAGTCCAAGTGCTTTGCAACTGCTTATCAATCCAATGACAACCTGATCGTTTCTGCGCCGACTGGTGGTGGGAAAACTGCTATCTTGGAACTGGCGATTTGTCAGCTTTTGCAACAGCTCAAAGCAGAGGACTTCAAGGTTGTGTACATGGCACCGACAAAATCTCTGTGCTCTGAACGCCAGCGTGAGTGGCACACAAAATTTGCCATGTTGGATCTGCATTGCGCTGAGCTGACCGGCGATACGGACAATTATCACCTCCGTAGTGTACAGAGTGCTCACATCATCGTCACAACACCGGAGAAATGGGACAGCATGACCAGGAAATGGAAAGATCATGCAAGACTCATGCAGATGGTCAGATTGTTCCTTATCGACGAAGTACATATCCTTCGAGAAGCTCGTGGAGCTACACTTGAGGCCGTTGTCTCAAGAATGAAGTCCGTCGGCTCAAAGGTACGCTTCGTTGCATTGAGCGCGACGATTCCCAACTCAGATGACATTGCGTCCTGGTTCGGAAAGGACGCGGCACATGAACACACGCCAGCTGCACGAGAGGTATTTGGCGAGAACTTCAGGCCTGTCAAGCTTCAGAAGTACGTCGTAGGTTTATCTTACATAGGCAACGACTTCGCATTCGAGAAACTTTGCGATCCTGCGTGAGTCTGCTGGGATTCTACCCCTATGTCTCATCTCTCATGTCAGTCTAGGCTTCCCGGCATAATTGCCAAATACTCGCGTCATAAACCGATTATGGTATTCTGTGTCACACGGAAATCCACGGAAAGTACAGCCAAATTACTCTCCAAAATGTGGGCATCACAGAGAACGAATGATCGCAAATGGAGCGGTCCTCGTCGAGACATCAGGGTTGACAATGCGGAACTGCGAGGTAAGCTCGCTCCAAGTACTCCGAAGTTCTACTGATCTCGGACTTCCAGAAACCCTGAAATCTGGAGTTGCCTATCATCATGCTGGTCTCGAGATGACCGATAGAGCTAGTGTAGAGAAGGGCTTTCTTGAAGGACAAATCAATGTTATTTGCTGCACGTCGACATTAGCCGTTGGAGTCAATCTGCCTTGTCATTTCGTTATCATAAAAAATACTGTCAATTACCAAGATAACGGCGTTCAAGAGTACTCGGATCTTGAAATCATGCAGATGTTGGGCCGAGCCGGGCGTCCACAATTTGACGACTCCGCAGTTGCAGTTATCCTTACAAAGCAAGAAAAAGTCCAGAAGTATGAGAAGCTGATATCTGGTCAGGAGGTACTGGAGAGTTGTTTGCATTCGAACTTGATCGATCACCTCAACGCAGAGATTGGCCTTGGTACAATACTTAGCCTCCAAGCTGCAAAGCGATGGCTGAGTGGCACATTCCTTTACGTACGACTGGAAAAGAATCCTGGTCACTATCGTATTGATGGAGACGTTATAGACCAGAGTGTCGATGATAGAGTTGAGCTCATCTGCAAGCGAGAGCTAGAGCTACTTCATAGCGCTGGCCTCATCTCTGTTGATGTCAATGGCGACCTAAGAGCCACAGAATTCGGAGATGCAATGGCTCGCTATTATGTGAGGTTTGAGACAATGAAGATGATACTGGGACTTGGTAGCCAACCTAAATTATCGGACATTGTAGGTCTCGCGAGAACACCCTTTTATGCCCCATCATTGATGTGATTCAGCTCTCTGCCATTGTTCAAGCGGACGAGTATCACGACATCCGGCTTCGTGGCAATGAAAAGAAACTTTTCAAAGAGCTAAATCGACAACAAGGCATCAGATTCCCCATCAAGGTCGACCTAGCTATGCATGCTCACAAGCGAAGCTTGATCGTCCAATCCGAGCTGGGCAGTGTAGATTTCCCTGCTGACGAAGGTTATGGCAAGCTCAAGGTTCAGTTCTTGCAAGAAAAGCACCGTCTATTCTCCAACATTCATCGTTTGCTACGATGCGTTATTGACTGTCAGATTCATGTGGAGGACGCAGTCGGCGTGCGGAACGCGCTCGAGCTAGCTAGGAGTCTTGGTGCACGTGTTTGGGACAACTCGCCATTTCAGATGAAACAACTGCCTCAGATTGGGGCTGTCGCTGTGAGAAAGCTTGCAGTGGGCGGCATCGCCAACATCGAGGCACTTGAAGCTGCAGAGCCCCACAAGATTGAGTCCCTCCTAAGCAGGAATCCGCCGTTTGGGAGCAGGTTACTGACAAGCATACAAGCTTTTCCTAAATTAAGGGTGTCAGTGAAGATGATTGGGAAGGTCAGTGCCCGTACCTCAGCATCGTCTCCAGCTTCCTTACCCAAATAGGACCCTCGAACTGGTGAAGCGCCGGCCATCCGATTGAAGGTAGAGTTGGGTTTCATGAATGAGAGCCCGCCGAATGCATTTCGAGGTAAACCGATTCACATCTGCTTAATTGCTGCCCGGTCCGACGGGTTGCTCATTGATTTTCGGCGAATACCGTATGGTCATAGTGTCCTCTATTACTTCGAGGTTGCTAATTGCAAATAGCGCTAAGAAGATAGGCCACGGTGTGGATATGCTTCTGACAGCGCCTTTGACGAACCAGAGTCAATTCGTTACAATTTACGTGATGTGCGATGAAATTGGTATGCCCCCTTTTTTCCTCCTTCGGCTCTGACCCTTACAACCTGCGTTTAGCTGGAACTTTACGTTATGCCGAGCTCAAGCCAAAGCTTGCACTCAATCTCTTTCCCCTGGAACAAGTACAACAATCGTCATTGACCCAAACGAAGTCAGGAAGAGCCACACAACTCGGAGGTCAAGCCCCAAAAGTTCTCCATGATGAAAGCTCCGCAACACTCAATGAGAGTGAGTTCGACGACGATATCGATGACCAGGACCTGCAAAAGGTTGCCGATGCCTGTGAAGACTCCATTTAAAGCTATCGCATATATCGTTGACTAATCATTGGGATAGCTGTCGGGACCACGTTCAACAATATCGATGACTTCAAGGAAACGGGGCTGAACAAAAGAGATGGCCACGCAAACTGGAAGCCAGAAAGGCTTCGGAACGGAAAGTGGGCATGCAATCACTCTTGCAAGAACAAGTTTGCGTAAGCTGTCATGCAATTGACGTGGGCTTTCAGCTGATGACCACAAAGGTGCAAGCATCTCTGTTGTCGCGAAGGGCTCGACAAAGCCCCTAAGCCCCCTAAAAATGCCACTGGTCCCGCTGCGTCAGCACTTGAGTATCTGGCCTCAGGAGCAGCCACGTCAATTTCTCAGGAAGGCAAAAAGCAGTCAAAATTGGCCACGAAGGTAACGAGTGTGAATCCTGCGGGTAACATTGAAATGCTTGACCTAAGGAGTCCCGTTGATCAGACGCACATACAAAGCAGAAAGTGCCAACAGATTGGAAAACTTGAGCAACTGCACAGGCGTATTAACAAAGATGTGTTCTCGAATGACATCTCCCAGGGGAAGTTAGAGGATGGGTCAAATAAAGAAGTGGAACGTCAAGCAAAGCATACAGTCCGAGGGATGTTCAGTAAGCCAAGTGAACAACCATCTTCGATTTATAGCGATGATTGGGCGAATAGTTTACCTTCTGTAACAGAAGTTCTGGATCAAGAGGACCGAATCCATACAGGCTCCCCTGAGGGTCATACGGATGGTCGTTCGGCTATTGGCAGCCTAGCTAATCAAGACAGCAGCACACGCCCCGAGTTTGATGAGCCAATCCCCGAGCCTGGTGATACGTCTGAACATGGTGGTGAAAGTGATACGGAAGAGGCACTCTTTGGACTCGAAGACTCCATTTTGATGCAGAGCAATGCAGATGATGGCAGTACACCCCAGATGCGGGCTCAACAGCACTCATCAGGGTTGGATGCTTCAGAGAAATTGTTCCTTTCTACAGACAGCCCAGAGCGGCTTTCTACCCCTATCAGGAAGCGCAAAGCAGATGATGTTGACATACGAGTCGTTCATGAGCTCTCACCCGAGCGCAAGCGAGCAAGAGCCGAAGAGGACGATCGTAAAGCATCAACTCCTCGTGTCGACCCTCAATCCCTGGCTGATATGACGATTCCGGTCATCAAGCCAGGCCTGCCAGCCTGGGTCTATGAATTTGATCCAGCACTAGTTGTCGAATACCAGGACATTGTCGAGTTTGTATAGAGGACTTAGCTGCTCATTGCTATTTGTGGGATGGCACTTTTGCCCGATTGAGAGAGCTTCGCTCCTCCAATGGCTTTCGCATAGCTCCAATTCGACTTATACTGTGGTCTATAGTGTAATGTGAAAGTGAGATAAAACCAATGATGAAAATTGATACTCATGATTCGGGGGCCATTTCCCTCGCACACTATGCAGGGAGGTGCATTAAGCTAAGCAGAGTCCGTCTCAGGCAGGTGGCGGCATGGCAGGCGAAGCGCCGAGTCCTGTTTCTCCCCCCATCATGGATTTGGATCTTCGCATGCTGTAATTCTCGTGCCTGCTCACATGCAAAGCATCGGAAAGAATTTGAAGAGGAGGTGAATAGTTTGGCAATCGTGGATGAGGAGGAGAAAAAAGGCGCAAGTCAACGATGTCATCATACACAGGGGGACTGGTGGAGAAGATCCATCACCTACCTCATAGCATGCTTCAAACAGGCCATCGTAGCTGTCGTTGTTGTACACGTGAATACAATCAAGCGGTCTGGGTCCGTTGCCATTTGAGCCGCGCTAGCAGAGGAGCGTGAGCGTAGACAATTCCCTCTCCTTTCTCATCATCTGATTCGACTGGCCCTCGGAACATCTTTCACTTGCTCACCACCCCTTTTTCACGAAAACGTTTCTAGCAGTTCAGCAACGCCTTCGGATCGCTTTGCAAAGTGTTCTGTCATCTTATGATGCTAACCAGTGGCCCGTACAATCTCAAGCTCAAAGGAAGACGACCATAGGCCAAGACAAGCTCCGCCAGTCCAGTCAGCAGATCTCTCAGACCGCAAGTAAGGCGTACGTCCGCAAGATGCTGCGAGTGAGGCTGATCTAACCAGTGTCAACCCAACGTCCCTCGGGTGGTCATCCCAGCGGTGAGAGACTCCTCAATTTTGTTCAGGACTCGGAGGGCCCCATCATCACTCGCTTTATTGCGGGGCGATCCAAGATACCAGGCTCGCTTCGTGGTTGTCAGATTGGTTCCAGTAGTAGTGATACCAAATCCCGGGGTACATCCAGACTAGTCGAAGGCTCGAATTACAGCCAGTATGGCTCCCTCCCATGCTGGAGCGACGGGACAGGGACAGATTCGGTGACAGAATCCATTGACACGAGCTTCGGAGAAGAAACTCTCAACGAAAGCTTCCGTGTTCCTTACATTGATGCTGGTACTTGGGAGCTGCCTGCATATCCGCCGTCCAGACGCACGCCCGTGCTGCAGTGTCCCTTCGAGATCTTGGGGTGCAGGCGTGAATTTCCCAAAGAGGATGAGTCTGCATGGATCGAACATAGCCTCGACCATTTCGTAACTAATGATGCAAGTCGACAGAGGTTTGCGCCTCCGAAGGACAACTCATGTTGCTTCTGCCAAAAGTTATTCCAGTATGAAGATGGCACCGTCTCGTGGAGACAGCGGATGATGCACATTGCAGCCCATCATCGACTTGGTCATTCTCTTGCCCATGCTCAACCTAACTTTAGTCTCCTCATCTATTTATGGCAGAAAAGGGTGATTGATGATGAAACGTTCAGGGATATACATGGCAAAACGCCGGATCGGTCACGGATCATCGCCAACGCTTCACCACCTGTGACTGAGCCTGATGACGAGGAGAAGGAGCAGGAAGACGAAGGGGAAGAAGAAGAGGAGGAAGAGGAATCTGACACAGAGACCGTCACGAATATCAACGACGGCAGGCGCAACAGAGCTCGACGGCCCGGGGCTTAGCGAGCTGCTTTTATCCTCCCACGAAGGGCAAAAGAAGCAGCAGCGAAGCAGGTTTCTCAAAAAGCAGAGGCTGACTGGAGAGTTCTGAGCACCAGGTGGCAGGAAGGGATCTATATGTTGGGATTTTACTTTATATTGGGTCCCAGTGGGAACTAATGCTAGACGGGGAACAGGGTTGCCTTGGTCCTCTGCATGACACGCTAGAGAGAATGTTGACTCACTCCTCGCCACTCATTCTAATGTACGGGGACTTCACGATATAAACTGATACTACCGTTTGATGAGGAATTTTACCGATGGCGCTTCACGCATGGAACGGGATGGAACCTTCAGAGAAAATATTTTCGCCCTTCCGACAAGGCGGGTCCGGCCGGGCAAATCAGACACAAAAAAAGGGGGTTTTTTCTTGCACTGCCCCCGGAGCCACCACAACATCAATCTCTTCTCTTCTCTTACTGATAATGATTGCGACATTGGATAGCATTTAATACATGCAATATGGTTTTTTTTGGAATGCTACTTCAACCAGCGTCCGATCCAGGCACACATTCTGCATTGCTGTCATGGCGACTGCATGTTGCCGCCAAAGCAAAGAACGCAATGCAGCGAATCATGAGCGGCACCAGCGGGTCCGCCACATATTGGAGCCCAAGCTTCATCAGCCATGGATGCCTATGCCATTTGCCACTTCATCCAAGTTTGCTTCCTCATGCACGTTGCCTCACCAGAGTCCAGACCAGCTGCGGCCATGGACGCGTCTCACTGGCAAATCCTGTCGAGTACGTACCAAAGACTGCATTCTCACCCGCACCTGAAGGTGAGATGGGACATACCCAGTGAAAGCGTAGAATTTCATCAAAAGACTGAATCAAGTCCTTGCTCCCATTTTCATTGTACAAATACTAGAAAGATGCTGGTCATGATCATGGCATCTCCCCCTCCGAATGCCTCCGTTCGCCATGCAAGGAAATCCTGACAGCCTGTATAACTCGTGTCATGTTTGGACAGAATGATATCTCGAGAACTTCACCCGAGCGTTTCCCGTAGCAATAATGCATCCGGGCCTCCCATATGCCTTCCTCTCACTCCTCCATCAACTCCACTGGCGGCCTCGCCGTATGTGTCATGACCGTCTTGGCCCCATCATCACCTCCATCCTCCTCTCCATCGCTCGTATCCACCACCATGACTGCAGGAAGATCTTCCCGACTCCCATGCTGTTTCGGATGAAAGACGGTAAAGCTTTTACTCCCCGCCCTACTATCACCCTCCTTCACCTCACTCTGGCCCTCCATCTCCTCGTCTTCTTCCGGCTGTTGCCCCTTCCGAACTTCCGTAGCTTTCACCTCCTCCCCGCCCTTCTCCCCACCAATATCGCCCGGGCCATTCCCCAAGCTCGCAAGCGCCTGCTCCAAATCCCAAGCATGCGTCTCCTTGTTCGGCGGATCTTCTTCCTTACTCTCCCATCCGCACGGCGGACTCGGCGGCGGTGAAATGAAGAACAATTTCCCCGTGCTTGGGGCTTTGAGATGCTGATCTGCCTCCTCGTCAACGCCGGAAACAGGCGTGTGTGGGCCGAAGTAGCATCTGATCCTATCCACGCTTTCCACTTGCGGGTTTTGCTGTGATGTTTGGTTGGGTTTCGGTTGCTGGGAGAGGAGGATGGTAGAAGGTGCCCCGTCGAGAAGCTGCCGCGCTGATATTGCGGCTTCCTTCGTTGTGTAGGAGACGATTATGCGGTGGAAGGAGCGAAGGGGGAGAAGGAGTTTAGAGGCGTCGAGGCGGAGAGGAGGGATTTGATGTTCTCGAGGGCAACGGGATGGAAGAGGAAAGGGTCGTTGAGATTCGTAATGAGGAGGGTGTTCGAGGGTGGAGATGGTGTAATCAGAGCTGGTAGGGCGGAAAGGTCGAGAGTCAGGGGCGTGTTGTCGCCCGTTCTATTCGACATAGCTGTGGATCTGGGGGAGGACGAAGGTGAAGCTGGAGGTGACATTATGAGGGCGGAAGTTGTCATAGTAGTCCTATTCGAGGATATGGTTTGGTTGTATATTTTGTGGGAATGGGATACTCTTGGGGAAGAGATGCTGGCTTAAGAGGTTAAGAGTCGGACGTCGGCGGCTATTATTGTCTGGTCGGACTGGAGAGATTCTGATGTTCCTGGAATCGAATTGTGGCGCAGCAATCATGGAAATTGATATTCCCGAACTAGTTCTAAGTCTCTCGGAGCCAAGATTCTCCTTCTTTGTTATTGTCCGAGAGCACTGCCTTCATTCGCAGGTGATTCTGGCCATCAAAGGACACGTTGACGCTACAAATGCTGGGCAAGTCCCTGACATCAGGGCGTGTATGGGCGCATTGCTTCAGACTACCGAGCACATAACCAGGCTCCTCTTTCCCTCTCTCCCTTGATGCTGGGAACATCCAGAAGCCTACGAAAAGCTAGAGGCTCCGCCGAGGAATCCGCCACTATGTCTCAATAGACGTGGAAGCCTCGATGACCTGGATACCTGCGTTGCAATTGGTACCTTACTCTTCTCCTCTAGGAGGCTTATTTGTGACTTTGGTATGTGGAGTGACTTGCCGGTGAATCCTTCAACAGCTCAAGGTGAACATCAGCCCTGCTCATAGCAAGCATAAGCCTCACTCATGGCAGTCCTTCTATGCTAGAAAACGGGGGAAGAAGGTAAGGCACAGCCTGTAGAATAGCGATGGGCTTCACTCCTAAGTCTGAAGCATACAATCATGCACTCCACTTGACTTAAGCGCCTTGGCCTCTTCTTTCCTCACACAATGGCTCTGCTTTGTGAACTTATCGTCCCGTCAACGTTCTTGATTTTCTCAAATGGGCACTGTTCGTGAAAAGGTTGAGGCTGATATGGCTATGGGGCGAACCGCTGATGGAAGTAAACGTCCCCACAGCTACAAGGATTGCTCTATTCCCAGAACCCTTTCATTTTGAATCAAGATCAATCAACTCCAGTACTGACCCTCCACACTATATTATATCGCAGTGAAGACTAAGAACATAATGAAAAATTGGCCTAAAGTCCCCCTTCCGGAGGCTTCCCTGCCGACGTCCATGACTTCCTTATTGATTGTTTTATCCAGTTTGGCTTCAAGCCGCTGGAAGCAGAAGCAAAAGCTGCAATCGTTGCAATGAATGGCGAGGGCCTACGTGCAGCAAATCAGGAGCAATGGATGAGAATCTATGGTGCATCCCACGGCAGGGGCATTTACTATTTGATTCATGATATTGGTTTTGGTCAAATTGTCTTCAAGAAACCAGCTCTCTCATTCGCGGCATGGCTAAAGACATCAATGAAGGGATTATTTTGTTCGGGAGATAAGTCATTAGAAGCATCGGTCGCTTCGAGTTCTGCCACATTCGCCGCAACGGCTCTGAACGAGGGCTCATCACCAGAGTTTCAGGATCCTTGGAGGAGCCCCGGACCACAGCAACGAGCACTTCGGATGCAGTCTGGGTACATGAGAGTCTGATAACCAAGAGTTGAATCTGGAGAATATATCCCTTCGAAAGACCAGTATGGCTGTACTGTCAATCTGGCGCAAGTGGAGTCGATCAGAGTACACTGCCTTTGTCTATAGCGGCTTTCCAAGTTATCCTCATGGCCTCATCGACTTGTTCGCCCTTTTAAATATTGATAACTTCGGACCCTCCTGGTCGTGATGATTAGAGTGGTCCTTACTCGCGAGCTGGAGATTAAACAGCTTCTACCTCGCGATCGACAATCTTACCCATCTATCTGGATCTAAGTCTTGAGTACCAAATAACCAACAGTCAGCTCGTAAAATCGCCCTTCCTAATACCAGGTGCTTCAACTTTACCCACGAGCTACTCAAGGAAAGCTTTTCTCAGAACAGGGTATCCTACCCATCATGTACGGTTTCGATGCATCTTGGTGGACGAATGAGATTGATTCAATCGTGGAATAAATGCACGCTCGTTCTACAATCAATTATTGATGACTTCATTATCTGATGGGTACTAAAGTGGAACCATTGGAGAAGATTTTTGATATTTGTATCTTCATTGGAGGATCCACTGCAAAGCGTGGTCAATTGGTATAGTACTCGCAAACTAGTCCTGTATAATGAATGTCGGCTCCCCCTTTTTGTCCTTTCTTGAATCATTAAGCCCCTTTCTCAAGTCTAATCAAGATTTCGTACCCTTGTATACGTTCTTCAAAATCATACCAGGCTTGAATCCATCCTGTTCTCCTCTCTTTCGGCCGTCAACCTGTAAAAGTACAGATAGCCACACCGAACCAGAAGTCCCTCGCATCACAAGTCTGCTTGTTTTTATCTAAGACGCATGCTGCTTCGCCACCCCCACAGACTAGAGATCCATCAGCCCCCTTTTTATCCTTCAGGAAAGAACAGTCAGTAGCCTTCCCCGTCCCCCAAGTACCTATTTGGAGAGGATACTTCGGCGAATTAGCATCGAATGCTTTCCCTTCCTGCCAGAGCGCCTTATCATCACAGGGTTTGTACTTTGAGCCGCCCGGAACAGAAAAAACAGTCCATTCGCTAGAACACATTTCTCCTCCTGCCGTACCCAAGCCAGTCGACGGGTCACAGGTAGTGATGTAGCCAATGTTAAAAACGATTACCTCAGGTGGGGGTGTCGATGGGGATGGCGATGGCGGTGGAGGGGGAGGGGGAGGGGCAGATGTAGGTTCTGGGGGTGGAGCTTCCGACGACGTCTCAGGCGGTGGAGGAGGAGGCGCTTCTGAGGACGTCTCTGGGGGGGTGGTGGAGGCGCTTCCGAGGATGTCTCTGGAGGGGGTGGTGGAGGCGCCTCTGACGAGCTCTCTGGGGTTGGAGATGGAGGTGGAGGCGGAGGTGCCTCTGACGAAGTCTCTGGAGGGGGTGGAGTAGGCGCCGATGAGCTCGTAGAGGGTGGTGGAGCAGGCGTCGATGAGCTCGCAGGAGGGGATGGAGCAGGCGTCGATGAGCTTGCAGGGGGGGTGGAGCTGGCATCGATGAGCTCGTAGGGGGGGGTGGAGCTGGCGTCGATGAACTTGCAGGGGGGCGGGAGCAGGTGCTGAAGAGCTCGTAGAGGGTGATGGAGCAGGGGTCGATGATGAGCTTGCAGTCGTTTGTGTAGGGGTTGGAACTGGAGGTGTTGCAGAGCTCTGGGGTGGACTCATAATACTGCTGGTAGGTGTTGAATTTACTCCCGTGCTACTCGAGCCTGCTCCTTTGCTCCCTGACGCTCCATCCTGACCTTCTTCGATGTCGGGGTCAGGTGTGGCTCTTGCGCAGGCAGCCGTTGAACTTGTGAAAGCTGAAATGCCGCATCCAACGTTGGTGGAAGTGCTCGTTGTGCAACTTGAGGAGTCACCCGACGCGCAGGAGATAAAGACATCAGTAACAGTGGATGTGGAACAAGCGGACGAGGAGTTATCGTCGTCTGGTTCACCGCCGCCAGGAGGGTTAGGACCAATTGGAGGGGTTGGAGGCGTAGGATCTATCGGATCGATAAAACCGCCGGGTGGAGGAATGCAGTCAAGCAGACAAGGTCCGCTGCAGAAGATAGCACACTTGTATCCACAACCGCTCTTGCAAGGATTCTTGGGTATTCCGAAGACATGTGTTAGAGGAGGGTGATTCCCAGGTCCAGGTTTCGTCGTCGCGTAAGGAAATGGTGGGGGTGTGATTGTTCTTGTCACAGGAGGATGGATGACACCTGACTCGCTCTTGGGATTGCTGTCATCAGTGATGATAAACGGCGGAGGAAGTATACTGCTTGTGAGATATATTAGAGACGAAGAGCTTGACGCGGCTGGGGAACCTGAAGAATCCAATTGGCCGGAAGTACTTGAGGCACCAAGGGAACCTAGAGAGCCTGAAGGAGCCGATGTGACGTTGACATTCCAGAGATCAATACGGTCGGTAGTAAGTGGTGGGATGGTTAGCACAGTCGTCTCTGTTGTACGATCAATGCCTGAAGATGTAGATACCTGACCGTTGCTTAGAGTCGTGACCTGGGTGGTAGACCAAGCAACCTCGAGTGACGTTGTTAGCAAAGGGAAGCTGATCGTCGTCATACTTGACAGTGTCAGAGGCGGCAAAATATAGACGCAAGGTGGCACGCAATAGATGTTCTGGTCAGATCCTGACCAAACGCTGGGATCGATGAAGACGTCGCCAGAGCCCGCCCCACCGCTGGGCGACGGCACGTTGCTCGACAGCGCTCCATTGCTTGACAAGGCCCCATTGCTCGACAGCGCCGCGTTGCTCGATAGCGCCCCATTGCTCGACAGGGCCCCATTGCTCGATAGCGCCCCATTGCTCGACAGCGCCGCGTTGCTCGATAGCGCCGCGTTGCTTGAAAGGGCTCCGTTGCTTGGAAAGAGCTCCATTGCTTGGAAGAGCTCCATTGCTCGATAGCGCCGCGTTGCTTGAAAGGGCTCCATTGCTCGACAGCGCCGCATTGCTTGAAAGGGCCGCATTGCTTGAAGGGATACCGGTACCAGAAATCGGTAACACTGGCTGGCTTGATAGACTTGCAAGGCTGATAGAGGGTGATACCGAGTTGGTTGTGTCGGACTGGGGCACAGAAGTTGGCTCGCTAGGAAGTACACCACTGCCAGAGGTGGAAAAACCAGGGTTGTTTGATGAAAGCGCCGAGCTGGGGGTGTTGGATTGAAGTGCAGAGGCCGGCTGGCTAGGGGCTATACCACTGCTAGAGGCTGAGATGCCATGGTCGCTCGACAGAGGCGTCAACGTCGAGCTTGATGATGTTTTCGGGGTTGACGACGGATTCGGGGTCAGTGTGACTGAACCATCTTTTGTGACTGAGGTCGTTGCATACGGATCATTTGAATCCTCGGCACCACTAAAGAGACGATGTATCAGCTTCTCCCAACTCCAGAAACTCAGGGCAGAATCGATGTACCTTCCGTAGCTAGGCGGGAGATGTTCGGGAACACTATGGAGACGTGTCAGCTTCTCATGACTCCAGAGGCTCATGGCAAACGTGATTTACCTTCCATAACCAGGCGAGTGATAAGTGGTACCACTACAGACACGACATGTTAGCTATTCATGGCTCTATAAGCCCAACACAAGATCAATTTACCTTCCATAGCCAGGCGAATGATCATTAGGACCACTATAAAACCCTTGTGTCAGCACTTCATGATCGTATAAGCCTAGGCAGAGCCGATCTACCTTCCATAGCTAGGCGGAAGATGAAAAATGGGAACTACAGGGCTAGTTCCATAATTCTCGTGAACTGGCGGAGCATAATCTGCTTCTGGTCAGTAGGAGTTTGCTAGACAAAGGCGTTGGCTTACTGTTGACGGCCAATGCTGTCGCAGTGCCAAGCGAGGAAATGATCGCTATGCTCAACACGGCCAAAGGTACTGATGTCCCGACAACACTAAGAACAGGAGCCATAGCTAGGCTCGAAGACTTGGTCTGCACAGTACAGAAGTTGAATAAGGGAGAAAAACTGAGGTAGGAAAGATGTGCCCAACGAACTCGTATGAGAGAAGAATTTGGTAGAAGAGAGGAGATGAAAGCTCGTTATATGGAGCGTTTAGTGCCTCCATGAAGATGTCATTTCCTGAGCGTAATTTCCACGCCACCGTGGAATCGTGTAATATCTCAGAATTAGCGATGTTAGATAAGAGACCGTAATTAGCCGTCCAACGTGTCGACGCCACCTTGGTACCACACAGTAGCTAGGAGGGGAAATGCCAATCCAGAGAGCCAGCTTCAGTGTTGATGGAATTAATGCCTCAAAACAACATAATCTCGCCACGACGGTGAACACCAGTGGAGATCGTATGGTGTCTTGACCCAGTGAAAGACCTTAGTCACCCGTCCAATGTGTCAACTCCACCTCGAAAGCACACAGCAGCTGGCTCCACTTAAGAGCCTGTTTAATTCAAATATGTTGCAGGCAAAAGAGGGGAAACACGGAGCTAGAGAGCACTTTCCAGTGTGGAGAGGCCTCGTGCCCCGTGGCAGTACGGTCTCGCGATAAAGCTTTTTATTATAAGTCGTGAGTGTAAAGTCTTCTGTCAGAGCGAATCTGGGTCACAAGTAACTGGGAAAGTCTACTTAACCATAGCCAACTGTCCAAAATATAATATTGCTAAATTCATTTCTCGTGGCAGGCAAAAGAAGGCATTCATTTTTCAATTACAAGACTTTCAACTCATCAATCATAGAGGAAAATGGCAGGTAAAACTCACCGTTGTTCCACCACTGCGCTTCTCGGCGTAGGCACGATGTTCCTTCTCGTCTTGCTCACGTCTGCTCTCTTGAACATACTACTGGTTACCAGATCCACTTCTGGTTCCGGAAAGGCACTCGAAACTCTCGTGGCCCAAGTCGAAGCCCCAGGAGCTCTCGTCAAGCATGGAAGCGAAAAAGACATGACAAAAACAGGAGTAGCTTTTGGGAAGAAGGAAAATATAGTCTTCAGCGAACTTCAAAATGCAACCCAAGAGCTCCGTAAACGCGATCCATGGTACGGTCTGAAATCAGAAGCACTTCTTGATGCACTGTCCTCAATACTCACAATTTTTGTTTCAGGAACGACGCCGTTGCCAAGGGTATTGACCGCATCACTTCCCTCAATGGCCCGAGGACAGAGACTAGATGGACGCGCATGACTGACCTCACGGTACGTATACGTCTGTCAACCACAACCAATCAAATTCAACGATGCAGCTTCCCCGGGTATTCTCAACAATATATTTCCCCTAGTTGACTGACGGTTTTCCGTATTAGGGGTTGCCAATTATGGCCGAGAATCATGGTGGAGGTTGGCAAATGGAGACTGTTGATAGTGGTATGTATACCGCAAAAGGCTTTGACGACGCATACCGGCAATTGGGGATAAACAAAGCGGACGACCAAAAAGTTTTCGCGAACCAGTTCTTAAGGTTCTCCAATTGCCAATATGATGACCTTGTAAGAGCGGTACATGCTTATACTCTGCACAAGGTTGACTGAAACCAATCAGGAAGAGACCGGAGCCCAATTCATAAACGTATACAACGTTCCAGGCAGAACAATTGTTGCGGTCAGTATCCTTTTGATCAGCAGATAATAACCGAGCGTATTTCAGCGCCAGCTACCGAATCTGCCATGGTCTCGAGCTCGTACTGATTTTTGATCTGCTTAGGCGTACAACGTGCATCCTGTCGCGTCGACGCAGGGCGAACCACCAATTAATATCAACGGGCAACAAGTGAACTGGCAGCAGAGACTTCCGAATGTGCAGAAGTGGTCCGACGTCACTGGTATCATCTGGGTGGACAAAGCTGGTAGTGCTGTTGGGAATCTCAAGGTCGCTCGTCTGCTCCCCTTTCTAAAATCCTTAGCCCTGACTATAATTAGTACGTCTTCAGGCAAGCCATCGTGACCGATACGACCAAGGCGACTATGAACGAGGCCTTTGAACGCAGCGGCTCTCGAATCGGATCAAATGGTAAATATGAGAAGCGCTGGCCAGGCTACACATACAATGCGGGTTCCGAGGAGTTTGCGGCTCTTCTTGGAACGCTTCACGGCACAGGAGTCGCCTTTCTGGTCCTCACTCATCCCGATGAACTGGGGGTAAAAACATCGAGTCGGTTCAGATCTTCACCACTCCCGACGTGAATAATGATTATCATCAGCTGTGGACACTATCGGGATAATTCTGTTTGTCATAGCACCCCTAGCTGTTACCACCCCTAGCTATACCATACCTGAGTGTAGTGTTGCTAAGCCACTGCATGGTGCTGTGGCAGATAGGTACCTTTAGGGAAAATCGACAGAGATCAACAACGTGATGGTAAAGGGAAGATATGCACAGACTTGTACAGACAAGCCGTCGGCGACCAATTAGGAGATCTGCGGTGGGCCATAGAGGAGTTAAACCCCAAACATCTTGAGCTTGCGAATAAACATGCAAAAAGTCAGGATTCCCCTTTACCTGTAAGCTTACCGTAAGATCCTGATCACTGACTCCTTGCTTCCTGTAACGTCATCTAAGTTCTCTGGAAATGATATGCCTCGCCCGGAATCAAGGCATGATTTACACACCTCAATCCGTCATCCGACCATCTAAATGTCCCTTGTGCAATTCTTCGAGCCTCTTTCATGCGAAACCTCTTTCTGAATCGCCCGTTTCTATTTCCCATCCTTTGCATTACGTCTCCTCCACTCCCTCACACCCCTCTCCACTTCCGCCCAGGTGACGCCATCCCTGACCAGCCAAAAGGTCACTCCGAGTGTCTCTACGTTCCGATTCCTGGTCTCATCGTCAAAAAAGAGTATATCTTCAAACGCAACGCCCGTCTTCTCGGATAATCGTGTCATATGCGTCTTTTTATCTCCCGGAAATATCTGATGCTGATCAAAAAACTCTCGCGCCGGCTTGAAGGTCGTAGTCGCCGGTATCCACGGCGTTGTGGGTACCGTTAATTGCTTCAAAAGTGTCTGTGCTAGGTCTGGTGTATGTGTCCGAGAGGCTGTGGCAAGCAAGGGCGGTGAGGGTAGAGATTTCATGGTCGCGAGAATGGTTGCGACATCGCGATAGAAAGCAAATGATTCTCCGAAGCGATCCACAGATTTTGCACCGCCCTCTTTCGCTTTCAGAGGAGGTGTCACATGGGTATCAACCCAGAATGGCCATAAAGTGTAATCCAAGTCAAAGGCAAACATTTTCGGGATTGGTAGGCCGTCTTTGAAGACATTTGGAATGTTCGTTTGCGGTGCGAGATCTGCTGTTGACGTTGACTGAGTGCTCTTCTTTGGCATTGTGAAGATGATAAAGGAGAATACAGTGACAAAGAAGAGTACGGCGTATGGAGAGTGATAGGGAAATTTCCGCAAAGCGCAGACTTGAATCATGCAAATGGTCGAAGAGAATAGGTCAAGTTTGCGGTCGTACCTGACTAAGGATCCAGCAGCTGCGAAAATGACGTCCAAGGGTCACTTAGTCATCATCAATGTAGCCGGATATGCAAGGCACTTGTACCCAACGTTGACAGCTTCATAGGGCACATTCTAAGGGCACCCTCCCTGTGCAAAGCCCCAAGTTCAAGGCACTTCAACTTTGACCGACGTACCATGTTGAATCAATAGCATTTGCTACTACCTGAATCGATGCTCATAATAATTACATGATTAATGTACCGAGCGAGCCCACGGTAGCATTGTCGACGGCTGAATCCCTCGCTATTCACGAGCATCTCATCTCACTTCGTAGGCTAGGCAATCAACGTCCTCCAATACGTGCCATTTCTGTGCAGCTGCTTTGAGTCCCAGCGCCTGCCGTTCTTTCCTCAAACTTCCTCGGTCGATGGCGTATTGTAGAACAGCTTTCTGTTGCTTACTGCTCAGGAGCCCGTGAGAATCAACCGCGTATCCGAGGATGCGCCACCATATGTCGCTTGAAAAGCCAAGGGGTAAGTTTGATCTGTATGTTTTGTTGGTCAGGGAAAGTCGTTGATCAATCGGCCGTGTGAGGTGTGCTGCAGTAGGAATATTCGTTGAGGAGATGGCCGCAACGCTCTGCTTCCGTGGCTTCGCTCTAGGTGACATGCTCATGTTGACTGATTTTGGTGTGAGAGGTAGGCCCCACGGATTGGATTCCTTTGGTGGAACAGCCGGTATATCAAGGATTTTGACGATGGACAACCTCGGTTTCGGGGCTGGCGTTACTGGTGGAACTGGCGGGGAAGGCGCCTTGGTAACTGTTGGGTGCATCATTCGGCTAAGTGCAAGCATCTTGCAGGCTGCAAGCCATAGATCGTTGCTTCGTAGCCCTTCATTTTCGATAGCATTAAGTTGCAGTCGACTTCGCGCTCGGTGCAGCTCCACTTCCACAGTCTCCTTACCCTCACTATCAGTAGCCGCGGAGCTCCATCGTCGATGACCGTTAGGACTCGGTAGGGTAAAGTTCGAATCGGCTCCGACCTCTTTCTCCATCGACCTCGCATCCTCCTCAGTGGAGTCTTCAAGCCCATGGACGCAGTGAAGGATTTCTCGCGCTCTCTCAGCAAGGTCAAGAGCTTTAAAAGCAGCATTACTGCATCTCGAATTAGGCAAGTAAATAATCCCTCTGCAACGCGTTTCAGAATCATGTGCTGTCAACTGGTGGGTCATTGGCCCAGGTTTTACCGGCGGTACGTATGGAAGTAGTTTCTGTGGGTAATGATGGCTCATCAACACATACGAGAGATGCAGTGCCGAAGTATCGTCTATCGAGGTTTCAGATAGGATTATGTATGGTATCGCTCGTAATCCCTTTGTCGATCTGTAGATTGGCAAATGATGGAATTCCTGGGATATATTTCCAGCTTTCTCTTGAACCTTAGAAGCTGCTCATAGTCAACCGATTCTGCATTGCAAGAAGAGCTTGAATTTACCATGACGGGACGGTTTCAGCCCTTTCCCATGATTCACTCCATTCCGATTTGTTTCATCGTCCTCGGCTCCAATACTCCACTTCCTCGCTTTGTGTTCCAATGCGCTTACCTTCTCCGAGATTGAGCCTAATCGTGAGGTCCCGTAACTTGCATGATCTACGAGCTCCGAGGGCACCGCAAAATCAATTGATTCTTCTTGGCCGTGAACTTTCGACAATATCTCGAAAGCTTTCGGCCCAAGTGCGTTATTGCTTAGATCTAACCTTCGAAGAACGGAGCAGCTCGATATGGCGCGTAGAAATGCCTCCCAGGCTATGATATCTTCCGATGAAACAATATGGATGTCATTGCTCGAAAGGTCTAAATCTCTAATGTCGTTGCAAGCCAAACGCACTATCTCCGAAAGCAAGTGCAATGATACGGGGCTCAAGCCATTGCTTTTGAGGTTGAGCTCCTCCAACCGGAGAATATTGCTCTGGCCACCATCAGCGTTGTAAGTCTGTATCAGACCCTTAGCAAGCTCCCGAAAGCCTGTGTCTGTGAGGGTTTTGCATGAGACATCAAGCTCAACAACAGGATCTCGCAAGGCCGCTTTCGAGCCTAACGCAGGCGGAATGCGTTTGATCTTGGCTCCTTAGCATGTTGGGCATGGAATGTGGGGTGCAATATTACCAAATCCTTAAACAAGACCTGTCCCAATTTGATACCGTCGCTATGACGCTGTGAGAATTTTTAGCCCAAGCGCAGGTTGAGTAGTATGACTGAGACTTGCATTTGTATAATTAAGTCGTCCCATATCTTGTCGAAGTAACGGAAAGAGAAACCGAAGGGATTCCAGTGAATAAAGGGCGATCTTGCTGAAGCGTGTAAATGACGTGAGGTGTCACAAAGGGCCGCGACAAAGAGTGTCACGAAGAAACGAGGGCTCAAGCAAATCAACGTTCATATGCCTGTCGGACGACTGTAGAAGGGGCCGGGATCGAGAGGCACGTTACCGTTGGCTAAATAGTGAATGATGCAGGGATTAGACAATAATCAATCCAGCAGGGTATTGCACACTGAATTCAAGCTCAGTGCGATGAGCGCCGTTTATCGTGTAAGCAACACCGTGTGGTTTTCACGTTCGCTCAAGAAGTACAAGCAAACATTCCCGTCGCGCATTCACAGCAAACTTGTGCCTTTTACCTTGGATCATTTTATCATGAAAACGCCATGCCATCTATCTCGTATGAATTTTTTGACTACAGCCGCCCGATGCGAGTTCGAGACGAAGATGTCGTCTTTATGCAACGGTTGCACTTTAAGTCAGGCGGCCCAGCACTTGGTTACCGCACGATTGAGCTCCTGTTCAAAGCTTCCAACAGCTCTGGCCTCGCAGCTAGTGCAAGTTTGGCCTCTGTATAGGACATCCACTTCCGATCTCTTTTGTGCATCTCCGGCCATTTGGCTTCCTCCTTCTCCACAGTCACCTCAAAGAACTGAAAGACTGCCCTAGGTGCCTGAGCTGTGAGTTCCTCCGGGCCGCGTCTGTCAGGGATCTTGCCAAGGTCCTTCTGTATCTTGCAATGTATCCCAGCTTCTTCCCACGCCTCCCGGCACGCTGCATCCTCTGCTGTTTGCTCGTCCGTCTCCCAACCTCCTTTGGGAACGACCCAGCCGTTGCGTCGCGTAGATTGAATCAAGAGAACTTTTTTCTTATCGGCCGAAAGGGGGACGACCCCTGCAACTAATCGCTCGCCCTGGGCGCCGTAACCTGTTCGAACTCTTGTGAGCCAAGATCGTAACTTGAAGATGAATTGCTATTCACGTTGATTGTCTCTTCCTGTACGCGCCTTCTCTTCCAGCTTGGGGGCCATTACAGACTGCCGGGCTTTTGCGGAGCTCGTAAGCTGACCAGGCAAACCCGAGGAGCGATCGCGCGCGCAACAATTTCTGGATTGGCGAACTGAATTGACTTCTAGCAAGTTTGACGAAGCTTGTACACCCCCTGACCAGTTTCCAGGAATGGTTCTGGCTGGTGGGCAACTGAAGATAGTCCTTGAAGCGTAAGTTGGAGGACGCTGGGGCCTGGATAAGGAGAGCCTCACAAGCCGGGAGGCGGGCTTTGAGGGTGGAAGTGTGAAGGTTTGTCGGGGGGCGGCGACATTATTACTTAAGAGTACTATTGATCGGTCAAGTAGATGACTCAAGCTAGGCTAAGGTATAGTGTGGTCCTTTGATATTGGAACAATTTCGAAGAAAAGGCGAAGGAAAACTATTTTTCCGCGCTCGCAGGCTCCCTTCCCCACTTCCAACCCCCACATTCACAGCGTTCCATCAATGATCGGGAGCCGTCGTGTAGCCTGTATGCTAAAATAAGATACTTCAGGACTCTTAATGAAAATTCTGTCGAGAAAGGGTCACAGGGTCTGGTTCCCCCAAGTTTCGCTCACCCCACACTCTTCTTTTGAGGCTAGGAGAGCTGAGCTCTTTCCTCTGTAGATTTGCTTAGAATCTTCCGTGCATGACACCAGTCAAGCCTAACGCAGGCAATCATCTTGTCCGTTGAAGTAATGTCCGATCGAAGAATAGTTCCCGCAAATTGCAGCAGCTAAATTGCAATCTTGCTTCCTAGGCTCAAAGCTCAGTGGCTCTACGAGTAGCCTCACTGCAGGTGTCTGAGCGCACGCATATACTACTGCTGCTGCATGAAGTCACACCTGCCAGAATGGAGGATTACTCTATAGTCACTCTTGACGGTGCGTTGGCCTCAAAAATAACCCGTGCTGAAATGGCTGGCTTGGAAGGCTTCAGCTCTTCCCATCTAAACTTGCAGCTGATGGCATATTTCTAGGCTATCAAAGCAAATCTTGTACGTAGGGATGCCTTATACAAAGAACTCTAGTCTCATTTACTCGACGCGAAGGTGGATACTGTTCGTCAGACCAGAAAAATCGTCAGGCTACCAGTAAAAGGTTTCCCCCAATGAAGTGCATAAAGGCTGATATTGCACCTTTTCAGGCGCCTCTTATGGCATGTTGAGTAGCACAATGCAGCCTGCGTATTACCAGAAACTTGCAGACAGAGGATGGCGACGGTATGCCTCACTTTTTCTTGTGAATTTTTTGTTTTTCTAAAGTCAGGACGGATTGCTTACGGTAGTCAACGTTGGGAAAGCTCAGGCAATTTCTTCTATAAGCCTAATAACAAAACGACATGTTGCCCGAGCTACACCATTAGGTTTGTTGAGTAAAAGAGAGAAAGGAGTAGGCAAAGTCTGACAACTATCAGACTCGATGCCAGTGCGTTCAAGTCGAGGAAAGATCAACGAAAGGCTGCAAATAAGTGGAATCGGCATGTCCTTGGCCAGGACTATCGGCAGAAAGCTGCAAGATATTGCCCCAAGTCACGACAGTACGTTTGTTTTACTCATCTAAATCTTCGGCTTTCTATGCAAGCGGCAAAAATCTGTATCTGATTGAACAGAGAGACAAAGCGCCTCAAAAACACATTCGACCTATGGCATACCGTCCATGAGTCCGAGTATAATTACATCACAAAGCCTTTGGATCTAAAGACTCAACAACACATCGTCCCTGCTCACAAGTTTGAAGTCACACTCGAGCCAGACAATTATACCAAGGAGAAGTAAGGCTAGCATTTCTGCTTCGCTGGTTTCGCTAATTCTTCGGTTAGATACGATTTGTTCCACAATTATCAGCAAAATGTACATAAGGAAAGTCCAGATGAGATATCTGTGCAAGGCTTCAAAAGATTTCTCTGCTCTGGGTTAGGACAGACATATGAGAAATCTTTTGATGATGATGAAACAAATGAAAAAAAATTGGGTTCCTATCACCAGTGTTACCGTCTAGACGGTAGACTCATCGCGCTAGGCGTACTCGACCTTCTCCCAAATTGTGTAAGCTCTGTATACCTCATGTTCGTCGTTCTCAAGCTCTCTTTGGAGAAGAAGCTAATTACAACTAGGTATCACAATAATTTTGCTTCTTGGGATTTTGGAAAATTGTCCGCTTTGAGAGAAATTGACCTAGCTCGGGAAGCCGGCTACTCATACTACTATATGGGTCAGTATAGCACACCTAGTCTTGAGGGCGCACGTAATAGTTTTTATCATAGGATTCTATATCCACTCATGCGTTAAAATGCGTTATAAGGCCAACTTCAAACCGACGTATATGCTTGGTTAGTCTTGAACGAAGCGGGCGAATCTCTGCTGAACTTTTGTGTAGATCCTATCTCGTACGACTGGGATTTGCTTGACGCAGATCTTCGAGAACGCTTGAATGCTAGAGCATTTGTATCAATGGCCTTGGAGCGCACGCTAGATATTCCTTCGGAGCGTGCAGATCTGCAAACTTTCATCCAGGACCTTTTGGATGCGGCCAGGCCAAACCAAGCCATTGACATTGGCAACGTCAAATATGAGACGGCATTAGACTACGTCAGAGGTAGTAAGTATGGACATCCAGCCACGAAAGAGTTTTCAGACATCTTCCGGAGAGGCATGCCTGGCGCCATGTCTCTTGACGAAGTCAGGAGAAGTGATGTTTTTCCAAAGTGGAAGATCACGCAGAGTTCTCATACCTTTGAATTAAAGGTAAGAAGCTGTTCACAAACCTAATAACCATCAGTTTGATCCCTGATGACTCTAGGAATTGACCTGTTGGTACGAGGGCGACATCGGAGACGCAGGAACAATAAAAGGTGCCTTGGCCGGGCTTTTTGCGTGCCTAGGCGCAGATGCCATCGATAATACAATGGTGTCTTTCGATTTCTAAGGTAGCCGAGAGTCCGAAAGGATCGCTGTCCCTGCGCTGAGCACTGCCTGGCTCTTATTTCTATAGAAAATATGGGCGATGATAGTCTGAAAACCAATCTTCACATGGCAAGATCATTGAATGATTGGTAAAGGCGATAAAGTACGTTCGATAGCTGGTCCCTCGTGCCTTCCATTAGCAGACCCGTTTCAAGGCCCCAGTGTAAGAATGACATGCCTAGCATCAATTGCGCAATTGAAGGAGAACAGACAATGATGGAAAGCCTGTCTTTGTGAGGCACGTGAGGAACAATAAACACAATTGTTTGTCGCATGTCTGAATGTTCATTGTATCATGACGTGAACTCCTCTATGATTGTTACATTCCAATTTACCTTGAGATTGAGATGTATATTTTGCCCAGAACCCTTGGTCAATGGTTTGCTGATTTGGTTTTCTCAAGTCACTTCGACTCCTCACTTGCAAATTCAAAGATCTTTAGATCTTTCGGGGATCAAGAACTATGCCTCAGCAACATGTCCGTCCACAATTCTCCTGTCCATACTCTGACCACCGAGACGAACGACGGAACGCCAATGTCCCAGAATCGATAGATAATCACCATCGTCAACATTTGAGTCACCTCTATGACGAGCTCTATGATAGTACGGGTCGCCTACAGAAGGCGACATCTGACGAGAAAGCTTCCTCCGATGGGAATTCCGAACACCTTACCAAAGCTGAGGGTGAAATCGAAGCGGACAGGGATGCACCACATCCAGGCTTGAAAAAGGGAATTCCAACATCATCGGCTACTGTTACGTTGCCATCCGCTGACTCAGATGCTGAGTCTCAACGAAAGCTGCATTCTGAGGACAATAGAAAGACATGACCATCAGAGCTTCATCCGTGTTGCTGTAGTTCAGCAGGGCACTCTTGATGAAGTAAGACGAAAGTGAGAGCGGTGGCACACCACATGTAGAAAGAATGTGGCCTCAAACAAATTCCTCAGCTCGACTAATAATGCATATCAATCGATCTCTTTCCACCACCTCCATCCATCTCCCGGCCGCTTGTTTGCAGCACTTTGATGGCTTCTCCTACAGATCCATTGCTTCTCGTCCCATTTGACCTTATCGTTCTTGGTATACTTTGTCACCTCCTCTGCTATAGCACCATCATCCTCTTCTGAGACTTGCCACTCCGTCAGCTTGCTTGCTGTTGCTTCCCTGCCCTTGCCCTTTTTCTTCTTCGCGCTGACTCCAGCGTGTTTATTCTTCCACATACCACCATATTTATAGTCTGGATGATGTTCGTCTCCATCGATCACGCCGCCGGAGACGGCTCTCCAGCATTGGCTGGGGCAGACGAATTGCCACCTTGCTGAGGAGTCAACTTGGCAACGGACGAGCACATCAGCTAGATTTCCGCAGAGGGAACAAGCTTTACGGTGAGCGGAGGGGGATAGGGCGCGTTTATTGGCCTTATTGGGAGTCAGAACATCGTGCTCCGACATGCTTCTTGTTGGCTGCCGTAGACTCCTCCGCTTTTAAGTGCTCCAAGTGACTCAGAGACTTGTTTGATGTCCTCTGTAAGATGTCAACATTCAATTGGATTCATTGCCAGTTAATGGACGACGAGAGAAAAGGAGTCGACTGCTTAGCCATGTGTTTATTATTTTCGCAAGGGGCCGAGGGTCGGGTTAGTCTGAACGTGGCCGCGCTAAATTTGTAGGGGCAAGATAGGGGGGTAGAGGCCTAGGATAACCTGGCTATAGGGAGCTCTCTAGGGCACATGCCCCTAAAACCTCGCGCTTAAATTCTATTTGGCATGGCCACGTTCAGACTAACCGACCCTCGGGCTCGGGCTTCGGGGCTCTAAGCTCCAAAATAGGTCTAGTCTCAGGGTCACTTTACTAGGTAAACTTGATATTAATAGCGCATATCACAGCATGTACACCCGGATACGATCTAGATAAAACTACACTATTCTTAGCAAATGGCCAAATCTGCCGTATGGCCTGCCGTATCTAGGGGTAGATCCGAGCTAGGGGTGACCTCTTCTACGCCGCCCCCTGAATATAGACAGATCACATATACAATCATATTTAACTGAACATCGCAAAATCAAAAAACATGAGGTCTTCAATCTGTCCAAAACATCACGTATCTAGAGAGGATTCCAACCATACCCCATTCTTCCTCCTTTTAGGTCCCTGAAATTACCACGAAGCGCTTCTAGACCAACTACGCTGACCTCGTCGACGAAAGCCTGTACCTTTGCAGCGATTACTTCGGTATCAAAGTTGAAGAATTTGTAAATCTCTGTGTTTGCCGGCAGCGCTTTCCCAAAAGAATTCATTGAATGGCCGGCATCTGCATATCGCTCCCACCCGTTGACAACATATGCCTCTATAACCACTATCGGCTTGCGGTTCCTGTACTGCATCACGGACTCTCTATACTCTTGGGACTGTGTTTCAAAATGTCTTTGACATGGGAAACTGACGATTCGTGCCTTGATTTAATTTTCCTTTAGCTTATTCCTAACGTCGACTGCGAAGGCCATTTCAGAACCAACCCCAATGAGAGTCAAGTCAGGATCATCTTGGTCAACGAAAACGTATGCCCCATTCATGACGCCTTGACGACTTGAATGCTGAGGGTATTGTGTCAGCGCATGTCTTGACAGACTGATGATTGTCGGCGTGGTTTTGGCTCCAATGCAACCATGAAAGCACCGCATGTCTCTTCTGAATCACATGGTCGAACGTAGAGCAGATTTGGCATTGCACGAAACAAAGCAGAGAGCTCAACCGGCTGGTGCGCCGGTCCGTCGTCGCCTATAGCTATAGAGTCATGGGTCGCAAGGTGGATAGCTTGAAGCCCCTGTATGGCGCCCATTCGTATGCCTGCTGCACTGTAGATATAGAACAGGAAGAAGCCCGACGTAACTGGAATTATTGTTCCGGGATTGAATGCAGTCAAACCGTTTGCGATTGATGTCATGGCGTGCTCTCTGATTCCGCAATGCAAATATCGTCCTGTATAATCACCTGACAACCCACAAACAGTCTCAAGGTTGGGATGCTGGAAAGACACATGGCCCTCCCATGACATATTGATCGATGGCCTCACATCTGCAGTGCCCACCTTAAATGTATTTAGTCTCTCCGCCAGAGCAGCAAAGATAACTGAGGCCGATTCGCGACTTTGAAATTTGTCCTTTGGAAAATCTTCTCGTCTTGGGATATACTTACGCCAGTCATCTACCATGTTTCCCTCGATTCTGAGCTTGAATTCTGCTGTAGGATCTGGATATTTTTGTGAGTATACTTGAAGCTTTTGCTCAAATTGGGCCTCCAATATTTTGCCTCTGGCAACAGCGTCACGGAAGACTTCGTAAACGTCAGGATCAACGATGAAATGCTCTTCGGGATTCATTCCCAATCGCCGTTTGACAATCTTAACGCCTTATTCTCCGAGTGACCCTCCGTGAGCGCTAGAATCGCCCTCTTTGGCGCTTCCGAAGCCTATGATCGTTCGAACATTTATAAATGTTGGCTGTTCTCGACTATTCTGGGCATCTGTTAGAGCTTGTACAAGGGCTGTAACGTTCGAAACACCGTCAAAGACATCTATTACGTTCCACCCACAGGCACTCATCTTCGCGTTGATGTCCTCGCCGCACGTAACGTCGACACTGCATCCATAAGTGACTTGGTTATTGTCGTAGACAACAGCTAGATTATTGAGCCTCCAATGACCAGCAAGCTGAATAGCCTCGAGCGCAAACCCTTCTTGTAAGTCGGCATCACCAATGATGCACCATGTCATATTATCAGGCAGGTCAAGGTCCAGTCTGCTATACAATGCATTAAGGTGTTTGGTTGCTACCGCAAGCCCAATAGCATTTGCGACACCCTGACCTAAAGGTCCAGTTGTTACCTCAACACTATCGTGTTGGATCTGAGGGTGGCTAGGGCATATAGAATCTTGTTGAGGGGAGTGGTAAGATTTCAATTGCTTAAAAGTCATTGCCGGGAAGCCAGTCCAGTGCATGAAGATGTATTGCCACACACATGTGTGGCCGTTTGAAAGGACTAGTCGATCTCTGTTAATGTACTTGGGATTCGTGGGTGAGTATTTCATAACGTATTTGTATAGAGCAATTCCAATTGCAGCCATTGACATAGCACCGACTGGATGACCACCATCGAATTGCTGGCACAGATCTGCCACAAGACATCTAAAGGTCCGTAAGACTTTGTCATGTTTCCCTGACTTCTCTTTTCTTCAAGGCTAAGCTGCAATTGTGTCACGGTATCATTTGCCATTGCTCTTCCGAAAGTACGTCTGGTGATAGTAGAATACCTCAAAGGACACTGTGACAAATACCAGTGGGTATCGATGTCGCATCCGAGGGATTGAACCGGCTATGCAATCTTCATGACGACGTGATCAGCCTCGTCGCGTATGCTTAGCGGAAGCGGCCTCATCATTCTTGTTTACAGAGTGAGTATTGCATGTCCAAGATAGTACTATAATTGGCGCGACTAACAATGCTTCGGTTTTTGAAGACTCACGTATCATGTTGCGGTCGTTCTGAAGCCATGAGTGAACCTACGACCTTGGGCAAGGATGGCCAAGCTTCCAAAGAACATGCAAACGGCCGTCCTCGGCTCAAATAGCCATCAAATGATTAGCTGTTGCAGAAAGGCCGCTCATCGTTCTACACCGATTGCGACAGGCTAGATCGTGTCGCGCACTGGTTTCTTGTAGATCCCATCACTTTGACTTGCTTCATCAAGGATGCACTCTGCCCGGCTCAAGGTTGAACATGCATCCCTAGTTTCCGAGACCTATTGAGCACTTCTCTCTGAGCATGCGGACCGATCGCGATGGCAATTTCACATGACATTGGAGCCTCCCTTCCCCATGGTGAGAGCGTCCCTCCTCTTCAAGTCTTGGGGCAAAACATAAGTGCCTACAACAAACCAATGATCAGTTGTACTTCGTATGGCTGGTCGAGAATGGGTGATCAATATGGTCTTGGGTGTTATTCAAGGCATGGCGTCACTCGTCAGGGACTGGAATTTAGGATTCTAGGCAATCCCATTTAGGTTGAAGACTACGCGAACCTTCATCGCGACGGCGCCCTCGGCAGCCCGATTTGGTTTGGGTTTGCAAACACATCTATGCTCAAAATTTGGACCTCTTTGATCACCATTGTCATAGGTCGAAACTGTTTACAGACAATTTGCGGTACAATGAAACCGTCCCATTTCAAATGTTAAACTTTACTCCTTCTCCCATGGTGCATATCTATCTACGAGGTAACACATGTCCTCGTATGCCCTGTCTACCAGAGTCAGCAAGTAAACCAGGTGCAGTACATTCATTATTTTTGCTTACGTTTGTCTCACAATATCACCCTTGTGGTGAGCGGAATGGACGATGTTCATTTTGATGCAAGAGATTCTATTCCTGTCGTCCCATTCTTCTACTGGTTCACTTACGGGATATTCCCTAAAGTATTGACGTGTAAATCTATCGGAACTGATGTGGTGCCGAACACAGCGCCACATTCCAATCTCCATCTCGTTGTGTGCGTAATACGCTCCAGAATCAAATATCAGGATTGAATTGTCTTCATAAGCAGTCCCAATATTGCCCTCCCAGAGGTCTCCAAGAATAAGACTTGGCTTGATCTCATGGCCATCCTCTTGAAGTACACCAAGGAGCCGCGGGATGACTTTGCCCAGGGTACGTTTGGAGGCCTTTTCGAATTCAGGCCATGGACCGTTGGTCTGGAGGTCGAGTCGTAACGCATCTCCCAAGAGAGTTTTGAAAAATGACGCCCAATTGTCATCCCATTGAACGCTCTGCGGATACTTGCTATGATATGTTGGAATATGGAAGCCGAATTTGCCCGTCGGTGAAACGCTTACGCGATGGAGCTCCGCAATTCGCGAACATAGGCGAGCAGGATTGGGAAGTTGAGTCCTCATGTCAATGAAATCGCAGAGAAAGAAGTAAGTGGTAGGCTCCTGGATCTTGAACTTGCCCCACGCATATGGCCGGGCTACCAGTGTAGGAATAGTTTTGTAAAGCTCAGTCATGGCATTAAACTCTCCTTCCATCATTTCTCGCCCGACATCGTCAGTCGCACACTGAATCAATTTTAGCTGAATAGACCAAGCTTGAGAGTACCAGAGGAAGCGGGCGCGCACTTTCAGAAAATATACTTTGGAAGTTCGGTCTTCCAAGACAGTATCTGTTCGAGCAGTCACCGTCCAAGCTGAAGAACCAAAATGATTTGCCGAGAGGACCGTGGTCTTCTCAGGCAATGCTTCACGTAAATCAGCTCGATGTCGCGAAACCGTTCTTCTCGACCGAGTCACACCTTCAACGACCGCTTTATCAAGTGGGAAATTAGCATCGATGCCCACATGGAGTATGAAATCCTTTGGCTTCTTTGTAAGTGTATGCACTGCTACCAACATCGTTGCAGTGAGGAGATGTAATTTTGTTGGATCGGACAACAGCTCCCCGTCTCCTTTTGAGAGCCATGGCTGGCAATTCTTCAGCCTTGGAAGAAGCCGGGGATGAGCGCGAATATCGCTATGAGCCGCAGAAGATAATCGCTGCAGCTTTTCATTCACCAGCTCCGAGTTACATCATAGTCGACGGGTTGGATGAATCAGACGCCCCCAAAACGTTATTGAATTTGCTTTCCCAACCAATATACATTCCCCTGAGCTTTGTGGTTGTCAGTCGGCCAAGCTCTGCATTTTCATCTGGGTTCGACAAGTTCTCAGAAACTCGACCGGTCACTCGTATGTCTTCAGAGGCAAATGAAGACGACATTTCAGCGTTCATTGAAAAAGAGTTGCAAATGATGCGTGGGAATGAAATACTTCGACAGAACGTGACGTAGGAGATCGTTAGAAGGGCGTCAGGTAACTTTCTTTGGGTACATCTTGTGATACAAGAGATTCTTGACTGCCATACCCAAGGAGAAATAGAGCAGATCTTGGAGACCGTTCCGAGCGGGATGCAGCCACTGTACGAGCGAATTGAAAGTGCCATGGCCAGGACCCTGCGCCCTGCCGACCAGAAATTGGCGGGGACCCTCTTGTCTTGGGCAGTTTGTGCACAGCGCCCATTGAGTCTTCAGGAGCTTGCTGAGGCAATCGAAGTTGACTTCCCTCACATCATCGATCTCAGACACACCATTGGCTATGTTTGCAGCAGTATTTTGGTCGTAGACAGAAAATCCAGAGTGCTTCTTATCCACAAGATTGCACGTGAGTACTTGACAAAAAATCTCGAACGGCCAATTCGCCATTGTACCAGCGGCTTCTATAAACGAATTGTTCCTCAGATGCATGTCATCTCTTTGTGACCCTCGGTTACGCTCACAGCATAGGAATTCTCAACTTCCGTCGTTCGTAACGTATGCCGCGAGATCATGGCCGTTTTATCTACAAGGTTATGCTGGTGGCTCAGACATATTGACGGCACTGGTGAACTTCCTACATGGTACATCTGTTCTCATTTGGATACAGCTCTTATCTACCCAGGATCAGCTCCATGTTTTGGTTCAGAGTTCGCGCTCACTTTCTGTCTTTTCCGAGGAAGAGAAGAGATCTTGATGCCTCGCTTGCTCCAAATCTCCGCCCTCTTCAAGATCTAGAGTCCATAGACCTATGAATCACTGATTTGATCAAGATCGTCGGAAAATTTGGGCGAAATCTACTCGAGGCACCCGATTCGATCTTCCAATTTATTCCCCCTTTCTGTCCTACTACTTCATTATATATCGATCATTCGGCCGAGGGAGTACACTCTCAGTCTCCTTATCTAGACAATCAAACACTATCTGGGACGTTAGTCTGGCCGAAATCTTTATAGGAGCTACGTCCCAGGCTCTACACATTATTTGCGTTGGACGGTACTCTGCTATCCTGACCACGTCAGATTCTGTCATTCTATGGAACTCTGCAACATACCAGAGGAGCACTGAGGTTATTCATGGGGAGCATGTGATCACTATGTGTGCTAGTAATTCTGGGAAGTCGATTGCCACGTACGGTTTTCGAACGACTAAGATCTGGAATATTTCTACTGGAAAAGAGATCATGTGCATCCCAAATCCTGGCCAAGGAAGAGCATTAGGCATCAGATTCTCTAAGAATGACACTGAGCTCTGGGCGGGCTCGGACGATCGAAAATTTCGGTGGATTTCACTGACCAACACAAACGTAGGATGGAAAGACTTTGGGCCAAATCTATTCAGTACAGAGACGACACTGACCGGAGCCAAATTAAAATCCCCTTGCTCAATTGCATTCAATCCTGACGGTACTCAGGTCGCCGTGGCTTTCAGAGGCGCACCGCTTACTGTATGGAGTGTAGAGCGACCTGAACTGCTCGCCCGGTGTCGGCGCGAGCGGAAAGCTCTGCTCAGGTGAGGTCGATCAAAAGTTGTACGTGTACCGCAAGCTGGCGGCATCCAGACAATGACGCTGTTTTCAAATGGCTAAATCATCCTCTGAGCTCAAATCACTTGTTCGCGGTCAGAGCCACGAAGGCCTTCAGTCGTAGCTGGCAGGATCTTGCCCACAAAGACACCATTACCTTCAACGTCCCGAAAGCTCATGAGCCATCCAAAAGCAGTAACAATGTGGATAGAATCAGGAAGCCATCTCTTACCCGCTCGATGAGTTCAGACAATTTGGATGCAGAGGTTCAGCATGCATCGTCCACTCAAGGTACTCTTCACGTCATGGTTGAGACTTCTACGTTTTTAAAGAATGAAAACAGAGGTGAAAGGCAACTTATGTTCTTCAAAAAGACGGATTTTGATGGCCCATCAACTTTAGTATCGCCCAGACCTATTCCAATTGCTTTATCTGAAAATTTGCAACTTCCACTAGGTGTACTCTCCGGGGAGAAAGTTGTATTTCCTGAAATCGAAAATTGGCTGTGTTCATGGCGACTTGATCTCGGAGATGGGATTGGGGGAGTCCAACAACACTTTTTCCTGCCTCGAGACTGGTTTAATGCTGAATGCTTGGAGCTGTGCCAAGTAACAAAGCATGGTTCTCTGATTGTTCTTAACGACGGAGACGTTGCATTTATCAAGAGCGAGTTAGGCGTGACGTGATGATTAGCACGACCTCGTTGCCCAAACCTCTCTTGTTCGGACTAAAAGCTAATTGTAAAGCATGTGAAGGAGCGTTGACGACCCGGAAGATGTATTAATCGCTCTCAAATTTCGAGGAGTACTTTTGCCCAGGAATGATCTAGACTTAGATTGCCGAGTACCGTCTGGTCTTCTAAAGTTGGAAATAAATACCGCCTCGTTCATGAGAACCGTAGATCCTAGAAGAAGAGTATGCGAGCTCATAGCCGATCTCTCGACTTTTGGTGTATTTCAGACCTAATTGCACTGCCAAAAAGGACCAATTTGTGCATATAGAAAGACTTCGCCGCACAAGGTAGCACCTTCATGCTCCCTAGACAATTGTGTGGCCTCCCTCTTAAAACGACTACAGGATATCTGGGCGTTTCATGTAGCTTCCGAATCTGGGGAATTCTCTGCAAGTACATCGTTCTGACATACACCAACTCCCCCAATAGCAAGGACGATCATGTACCAGATACTCCGAATACGTACGTGCTCGATGGGGAATTTGGAGAGGTCGTCACCTCTGATTCGATCTATCGTGAAATTGTTCTTCTCGGCCGTGATGCGGTAATCTCTGTTCATGATTTTGCCAGACGGATAGGCGTTAGCAGCTGACCTGGAAATCCATCCAGAATGTAGTCACCGGAGAAATAGGACGCAAGGGCACAACCGAACCCGAATGGGAGATAGATCAAGCCTGACGTCAACTCGCTGTAGTGATAGATAGTGATGAATACAGTGGACAGTGAGGCCTGAACACAACAATAAACCATATAAAAACCGAGACTGTCCATAAGATCGTTGAGGTCTCGTAGTCACCATGTTGGCGAGCTTACCCTTTCGACTGAGCCTTGAAAACGCTGCGTATCTAGAATCGACAGATTCCTGTTGATGCCTCTTGGTGATTTGCTGCCATTACCGACAACATTGCGGGCTGTTTCTGGTAAGAGCAAACAAAGAAGTGTCAGGCAAATGCCGCTGAGAATGACGAGGAGCCAGAAAATCCATCTCCAACCAACCCTGTCAGCTATGGCACCGCCGAGAACAGGCCCAAGACTCGGAGCAACATTCGGTCCACACCAAACGACTCCAACGTAAGAGTCCCGTTCGGCAGGAGGAGCCAAGTCAGCAACGACACCATATGCGATTGTTATTGTGGCTGAAATGGAAATCAGCACCGCTCAACGTAGGACTTCTCGAGTGTAAGAGCAATACATGAGCTTCCTACGCTTTGCAGCATGCGTAGAAGTAGTAATGCTGGAAAGGCCGCTGCACAGCCTATCCAACATTTGCAGCAAAGTAAACGAAGAAGCTAAACATGTAGATAGGACGGCGCCCAACGCGATCGGCGAGACCACCGAGGATTGATGGAACAATGCCCGAAACTATCATATAAGATGTGATGGTCAGGTTAATGGCCTCGACAGACGTCTGAAAGTCGTGGGCGAGAGCGTAGATGGCTGGGTAATAGACAAAACTGCTGTGCGGCGAGAACATGCCTGCAAACGCAGCCAAAAACCCTATCCATCGTTTCTGCCCCTTGGTGAAGACTGTGTAACGGTTTTCGCCTTCAACCGTCTGGTCATCTTTTTCACTGGGTTGGGGCTTTTCCAAAGTCATTTGACAAAATCAATAAAGAGATTAAAGACCTGCTTTCAAATCTATCTGGTATATTATTTTCGATGCCCAAAGTGGCGGGGAGACTGGAAAGAACAGATCTGAGAGGCAAAAGCAACGCGTCTGGCTCTGGCAATGATCCACAAACCTGTGCGCAAGTCGCAAGGCATTGGAACGCGGCATCTACGATAACTTGGGTCAACTAATTTTGACTTGTGAGGAACCTTCTCCATATCTTCGCCTTTTGCCAAAGCTGTTTCTTCTTTTAGGTTTTGGTATATATTTGTCTAAGGAAGAGTGGTGCCGGTCAAGACCAGCGACCGAAATAGTTAGGAGCTACCTACCTTACTGAGCTGGAAGTCTAGGGCCAGCTTCAAAGCCGCATTGGATGCGCAACTGTTGTCCTAGACCATACATTCTTGCGTATATTTAAGACCGTCCTGTGCGCTTGGGCTCGCCTTGGCGTGACGCAGATCGATTAACAAATTTGACAGAGCTTGTCGATTCCACGAGATCGTTTCCGAATGACATTTCTTTGCACCTCCCAAGCTTCAGTTGACCCAAAATGATGAGAAAAGCTTTGATGCACCGTTCGCGACAACTTCCATTCTACTTACGACATTGCCCCCCTTCTCAGCAACAAGACAGCACTTTCCCCCATTCGATTGTCGCCTCTTCAACCCCAAGCAACGACGGCCAGATTTTATACTGCCGCCACAGAACCAAACAGTAACACTCAGGCACCTGAGGTCCCGCCGTCATCTTCCGCTCCCAAACATGACGCGGCGAAGGAGGAAGACCCGATGAAGAAAGAGCTCGACACAAAGACCCGAGAAATAATAGATTTGAAAGTATGTGAACGGCTTCCACCTTTTCACCAGCAATCTCTAGCAAATTCCCTCCCCGCAACTGACGAGTCTCTCTCCTTTCGACAGGATAGATACCTACGCAGCGTCGCCGACTTCCGCAATTTACAGGACCGATCGAAACGTGACATAGCTCAAGCGCGGCAATTCGCCATTTCGCGATTTGCCAGCGATCTTATAGAAAGCGTAGACAACCTCGATCGAGCACTCGGCACAGTCGACCCAGCATTCCTCCCGCCCTCTTCCTCAGAACCCATCGCCGCAGAATTTTCAAATGGGGACGATAGTAAGGAGGATGGAATGAAGGAGCTTAATAATCTGTATCAAGGCTTGGTGATGACAGAGAGAATACTGATGCAGACGCTGAAAAAGCATGGATTAGAAAGATTTGATCCAGCCGAGAAGGCCGAAAAGTTTGATCCAAATCTTCATGAGGCGGCTTTTATGACAAAAATGGAGGGCAAGGAGGATGGAAGCGTCTTTAGCACTATGCAGAAAGGGTTTATACTAAATGGTAGGGTCGTAAGGGTAAGCCACCGACGACCTTCACTGCGAGGGACAATGACTAATTAATACATGTCTAGGCTGCAAAGGTCGGAGTCGTTAAGAACAGCTAGTTGTAACACGTCATGAACGTGTCTTGATTATGGAGCATGAAGTGCGGACTTTGTGTTATTGAAGACTTTGAGATAGCCGGTGAGACATTTGTATATACTCCCCTCCTGTACGGGAACATTATCGCGTTTTAGCGGGTCAGGAGTAATAGACGCTCCACGAGGTAGAATCTCTCTAGCTGTGGAAATCGTAAAACACAGATAGGTCACCTTCAAGAAGTCGCCTTTTACCTGAGTTCTACCCCCAGATTCGCTACCAGCTGGTCACTAATTCGTTTGTGCAACTTATCAGCTTCCTCATTCTTCAACGTCCTTTCCAAACTGCGATAATTCATCCTGTAGCACAAACTCTTGCGACTAGAGATTGGGTGAGTGAATTGGTCAATCAACTTCACATCTTCCACCAAGTCTCCCCCAATATCTCTGACGATTTCCATTACATCATTCTCATGGAAGTCTTCCTTGTTACCCTTCAACCCTCCACCTGCTGCACTGCTAGAGCCTCGTAGCCAGAAAGAGACATCTTTATAGCAAGCAGGATACTTAGAAAAAGGCACAAATGTCTTAATATCTTTCATAGTGGAGAATTGGCTCAGAAACCTCGAATCTTTCGACCAAAAGAGCCGAATGTCTGGAATGGAGAAAAGAAGCATAGCGACGCGCTCTAGACCCACGCCGAAAGCCCATCCGAGCTGGTTAGGTACACCAGCGTTGATCTGGAGTTCCTGTTTAGTAATACCGCACCCAAGGAGCTCTAACCAGTCTCCCTGCCAAAAGACCTCGAGCTCCCAACTTGGGGAAGTAAAGGGAAAGTAGGCTTCCACCCAGCGGATTTTGAGAGGTTCTGCTTGCTGAACGAAGTCTTTCTCTTTGCCGCCCCATTGTGTAGCTTGCTGCGCACGAGTGAAGAGCTCAACAACCATCAGCTCAAGAGAGCGTTTCAAGTGCGCAGCAAGAGCTTCAACCTCTTCTACGCTATGATGTTCTGCCTGGAGGGGATTTCGCTCTGGATGCGTGGTAGGGTTACCATCTGAGATCTCTAAATCATGGCTTTTAAGAAGATTAAAATCATCCCAAACCGCTTTCGCGACGTCACCCTTCGGAACATTTTGTCGGTCCCATATTCGCGCCCCTTCCATTTGGTGGAAGACTGGGTAGTGGCTTCGATCAATTGCATCACGTCTATAGACATCAGCGCTGATTGTGTATCCACCACTTTTGTTATTTCTAAAAAGCTCGGCTTCATGCGCACTAGAGTGCGTCCTCAAGACCGTATCTCGATTCACGTAATAGGTGTCACTTCGGTTCCTGCCTGGGTGATTAGGAGGAAAGCCGAGGGAGTCGAAGTTCTCATAGACTGTAACGACAGGGTCCAGATTATTGTAGTGGGTATAGGTGGGTTGTGGGAAGCCAGTCTCAATTACTTCGCGCGTGATTGAGATAGGATGCGACGGTTGCTGGTGGAGCTTGCGCGGTAGGAATGCGATGATTGATGGCGGTACATTCGTCCAGTCATCTATTGGATATACCTGTCCATTCAATGTAACGCTAGGAGGAGAGGTAGCATCTGCATATTGTAAGGAATAGGAGCTTCCAAATTATGGGGGAAAAGTTGTACCGGTGGATTGATGTCTGTACTTGCCAGAAGAGCATAAGGCGGATTGAGCAGGCCAGACTTGCCTCGCGGTCAATCGAAGTCTCCATGATGCTCTCACTGCCCTGCCAGTGGCCAGTGTTCTCATGCTGACGCACGGCATGAGCTCTGTTCCGATGCTTCTTCATCTCGAAGAAGTTGATCGCTTGGCATCGCCGGGCAAGTGATGGGCATAGTTCTACCCGCGAGTTCACTCGAAAATTCCCAGTTGCTGAAAATCTGTTACTTCGGCACTGCAGTTTTGCGACTCGGCTACAGGGTGAGCTGGTGCTTCATGATGCCTGTCAATAATGCGGATTGGAGAACCTTTCGCCTTCCAATTACCCTTGCGATATGATGGCAGGGGCGTTTAGATGACGGCAGTTCAACCAGAGGATGGCACCTCATAAGGTTTTACTGCGCGGACGTACATTCGCAACTGCACACATCAGCAAGCATCACCAGTACAGACAGATTCGCCTTCATTCGAGCTCGGTTTCTTCCGTCAATCCATCCGAGATTTCACACTTCAACAAGCTAGCTTCAACCTGGTGGGACCCTCATGGACCTTCGCGCCTTCTGCATCAGATGAATCCTCTGCGCCATGACTTCATAGGTTCCTGTTTCGCCTCTTTCCCAGGCTCGTCCCAGCAGAAGAGCTACCTCGACATCGGTTGTGGAGGTGGTATATTTGCCGAAAGTGCTGCCCGCTTACCATGGACGAAAAGTGTACTAGCAATTGATCCCAGCAAAGAGGTTATCGACGTTGCGAAACTGCATGCAAGGAATGATCCATTACTTATGCAGCCTGGGAGACTGCAGTATGATAATCGCTCGATCGAGGGAATACCGCAACCTGCAACTCCCGAGCAGCAGCATGATGTGGTGTCATTGTTTGAAGTTCTTGAACATGTTACGTACCCCTCGGCATTCCTCACGTCGTGTCTACCATTCGTTAAGCCTGGAGGCTGGTTGATACTTAGTACTATTGCTAGGACGTGGACGAGTTGGTTCACAACCAAATTCATCGCAGAGGATGTTGTGAGAATGGTGCCGCGAGGTACTCATGATTGGAAGAACTATGTCAATGCAGATGAGCTGCAAGAGTGGATTTTAGAGAAGAAAGGGTGGGGCGCTGGCGGAGGACTGAAGGTTATGGGCGTGGTGTACGTTCCCGGGTTTGGCTGGAAAGCTGTTCCAGCAGGAGAGCAATGGGGCAATTATTTTCTAGGTATCCGACGCGATATTTAGGTGCAGATCAAAACGTAAGCTTTTGATCTGCCGTCTATCCAGCAAAGGCTCTTTTCAAAGAACATAAGCAACCGGATAATTCAGAAATATTTCACCAGTCAGATTTATGGGGTATCTAGTTCGCAGCTTTCTGATGGCTATCATCAAACGGTCACAATAGGTATAAGCAAGCACTTTACATCAGCTCGCCCTAGACTCCACGCTAAAGCACAACTTCATGATATCCTTCGGATCTTCATTTCTTCAGGTGAGAGTAATCCTTCAAGACGCCTGCCATGTGCGTGTTGGTAGTCTTTCCTCCCCTCCGTGTTTTTTTCTTTTTCTCCGCTTCCAGCTTCACCGGCTTTCTTATGGCTTTGTTTTTATTTGCTGGCACCAGACCATTCCTCTCTAGCTCCTCAGCGAGAATCTTAGGATCTGGGAGCCGAATTTTCTCCCATATATCCTGAAATTCCTCATCGATCTGATACGAGAGGGACGAATCATTTGCCCACATCATTTTTGCATGATTGTCTTTCTTGTTCCTGGTCAAGAGCAGCTTGCCCTCAACCTCTAGCTCGTCAATTGCCGCTTCTGCGCCAGGCCATCCATCACGTACATCTTTGACGCTTAGACCTTGAGCGGTGCGCTGTTGTTGAAGGAACTCCAGTAGAGTGCCCTTCGACCGTATGTTGTGAATAGGTCGAAACCGATACGTGCCTTCCCCTCCATCATCTTTGCGCTCAAATTCGACTTTCTCATGTTGCATCAGTATGCTACCCAGTGTTCGCCTGTAGCGTTCCCCTTGATGCTGCACTGAAAGATACGATATGATGTCTGTAAGGGTCTGGGGAGTAGTTTTCCCTTTCAAATATTCTACAGCGTACGTGACCTGGGTCATCATATTGTTGCCTTTTCCCGTGTCAGCAGGCTGAGAGTAAGCAGTATGCTGCTCCGGCCTTTTTCGCTTGAGATCGTTCTTCGAACTTTGAGATGACAGAGGAGGAGTAGACATGCGGTCTGGGGCAGCGTTGACAGTCCGCTTATTGATCTTTGTTGCGGACGAACTGACATGACTCTTAAAAGTCGACATTTGATTCGAGAGGTACGACATTGTGACAGCGCTGGTGTAAAGAACGTATCACAGGAGTCAGCAACACGTGTTTCCTTTCTCCAAATGCTGAAGAGGCCGGCTCTTGCAGCTAGGGTGCTCACAGAAGGTGTGTTGGGTCACATCAGCATTCAGCAGAGGGTTGATCATTTACGCTTCGCGCTAGTGAACGTTTCCGGAGCTGCTAGCTGCATATTGATTCTCTTACTTTTGACGCTCTTTCGCGATCATACATGCCAGTAAAACAATTGCTAGCCCATCCGCTCCCTCTCAAGACAAAACCCGGATGCGGGCGATAAATCTCGAGAATCTAGACGCGTCAAAGAGAGCTGACACATGTGGGCTCCACGACATTCCCATCCCCGTCCCGACCTGTGCATCTAAGGACCCTAAACCTGAGCATCTCTTACATGGCTGCTACTCACAAGTGGTGATCTTGCAGCTTTAGACTGCCGCGATGGCGGTCGCCGAGCTTGACATACCTCAACTTTCCACTTTCTGTGCCCTCCCTCAGACATCCATCAACACTATCCTTGATGCTCCAACGGCCGAACTCGTTCAGACAGTGCTGCGCAATATCTCTGCAAAGGCCAAAGAATATTATGAGCTGAAATCAGAAAGACTTCGCTCAAGCGTTGAATTGGAAGCTACAGTACGAGGATCAGAAACCAAGAACAAGACGCTAAAAGCCCAGCTTGCGAAAAGCGACAATGAAGCTCGCGAAGTGAAGCAGAGGCTTCAAGAAGAAGGTATCGTGTGATCTATCCAAGTGCTTGCCTCAGCCTCTAATAGCGAGTTGTAGAAACCGCACGAGCGTCAGTCGAATCGGAGCTCCGTGAGCTTCGAACTTCAAGTTCCACTTCTGCGTCAGACTTAGAGGAACTCAAAGCTCGTGTTGACACTCTGGAAAGTACCAATCGAGAGAAACTTTCGCTACTGGATGCCAAGTCCATCGCCCATGACAACCTAGCTACTGAACTTGAAGCTCAACACCAGAAAATCGTAGATCTACGGAAGCAAGTCTCTACATTAGAACAATCACTTGATGAAGAAAGGACTGCGTTGTCGGCAGCTAAATTCAGGGAGGAAAATCAAAAGTACTCCACGGAACAGCTACAAAGGAGGAACGACTACCTCGACAATGAACTCAAAGCTAAAGCCAGCGAGCAGACTAAATTCCGGAAGGAGAAGAGCAACCAGGTCGCTCAACTCGAGCGTGAAAATGAGGAATACTCGGCACAGATTCGCCAATTGCAGAATACCGAAGCTAACATTCGAAGAACGTTGGAAGAGGTCACGGAAAAGGCTGACGAGCGGTCTCAACGCATCCTCATCCTGCAGGAAGAATTTCTACAGAAAGACAACAATTTCCAGCTCGAGTTGGCTTCTGCCAATCGTCTTGCTCAGCTACGAGAGAATTCTGCCACAGTTGAGCGTGAAAGGGCTCAAGATCTCTCAAATCAGCTGGAACAGATCAGAGAGAGAGCCACCACGGAGATTGGACGGATCCAGGCTGAACTCGACACCGAGCACAACACGAAGGAGGAGGCAGAGAATAAGGTAGCAGAACTTGAAGTGCAAGTCGAGCACCTGCAAGCTGACATTGCCAATGTGCATGACCGCGAGCTAGCGCCAAGCACGCCTCACAAGGGAGTCAATGGGTTTCACGCAATGTCTCCAGCTGCAGACGATGGGACACCTCGATCTTTCTCACCTGGGTCATCGCGCTTGAAAGGTAGCTTCAGCATGACTCGTCTTGTAAGCGAAAACAATGAGCTTAAGCGCCAGGCAAATGTCGAAAAACGTAGGAATGAACAATTAACAAGCACTATCGACGGCTTGATGGCCGACATGGAAAGCCAGTCCCCTGTGATCGAGGATCTCAAGACGGAACATGTTCGACTAGAATCCGAGGTAACGGAGCTCTCTTCGTTGATCGACTCTCTCGGCAAAGAGCGTGACCAGGCTATCAAGGCCGCCAAAAGGCAAGAAGGGCAAGTCGATGTCAAAATCCAGGAGAGCGAAATCCTCCGCCAACAGCTCCGAGATCTCAGTTCGCAGATTAAGATGCTACTGTTAGAGGCACACCTTCGCGACCAAGGACAACAGGACGTTAGTGCGGAAGGGCGTGCCCAACTGCAGCAATTGGCGCTCGGCGATGAAAATACAGACTTAGCAGGAGGGACGCCAACGGACCGATTCATTAACGAGAACCTTGTGTCATTCCGAGATATTGTAGAGCTCCAGGAACAAAATAATAAGCTACTGACTCTGACCCGAGAGATCGGTCAGCGCATGGAGCACGAAGAAGTCATGCGAAAGGAGTCGGCGGCTGCACACAACTGGGAAGATCTACAGCAGAAATACGAGCGATGCAAAGACGAAATAAAATCGCTTGTTACCCAATCCCAGAGCTATATTCGAGAGCGCGATATGTTCCGGAACATGTTGGCACACCGAGGGCAGCTGCCGCGCACTAATGATGGTGACTCTATACTTGGCGAGAAAACGACGACCGCCTCCGTTCAAGATCAGCTAATGGACAGCATCGAAGAAAGCTCCGCCTCACAAGACAAGCCTGACTATGCGAAGTTGCTCAGAGACATGCAAGCACATCTTGATGCTTATAGAAACGAAACAGCGACAGACCGATCCACCATGAAGGAGCAAGTTGACGAGCTGTCCAAGATTAATAATAACCTTCGGAGTGAAGCTATGCGACATGGTAACCATGCCACTCTTGTAAACGAACGCAACGAAATGCTTCAATCAAATTACAATATGCTCAAGAACGAGAATGTCGAGCTCCAGAAGCGATCACAGACTTACTATGAAAGCGCTGCAAAGCAAGATCTACGTGTCTCTCAAGCCGCCGAGGACTTGGTCGAGGCCCGTGGCATCATAGACAGCATGAGGAACGAGACTGCTAACCTCAAAGCCGAAAAAGAGTTCTGGAAGAGCGTGGAGAAGCGAATTACCGATGATAACGAAAACCTGATTCATGAGCGTGGTCGGCTAAATTCCCTCAATGCTAGCTTGCAGAGTTTGCTTAACGAGAGAGAGCATTCAGACAATGAAATACGACGACGACTCCAGTCCCAGGTTGATAGTCTTGAAGCAGATCTACAGAAGACAACGACAAGTCTTCGGGAACAGACTGAGGAGAGTAAGCGCATTTCTTCACGGCGGGAGTATGAGGCAGATCAAAATCAGAAGCGGATTGACGATTTTGCCACAAGTCTCAGTAGTACCAAGGAAGAACTTGCTAAGGCAAGTAATACAAAAGATCACCTCACCCGCCAGGTGGATGAATTAACAATAGAGCTTCGAAGTGCTAAGGAACGACTTGATGTCCTGCAGACCGCAAGTACATCCCGAAACACCTTGGATTCTAACGCAGACGGGGCTCAAGATTCGACTCTCAGCCAGGAGCAGGAGCTGAGCGTCAGGGTATCGGAGCTACAAAGAGATTGCGACTTGTTGAATAAAGAGGTTGAAGACTTGAAATCCCAAGTTGAGCAGTACAAAACCATCAGCCAGGCTTCGGAAGATGAGCTTAACAGTTTGAACGAGACTCAAGACCTTTTGCGTCATGACACGGACCAACTTCTCGGCGAAAAAGATATGAAGATTAAAGAATTGGATCAAAAAAAGCAGGATATTGCAGCTGAGCTGACCAATGTCAATGCCGAAGTGGCCGAACACCGTGATAGACAAGCTCAAAACGAAAGAGGTCTCGAAGAGCAACGGAAGAATTTTGAGAACCAATTAGCGCAGGTGAAGGATGAGGACGAGCGTCATGCTGCGCAGGCCAAGTACTACCAGGAAGACCTCAAGAAACAAGCGGAAATTGCTCGAGAAGCTCAAGAAAATTACGATCGGGAGCTTGTTAAGCATGCCGACGCAAGGAAAGACTTGCAGCAAATCCGAGCCGACCTCAATGGTGTCAAGATTGAATTGGTAGAAGCAAAGACAACTGCTGAGACAGCGCGATTGAGCCTTAGCCAGAACGAGGAGAGTTGGACTGATACAAGCGACCGCTTGCAAAGGGAGATTACAGAGCTCAGGTCGGCGAGACAGGACCTCAAAGTCCAGAATGATCGACTACATCAACAGCTTGAGACTCTGACGGCAGTTCGAAAGCGTGTCGTCGATGACCCAAATCAAACCGAGGATATCTCAGCAAACGCCGGATTGGAAAACTTGCAGGAGGTTGTCAAATATCTTCGACGCGAAAAAGAAATCGTGGATGTTCAGCTTGAAGTTTCGTCCCAAGAGGGAAAACGGCTTAAGCAGCAACTAGATTATAACCAGTCGCAGTTGGATGACACGCGCCTGAAGTTGAACCAGCAACGTCGAACAGAGGCAGAAAGCGAACGCTCTTCTCTCGACCACAAGAAACTCTTGGAGACAATTCAGGACCTAAATACTCACCGTGAATCAAATGTAACGCTTAGAGCCGAGGTCCGACAGGCCCAAAGCGGTCTTGCTGCCAGGTCAAAAGAATTAGATGAGCTGAGAGTGCAATTAGATCCTCTCAAGGAGGAAATACAAGATCTGAAAGGCGAGCGTGAGACTCATGAGGCAGAGGTCAAGTTACACAAGGAGAACGCCGATCGCTGGCAGGAACGAGCCCAGAACGTCCTCCAAAAGTATGATCGTATCGATCCTGCGGAATTAGAGGCTCTCAAGGAGCAGATCAAAGCTCTGGAAATTGAAAGGGAAAAGCTACAGTCATCGAATCAAGCCTTACAAGAACAACTTGACGCAGCGAGAGGCCAGGCTACTGAGGCGCAAGAACAAACCACTGAGCGTGTTGAAACCATGAGAGCTCGACTGACGGAGCAATTTAAAGGTCGGTCGAAGACACTCTCGGACCGCATCAAAGAGAAAGATATAACTCTAAAGGAGGCCGCAATTGAGAAGCAAAATCTTGTAGAACGCTTGACTGGCCTTTCAGAGCTACAGAATCAATTAGAGACAACAAAAGCAGAAAGGGATGACGCCATCAAGAAGGCAGAAGGGACAAAAGATGTGTCTGCTACTAAAGCACATACTGAAGGAGAAGAGGGTGAAGTGGACGAGGCTGAGGACCGCGATCAGCCTAGAACCACGACTGACGCAATCCAAATCAAACTTCAGTCTACGGAGGCAAGGCTCAATCAAGAGCTAGCTAGTCTAGCAAATGTTCGAGATGAGCTTTCCATTTCAGAAGCAAGAGCGACAGAACTTCAAGCGCAGACTGTGAGTTATCTTTGTTGAGGCCTTTGCTGTGAATGCTAACAAAGGCTTAGAGAGAACTTCAAACGACTATTAATCAAATGGACACACAGATATCCCAGCTTCGAGAGTTGCAGAACAGACCGTCTGAAACTTCCAATGTTGACGGTTTGGAGGCTCAAGTGACTAAATTGAAGGAAGACCTTGTATTGGCTCAAGCCGTCAACGCGTCTGCTGATAATGTGAACATATCAGATGGATCTAAATCAATTGCCGAACAAGTATCAGAGCGTGCAGATATAGTACGCCAGGAATTGGAGCGCCAACACCAAGAGAGTGTAAAAGCCAGCCAAGAGAATTATGAGAAACGTGCCACCAACATGAAAAGCCAACTGACCAAGAAGTTGGTGGAAGGGAAAGCGCAGATTCTGAAAGATGCCGTAGCGGAGCACGAAAAGACCATGCAAGCTTTGAGAGATGACCACCAGCAAGAATTAGAGATCCTCCGGGTGAAATACGAGGGCGAGATAAAAGCACTTAAAACGTACGAGGGAGTCGGATCATCAGAGCAGCAAGGACCATCGGCAGAGCAGAGTGTTGAGACGCCCGTCAAGGAAACCGTGGCATTGAAAGCAGAAGAGCGACCTAGTGTAGCAAATTGGAAACCGACAGAGGAAGAAGCTCGATCATTTGTACAATCCAACGAAGTCATCAGAAGCATCCTCAGGGCTAACATCTCGAACCAAGTCAACAAGCAAAAGGAGGCCTTGGTGAAATCGACGAGAGAGGAGCACGAAAAACATCTAACAGAACGACTGGCGGAAGTTCAACAAGCGGCCGAAGCTGCCAAAAGCTTAGCAATTAAGAATGAATTGGATCTGTATGACAAAAAGAAGGCGGTCCAGCTTAATGCGGCCAACAATAGAGAAAAATCATCCCAGTTCAAGCTCCAAATGGTTGGTAAAGCTGCCCAGGATACTCCTCAGAAAGCGGTGAAGGATGTTTGGGATACGGTGAAAGATGCAAAGCCTCCTCCGGCTACGATGACGCAAACGCAGCAAGCTGCTCCTCAATCAAACCCTTTCGCTCGACCGGTTTCAGGAACACAAGGCTCAACGGCTTCTCAACCAAAGCTCCAACAGCCTAGCGTCAATCGTCAATCGACAAACACCAGTGCCGTCATTCGACCAAATCAATCTCAACCTCCTCCTCAGCCGTCTTCGCAAAGCACACGTCAGTCTAGCGGTAAGGGCACTGCTACAGCTTCCGGTATATTCGGTCAGCCAACCCCACTGCGACAGTCGCCTCAGCCCCCCTCACCTAAACCGCAGCCGCAATCAGAAGCTCAGTCGGCATCAAACGAGCCGTCGGCCAAGTCTTCGCAGCCTCCCATCAATGCTGACACTTCTCAGAGGCAGCCATCTAGGGGACCTAGTCAAGCAAATGCAGGTGCACCGAACGCTCCCTCAAGATCTCAGCAATCAGGGCTACCAGTGGCGAGGGGTGGGACCATCCGCGGGAGTTCGCGAGGCCGAGGAACATCCGGTATTGGCCGTGGAGGTCCAACGGTGGATACTAATAGAGCTCAAGGCCAGCCGGCAAGTCGTGGTAGCCCAAATAGTAGTGGGCTGAATGCAGGTGCAAAACAGTTCGTTCCTGGGAACAAGAGGCCGCGAGAGGATTCACAGGGTCCGCAAGGTACAGATGGGTCAGGAAAGAGAGTCAAGGGTGAGGATTCAATTCAGTGAGAAGAGAGAATTGTCCTTTCATCGTCTGTTTTTGCTTTGAAGCATCTAGCAATGGCGCTGAAGATCCGGGCAATGGGCATTTCGGCACTATGGCTATGGTGAGGACTCAGAAGCGTTGCATATTGGAGCCTGAGGTGCACCTCTACGGCTGTTTGAAAGCAATATTTGTACATATATACCCTTCATACTGTGATTCCGGCGGAGGTTGACATCATGGCCTTGTCTGAATGAAAAAGCAGCTTGTCCGCTCTAGCAACATTGGGTGCATCTGTGCACTCTACGCTCGTTTAGAATTAGTCCTTCCCACCTGCACCCTCGTAATTGCAATCTCTAAGTGACGTCTTGTATCTCAGACAACACAACCTCCAGTGCAATCGAAAATGACATCTCGGCCAGAAAGGCAACCCACAAGCTCGAGGCCGCCAACGCGCTACAGCCCCGATGCACTGATACACCCCACCATTTCCCTGACGGGCAAGCATCAGATCACGGTCGGGCCCAAAGCAATCCTTCAACTTCGCTCACACATCGATTCAACGTACACCTCAATTAGCATAGGGGCAGGTGCCATCTTAGCCGAGCGTGCTAGTATAGGGTATCTCTCCCCTCCCACGCTTTCTTCGGGGTCTCCGCCTGCAGAAACCATTGTCATCGGCGACGGTGTCCTTATCGAGACAAATGCCACCGTCGAAGCAGCTTCAGTGGGAGCATATACAGTCGTAGAGGCGAGAGCAAAATTAGGGAAAGGAGCGCTCATAGGGGCCAACTGCAAAATCTGCTCTTCAGTAGAGATCGCGCCTGGGGAGGAAGTGGGGGATGGGACAATAGTGTGGGGCAGCGGGAGCTGGTCGGAAAGGAGAGCAGAGCCTTCAGGCAGAGGATTGCATGCTCCAACTCTGAGGAAAGGGATGGTCGAGGCTTTGGGGGAGGGGTTAAGGGCCGCTTGGAGCGTGAAGTAGAACGTGGAAGCCAGGAAGCGCAATGTAGCTGGCGAGAGCGGAAATAGCTTCACCTAGCACAACAGAATCTTAGAAAGCATCCAGAGAAGTGCTCTCATCGACTGTACAGTCACATCCTCGGCTTTGGTCCGTTGTCTACAACGTCGGAGCCACGTTGAATCGTCGTAAATATTTATCTAATTCCGCAAATGGACTAGCTCCAGCACAGATATGTGCGTCATGTCAAGTCTCGATGCTGAACATCTGCATCCGTGACTTGAGTGCTGGTGGACTACGAATGTTCAAAATACCTCCCCTCACAAGCCGACTGCTACAAAGATCATATTTGGGACTTCCTCGTCCTTCTACACCAAATGATTTGCCCTCTGTACGCTTGTTCCAGCACATCTCTAAACAGCGAATCGTTACTTCGAGCTCCCACAAGCAATATGCCGCTCGTCCTTTGCAGCAGAGACCCCAGCCCTACAATCAGAACAATCAATCTGTGCTGTAAGTATGCATCTCTACGGTCGCGGGATCGAATTGACCAGGAACCTAGGTACTACACCCTCAGCGTCATCCTTGGAACAGTGGCGCTATCGTATGGATCGGTTCCCATGTACAAGATGGTCATTATCCTCCCATGAGTACCCGAAGATACTTTCTAAGTCGGTATGTAGATCTGCCAGCAAATGGGCTGGGGTGGTCAGCCTATCAAATCCATACATGGTCAGGACGAAGACCACACAGCCCGTGTCACACCCGTCACAGACTCTCGCCGCCTCCGCATCACATTCAATGGCTCCGTATCAGACGTTCTACCCTGGAAGTTCACGCCCCAGCAGCGCGAAGTCCGGGTGCTCCCTGGTGAAACTGCGCTTGCTTTCTACACCGCCACCAATAGGAGTAGTGACGATATCATTGGGATTGCTACGTACAGCGTGACCCCTGCGCAGGTGGCTCCGTACTTCAGCAAGATACAGTGCTTTTGCTTTGAGGAGCAGCGGCTGAATGCGGGCGAGACTGTGGATATGCCAGTATTCTTCTATATTGATCCGGATTTCATCAATGACCCGAATATGACGAGGATTGATACTATCACTTTGTCATACACTTTCTTCAGTACGTCGAAAGTTCAGTTTCTCTGAGACTTTTGGAAAGCAGAGGCTAATGATGGTTGACAGAAGCGAAGTATGACAAAAATGGCCATCTTCTACCAGTGCCAATGGGTTGAAATGCCATCCCACGACCACTCTCCTCGTTCGACCTTAGCGTCGTAGCTATCTTTTGCTGGAGAGAAACGCAGAACAAGTCTCCAGGATCGTAACAGATCTCGGATGACTCGCTCCCAAAGATATCGTCACTGCTATAGGTGGCTCTGCAGCCACTGCCAAGGGATGCCTCATGCTCTATGTTGCTCTCGGGATTGACGACTCAGGCCTTTAATTTGCCCACACGCATTCCGTCGCCATGTTGTTCCGACCTTGAGTCCTGGAATGTAGAACTTTTTGAAACAAATAAGGATGACTGGCGACCAAACTCAACTTGCAGACTACCCTGATCTACTTGAGTACGATAAAAGTTGGGCACTTACGCGATGTAATCTCAAAGTAAGTGGCTTCGAACGGTTCTGCGGGCTCGTTTTCAATCACAATCTATCATGTTGCCTCAGTAACCCCAGGATCGTCGAAGCACTCCCAAATGGAAGCTTACATCTGTGAAAACGTCGTCTTACGACACAACGGACGAGAGGACTGTTCAGACCACTGTGGCGCTATGAAGTGTCTGATAGGTAATTGGTATCATCAGTTCACAGGATGTCACATCTTTTGGTAGTCCTCTGTAAGGCAAGAGTTGAAGTTGGTTTTCAGAGACCAGTTCAGACTTTATCCAGTCTGATGCACATTTAGACTCACACCATATCACAAAAGATCAATCGATCATTTGATAATATCTAAGCCGACGATCATAGCTCAAACAGCATCATACATACGTACATGACTAGATTAGCACTCGCTTCTTTTCCTCCTATGCCAGGAGCGATACAAGTGGTTATGCATTGCATAATTTCAGCGACGATCCCAGCAACGATGCACAATCACTTCTTCAACTGCTTTCCTTTCCCGGTTCCACCCTTCCCTCGTCCCTTCTTCGGTTTTACATCAGAATCCTCGTCTACGATGACATCCACCTCATCCTCCTCCTCCTCTTTGACCTGCTTCCCTTTTCCCTTCCCCTTTCCCTTCTCGCCGCCCGCAGGAGCTGCCTTTTTGCCTTTCCTCTTTGTTGGGGCTTTGACATACTTGTCTTTCTTTAAATCCAGCGGCTCGTCATCACTTCCCACGGGCTTATCGGCTCCACTTTCGACCCCACTGTCGCTCTCGTCCATAGCCTCCTCCAGATCAGGTCGCTCCTTATCCTTCTTCTTCGGCGCGACAACCTGGCTGGCTTTCATGTAAGGCAGGGGATGAGTCCGCGCGTTGTATGAACGAGTGAATGCGCTCTTGGCTTGGGTTTCAATTTTAATCAATTCTTGGTCCATGGGTCCTACCCCAAGTTCCATCATTGCGTCCCTATCGTCTTTGGTCAAAAAGTATGAATCCATAAGATCGATGATCGGGTTAACGGCCTCTTCGCCGTGTCTTTCGAGTTCTTTGATTAACCGGTACCATAAAAGTGAGAAGTATTGTTGACGGATCTCATGACGATCACCAGAGCTACGGAGGCGCATATGGCCTTGTATCTCCTTGATGAAGCGCGAAAGCTTTCCTGCACATCTGTTCAGTATGCATAGGAACGTTATGAAAATAGACTACCATACCAAATTTGCTATTTTGACCGAGCCATGTGGTGAACCGAGTTTGGCTGCCCGCTTGCGAGCCAGCAACAAAGCTGGCAGGCCGCACAAAGCCAAATACTGCATGAGTAGGCATGAGAGACCACTGTTGCTGAGACCCGTGAATCATTCGATCGACAAGGTCTCCGTCACTGATGCTGGAAGCAGCCTTCTCCGCAAGCTCAAGCCATTTGAGATTATGTTCCCGTCCAGAATATTGGCCCGCAGCCAATGGTCTCGTCCCTAGATAATTTTCTTGTAACATGAGCGAGCTGAACTCATGATCGTTGAAGTAAAGTTCTATCTTGTCGTTCAGAGTAGCTTTGCTGCTTGAAGCGAACATGCCTCCGCCGAGAATTTTACTAACGATGTCCCAGGGCTTGAGTATAATGTTCTTCTCCCATGATTTGGACATCTTCTTTCCCTTATCAAAGTCCATCGCCTCCTGATCGATCTTTGCTGTTGAAAGCATGTTGATGACTTGGCGTATATCCGCATTACTACCTTCAATCAAGGCGTTGATGACCGATGGAGGCACATTGATATGCTCTCTGAAGCAGATAGTCATCATACGTTGCCGTACTTGGTCCACTGTTGGCCTACGAAACGGTAGATCGTAAGCCACACTGTCAAACGGCCTCATCTTAGGAAGCTTTCGGTCATTGCAGATTAGTATTATTGGAATGTGAGCCTTTTTACAAGTTGCTGCCATTGCCCCTACGCCACCACGGTCGCCAGCGGACATTCCGTCGACTTCATCCATAATCAAGACCAGCTTTTTCTTGCCTTGCTCAACTTGTTTTCCGTCTCCAGCAAAGTAGCCCATCAGAGATGTCGTATCAAGGACACCTTTCAGACCACTCTCCACTAGTGACTTGCTGCGAGTGTCACTCGCGTTACTTTCTACTATGTCATAACCCTCAAGTTTAGCAGCTAAATGAGCAGCAGTTGTCTTGCCAATACCAGGTGGCCCATGTAAGATCATGGCACGAAAGATGCCGAAGCCGTCTTTTCCTGGCTTCCTAAAGCTGGTCTTCAGATTCATTGGCCATGATCTCAGCCAATTCTGAAGTTTCTCGACCTGACCTTTGTTGCCGCACACCATGTTGGTTGCGCTCGGGGCGTACTTTACTGTCCATAGCTGATTATCGGTCTTTGAAGAAGCCGAGACACCACCATTTGATGTAGGCTTGGTACTGTTACTTGCTTTAGCAGCCTTCTTAGCTTCTTCTCGCTCTTGCTGAACCATTTCCTTTGCGGCTTTCTCAACTGACTCCTCTTCTTTCTTCTTTTTAGCTTCGAATTGTTCAGCCGCCTTACTGTCTCCACCATTAGCAGGTAGCTTTCGGATCAGCTCGAAGAGACCATTCTCATCAATAGTTCGCAGACCGTGTTGCTTGATCGTCTCCAGTTTTTTAGGTCCTGCATCGGTCCCCAAAACAACAAAGCTGGTCTTTTTGCTTGGTCCAGTAGTCACTTTCCCACCATATCGCTTCACAAGCTCTTGGCCAGCATTCCTATCTAAAGTGTCTAGCAAACCAGTAAACACAAAAATGAGACCGGCTAGGCAGTTTTCTGCGCCTTCTGGCAGGGCTGCTGGGGCGCCAGAAGGTGCAGGCTCTGGGCGGGCCTGAGCAGTCCTCCAATCAAACTTCTTTGAGTCATCTCGCGGTGGAGGCGTCGGTGCTCTAACAGTGGGAATATTGTCAAATATGTCATCAACAGCAGTTCTTTGGGCTGCTTCTTCCTCTTTCTTCTTCTTTGGTGTGGCTTTCTTTGCAGGAGACTTTGCAGGAGACTTCGCCTTTGAGGCTTTCGCCTTCTTTAGTGAGGGTTCAACGACTTCCGTATTTTCATTATCTTCGAGATCCGCAGATTTTCTTTTCCGCCCCTTCCCAAGCTTAGCTTTTTTCGCATCATCGTCATCAATTGCGCTAGTCTGCTTCGACACTGCGGCTTTTGATGCGCTTCCAGGCTTTGTACTTGATGGTTTAAATATCTCTTTCTCATCATCGTCACTCTCGTACGCATCTTTGCCTCCTCTACGGCCCGGCTTATAATCTGCCTTGAACATGTCCTCGCCAGACCCGTCTGCATCGTCGAGAATCTTGAGCTTGAAGTCATCATCCTCACTCATATCCTCATCATTGATCTCTTTGTATTGCGGTCGGCCTTTATTTCTGGACGAAACCTTGCCATTGACAGAATCGCCGGCTCCTGCTTTTGATTTGCTTTTCGGCGTAGGCTTTGTAAAACTTCCGTTGACTTCTTTTGCTGGTTGTGTAACTGGCTGAGCCTTTGGTCGTGAAGGCGTGGACCGAGTCGGCTTGGACTTGCCACTAGCAGCAAAGTAGTCTGAAGTTGTTGTAGTTTCTCCCTTGGGAGATTCTTGCTTTACCGCTTTTTTGGGCGGCACCTTCTTGGGGGTTGCTTTCTTAGAGGGTTGTACTTGAACATCGTCATCGCTATCGCTGAGGACTTTTCTCTTTGGCCGCCCCTTGGCCTTCTCCTCCCTCTTTGGCATTGGTTTTTCTTGACTGGACACGCCGCCGCCACCAAAGAAACTCCTGATATCCGAAGGCATTGTGCTCTTACACGTGGGAATCGTAGTGAGCTTTCTTGTCAGGCAGACTTCGTGCTCTGCTGACTAGGCTGCTGAAGTTTAGGAGGACACCCAAGTTGACGCGCTCAGCGCGTCATTGCCAAGAACTTTTTTTTTAATCGGGTGCCGTTTCCTGCCCTGGAAACGTTCGACGCCGCAAATGAAAGTCTACAGACAGCTGTACATGAGAAATGCCTGATAGCGACATTGCGGGAAGGAATTAAGTTTCACTCATACGTCGGAATCACGATTCAGTCCTCTACTCAGCACTATGGGTATCACAACTGAACATACACTCTACAGAATCATGGGCTGCCCTGAATCCTCGCGTTTATATAAAGTTTCCAAAATGCATGCTTCTTCTCACTGCTTACTTTTGTCATCCGCCGAACTGCTCTTCTCCCCTTCATGATGGTGACCCGTAAGTCTTTGTAAAGTGTCTTTGGCTATAGTCTCGATCCCGATCGCTTCGTCTCTGAGCTCTTCAACTTCGTGTTTCGCTTTCTGCAACTCTGATTTGGGAGCCGACGTTGCCGTATCTCTGATTATGGATAGATCCTGCATTCCTGTTTTGAAAACCGAGCTTGCTGATTTATCACCCAATGGTGCAGGAACATCACTGCGGTTGATGTCGGGTTTTTTCAAAATGCTGTTGATGATGCCTCTAGGAGGCAGGACATTGCCCGGGGCGTTATCTTGTGCCGACTGCCTCACTTCCTGGTACATCTTTTCGGTACGATCGATCTCCTCATCAACATCCAGCGGACAATCCGGCTCGAGGAACTCACGCTCTCGCTTCTCGATGTGTTCTCGCAGACTCCGGAGCAGATGGCGATATTGTTCCACCCTCTGAGGCAGACCTTGGCCTTTGAGATAAGTCAATAGGCCAGCAACGACGGTGTTGAGAGCGCCTAGAACGGTGACAGCACCACTTGGGCCGCCAGCTGCGCCAAGGGCTGTGAGTGCGGCACCAACAACGATTTGTAAGAGGAAGAAAGCATTGACTGCATTGGAACTAAGATTGTATCGCCGTTTGACTTTCTGCTCCTCACGAACAGTTCGCTTGTAGATTCCTTCGTTGACGGCTGGTCGGGCAAGAGTCGAGGTAGTGAGGAGACCTGGAGAGTAAATGCCAATCTGTTGCTGGAACTTGACAAGTTTAGGTGGGAGATCATCCAGGGAAACATTGCTATCACTCGTCGTGCCATGTTTTTCGACATCAGGTGCCTCTGTCGAAGTCGGTGCCCCGAACAGGAAGTTGCGTCCGAAGATGCGCATTGAGATGAGAAGCTTCGCGAAATGCTGCGAGGGATCCGCCTGTCTTCCGGTGCACAGTCGCGGTATTTAGACGTAGGATGGGTCAAATTGCAGCAGGACAGAAACAAGTTCGAGGAAAACGCGTTTCAAGTAACAATGGGCAGCGAAGAACGTGAACGTGTAAAGGGAAGACTGGTGGTATCGAAAAAGCGGGGCATGGAGCAGTACAAAATGGAATGGTATCGGGAGGCTTGAACAATCAAGCTGAAGCAGATAGATGATCTATCCAATGGGATCGACTCATCGAGACCCAAGGGTTTCGATACGCGAGGCTTAGGGTTCATCTGACGCTTCGAGACGTGCGGGGGGCCAAAGGATTGATAGAGGCTTGATCTGATATATTATTAGGGTTCGGGGCAGCGGTCAGGCCTGTAGATGTATTCCTTGTTCGTGGACAAGAGGCGCTGTGAAACGTTGCTGGCCGTTGAGTTCGGGCATTTGACAAATCAACGAGTGAGTGATACATGATAAGGCACCCTCGCGGGTCGAAGACATCCTTGGGTCTTCCCATGTGTGCCCTTGGATAGTCACGCTGATTGGGAGCAATATTAAGATGAACAGAGCACGGGCAGGAGCTGTCAGACGGTTGAGAAAAGATCCCTCGGGTGTCCCAATTCGACGGCCTTACCCGTGCTAATGCGGGTTCAAACCGCCCAATTTCCCCATTGGGGTGGAAGGTCGTTGCTAGCACAATCCCCGTCATGCGACCACGACGATCCCTGCACCATCCCTGCAGCTAAAAAACAACAATAATCCTTATTGTTGACCGTGAGGGTGGCAGTAATCTGGTAGAGCTGTTGACCGTTGATACTTGGTGGTGGGGTTCCCTAACCTCTTGCCTCTTTGGTATTAGAGTGAGCGCCACTCTCTCTTTGCATTGTCCTGGCCAAGCTCCCAAGTTGCTCCTCATGCACCTGTTTCTTATCGACTTCTTCAGCTGAAAGTGTCTTGGATCCGAAGCGGCCTCGGATGATGCATAGATTGGTTCAGGCTGATCTCTGAACTATTGCAATCCATTGAAGTGCCAAGGGTGGAGGAGAGCATATGCGATGCTTTTCAACTGTGCTCTCACCTAAGCCCATTGAACCTCCAGTGAGAACAATGACCACCGGGAAGTCAGATGAATTGTCAGCCCGTGAAGCTTCAGACTCGCAGTCTCCTCCCTACTCCGTTTTCGCTCCCATCGAAAAGCGCGTCATCGTCGCTATCGTTTCCTATGCAGCTTGGTTCTCCACCCTCACGAGCTTCATATATTACCCAGCAATCCATCAGCTAGCTCACGCCTTCTCTGTTTCAGTCGAAAAAATCAATCTCACTGTGACTTCTTACATGGCGGTTGCAACAATAGCACCAACTTTGGTAGGCGATACTGCTGACGTTCTAGGTAGAAGACCTGTTTACGCACTCGCGCTGAGTCTTTACATCGGAGTCAACGTCGCCATCGTGCTGGCCGACAGCTACGCAGCACTGGTGGGTTTGAGGGTAGCGCAGGCGCTGGCGATATCTGGTATGCAGTTTCCTAATAGTTGAAGGACTTTCTAGAGGATGACAAAAGAAATGGCTCGCTCTGGATTCGAGATAGTCAAGATGAGTTCTGAGTTGCTAACCTATCAGAAGGCACCTTCTCAATTGCCTACGGTGTCATTACAGATGTTGCATCACCAGCGGAGAGAGGATCCTACGTTAGTATGGTATCATTTGCGTACGAGTGCTCGTACCTGTTCGAAGCGGCTAAGGTTGAACTTGATCAGGATCACATGCGCACCCAGCATTGGACCCGTCTTAGGTGGGAGTTTGAGCGATGCGGTTGGTTGGCAATGGATCTTTTGGTTTTTGTCCATTGCTGCAGCATCGTGCTTGTCACTCATGGCGTTCTTCCTTCCCGAAACTTCTCGCAACATGGTTAGAAATGGATCAGTCAAACCATCGAAGTACTTACGACTGCCCCTACCAAATATTATGCGTCATTGGACGAGTACCGACGATTTGGTAGATGTCAAGAGGCGACTGCCTAACCCTTTGAAGTCCTTGAAGATTATTACCCGCAAGGACAATGCAGTCCTCATGTCTGCAGCTGGCTTGCTCTATGTTATATACACATGCATTAACACTTCACTTTCCGTCTTGCTCATTGACATTTATGAGCTCAACCAATGGCAGGCAGGCCTAATGTATCTTCCCTTCGGAGTGGGCGGGGTTATCTCGACTTGTTTTACTGGCCAGTTGATTGACAAAGCCTATCGGGGTTTCCGGCTCAAAAGTGGTTTATCAACCGACAGGATTGCAGGAGACGACTTGGACAGTTTTCCGATTGAGAGAGCGCGTCTGCGTGTCGTGTGGGTGCCTATGCTTGTGACGGCTTGCTCAGTCATGGCTTTTGGATGGGTTCTTGATCGGCAACAGGTCGGGCTTCTCGTTGCGTCATTAAATTGTTGCAATTGCAAGCTAACATGATTCAGCATATTGTATTCTGTGTCTGCCTGCAGCTCATCATTGGGTTTTGTATGCAGCTTGCGTTCAGCGTAAGTCTCGTCCTTGTGACCAGAAGGCAACAACCTGACTCTCGTGGCTTCAAGATTTACAATACGCTGCTTGTGGACAAGAACTTTCGGACCCCAGCAGCTGCTCAGGCTTCGAGTAACGTTGTACGTTGCTCATTGGCAGCTGTTGCAGTCTCGTTTCTCCAGAACCTCATAGATAGAATAGGCATCGGTTGGACTTGCACGTTCTTGAGTTGTCTATGTCTTGTAGCCACAGCTCTTTTTGTCATTGACTTTTTCAAAGGAACTTCATGGAGACAAAAGAGTGTAGCTTCCTAGTAGTCTGATGTATTTTGGGTTTTATATATAGCTTTTCCGTTCCGCGTCTATTGCAGGTCAGGACAAGGGCAAAAGGCCTTCCAGCTACCCCTTTGCTGGATGTGCCTCAATCATATCAGCCTATGTAGTCTTTCGCAACAGAGGCCGTAAATTAAGCATCACATTATCTTCGCACACCTGACGACGGCGACCGCTCCATTCCGAGGACAGAGCAAGCTTCTTTCTTTCCTCCATATCTTACATAGCGCCAGACAATCTCGACTTATCCAATCCCTTGGCAACCAAAAGAGCGGCTCTGGTTTCTCTAGTCCCCAAGTCTTTAAGACTGCTGCCTCAGGAGGCTTGACTGTATTCGTGGACTTGTGTTGAGCAGCGGACTCGCTATCTCCTTGAATACTGATAGTGAGGGACGACATCGACAAGTCATACTGGATTGGAAGTCGCACTGAACAAATGGAGAAATCTCTAGACAGGAAGATCAAATGATCTGATGACAGTAAATCTAGAGCGAGAATGATTTGAGATGAAACTGGGGGTCGAAATTCAAGAGAAGATAGTTTTCTTTCCGTGCTGGCGTGATCAGCCTCGTCCACTGCTGCGTGGTCTGGGAGACCTGCCAGAAGAAGGAAGATGTTTTCTTTTCTGCGCTCAATCTGCAACAGCATAAGCTTTTTGTTGGCCGCGCATAGAATTTCGACGACTTCTCCCTTGTCCTGCAGGGGTGGCAATCTGCTCTGATCTAAGACACGCTCTATCTTAAAGGTCTGGCGTAGGCTCAAGCCCCAATCCAGTATATGAATATCCTCAGGTCCAACACATACTATGAGGGTGGGATCCTGAGCGTGAATAATCCATCGACTTCCTGCGATGGCAATCTTCGCAGAGCCGGCGACTGAAGCAGATGCCAATGAGACTGTGCATATCGATGACGGAGAGCAGATCATGATCTGAGTCGAATCTGGGTGAAAGAGTAGCTGTGTAATCGGGCCGTCAATAATGGTTTTAACGGAAATTTGGACCTTCATCTGCACAAAAGCATCACAGTTGTTGACCTTTGGATTTATTGTTGAAACAAAGATACGCTTGCTTGAGTCTGAGAAGCATACATAATGTCCATCGTGGCTCCAAACCATGTGCTCAATGCTGAGAAAACTTCTAGACACGTAGAGATCCGCGACTTTTCCTCGTTGTCGATCATACACATGGGCTGCACCTTTTTCAGTGCCAAAGCAGTAAAATTGACCAGTCGGCGAGGCTGCAAGAGACGTTATTGAGTCCACTCTCCAAAGAACACCCTCCGGATAATCAGAAGTCTGACTAAGACTGCCGATCTCGCTCCCAATTTCGGTATCCTTGTTCTGCTGCTCAACGAATTTTAGCAGTGCATTCGGCTCCCAGACGTTTCCATAATTGCCGCGTACATCGTAGAATCGACGTAGATCGGGGCTGAATGCCAGTCCAAGCACGTTGTCCTCAGAAGCCAGCTGGTATAGGTTAGTCAAATCAGCTGTCGTAAAGACTTTTACTGTTCCTCTAACGTCTCCAGTAACTACAAGGCTTCCATCCGCGCTCATTGCAAGTCTGGAGGCTCCTGCCGCAAATTCTTCAGTCTCATCATCGTAGGGACGCCATTTGAAAATCACTCCTTCAATGTACAAGCCTAGGATCTCTGGTTGATGGGGATGCCAAACAGCTTCAATTACTTCACCTCTGGCAAGCACGTCTCTTGTACGCCAGCAATGACCGATATGGACTGGCCCGTCTATCTCCCAAGCGGACAATGGATGTCCTCGATAAGCCACGGAAATTAATTTTCCGTCTTGGTTTACAGCCATGTGACTTGGTGAGTTCAAGAAGTGCCCTTCAAGTTCTGGTTCTTCTAATTCCGCAAGAGTCTGCCAGCTTGGAGATTCTGGATTGAGATCAAGGGATCTTACTCGTCTATCATCTGATCCAATCAGGAGAGACTGGTCGTTCTCTAAAAAGAGCATTGCAAGTGGTCGAGGCCGTGATTGTAGATTATCAACGGACAGCTTCCACTTCCCACTATGAGTGTCCCAGAATTTAATAGTGTGGTACCCGTAAGTAGCAAGCAATGTTGCCGAGCTATTCGATACCATACTGTAAACCCGCTCTCCATGCCTAATTGGGCTGGCTTCGGTCTCTTCAAAATTTGAGGAGTCATGGAGAAGGACCGTCCCCGAGGGGACAAGGGTCGCAATTTGCGCGCCAACAGCAGATACGGATGTTGCGTAAGTACCAAGACCAAAGGACAAGCGTGCGAGCGAGTCATCCCAGTTGTGGCTCGGAAATCCAGTCACGACAAGACTGTCCCCTTTCGGCTTCCCGAATTGTTGGTAAATAGCGGAGTTCTGAGGGCAGAATGGGGGGATGAGCTTGTGTATAGATTCAGGATTTTGGCCCAAGATTCCCCCAAATTTTCCTACGATTTTTGCAAGATCTTCCGCCCAAAGTTTTACAAGTTCTTGTTTCACGGTGTATTGTCTCTGGTCACAAACTTCATCATTGGATCTCCGCTTGCCAAGGTATTTCGAAAGGTGCCTGGATGCCTGGATCAAGACTCGCAGTTGACCGGTGTTTGCAAGGACTTGAATCCAACTCAAAATCCAGCGGCCGGCCAGGAACTTATGGAGAATGTCAGCCACCTCTTCATCCTCAGCTGAGGTGGCTAAGAGGTGCATAGGCCATGAACAAGCCGCATAGTTGAGGAACACTAAGTTCTGTTTGCCATCGACCTTTGGGCGAAGACCGACTGCAAAGAGACATCTCATACAGGTGAGGAACATCTTTTTATGTGCAGCACTTCTGTCGACATTGAAAGGACGATCAACACCATTCAAGAGGTATTCACGAGCGGTTTGGTGAACCATAGCAACATAGCCGTCTTTATTGATAACTATGAAGCCGCAACACACATCTATGATCGAGCGTTGCATGTCTAGCAATTCCGAAGCCTCTTCGTGAAGTGCTTGTGAAAGCTCCGCAACACTTAAGACATGCAGGCTAGTTGTAACATATTGTAGAACTGCAGACGCCAGTGCCCTTTGGACTGAGTCTGTCTGCTGTGCAATTGACAATGCCATACGGTCATAGAAAGCTTGCATGCCGATTGGCAGTTGATGTAATGCAAGCTCGACGTGCTTCTTACTGTGACAGAGATTGAGCGTTTCGACTGCAAGTCGCACCCACTAATGAATTTGTCAGACCTATCACGGGTTTGCTAAAGCACCTTCGACTCACTAGAAAATTGTTTTGACTTTCTTTCACGATTATTCGTACAACGTCCTCCCTAAATTGCTCGTCGCCGAATAAGCTAAGTTCCTGTTGAATGTAATGAGAAAAATCCTCTTTGTGACCTTCAATACTCATGAACCTAAGGTCGAGGCCTGGGGGCTTCTTCTGAAGACTTGCAGCTATTTCCGAAGTTTCTCGACTCACCAGCAACATGCGAATGGGAACAGACGATACAGAAACTTCAGACAACAATCTTACGATGGAGCGGGGGTCATCTGCCTCATCCAGACCATCAATGACCCAGTACATGGGTTCATTCTCCTGTAATTTGAAAATAATAGCTTTGAAAATGCGCTCCCAAATAGTTCTTGGGCTTGCAGTCTCGGAATCGATGCCTTGCTCTCCCAGCTGCAGTATCCTTTCCAGGACAGTGGCTTTACTCAGTGCTACTTGAAAAGCGATAGAACGCAGGAGCAAGCTCAAGGTTCGCTTCCTCCTATCCCCAAACCTAAGGAAGAAATATTGGCAGCAGAGTCCTTTTTCGGCGAGGTCGTTTATAATGAAAGACGAGAGTATTGACTTCCCAGCCGCTGCGCCGCCACTCAACCAGGCAAGAGAAGATTTTTTAGACGGAGGATGAAGCCACTCCAGGTAATCTTCTGTCCCCAGTAACCAATCACATGTGCCTTGCGACCACTGGTCGCGAAAAAAAATGTAATCCGTATCAGGCAATTCTGTAATGCCTAATGAAGACTTCAAAGAACCCATTTTGTTGCGCGCGGATGAAGAGTCATCGTTCTGTCCATTTTTCGAAGCTATCTTACCAACGAGTGACTGAAGAGCATTCCTCACTGCTACATAATTAGGATCCGAAGGGCTATCATACTTGCACACGTTATGATGATCAGCATCTAAAGCTCTGGACTTCTCTCCGGGATAGCCAAGGATTGATGAATCCTTTTCAAGTATCATCTACACAGTCTTAGTGGGGATACGAGACTGCCGCAGCAACCACCTACAACACGAGAGCTTTTTAGCCCTACTGAGGTTGATTGAGTCTCGTAAAATGAGACAATATCCAACCTTGGTGCAATGTGGCGAAATTGTTCATTTAGCTTTTGTAATGTAAATGCCTTTTTGCCCAGCTCAGATATGTAGTTCTTCGAGTTGGTGGCTAAAGTCGATCGTAGAATCCGGTCTAGCAAGTCGGCAAGATTCGTACCACGATGAGGCGTCGCTAGAAACATGATTGCAGAGATTGCTTTTACAATAGACTCGTATTCGGGGTCATTCTGACCTTGCATGTACGCCTGAAGCTCATCAGCGTGTCCTGCTTGGAGAAGCAAGTATCTTGACCTCTTTGATAATAAGTCCACCCATGCTGTGAACTACAAAGACTAGGGGAACCTTGCCTCAGGGTTAGACAGAGACATGTTAGAGTCATACCCTTTGAAATGTCGCTTACCTTGCCAATATTCAAGTCTTCCTTTTGGCTGTCCTTCGCAAATTTGAGATCGAAAAGGAGATCCTTAGCAAAGTCCAGAATGGAAGTGCTGACGTTACCTGCTGCCCGAAAATTTGCATTGTACCCAAAGGTGAATATTCGACCAAGGCATATGTAAGGTTCCAGTGGGAGGAACTTTAGCGGCCAGAACAAGTCTGGATCTCCATTCTTGGACCATGTCTTTCGACTCGTGCCGCCTAATCCGTGAATCAAGACTATGTCGACTGTTGGGCTGCTCTTAGGACAGAATATAACGTTCAAGCCCAGGCGCCCATGGATTGACTCGTCCAAATCACGCACATCTTGATATGACGAACTTCTCATAGATGGACTCGGATCGCGAGGGTCGTCCTCAATCACAGTTGATCGACTTGGGCTTGAGCTCGGACTGATCGGTCGAAGCAGTGACGACACCCGTCGAAACCTTGGTTGACGACTTTCGTCGCTGCGTTTCCTTCTGAAATTTAGATGTTTCTGACGAAGTAAGCAGTGATTGAACAACAAGTCTGAGTCTTTCTTGAAGGAACCTCTTCTGCTTACCATGACCGTTGGAGCTACGACGATTCACATGACAGCTTTCTTGAGTCTGAGCCTCGATACTTCTTTTATATAGTTAAGTCACTCGTCGTGGGACACAACCTGCTTCATCATCCCCATGAAAAGAGTACAGAGTAATTCTCGACCAGGCAACTTTCGCTGAATGTTCGTTATGCCTGGGCCACAATGATGAGGGGAAGAAGGTCTATTGTTACTTCCTCCAGCCTGATTGAACATATCAAGCAGGCTGGAACTTTGGCACACCTTAGCGCTGATGGTGGCATGTAGTGGTGTGAAGATCAGCAACATTGACCAATTGGATCTCTCCCTTACGCGGGTCCCACCTATTCTTGGGATATTCAGCGAGCAAGAGCGCCGGACGACCCTCCTTAACGAAGGATCTAAATTAGCTCGTTTCAGCCATGGTGCTGGAGAACATTTATCGTCGCATCGAATAGGCACCTATGCCTTAAGCGTATCTCTTTTCTTTTATTCATTGGCTTTCGTCGATGAGCTCGGCCGAGTTGTTATTTGAAAACCAATAAGATCTCCCATCCTCAAAGGATTCCGCAATGGAGCCGACTTCTGTGGAGAAATGCAAGCCACGCCTTTGATGTTTGAGGTCTAGTATCCACCCATTCAAGTTCTAGAACAGAGCGTCGGTCTTTAAGATACCCCATGTATGCCGGCTTTACGGGGAAAGCGTGCTCTCACACTAGACATGTTCCACGGAGCAATCGGTACTTATCTTCCTTTCACCCACAATTATATTTGCTGTTATAGATACCTAGGTCGACCTTAGGCTCTTCTTGGCAATGGCTTGTTTGACAGGATGGGCGGAGGGAATTGGAGGAAATTTTGCCGTCCACAAAGCGGTCTCTGAGAGTAAATCTAGCGGATTCTTTCCTGTCTAAGCTTGTCGCTGACCTTTATAGTACTGCCCAAGGAAACAAAGATTGTCTCTGCTGAGTCTTGCGGGACCTCATCATGGACGAGAACCGCAAAGCTCTCGGTGATTTTGCCCGGCGGCAGTCCAAAGAGGTACTTCCTCAAGTGCATTAGAGGGCAGGGCGCACGGGCTTTGGTCGAGGGGGAATATCGTTCTGCATCCGCTATTGAGGCGGTAGTTCCAGGATTTGTGCCAGAGCCGGTTGGCTGGGGCCAATATAGTAATGACCAGTCACAAGAGCACTTTTATGTCGGGGCCTTCCACGATATGGATCTTGCCGTAGCCCCGGAACCGGAATACTTAATGTCCCAGTTAGCAGAGCTCCACCAAAGAGGAACATCACCGAACGGAATGTTTGGGTTTCCAGTCGCAACTGTTTTAGGAAAATTTGAACGTACAGTTACCTGGGAAAAGAGTTGGGCGAAAGCTTTCGCTCGGCAATTGGAAGATGTGATCAATTTCGACAATGAAACAAACGGTCCTTGGCCAGAATATGACAGCGCCTGCAAACAACTTATTGACGTGGTGATCCCAAGACTCCTGGGAGCTTTGCAGTCGGAAGGTCGTGAGATAAAGCCGGCGCTGATTCACGGGGATTTCTGGGAGAACAATGTGGGGGTAGACATGGAAACGGGTAAAATGGTTGTCTTCGATCCTGGAAGTACCTATGCCCATAATGAAATGGTATTTGGGACATGGAGGTGCTCCTGGGCATTCCACTTTAATTCTCCGATTTATATGAGGCTTTATCAACGCCACGTTGAACCCTCAGAGCCTGTGGAGGAGTGGGACGACCGCAATCGACTCTATAGCATCCACCCGTACTTGAATGACTCTGCTGGACATCCGGGAAGTGTTTCTAGACAATTGTGAGCGTGAAGAATTAAATGGTTTTCGAATTGCTTGCTGATGCTGGACAGAGCTTACAACGACATGCTGTACCTTTGTGAGAAATATGGACCGCTAGAAACACTTGGCAGATACGATTCAAGTAAGGATATTAGCAAAACGGGCGCTTATGTCCCGTTCACAATTCACCAACTTGAATGATCGGACTACGTCCAATAGCTGATGCCAGGAGCCATGTCGGAACTGGCTTTGGGTCAAGGAATTGGTTTATGAGGATTAGTAGACTTGCTGATTAGTGCTCTTTAGTCATGGGTTGCAGCTATGCCAACTGTTCGGTCTAGACTTCCACGGGCAGTCTTCTAGAGCACTCATTTGCACGTCTTCATAAGGCTGTAGGCCCGGGGGGGGCATTCCGAATTGCTCATGCCACTTTAGCCTCTTTTGCTAGGGAGTCTTAGCCTCTTATTTAAGGCACGCCCCTTTTCAACCTTGAATCCACCAGAAGTGGGAATTGAAAGTCCAGACATTCCGGGAGGGTGAGCTTTGCCTAGCGTCATATACCCTGATCCTTCTTAACCTCCTTGGATACTAGCTGATGAGGACCATCACGATCTTACTCCCCGCTTTCAGCTTATCATTGCTTGGCTGCCAATCGCACATTTGATACTTAGCCGATATTCAGTCACCCCACTCACCAAAGAAAAAGATGGTAAAGAGAATTTCCCTCCAACAGGTTGCTCCGTACCCCTCGCGATTTCAAATGGAGATCATGGATCGATATTCTTCGGGTTACTAAATGGCACAGTCACGCATTCGCTACAGTAAGTAGGTCGATAGTTTCAAGAAAACCGCTTTCTGGAAAAAGACCCCATTGAAATTTCTTGAAGCCCAAGGCTGGCCGGGTTACTCCCTGTGCAGTTGCGATTCTTTGACCGAACATTTGTGGCTTGCTCAGCCCCAGCTGAACACGGACTCTGACAGCGCATTTGAGTTGCCCATATGTCTCACGATACCGATACCACGGCGTGCTTTCTCAATTGGTTAACGAAAGGATCCGAGCTCTTGAAAGCCTGCAGTGAGAGAACCAAATTGGATGTTCGGCTAGCTAGCCTACACAACAATGGATGTGGCTTGATCACGCGGTCGTGACCATGGCTTCAAACTTCCGTTTGCGTTTGCTTATCGGGAAAGGGGTGTTGGTGGAGGAACGGTTCTAGATTTTTGGACGCTCAGATCGTTCTCCTTTGTTTTTATAAGAGCCACAGTGGGTATCTGGAACATCGATCACCGCCCCATTTGAAGCATATATCCAGCAATACGTTTGCCTTGTACTCGACAGCAAGAGATAATTCCCACGGAGGGTTCACAAACGAATATGGCAACCACTGTTGCTGCACCAGCCATTCCTGTTGCGACTCAGTTGTAACCTCTCACACGCGAAGAGCAGCCAGATCTCCAGTACCTCCTCAAAGATACACCGGAGAAGGTTGAAGATGTTCAGCTCTCAGCGTGGGACTCGGCACTTTTCAATCAAGAGCTTGTGCACTTGAAAATTGCTCCTGTCATCACTAATCTGGCGAAGTCCGATGTTCAAACCCAAAGCGAGGAAAATGTGGGCGATATCGAAGAGGGTACATGGGCTGGTTCTCAGCTAGCACTGACCGATCTTTACCGCAGGATCGAGCACGGGTAAGCACCAATGTAGAACTTCCATTCGATGACTTGATCCTGATTGTGGTGAAATCCTTTAGGTATGGTGCTTTTTTTATAGCCACAGGACTTGATGGAGTTCTTCCTCTAGCGATTTCTGATAGAGCTCATCTGTTTCATTGGTCTGATGGTACAGACAATTATCCACCACACTTAGAAGTGCCCCGTCATGGCGGGATCCCTAAGCCTTACAATGCGCCTCAATATGAGATTTTCAACGCATGTGGTCTCTTGAACGCCGCGGGAATGCTGGTCAAGATAACTCCAAAGACGTTCCTTGGTACCTTCGCACAGAAGATCTGGAGTGCAGCGGAGAACTTGATCAACGGAAGGGGTTACCAAGGCATCAGCTTTGCTGAGCTTGAAATGCACAACAGAGAGTGGCGAAAAACCGCTGTTGATGTGATGAAGGGCAAAAATCTAGGAGATTTACCTGACTGGTTCTCCGACGCCAAATTTGCACAGCAGTCATTCACTGGCGCAAATCCAAATACAATCCGCCTTGCATCGGACACATGGATCTCCAGTTTCAAGCAGGCTGCAGAGATGCAAAAACTGTCCGCCGTTTTAGACTTTATCCAGAAAGCGGAGACGAGGTCCCTCTACGTGCAGGACTGCAGCTACTTTCGTGAGGCTGTCAAAGCTCAGCCAAAAGCAGAATTAAAAGCCGAAGATCGTTATGGCACCGCGGCGGTGGCGCTGTATCATCTTTCTCAGAGCGGTCGGCTTCATCCGATCGCCATCATAATTGACTGGAGAGGCTCTGTCCAAGATTCGGTCACAATTTTCAACAAACAACTTATACCGCTGGACCCGCAGAGCTCAGACTACGAGTCCCAGCTCAAAAAGCAAAAGTCAGACTGGCCGTGGCGATATGCTAAAACGTGTGCCCAAGTATCTGATTGGGTGCGCCACGAGCTGACCGTTCACTTGACAAACACACACATGGTTGAAGAGGTTATCATTGTGGCTGCAAATCGTGCATTCAGCGTTGATCACCCCGTTTTTCAAGCTGCTAGAACCACACTGGTACAAAACACTCCCGCCCAATGCGGCGGCAAGAGAAACTCTTGTTCCAAAGATCATCCTTGAATTGGTCGGCTTTTCTGGGTCTCAGCCATACGATTTCATCAAATATGCCTTTGCTGGTTTCGATTTCACTGCCAACTACGTTCCTCAGGACCTTGCATCGCGCGGCTTTCCAGAATCTGAACTGAGAAGTCCTAGACTGAGAAACTATCCGTATGCACAAAACATCCTGAGTATTTGGAATACGATTCGCAAATTCGTCCATTCCATGGTTGGGGTGACCAAATATTCCAGTGACAACGAGGTTGCTAATGATGCCCCAATCCGGTCATGGTACAAACAAATTCGAAATGAGGGCCAGATACCATCGTTTCCGGAAATCAAAACAAGTGACCAGCTCATCGACGCCATTACCATGTGTATTCATGTTGCGTCGCCTCAGCATACAGCAATCAATTACCTTCAAAATTTTTACATGGGCTTCGTACCAGCCAAGCCTCCATGCTTATATACTCCACTGCCCAAAACCCGCGAGGAGCTTGGCCGCAAACGCGAAGAGGACCTCCTACATGCACTCCCCGTGGGGCACCAGCGAGAGTGGCTATTAGCAACGCAAATTCCATGGTTGCTCAGTTACAAGCCTGCGGAGGAAGCGAACTTGTTCACGTACTCCGACAGTCTGTACAATCTTTTGCGCAAGAAGTCAGGATTGAGAGATAAAAAGGTGACAGAGATCGCGAAAGTCTTTCACGAAGACTTGAGGGCGTTGATTGAGCAATTCAAGGCAAGCAGCGATAACATGACCACGGACACCGTGCCATACATAGTTATGAACCCAGGAACTACCGCTGTCAGTATCTTGTTGTAAAGGCTTGGGATAGTTTGGCAAGTGGAGGAAAGAAGTAAGTATTGCTTGTGAAAAACCATCGCGGACATTATTGACTAGGCCAAGGATGCTTCATTCCATTGAGATTCACAGCCTCTTGTATTTCGAGAGCCTTGTCTTTGATTGTTGTTGATACATTCGTTACCATTGTAGTAGGCTTTATTGCTTGGCCTGAGCTCGTTTTCCGATTCATATCTCATGTAGAGGGTAAGCTGAGACCCTTTTTTGACTTGAAAGCCCTCTGGCTTGCTGGCCTGCAGGCCTGCAAATTGATTAAGGTGGTCTGGCCAACCGTGTGGTCCGCTCCAACGGAATTTAGATACACAATTCTAGTCAAGCGAGCTATTCAGGAGGTCGTCTCCAATGATCAAGCGTAGCAGTCAGAGTACTTCGAGTGTTGAGATCACGAATATGACGAGAATTCAATCAGGTCTAAAGCACCACACTTGCATAATTTCTTTCCTCTCTGCCAAGCATTTGACTTGCAGATAATCTTCCTCTTCAGCTTCAATTGAGACTGATCACCTCTCAGTAATCGCGTAACGCAATTATGAATTTAAGGATACAGCACATTTTTCAGTGCTATAGGTTACGTACCCCACGAGCTCCTCCTTTTCAAAGCAAAAAAGGTATGTTAACTCAAGCCTACCTCTTCCTCGAACCAAGCTAGTTCGTTGCTGAATTTACATTGTAGCAGGCCTACTACCCTCTCAGCCACTCTGCCGATCTCTTGTTCCCACCCACCGCCCTTTTACCACAACTTCTCCCCTCAAAAGCTGGCTCATACCCAAAAAAGGCCACTCAGACAAAAACCGCAAAGGCCGCTGCCGCGTTCCCACCGGTGGTTCAACTCGGGGAACGACCGTGATATGGGGCGACTATGGCCTGCGCCTTAAAAACCACGACCGGCGTATCCCCTCCAAAAATCTACAACTTGCGCACGATACGATCAAGAAGCGGATGAGAGGGGAGAGGTATAAGTTCTACACGAGGGTGGCGGCCAATACAGGGGTGTATACGAAGGGTAACGAGATGAGGATGGGGAAGGGCAAGGGGAGTTTCGATCATTGGGCGGCTAGAGTGGCAGTGAGTCAGATCGTGTTCGAAATGAAGGGGGCATGCCATGAGCAGGTTATCAGGGATGCGCTGAGGCTGGCGGGGACGAAACTGCCTGGTATGCAAAGAACAATTTCCTCAAACTTTGCTGGCAATATGTCAATTGTGTAGGCTGGCTGCTGACGAAGGATTCTAGGGACGTGGGAGTTCGTCAAAAAGGGCGACCCCCCGGTAATGGGGCTGACGAAAGTGACGGACGGCATCACGCTCGCGGGCATGCCGCGACCGCGTCCAAAACTGCCAGCAGATGTCTCTCCAGAGCGATTGCCGGCGTCAGTACCATCTCCTCAACCAGATTTAGCCACTCCTCCACCAGCTCCGAGCGCACAGGCACCACCGTGACGATTTATATGATCATTAGATTATGTAAATATACCAACAGTCTTCCTTTTCTGAACGGAGCTAGACCACCTCAACCACCAACACCGCTACCCCCACCATAACCCTGGATCTCTCTCGTTTCCTCCGCAGACTGCGAATCATCTTGGAACTTTGAAGCGCCGTAACTGGAAGCTTGGTTCCCTGTACCTTCACTCTCTGTAGTCTTTCCACCCATACCTCCCTCAGAGATGCCTTGTCCATATCTTATGTTCTCCGCCTTCTTCTCACCTTTTTCGGCTTTCTCTGCGTCTTGGACTGATGACACGGAGTCGGGCTCTGTTTCTGCGTCTGCTAAGGTCAGCTCTCACTTCAAGATTTGGCAGGCAGTACGTGAAGCACTAACTGCCCATTTGACCGCCGCGCTTCGAGTGAGGCTCCTGATGCGTGGAGATGCCTTCATATCTTTTGAAGCAGGTTAGCATTTGGTTGGGAATTGCTTGATGTAAGGCATACTGTGTCTGCTCGCCGCCAGCTTCGGTGTCCATGAGGCTTGAAGACATACTCGTAAGGTTAAGGGTGACAGTCTACGATGATTTGGAGATTTGGAGGTTTGGAGGTTTGGATGGTTGAATGTTGAATGATGTGTGCAAAGAAAGTCAATTCACCAGATGACGCAAAGCCGCAGCTAGCCGTTCTCGAATATCATACGCTCGACGCAAAGGTTTTCAATTATATGTCATACATTGATCAATCATAATCCATGCCCATGAGATAACTACGGATCGTTAGTCTGGGATGCAACAAAACTTATCGAGGTAGCATACCTCTCTAATATCCTCATGAACTTCGCGACAAAAGCTTCAAGGTGAAAGATGTGTTTCTGTGAAGATCAGCATCGTCCGACGAGGCGCGATTATACGGGGCCACGAACGCTCCCAAGTCGTAGCCGATGCTCATAAAAAGCTGACCATCTGATCACATCTGCCTTCAGCGCATCATCAATCTTCGGTATGAGTTTGAATGTCAAGGTCTGCCATGATGACTTAGCAACCTCATTAGTAGCTTCAGTACATCAGAACATACCTTCAAAATAGTTGTAGGAGGAATGCAGTGGCTGAGCAAATCGTACAGCTTTGCTCTCACCTGCAATATCCTCGCCGGCGTGTGCTCTTCCACAATCTCATTCGCAATCTGTGCAATCAAAGCCTCCCAATCTGGTGGAGTGATAGGCGTCTTTTCCGTGACTCTCTCACTATCGTTGCATCCCAGTCAGCTTCGTCCAAGTCCAAGAGCGTAATGTCCAGTATCGAAAGAAGGAACACCCGTACTTCTGCGCATGCACCGCCTCAAACATCAACAATCCCTTCCTCAAGTTCCTCCCACAATCCTTCGCAATTCTCTTCAACACTCCTTCCGGACTATCCCATCCCTCCTTCTTGCCCGCTGCCCTCAGAACCTCCACAATTTCGTCCTCTGTGGGCGCTGCAACCCTCACCAACAACGTCCTACTCCGAATCGGCGCAATGATATTGCCCGTTGAATTGGCCAACAGTATCAACCGCAGATTCGGCGAGTACTTCTCCATCGTCCTCCTCAGCGCTGCTTGCGCGTCTCGCGTCAAATGATCGGCTTCATTGATGACCACGACTTTAAATCGCTGTTTCGCTGCCGTATCGACCTGTTGCGTTTGCGCAACCTCTTTCAACAGCTCCTGTATGACGACTCGATCGAAGTGCCCGACATCAGACGGTGTGATCTCAAGGTGGTAGTTGGAGGTGACGATATTGAACTCGAGTTTCCGGTTAGAGGTCGTTTGGAAAACGCGGGAGTCGATTTTGATCTTCTCGACGCCGGGACCATAGAGAGCGCGCAAAGTGGCGATTATGCGAGTCTTTTTACCGGCGCCACTGGGTCCATATACAAGAAGGTGGGGGAAGTCGGGGCTGTTTGCCTTCAGGATGGATTAAAATTCGTACCACAAGAAAAGTGGGACGTCTTACAAGGCTCTTTAGTCGATTCGAAAGATCCTGGTGATATGTAAGGGTCTCTAAGCTGCGAGGCCTATATTTGTCGACCAAGAGAGACATTGCGGTTTTGCTTAATGATTGGGATGCTGCGTTGCTCTGCAAGACTGAGGTGACGCGCTCCAAGAAACGCGGTCGGGAAAGTCACGTGCGCGATATTCCCCTTTAAGCACTCGTTTCTGGCGGCAGGTGCGTTGTACTTTCATAAAGAATTTAAGATCTCTTCTGTTTGATTAAAGATTGATATAGTACATGAAAACCTCGTCAAATGCTAATGACCGTGAACGCATGTTTCTCTGAGCAAATTGGGTATTCTTCATCAGTGTACATTGTCAACGCCTCACATCATCTTGCTCCTTCACAAACCAGGTTCCTGATCGTTATCGAACCCTACATCCCTATCCTCGGCAGAGTCGTCTCGTTCATAGAGTCTCTCGGGCTCAACGTGGCGACGGAAGAGATACCTTTGGAAGAAGTAGGGGATCTGCCTCAGTCCATACGCAGCGTGCTCATGCGTTGGAACGGAGAACACTTGATCCAGTTCCTCCAAGGTTTTGCCCTTAGTCTCAGGCAAGAAGAACAGCACCAGAAAGAACCCAATAATGTTCCATGCTGCGTACCAGCAAAACCCGCCAGTGATTGTAAAGGCGGTACTCATTGAGGGCCAGGTAATGCTCAATACAAAATTGAAGAACCATGTTGTCGCAGTAGCTAGAGACATCCCGTAAGTTCGCACGTACAATGGGTACGCCTCGGCACTGTAGGTGAAAGGCACCGGTCCCTCTCCTGGAGAGTACGCAATCCCGAAGAGGTAGACGCCAAGCGCTACGCAGGCCACACGAGCTGTGTGGTGTGTCTCCTCAGGAATCAGGAACGAAAAGCCGGTAAAGAACAGGAAAAGAGACAGAAGTGGGAAGGTCGTCAAAAGTAGGTTTCGTCGTCCAAATGTATCAATCGTATACACAGCGGGGAGCGCAAAGAGCCAATTGATGATACCGAACCCTAGAGACGCTGAGAGCGCGTTGACTGGATTGAATTGAGCGTCAAGAAAGAATTGAGACGAGTAGTAGGCTATCACGTTGACACCACAAAACTACATTTGTTAGTCTATAGGCGATATGGACGCTTTCAGGGAAGTTTTACCTGCTGCATAAACATGACAATCTCAGATCCCAACATTGCTCGGCGATTCCGGGGAACCCTGACGAGTTCTAAGATTGGGTTGCCGTGAAGATGCTGAACTTCTTTCTCTGCTTCGAGTAATGTGTGCATGTAGAAGACGTCTCGAGCAGCCTGGACTTTGGTATAGCGAAGGCGACACATGGACTGGTAGGCCTTGAAATGACGATTCTTGCTCATGTACCAGCGAGGTGATTCGGGACACCAAAAGACAAAGCAGATCACAATGACGGCCGGAAACATGGCCGAAGCCATCATAATTCGCCAATTCAGTCCAACAATACCAGACGAGTCAGGCACTTTATAGAAAGCCAAATCGGAGGCATAGCCGACCATGATACCGAAAGCTGTCCACATCTGCCATTGCATGACTATGATAAGGTCAGTATACATGTCTCTTTGTGAAGCACGTCACCCTTACCTAAGGCTCCACGGATTGGAGGCGGGGTGGTCTCAGCAGCATAAATGGGGACTGTCGCTGACTTGGGCCCAATGCCTAGACCCAGAAAGAAGCGAGCGATGAACATATGCCACCATGTGTTCGTAAAGCCTTGCCAGAAGCATGCTATGGCCGAAAAGCAACAGGTTAGGAAGATGGTGCCTCGACGACCAAAGAGAGTGTTCATGGGTGTGGTGAGCCAGCATCCAATGAAGGCACAGCAAAGATAAGGGGCAGAGTTGAGAAGACCTGTGAGCCATGTTGATCGAGCATCTTCACCGTTGATGCCGAACTGGCCTCGGTAGAAAAGTTGGGCGCCATTGACGACGGTCTCGTCTAGACTAGGTCAGCTTCTTCTTGCATTGACATGTGCAGACGACTACTGACCCATGCCTTGAACGGCAGCGCATGTTGCGCACAGGATGATGGTCAAGTACATAAGGCGCGGCTGGGCCCATCTGTTGGTGAACTCTTTCTTCAATATAGCCAATTCATCATCGGTCAAGCCAGAGATTTGATCGTATCGCTGGGGGTTCTGGGCAAGACAAGCGCCCTTCTTGAAGTTGCGGATATCCTCCTCATCGCCCATCTCATGCTTCCTGGCATAGCTGGCGCCCATCTCCTCTAACCTCGCGTGCGATACTCCGGCCAACGGATTCGCCTGTCCTTGATCAGAAAAGGCTTCAGCTGGTACAATTCCTTAGAGCTTACCAGCTTGGCAGAGATATTCCTTCGCATTTTCTCCGCCGTCGTGACAGACTGCTTCCGACCCGTTTCGGAGACTGAATGGTTTTTCGTGTCATGTTCTACCGCCTCGATCTTGGTTTGGTCACTTGATCGACCAGAGGAGCTACTCTGAGCGCGTTCTATTTGGGCCATGTTGGCAGAGTGATGCGAGTAGAATAACTCTGTAAGATTAATCGAGGGTCGCAATTCGTCTCCCGGGGATTATATGGTCAATGCTCAGCCTCGTCACCTCTGTCCTACAAAGCTGGTGGGTTGTAATTTGCAAGTGTCACGTCAGGTGTACATGCATTAAGATAAGTGTGACATGCGGTCGCTTGTTCGACCCAAAGGATTGATCATAAAGAGAAGCGAAAGAGTACGTGGCGAAGGGCAGGAGAGAGGTGTCGTGGAGAGACGAAGTGAAAAGCAGCTGAGGTAGGGAATAGGGCGACGCACGGGCAAGGCATGACGGGGGGGCTTAGCTCTTTGCAGGATGGTCTAATAAACGGCGTCGCAAGATGAGGAGACTCCAATTGGCCCAATGACAATAAAACTAAAGACTCTGCCCCGCGTCGCCCAGACCCCGGGGGGATTTTAAGGTATGGTTCCGCCGATCAGTCGAACCGTTAGAGTAGTACATCCAAACTTACCAGCGGGAAAACGTGGCAAAACCTTCCACTAATAAGATCCTCTATTTCTCTTTGCCTGGCTGTGTTTCAATCATGTATGCACTGCCCATGGTACAGAGTAACATTGCGGAGAGTTGTGGTCCAGTATTTGGTTGAACCACCCCGACGGATTACGTGCAGCATTAGCCGCCTGGACCTGAAACAAATCCAGCTGAATTGCTGATCTCAGCACCGTCCTCATCCATATTCACTACGTCATCACTTGTGTGTGTAGAACAGAGGGGGAAGGATTCCATGCACGGTAAGAAGTCAAGGCGCTTCAGCCTTCCCATCTTCTTCCTCAGTGGGTGGTGGGAAGGAACCACATGAAGTTTTGAATTCTTTGATACATGTTCCATGCACTTTCGATGAGAATTGCTTGTGAACGCATCTGCAGGGATGGTAGACCAGCGATCGTGATTATTTACAAGACCTGGAACAATGATCGAATTTCAATCAATAAGGCAAACCAAAGTAGAGGCGATAGAAGTCACGTACATGCCTAGTATTTTGTATGAATTGATAAGTCCAGTGATATATCGGAGAGGACATAGGAGCCATACACAGTAAAAGAGCCACAACTGCAGAGGGCTAATAGAAAATGAGACGGTTCTCGCTGTGATACCTATTCAGAGTATGGAAACGGGTGCTAGCGGCGCTTCCCTTGATTGGTGTCAGCGGAGGAAAGAAGGCCCTTCGCCGGCTCCGCAACGATCAAAGACACAGTTTCATTGTTGGCTTCTCTTCGACACAAATGACTCGCAGCCTACGGATGATGTCTCTCCATCACCCTCCAGTAGACACCTATCCTTCTATTCAACTTGTCGATATCGGTTGAAAGCTGATCAAGCACCATTACTTCACCATGGCCTCTACAGGCTTCAAACCGTCAGCTGGCTGGCATTTCCCACCCGGCGTTGGCGCAAAGCCTAGGAATGTTCCTGGCTCATTCACAGAAGACTCGCAGCCGCCACGGCCAGAGCCAGCTCATCCGACAGAAAGCCAAGATTCGTCCTCCAAATCCCACACTGAGCCTCGCGAGCGAAAGCCACGAACTCACTGGCCTCCACGAACCTGCCGCATCTGTTTCGAAACAGTCCTCCCCACATTCACCACCGCTAGCGAAAGCCTTCCTTCAGTCTTGCAGCCACAACCGCACGTGAGCTACACATCAGCCGACCCCGAGCTTGGCCGTCTCCTTCGCCCCTGCAAGTGCAAGGGCACATCCAAATACGTGCACGAAGGCTGTCTGCAGGCATGGCGGCACGCCGATCCAGGCTACGCCAAACGCAACTACTGGCAATGTCCTACATGCCAGTACAAATACCGCTTGGAGAGACTCACTTGGGCGGCTAGGATCAGCAATACCTTCACCCAACTTCTCCTCACCGGACTCATTTTTCTGCTGGCTTTATTCTTGATGGGCTTCATAGCTGATCCGATCATCAATGTCTATGCTGAGCCTACCGCTCTCCTCTGGAGTCCTCGGTCCATAGGGCAGAAGATTGAGCCGCTCCTTTCGGACGAAGATATACCGACTTGGGGCGAGCATTTCTTCAAAGGTCTCATGAGCCTGGGTTTGCTGGGATTCGTGAAGGTACTGATCGGCATGAGTCCATGGAACTGGCTGAATGTCCGCTTTGGAGGTTCGAGTAGAACTGGCAATACGGGTAGAGATCGAGCGGCGCAGATCAGTTGGATCGTGGTGGTCATTGGCGTGTGTACGTTCCTATGGGTGAGCCAATCTACAACCAACTATTTGTGTTCAAAAACTAATTTTGTATGGCAGGCTGTGTATAAGGGCGTCCGAGCTTGGAGCCGCCGAACCTTAGAAAAAGCAAGTGAAAGAGTGCTCGACATACCAGTCGATAATGATGATGACGAAGAAGAGGAGCCTACGAATGCAATTTGATTTCCTAGATTGTGAGTCTGCTCAGCATAGCGTGGAATGATGCCTCGTCTTAGCTTTCTGTCTATGAACGATCTGTAATGGACGCAAGAGCAAGAACTGTATTCCTCTTTTTCTCCGTGCTAGTTTCTGCATTCCTTCCTAAGATAGCCTCGCTCTGTTCAGTCATGCAGCTTGATTGCAAGTATCCTGTATGTACGGCATAATCGTCACGATCGCAAAATCTTGAGTTGCCACAGTCTATCTCCGTCAATGACGTGCCAATCAGTCAATATGCGAAGATCGAAAGCCTTCTGCCCGGACTAGGGATTGTGGTGTTATGCCACGCCTTTGTTGGTGCTTTAGGATCCATCACTATTTCAGTCATTCGCTCGGGCTAGCTGCACTCGTAAGGGTCGTGCTTCTTGTCCGACATACTAAGTGATACATTCCTCCATCTCTAAATTTTCTCTAACAGAGAGGGATGTCACGAGCGTGGCTGTAGTGAGATTCTGAGATTGAAACTGAGTTTCGCTGCATTTGATAGGAATGCCACCTGTCGGAAGAAAGAAAAATTAGAATCATGATAGATTTCTACACTCGTGCATCACCGCATTCTCCCCTTCTAAACATTCACTCTAAGGGGTGCTGGGGATTTTCCGAGTACTCTGCTAGCCCTCTCATATTCACATTAATAAATGCTTTCCCTTTGATCCTGACACAAGTTCTTTGTGAAGTGGCATTACTCATTAGCAGTCACGTGTCACAATCATCAGCCTTGGCATCATAGCTGTCCTCACAATCCATTGCAGGTTCCCTATTATTCTCCAGAACCACCCCACCATCGCTGTCACTCTGTACGATTTCATTTTCATCCACCACATCGTCCCTCCGAGCATCACCTACCCAACCATCCTGTATCGTTTTGTACCGGTCAGGTCGTTCCCTTCTTAGCGCCTCGCAAGCCAAGTCCGCAGCCCTCGTCTGCGTCTCTATCAGCCAGAATCCATCTTCAATTTTTGCAATCTCCCTCTCTCCAACTATGACGGCGCACATAAGCCATTTCTTACCTCCGGCATCATCTCGCTTGTCCATGACGTATCTCACATCATCTTGGTCTGAAAGTCGACCCAGCTCCTCCTTGGGATGCAGAAGCGCGTTGTCTGAGGAAAGAACGCGTCGAAGATATGTCATCAGGCCGATATGCTCTAGAAATTTGGTACATTCGGCTAGAGAGCCACGTGAGTCGATGTAGATGGCGCCCAGGAGGGACTCTACCAGGTCCGAAAGAGGCTTTGGAGGTCCGAGACGAGCCAGAAGGGTCCAAGGATGGCGCTTGCCATGCTCGAGCTCTCTCAGGATAGACTCCTCTAGTTTTTGCAAGCGGCTGATGCATGCTTTCTGGGCCTCACGGATAGTAGGTGATGCATGGCGTAAGATTTGCCAGAGATAGAATGGAACCATCTCCTCTATGGTGGTAATGTTCTGTGGATCACCAGTCGATGGATTCCGGCGGGAGATATCGATCGAGTGGCGCAGACAGAGAAAGCCAAGAAAATCTGCATTTACCATGGCTGAGCGAACCAAATGAAGCCTACCAACTGGTAAGGGTGGCTCATGATCATGGGCGAGAACGGTCACAATTATGTCGAGGCAGGCGTCGCCTATAAACTCTAGCCGTTCATAAGGGGCAATGACACCAGGAGACTGGTAGGACACATGGGTGATAGCTTCGTCAACAAGAGACTTTAGACCAAATTTATGTTGTATCAATTGTTCGGTGCGGTCGACATATGCGTGAGTTGAGGGCCGACTGCTATATAAATTATGAAAAATATGAAAGGCATCGGAATATGCATCCCATGGCGCCTCAGGCAAGAAGACTTTCGTGCACCGTAACGCGTTTTCGAAGCCTCCTTCAAGATACGCGGCCCCAATCAGAGCTTCTACGACATCAGCAAGAATTTTGGTAGACATTTCACGAACTTTTGGCAGTGGCTGTGCCAAGAGGTCTTCGTTGAAGAAAGGTCGCCATTTGGAGCCTGTAAAAATCTTCGTGAAGATGTATTGATCCAAGCCTGTAGAAAGTGCTGCCCGAGCGAGATTGGTATTAGATATGATGTGTTCCTTCATACGTGTAAGAATGTTCTCGTAATACCTCAGGTGCTTTGCCATCAAAGCCAGAGATGTTTGTAGCTTCAGCAGGCTATCGCCAAGGAACTCCAGGCGTTGATAGTCTGTAGACTCTCCGGCGCTCGAGGCAGTGATTGCGGTAGCTATCAACTGTCTGTTGGTACATACTATTGGCGAAAGTAGACTCGACATGAGGTTTTCGACAATGAAAGCAGCATGTATTTTATGAAGCATCGATGGAATCAATGAAGCAAATTGCGCATATTGAAGTGGCAGTCGATCGATTTCACAGCTGCTAGAGAGCAACCAGTCTATTGCAGGTTTCTTCCTAGCCAGTGAACTTGCGTGCAGAAGATCTGTCCGTTTGGAAAGTCTGCACACCTCTAAAACCATGTGATACTTGTCAGATTCAGCATCGAAATCTGGATATCGCTTGATGAATGCTGGAATGCGGAGTAAATCCTCTTTCATGGCGTATTTGACGTCCTGCAAGACATGTGGTAAACCGTTCCGAAAAATATCCCTGACGAGTCCGAGTTGCTCAACAACATTAACACTTTGAGCGTCGGCTGCAGGTACACTTCCATTAGAAAGAGCCAGCCATGACCTCATTGAATCGGGCGAATCGAATGGAGAAAAAAGCACAGGCAGGTCCTTGCGGTTTGGAGTCATCTTGCTTCGAAAAATGGATTGCAGCAGCATACTGGTACTAGCACGAGCAAGGGCCTTAATTTCCGTTGATACTTGGCCAATGTTTGGTTCAAAGCATACCGAGAAAGTTGTATTAACATCCCAGTAAATACTGAACTCGTTGACAGCCGGGGCACGGACGGGCAGGAACATGAACATCTGAAGATTGTTTTCCGCATTACAAACACTGACTCTGGATACGGAAAGTGTATCGTCATGGTGCCACTCTCTGGCGATGTGAGGCCACATGCTAATTTCCCCGGCTACTTTGGCCACATTTGGTCGAATCTCAACCCTTGAAAGAGCGGCTTCGACTTCCGGATCCAGAGTATGGGATGGCAAAAGGTTGTCGTTGACCAGACCAGCATGATATAGAGCACGGTATGCTTCAAAAGCGGCATCACGTCGAGCATACTTCTCCTGCGTCCACCGACAAGAGCCACGCGCCACCCTAATATCAGCATCGACTGTGTTTGGAAGCAAGACTGTTGCTAATATCGCCTTTCGCTTCGGATCTGAGGAAGAGTCGTCGTAAGTGTAAGTAGGGCTTGGGTCGGTAAAAGCATCCGTTGTTGACGTATCACAAAAATGAGCTAGATGCGCTGTTGCATCGATTGGTTTGATTTGTGCACTTTCGCTTCTCAATCGGTGAACTCAAGTTTGCAAGGATGGAGCTTACCCTGTCGTTTCAACAAGAAGGACTCGGGTATCCTCCTCTTCAACTTCTTCCGCGTTGATGACCTGTCTCTGACGATCATGGTACACTTCGCCAAACTCTATTTCCATACTCCGCCATTCGTCTGAGATGTCAAGGTCGGCAGATCGTTCGAGAAGAAGGACATAACGTGAGGTTGGGTCTCTGGCTCGACCTCGTCGCTGTACGAATGATCTCAAGTTCAGAGGCTTCTCAAAACAAATGACCACGTTGCACGAAATTACATCAATGCCTTCCTCCAATGCATCGGTAGTGACGATCAGATTTGCGTCGCCTTTACGGAGGTCTTCGAGAGTATGCTTCTGATCTTGAGCTACCATAAGCTCGGCGACGTCAAGTTTTCGCCCGGCGTAGCTTGAGCTGCCCACAAATGACTTCGTCACAAATTTTCGGGTCATAGGATGAAGGGTCAATATGTGCGAAATGATTGAGACTTCGGCTCGGGTCTTCGCAAATATCAGACCCGTGAAGCCAGTCGCTTGCTCGGTGGTCAAGAAGTCAATCAATGCCTGTAATTTAGGTGTGAAGCTTGATTGCTCTGTGATACTTAGCTCCTCGACATTGGGCAGCTGAAGCTGGCCAAGTTTGTTTTTCACATAGTTGCGTTCATCTTCGTCCAAAGATTCTAGGGCTGCATATACCTCGTCTTTCGCAACCAAATACTTCGCCGCACATTTACTTAAATATAGTGCACTTGCGTACGGGCCAAGCTCAGCGTCAACAATCCTTGTACGATTCAGTAGCTTTTTGATTTGTTGGTGAGAACGTCTGGTCATGTTAGTGTGGAAAAAACACAATCATTACTGCGGACATACGTTGAATTGTTGAGCAATGCATTCGAGAGCTTACTCCGAGACCTAAAGTCATCGCTAATGGCTTTCATCCGGATGATCCAGGGATCCTCATGGATATTTAGGGACAGGAAAACTCTCTCAAGGCTCTCTAAAGCTTTTGAAGGCAAGAAGAGGCCACTAGCCCGCGCGAATGTGAGCTTCAACAATGTCGGCTGGTGTACGTGCTGACCTAGTTCTTCTTGATGTAGCTTTGGCGTCCTCGAGATAGCGTTCAAGTTCGATTCGATGTCACTTTTCTCCAGTTAGCACATCTATTTCCAAGCGTTATGAGACTGTAGAGCTACCCAAGATTCTCGATTCTATTGCTAGGTGTGGCCGTCAAGCCAAGCACCTTGGGTCGGTCTAAGTCTGTCAAAGGGTGGTAGAAAGATCTCAAGATCTGACAAGAAGGGTGATTTTTGAGAGCATGATGAGCTGCATTAGACGTCTCAGCAGCTTTTACCATGTTCCTAAAAAAGCTCCTACCTTCGTCAAATACTAATAATGCAATTTTGTCCATTCGCATGAAAGCGTGCTTCAAAGCGTCAAGAAGGATCTACGATATCAGCTTGTAGGAATCATCTACCTGCTTCAGAACGCACGGCATGGGTTGAAATCACAATGTGTACGCCTTTTAAGACCTCTTCCCAAGTCTGACGAGACCAAAACTCGCAGTTGTCTGCACCTGATAGGACTCTAGATTGGAAAGCAGGAAGGTCGGTACACATTCTGCGGTGTTGCTGATTTGCAAGTTCAACTCGTGGAACACAAAACCAAACAATCTTGCTAAAGTGACAGTCTTCCAAGGCTTTACGGGCTCTCAAAACAGCAATAAGCGTCTTTCCAGAGCCAGTTGGCATAGCAGCAATTATGTTTTGCTGGAGGCTTTCCTCCAGCATCTCAAGTTGGTAATTCCGAGCTTTGAAAGCATTTTCAGACCGCTCAGCTTGCTCATTCGTAGAGAGTAAAACATTCATAGCTGCCATGGTTGGGGCCGAGCCTGACCCCTTTACGTTACGATCACGTAGAATACGTACTGCACATGGTCGTTGGACGATGCAATTTATATACTATTTCAATAAATATGCGGTCAAGTTCCACAAGACCATTGAAAGGCACGGGCAGGGTACGAAGTAGTAGACAAATCGCAGTTTTAGGCAGGGCAATAAATTGATTAAATCACAAACGGGGAAACGTTGCGCCGATGACACAGCTCCCGAGGGCTTTGCGCGTCAAGCTCTGCCTTCTTATATTAGAGACATACATCTGCATTACTTTTTTCTACTCACTAGCCATGGCCGACAGATACTCATTCTCTCTCACAACTTTCAATCCGAGGTGAGTCCGGATCCCAAAAGCTTGATCATGGAGCTAAGAAAATACAGCGGAAAGCTCGTCCAAATAGGTTCGTACGTTAGCAAATGCTCATTCCGCCACTGACACCTAGCCCCAGAATATGCACTTGCTGCCGTCAATCAAGGTGTCACCTCATTAGGAATCAAAGGTTCGTTGGAGGCTTTGGTTGGCCACAGATTGAGCTACAGCTAATTCCCTTACGTAGCAACGAATGGCGTCGTCCTCGCAACCGAAAAGAAGTCTTCTTCTCCCCTTATAGATCCCCCTTCGCTCTCCAAAGTTTCTCTCATTTCTCCAAACATCGGCATGGTCTATTCAGGCATGGGTCCAGATTACCGTGTACTAGTTGACCGGGCGCGAAAAGCGTCACATACGAATTACAAGCGTGTGTACAACGAATATCCTCCCACCAGGATTCTCGTACAAGACGTTGCAAGGGTCATGCAAGAAGCAACGCAAAGTGGTGGTGTGCGACCTTATGGTGTTTCTTTGCTCATAGCTGGCTGGGACGATGGCGTCTTACCGGAAGATGAGGAAGCAGAAAAAGGGCAAACTGAGGCAGAGAAGATGGTGATCGAGGAGGAGGGTAAAGGTGGTAACGGGAGAAAAACCGGAGGAATATTGAAAGGAGGCCCAAGTCTATACCAGGTAGACCCGTCAGGAAGCTACTTTCCATGGAAAGCGACAGCCATTGGGAAGAGTGCGACATCGGCGAAGACATTTTTGGAAAAAAGGTATAAAGATGATTTGGAGCTGGAGGATGCGGTACATATCGCACTTCTGACGTTAAAGGAAACAATAGAAGGTGAGATGAATGGAGAGACTGTTGAGATAGGTGAGACTCCTTCGAGATTGCGTTTCTGGATGTGCTGATGACATTCCCAGGCATTGTCGGTGAACCGGCAAATGACCTACTCGGCTTCGAAGGTGTGGAAGGGGCTGTTGGGCCAAGATTTCGAAAGTTGAGCAAAGAAGAGATTGAGGATTACTTGACAAATCTTTGATAGAACCAAGACACTCAATGCTTTTGAAACCGACCACACCAATTTTGGCCTCGCTATTTATATACAAGGCTAACGTCGATAAAGTCCTGCGCTTTGCATTCTCAGCAAACAATGTCATTTTTCCATTATATAGTGCAGCAACTTCCCTAAGACACCGCGTACAAGCTCTGGTTGTTCCTCCGCTGCAGTGAAAAGTACTGCCGTGCTCAAAGAAAATGCTAGCTTTTCTTTCCAAAAATGGTTCCCTTCGTACGTCCTTGGCAGGTGAGTGGCCAATGCCCTCGGTACAACGAACATTGCTAACTCCTGTCTTCGTCTTCGGTCTTCCACCAACGCAGAGCAGCCGCAAAGAGAGCAAGCAGCCATCACACATAGCCCTGAATCCCATTCTTGCGGACTCACTGACTTTTCACTGAATATTCTTGGCCCAACAAGGGTCCGGGAGAGGCATATCCCATAGTACATTAGTGCCACGAATGCTCCAAGGAAAGAGGACGATCTTGTAGCCTCCATGCAAGCCCGAGTCACTACATCGACGGATATTCTCTTCTTTGCAATACCCTTCACTAGGAGCTGCAGTGGCAAGTTGGTGGCTAAGGCGAAGCGAAATGCTTGGCCAAACCGCACAATAGCATGCCAATTGCAGCTGGGCCCACTTCCCATATGGATCATCTCACAGGGAAGCGGTACCACCTTTTCAGGATCACCCCAATGCAAAGGCCATCCGTATTCCTTGCACATGCTTTGCAAAAGACGACCATCTTCCCCTTTGTCTGCACCATAAACGAACCGGCCACTGCGAGCTCTACGCAAGGCCCCCATTAATCGAGGATCCACTTGAGCTGCTGAGCTAATCCACTTGTTGTACTCTTTGGGTAGGCGATTTGAGTGGTAAAACCACGACCACATGATCGTGCCTGAGCTGAGAGCGAAGAGAACAGTGTCAAAATGACGACACAAGATCAGCCAGAATCTTGGAGACAACGATTGTGGCCGCGTCCATCTACCCCCGACGTTGCACGCAAGAACGTCTGCGGCGCGAACGGTTGCGAAAAGCGTCAGGTCAAGGCTCTTGCCACACAGTTTTCGAGTACAATCATTGGCTGGATGTGAGACTCCCTGCGAGGTCTCTACCAGTGTTGCACCGGCCGTCTGACTGCGTGTAAATGGAGCGTCGCGTTCATGGGCGGGCCCAATATTTAACAACTTGAGACTGTACCATGCCGAGATGAAGGCTGACAAGAATAATAAAAGCCGGGCTGACTTATTCCTGCCGAATTGAGAACCATCCTTGAAGAAGGCAGATGTAGCAGCAAAGTCAAGGACTGCCTTTAAAGATAATTTGAGAAATGTATAGCTTAGGAAAAGCGCACCACAGAACGCTGGGAACTCATTAAATTTGGCAGACTCAGCGAAGATTGACCTAATCTATGCAGAGTCAAGAAATAATAGTCTCAATGATCGAAACTCTCGCTGAAGGACACAAGAGCAAGAGTGGGATTTGCTTACTATCAATGCGAGGCTTCCGTTTCCTTTGCCCCTTCTGTATCTTGCAATGAGAGCAGCGAGCAGGCTTGGGCCCGTTGTGGAGGCAAAGGCAAGCCCGTAGGCTTTAAGGGAGCTGCAGAATCAACGGCCTTAAAAGATATTCCTCGAAAGACTAATCATATCGGCGTCGCGGTTTGCGATACTTACGGTGATAGTATTTTCCACTTGTTCCTATTCAAATTATTGTGTTGATTGGTTCTTTGGGTTGGGATACCCATTAGACAACAGTCAAAATGCGGTCGTTTCCATATGTTCTCTATTTTCCATTGCTACTCTCACGCGCCCTATAAGCCAGAGCACGTGTAAAACATGCAAGGTCAAAGACACAGGCATAAAAGAGACGATTCCAGGTATTCCAGTGCCTCCTCGAACGTGACGTCTACTTTATACCCCTTTAAATCCCCGGACGCGCTTTCTTGGCTTTCCGACTCTGCCTCGGCTCATGACTAGCGCCGATGACTAACCCACGCGAAATGAAAAAAGGGGCTACTTCGATTTGGTGTCGTTCTATCTTCGGCGTTGCGTATGGAATCTGAGACTGAAATATTCAGCTGAAGAAGTATCCCTTACAACGAAGGCTTAGAATCATGATGCTCGAAGCTAAGACCTATACTAATCTTTTACGATACCGAATGTTGAGTTCTTCGTAGGACATCGTGTTGGTCTCGATAGTTGACAGCGGCAAACCCCAAACGTTTTATCATCAGAGGTTTACGGGGAATCGGAGGCCTCCTCATTGGCGTTGGGTAGTGCAGTAGCTGTAGTGCCCAGAGTATGAATATCCTTTGGACCTCCTATTGAGACCTAAATCCCGCTGTGTTCTGATGAGATCTTGTACGCCGATTATTTCGTCTCTGACAGCAGGAGCGAGTGCCTCAATCGTGGTGTCAAATGCTGGAGCTGGGATGAGCGATCGATCAAAGATTTGTGATATCCAATGCCTAAGAAGGTTTTAGTGTATCGTATCCTTGTCCAATATGAGAGTCATTCAATTCAAGCGTCCTTGTACAAGTTTAATGCTAGTAGGCATATCATCGATTCTGGCTCCATCGTCCGGCGGGGACAGATATCTAGACTCTCCTAAAGCTGCTTCTTGCTGGTGGATAGATGACTCCAGCATCTCGCATTCGCCCAACTCCGTCTCAAGTGTCTCCTTCTGTTGTTCTAGATCATGCTGTAGCCGAGAGATACTTTCAGTACCTTCGCCAATACGTTGCTGCATCTCACGCTGCAATTGTCAGCAAGGCACATATTAATGCTGCTTTGCAGAACTTGCATTGTTCTTTGCCAGAGCCTCGTAGTCAAAATCTTCTCCACTTGACTTTGGAGGGAATGGTGTCTTCGGAAGCCGTTTGAACAGTCTAAAGATTTAGAGCGTGTGAGCGAATGAAGGTGGGCGAGCTCACGAGACTCTGATGGACTGCAACAGCTCTTGTGCTTCGGCTTTATTCTGTTCTGTTGGAAATTTTGCAAGCACCGGAATTTGAATACTTTGGATGAGTTGTTCGATCGACTGCTGAGCAGCAGGATCTAATGGCGCCCATTTCTTTTCAACGGTCTTTTGAGATACGTGCTGCACGCGGGGAAGGAGGTTCTCTCCAGGCAAGATGTCAGAATCATTTAGTTTCACATCAAGATCGACATACTTGGCTCGGGTATCGGGTCGCGGCGGTATGGTTTAATTGCTTGCAAGGAGAGCAAGTTCCTTGAGCCAGGGTCTTCTATTCCATCATCTGGCTCAATGTCGCGCTCGTCGCGGTCAGGGCTCTGGCCATGAGGGGGAGCGGATTCTTCATAACGTTTCCGCGGAATTTTCTTCTTCCGAATCCCTGTAATACTCTTACGTTTCACCTGCAACTTGTTAGGGATACAAAGAGACCAGGTAGATTACCTACCATCACGTAATTGTTCGAACATAATGGTAGTGAGACCAAAAACAAACTACAGAGGTCGTCGCGTGGACGGGCACGCGGCAGAGCGGGCTTGTGCGGGGAGAACATTGCGCAGTGGGGCGGAAACGCTGGCAGCTGAACACACCATCTGTTTTGCAAAGAATACACTTATTCTCCCCTCACAAGATTCTACGTTTGGCATGGAAGATCTGTTGCGATTGCAATGGCGAGCAAAGAAGAGACGAGCCCAAGCAAACAATCAGGATTTCCTTCCCACGAAGAGTACTCGAGCCCTAAGAAACGCCGAAAGGTAAATCACGGTAGGTAAGGCCATCGGCTGTCTGCATCTTGACGAGTGATATACTGATCTCTTCTGCATTCAGCATGCATATACTGCAGGCGATCGGTGAGTTGCCCGTCACCAGGCAACGTGTTGAGGCTGACACCTTCCAAAAGCATATGACATGCGATTTAGAGAGGCCCTGCAATAGATGCATAAAACGTAGCATAGGCCATTTATGCCACGATGAGCCGAGAGAGACGAGCAAGTTGAAGAGCGAGCAAGAGGGTATTTTATTTGGCAATGGGGCTGCAGGCGATACCAATACCTTCGCTCAAAATCTGATGGGCCCACCTCTTGATGGGTCAGGCCCGGAGCAGCAGCTATTGGGTAATATGAGCTCGGATCTGAATATGGGGCTTCCGTCGGGCTCTGTTGGACAGAGTATGCCACCATTGCCTCAGACAACAGAGCCACTAAGCGAGCCCCCGAGTTTTGATGACCAAGCCCACTCTTGTGAGAGCTTACCTCGCCTCCATGTGTACAGAGACACTAACGTCTTGAGTAGTCATGAACTATGGAAACTGGGGATTGAGAAATCAAGGCGACGTGAATACTCTATACCCGCACTACATGTTCAACGCCCCAGACATTGGAAGCGAATACAGCGCGCTCAACAATTTTCTAAATACGAGTCTTTTGGATGAGGGGTCATTGTTTCCAGTAGATGAAGTGCAGTATGCTTCTGAACAGCCCTTGGGCAATCAACTTCAGACTTCTGACAATGGTAACAATGAGGGTCCTGCCGAAGTAAGACAGGTCTCGCAAGCTGAAGACTCTGCTCAGCCTTACCCAGCACTTCGTGGATCAATATCTCGCCCGAAGAGTACGAAACCACCCGATAAAGAAGATGAGAAATTCTATATGAATATCGCTGATCCATCCGGTAACGAAAAGCCCGAGGAACGAATGAAAAGGCTTCTTGAAGCGAAGATAGCCGCGGGCCTCTTGAGACCTTTCAATTACATCCAGGGTTACGCGCGCCTTAATGCTTACCTTGAGAACCACATGCAACCAGCTTTGAGGCAAAGAATGATGCGGCAGATCGATAAGTTCCGGCCCAAGTTTCGCGACAAGATGAAATTTTTGACGGACAGAGAGCTCACTATGGTTGAGATGTGGTTCGAGAGGACTTTGATGGAGTACGATCGAGTCTTCGCTAGCATGGCAATCCCAGCATGCTGTTGGCGAAGGACTGGCGAGATCTTCCGAGGCAATAAGGAAATGGCTGAGCTTATCCACGTACCAGTTGATAAGCTGAGAGATGTGCGTACCTCATGAATCATTTGGTGGCCCTCCTTCTGACGAGTATTCCTTCTAGGGCCAGCTGGCGCTCCATGAGATCATGGCTGAGATGGACCTTGTGAATTACTGGAACAACTTCCTGAAGATAGCCTTCGATAATTCTCAAAAGGCTATGTTGACGACATGCACGCTTCAAAGTCAGAATCCAGAGGCTAATAAAGTGGACATCAAATGTTGCTTCTCCTTCACGGTACGGCGGGATGCCCAGCATAACATGTAAGCTTCATCACCTCATAGGTCAAATTTCGTCCGCTGACCGTAGCAGACCATCTTTAATTGTGGGCAATTTTTTACCCCAGATTGCACGGAAGTCATAAATGTATAATTAGTGGCGTGGTTGGTAGTGCTGCCTTGCATAGCGTGGGGTGATATTTCAAGCAAATAAGACTACCTGAAGCACATCTTAGGTGTCGCGTATTGGGTCTTTTGCATTGTTAATTCAACCTTTTCAGCATCAGAACAACACGGTGCCGCTGCTGTAAGTTATCGTTCCCTTTCAAGGCATGCTGTGAACCTAGAACGGTCCCTTCGCCAAGAGCATCTGCTTCCGGCAACGGTCCATATATATGCCAATCTAAGAAGGTATTGATGAGGTGCAATAAATGCAAGACTCATGGCACGTCTCGGCCCTTTAAATGATCGCGGTGAAAGGTTACGCTCTGTTATTGGTCGCGCTTCTGCATCATTGATATTCGATGCGGGACTGACAGCAAAGCAGGCTTTGCAAAGCGCCTGATAGAATCTCTGGAAAACAACACAAATGCGTTAACAACTCCTGAGCTGCACAGCGCCGTCGATGACCTCACTTCGCTTGAGATTGTATCTTCTGTCAATTCTAAATGCGAGCTTGACAAGCTTGGTACAGCACTATGGAATCTCACAACCAAACAGAGGGACTACTCAGATGAGAAGAAAGACCTCCTTTGCCTCCGCAAGTTTGCGTCTACATCTCCCATTAGGATATCATTACTAATGACCACGTAGAGCGTCTGTTTGCTTGTTTGTTGATTGAGTATGCGCAACGCGCCTTGCCTCGATCTAGCTTGAGTGCGCTCATAGCCCGTCGTTCGAGATGCCCAACTGAATGATGTTAGACGATTTCAGAGTCTTGAAATGCACCATAAAGGCTGCCAAATACAGTTTGGGTATGTACACCTCATAAGTCATAATAATCGTACCTGATGATACTGCTAGATCGAGACCAATTGAGCCTTGCAGAGGTAGCTGTGGAGAAGGCATCCATATATGAGGAGAGGCTGAGAGACCGCCAACACGAAGCAGGCCAGGTGCAACAACACTTGCTCCGCGATTATCTACTTCTCAGGATCGCATTGGTCAGAATACGTTGTCATCTGCTAGCTTTGTCGACTGTTGACTAGAAGGTAGGCATGGCGACAAGGCCGTCTCGACATGGCAAAGCTCATGTATTCCAAAGTCAAATCAACTTCGACGCCTTTAAATCAAGCTTTTGCTGAGCAACTTGCCGATCTCTTGTTCGAGGTTGCAAAGGATCAATCGAACAAGAGTGATCATGCTGCCGCTGTTGATTGGTTCGAAGATGCCTTGGACGAACTGTCAAGCCATGAGGTAAACCAATTAAGTAGCGACGGCATTGAGCTGAAGATGTGTACGATGCATTACCTGGTCAAGGCTCACATAAATGTCGGAAGCGCAGACCATCGTAACAAGGCTTGGAACGTTGTCCAGGAACTTGAGCTTGAGTATGGACAAAAGCTTACAATTTCCTTATTGAAACTAGATCTTTACGCTTCGGAGCCAAACCCACAGCCTACTGAGTATGCGAGCACACTGGAAAAGATCGTACGGACCGTTCATCTTACTGAAATCAACATCAAGACAGTCTTGCATCACTTGTATCGCCTCAGATCGTGGTCTTCCTCACAAGCACTGAATGTTCTCCTCATCCTCATCAAACAGAGGCTTTTGGACAGCGAGGAAGTGGCGTGGCTCGAGAAAGGACTAGTGACCATGGTATGGATTGCCACAAGCTCGTCTGAGTCTCCAAACATCCTTGATGTCCTGAAGTGTCTATTCGATGAAGTCGTAGGCTCCCCATTGAAGATGATCGGCTCTGTAGCAACGCATACAGCTCAGATGCTCATGTGGAAATCGATAGAATCATACTATCAGCAGCAACAATACGAAGTCTCGAAGTCCTGGTGCCACTTATCACTCCACAATCTATTCAAAAATGCAGGAGCGAGGAATGTTGGAAAATTGCAGAGAAAGCTAATTCTTTGCGCTCTTGATCAAGGCAGCATCTCCGAAGCAAGGGATATACATGCAGACATGTCAACAGCAGACCAAGATGAGCCCGCAAGCCGATTCTTGATGTACAAAATCGCGCTCAGACGTCAGGATGGAGAATCAGCGTCCCAATGTCTGGAATCTATCTGCAAGAAGAGTAACAAAGATCCTACGATTCTATACGCCTGCGTGTTGGAAGCGCAACGATCTGGAGATCAAATCCAAAGCATTGCTGCATTACAGAGAGTTCTTGAGGATCATAATATGGATGCGCTCGACGGTGTTCACTTGCCGGCGCTGCTTCGATGTACCGCTAGACAGCTATTTTCTCAGCTTGAGAAAAGCTCTTACCCATCAGGCGAGCAAATTGTTGAAGACATCTGTAAGCTTTTCGAAGGCGCTGTAGCCCAAGCAAGAAAATCTAGAAAGGACCCTCATACATCATCATTTACGATACATGAGCTTGACTGGTTTTCTCGAAACAGTTACAACCTCTCTTTGAAGCATTGCTCTACATGGTCTTATCAGTATACGCAAAGGACAGTCACCTCATGTCTCAAATTTATTGAGATGTATCCCACAGATCAAGACCTCACAGCTGCTGACGACTTGAATTTGAGAAGGCTTTTCTGCTATTTCTTGAGCGGGTCACTATTGACTGCCATGGCACGACAGGAAGATCTGCGTGAGACACAATTGCAGCAATATCTGGATTTGAGAAAGGCAGTCGATTCGTTTCGGGTAGCTTTACCAGACCAATTGAACAGACTAGGCAAAGGCCCCTCAGCGGACCTTCAACGAAAATTTCTCAGTCTCTTAGCTTATGACTTTGAAGCAGCCGCTCGGCTGAAAGCGTGGAATGACCTCCAGTCGATCATCAAGGTATCCAAAACCCACTTCGACAGCTGCCTATTCTAATTGACACTGATCTGTAGGAATGTGAAACCCACGGCAACGCCTACGTTTTCTCTGTCCTAGCGGACATTGTTCTCGCCTCCGAAGCTCCAGCCCACAGTAAGTATCCACCCGTGCCCTTGAGTAAGCGAGCCGAAATTTGATGCTTCTAGTAAAAATCACAACTCTCCAACAAATCATCAACGGCACTTGGGCCAAAGGTGGCAATGACATCTCCAAGCTCTCTCGCTGGATCAGATGTCTCTTCTCTCTTGCCCAAACAAGCCGAACGGAAATCGCAGAGCAACTGCTTGAGCAGGCAATCGGCGTAGTCCAGAGCTCCAAGGGCGTATGTACAGGAAATCCTGCATGGATGCCATCATTTTGGATGTCATGCTAATTCACAATCCAGGGGCCAGATAGCAATGCCTATCCCGCGGAGGAGCTCGAATGGTTAGCAACGATGACTTTCAACCACGCCATTGACTTCCATTCTTCTGGGCAGGAGGTTGATTGCCGACGTTGGGCGGAGCAAGCTTTGAGGTTGGCTGATCTTGCGGCGGATAATGGTGCTCTGCATCACCTTTTACAGGAGAAATATCAGAACTTGTCATGGCAGAAGGCTTGATCATTCCGAATCAATTTCCTCTTGCAGGAATGCTTTCAGAACTCTATTTCGGCAACAAAATTATTGCTAAATGTACAATCACGTTTTCAAAAATGACTTCGTACCTTCATCCCAAGAACACAGAACACCGGACACCTTAATGCTTCGCTGAGGGGGTATAATGAATTAGAAGAACTGCTCCCTACAAGCAATGTAGGTAGCTATTCGCTTGCGCCGGATTGCGCCTGTTCGACACTTTTCCTCTTCGTTCCAGAGGTACTGTCAATACTGCGATTCTCTTTCATGTCTATCTTTACCGCGAGTCGCTCGTCAATCATTTTTGCGATGTACGCATCGAAAGACTGGCCAGCCGGCAGCAGCTCCGACGGTAGCACCTCGTCTGACTTCCCACAGTCGAGATCGTTTACCGCTTGTAATGCATGATACATTTCACCTTGCAGTTCTCTGATCGTTTCCGGTTTTATTTTGCCTGGGATCGATGAGCTACAACGCTTTCCGAAATTCCGCAACGATTCGCATAGCTGCTCAGCAGATGAGTTCAAGTCGTTGAGGTTCGCTGCGCTTTTGCTACGGCGTCGCGGATCAAGAGATGGTCGTGACCTAGGCTTTTGGGTTTTGACTGTGTTCTTGGGACTTGTTGACGTGGAAGAATGATCTTGGGAAGACCTGCGACTAGGTTTCGATGCATTACGACCGAGGTTCGCTGCACTATTACCCATGGCATTGGTGCGAGCTGCCAGACTAGACCGTGACGAGTTTTTGGTTAGCCGCGACGGCGAGTGACTTCGCATTGGACTTATCGTATCCCCCGAGCTCTCGAAAGAACGCTGAAACTCGGCGATCTCAGACTTTGTCAACGTCTTTCTCATCGGCGGAGCAGAGCTAGGGGTTTGTTTCAGAGGCGACTCGGCGCGGATAGGACTCTCACTGGGCGTACTATAACGCTGTGAAGCTGATGTCGCGGTTACGCGATAGATGATTACGGTGCCGTCCATGCCACAGCTGATCAAATAATTCGATTGATCATCACCAGCCTGCTTCTGAAGTACTCTAGCACAAGACACTGCTGCCTGTCCGTGCTCACGAGCCAGGAGTGCGCCACTATCGTAATCATGCAATCGAATTGACTTGTCCGTAGAAGAAACTGCTAAGACTGCCAACAGCGCACCGTCTATTGAATCAACATTGACGGTTTGTAACGATGAGGTCATGACACTGTCGTTGTTGTAGGGATCAGATGGCTTAAATGTCTGTAGTAGACGACCGGAGGATAGGTTGAAGCGCTGGATTTGTCGATCCATCGTCGAGACCAACAAAGACTGCGAATCAAATGGCGCGATTGTCAACGAGACCGGACTTGCCCTTAAGGTTATAGTCCTAACTGGCAGAAAGGCGAGAGACCCTTTGTCTGAGTATGCTGCTCTTCGCAACAAGATAGATCGGTCAGAGGATGAAGAGATCAACGTCGAACCATTCTCCACGAACTGTACGGCCGTAACGGAAGCTGCATGATCGTCAATAGTCTGAATGAGATTAAGAGTCTCCTCACTCCATTCAAAAAGCTGGAGTGTTCGATCTCGGCCGCATGTACATATCAAAACTCTACTGTCCGTTCCGGTTGTTGCAACCTCATTAATGTCGCCATTGTGCGCTTGTTCCCTTGCTATTTCTGCACCAGAACGGTCGATCACTCTACGATACGATTCAGTCTCTCCCTCTCATAAGATCATCACGTGCAAACAATCTCACCTGAGCAGACCATACTTGTCGCCCACAAACATCACATCCTCCGTCTCAGCTGCGGTCAACGCCTTGAGCTCGTTGGGCTCGCATTCGAATGATCCATCTGATTGGTCGATAGGGATGTCAATCCCGCCGGTGCAAGTGCCATCAAGGTTCCAAAAGAGGATTGTACCTCGAGCAGCGAAGGTCAGAAAATCTGTTTGTCCCCTGCGCTGCCATTGGAACAGAGAGCAAACGCCAAGCACAGCACTGTCGTGAGCTGGGAGCCTTTTAGCTACGATCTTTGCAGCATCACCTTCAATTTGTCTCAACTCAACCACTTTGTTGTCGTCGACAATTATCAAATGGTCGCGAACCATGCCAAGAGCGATGATACCGGGCGCCGAGGGTTCACTGCCAAGTGACTGTTCCACTATCTGGTGTTCCTTACTCTCAAGGAGGTCTAAGGGTAAACATTGTAGCTGACCCGCATTACCTCCCACCCAAATACTGTTGTTAGAGCCGTCGTACTGCAGCGACTTGATACTATATTCTACTTGTACTAATGTTTCAAGTTTCTGGTCAGTGCCTTTGAGAAGGCAGACGTCTCCCTGGCTTGTGCCCACAACCGCCCTCTTGCCAAGAATAGCACACGCAGCAGTGAATATAGCATCGATCAAGGAGCCAAGAAGGCAATTACGTCCAGTCAGAATTTTCGGTCCAGGGCTACCAATCGTCATCTGAGGAGCTTCGCTTACCAGACGGCTCTTGGTAGGTGACGATGGCTTTTCAATTGCCCAGACTTTTACGTGCCGTGTACCAAAGCTTACTATAGAGTCTTCCATCCATATGATAGAATGGACATTACTGCATTTATTGCTCGAGTGGAGCTTTGCGGCGCCCGTCTTCGAATTCAGCGAATAGAGCAACAGGAAGGCGTCGTAAGAATTTCCGAGTGTACAAAGCCATTTGCAGTCACCAGATAGGGCCACTGACTGGACACCAAAGCTATGGTCCGTCAGAATAGACAATGGGACATCACCAGGCGATTCAGCAGACGTAGAAAACAGGAGCACCCGCGGGCTGTATCCTGTCTGAGCCGATTAGACCTCCGCAAATTGAGAAGGGATAATGCTTACCTCTCCGACAGCTAAAACATCATTTTTGCTGCTAAAGGAGACGCACGTAGCCTCGCGAACGCGATTTTGAACCTTTGTATTGCCTTGCACGTCTGGCAAGCTGCCCGAATGTGGGCTAATTCCATTAATTTGAGCTGCATCTTTCAGTTGTGTAGGGTATCTACTTCTTATAGGGGTTGTCGGAGGCGTTGCGGGATTGTAAAATGACGATGTCGCATTGATCGGCAAGGTGTTCGGTTTAGCACGGAAGACTCGTTGGACGATTGCTAGGTCCTTCTGGACATAAGAGACTATGGCTGCGGGTCCTGCGCAGTAGACAAAAACGTTTTGAAAAAGGCTCGAATCAAAAGCGTTTGGTGAAGATGTGGTAGTTCCGATGACAGTCTTCAGATTTAGCTGTAGGCGATCCTCATCCTGTGCGTGACGTGTGCTATTACCCATTGGATATAGCTTGGCTCGCGGAGTAAGCCTGAACCCTCCGCCTGAGGGGCCATGACCAATCGAGCTCATCCTCAGGGGATAACGATGTCCATAATGACTGCATTGATGTAATATACAAGATCATCCGAAGGGAGTCAATAAATTGTCAGCGATCTTACTGAAATCAAGCTTACGTCAACCTCAGACTGCTCATTATACAATTTGAGCTTGGACTCGATGAACCCAATCAATTGTTTACTTTTCAAGAATCGCGTTTGGCGCGCGTCAATACCAATTGTTACCCGTCAGAATTGGAATTAAATTCCCATGCTCCGTCTACTAGTCAGTGTAAGGGCGCGTTCAATTGGGCTCAATATTCAATGAGGCAGCTTTGAAAGCGACGACATTCATACGCGCCTCATGTTCTCTTAGCACTTCATGTCACAAACCAACCACTATTCCAGAATTTGAATACTCTTCCATTCAAAGCAAACATCCAAAGCCCCACTAAGCCAATCGCTGCGAAGGACAGAGCGAAGAGGTTCCTTCTTTCTCTCCTTGCAAAAATTTCACTCCGTGTTGGTGCTCCTTCTAGAACTGTTGTTTTATCAAGATCTGGCAAATGTTTGAACTCGAATAGCGCTTCTTGTCCGAGGCCAATCTTACTTTCAACAACTAGTCGCCAAAAAACGTGTCGAAGCGTCTTCAGTGGAGTCAGCGTCATGATGGGGTGCTTTGACCTCGAGAACTTACGTCGATCTTTCTCTTGTCAAGATAAGCAAATGATCGATTAAGATATACTAGAGTCATGAGAATCAAGCATTGTCCAATGACGAGTAACCGATAATAGAGACTTGGCCGCCCGATTCCCAGCTCATCCGAAAGCTCATTGCCATTCAACCATCTCGCATTAGCTTCAATAAACGATCTTGAAGGAAACGCCGGAGGCTGATCCTGTAAACAGCTGATGACATTGCTGGCTAGTATGCGCGACGTCGGAGACGGTCTCATTTCCAAAGCAAGCATCATCTCCATCATGCGCTTCGCCTTTTCGGGTGTTTCAAAAGTCTCTGTTGGTGTACCGGTCAAGTATGCGATATATCTCCATAAGGCGATATAATCCTGTGTCTCACCTTGTCGCATCCAGATGCCCTGTCGAGGAAGACTAATAAAGACTAAAGTAGCAGAAAAGCTTGCGATTGTGCCGATAGAATCAAGATCATTCACCGGGATGCCGAACTTCTCAGTGTCATAGTAAGAGGGATGTCTCTCAGCTAGAGTCAGTATTCTTCTTCTGACAGCTGCGTGAAGCATCCGGACGCGGATAGCAGATGCAAAGCCGTCTCCTCCAGGTTTCAAAAAAGTGAGTGATCTCGTACATTGCAAAATGAACTGTGTGGTTTCACTACTTCTTTCAGCGCTTTTCCATTTACTGTAAGAGTCGGATGCGTACAATAAGCGATGTCTTGCTATTTTTGTCGAAAAGCCTCCTGCAGAGACGAGTGAGCAAATTTATCGCATTATCGCCTGGTTCAATGACTGGAAAATTACCTGTTCTAGACAAAGTTTCGACAACCCTTCCGGCCCCCTTATCAAAGTCATTCCAAAGCTCTATCTTGCGGGAGCAACCGAACCTACCATGCCCGCAAGGAGGGATTGATAAGCGAGGCCGATCAAGCAAGCACCCCCGTAACGATAGAAGCAATCTTGCCCTCTTGCGATCTGATCCCAATCCACCCAAGCAGGAACATCATTGATATTAGTCCAAAGGTCTTGCAGGATTGTATCGCTTGAAGCGTGGCGTTGCAACAATGCATATAAGTCCTGCCGTCCACATAGCGCCCCATCATCGATGAAACCTGTCGTGACTTTCTTTGCAAGCGGTTTAAGTGAATCAGTCTGTCCAAGTTCAACAAGTCGGAGATAGCACTTCTCTCCGAGCACATCATAAGTGAATTTCATTTTTTCCATTGCCTCCTCTGTTGGATGAAGCGATGAGTGTTCGAAGACATGGCCCCAAACATTTCGTTTGGAGAGGCGACTTTGGAAGAAACCTCCAAGTACCATGGTACCGTAACGATCAAGCAAGGTTGAAAATACCGCGATTCACACTTGGGAAGTAAAAAAGGTCAAGCAACGGGGCAAATGCACTCAATTGTGGCTACGCTCGAACGTGGGGGTCACCATCATGGCGAAGAAAATGGAAAGACAGGAGAGATATAACCAGCCCCTGGCGTGAAGAACCGAACTGCCCGCCAAATCCTGCAATTTGAAAATGTTATTTTTCCCATCCTCGAGCGAGTTAAAGTATACTGTCTGTCAGTCAAAGTCGGCCTGGACCTTTCGCAGCAAGATTTGGCGCCAGTCAAACTTAGAAATGGTGATGTAATTTGAGGATTCCGTACTTTGAAAGGGGCTTCGCCAATCACCTCATTATCCATCCACTCCTGCCACAGACTGTGAACTTGCCCATCCATGTCAAATTGACGGTTTGATCACGTGTCGCTGCACCAGATGCCCCACCCGTCCCTTTTGCGTAAATAACCAGCGAGAGCTGTCATGAGGTCTTGGCGATTTAGCCGAGCGAACCGCGGATTCATCGCCTATGAATCTCTTGGCAATTAGACGCTTTCGAATTTCGGACTCCTGATCAGATTTATCTTCTTGCCTGTAAATTTTACGCTTTCTAGGTATTAGAATAATCTATGCCATGCTCTTATCAATTCGGACGCTCGCTTTTCGCTTTCATTCGCAGCCTCAATGCAGCAGACCTATCTCTCCACTCTAGACTATCATCCCGGTTGCTAGTGGGCCGACGCCTGAGTCGTCCTAGCTTTTCTAATTTCGGAGCCCAAAAGAGAGCGTTCCATTATGATACGAAAGAATCAAGGAAAGTGCAGGGGGGAACGCTCCAATATAAGCCGGCCACAGAAAGCGGCTCACATGGGAAACGAGAGCGCACAAGCAGGAGTGGGAACGACAGATACCGCTCCCAACATGGTGTCATTCGGCGTGATCGACCTTTGGAGAGGCACAAGCCGTGGAAAGCACGAAATCCAGAGCCTAGCGTAACAGATCGGATACCGCGAGAGCAATGGCAGATTCAAAAGAAGGCACTTTCTCAAAGATTCCCTCAGGGATGGTCTCCACGCAAAAGATTATCGCCAGATGCGCTTGAAGGTATCAGAAGCTTACATACAAAGGATCCTATCTTGTACGACACTCCAGCTCTTGCCAATCAGTTCAAAGTGTCTCCTGAGGCGGTACGTCGGATCTTAAAAAGTAATTGGAGACCAAGCGACGAGGAAGATGATGATAGAAAAAAGCGTTGGGAGAATCGAGGTCAGAGGATATGGGATCAGATGTCAGACATAGGTGTCAAGCCTCCTAAAAAGTGGCGCAATGGACGCACCAAAGAGTTGCTGCCATTGAATGAGGTGCCTGGCGGACTGCCCCAGAACCCCCATACACAGGAAGCGTTCATACCCATGTCCGATAGAATTTTTTGAAAGACCTGGCAGTACCGACGTATCAGTCTCTCTGTCAACAAAGTATGGAGTATGCAATGCCCCCTATTCCACATTAGTGGCTTGTGCAGAAAATGAAATATCAGGGCCTTGGCAACACAGGCTGACAAAGGTCAGACAGGTCTCGCTATATTATTATCACTGCTTTAATTCAGCACCAATCTAACCTTTTTTCTCCACATATAGTTGCTTGCATCGCAAAATGACCATCCAAGAAGAGGAAGTCATCAGGATGATATCACCCCGCAAATTCCATCGGCTGTTCACACTTCCGGCAACTGCGAGTCACGGGCTATTGAAGGCTTCTTACTCAACAGCTGGTCCTGAAGATGGTGACCTGCCGACGATCTTGCTTGTTGGAGGGATGTTCTGCACCAGGTGGCACAACATTGTTTATGGGAATTTAGCGCAAAGGGAAGGCGTGAGAATAATCTCGATCGACAGGCCAGTTCTTCAGTCCAATCCAAAGCTCTCCAAATCTCATACACAAGTCACTATTGTCTTAGATCTTCACGTGAAACCCCACTTTCACCTGTTTCACCACCCCTTTTTGCACAACTAACATTACCACAGGCCCGAATTTGGGACATCCACCCCTGTTTCCCTAAAAGATCGTATCCCAGTCTTCTTGGAAACCGTTCCAGCCCTAATTTCCCACCTCCAGATACCCAGTATCTCCATCGTCTCCCACAGCTCAGGCACTCTCTTCGCCCTCAATCTCCTTCCGCCTGCCCTCACCTTCTCTCCCCAACGCATCCAAGCATAGCCTTTATCTCCTCTTGGGTCCACCAATCACACATCTCAGTCCTCTCCCTCGTCGCCGCCTCGCACCTGCCAAACCACCTGCTAAATTATTGGGACGACGTCACAAAATCCATACTCCGTCGAGTCAGCCCCACCCTCGGCACGAGCTCTGGCGCCTTATCTTCTTTTGCGAGCCTTTTTCAATCCGGAGAGAGTGAGAAAGGGAAGCGGGAACAAGAGGAGAGGAAATGTAAGGCAGCGTATGGGATGAGTGGCGATGTGAGGAAGGAGCTGGAGAAAGTGATGGCTAAGTATGTTTTTGAGGAGAACACGAAGGGTGCCAATGATGAGGCGAGGTTGTGCTTAAAGTCTACTGAGGGTTGTAGGTAGTTTGCTTGTGAGGATTATCCTGAGTATGTGAAATGGATGAGGGAGACGTGGGAGAAAAAGCTTGACCCGACTGACGGGGCGGGGGAGTTACGGGTTAGGATTGTGTTTCCAGAGGAAGATGCGATGATTGGAGAGAGGGGAATGGAGTATTTCAAGGAGTGTGGGCACAGAAGAAGTGTGGGAAGGGCATTGAGGTGGAATGCGTTGAAATCAAAGGGACTGATCATGATACTGTGACGAGTCCCGAGAAAGGAGCCTTAGAGTCATTATTCTTAGCAGCAAAGGGTCAATGATCTGTGAATTGATATGCTTGACTCAACCCTTTCCTCGCTCTTTAATCAATTAGTACAACAAAATTTTGCTGCTATGGCTTTCATGGAGAGCCTAGGAAAAATACTAATGCCACTGCTGACTCACACAATTTTGCCAATCTATCAAGGTAATAAGAATTTCATATCCAAATCAGGAAATATAGCCGCATTCAGTTATTCTAAGATTTTAGGCATAAGGTATTGAATGGAAGGCGGCAGAAGAAGAGTTGACCCCCCTACCGGCCACACAAACCGGCCAATTTGTAGGCTGCTTAGAAGGGATTAGAAATGCGCGCTTCAGATGCTGCGTGGCCCTACGCACCTTAGAGTACTCCCGGAGGGGGTTGATTTCGGGGACCATTATTTCTGTCGTCTTGGCGCTCTGCCGTGTCCGTCAGTCTTTACTCGACATCTGATTCCTTCATACGTCCAATGTATTGGCAAATTTATAGTAGTGACCAACGGCTCGTTTCCATTTGAGAGATCATTTCTGTATTTTCACCGATACGCAGTCTATCTGATGCGCTTTGAAGCGGTCTCTCGCTACAGCTTATGCTCGCCGCCAAACATGCGCTCCGCTTGGAGTAATCCACCTCTGGTGTTGGGAACATGGAAGTGTCCGTACAGTGGAAAAACTACTCAGTGTTCGCTGGTGAAAATATCGAATGCACGATAACCTTTACGAACACGTCGAACTCATATCAACGGCGCTCACCGTCCCCTCGAACACCACAAAGGGATCGATGGAAAGATGGACTCCCTGTACAAGCACTCAAACAAGCTACAATTTCATCACATCATCCTTCGAAATCAGGAGCGACTTTCTCAAACATAAATTCAAAACCTCACAGGTCAGCATTCTCCGTCAATGATCTAAACGGTAGCGCTGGGAATCCAGCAGTAACACACGGTGGACCTCCCGCGACTGGAAGTGCAGGCCAGGTAGGAAAGAGTCACCGTCGATCGGTCTCCATCGTCTCAATTGGCAGTGATGTGATCGAGGAGGCGCCAGGAGGAAGAGCTCCATTACCCCGGACCAGGCCGTCACAAGCTCACGGACGAGCATTAAGCATGCAAATCCTGCCCAGAAGAAATGGTCTGCCCAGTCCTAATCCTACAACATGTAAGATGAGTTGTCGCTCTTCTTTACAGTGCTACGCTTACAGTGTGATAGCCCCAAGCCATGACCGAGCCTTCACGGTACCTTCACCTCTAATTCGTTCCCCTGCCTCATTCTCGGGGGAAGAGAGATCTCGCCCGAGAGCGCAGCGGACTCTTACCAACCGATCATCAGAAAGCAGGTCCCCCGGCTCTTTAGCCGCATTTCAATTTCCATCTACAGCCAGTGTAACAAGCCCAAATAGCGGTGCTGCTAGGAAACTTGTCAATTCTAAGGTCTCAGGCCCACTTCGTCGCGCGCTTTCCCCATTGCCGATGGATCAGTCAGAACAGTCAAGCTCAATCACAAAAATACTCTCCCCCGGTTCAGTAAGTGGTACACCGCGAAGCAGCGGAGAATTCTACAACATGAGCAACAATTCCACGGAAACTCTGGCTTCTGAGTACGTAAGTCCGGAGACGTCTCAGATGCTCAAGCCACCAGTACACTCTCGTCAAACATCATCTTTAGGCCCAATGAGAATACCTAAAGCTGAGAAGCTCATGATGGGCTACGTTCAGATCACAGGATCGTTCACCCTTGATGGCTCGCTTGTAAACCAAAGCCCTTTCGAAGAGGTGAAGCGGAAGGCAATCGTAGGCGGACAAGGGGGCGGCGGCTTGGTACGTACGCAGTCGAAAAAGCGCGACAGTGGTATCCTGAGCTCCATGGGTTGGTGGAGCCTTGGAGAAACCTTCGGAGGTCTTTTAGGTGATAATGGAATGAGTAGCATAAAAGACGCTAAGAAGACAACAAGCACCAAGTCTATTCCAATTTTGTCTGCACCACAATCTATTCTATTCGTGGATCTTCAATTGGGTCCGGGCGAGAGTAAAAGCTACGAATTCAGTCATCCTTTACCCCGAGGTATCCCACCCTCTCACAGAGGGAAAGCCATAAAGACGATCTACAACATTGTCATCGGAACTCAGCGTACCTCTACAGCTGCTCAGCATAACAAAGTACAGCGGGTAGAAGTGCCTTTCAGAATTCTGTCATCAATAAATGGTAAGACGTCTCTCTAAATTGAGACCTCTACTCACATACGATGTACAGGTGCTGGCGATGTTCTTGGCCATGATCTCATGACTCCACATGTTTTGCTTTCGAACAGTGCTACTGTAATTAGTCTTGGTAACTCTCAAGCAAATGTTAAATCTGCCAATGGGTCCTTGTCAAAAGCGCCCACCGATTCAAATGATTTTATGTCCTACATCGACAAGCTTTTGGAACACTCAGACCGAGATGACGGTGCAGGGCTTCAATCTCCCACGGAAGACGAGACAAAGACTCTTGTATCTTTGCGGTCTCTACCTACTAGCATGAAGGAGTCTATCGACTTTGCCATCCTCAATAACAACTCCGGCCCGTCTGCGAAACGTAATGTCAATCGATTTGAAATTACACGGAGTGGGCAGAAAGTCGCCGTCATTATGCTTTCGCGGCCAGCCTACAGGTTAGGAGAGACAATACCAGTGGTCATAGACTTTCAACATGCGGACATTGCCTGCTACACGCTACGTGCTACCTTAGAAACATCAGAGACGGTAGACCCAACCATAGCCCTGCGGTCGAAAGCAAGTATCCAGAGGTACACTCGACGCATTCATGCCTCCCACCACGAGTCCACGATCTCGTCTCAGAGGGTTGTATTCAATCCAATGATCCCGACAACCGCCACACCCGAATTCATCACTACAGGGGTGAATCTTGAATGGTGCCTTCGCTTTGAATTTGTCACGGAAAGATCAGATACCCTCGACAATCTGGGCCAAGATACTAACGAATTGATGGAGGAAGTAGCTCGAGACGAACGCGGCACCGTGAAGGCTGCTGTGCAAGGTCTGTACTGCGAGTCTTTTGATGTTGCGGTGCCGTTGCGCGTGTACGGTGCAACGGCGGCGCTCGATGAGAAAAGTGATGCAGGGCCGTTTGCCATATGAAAGGTTGCATTGCAAGAGCTCCTGGAGACCTCATTATCTGTCTACAGAGCTCCAAGATCAGGAGAAGATCTCCACATAGATCTCCTGGGTCCAGCCAAGTGATTCCCACGAATGAGTCCGCAAGCTCGCACGACTTCGGCAACAGATGGGTCTTGCATACGTGGAGTATTGGAGTACGACGGACAGACACCTCCAAGAAGTCAGAAGGAGGACACGGACCAAGAACATATTTACCAAAGCATAGCAAGGCCAGAACGTATGTATGAGGCGATGCAAGAATATTGGAGTAGCGGAGTAAGGCGCACACAACATTGGCATTATCGAGGAAGGCTACCATGGGCATTTATGATCATACTTGCATAGCGTTCATCGTGCTCTATATACCCATTGTAAATATTGAGATAAACCATGTTTTTCACTGAGACTTTAGTCATGTCGGTGTTGCTGCAGGTCAGCTGTCGAGTACATCGATGAGCTGATATCACACTATGTCCTATATGCGCTCTGCATTAGCAGTGTAATACTTCAGAGCTGCTCAGACTTGGATATCATTTCAAGAGCGAGTGGGAAAGGGACGGGAAGTTCTGTGCCAAGCCACCGCTAGCCTGGTTTGCGGAATGCTGGGACAATCGATAAGCGCCGCTGGATCCCCCCAAAATAAACAAACAGTATCATTTACCGAAATCGCCTTCCCGTTTGCTTGGAATATGTCAATTATCACTCGGATCTAAATTGATAGATTGCATCCGAAGACTCTGGTATGGCGTATGAAATGAGCACGATCGTGGAATTCCACTAATTGAAAGAAGGGCCCTTGGTTCCACTGAACCCGATTCTCCGCCCGTCGAGGACAAGTCTCCATGACATCCTTTATAACTACGATGTTAGTCTTCCGACCCTTTCCAGATGTATCCCTTAAAGCGTCTGCTGTGGTAGCTACGACCTCCTCATCGCAGTCTGTGGCATGCCAAATCTCTACCCATCACCCTTTCTCCTACAATCGAGTTCTTATGTCATATGCAAGAGCTTCATGCGGCACAAATAAACGCTTACAAGACCTAATTCCTAGAAATGCCCGTACGAGGGGCCAATTCAAGCCAAGGAATGCCAACAAGGGTTCCAGCAGTTATCAGCTTCGTCAATTTGCAGAAGCGACACTTGGAAGCGGTAGTTTGAGGAAGGCAGTTAGACTCCCTGAGGGAGAAGACCTGAGCGAGTGGTTGGCTGTCAATGGTAGCTTCAGCTCGAAAGCGAATGGGAAACAGACGGTTGACCCGCAGCAGTTGTCGACTTTTACAACCAAATAAACCTTCTATATGGCTCAATAACAGAGTTTTGCTCGCCACAAACATGTCCAGAGATGAAGGCAACGGATGAGTGAGGTGTTTGAATAGACCATGCATGGTAAGAGCTGATGAAAAGCAGGTTCGAATACCTATGGCAGGACTCGGAGAAATTCAAGAAACCGACGAAGATGCCAGCGCCAGAATATGTCGAACATTTGATGGCTTGGGTACAAAGCAATATCGACAACGAGTCGATGTTCCCGAGTAAGATAGGTATGTGCAGAGAATCCTGCCCGGGTACATTGCTGAGATTTCTGGAGGTGTTCCATTTCCGAAAAGCTTCCCCGCCTTGATTCGCCAACTCTTCAAACGTCTATATCGAGTCTACGCCCACATATACTGCCACCATTATCCTGTCATTGTGCAGCTTGGCCTTGAACCACATTTGAACACAAGTTTCAAGCACTACGTCCTGTTTATTGATGAGCATGGTCTGGCAAGTGGGAAAGATTTCTGGGGCCCGTTGGGAGAGCTGGTGGACAGCATGTTGAAAAGTGACTAGCTTCGCATTGGGGTTACACGTGAGATGGGTGATAAATCAAGTCTGCATGATATATTCAAGGTTGTACTTTAACATAAATGAACTTTCACGTCGACCAAATTGGTAAAGAGTATGCGGTGAAACGTTTTGCCGATCACCGTGTATGCAAATCGACCTCAGCGCAAGCTCCAAAACAATCGCCTCACATCCTCCATCCTTTGAGCTTGATCTTCGTTTTAAGTAGCAGCTATCCCAAGATGCTGTCTAGGCAGATGATATCCAAGTCCTCACGGGCATCAATTGCGCGCCAAAATGCCCCGATAGCTATCACCCGTTCGAGAACCTATGCAACACCGGCAGCAGATTCCAAGCCACCGATCGCTTTATACGGCTTGGATGGCACTTATGCTAGCGCATTGGTAAGTAGACATGCAATGTCTCAAGTCTGAGCAGGATGTAGTCGGAGATATGTCTAAAGTGCATCATGACAGTACACAGCATCTGTCAAGTCCTCCTCACTCGAGCCTGTATCGAAATCTCTCGCTGCCCTCTCGGAAGTCTTCAAAAAGGATCCAAAACTTCCCAAGATTCTTACTGCCCCAACACTGAGCCCTTCAGACAAGTCACAGATCATCGCCGAACTCCAGCGGCATACAGGGGCCCAGGATAAATCCAGTACGGTCAAGAACTTCCTTGATACGCTAGCGGAGAACAATCGTCTAGGGATACTCGAGGGTGTATGTGAGAAGTTCCAACAACTGATGGGCGCTGCGAGGGGTGAATTGGATCTGGTCATTACCAGTGCACAGGTTTGTTCCGGGAGCCGTATGGACACCGGGCGGCAGCTGACGTGCAACTTTAAGGAATTGGACCGGAAAACAATTCAGAGATTGGAGACTGCGATTGCAAAGTCTGAGTACAGTCAGGGAAAGAAATTGAAAGTGCTGTCGAAGGTAGGACATCCCACAAGCTCGGGCTCCATGACTGGTGATACTAATTGATGCAGATTGATGCTGACATCAAGGGCGGATTGATTGTGGAAGTCGGCGAGCGAACAATTGACCTCAGTGTTTCGGCAAAAATTGTGAAGATGAACAAGCTGTTGACGGACCAGCTGTGAGAGGGGTTGCAGCTGGAGCCGTGGAGGAATGATCCAGTTACATTTTGATGTCGAGAATGTAAATATATCCACCGTGGGTGGGTAGAGCTTTACAATGATCGTTTCGTCGTTACATTTGACTTAGCCTACAGAGTATCTACAACTTTTACTGACCCTCTCGACTCATGTCATCATGCCAGCTTCGGCGCTGCGGTCCTGAAGGTAGGTCTTCCGATGCGGATTTTCCTCCAATTCAGGCGCTCGATTCAAAGGCGTCCACTTCGGCTCATCCTTGAAAAGGCGCATGGCTTTGATATACTGGGTATTCATCAGCTCCATCCATCCATCCACCTGACAGTGCAAACAGGAAGAGGCAAACCCACATTTTTCGAATCAGTCGTGAACCGATGCCAAATCCCCGCAGGCAAGATGATCAAATCATCCTTCTCCAACCTAATGCGCACCCACCGATCCCCATCAACGTAACTCCTCACATCGAAGAAACCCTCGCCATCCAAAATATAGCGGATCTCCTCGTCCTCGTGCAAGTGCTCGTTGAAGAACATGCGCACTTTTTCCTCATAAACGTCGCCCATGCTGGCTTTGGAGACTGTGATCTCATCGCGATTCTTATAGCTGCGCTCTTTGGCGATTTCGTCGACTTGGGAAACGGTGGGGCAGTGGTGGTACAGCACGCCTAGGTTGGAGAGGTAGGAAGGAGGGAGGGGCGTGCCGGAGTCATGTTCTTCGCGTTGGTCGCCCTGGATGGTATTTGTAAGCTGGGAAAAATGAGGGAACGGGAGAGGAGACTGACTTCGCGGTTGTCAAACCAGTATGCTTTCATGTTGGGTGGTGCAGTGGATATTTCAAAGTTGAATTGCAACTTTCCCACTTCTGTGATGCCGTTTGATACAGTTCTCGGATTTATTAATGTGGCGAAGATGATGTTGGCAGGAGATTCAATGTCGGAAGTGGCCTACGAGGAATGCTCTTGAGAATGCGGACTCTACCTGAGTGGTAGCTGGTGGTAGTGCTTACGACGGATTTCGCAGCTGTGACGTCAGCCCGCATTTAAATGTCTCGCACATGTCGCGAAGTTGTACATTTCCACGCATTCTAGCAGACATCCAATACCATTCAGGAGCCGGGCAAAGCGTTGTAGCTATCTCGACTGGCACCAATTGTGCCTAGGAAACTCCTGCTCGTGAGCTACCCAAAAGACAGAAAGAGTGTGAAAGTTTTGCGCATGCCTATTTCTTTCTCCGTTGTCTTTGCTCGAAAATGTCTGTCTGTGATGTTTTTTCAGAAGGGTCAAAACAAGGATCGTTCATTGCTCTAGAATTTTATTACTTTTCACATCCCCCTCAATACCAACGAAAGAGCGATTGAGTGACTTTACATGCAAACTTATCCTTGTACTTCTTACAGATAGACACCATTACTATTCTCCCTTATTCTTTGCTTCTTGCTTATCTTTCTGGGTCTGGATTCTTGCACTACGGCGAATTGGAGCCGCAACAGGAGCCTTTGCTGCCGAACGAGGTTTCTTCAATGGTTTGCCTCGCTTCTTAGTGCAGCTTCCATCGCCCTTATCACCACCAGAGTCTGCTTGTTTACGTTTCTTTCCTCGCGCCTGCGGATGTGCTGTCGCTGGAGGAGGTGCTATCGCTGCAGGAGGTGCTGTCGCTGAGGGAGATGCGCTGGAGCCTTTAGATCGCTTAGACTGCTGGGACTCACCTTTGTCTTGTTCGTCGTTCTTATCCCCAGTGCGCTTTCGACTCGGGCCTTGTTCGCCAGAGACTCGGTTATTACTTGGATGCTGAGGGTCGGGCTCACGGAGTCTTAGTCTCTCCCGCCGCTCATCGTTGCTCGTTTGCGAAGTTTGCCGGGGCTGCTCTGAGGTACGCGATGTCGGGGTTTGTCTAGGCTGATCTGGAGTCCAACGAATGCGTTCATGATCCTTCTCGCATTTTCTGCAGTAAGCTACCTCCTTAATGGATCCCATTCGACGCGCAAGCCTAAGATGCTGATTCCGTGGTCTTGGTCTGAGCTCACGATATCGAGTTTGGCACTCCCTTGGGGTGTGCTGGAGGAAGTGACTCATTCGAATCCAATCCTCGTCACCGTACTCGTCTCGGAAGCGTAGCAATTCTACATCTTGCTGCTCAGTCCATGTCATCTGAGGTAGGCTGCAGGCCTCACGATATCTTTCCTGGCACTCTGTCACAGGCATCTCAAGCCTGCGAGCGACTTCCTCCCAGTCCTTGATTTCATCGGTCAGAAATAGCCTCAAGAGAAGCCTTTGCTTTTGATCTTCGTTCTGCTCCCATATAGCACCCATTGTGCTAAATCTTTCAATCGTAGGAGCTTCGGTCTCCATCCCCGAGTCAGCTTTTTGCAATGACGGTAGATCTGCTGACTTTCGTTCTTTATCAAGATCAACCAGGGCTGGATCAGCCCATTCATAGTCATGCCCCTCTACCCGCTGGTCCCCAGGCTCTGTGACCACTTCATCGTTGGGTGGTTCAATCCATCCTCCTTGTGTCTTTAGCTCATCCCATGGCCCAGGATCCTGGTCGAAAGGCGAGTCTTCGAGGATAGGCACTATCGTCTCTGTCAGTCCGCTTTTCCGCTGGCAAAAGCGCTAGAACGACCGACCGTCTCGCCCAGTGTAACCAATGATATAATTAGTGCTCTTGAATACTTCTTCTCCATCCTCCTTTCGTACCCAGACCTGCGCTGTATACATTCTATAGTCGCGTTCGATCAATTCCTCCTCCACTCGAGGCCATCTCGCATTATCCGGTGGTGGCTCATCGCCCCGCTCCCGTCTCTCGGCGTACTCAAAGTTGCTGGGGTCTATTTGCGATCGGAAAATTTTTGCAGCACGATGCCAATTGCTTCTCCGATCCTTTCCATGTTCTGCTACAAATTTGTCAGCGACCTGATTCCAAGGCATCGCATTGCTGTCGGTGGTATGATCGGGGCTGGCTCCTGCCATGTTGACTGTCTTAGATATAGTGCTCAGCACAAATCCTTGGGCTGGAAGCAAGAGAATGCCGTCTGCTCGAATGGAAATCGGTGTCTTTAAACCGTCAAGAAGTGTCAATTGGGCAGTAAAGTATGAAATGTCGTTCGGTGATGAAATTGGAAGGCAAATTTCTTCTCCCTAAACTGTGATAATGCCTTTTATTCAACCTGAAGGTTGCCGTTGTCAACAGATGACATCCATTGCCCCTGTGACCTCTTGTTCAACTCAAGGACAACATCCCCTTTGTCACATACTTAGCACTCAGCAATTGCGCTTCGGAACCTGATTGGCATAGGATCTGGGGACAAGCCACACAGTTTTTCAAGTCAAGAAAGTGGGACAAGAGGTGGTGAAACTCAACCCTGAATGAAACTCAACGCTGAATGAAAGTCAACCCTGAATGAAACAGACAATGCTATTCATTTTGAGTGATTTCCAAAAGAAAGCAAGCATTTTTCCTTTGTGCTAAAAAAAGAAAGAAAGTTTGCTGTTTCTTCAATCTTTTGAGCCAGTCGCTCGAATCCTCTCTGTTCCAGAGGATACAGAGGGTTCTTTTCTACTTTCAAGAGCCATGGTAACAGTAAGATCGTAGCTTTATCTAACACTAAAACTCAAAAAGCAATAATGAGCGGTCAATGCCGTCGATTGACGACATGCCACTTTTTCTCCAGGTAATTTTCGCTTCAGTCTCCATCAGACTCGAGAAGCATGGCCTTTTGGAACATATACGTAGCATGCAATGACACAAGGCAGTTCTCATGAGCTATCTTTGAGGAATGGTGCGAAGCTAGGCTATGTCTGTCTTGTGTTTTTTTAGGAAAATAGAGCTGTCTACGGGAAACAACAATTCAAGAAAAGATAAAGGGGGATGCCGTCTCCGCTAGGGAGCCAGCTAGCACTTCTTCTTAGAAGGATCTAGAGCGCATTCAGTTTTGGCCATGACTTGCCCGAAACTGATTCTTCTTCTCGACAATGTCAAGGAATCTTCATTCTCTGACGGTAAACCATGTTCTGGGGTCTCTCGCACGCTTACCGGTGACGTCGAATCTGTAGCGTAGGCTTGGATAGCTGAATTTGTGCTTATGGTCACGTCAGACGCGGTGTTGCTGTAGATCAAAGCTGGGATCGTTGTCGGTGCAGCAAAATTAGGAACGACGGCATTTGCAAGCGCCAGGAGCGCGATGTAGCCAGGACGCATTCTGGAAGATGGGTATTAATTCGGCTGATGGATTGTTCGAGTATAATTCACGGTGAGTCTGTTAATCTTTCAAAGCCATGCAAGTGCTTGCCAGTTTCGGCAATATATAAGGACTCAAGATTGAAGGAATGTCGAGCAAGATAGTCATGGCTGATGAGCAAGATAAAGGACACCGAGTCCTCCTTTCAACTAACAACAAGATCTCCTTCAGGAGCTACTCAGGCTTTGAAAGTCAAAGGTAGCTGACAATTGGTAGCCATTGATGTATTGTTTCGTTGTTAGATGCAGCTAGGTGCACAGTCGTTGTGATAGGAAGGCCTACTATCCAGGCTATCCAGGCTGCCCGTTCCCCTACCCCGTCTCGGGCGTCCTAGCGCCCGATAACGGCTGAAGTTCCAAGGTCTAGTATTCTCCCTTTTCCTTTTCCCTGTGGAGCTTGGAATTGCAGCATTAATGCTAGCAAGCTCTTGTGCTTCAGTATTGTTCGCTACCAAGTAGGCAGTGTAATGGCCTCACAAATATGTCCAGACATGCCTCAAATGAAACGTCGATCAGCAATCTTCCCCATGTACATTATCCATTCTGGTTTGGAGGATCTGCCTCATGCTGTGCAGCTGCGGTGACGCATCCCTTGGACCTTGGTAAGAAAGAAATGGTTCTCCGCTGCGAAAACCTGGAAGGCTGACTTTATGGCAGTTAAGGTGAGCTGCAGATTGGCTTGGCCAAGTACGCATCATTCTCACTTTGAGTGTGGATAGGTCCGCCTTCAAACTCGCGCCCCAGATGGCCCCAAAGGCATGCTCGCTACTTTCGCCCACATCCTAAAGAATGATCACATTCTCGGTCTCTATCGTGGTGTTAGTGACACGAACTCAGGCTGGGGAAAAAGAAGACTGAATGATTGCAGCTTTCCGCCTCGCTACTTCGCCAATTAACATACTCCACCACCCGTTTTGGCATCTATTCGGAGCTAAAAGAGACATTTACAACTGCGCGTCAACAAGCCTCTCTTCCCTCATTGATTGCCATGGCGAGCACGTCCGGATTCCTGGGTGGCATTGCAGGGAATCCTGCAGATGTTCTAAATGTCAGGATGCAGAACGACCGCTCACTCCCTGAGGCTCAAAGACGCAATTACAAGAATGCTGTGGACGGCTTGATTAGGATGTCAAAGGAAGAAGGCTGGAGAGCCTTATTCAGGGGTGTGGGAGCCAACAGCATGCGGGCTGTATTAATGACCGCGAGCCAGCTTGCAAGCTACGATTCTTTCAAAAAGCTGCTGCGGGAGAAAGTTGGCATGCAGGATGGCGTGAGCACTCACTTCACCGCAAGCTTTTTGGCTGGTTTCGTTGCCACTACGGTGTGTAGTCCCGTGGATGTGATCAAGACAAGGGTCATGAGCGCAAGCGAGAAGGAAGGCATCGTTGAACTCCTGACCAGGATATACCGCGAAGAAGGAGTCAAATGGACGTTCAGGGGATGGGTTCCAAGCTTCATTCGCCTCGGTCCTCACACAATTGCTACGTTCATGTTTTTAGAGCAGCACAAGAAGCTCTATCGGCAGTGGAAAGGACTTGACAGCTGCCAATGACCTCGTCATGATTGCAAATCTCTCGATTTAAGTACATGGTAGTAAAAGATACAAAGCGAGGCGTAGGAGGGATAATTGAGCATATAGACAAAATGATGAATACAGTTAATCCTATGCAGTCGCGTAATAAGTTCCACTTCCTTTGGCAGCGACTACCCGGCGAAGGCACGCCGGCCTCGGGCTGGAGGATTTCTCATCAATCATCGGGCCCGCGTTATGCAGATGACTCCAGAGGCTGTATCGGGTCATCATGGAGCCAATCTTATGTAAATTCCTTTCTTTCCCTTTAGAGTCTGGGGTCTGTGAGCCCATAATTCGCTATTCTTGATGCCTTCCTTGATGCACGTCAACGGTATCTCCAAGTCTCGGTTTGACGCTATTGAGGAAACAATCGAAGCATTTAGTAAGAGATCATGCTGCTTATCATACTGTCTTGCAGACTGACCACGATCCCGACAGACCATGGCGAATTCATTGTTGTCCTCGACTCTACGGACCGTGAAAATGAGGGAGACCTCATCATTGCGGCTGAGGACGTCACCACTGCGAAGATGGCCTTCATGATCCGACACACCAGGTCTGTGCAGCGAGCGATGTTGGTTGCGTCAGAAATTTAATTGATCAGTTTACAGCGGTCTCATCTGCGCCCCTCTGACATCTTCCATTGCACATGAGCTTGATCTGCCCCAAATGGTCACTCAGAATAACGATCCCAATCGTACCGCCTACACTATATCCGTCGATGCCTCCGATCCATCTATCACGACTGGTATATCTGCCCACGACCGGGCATTGACCTGTCGTATATTGGCCCTAGATTCATGTAAGCCAACCTCATTAAGACGCCCAGGGCATGTTTTTCCTCTGAGGGCACGGGATGGCGGCATAAAAGTGAGGAAGGGGCACACGGAAGCTGCCGTCGAGTTCTGTCGTCTAGCAGGCAAACGGCCAGTTGGGGTGATCTGCGAACTTGTCGAGGATGGCGAGGAGGTTTCTGGTAGATCAATGCGACATGAGGCTGGTATGATGCGGCGGGATGGGTGTCTCGCTTTCGGCAAGAAGTGGGGTCTGAGGGTGTGCACAATAGAGGATCTTGTGGAATATGTCCAGTATCAAGAAACAACAAAATCTTGAGCCAAGCGTCAATTGACGTTCCCCCCCCGGCGCAACTCTGCGGCTTTATCTTGCAATCAAAACATGCTTCATCATTGCCTAACATGCAAGGTACTCTACTTGCCAGCAACCCGTGTGGATGAACATGATCTTGACCTCAGGGGACATGGGCTGTACTCTCACAATCATTATTTCCACAGCGAACGATATCCTCACCATCCGCGTACAGGCTGAGGACAAGGAATGCAAGCCACTGCGTCCGCAGACCCCGAACCCGGTTAATTGATCACCGCTTACTGATTATAGCTTTGAAGCACTCAGTGATAGTTGAAGTGGTGAATCAATTGTTTGAAATTCCTAGTCTCTAGCGGATCTTATGCGCTAAGAGAATATTGTTTCGGAAAGACGCATAGAGCAGGCAGGTTGATGAGGTTCAAGTGACATATTTCAAGTGGGATTTATCGTGGCTCAAACAACCCCTCCCCTTTTTTCAATCATGTCTGAAGAATGTTTAGCGAGATACTTCTTACACAAATTAGATACTGATCATTTTCTCTCCTGTCATGCAATTTCCTGAAACATCGAACAAGTAGCTACTTTGCGCACTTTGCTATCGCTGCTCGGTCTGCATTTTCTGCAAAGATAATCCCCGTCGTTCTGATAACAAATCTCAGCTCCAATGTTGAGACCTTCCACCTTTTCAACTAATACACACGGATCTCGTCATCATTGTCTTTATTTCAAGCGAGCCTAAATCTCCCCAGCACTAAAAGAGCATTAGAATATCCTCAAGAGGGCAAGCCCGTAATATCTCAATATAGAGATCTTAAATCATCGGCAACACGGGATACCGAGAGCAAACTAGTGGTGATGAAATACATATGAATTAGCAAAAACTAATTACAGTGCGTCAGAGTGAGCAGAGTTCAACCCAATTGCACAAAGTTCGGTGTTGGATAAAGCCATCTACCTCATTAGGGGTCTAAGATTCACGAATGACCTGAAATCTAGCTATATATACTTCATTGCGATTTGAATCTTTATGTAGATTGAGTAAATTGGCAGGGGCTCTTTGCACGCCAGTAAGCCTTGACCTAGGCAACATTGTCTTAATATCAAATACGGCAAGTTGGAGTAGCTTAGTGACTGTGACCCCTAGAACAAGATGCATTTCAAGCGGCTTCAACGCTTGCTAGAATCATTTGCTACAGATGTAATTCATTAACGACTCTAAGCCCTAATCTATTAGTTTGTATACGCAATCGTTGAAAGACCAAGTAGCTAAGAAGGTTCAGCTCAAGTGTCCGCAGAGAGATCTCATCAGCAATTTCGTGTAAAGAGTCATAGCTCATAAGATCATGTCCCATTGGACTCATGAGCTTCACCAAGGCAGCTGGAGCGGAGTCGGTAGATCCTTCCCTAGTACTGGCTCTGCTGTCCCGATGTCACTTGGCCCCCGTGGAGCCCAATACTGACCAGTCTTAGACATGTCAAAGGTGTCGATGAACTTTACAAGAGAATCTGCCGCCTCATCTGGCGTTACAGCTATGTCTCATCAGCAAAAGAGGACCTTTCTCAAAATACTGCAGTTGCATGCTCACCACCCCCAGCGTCCCAGTACTTATCAAAACCCACCCCCTTTGTCATCTCGGTTCTCATGAAACTTGGATGCACGATCCCCACTGCGATGTTCTTGTCCTTCACATCAAGACTGAGCAACTTCCCTACCATGTTCAAAGCGGCCTTGCTGGCATGATGACCGTAATTCCCTCCTCCCTCACTCTCATGTCTTAAGGTAATACTTCCGCTTTCACTACTGACTAAAATGATCTTGCTCCCTGGTTTGAGCAAGTCCGCTTTCACCAGTTTCTGCACGATGAATACTGGGCCGATTGATGAAGTCGTATACATCTGCACCTGTTTCGCCCAATCTGGACTGTCGAATGATTCCAAGCCAAAATAGCCGGCGGAAACGATCACAATATCCAATGTCTCACCACGAGACTTGATCTTGGAGACGATCTCATCGCCAGCATTTTCTTTTGCTACGTCAACACCGGTGACGTAGGTAACATTATCGGCAGCCTCAGAAGAGCTAGCACTACGGGTTGTGCCAAAAATGTGCGTCGATGGGCGAGAAAGGTAAGCCTTGAGAAGGCCTTGCCCAAGACCTCTAGTAGAACCTACGATGAGCACGTTCGGCATGATTGTTGGTCGCGGCCGGTGTAGAAGCTTGATGAAGTGTTTTGGACAAAAGCCAAGTCCACGATCTCCCAGGTCGCTAGACAATTGCACTGAGTGGTGATGGAAAATTTCGGCCGATAGACTGCAATACGGTATAGTGTTCTTGGCCCAAAGCAGTTTGATAGGCAGTCTTGGCGTTCATCACGCAACCCTCAAAAAGGGGTTCGCGCTAGAGACAAGGAAGGCTAGTTTCTAGTGAGCATAGAGGCTTGACTTTTGCTGAGCACAATTGAATGCTGAAAGTGTACTTTTCTGGGTCATTTGAGGAGCAGCGTGCCTTCGTAGAGTATTGAAATTTCATGGTACTTGAGCGAGCAAAATAAACGGAGCCTACCCTCTGCCAATCTATGTATAATTTCGAGTATCAAAAACACCGCTAGTCGTTATTTTACCATGCTCGACACCCCGCGGGCCGTTCCTTAGAAGCCTAGCTTCACGCGTGTCACAGCGCGTCTTATTGAAGCTATGGGTGAACCACATTCTTACAACAAATTTTGTGACTTAACACATCGATGATCAATTCTACATGAACAAATAGAATGGCCCATCAGAACCCAGCATTTCCTTCTCGATACGGTGCCTCGAACCTTGGCAAACTCCCAGATCGATCGGTGCAACCATTCGGTACATCAACTCAACAACAAACACGCGAGACCGCCAGGCAAGAGCGGGAACGTGAAAAACAGGAACAAGAACGAAGGGAGAGGGAACAAATGGAAAATTTGAGCGAGGAGCAGAGAGAAGAGATACGGGAAGCTGTTCGTCCTACCCTGGCCCCGTTGTGCGCGAGCGTCAAAGCAGTAATACACCATGCTGACTAGCCATCTTGATTGGCTGAAATAGTTCAACCTTTTCGATCTCGACAAAGACGGCCACATCGACTACCACGAGCTCAAAGTAGCCTGCAAAGCCCTCGGCTTCGACCTCCCAAAACCCGAACTCCTCGAAATCCTCCGCAACCATGGCATCGAGCAACCTACCCCACAATCACAGCAATTCGCAGATTCCAATCGCAATCTACCCGCTCCAATACCGAAAAGGCTTCTCCCGTTCGTGCAGTTTCAGAATATACTGATGACGAAGATATTAGCGAGGGATCCAAGGGAGGAAATATTGAGGGCGTTTGAGCTGTTTGATGAAGGTCAAAAGGGGAAGATCTCGTTGGATGACTTGAGAAGGGTGGCGAGAGAACTTGGGGAGGGATTGGAGGAGGAGGAACTGACGGCTATGATTGATGAGTTTGATATGGATGGGGATGGAGCAATCAGTCGGGAGGAATTCATGGGCATTTGCTTGAGTTGAACGGGTGGAAATGATGTGATGTAAAGGTATTTGCTTGGTTTCTTACGAAGACATGCTCGGTCTCAAGCGGATGGCGTTCGACTGGCGGTCCTCATGATTTTGATTAAATGCCAATGCGACAGTGTGAGGTACGTGAAGTGATTGTTAACAAATTTGTCTGTCTATCCTCATCTATGCATTCCAGGTATCTACAGCCGTCTATCACGTTGCTACCCACGCATCATGTCCAATAGACCTGTGCCCTATCTCAATCATGATAATCATAAACATCGGTCGAAATCAAGTCTTCTCTTTCATTACTTGAGGCGCTTGATAGACTAGAACAGCGTTTCACGCATTTACAAGTATGAATTGGCAGCATTTGGAGGCAAGCCTATCCCACGATGTTCGTTGTCGAAGTCTTCATTAGCGTCGAGGGCGCTGGTCAAGTCCTCATATGCAAGCGGCTTATTCTTACTGGCAGCCAGAGCATGAGCAATGCGAACGGTGTTCTTGATCTGCCGACCATTGCTTGGTCTCTGAGCTAATTCTTGAATTTGCTTGTCGGTGACGGTGCTTTTCAAGCCTTGCTTCGTGGTGTTGTCTGCTCGAGCTATGAATGTTGCCCAGACCTTGGCCCTTGCTTTCTGATTAAGGTCGTCGTATTTGACTCCAAGATGTATTCGAGACTTGATAGCATCGTCAAAAACTTGTACTCGATTTGTTGTTAGTATCATCACCCCTTGGAAGTATTCTAGCTGGCGTAGAAAAACCGACACCAGGGTATTATGGTGCAGATTGTGAAGGGTACGACTTTCGACGAAAACATCCGCTTCATCTAGTAGGACGATGGCCTTCCATCGGGTAGCCAAATCTAGGATTTCTGCGAGCTTCATCTCCAGTTTATGGGAGTCTAGATCGAGGTCGCCTGCGGAGACGCGATACAAAGGCCGTCGTTGATATTCGGAAACAGCCTCCGCCGTTAGCGTCTTACCAACCCCTGGAGAACCATGAAGTAAGACAACAAGGCCTTGGCCTTTCTCCTCGACGAAGTCATCGAACGCTTTTTGCTCAGGCTTGGATCCATCTGTTGGCTCCGCTGTCGTTTGCTGTACAAGAGCTTGCAGGAGATCTTTCTTCCTGGCAGGTAGTACAAGCGCATCGAACGGAAGGTCATTCCAATTAATATCGTGTATACCGGATATGGTGAATTCGGCTGTGTATCATTTAGTACCATTTCCTCTTGGTCTAGGAGAGCAAACGTACCCCACATGCGTTTGCTAAGACTGAAACCTTGCACTGTCGGAGCACACAGTGATGCCTCCTCGTCCGTAACTTCCTCGAGTTGAAGCGCCTTCTTCTTAACACTTCCCTGTGCCGTCAATCTTCGACGCTCCTCAAACCTTCTTGCAAAGAATTCTGGGTCGTCTGGGTAGATTACTCGTCAGCATGGGTAATAATTGCAGCATGAGGATACTCTCATGTCTTTTGGCGAGGGAGAAGGCCACTGAGTGAGCCTAGTGACTGGTGTCCCTCGCAAATTCCTTTTTCTGCATATTTTCAAAAGGGATTAAGCAGATGAAATATACGAACCCAGGTCAGCATCTATGTTGGCATAGTTTGCGTTGAATTCTTTGAAGGATGCAGCGTCAATGATTGTTCGGCCCCTCACATTGATTTTGATAGCCTTTCCTTTGCTTCGATAGAACGCAAGACCCCTGAACTCGCAATGGACAACTCCCATCAACGAGATGGACCTCCTGCCCCGTTCCACGAGCGTCTTCTGAATTTCAGCGGCTTGTTCGTGGTGAGACAGAGGGAAGACTTCTAATTGGGTGACCTTTCTAGCACCTCGAAATTCCGGGATCTTCAGAAAATTTTGTACTTCACCGAAGAAACTACCGTCGTAGTGAAGCGACCGGCAAACTATCTCAAAATACTTCTGGCCTTTGCGATCTTGTGGCTCACCGAAGTCGAAGAGAAAGCTCCTAGGTTGCTCAGAATCGTGATCGTTTGTGTAAATTGGCTCATTGGGCTTGAATAGGGCCCAAAGCAAGTCGTAGGTTATCTCCCCATGCTCCAAAAGTTGAGTCACTTCCTCGGTCGTCGCCTGAAACCAATCTTCGAGAAAGTCAATAAGTTGCTTTAATTGCTTTATGCCATCCGATTCCTGATCAGTAGGCTCTCTGTGTTGGGCCCTGAAATCGGACAAGAATGAATATAAGAGCTCTAAGCGGACCTAGATTTTGATTAGAGCAGGCTGAAAGTGCAGAATCATTACGAATTACACTTGGATGCTTTCCTCGGAGTGATATGCTCTTCACGTCCTTCAAGACTTCGCGAAGTACGTCAAGGAGAGCAGCGGATTTGATGTCTGCGTACGTTTTGATGCTCTCATATTGTCCTTCTGTAGACTTGTCAGCAGGTCATCTCGAGACTATCAATAGCCAGATACCAGCAATCCCAAATTGTCGTCGAATGACTAGCACCGGCTTCCTCGACTTTTTAGACTTGGCGTTGACGACTTCCGATTGCTCAACGTCTTTCGAGGACCAGTTGTGGCGTTTATGATCCCAGCTGGAGCGGACAAAATTAGTTCACATAGCATTTAGGGTAAGCAAGATACCTACGTTTGATCGACAAACTTGATGTTTCGGTTAGTTAATTCATGACCATAAGGCTGAAAGGAAGTACAACGTACTTTGAAGTCAAGCTTCGAGGTGTCGATCTCATCCTCGGTCTTCTTTCCTTCTCCAGCCTCTGGTCCGTTGGGTGTTGATTTCTTTTTCTTGTCTTTCTTCTTGACAGGAAACTTTATATCAGAATACGAAGGGTCACCGAACGGCCCTGAAGAGTTAGACAACAAGATTGACATAGCATCACCTCTGTCAAGTGGAGTACCTTCAATGTATTCTTGATCAGAGTCTGTGGACGACATTGTGCACGATGTCTTGATATGAATGCTAACAGAAGTAAAAGACCCCACGGATCGATGAAGGGTCAACGGCCGGGGGCAGAGTCAAATGAATGTATATAGCCAGTCAGAGGACTGAGCAGTAGCAGCAAGGTCGTGAAACGTGAAAGACGAAAAAGAGCGTGGTACAAGATGTAGGGCGCTCTGATGGACGTCAGCCTCTAGCCTTGTGGGTTGGCAGCCTAAACAAGAACGTCTTATAGAGCTGCCTAAGTCATACAAGAATCGAAATATGGTGCGGGAAAGAGATCCCTCTCGTTTACTCTAATAAATGGAATAAGTTGCAATGGATAAGTCGCGTCTCCCATCGGTCTATGATGTATAATAATATCGACCCGATTGAGATGCAGCAGATCTGCTCTCCTCAGATGTGGCTGGTGACATCCAGTTCGTTTTGCCACGAAGCTTAAAAGGCTGATCGATTGTCGACCCCTCGACTCACGAGTCACGAGACCCCTCGGACCGTTTGCGAAAGCATGCTGATTAGCGCGGGATAAAGCAGTCCGTCTCAATTCTATATCTGTAAAGCGTTTCCCAACAGCCTCAATGGGTTTTCACAAACCTTCTGCTGTGCAAGAATGGCACCCCCGGGAACCACACTTCACCTCCCCAATGGCCAGACAGTCACAGTCTCACCAGTCTTTGGAGGCTACAGCTTCAAAGCCAATGAGCTTAATGTCCACCAATCCGTCTTCCCACCTGGATGGTCTATCATAATCAACACAAAAGACCATGACGACGACGAAGATGACGAGCCATTGACAGAGAAGGAAAAGGTGTTCGGCTCCAGCAAGAATCCTACTCACAAGTTCTCCCGACCAACGCTCCGCAATGACAACCTCTACATCTCCACAATTTCCAATCCGAGCAGCATAGACTTCAAGCCAGCGACGTCTCCTACAAGGCAGATTGCGATGATGCTTTGGGTCAGCCTGTGGTGGTACTTCCATCTTGTCGATCCCCCCATTTTTCTCCATCTCAAGGGCTCCCTGCTGACCCAGTCCAGCCTGCGCCAAATCCACACCTCACTACAGATGACAGTCGTCATACTCCCGAACAAGGCAGGCCCAAAGGTCAGTGGAGGGTTAATATCAAAAGAGAAGGTATCTTCAAGGGCAAAAAGCTCATCCCCAAACTTGAACGCATGGGCTTGCTTGCTACGGACGAATCATCAGTCGGTGCTTCACTCAATATCAAAAGTGGAGATGGCTGGACGAAGATGTTCGTAAGCTGTTGCCAATTTTGGCAACTTGATGCTCGGATTTTTCTATTCACTCTGTCGCCTACCCATGCGTCGTCCCCTTTTCCTGGTTCCACCCCATTTCCGTCACGACCAGGGTCCCCAAATAGAGAAGGGACCCCGGTCACGACGCCAAATCCAGATGCAGCACAGAAAGGTGCAGACGCAGCACAAGTTATGTGGGGAAATCATGGTACGCATTCGCCAGGCCCATTTGCATCTGGCTCCCATCTCCCCACATACTATCCTCCTCCACCGCCGCAATATACCTTCACGCGTAATATCCGACATCCCCTCCGCCAAAAACCACCGGGGCAAGGCTATACTTTCTACTGTCGCTATGTACCGTCCGTTGGGCAGTATCTATCCTTCCGTACAGCTTCACTATCACCCAAAGCTCCAGTCTATCAAGGACCCGTATCAAGTTCTGGGAGCACGCCAAACTTCTTGCCTCCGAATTCGGGAGTTTCTCACGCCACACTACCTTCGATAGCAAATCTCAATGTCCAGCCATGCGACACCGAGCTTCTTCACGACTGGATGAACCAACCGCGAGTGGCAGCCTTTTGGGGAATGCAAGGTCCCATTGAAGTCCAAGAAGCATTTTTGACTAAAGCCCTCAATGATAAACATTCATTTCCTGTAATTGGTTGCTGGGATGGTAAGCCGTTCGGTTACTTTGAGATTTATTGGGTGAAGGAAGATCCGCTGGGGAGATTTGTGACTGGAAGGGAAAGCAGCCACTACGATCGTGGGTTCCATGTCCTGATAGGCGAGCAAGAATTTCGAGGTGCACATCGAGTAAAGCTGTGGTTGAGTGCTCTCGTGCACCACTGTTGGTTGGCAGACAACAGAACACAGCGAGTTCTCTTGGAACCGAGAGTTGACAACACCAAGTGAGTATCACTGCACGCCATTTGTGTTATTTAGATATTGCATCAATTAGCTGACTGTTGTTTCACTATGGCAGATTCATCGACTATTTAGAGTCAGTAGGATTTTACAAGGAGAAGGAGATCGCCTTTCCCCACAAACAAGCAGCTTTAATGAAGATCGTTAGGGAAGGGTGGGAGGCACCCGAGAGATGATTCACCGTGGGCGGATGGAGAGTCAGTGGCCTGTTAATATATCTTGCAATGCCTTTCGGATACAACAACGACGAAGAGAGTATTCTTGTAGAAAGCATATGACTTCATAAACCACCGAGTGCCAAATAATATTTTTGTCAATATTAATACACGTGCTCCTTTTCGATAGGAGTCTAATGCAAGGTTGCTAATTGGTGTTATGCATACATAGGAAACCCATCTATCATGCATGGAGATTGAGTCTTGCACCATGAGAACCTACTGATTGCCCCTCTTCGCGTCCTCCTCATCAGTCTTAGGAACCGATACGCCTAACGGTACGCTAACAGCATTCAGCTTGCGCATAGCCTAAGTAGCACAAAATCAGCATTTGTCAACATGAAATTGATATCAAATCGAAGTTTCCATCTCCAAGTTAACACACCTGCCACGGCCATGTATTCGTCGCTCCAACAAACCCCCACCAAGCCCACCCCTCCGCATAATGCACCCACCACCAAGGATTAAACAATTGGTCAAAACTCACATCGCTGAAGCTTGAATCAGGTAGTTTTCCACCCCATTTATCCTCCACCTTGGTGATCTTCTGAGTTTCCTTGTCGTAAAAAATGTTGATCTTGCTGTCAATTGTCTGTTCCTTTTTGAGGCCCTTGATCACATAGCGAGTGCGAAGATCCATCGAAATCGGATTGCCTGCCGAGGTAACCTCATGATGGAGACGCTCGATTTCGGAGAAGGCGGCTTGCAGGCCATACCATTGTGCTTCGTACTGCTTTCGGCCGACGGCGCGAGTGATGTTGTCTGCGAAAGTGCCGTTGTCGTCCCAGAGTTGGAGCTTCTTCAATGAAGGACGGCCTGCAAATAGCTGTTGTTCATGTTAGGAGCCTGAAAAATGCATTGCGTAAGAAGAGAATGCTGACATCGAGGACACTTGCGACGAGTGTATGCTGGGTCTCATCGAGGGTTACTCCGCTGGCGGTTTTTACATTGGTGTTCTCAAGATTGAAGTCAGATACTGGAGCAGACATTTTTAAGACTGGAATAGATGAGAAGCTTTGGGGGAATTGGATAGTTGCAAGCTTGCCAAAGTTCAGAGGTTTGCGTATGCTGTTTTGCAAGATTTGTGGAGAGATAGGGACACGCATATGGAGAAGAATGGTTATGTAGCAAGAAGTGGCGTGTGGAGCATGACAACATATGCTCAAGCTCTTCATGAGGTCATCGTAGCATCAAGTACGTATTCGTAATAAAAACGACAACGTCTCAGGCAACCTTGAAACATCACTATGATGTAATTCTTGGGCTGAAAGTCGTTCGGACTGCTTTTTAGAGTCAGTCTGTGAGCGACTTCATCTCCATCAAGGCACTCGTTGAGCACCTACGCTGCTTTGAAGCCTTAACGAATGAAGAAGAAGGGCCCGGGGCGGGCAAAGTTAGCTCCAGGGGCTTTGAGCCCCGCAGCCCTACCCTAGGCAAGGTACCGATCGCAACCCGACCGCTGTCAAAATCTGCCTTGTTGATGTAGAAATACGGATCATTTCAAATGTCCAGCCGTCGCAACCTCGAGGATTCTCTTCTCATATCCAGACACATGGACATACTCGACGCCAGCGTCTCCAAGCTTTTTCCTGCCTTCGTTGGCTCCAACAAACTTTTCTGGCTCTTGTACACCAATGAAGACTTTGCGAATTTGAAGACGAGATTCAAGCAAATGAGTACTCAAGATTCTGTCCACACAAGCCATGTTTCCGCTCGCTCGTCTACTGCAGGGTTCCATGGTCGTATACAGCACCAAACTCATTGATTTCGCCTGACTAAGCCCGTCTTGCGAATCTTGCATGTCTTTTGACAACTTCATGAAACAGACTTGCTCGGCGTGCGTGTTACCTTCCAGCTCAAGTGTGTAGCCTGTCGACACGACTTCGTCTTCCAGTTCGTTTACCAGAACCGCGCCCACACAGAAGTTCGTAGGCTTTGGAGGCGATCTCTCTGCCAAAGCCAGCGCATGTTGCATATGTGAATTATGTTTAGCGGCCTCAAGCGACTGTCTCTCAACCATGCTGCTGTACACAGCTGATGTGTTGTAGAGAGTAAGGAGTCGAGTGGAGAGGGTGCCTCGGGAGCAATCAAGGGAATGAGAGACGGGCATCGCCTGAGGAATATAGACGTGCCAAGGTTTTGCACCTCTTCCATGCAGGCGAGGCGGCGTACTGTTTATTTACTTCCCATGCAGGTTGGCGCACTACTAGCCATCTCAACATATTACTCAATATGATATGCTCAATCATGATCGCGGCGATGTTACATTCTACCCCGCCTACTGCTTTCATCTGTCCCCTACATACAATACGTGGGCTCGTTTATCAGTGACAGATGTTCATGCATTAAAGGAAAGATCGGGCTTTGAAGGTGCCATTATGATTTGGTTTGCATCGTTCGGCCTAACTGACAAGTCTCCGTAGGGCAAGACCTTTACTTCTATCTGAATCATCCGATACGATGGATTCGGCTCGTTGGAATCGTGGTCGCACTGGATGTCTTTCCCACTCGTTACGTATTCACTTTGGATGACAGCAGTGGCGCTACAATTGATATTACTTGTCAAAAGCGGACATCCCAAGGAGTTCAGGATGTGACAGCACCCCAACACGACGTGTCCAAAATGCAGGAAATAGAGTCCAAAGGGGTTGGAGCCTCCGGTGGAGAGCTTGATCTAGCTGGTGTTGACGTTGGAACTGTCGTAAAGCTTAAGGGAAGCATAGGCACATGGTGGGGTAACAGGCAAATCAAGTTAGAACGAATTTGGATACTTCACACGACCAGTCAAGAAGTCAGTGCCTGGTCAGAGACCGTTGCATTTCACACAGACATCCTGAGAAAGCCCTGGATGATTAGTGAAGAAGAGCAGATACGCGCTAGAGGAGGGAGTGACGGGGCCCAGCGCAGACGGAAGGCGCGAACAAGCCGCAAGAGCCAGTCAAATGCAAGACCGCAGCTTAGGACGAGTACAAAGAATGAGGGGATAAGGTTTAGAAGTGAAAAGCAGTGGGAACATGAGAAGGATGTTTGCTCGGGGCCCAAAGTCGTGATATCTGAAAAAACAGGACTGCGTGAAGCCCAGAAGCGCGCAAGGGAAGAAGAACTAGAAAAGCGGCGGCTTGAAAGCCGGCAGGGAGAAAATCCCCAACCTCAAGTTATCATGAATAAAGTCGTCTCGAAACCGGTACTGCGGAAATCTTCAAATCAAGTCAAGGCAAAGAATGAAAAGGACTTGGGCCCTGAGCTCCAGCGTTTCTATCAAGATGAGGCGACATTCAAAAAAGAGCAACTGAGGCAACAGAGGGACGAGGATCGAGCTGAGAGACAGCGACTCTTCAGCAAACGCTTGCGTACAGCGAATGGCAGCTGCTAGGTGGGTACCATAAGTTTGGAATATTGAACGAGACAAAGTCATGACTCATGAGTTCTGCTCATTGTAGATGATTGGTCTTCGTGCCCAGATAGGTCACTATTGGAGACGCACATGGCGCAACTGTATGACTTGTTGACCTTTTTAAAGCGATTCTTGATATGATCCAGTCCCGTAGATATCAGCATGCACCTATCGTAGCATTGTGACAATTTGCTATGACTACCACGCAAAAAATAAACTTCGCACGTGACCTGTCAGGCTTTCTGCCTACGCTGCCTAAATCGACTTTCCTCTAACCGAGAGTATTTTAGTCACTCTTCCTCGGATGCTTCTAATTAGGAAATAGCGCAGCTCAACTTCATATTCACTCGAAGAAAAGCGCACGCGCTCATCTTCCAACGACCATAATACTACGTGTCTATAAGTCACTGTTCGCATATCGTGTCATTTCAACACGTGTTTCCACACAAGTTCTGGGTCAACACTCCACACAGGACTCGACACCAGACCTCCCTTCCCTTAGCGATCCCAATCCATGGACATCTAAGTATTGCTTAAACCGACACGCAGTCATTCTGAACCGCCCAGGTCGCAATCATGTCGCTGTTCGGGTCAGGGAACAATAATCAGCAAGGATCTGGTTTCGGCGGGTTTGGCTCGGGCAACACCAATACAGGAGGTACGTACAGTATTTTATTCATGCGCGTTGCTCGGAGAAGCTGCCACTCCCTCGTCAAGTTATGGTCCTCGTTCCACAGATATCTGATCATATCTATCTTCCAGGCTTTGGCCAACCCACCTCAGGTGCAGGGTTTGGTAGCAGTACAACAGGAACTACAGGAGGCTTCGGCGGCTTTGGTTCTGGTCAGTAAACATTTAGATTAAAGACCGGACATTTCAACAAATAATTTGCAAAGATGCGAAATAACATTTGGTGGGTAATTAGCTAACACAACTTCTTGACAGGCTCATCAGGCTTTGGTTCCAATAACACTACGAACACGACATCCCTTTTCGGAGCACAAAATAAACCAGCTTTCGGATCCACTACGAGCGGTAGCGGTGGCGGTGGCCTTTTTGGGAGTGGTACTGCGACTACCGGAAATTCAGGAGGCTTTGGCGCGTTTGGTAGCAACAACAATAATAACCAGAACACTGGCGGCTTATTCGGATCTACCACCACCAGCAAGCCAGCTTTTGGAGGTGGGTCAACAGGTGGTGGTCTCTTTGGCAGCCCAAACACCGGATTTGGAACAACAAATAATCAATCGACTGGCGCTTTCGGGTCGGCGCCGTTCGGTCAAGGAAATGCAACATGTGAAGGCACGGGTAGCACACCGTTCTCGGCGTATACTGAAAAGGAGGGTACATCAAACATCACAAATCATTATCAAAGCGTCAGCTTTATGGCTCCGTATAAAAACTGGTCTTTTGAGGAGCTAAGACTAGCAGATTATAACGGAGGTAGACGGCACGGCAACGGTAGCGGCCAAGCTGGAGCATTCGGCTCCACTAATTTCGGAGCGTTTGGACAGCAGAACAATACCTCGGGAGGGTTTGGCCAGCCTACCACCACCTCGGCGGGTGGGATCTTCGGCAACACCACCACGCAAGCCCCGTCTGGCTTTGGTACCCAACAAACTTCTTCATTTGGCGGCAACAACAACTCCTCAAGCACAGGCCTCTTCGGTGCTCCGAAACCCGCTGGTAGCGGGCTTTTTGGCAGCACGACCTCTGCTGGCACAAGTGGTGGTCTCTTCGGTACAGCTGGCGGATCGGGGACATCCGGGACTGGATTTGGTTCCGGCGGGGCCACTAATGGCCTCTTTGGACAGCAGAATAACCAGCAACAGAATAAGGGCCTTTTCGGCAGCACTGGTGGCGGAGGATTTGGCTCAAATACGGGATTCGGCAGCACAAATACACAGACGGGAACTAATGCTTTTGGCTCGGGAACTCAGAACAACAGCAGCCCTTTCGGCCAATCGAACAATACACAGGCCTCAAATCCGTTTGGTGCTTTCACCCAGCCCAACCAAACGCAAAATCAGCCGCAAAATCAGACGCAAAATCAGACCAGCACATCGAATCCCTTTGGCGCATTTGGTGCGCAGAATCAAGAGCAGAAACCAGGAGGAATCTTTGGCAATCCCTCTACTACCAACACGAATACTGGTGGCGGCATATTCGGCCCGCAAACTAATAACAATCAAGCTAGCGGTGGCCTGTTCGGCCAGTCTGGCACTAACCAGAACAGCGGAAGCTCCTTATTCGGTCAGAAACCTGCTACTGGAGGTGGTCTTTTCGGGCAAGCGAACAATAACACTGCCAACACTGGTAGCGGCCTCTTCAGCGGATTTTCGAACCAACCCCAAAATCAGCCACAGCAAAGCCAAGGAGGGGGCTCTTCGGCGCCAACAACAGCCAACAAAAGCCTGGTGGGCTTTTCGGTAGCACAAATTCCAATACTGGAGGAGGCTTGTTCGGGTCCACTAATACCGCAAACAATCAGCCAGGCGGTGGTGGTCTGTTCTCAAACACTGGACAGCAGCAACAAACCACAGGCGGCGGTGGCCTTTTCGGCAATAACACAAACAACAACGCCGGGTCTAGCTTGTTCGGCAGTTCACAGCAGCAGCAACAGCAACCGAACCCCCCCAATCAATTCCAACCTGCCCAAACACTTCACACTTCGATCGTTGACCCAAATGCCTTTGGCAGTCCTTCGATATTCTCTGGTTTACCGCCCCCGCCTCAAGTTTCCGGTCCCATTGCCACGCCGATCAGTCAGAAACCGAAACAAAAGAAAAGCGCGCTTCTCCCATACTATAAATTAACCCCAAATGGAGCTTCTTCTAGGTTTCAAACTCCATCAAAGCGTGGCTATGGATTCAGCTATTCTACTTATGGCACGCCAGGAAGTGCTTCTTCCAATGCCAGTACTCCCGGCGGCCTCGGTGGTAGCCTACTCTACAGCAGCGTGGGTCGTGGTTTAGGCAAAAGCCTGTCAACCAGCAATCTGAGAGGCAATTATGGTGATGCTGATAGCATTCTTACACCGGGAGCGTTTTCCGCGAACAGCTCCCGATATGGTGGTGCGGGAAGTATGAAGAAACTAACAATTGACCGAAGCCTGCGTACAGACCTCTTTGGAGATAAGGGAAACTCGGCTGCGCTTCCTAGTCCTGAAAAGGAGCGTCAGTCTGGCATACTGAAGAAAAAGGTGAGCTTTGATGCAAGCACTGTGGGAGGAAATGGTGAACAGACGAATGGGGTCTACGTCAACGGTGCGGTAAATGGTTCATCGAGCAATACCGCTGGGCCAAGTACAGACGATCAAGGCATTCCTCAAACACCGAGGAGTCAAAGTAAGCCAAAGTCTAACGCTGCACCTCAACAGCTGGAAATGGAGCAAGTCAGGGGTAACGAACTTGCGATCGTTCCTGAAGATGAAGCGCCCGAAGCAGCGAGCGCAGCCCCACAACGGGCGTCAGTGCCTAAACCTCAGGAAGATCAGGAACCGGGCGCATACTGGATGAAGCCTACGAAAGAGCAGATCCAGAAGATGTCTAAAGAGCAACGAAGTGAGATTTCAGGTTTCGTAGTCGGACGCCAAGGGTGCGGGAAGGTTGAGTTCAACAAACCGGTTGATCTCAGCAATATCAATCTCAACGATATCTTTGATAACATAGTTGTCATCGTCGTTAGGACCTTGACGGTCTATCCAGAAACGACTCAGAAACCTCCCCTCGGTAAGGGTTTAAACGTGCCTTCAACGCTCTACCTAGAGAACTCTTGGCCTCGACAGCGAGACCGGGTTTTGCCAAGATACGAGAAGAATGGCCGCCATTTCGACAAGCATGTTGAGCGTCTTCGCCGCGTAGGAGACACTACTTTTGTCCGCTACGAGAGAGACACTGGAACTTGGTGAGTTTGCCCCTGCTTCCATTTTCATTGCTTCAATCATCGTTTTGGAAACTGCCTATGCTATTCTTAGTCGACGAGAACTAGCTCGTAAACGTGCTCTGTTTTGGAGAAAATGTTTGCGACCATTTTGATGATCATTCTTAGTTGCCCATAAACTGGTGCACTTAGTACTGACTGCTACTCTCATCTAGGATTTTCAAAGTGCCGCACTTTACAACTTACGGATTCGACTATGAGGATGACACGAGTGACAATGAGAGTTTGCACTTGAACGACAGCGTTATGACAGAGCCTCCCGAGACCCCCACACCCAAATCCCGTACTGCCAGTGGGCCAACACCGAAATTGCCCAAAGCGAGCCAGCATGCGCCTACCAAGATGAAACGGGCATTTCAGCCAGATGAAGCCGCTGAGCCTATTAATGGAAGATATCTTCCCGGGGCTTTCGAAGATGTGGCTCTGAATGATATGGATGGGCTCAATGTGGAGATGGAAGAAATCGATGACGAGGAGTTTCTCTCCGATGAGCGCTCGGCTGCCTCGCCTTCGGAGAGTGGCGGAGATGAGCCGAGCGATATTGAAATTACAGAAGGTGAAATTAACGGTCAGTCTGTCGGTGTGAGGGATGAAAATCAGGATTTGGAAATGGCAGGAACATTTCCAGAATTGGAGAAGGATCAGCCAGACCTGGGCGGCGAGAAAGCTGTATTGGACGTGAGTGGAGACTGGGCCTACGACCTTCAGCAAACCATCCGTCCAAGAAAACAGGATCGACAAGCTTTACGCACAGCGCAGACGCAACAGGTCAAGGACAAGAATGTGCAGACAAGCTCAATTACAGACGCAAGCGCCCGACCAGCGTTCGCCACGAGTATAGATCTTATGAACTCGCTGTTCGGGCAATCGCCACCAAAAGGAGAGAAGCCATTCGGAAGTCTAGGGCAAAAGGGCGTCAAGGTGTGATCCCCTCAAGTTTACTGTTACAGATTGATACTGGCAATTCACTTTCTGCATTTGTTTGCTTTGGGCAAAAGAGCGTGTACACAACAATTTTTAATTGACTTGACACCCAGTAGATAGATAATAAAGAACAAATTGCTAAGGTGTTGCTTTCTTTAGTCGCGTCCTTCGAATTCTCATCGACCTCCAGATATCATCGACGTACCATTAGAGCCCGGTCATGAATGGCTCGATCTAGCATCAGAACTGAGAGCAAAGTATCCTTCAGTAAACAAGCAAATATTCAACGTAATTCCTTTGTGCCCTTGCAAGACTCCAACACTGATTGGTTATATCTAGGCCCCTCACAACACACTTGTCTTTCAAAAATCTCAAACCACTTTCTCAATCAAGAACAACATTCCTATGGCTACGACGCGACAAGCTCCGTTTAATGATTTTTATCAGGCTGCGCAACCTGTATCTGCGTACGAGAGGTCGGTCTGGGGTCTAGCTGCTATTCTCTTCGATGATCAAGACAGCACTACCTACGGCATTCCGAAATCTGAACAGGGCAAGTATGACGCCAGAATTCGTAAAGATCGTCTTGCTGCTTTTTGGCAACAAATCTGCGAGGAGGAAGCCGAAACGAATGCCAGAGAACTCCAAAGTGCCGAAGAGCGTGCTATCGCCTTTTTATCTGCTAACAAGGTTGGAAAGGCCTGCGAGACCCTCTTGCAGTCCAAGAACTACCGACTTGCCACCCTCATCGCTCAAATCGGTAACAATGGGACCATGCACACGGAGATAGCGTCCCAGATCAGTACATGGCGAGATCTGAACGTTTTGTCGGAGATTTCAGAGCCTATCCGCGCGCTTTACTCCCTACTCGCCGCGCAGACGTGTACTTGCGAGGGCAAGAAAGCTCAGCATATCGAGGACAGAGCGAACACGTTCTCTATCAGTGAACGCTTCAACCTGGACTGGAAACGGGCATTTGGTTTACGCCTGTACTACGCCATAGAGACGAATGACCCGATCGAAGTCGCCGTGGCAGCGTTTGCCGAAGATATCAAAAACGACGAGCCGAAGAAGCCAGGCGACGATCTTCTGTACGCTCTTCTCCAGGTATATGCTGCTTCGAAGAAATGGCTACCTTTCCCTTCTCTCGCACATATCCTTCTCCCCCAAACGCAGGAACCATCCGCTTTGACAGCACGTCTCTCGTTCCAGCTGTATTGTGCCCTCACGGGCCGCTTCCCCGATTCCGCGGACTCCACAGTCGCAGACACTATCAGCACCCAATTCGCCGTCCAGCTCGACGCAGCCGGCGAATGGCTCTGGGCGCTCTTCGCCCTCATCCACATCAGCGATCCCACGAATCGGGAGCAGCGCATCAAAGCGCTCCTCGCCCACCACGCCGGTGATCTCGTTGCCGACCCCCCGCACGACGATAGGTGGAAAGACATCATCGACATTTACAAGGTTCCCGAAACGTGGCTCTATCAAGCGAAAGCTCTGCGCGCCCGAGCAGTCGACCACGATCGTCTTCGGGAGGCGGGATATCTGGTCAAGGCTGAGCAGTGGGTGGATGCGCACGAGGTGCTCAAGCGGGTGGTGGGACCTGATTGTGTCATTGCGGAGGAGTGGGATAAATTGCAGGGACTACTCACGGCGTTTAGGACGAGTAAGGAGAAAATACGAGGTTGGGAATTGGGTGGGCAGGTCTATGCTGATTACTGGGGTATTGTCACGGAAGCTACTGGGGGGAGAGAAAAGGGGAAGGTGCTGAAAGGGTTGATGGAATGTTTGCCTGCTTTGCTGCGGGATGTCGAGAAGGGGAGGGAAAGCGAGGGTAAGAATGAGAAGGAACTGTTTCGGGAGATGGTCGCGCTGGAGGAGATGAAACGGGTGACGGAGCGAGAGGTGGCGGTGATGGAAGAACAGGGCAGTGATGGTCGGTAGAAGATGTGTAGTTTAGGTAAAGATGAAGATGAAGGATTGACTCAGTCACAGTATTCGACAAAGGAGAGTTTTGGGATTGGTTCTCTTCATTTCGTCTCACGAATGACTAGCAAATCCAAGCACTTCTACTTCATCAGTGACCGAACGAAGTTCCCTAGATAAGTTCCTGGTTTCGTGCTCGTTTTATAAACTACCAACCACATTTTTTCAACCATGGACTAAGCAATTTTCATCACGAAGACAATCCATACGCCTCCCTCTCCTCCGTGGTCAGTCCGAGTTCCAGCGGCAGGGCCATGGCTTGGAAACTTTAGAGAACTTATGAGTCTTGAGTAGATGAGAAGCAGAGATCATCTGGCTGGACAACGGATCACAATTACAGAGCCTGCGAGCTTTTGTCTCCATTGGTAAGGGTTCCATATCTGAAAGACGTACGAACCACAGACTTTGGTTTCAAATGTACCTTTGTTTATATCTGATACTTGATACTGGATAATGCTAGAACTGTGATTTGCAAACCATTGCTGGCGTCATCTCATGACGAGTGCCTGACGAATGCTCGTCGCTAATTCCCCGACGAAAAGTAGCAAATTTAGACCCCTAAGCGCCAAGGCTGTGCTTTCGTAGATGCATGTGAACGTAATTATACCAATCGAAAGAGCAATCGACATCAGCTCAACCCCTTGAGCAGATACCGTTCCCAAAAATTCCTAATCCCTAGAACAGCTCTACGACCTTCATTCTTTTCCTCTTCCTGGTACGCCTCCCTGAACCCACCGCTGTTGCTACCCGGAATACCCAGGATTTTCGCAAAGAGCCAGAAAGCTGCTGCCACCCACGACGCTGCTGCCACGCAAATCGCGACGACGGGCCCGAAGATGTGGATGGCGAAAAGTAACGGCACGCTGCTCGGCGGATAAGCAGGGTCGGGGCTGACTTCGTAAAGCGAGAAAATCAGTCCCAGCTCAAAGTGAATTGGCGGAATCAGAAATCGAATAAGGGCGTCCCGCGGTCGCTCATGCCATATGCCATAACATATCGGAAGGATAAAGACTATGAGAAAGCACAATATAAGTGCATATAGGGTGAAGCCAACGGTCAGAATTGGTGACAGGACGGAGAGGTAGAACTGCCGTCTGAATTAGCCCTACATAATCGTCTATTGTGCTGCAAACGACTCAAGACGTACTAATATCCAGATTGCGTGATTCTTTGGGTCCTCGTGGGCAAGATCGTCATCCTCCTCCTCATAGATGACGGTAGAATGATGGGAGTGAAAGTTCGAAGACGGGTCGGATCGCATTGAGCGGCCGTCGGTAGAGGCTTTCTCCGGATCCGGAGTGCTTCGTCTGGAGCAGCGAGGCGGAGAGTTGGGTGGTTTCAACTTACCCTTCTCCGTGTCTGAGCGAGGCTTTGAGCGTACACTCCCCTCTCTCCATCAGCATTGGTGTATGGTTTTGCTCGAACAGGCAGAGCACTGGACGAGGGGTGGGAGGCTCGGCATGGCAGGTCATGAGATTGTCCTGTAGACTCCCGAGGCGTATGATCTGGCGAGTACTTGGATGCTGGATGAAAGACAGGAGTGGGCGGCTTGAGAGGTGAGTCATTCGACGTTATGACTGGCGGTAATCTTCTTGATGGCGTGTCATGTCTGAGGTGTCGTCCATCGTAAGGGCTTTGGACCATTGCTCTTTTCAAGGCCGTGATATTCAAGAACGAAAGAGGGTGACATATGCGGAAATCAGAAGTCGGGGTGATCAGACAGCGGGCACTCGCAGGGAAGGTCAATGCAGATGTGACTGGTCACACTTGACGGGGCGGACTCTGGTCAAGGTGGAGGAGGAGATGGGAAGGCGAAGGCAGGAGGCAGAGGTACTTGTAGCTTCCGCCGCATGGTGACAAGAGTGACAAGAGTTTGGGAGCTTGCCCAGGCTTGGACGGGCATTCAAACAAGCATTTTGGGTGACGCCTGGAGGCGAATTGCCCTCCAACAGAGGGCAGCGTGAGGGAGCCAAGATACCAAGATACCAAGCCTTGGTGTAGACTTGGCATGACCGAAAGCACGCACGATGATTCGTACGCGAGGCATTGGCGAGGCGGGGGATTGGGAGACTCGGTCTGTAGCTGTCACTCTCCATCCTTGTCGTGCGTGCAAGGACCCGTTGGTTAGACCTCAGACATTCATTGGCATGAGTTCTCGTCTGCTCTGCCGACTTTGCGAAGGGAGAGAGTCGCGATGTTCGGGCGAGGATGGGAGGCTTGGGCGGTCGTACAGCCATGGCTTGGCGTAGGACTAGGACTACCCTTGATGCGGGAACATCGGAAGATCGGAAAGGGCTGGCCCAGTGCTAGAGACGACGTTCTGATCTGTCGAGCCAATGGAATCAGAGATGATGACTCAATGATGCAACGGTTTCATACTAGATCTATCTGTGATGATTTGCTACTTGCTTGATTGATATCACTGCCGTCGTGATGCATTCTCGGCCATTGATGGAATTGTGACAACGGCCAAGGTAGCGGAAAACCTGGATGCGTACACACAATAACGGATACACCGGCTAAACTACGAATAGGCTATGTACCAACCTCCTCACTCCTCTGGCTCGAAAGCGTGAAACGAAGGATGCCACCCAAACCCATGCCAATTTCCCTTCGTCAACCAGTACGCGTACCGAATCTGCGCCCCTTATCCCCAGATGCCGTGAGCAGAGTTAATCACACAACAGGTAAACGTCTCGTAGTGATCCATCTACACGTAGCCATATCACTCAATATGTACTGTAATACCCAACCTCTCTTTCTTTTGTCCCATCCGTCTTAGATCTTTGCAGACGTTCTTTATAGATATAAAAACATACCAAGGCCATCAAGAGCAAAACGTATCCACAATCGCTAAGCGTCTGTCTCTACCGCCGCCGCTCCAATTGCATTAGCTCGCTGGGGACTGTTGCGGCCCCCAGACGCCGTCTTTCTCTTTTCTTCCTCCATCTCGTCGTCATAGTTCTCATCGACATCCATTTTTCGAGCCGGCCCTTCATACGTTTCCTTCTTATCATCCTTGATAGGTTCCGGTGCGCTAGCTTGGCTTGGAGGCTCATTTTGTTGAAGCTGCATGGAAGGCAAAGTGGGGGGATGGTGAGCCGCTTCCGAAGGGTGATAAGAGTCGTCCGCCCGTCGCTGCTCATCCCTCCGTTGGATGGATGCACTGCGACTAGGATGGTGCATCGGAGGCGAAGGTGCTCGACCGCGAGGAGACGGCAGTCGAGGCGAAATTGGCAGCTGTCGGGGAGATGGCTTCCTATCAGGTGGTGATGGCCGCCGATGGTATGAGTCTTCCAACTTGCTCCTATTGTCGCCGTTGGCAGCATACTTGTTTGGTGTTCTCATCTCTTCATCAGGTTCATGTGTTCGTTTCAAGCTATTGTTCATGATATGAGGGTGCGGTCGATCATCTCGGTCTCGGGCTGCTGCCTCAGCCGCCGCAAACGCTGCGGCAGGTGGAGGAGCGCCCGCCACTATCGCTGGTTGCGGACCGCTCGGTTGATGCTGATACGGTTGCTGTCGCGGGCCATGACCTGGTGAAGGTGGTCTAACGTCGGAGAGAGGCTTGATGTCAGGAGGTGGACTGCCAGGGCGTCCATACGGAGGTGCGTTCATACTGGGGCCTTGAGGGCCAGTGGCAGGAAATCGAACACCCGGGTCGGCAGGTCCATACGCTGAGCTTGTGAGTCGACTCGAAGTACTTGGCTGTGGGGCAGACGGCTGTGGCTGTGGTAGGGCTTGGGGCGCAGGATAACTGCTGGGAGCCGGATGGTTCAAGGGCGGTGGCGGTGAGCGCCGAATTGGGGCGTCACGAGGAGGCTCTTGGTATTGCCTAAGTGAATCTATTCGTGGACTGAGCGGCCTTTGCGAAGGTGGTGGTCTTGGAGGATCTCGGCGGTCATAAGGTCCAGAGGACTGAGGCTGGGAGGGCTGATGTGGAGGCTCTCCAAGTCGGCGGTTCCAATCTTGTGATTGAGGTTGTAATGCAGATGTGGAGCTGTGGAGAACTTGATTTGGTCCTGACGGAGGGCCCCACTGATGCCCGGGAGGGGCGCCTACACCAGGACCTTGATATTGTTGGGGATGGACATCTTGAGGAACTGGGGCTCCTTGTTGATTTGGCATGCCTGTTGATTGGCCATTGTTGCGGAGGAGTTGCAGTCTTGCTTTGATATGCATGTTGGAAGGATCGAGATCGAAGGCACGTTGGTAAGCGTCCAAGGCATCATTTGTCTGGTTGTTGCATGATTCGTACTGTATTGTGATTAGCAGAAGAATTCTGAGGGGCATCAGAAACTCAAAGAAAACGACTTACCAGTGTGCCCAGGTCGTACCAAACTTCGGAGATGTAAGGGTTTAATCTAATGGCTCGTGAGTACGCGTCTAGAGCATCTCGATACTGGTTGATCTGATAGTAGAGCACGCCAATAGAGCACCAGAATGTTGGATTTCGACCATCTCGATATACAGCCTGTTGATATGCTTCATAGGCCTTTGAGTACTTGCTTTGCGACATGTAGCATCGGCCAAGCAGGTACCAGCTTTGTGCGTCATTATTGTCTAAATCAAATTAGATCACCAATTATATCTAGAGCGGTAGAAGACATACCAGATGAGACAGATTTCTCCAGATACTCGATGGCCTTCTCCTGACTCTGATAAAGCCCGCTTTCTTGGTGATAGAGCCATCCAAGCTGTTGTAGGACTTTGGCATGTTGTGCATTACGATCAAGAACGCGATGGTAAGCGTTCTTTGCAGCCTCGGTCTGCATTGAAAAATGAGCTAAACTCCTCATAGATGAATAGACGACAGAGAAGGGTACTTACATCTTTCTGTTGCTCGTAGACATGACCGATCTGAAACCAGATGTCCTCTTCCGTCAACGGCCGAGGAGGATTCTTTACTATGTATTTAAAACACTAGATCTGTCAACACTGAAGTTTTGAAACTGTTATGGCCAATCGTACCTCCAAACTGGATGGGTATTTCTGTTGTTGTTTGTATATTATGCCGAGGCGAAAATAAATTTCATTGGCCTTCTCGAAGTCGGGCTGCATATGCATCACCTGGGAGAAAGCCTCTTCCGCGTGCTCGAGAGAGCCATATCGGTCATATAGTATTCCGATCCCATACCAGAGCTTTGGTTCCTATCAAGCATCAGTCGTGACGTTATTCGTGTTGAGCGGAGAGAGCTACCTTTGGGTCTCGAAGGTGATACAAAGCTTGCTGATATGCCGCGTAGGCTTCTTGCAGATTCTCAATCATCAAATAACAATGTCCTAAACGCGATGAGTGGTTGTCTCACGGTTCTCGAAGAGTATCTTACCGAGGCTACCCCAAACTTCACCGTTGTTGCCATCAACTTTTAGGATTGCCTGCAAGTATTCTATCGCCCGAGGGAAATTCTCTTTCGTCCTGAGTATACACGATATGGCATTAAGGGCTTGTATTGAGTAGTTATTATGCCGTAACGCATGCTCGTAAGCTTGTATCGCTGCATCGGGGTCGCCTTGCAACTCGTGTGTACTCCCTGGAGATGAAGTCAATACGCTTTCGAGTCGGTGCCTGAGAGCGCAACATACCCATTCCAAGCCATACACTCTCGTTGAGGGATGACAGATGGGCTGGGGTAATTTTTTGATGAACTTGAGGCGGCCCATGGCCGTTCACTTGCGGGTGGATGGTGTGATGCGAGAGGTGCATGCCGCCGGGAGATGTTCCCTGATGATGATGTCCAGCCATACCTTGGAGAAGGTGATGAGGAGCGGTGAGGTCGAGAGCAGTGGCGTTACTTGCGACTGGGACGGTGGGTTCGACGCATAGGGGATCGTAAGCGGCAGGATCTGAGACGAGATGAGAGCTCGAATGTCAGGATGAGATGGGATGAGCTAATTGGAGGTCATCAATAAGGATGATGATGCTCGCTATACGACGACTCGGCAGTCAGTCAAGGGGGTGGAAGGAGGATGTTGGCAGGTTTGGGGGGGAGGGTGCGACAGGAAGGAGCAGGATTGGCGGCGTGGGAAAGATGGGTAGAGTAGTAAACTCGGGAAGAGCCACAAGAGCCAGAGCAGCCACCAAGCACCAAGGCACGATGCCGAACACAACGGCTGATCATCGAGCCAGCCCAGTAGTAGCCTCCTCTAGTTTACCCTTTTCCGACATGGCTGGGCTTAAATCACCTAAGCAGTTAAGCAGCCTGACTACCCAAGGGCCCTAAAGTGAAAAAGTGGGTCCGCCAGCCAGACGATGGGAGAGATGCTAAGGGATGCTAATCATGCTAATCATGCTAGCGATGCTCCATCTGCGGCACGTCTACATCGTGGGGCCCTCAAGAGTCAAGATTGCGGTCCGTAATCCGTTGCGCTAAGCCATTTGACGCGAAAAGCCATGCGGTTCTGATTTCAATACAAAATGTCTTTCTTTTCTCCCCTTCGCTCTTCTCCGTATTCTTGACCACTCCTCTATTCGCGTGTGAAACAATGTCCTTGCACGCCCCGCGTGAGTTGCAAAGGTCGATGGTCGTATCTATCGTCATCAATCAACCTATATTCTATATACAACACAGAGCATTCAGGGCCCTGTTCGAGCCTAAAATGTGAATCCGTCATGCATTTCGAAGGCGCGAAGGACTGACTGACCGAACGCTCGAGGGAGCTGATCAGAGGTATTCACGCGGTCGTGGCCCCTGCGGAGTCCTTGCGGGGGAGCAGTCGTCCATCAGGGCGCAAAACGGGTTGACTATTGCCTTTTCAGGAAGGCTCCTGCGCTGCACCTGTGGAGAATTATCCGCTAATCGTGGTCGGAGAAATAACGAACGAATTGAACACGTATGGCAGTCTAGAGCATCCTGATGCTTGAGGGTGTAATAAGATCAGCGGTGGGGCTTCTTTTAGCGCCCAGACCCGCGAGCCTCTTGTGATTCCTGCTGATTTGTACCACCGTACCACACCCCCAACGCACGCCTGGCAAACACTTCCTCCCCCTTTACAGGCGATCGGAAATATGGCTCGCAGTACATGCATCGGTGGCGGGAGAACCGACAACCGTTCGCCTGGGATGATTTGCTATTGGACCAGCCTTTTCGCCTTGGACCGTCATCGCTGCCACCGTGTCTGAGCACCCCACACTGTCTGTAATATAAGGCTGCTACTCAAAACATGTCAGCCGCCACCATCATCAGAAACACACCAACTGCCGCAGAACTACCTCCCTCCCCCCCTCCCCCAAAATAAACGGATCAAAGTCGTGGTGTGCGAGATCATACTGATCTAGACCTCCGGATGAGCGCCACACCCAAACGAAGCGTCGCACCCCGTTGGCAGGTCTTCTAGGGCACTGACCTTTGCATGGACACGATACCTGCGAGCAGCTGCGCCTTACTTGCGATTATTCACTCTTCGGTAGATTGATGGATGAGGAACCTCACTGCTATTTCTAGTCAATGACGTTCGGCTGCATGCCCCGTGAGAAAGATCCAGCAGGCTCCCGTAACACCATAAGACAGCTTTAGGCATCTAACCTTAAAATCCCACAACCGTGAAGATTGGTCCACTTTTCCTACGAGAATCCATGATCGCTGCCGATTCAAACGTACCAGCTGCATCGTGCGTATAACCAAGCACCCAAGAAATAACGCATCGTGCGCCGTCAGCAAGGGACTTTCTAAGCGCCCGAGTCGTGTCCAGCTCCGATTTTCCACCCGCTTGGGTCGCCTCGCTATGACCAGCTGTCTGACGTTTGTACGGCCTTCTTCGCATGGAGTGTGGAAGTGTGGGGAGTCTCCCGCAATCAGGCAAGTTTGCTTCGTAGTGAAACCCTCTTCTGGATTTGGGTCTGTTGACATGCGTGCCTTTTGCGTCCACGTGAGCGCTAACGTGAAAGGGGGAATTCGAGAGTCGGCCATGTCAGGAAGCTAATCTGGCTTAGATGATCAATATATCTCCATCAAATTCTGGAAAGACCTTTGGGAACGGTCTGTCAACCGGTCTGGATATAGAGCGACTTTGTTGAAAATTCAAAGGCACTCGGACATTTTGTTTTGCCCTAGCAAGGACAGTGCTTGTCTTACGCGTTTGAATCTGGTAACCCTCAATAGTCAGAATAATTTGATGCCTGACTTCCTTGTTGAGGACGGGATAGACTACCAAGATATAGGAGGGAAAAGGCCTCTCAATCACACGTCTTCGCATATCCATAGAGGCAATCGACTTGACTTCCAGCTTTGAAATTGGCACGAAACCAAGTATTGAACAAATCCACAGTTTATGGCCAGAACGCATACAAGCACACGTTTTCCATCGTTGATTGGTGGTGTCTTTGCACCATTTATCTGGAGCTCATCCCCTTGAGTCCTATAATAACACAATCAACTCTGATTGAGTTATGCTAGTAGGCGATACACCAGTGATAGAAACGCAGCATCTTCTTAGGCCGAAACCTATCTGACGTCTCACATTGGTATAGACAATGCATGATGTTCGCCAGGTCTCCGCTCCTACTGGTTTTCTATTCTGCCGCCCGATTGCAAGATTCCGAAGATCGGCGAAGAGGACGGTCTTGCAGCAGCTTCCATATATCACACTGTAGCGAACAATTCAATATCATGGGAATAGGGTCAGACAGCGCAGAACATCGCCATTAGCTCTCTATTGCTAATACCTTGAACCCCACGATCTTCCCTTTTGCCAATCCAACAAGATAGTATTCGGCCCGTGTGCCTTGATGCTGTACTCTGAAGACGACGACATCGCTCTCACTCGCTTGCTCAACGGCCTCGAGCACTTCGCCATACTGACCGCGCGGGTCGAATTGTTTCGTGGCAGTCTTTTCCACTTCCCCGTTGTGCTCAATGAGCTCCCCAAACTCGCCTGTAGGCTGTGAGCTGCTATTCTAGTGTAGTGCATTGGAGACAGGCGCACGTTCACCCGGAAGTTCCTTCCCTTCCCACTTCAGACTGACCGGCTCGAATGCTTCGTCAGAGTCTGATGTATAGACAGCGTCAACATTCTTCAAAGCAGCTGGCACGTTCGTGTCTACTGCTTTTGTAGAAACCTTCTTGCTTTGAGTTGACACTTTGCCGCCGTTTGTGTCTTGGTTTGCCTGGTCTAAGAATGAGGAGTAGGCGTCGTCAGACATTCTGGTGGACGATGAAAAGCGAAGGAACGTATGGGTTTGTCTTTGCAACCAAGGGGCAATTGAGCACAACAATATCTGGGAAGGGGATGCGTTGCAAAAGGAAGTTGATTGATCAAGCCGGAACAAACTCGCTTTGAGAGGGGCTTTTAGATGACGCAGTGTAGTGGCTTGATCTGTACTAATTCTTGCAAATGACTTTGCAGCGATACACCATTGACTAGACCGCCGAAACGGCATGTGATTGGCTCCCGATGGGCTCAGGAACCTCTTCAAACACCTATTATGAGGCAGCTCTGACTGACGATTGACGAATCAGGGACGAAAATGGACGGGGAGAAGGTCAAGCCTTGGCATTGATAAGGTAAGTCAAAAGACGCTACGCGGTCTCATGTGGGAAATCGTGGTATTTAGCGCAACATGCTGGAATCTTCATTTGAACCCTTAGAATTGTTGTCCGTCAGTTCTACGAAGTCGTCACAAGATCTTTCTTCAATGTGCCCACTATCGCTTTCTTCTCGGCTGGTGTCTGGTAAGCACCATGCCCGAATTTCGAAGATGTATCAATCCACTTGAGGTCCACTTTCTCCAATGCTTTTCGACTTGTGTGAGTGAACATCGACTTGCGAAGGGTCATTATTCGCTTCTTGACGCCGGGTACCGAGCCCTTGAGGATGACGAAGTCATTCTTCACCTCTCCATACCGAACAAAGCCGCCCATTCTGCCTCTAGGTTAGTTCGCGATCACGTGGAGCTTGAATTACACATACGGTGTGATCTGTTTCTTCGAGACGTCAAACTCTGTCGACGCGTTGCCCTCCTCTTTGCCACTGCCTACACGGTAGACCTTGTGGTTGACAGACGTTCGATGATGATAACCGTCTTGACCAGCACGAGCAACGGTCCATTGGACGTGAGAAGGATGCCACGCTCCAATACAAGCCACCTTTCGCAATCCTTTGTGTGTCTTCCTTGGCAATTTCTTTGTTCCCCATCTGCTGGTCACACCTTGGAAGCCGTGTCCTTTCGTAACCGCAATGCAATCAATCATTTCATCCTTCTCGAAGATTGAGCTGATCTCCACTGGCTTCTCGAACAGACCCTTGCCAAAGTCCACCTTGTCAGCTACGCTTCCACCGTTTACTTGAATTTCCATCAAGTGAGCTTTCTTTTGCTTGAGAGGGGTTTGGCGGATCTGGGTATGAGCGAGCACGCGGACGACTGTGCAATACTTCTTGATACGTTCTAGTTCACGATTGATTGGTGCTCCACTACCCTCAGCATGTTTCTTTGCATATTTTGTGAAGGCTTTCTTCTTTGATTTATACCAATTCTTGTAGAAACGACGCTTGATCTCGTCACTCAAGTGTTCCGCCCACACAGTGGTAAGTGAGCGAAGGCCGCGTGGAGTCTCGATGTAGCCTACGAGTCCGACAACAATCATCTGTCTTGCAATTAAAATTGGTTCCAAATTAGATTGCTATACCTACGGGTGGGGTCTCAATAACGGTGACAGCCTCAACGATTTCCTTTTTGTGCATTTTGGCACCAGGACGGTCAAGGTCACGGACGATTGTAGTCATGCCTGCTTTGTAGCCCATGGCTGCTGTTAAGTGGACTGGCTCCTTTGGATTGTCTTTTGGAAAGCTCTTGACCTGAGCATACAATCAGCTAGCCGTGACACCTAATACCAGGTGGAGAGAGATGCGTACCTTTCCCCGATGCCTTGAGGCTCGCTTTCGAGGTAAAAATGCGAGCGAGCCATGGCGAGGTGCCTCAAATTTTCTATGAGACATCCTGAGCTGCTGAGCAGTTGCGTTGGGTACTCCGCGGTTTCCTGGATGGTGGGTCGTTCAGTGAACAGGATGCCGCTAATGTCTTTCTGTGGGCTAAGCGAAGCTAGCGCGGCATCGTTGAAATGTCTTGGCATTTATAAGTTTCTACGAATACCTCCGTACAGGGTAGAAACCTGAGAATCATCTAAATGAAGTTGTCGTCTTAAGTCACACTAATCATACTGATCTCTAGAATGGGACAAACTTTTACTTCAGCCTTTTCAGGTATGAGATTCTCATCATCGGATGTAGAAGTAATATCTTCAGAAGTAACTCCTCATAAAATCGACAACTAGCCAACCTCTAGACCCATAAGTCGCGAAAAGATTGAAGAGTGTCAATCGTGATGATCTGCTTGTATTCGTTTCGATGAAAGCGAACGTTCAAGTCTGCATATCTTGTATGGGAGAGTCCAAACCACATTCCTTCCGACCCCATTTGGAGACTGGTGCCAGCGACGCAGCCAGCATTGTGAGATGATCGGCGTCAGGCGCAGATGAGTGCATATGCCTAGTCAGGATCGCACAATAATGAAAGCTGACCCAGCGGCACATACGTTCAATGAACGGCAATGCGCAGTGGCAGCTTCTTTAAGGCGCGCCACAAGGCCCTGTGCCAGCTTTGGAATCTCCATTAGTCAATTCCATAGCAAAAGGGTGATAGGTGGACAGGAGAGCATCGCAGTCGACGCAGTGTGGCGGTGACGACGACTAGATTACTCTAGGCTAGGTGTGCCATTTTTAGGGGGCAGCCTAAAGCAGATTAGCGCATCAGAAACTGTAAGGTACGACTGGACTTGGGCTTGGCGAGCGGAGCCGTCCAGTGGCCGTTTATCCCTGATCGAAACGGGCAAATTGGATACGACGACTGAGATCCCCGTTGGCCACCACATCTATCTTTACGTCTCTTTTTGTTCCCTTCAATACTGTATGATCACAGCAGACCTGCACTACGAAGGTCATTCCGCTCGTTTTGAATGCACAGCACGCTTCCTGAATGATTTCAACACTTTCATTCTTGTCAACAGGGGATTGCGCGCGGAAGGACTTGCACGACAACGTCTGCTGCGTCAACCTCTTGGAGCGACAAACCATCCCTATATCTCTTCTGTTGACAGAGAGCAATCCCTAATACACTGAGCTAAATCCGCTGTGGTTCCATTGTGGTCCAACTTCCCTTCACATAAGCAGCCGATTTCCTCCAACCGAACCCTATTGCCTCCACCTCCTTTGACTACAGAAGTACACACTACATCTCTCGTTTGACCCTTTGGTCATGCCGTCTTCAGATTCTCAGTCACCGCCACCTAGAGCACCACATGTCCGATTGAACAGTTCACAGGCCAACCTCCTGACCAATGAAGAGAACAACTACCGGCCGTCAGCGCCTCAAAGCCAAGGCTCCAACATTTCCAGATCTCTTATGACTCAATCAACACCTCCAACAGCGCCATCTATACGCAATAATCCTGCCGTGAACAAGCTTTACAGCAACCTTCCTGCAGACTCATCAGAGACTCTACTTATCCCTCCATCAAGATCAAGAACGCATCGATTTCGAGATGAAGAATCTGCGCCTGGCTCGCCTATCGATACGCCATCAAGAAGAACGAGTATAAGTTCGGATGGAAAAGGAGTGGATCACAAATTGATAGGAGTCGACCCGTTTGCGGATTCCAGAACTCCCTCAAGAGCCGGTAGCGATGATGAAAATGTCAATACACAAACTGTATCCGAGAAATATAACATATTGCCATCTGCCGGGTTGCTATTGTTTCCGGAAGATGTGGAAAAAGATGACTGGCTACATAATCCTGATCCTAATGATAAGGAGGAACGAGAATGCAACATATTTAATAGGAGGGGCTTGGTGAACATTGGCGGTCTAGCATGCGTAACGCTGGGGCTACTCGTCTTATTCATAGGATATCCGGTTTTGTAAGATGGTCGGAGATCGTTAGAGTGTCTTTGCTGACTCGATGCAGAACTTTCGTGCAACGCTTTACTGGGCCGCTTGACCCTTGCGAATCAAACCCAGACTGTTTAGACGTCGGCAAAGTCCCACTGCTCAAAAACATAAGGACAGGTCTTATAGACCCCGACACACCGAATAGTGCAAGGACCAAGAAGGCCCCAGATGGAACTAAGCTGAACCTTGTTTTCTCCGATGAATTCAACGCTGATGGACGGACTTTCTATCCTGGAGACGATCCATTCTGGGAAGCCGTTGATTTGTGGTATGGTGTGACTGAAGATTTAGAATGGTATGATCCAGATGCAGCAACTACCGGGGGTGGGACACTAAACATCAGATTCGACGCTTTCCAAAACCATGGTTTGAATTATCGATCTGGTATGTTGCAATCATGGAATAAGTTATGCTTCACTGGCGGCCAATTAGAGGCTTCGATATCTTTACCTGGTAGAGGAGATACTATAGGTTTCTGGCCCGGCTTCTGGTCAATGGGAAACCTTGGAAGACCAGGCTACGCAGCAACAACAGAAGGAATGTGGCCCTACACCTACACAGATAAGTGTGATCTTGGGATTACCGCAAATCAAAGCATGGTTGATGGGTTGAGTTACCTACCTGGAATGCGTCTACCTGCATGCACATGCCCTGGAGAAGACCACCCAAACCCTGGAAAATCACGGTCGGCACCAGAAATCGATGTGATTGAAGCGAGTAATGCCGCTTTGGGGCCAGGGGATACTAATTACATCGGACAAGTGTCTCAAAGTTGCCAGCTTGCGCCTTTCGATCTCTGGTATCAACCAGACACAAGTATGCTTCAGACCACAGTATACAAGAATACCTACTAACGGCGCTAGATTTCATGGAAGTGTACGACGACAAAATCACCCGAATCAATAGCTATCAAGGCGGTCCGTTTCAACAGGCCTTGTCTGGGCTCACGAATTTGAATCACGACTGGTACAATGGCAAAGAGTATGCCCAGTACAGCTTCTATTATACGCCTGGGTATAGAGGATCGATCACGTGGACAGTAGCCGATGAAGCTGTGTGGAAGCTCGACGCTCGCTCAATTGGACCTAATGGTAACGTTGGTCAAAGAATCATCCCTCAAGAGCCCATGGCCATGATTATGAATTTTGGGATGTCGACAGGCTTTTCGAATATCAACTATACCGGCATCGCATCGGTACTTCCAGCGACCATGCGCTTCGACTATGTTCGAATCTACCAAAAGCCTGGCTCGGAAAGCATAACCTGCGACCCGGAAGATTATCCAACAACACCATACATTAAGAACCATATGGACGCTTACACGAATCCAAACAAGACTCTATGGTAAGAAAGCATCTACGTCGCTATCTGTTTTCAGTGCTAACATCATCCAAGGCATCAAACCAAATATTCGTGGCCGAAGAATTCGTACGTGAACGGCTGCAACAAATCCTAGGACTTGTCTCTTTTTGCTCATCTAATGGCATTTGCTTGCATTTGAACGCCTATAGAGTAGCGCTGCATCATCGTATTGGCGTTCTTTCAAAAGCCTTTGGATTTCCATCCTGGCGGCGCGGAGTCGGCGCCACGATTATACATACATCACGGCTCTTTATTCGCTAAATTTAATCTTCAATGAGACATTGGTGTGGGAGGAGATCGCTCCTAGGGAGGCACATGGGGCAAGACTGTACAGTATGGCATTGAGAATTCTCGACATGACATTTGCTGGACGAATGTCGTCCACAATACTACCTAGAGGTTTCAACCGTGGGGAGCAGAGGCTGTATTTCAAGAGGCGTGTTTTGGAGGCTTGAGAGCCATGTGATGCATATAGAAATGGGCTATGAATGGCGGCGAATGTAGCGAGAGCTGGTAGCAATTGGCTTTCAACGAATACCAAAGATCATGGAGACGAAAGCTTGCCTCTTCAATTCCAAACACTATACTAATGGGGTATCTCGGAAATTCGAAAGCGTGTCAAGAACGCCTACGCTTACCTGGCCTCTCTGTTCCTAGGCAATCAAATCTCTAACCACTAGAACCCTTACATAAGAGGCAGAAAGTAATATTCAACAAGGCCCCCGTCAGCACCCCTATCTGTCTCCGCCTGGTCCACAACCCTTCCTCTCTCACCAGCCAAGTGATAGCCGGCAAGGCCCAGAGGAAACCCATCAGATTACCCCACAACATGTCTTCCAATGCCAAGCTACCGCCACCAACGAACGTGCCATCGTCCTCGTCCATCCTATCGCTATCACCCCCGTCCCCATTCCCTCCACCAGGTCCGCCGGAATCTAACCACCGCTCTTCTAACGCTCGTAAAGCAGCGCCAGTGGGCATGCTGTCAGGCGTGTGCACATGTGATTGAATAGCGAGAAATTGAGAGCGAAGGGAAGCTACTTCGGCGGGGGTGAAGCCGGCGGTAAGCAGGCGATCGAAACCTTGCGGCTCTGCAGGCTGGACAGGCGCGCTGTGTGCTAAGGAAGTAGCTTTTGGAGAGTGTGGTAAGGAGGAGACTTCAATCTTCGCTGCTCGAGCTTCAGCTTCGAGTTCCTCGAGCGTAAGGTGTGTTGTGGTGCTGATTGAGCAATGGAGGTAGAACTTCTGGTATTGTGTGATGTTCTTTTGGTGGAGGCGGAGACCGTTGGAAAGGGTCGTAGCTGGCGGTAAGAGAGCGCCGGCGTAGATATAACGAAGAGAGCATGTTGAGAGGTCAGCGGGAAGTTGGGGACGGATGAGTATGGAGAGCGTGGATGGGTTGGTGGTTTGCGGGGAGGTGACTGGAATTGTCAGGTCGGAAATTGAGGCGCTGAAGCGGATTATGAGATGTATGGGCGGCGAGTGGGAGGAGTCTCTGTCTATTGCCATGAGCCTCAGATTCCTTCACGCATGGGAGGTCTTTCGAAGGTCCCTGTAGTGAAATGAAAAGCTACTTGCGGAACTCAGCCGCTTCGTTCAAAATATTTCGATTTGAAGCTTGTTTTGTCCAATTACACTGCTCAAGTTTCTACAGCTTCTCAGCATAAATCAGTTCACTACATATCCTCTGCCTCCAACCAATTTCCAAGAAAGTTTCGCAAAGCCTTCTCAAAACGTTGGCGCGTCCGAAATGGTGACCATTAGTGAAGTCAAAGGGAATACGAGAGAGAACCGGACCGCAGCGCACACACATATCAAAGGATTGGGATTAAGAAATGATGGCTATGCGGAGAAGTCGAGTAATAGTTTCGTTGGGCAGACCGCTGCGAGAGAAGTAAATTGTACCGTCAATACAGCAGGAGCGCGATCGCTGATGATCCATTGAGTAGGCCTGCGGAGTGGTCGTCGACCTTATCAAGTCGAAGAAGATGTCTGGACGCGCTATGTTATTAGCTGGTGGTCCTGGCACTGGCAAAACAGCTCTCGCCCTTGCCGTATCACAAGATTTGGGAACGAAAGTACCGTTCTGTCCAATCGTGGGAAGTGAAGTCTATTCTACAGAGGTCAAGAAGACGGAGGCTCTGATGGAGAACTTTCGGAGAGCAATAGGTCAGTTATCGAGGAGCTAGGGTGCATTCAGTCTCATAGTGCATACAGGTTTGCGCGTGCGAGAGACCAAGGAGGTTTACGAAGGAGAGGTCACCGAACTCACACCAGAGGAAGCAGAGAATCCATTAGGGGGCTATGGGAAGACGATCAGTCATCTCCTAATAGGTCTCAAATCATACAAAGGCACGAAGAAATTGCGACTAGATCCCTCAATATATGAAGCCATACAAAAAGAGCGAGTCACAGTCGGCGATGTCATCTACATAGAAGCAAACACGGGCGCATGCAAAAGAGTTGGACGATCAGATGCATATGCGACGGAGTTTGATCTTGAAGCTGAAGAGTATGTACCCATACCGAAGGGTGAGGTTCACAAGAAGAAAGAGATTGTGCAGGACGTAACGCTCCATGATCTTGACATCGCAAACGCGCGACCGCAAGGAGGACAGGATATAATGAGTATGATGGGGCAATTGATGAAACCAAAGAAGACGGAAATAACAGACAAGTTGCGAGAAGAGATCAACAAAGTCGTGAGCAGATATATCGACCAAGGGGTTGCCGAGTTGGTACCTGGAGTCCTCTTCATTGACGAGGTGAGCAAAGTCTTCTCAACGTGTTGCACGCTCTGACATTGCGAATAGGTGCACATGCTCGATATTGAATGTTTTACCTACCTGAACCGCGCCCTCGAATCCCCCATCTCCCCCATCGTCATCCTCGCTTCGAATCGTGGCAAATGCACTATCCGCGGAACAGAAGACCTTGTGGCGGCACACGGTGTGCCACCAGACCTCCTGGCACGCCTTCTCATCATACCCACCGCCACCTATTCTCCAGAAGAAGTGAAGACAATAATACGGTTACGAGCCAAGACCGAAGGTCTTAGTATTACAGAACCAGCGTTGGAGAAGGTTGCTGAGCACGGTGTCAAGGTCAGCTTGAGATATGCTCTGCAGCTTCTCACACCGGCGAATATATTGGCCAGAGTCAACCGAAAGTCCGAAATAGACGTGGACGATGTGGCAGAATGTGAAGACCTGTTCATCGATGCGCGGAGAAGTGCGCATATTGTGAATGTGGGAGAGAATTTCATCTCGTGATCCGCTGATAGGAAGGACGACACGACCAAACATGTAAGATAGTGCGACGTTCGATGGAGGTATAGACTGGGCCACTCGAGACGGCTCCCCTAGCACTTCGGTATTTAGTGACTCTTAGGATAATTGCCTGACCTGGTCCTTGTTAGCAGCTTGCTCGCTCGAGACAAATGAATAGCTTTCAACCTTTACCTTGAAAACATCAGTAGCAACCAACTTCGAAACATCATCACAAAAGGTCACCTCCTTGGATTTCGATTTATGCTCGGATGGAGCGCTGGGAAGCTCGCACTAGCCAGAAATCTTTGCTCTGACACTGTGATAAGCAGAGGAGGTTTGATTATACGGGTAGATGACGGGGCCATGTATCGTCATTAGACAATATGTTGAAGTCTCAAGCTTCGCTAGGAGAGGCACCTTTCGGGCGAGAGAATCCTTTTGCCCTCAAATCGCTTGCTGTCAAGGTTGCCGGCCTGCTGTTGTCCAGAGTACTTTTCGAGCGATCAGGTCTCATTTGCAAACATCAAGATTCCCGTAGCTCCACCAGAGTCGTAAGGATTTCTTTCCCGAACCGTTCCAGGTCTTTACGTGCCTTTTTCCTAACTCTTCACCTTCATCTCCAGACCTGCCCTCATACATCCAATCACCCATTCGCAGACCTCCTCCACCTCTTCCTCCCCTGCCGGCCCTACTTCCACCTCTTCTCCCGCACCGCATCCCTTAACCACCCCAGCCGACACACTGCCTTCGACATCTCCACCCTCGAACAACCACGCATGCTCCCTCACATAATTCGGCCACACGACGTCATCAAAATATCCCTCAGGATCCTGCCAAAACCCCTCAAGCGTGACATACCCATTCCTGCCTTCCCTCCTCTCCTTAGCTTTCTCCCGTCTCGCTCTGAGTAAGATCTTCAAATCGAACAAAACCCCAATATCGTCTTTGATGCTGTGGCCAAAGAGTAGAAATCCCTCTAACAAAACGACCCTCCTGCCTTTTAGCAGCTGAGACGGCCATGCACTAACTTCACCCCTCATCCTTTCCACAAACTCCCTTCTTGAGTCAGCGCCTTTAGCTGATCCATGGACCCCATCCTCCAACCCTCCCTGGCTGAGAATACCCTTTGGCACCTCACCTCCAGCTTTCAAGTCCAGCAACACATCCCGAAACTTATGCACATCGAGCGCCTCTGCGCAATCCCAGTCCTGTACCCCAGTGGGGTGCGTTGGGATTTGCGAATCGGGTTTGTAGAAATCGTCGGCGTGGAGGAGCGTGAAGCCGAAATCGGTGGGTGTGGGTGAGGGGGAAGGGTCAGAGGAAAAGATGGAGGTTAGGAGAGTGGCTATGGTGGTTTTACCTGCGGAGGTGGGGCCGGAGAGGGCGATGAGGAATGGTCGTTGGCTTTTTGGGGTTGGAGGTGGAGACATTGTGAGGAAGTACAAATTGCCACGGGAGACAGGAGGATATGTGGGAAGAGAGAGGACATGTTGGCCTTGCGGATGGAGTTGGAAGCTTCAGCAGAGTAGCAGGTTGAGTGTACCACGGAAAGAGAGATCTCCGGAAATAAGGTCGACCCGCGAGAATGTTGAACAAGCCACAACTAAGGAAACCACCATTAGATCATCTGTGAGTAGCAGAGGAGACTCTGGACATTCTTCATAGTTGATTCAGATAAGTATGCTAAGGATCTCCACACTCGGCTTATATACAATTTGAGGGTTGTGGAACTATGCTTCAGTGTCTCACCATGGGCTACCCTCTAGCCTGTCATAAACTCGTATCCGTCATTGATATGCTCTCCGCTTCCATGTTGACTCGGCGTCCTCACTCTCGGCTCGAAACCTTATAGTACTTTTGAAAGAGCTGAGTGGGATAAAAAGCAGACGAGCAGACTTCCGAACCTCGAGCGAACAAGCACATACTATCACTCTTCTTCGCTCTCAGAATCTTCTTCGTCATCGTCGTCACTAGGTTGCCCTTCTATGCTTTGTCTAGGTTCATCTATGAATCGTCAGTAAATGGAATCCAAAGGAGTTTTCATACGACTCACCAGAACTGCCCACAGCCCCCTTTTGAAATGTGGAGAGTTTGTTTTGCATCTGAGCGATGCGGTCTTCCTGCTGCTGTTTGCTCATGGGCTTATTCTTCTTGCGTGCGGGGGCTGCGGATGACGAAGTAGCGACAGGTCGAGCAGGTGAATCGTCAGGGCGTGGAGCGTGCTTTCGAACAAACACAAGGAGTTTGTAAAGCACGTCGTTCGATAGCTCGTCAATGTCGAGCTCAAGTTCATCTTCTTGCACACCTTGCAGAGCAGGCATGCTGTTACGGATGATCCCAAGGGCTTGACTCATCTTCGCCTCTGAAAGGCTGTTGATCCGATTCGAAATATCTTGCTTTTGTTCATAGGTCACGTATGGAGGCTTGTCCTTTCTAGCAGCAGGCTTTGACGCCGGCTTTTTCTCGACCTTTGGCTGAGACGGCGCGGCCTTTTTGGTTTCCTTCTTCACTGCCTTTGCACCCTTTGCCGATTTCTTGCTCGCCGTCGGAGGCGTCGGCTTCTTCTTCGTGCCAGAAGTGATCATCTCGACTTGTTTCGACATTTCTGCAATCTGCTTCTGAAGCTTTGACACAATCTCCGATTGACCTTCGTCCTCCTCCTCTTCCTCCTCTTCTTCTTCGCTCTCCTCATCGTCCGAGCTAGCAGGCGATCGCTGACCCGAGCTGGGCGCGTTCTCATCAAGCCACTCATTCTTCTTGTTCCATTCTTCATTGAATATAGCTTCAAAGCGCTTTCCAAGCATGTTGACGGAATCACCTTCGGGATTGAACATGTAGCAATTCCTGAATACCTGTCGGGCATCTCCTTCAAACTCTTTCGCATTTTCATATTCGCCTCCGTTCAACTTTTCTCTCACTGTTCCGAAATCCATGGGTTTCTTGACTATATTAAAGTAGGTAGGGATGTTCAAGGCAACCGCATCAACCGGGCTCGTGAAAGGATATGAGTACGCTACATACTTTGGCTTCGAAATCTCTTTCAAGACATGGTCGCAGAATTTCAACTCCCATTGAAACTTCTTCTTCTTGGGTTTCTGATTCGTGTATGGTAGATCGCGTGGGGCTGGACGATGTATTTCCCGCTTCGGCCGACCATCAACTGTGGAACCTCGTCGAATTAGCGGTATACCGTCCGGCCCCAAAGCAAAATTTTGGGGAGAGGTTGCCGACGCCGGTGACTGCGCTAATCCTGGGAGGGATGAGCGTGATTCTCGTCGAGCTGGTGGAGCACGAATAGCCATTGGATCGGGTGCCTTTTTCTTGGCTGGAGCTGCCTCTTTGACTTCAGCAGTTGGTAAACCTTCCATATGCTTATCAAAGTTCGCCTTCATGGCTATAGCTTGCTGAGTGACTTGGTGCTCGGGACCGTTGAAAGTTTGTGCGTTTGATACGATCAGATTGAAATCTTCCACCACGGCGTTGACCGTGGTGTATTTGTCTCCTCGCAGATTGTCTTCTAGGGTCTTGAGGTCCATTGGGTCCGATATGATGCTTGGGTAGGTAGGGATTTTGAGTGCCACAGGGTCTACCGGTGACAGGAACGACTTTGCAGCTGCAATACGCTTGACGTTTCCAATCGCCCGCTGAATATGCTTTTGTTGCGGTTTGGTCATCGGCTGGGGAGGGTCATTTGAGGGTTCCGGTTGGGTGGAGGTGGGTTGAGTGTCTGTTTGAGGTCGTTCAGGGACTTTGAACGACGTGTCTGGCAATTCGTCGTCAGTTCTTGATCTCTTAGCAGCCGGAGCATCTCCAGATTCGTCCTCCTCGCGTGGTCGCGCAACCTTCGCGGACGAAAGTGAGGCGTCTTGCATATCCTCATCCGGTAACGTCGGTACAGATTTAGACTGGGCGTCTGAAGCAGCATTTAACGCAACTGGTGTTGGCGCAGGGTCCAGCGGCGTTTCCTCGTCTAAATTAGTAGATGACGACGGCGCTATAGCGACGTCTTGATTTGGTGGGACTGATTCTTCCTGCGGAGCTGGTGGTGGTAACAAGGATGGTGCAGAGGCATCTACACTAGGGATTTCTGGCGGCACTTGATTTGGGGGGATCGTAGATGTTCCCTGGTCGCTTACTGGAACTTCTTGTTGTTCTTCGGTGCTTGTATCGTGTTGAGTCTCCATGGTTGACTGCTCATTCGGAGGCAGCGCCTCTTCTCGGACGTCGGAAATAGGCTGCTGGATGACTGGAGGCGGGGGATCGATCAGTGCATCCCCAGCTTTAGTTCCTTCCGCAAGCGTAATTTCTTCCGGCGCAGTCTGACTTGAAGTTGCGGGTAGTGTTGTTGTTGTGTCGACCGAGTCAAGCGCACTTGAGTTTAGTTCAAATGAAGTTTGCGTGTCGTTCACAGGCACATGATTGGCGTGAACACCGTTCGTTAAAGGAACCGCATGATCCTCTCCGTTTATGGTCCCGTTGACTTGATGCGCATTTTCGTTAATGTTATTTGGCGAACCTCCTGGCGCGTTGCTTAGGGCGGCTTGAGGTGGCAGGCTTCCAAAGGGTCAGAACGAGTTGGGAAACAGCGACGGGGGATCTAGACTTACTTAAAGTCCTTCTCGTCCAGCTCCATCGGCTCCAACGGTGGCTGGAAATGCGCCTTCGGATCAAAAGTGGCCAGATCTGGTTCCGACAGCGCCATGATGGGAATGCCGTCAAATCCAGCCAGCCCTTTGAGATTATGCGCCTGCGCGAAATGGTGAGCTACGGAAACAGAGCGATGTCGGTCAGCTTGTCAGGTTGAAGGCGATCGATCGCGATATGAGATTGAAATGACGATTTGATTGCGCGTTTGCGCGTCAGAGATAGAAGTGAAAGGTTGGTGGGAATTGTGGGTTTTGAAATGCGCTTAGGTAGTGAAAGATAATTCTAGATTGTTCGAGCCTTTCAAACAACCACTTCACATGCTCGACTCGTTCTCCACACAGAAACAGTAAGGCAAATACAAATGAGTCGAAAGTGATGTTTGGGTCGATGAAAGTGGAAGGTAGATTGTTGAGAAGGCTTGGCGCGATTGTGTATACCTCGAAATTGGGGGTTGGTGGTGGTGGGTTCGCGACAAAAGTCTGACTAATCAAAGGGACTTCTGGGAAAGAGCGGGACGGGTTCAAGAGACAAGAGAGAATGCGACCGAGGGAAGGAGTCTTAAGATGACAGGTGTGGCGTCCCCAGGCGGCCACCGAATAATGAATGCTGCGGTGGTCACTACTGGTCACGAGACGTGAGAGGGATGATTTGGTCAGGATGGATGGGTCGGTCAGAAAGCGGAGCCTATCAGGGGCCTCTTTTGGTGGGCGCGTTGCTGGGCGGGGAATCTTTGTTGTTAAAAAACGGGGGACGCGCTGGAGTCTTTAAATGCGGCAGGCACGACTCATTAGCCCCGCTGCGGGTCGCCTGCTCCCCCTGATTGGTGCACCATACCGCGCTACCCCATGCCCCTTTAAACCCTTCGCGTGGCCTTTCCAACGCCCGTCAACGGAGAGTCGGGAAAAGAGGATAGATAGTATGGATCATTGATCTGATATCTGATATCACCTTGCCCATCCTCTCCTCACACCGAGGCAGCGTCTTGCGCGCGATGTGCTCTCATACCGTACTTCCGGCTAGCATGATCCGCCAATCAGCAGACAGATCCAATAGCAGCTGTCCCAGCAATAACAGCTTGATCACCAGAACGTCTGCGTAAGCTCTCCCTTACATGTCTGAACGTAGTCGCCGACGTATTCAAACATGTTCGAAGCCTTCCGACAGACTTACTAGTCCTAATCTTAACCCCGGCCGTGGCTAGGCAGCAGCTGAGGAGAGGCTTGTACTGCAATAGAATAGACCATTAGTTTTGCAGCTTCCCAGGTGGAGCAGTACGCCGCGCGTGCACTGATACAAGCTTGTTTTGTCAACGCGAGACTTATTGACTGGGATATGTAGAACGAGACTAAGACAGTTTGTACAGTGGGTTGTCCGTGTTAGTGAACGAAACGGGTACAATGTACCGTCCCTCGGTCATGGACGATACAAGTGGTCTGTTTTGTCATTTTCAGCGAAGAGTCTCACGTCCTGTTTGTTCACGATCTTGTAAGAGTGTTTGTTCCTTCCCGAGGGTCCGCCTTACAGCGAGCTATTATTCGGAGTGACTGTGAGGCTAGTGTAGGGTAGCCTTATTAGTCTTGAACCACGGCAGCCCTAGCCCTGGCACTAGGCATTTCTTGATCGAGAAAAAAAATAATTATCGGCACTCGATTTCTTACAGACCAGGAGCATGTAAAGGTACATAACACCAGTCATGGGAGGTCCGCTCGCATCTGGTCTGACGCGAACTCTGCTGATGCATTAACTCCCAAGCTATGGGCAAATTCAATGCGTCTAAGCATAGTGCTTCCATCATATCTTCGGCGGCCAACCCAAAATCGACCTCCACAAGCACGGGGACAAATAGATCCTCGGTCTTGAAGTCGTCATTCTGCCCCTCTCTCTTCCAGCTCTCTCTCTTTGCTTCCGTCATACACGGACTTGGATCCGAAATCTTGCGGATACATGACACAACCACAGGTCGCCTCCAATGCGAACACAGTCTTGACCCTGAAGCATCAATTACATGTGTCGATTGGGGTCGTTATGGTGGGCCTCGTCATAGCAAACAGCATGGAGAGGTGCCGAAGAAGCGGAAACATACAGAGCTGCAGGATAGCACAGCGGAAGGCATTGAGGACGAGAGGATCGTGGTAGCATACGGTACAAACAGGTCTCAGATCAACTTCTATTCGCCACTCGAGGGGAAGACCGTGGGCACGCTCAAAGGCGGGCATACTCAAGGTATCCAGGATTTCAAGTTCGGTGATCCACAAAGACCCCAACAAGCGTGGAGTATTGGGGGCGACTCGAAGATCGTTCAGTGGGACTTAGCTTCAAGCCGTGCTCTCCGGTGAGTGGGAAGTGCCATATTTGACAATGCCAATACTGATACTTCTAAGCATTGTGAGCTTGCCTCATGGCCCAGCATCTGCAATACAACCCACTCCATCAGGCACTATATGCGCTTCTCATGCAGCCTATATTCTGAAGCCGGACTCGAAAGGGAAACCACCAACGTTTAGCGCTTCCACAAATGCCGTACGTTGGCTCATCGCACGAACGAATCGAACAATTGGCAAGCAGATGTTCTTGACCGCAGCCGAGAATGATCATTTTATGAGTGTCTTTGAGGAGACCTCAGCCACCATAGTTGGCTCTTTGCGCACCCAAGCCGAAGTTTTGCAGGCCGAACTCTTCCAGGCCCCTTCCCCAAAAGATCTCGCACAACGAAAGTCTATTGAAGAATTTTCCAAGCCTAGCGAAGCCGTCGTAATAGTTAACAAGGACGGGATTGCCGAGATATTTACGAGTGCTTTCGATTTTGGAAGTCATGGATTGCAGAACAAGGCGGAGGGTACGAAAGCCAGGTTCAAGCAGCGTAGTCGAAAATCAGACACGCAAATTAGACTAGTGAGACCAGACAAGAAATCTAGCCAAGTCTTATTGATTAATGCTTCCTTTCGAGAGAATCATATCATTACAGCTTCTGTCGAGGGTGGCGTCAACGTAACATTCGATATGTTTCAATGGCGCGACGAAGTGACAGACCGACTGCTATTGAAAGACAACATCGAAATCAGCAAGAAAGGCAGCGGTTCTGAGACGCATGGCCTAGAAATGAATGGCATGAAAGACATGGGCAAGACTCACCTTGACGAATCACGTGCAATTGTAGTGAATGGCTCGAGCAAAGATGCGGTGCTGTCAGACGAAGAGGGACTAGAGGTTATCGACATTTCTAGTGCTGAGGAGGAAAGTGACTCCTCAACGAACGAGGCGACCGCTGCGCCACAAGAAGATGCCACTACAGCGTCTACGCTAGCTCACAAAGACATTGATATGAAGGATGCTTCTGATGACGACAAGGGCGAAGATGAAAATGTACCTTCAGGTGCAGATGAGCCGTCATTCGGCGAATTGCTTCGGGCGAACGCCCCTGACGCCGTCGATGTTCAAGCGTCATTCCCAGACCCTAATGCTCAGAGTCTGGTGCCAGTAGCGGAAAGAGGGCTTCAGAATCTTCCACATGGCATGTCTCTTGGAACAGTGCTTACACAATCGCTCCGGACGAACGACAGAGATCTGTTGGAGACGTGCTTCCTCAATAAAGATCTTAGCATCGTTCGAGCTACGATCGAGCGGCTTGATTCCTCCTTCGCTCCCGCCTTGTTACAAAGGCTAGCAGAGCGGTTGCACAGTCGCCCCGGACGCGCAGGAAGCCTTATGGTGTGGATTCAATGGACATTAGTTGCTCATGGTGGGTATCTCGCTAGCCAACCTGAAGTCATGAAGAACTTAGCGTCACTCCACCGAGTGGTCAAGCAGCGAGCCAGCAGTCTTCAATCCTTACTCTCACTGAAGGGCAAGTTAGATATGTTGGAAGCCCAGATGAATCTACGAAAGCGCATGCACGCAAGACATCAATTCAACGATGAGGATAATGAAGAGGCAGTTGTCTATGTTGAGGGCCAAGATGAATCCGACTCAGATGAAAACAGTGAAGGCGAAGACGCGAGTGACGATGAAGTTGAGACACAGCGACGAGCTGCGAGAGCGAAACAAAGAAATCTGCCGGCAGCAGACTTGGGGGGAGATGATTCTGGTCAAGAAATGCCCATGATCAATGGCAATCCTGAGGACTCTGATGATGAAGCAAGTAATGACGAAGATGAGAACATGTTTGATGAAGAAGCCTCTTCGACAGACCAAGACTCAGGTGATGAGCTGCAGGATGGTATAGATCATGACGACATAGACACGGACTCTAGTGATGGCGAAGCATCGCCTCAGCCCAAGAAGCTCTCAACATCATCAAAGCGGAGTCAATTACGGTAAGCAAAGGTTTCGCTCTCTGTTGTGGCAACGTATTCTGCAGCATGATACATCGACAAATCCAGAATTGAGCCCACTATCGTGGCCGGAGGCAAGAAGAAGCATTGGATACCGCCCAGTCATTCCGGGTAGTAACTGCTGTATCCTATGCATGAGAGTGCATAGGTCAGGCGTTTCATTGATGCGGATTGCTTCTAGCATAGCGAGGGTTAGGCGCATGATATCCCCGGCGTTACTTTTCGAAATTCTTCGCATGATAGGTAGGAAAAGCTTGCTATAGGAGACTGGTTGGCGCGCGTTTACTCGCTGTATGGAGAGAGGTGGTTAGGTAGGTATATAAGTATCGAGATCCGGAGGATGCTCAATGCATTGCGAGCTCGAATGATAGATCTGCTTCGCGATTTGACCCACGTGGAGCCTTGTGACAGTGACCTGTATGTGTCAACAGCTTTAGTCCCGCAACCGTCTCAAAGGTCCTTTGCTTTATTATCCTTCCAAACGAACGGGAGCATGACGGTTGAGGATGAGGAAAGGCTGGTGATGGTATGCGACAGCTATCAACACAGGAGGATTGCTCTTTCTCTGCCTTTTAGGCCTGGAGTCAACAGTTCGAGGAAGAATAGTTTCGCCTGGCCCAACATTGTGGCGAGCCTTTTGAAATTTCTGATTCCTCAAACTTCAGTTCATTTAATGCAAGCTGATCGGGAACGAGAAGGAGCCGCCGGCTGCTCAAGCCCCGTTTACCCATTTCTGGCTACATTTCATGCAGCAGTCCGCTTCAGCTTTTCAGCATGGTTTCATTGATATTGTCCATGTCGGTCTCGAACATCGACGATACTCGCCTCCAGAGCGGCGTCTTCAGCAGACACTTAGGTATCTGCTGAGGATTACTACGTACTGCGCATTAAGTCTTGAGTTGTTCGGTCAACAAAACATTGTTGACATTCTGCTTCCTCCAGAAACGTTGTTTCGACCGAAGTATTCCTTGAAGGGGGATCGTAATCAACCTGCTATTCCGAACGCTTGTCTCGGTTGTTCATACCTAAGGTGGAGCTTTCACGGTGGAGAGCTTGCGTGTACCACTGTGGCAAACGGAAGCTGGGAGTAAATGTTTGCTCCACCCGGGACTCGTGTGTGTTTGAAAGTATCTAGACCATAAAAGCTCTATATGGCGGCTCGATAGCACATTGAAAGGACATCTGAAATCCAACTCGGAATCTATCCGATGATCGGTGACGGGCACCGCGGACCAGGTATGAAATCTTTGTTGTTCTAGACGGCTGTCGAATATGACAGTCCGCCGTGGTGTTCGTGCCCTACGATCAGTAATTTTTCCCTTCCATTCGGAACGCTAATTTCCGTTCAAGCAATGTTCTCGGGAGTCTGCAGTCATCCATCAGATATCTTGCATGGCATAGCACGTCGCCTCCCAGTCTCAATCTGTCCACGACCTAGTCAGAGGGACGTATGACTCACTTGTCATGATATAATGAATCTATTGGTTGGCACAAGGCTTGCATTCTTGACCACATTCTTGGACTCTGCATTATGGGTTGTCTCATAAAGCTCGATCCGGCATCGGGCGGAGCACGCGGGCATCAAACAAAGAACAAAGGAATCATCTCCGCAACTCGCCACAACCCCGCTATTGGTATGTCTGAAGATGGCCGCAAACAGCTTTTCTATCACAAAAGGCTACAAAGACAGGGGATCGAAAGGTTCCTACCCGTGCTACGACGACCAGCTTTAGCGGCAGCACTGAACAAAGAACCATCTCCATCTGCCCTTTGCGCCTGCATTCGACCTTCTAAAAGCTGAACGCTGCTTTCTTCTCTTCTCTAATGCATTATAGCATCCCATTGCTCACTGGAGCCATATCAATGTCTTTCTGCCCTTCTTCGCAATGTCCTTCCATCGCGTATTACCTCGTCCCTTGGCTTTGTCCAATAAAGAATTGGCCAACAGATGGGCTGCTCCTCCCGATTCCGTCAGGAGTGCGAAGACCATGACGAGTGAGAGGGCTAAATCTGCATACGTGGAAAACTCCAGGATTGCAGAGCCCTTGCCGCTCGATAACGCTTCCAGGAGGTCGACAGTGGAGCTCCCTGAGAGACCAGTGCACAATTCACTCCCACAACACGAGGAATCGAATCCCGCCGAGGGTAGCCACAGTGACTCTGCGCAGGATTCTGCAAAAAATCGTGCTCCATCTAGCATCGACGCCTGGCAGGGAGACTCGCCTAGTCAGATCTGTCTATGCCAACCTGATCCGAAGGTTCCAAGACCTAGAAACGGTACGCCTTGATTGGAGATAGAATTGAAAGCTCATTTGGGACTGTCCACTGACAAAATGTGGCACAGCATTCATTCTCTACCGTCAGCACCATCAAGCTTCGGTAGTTGCACAAAATCCGGGCCTCGCAAACCCAGAAATCTCCAAAGTCATCGGTGACCATTGGCGAGCTGCCGCTCCTGAAATCAAAGAACATTGGAAACTTCTGGCAGAAGTATGCAAATCTCCTCACACAATGTTTTGGCCTACTGACATGACGATCAGGAGGAGAAGATTCGTCATCAAAAGCAGTATCCCGACTATCGTTACCAACCCCGCCGAACTGGCCGAAATAGTAGTGCAGCAGAGCTTTCACACAACCCTTCGGTCTTCGGAGACGGACAGCGCTGTTCGAAGTGCGGCGGTAAATCTATCAGCAGCTCCAGCGTGATCAGCACCAATAGCTCGATTTCGACCCAAGGCAGTCCACCATTGCCACATCAGATAACCAGGTCAGACAGCCAGATTGCGATGCCTCCGCCTACCGTGACCTCGATATCGGCTGGCCGGTTCGCAAGAGCTCCTAGCAGTCCTTCTGCAAGGGACGACTCGCCACAGTCTTATCGATTCACCCGACCTCAGACAGCACATGCATTGGCCTTGGCCTCGCCACGCCAGACCAAGCGCCCAGCAGAGGTCAATGAGCAATCACCAATTTCTCCTGTTGCTAAGCGTCGTCGAATGCCCACCATTCCTTATTCACAGTCTCGTGTGCCCCACGGACCGCAGACACCGTTCACACTATCGAAACCCGGGCAAAGAAGGCCTTCCCTACCAAGACCAGACTTTCTTACGGGCACACTTTCCAGTCCTACCGCGATGGGCCAATCGGCTGGACCTCGCACAGCCTCACTTCAGATGCGTTCCGATTCTCTACGATTGCCGCCCCTTCACACCAATGCAGTTGGAGATAATAGTCATTTTCGATCTGATAGCTCCGACGCACAACATGCGAAGACCTTGGAGGCTATGATTCACTCCATTCCTCTTCTAGCCAGAATCAGGGTCCTCGGGCGAGTCTGTGGACCGTTGCCCCTCATACCTGATTTGATTTCATCTATTGGTTTCCAAAGGAGAAAAGGAAGGGGAGTTGTTATCGCCATAGATTCCGCGGACAGCTTAGCGATCAGACAGTTGACAGCAACGCTCGAAGCAGCCTTGAAATATGAAACCAACCTGAGGATCTTTTGCACACCGAAGCCCTCAGAGGATGAACCAGCGACCTTGCAATCCTACCTTCGCCTAGTCGACCAATATCACACCTTGAGCGGCGAAGTAGTTGAACACGTGACGCCAGCACCACGACCAAAAACCTCCCTTCCTCTAACCAGCTCCCCAGGAGATTCGCCAGAGAAAATGGAAATTGAGGAAGGGGAAGTTGAGGAAGAACAATCCCCGGTGTCTCCCAAATCCTTCCCCAAACTTCGGAGCAGCACCCACACCAATGCCAGCAAAAGTATCAACACCAAATCCAAGCACAGCATCTCCCCGGCCCCTCCCTCCGCCATGTCAATCACCAGCGACACACACGACAACCTAACGTCAGTAGCACTAGTTCCTGGCTGGCACCTCACGCACACCGACTCCTTCGCCGCCCGCGTTCCCATCACAGACGCCTACTCGCCTATGGACCACTGGCAATGGCACGCCACCTTGTGGCGAGGTACCGTGGGGGCCGATGTTACGGTAGCGGTGCAAGCTAGCGTGCCTGAGGAGGTGACAACATCGCCGCCGGGGACTGCTGGTATTGCTGGTGGTGCTGGCACCGCTGGTGGGAATGATGGTAGTAAGCATGTTGGCGGCAATGCGAATGGTGGCGAGAACGCTGGAGCGCGCTCCGGGTCTGGTGGTGCGGCGGGAACTGGCATGAAAGTCGATAAAGCTAATGGCGGGGTGGACATTCGACTGGAAGATTCGAGGTCGATCGTTGTGCAAGGCGGGGAGAAAGGCGTCAGTGAGGTTGCTCTTAGGCGGGTGGGGTTCGAGATGAGTGAATGGGTGAGGGGATGGGGGGGAGGGATGCGTAAAGTGTTGGATAATTTTGAGGGTCGAGGAGATTGTAATTATCTTGAGCTGATTGATTTTGTATCTTGGGTGGTCAGGACCTCGCTTGATAGGTTTGTTCGTAATGGGCTCTGGACTGATTCCGTGAACGTTTGTTACCGTCAATTTATAGAAATGGTTGGAACCGAGCAGTCGCCAGCGTTTGATTTCCCTTGCTGGTTTGATTATACTCCGTGCATTCTTGCCTGTGACAATGTGCTATAATTGCAAATTTTTGTGAGCTCTGACGCCAATGCTTCGTGTTCCCTCAGACAGCAGGCGGAGGTGGCCCAGGAATGAAGCTTTTTGAATGGTCGGTAAATTGGGCTATATACACTGAAAGGCAAGAGGAAATCTGGAACTTAAGAATACGCTTACGTCATCATTGGCCAGGAGATATGAGCTGTCCTTGCTTCTGAGCATTGTGCGTCCAACCACCAGCTCTAGCTTCACCACCCGATCTCTCCGCGTGCCCTCTAATCCGCTCTTCTAGCTGAGGGCGGAAGTGGCGGACGAGGCCTTGAAGGGGCCAAGCAAAGGCTTCACCCAAAGCTACAATTATGCATTAACATTAGAAGTTACAGCTAAGAATGTTAGACGGTGACTTACCACAGATTGTGTGACCCTCTACCTGCTTTGTCAGTTCCTGAAGCATATCGATCTCTCTCTCTCTGCCCTGTCCCTTTTCAAATCTCTGCATGATCTGCTCTGTCCACTTACTGCCCTCTCTGCACGGCGTGCATTGTCCACAGCTCTCGTGCTTGTAGAAGCTTGCTAGTCGGCTTATAGCACGGACAACATCCGCGCTCTTGTCCATTACGATGACAGCGGCGGTGCCAAGACCAGACTGGCTGTCCTTAAGAGCGTCAAAATCCATGAGCTGGGTATCGCACATTGGCCTTGGAAGGATAGGCGTAGATGAACCACCGGGGATGATGGCCAGGAGGTTGTCCCACCCGCCCCTTACGCCACCGGCATGTCTTTCTATCAATTCCTTTAGCGAGATGGACATCTCTTCTTCCACTGTACAGGGATTGTTCACATGGCCCGAGATGCAGAAGAGTTTCGTTCCCGCATTCCGTTCTCGGCCGAATGAGTTGAACCAACTAGGACCTCGACGTATGATTGTCGGCGCGACTGCGACAGTCTCGACGTTTGCGACCGTTGATGGACAACCGAAGACACCAACCGAGGCTGGGAAAGGAGGCTTCAAGCGGGGCTTTCCGGGTTTGCCTTCCAGCGACTCGATGAGGGAAGTCTCCTCACCACAGACATACGCTCCCATACCCCGGTGAATGAAGACGTCAAAGTCGTAACCACTTCCGCATGCGTTTTTTCCAATAAGCCCTTCCTTGTACGCTTCTTGAATGGCTTTCTGCAGGACGGTGGCCTCATGATAGAACTCGCCGCGAATATAGATATATGCTGCTGAGCAATTCATAGCCCTCCCAGCGACTAGACAGCCTTCGACAAGCTTGTGTGGGTCTTTCCTCATGATTTCGCGGTCTTTGCAAGTGCCGGGCTCGCCTTCGTCAGCGTTCACGACCAGATAGCGGGGCTTGGTGTCTTTGTCCCAGTCTTTGAAGTTCATGAATGACTATAAAGTGTGAGCTAGCAGGGATCTACAACGTCAGCGGTCAGCATACCCATTTCATTCCTGACGGAAAGCCGGCGCCTCCTCGACCTCGTAGGCCCGATGCTTTGATTTCTGATATGAGCTACAGCAGATGATTAGCTGAGAATCGTTTCTTTCCTCTAAGCTGGCCAAACAAACCCAATCGTGGCCTTTCAATATAATTTCTTTCGTCTTGTACCAATCGCCATACTTCATTGCGCTCTTGAGGTCCGCGCCATGGTGACCATACAGATTCTGGAATATGCGATCTTGATCTTTGAGTCCTCCAAAATGGGTCCTTTTCGGCGGCGGGTCATCTTGAACAGTAGCTAGATGTCTTTGCTGAGGACATCGAAGAGCATTTGTCGGAGAGGGGCGAATTCTTGAAGTGGCGGAAGCAGAAGGGAGGGCTTTGAGAGGGACATGATTCAAGTGCTTGGGAGCACCAGCCTTTAGAGGAATCATTACAGGAACCAGAATTGGAGGAGCATTTGACGCAAAGGGGCTTGTGGTGTAAGATGGCAACGGTGAATGGAGAAGTCATCCAGCGATCGATTGTAGATAGCCTAATTTTGATTGGACACAAGGATCTCTCGCCTGTTGAGAACGGAGATAAGCATGTGGTAATGCCGTGATAGTACATTAGAATTGAACGTCAAGGCGTTCGAATACTATTATGCTCCGTGTATCCTGATTGTCTGACCTACCGTGGACCTGAATAGATCCACCCGGATCCCGAGGTGACAAAGTGGCCACAAAGCTCGTTCAGATCGGATTCATGCCTCGCAGTGCTATGCATGTTTCATTCAATTCACCCAGATTCACTGCCACCGATGCGAGATTGGTCCCAACCTTACGCCTCGCTTTAAAGCATGCGGATGCCCCCTTTAGTTTTCATAACACTTCGCATTCTTCATGGTGGCTGATAGCGACGCCATACGTGGCTGCTGTATGCCCACAGCATGATAGCTACTTTGCCCTCCCCTTTTGCGACTTCCGCACGAGCCTACGCTTGTTCTCCTTTCTACGCTTTGAGCGCTGACCAGTCTTCGTAGACGGCGCTTGCGCATCATCATCTGCTTCGGACTCGTCCAGCTTTTCCTCAAGATCGATGTCCTCATCTTCAACCTCCAAGTCTGTAATGGGAGACTTCCTTTTCTTTACGTTCGTCTCGGCATTCTTTCGAAAGGCCTCTTCCGGAGGTTCTTCCATTGGTTTTCCTCCATTTCGGCCTCCATTTGGGTGCCCATATCGAGCCTCCAGGTCATCTAAGAAATTAGTCGCCCTCTCTTTTTGTCGTCTTTGGATGATGGCCGCAAGATCTGTCCTACCACCCTTCTCGGCGCCAACGCCTGTGTGTTTGCCGGTCTTACTCTTCTGAGTCTCTGTGTAGTGCGCATCAGCCTCACGGGCTTGCTTCTCGGCTACTTTTCTGCGCGCCTCCCTTTGAGCTGGCCTCTCGTTCTCATACTTTGGATAGCTCTGTACGTGTCCGCTTGCGATCCCTTCTGCAATCCACTTGCGATACCTATCTTCATCATCAAGCGGGTTACTCAACATAACATCTCGAAAGACTTTGTTCATGTTTCCCTCGAATTTTTGAAACGCTGCCAGGACATCTCGTTTCTCTTCTTCGGAACCCTGGTACTTATCCTTGAAAGTTGTGATGGATGAATCGTTGACAGCATCATGCCATTGCGTGCGAAAGAAGTCCAGCCAGTTAAAATCATCGTCATCTATAGTCAAGGACTCGGCAGTACTGCCAGTTGTGTCATATCGCCGGCGTCGGCGCTCATCAGACAGGACTGCGTAGGCAAAGGCAATCTGTTGGAATCGCGTATGCGCGGATATCTTATTTGCATCTGGCACTTTGTCTGAGTTGAAGTCAAGTCAGAGAATGAGACCCATGGCTTATTGACTTTGTAGGATCATCACCTGGGTGGTGTAATAGGGCGAGCTTCTTATAAGCGGTCTTGATCTCTGCTGCATTTGCTCCTTCGGAAACTCCGAGCGTCTCATAAGGATCTCTCACTTCTGGAAGACTACCATTGAGAGGTTCCATTGCGAGACGGGTCCGCAAGTGAGGATGTAAGAAATTAAATAAAGAATCTGAGTTTATGAACGCGTCGCGGCACCAGGTGGGGGGGTCAAAGGACCTGAAATTACGCATACGGGATCCAAAATATCAGCCTAAACCAGGGCTGATCCCAGTAGCCCCTTTTCTTGACGACTTGCTGAAGCCTCATTGAAAAGCAGGCACCCTGAGCGAGAATTATGAGGTACGAACATAGCAACACTGATATATTACTTTGCTTTTCTAAGCATGTATGCCACTACCAATAGTCATAGGGTTTCCATCGCTGGAGGGTCTTCTTGTTGGCAGACCCTAGTACGCCCACAACCATGCAAGTTCTAATTCCTGGCTGTCTCATCGGAACATATCGATGTTTCTCAAAGCCTTTCAACGTCCCGTTTGTCGCCAGTCTGGAGCTAATACTTCATGATAACACCGTCTGACTTCTGATGTGAATTGTCAGCTTCATCCTCGTCATTCGATCTATCGGGCTCAGTCCCCTTGGCTGGCAGATTCGTTTTATGTCTGCTATTTAGCTCGTCATCTTCGGTCTTGTCCTGTTCCTCGACCTCTTTAGACACATTTAGCCTCAAAGCCAGCTCATCAACCTTAACATTCTCAGGAAATTCGGATGCATTATCTAGTCTTGAAGCCAGCTCATCATCGTTGACATCCTCAAAGACCTTAGATGCATTATCTCGCCTCAAAGCCATCTCATCATCTTTCACATCTTGAGGGAGTTTAAATGCACCATCTGGTACGATATTGTTATCCCGGCGCTTCCTTGCGAGTGGTGTTTGGCCTTCATTCTTGGCCAGTTTCTTACGCGCTGTCATGACCGGTACACTAGACTTCACGATGAGATATTGTGACACCGAGCCCGCAATCGTACCTCTGACGAGGCTGCGTCCGCGTGATCCTACAATGACCATGGTTGGTTGAATGTGGTCAATCGCTTCTGTGAGCATATGGCGACAATCCTTGCAGTGAACAACCTCCACCACCACCCTAACCTGAAGGACTGTTTTCCTAAGAAAGCCTACGCAGGTTTCCACGAGCTTATCCAAAGCATGCATGCGGTCCTGTTGTTTGGCTGACGCTCTCGCGTCTGCGGCTACACTGCTTTTCCTCGACCCAGGAAGAATGTTTTTCACACCCGCGAAAAGTACGGCTTTGCTGGACGCTTCCTCTGTCATTTTGGCCACATCGGCTGTGGTTTCTTGCATTGCCTGGCGAACTTCGTGCTCACCCAGTCCTTCACCTGGGCGATCAATGTCCATATCCTTGTCAATTGCACAGAAAACAAACAGCGTGTCTCCATCGCGAAGGATGCTTCCAATCGTCCACTTTATGGCATAGGTAGCTTCTTCCTTGAGGTTGGCCGCCAGTAGGTACTTCCGAAGCCGAACCTCACCTTTTCCAGCTATACGCTCATATTGGCTGTAATCACCTCGTACTAAGGTTCGAAGGACTCTGTAGGGTTTTGAGTCGGTCACTTCGTAGATCTTTAGTCGCTGGGCTCTTTCCATGTCGTCCTCATTTTCGCGGTCAATGGCCACAGAATTCACAGCCCGCTCTCGACTAGTACTCTGCTCGGACGTGACTTTGGGCTTGATATCGAAAGTCTTTGATGTAGTTCTTGGACGCAATGAGCTCGAGGTCGTAGTCTTCGAGTCTCCAGACGACTGTTCTGAATCATCAAAGGACCTTTTCCTCCCTCGACTTTCGTCTTCCTCGACATTTGCATCTGACAATACGTGTTGATCTGGCTCATACTCTGGTGACTTCGACCTAAGGTTCTGGAAGGGTGTGTTTTCCTCATGCTCCCGAGGTGTTACTGATGATTTGCTATGTGATGGTTGGTCTAACTTAATGTCTCGAGTTTGTACTTGTGGAGCTTGGTTAGTGCTCGGCTTCAGAATAGATCCAAAACTACGCCCACGGCGCACAGCTTCCGATTCATCAACACTTGGGATCTGACGATCAGAAGACATTCTAATGATCAGATGAAATTTTGGATGGCTTTAGATAGAATGAAAAAGAGGAAAGGAAAGTGCAAGCTGTGTTATGACTTTTCAGCACCAATGCACGTCGCAGCCTCCACTAAAAGTATCTGGCTTACGAGGCAATGGAAGGGCTTCGATTTGTATCAATACGGTGTCTTGTCCAGTGCAGATCAGATTGTGAAATGCTGGATTAGGGCACATGCCTTTGGGAGCAGTAGCTCTTCATTGAATGAGTCAACGATCCCTTCGCGACCATGCTGTCGTAGGTAAGGCAAAGGTTCATATACATCATAAACATAACCAACTCACCAAACAAACTAGTCAAGGAGCGACTTCTAGATTTGTGGATATGTTGTCACAGTGCCGGTCGTGTTCACCACTCCATCTGGTCTTACCTGAAGTAGTAACCCTGACCCTAATATCTGCACACCGAATACGTTTCGGCAGCTACCCCAATAGTGACAGGTGCCTCGTTGGGCTTCTGTCCAATTATGTAGTCATAAATGCCAGCGCTACAAGTGTCGAAGAACTCAGGATGAGAGCTTCGTGAAAACTCAAGTAAAATTTTTGTATCTCCTAAGTCTAGTCCCTAAGTTTGCTCGCGCATTGACACTAAGTTTGTGTATGCCCTGTCGCTTCTCCCAAGCACTACTTTTTCCTTCTACGGTCGCAATGATTTCATCGGCGACTTTGTTTGGAAACTGTACGTTATACACATTAGCGCAGACTCTTGGGCAAGTATAGATAGGCAACGCAAAAGAGCCAGCAAACACCCAGGTTATAACAAAATTTCGTTTTAGAAGCAACATACCTGTGATCGTCCACCTCCTCTGATCTGCTTTTTACTCGCTGCATCCAGGATCCACAGAATTGCCGTCCGTCGCCGTTGTCGCAAAGTGAGAGGGACAGGAATCTGCAACGCCATACCACCTCCCGCTGCTCCCTTTTGAGACCGAATACGTAGAAGAGGAGCTACCGAGTCGACAGCAGTTGTTAGAAATGTGATTGGATTGAGTGGTAGATGTGATGGTGGAGGAGAGTTAGGGTATAGGGGTTTTTGTGTGTTTGATGGTGGAGAGCCCGTCCGAAGTCGCTCGAGTATCATCGCCATTGTCTGTAGAGTCGTCAATCTTCCAAATATCCTCCCGTTTATTCCTGCAAGAATGCCTACGCTTTGCGCTTTACTGAGCTCCCCGTGTTTCATCATGAGCTTTGTAAATTGGTCAACTATCGGCTCGTAACGACGTCTGATGTGAGATTTACTTGGCAAGGGCAGATCTGGAAGCGGAAACATGTGCCCTTGCCCTTCCCCGTAACCCTGTACGCTCGTCGAAGTCGGCATAATGTTTGCTTGAGCTCGTCGCCTTGTCGAGGTCGAGTATGATCTGGTACCACTTGGCTTCGGTTGATTTATATCATTTTGTAGCACCTTGGGTGCGTTTTCCATTGCCTTCTTGTCGCGTTGAAGTACCTTTCCTAGAGTTAGCCAGGAGGAATACTCTTAATCGGAAAATTCCGCACCTCTTGCACGGGTGTGCCTTGCTCAAGGTCTGGTCCCTCTTCTCCAGTGACCTTTGATGTCGCCGCAGCTTCTTCACTTACATGTGGAAGCTGTTCCTGGTTGGGGCCCTTGCTACCCTTTTCTGCCTCCGGCAATGGCTTGTCATCAGATGTAATTCCTCGTCGGGTGTGAGGGCGAATGCCAGGGACCGCAGTGAAATGGATCGCGCTTATACTGTTAGGTCTGTTCACAATAGCTCTGTGGCAGAGCCAGAAGCTCGAACGTCCCGACATGGCCGTCGGTTCTTCCTTTGGGCTTGGTATTCGGAGTGCTTTGGTTGCTAATTCCTAATTTCGAAAGGAAGTATATCCGCCAAGTAGGGGCCTAACCTACACAGGTTAGCGTTTTTCTAGGTCATCAGAAGTGTATCTCTTATCACTATCTCTGCGCTCAATTGGTGGCAAAGGCAAAGTATAAAGTGGCATTTTGGATCTTGGAATTGTATTCTCCATCATCTTCAGTCTATGTGACTTGTGTAGAATTAATGGTAAGGTAGTTCTTTGTGGCGCATTCGCCAAAATTCGCCCTCAACTCACGCCATCGTTCACACGTGCAGCTTTCTCTTTAGACACAATATCCAGAGAAGTAATACTAGAGGAGCTGACAAGATTCAGACTGCAAGGTGACTTTGACTCGCTTGAGTCTATGCCGAAGGTGAATTTCAGGCTATTCTCATAGACTGTCTGTCACTGTAAAGATACTCGATCGATTGCGGCGACCTCCGAATCCCATTTTCCAGCTTTTAAGATCGAATTCTCTCATCGTTCTTGCGCTTCTTTGATCTTGTCTGCGAGACTATTGGTATCCTTCTATGCTACAGATTGTATCCGCGCCCAAAAGATATATGTGATTGAGAGATGGCGCCGGGAATCATTGATCCTCAGCCAGCTGTGTCCAACAGCCGCATCCGTTCTCTACATTCGATCACAGAACCTTACGATGATACCTTGTTATTCTACCTCAATGGCACAAAGATTGTACTCGACTCGACGTCGATAGATCCTGAAATCACTTTGCTCGAGTACCTTCGAGGAATAGGATTGACCGGCACGAAGCTGGGATGTGCCGAGGGAGGTTGCGGTGCTTGCACAGTAGTCGTCTCTCAGTTGAATCCAACAACTAATTCGCTGTACCATGCTTCTGTCAATGCCTGTCTCGCACCTCTAGTGAGCGTTGACGGAAAGCATGTGATTACAGTCGAGGGAATCGGAAATGCCCAGGATCCGCACCCAGCTCAAGAGCGAATTGCCAAAAGTATGGGCAGCCAATGTGGATTTTGCACCCCTGGAATCGTCATGAGCCTCTACGCATTGCTGCGTAACAATACAGATCCATCCGAATTAGAGATTGAGGAGGGTTTCGACGGCAATCTCTGTCGATGCACAGGATATCGGCCCATACTTGATGCTGCTCAAACCTTTGGCAGAGGGAAAAGCTGCAGCAAAAGTGCTGCGAACGGTGGCAAAGGTTGTTGCATGGAAGAGGGCAACAAGGCAGGCATGAATGGCTGTGGTGTGAAAAATATCGATTTGAACGGCAATGGCGTGGTCAAAAGATTTACGCGACCTGACTTCGTTGAATATAAACCTGAAACCCAGCTCATCTTCCCACCTGCATTGCGAAAGCACGAGTTCAGAGCGTTGTCATTTGGTAACAAGCGTAAGAGGTGGTTTAGACCAGCCACCCTCAACCAACTGTTGGAGATCAAGAGCGTCTACCCTTCTGCAAAGGTCATCGGAGGCAGCACTGAGACTCAAATTGAAATTAAATTCAAGGCAATGCAATATACTGCTTCAGTCTACGTTGGTGACATAGCTGAGCTCCGTCAATTTTCATTTCATGACGGTCACCTTGAGATTGGAGGTAACGTGGTTCTCACCGATCTAGAGCATATCTGCCAGAAGGCTATCGAGCACTATGGACATGTAAAGGGCCAACCTTTCCAAGCCATATATAAACAGATCCGATATTTTGCAGGTCGACAGATCAGGAATGTAGGGACTCCAGCAGGGAATTTAGCCACAGCATCCCCTATATCAGACTTGAATCCTGTATTTGTTGCTTCAAATACCGTGTTGGTTGCGAAATCTTTGGAAAAGGAGACGGAAATCCCAATGACTGAGTTCTTCAAGGGTTACAGGACTACAGCATTGCCTCCGGATGCTGTCATAGCCAGCCTTCGAATCCCTGTAGCGCGTGAAGAAGGCGAGTATTTTCGGGCCTACAAACAGGCGAAGCGTAAGGACGACGACATTGCCATCGTAAATGCTGCCCTACGGGTCTCCTTAGACAAATCTGACATGGTTCAAAGCGTCAATTTAGTCTATGGAGGGATGGCTGCAACGACTGTGACTGCAAAAGAAGCTGTACAGTATCTCAAAGGTAAAAGCTGGAGCGACATCGATACCTTAGAAGGTACAATGAACGCACTTGGGAAGGACTTCGATCTCCGTTTCGGTGTACCCGGTGGCATGGCTACATATCGAAAATCGCTTGCCCTGGGTTTCTTCTACCGATTCTATCATGAGGTACTTGCTCAACTCCATGTGAAACAGGAAACCTTAGATGAAGACGTCCAAGGCGAGATAGAGCGCGGCATATCTTCAGGTGAGAAAGACGAAGAAGCTAGCCGAGCTTATGAGCAGCAAATCTTGGGAAAATCAAATCCTCATGTTGCTGCATTGAAACAATGTACTGGTGAAGCACAGTATACCGACGACATGCCTGTCCAGAAGAACGAACTCTTCGGTGTCTTGGTGTTGTCGACGAAGGCGCACGCAAGAATATTGAGTGTGAATGTAGATGGTGCCATCGATCTACCTGGGGTTCATGACTGGGTAGACCACCGTGATTTGCCAAACCCAAAAGCTAATTGGTGGGGCGCTCCAAATTGCGACGAGGTCTTCTTTGCAGTGGACGAGGTGTTCACGGCGGGCCAGCCAATTGGAATGATCCTGGCTGACTCGGCAAAACGTGCAGAGGCCGGCGCAAGAGCAGTGAAGATTGAGTATGAGGACTTACCAGCCGTCTTTACAATTGAGGAGGCTATTGCAACAGAGAGTTATCACCCACACTACCGGTACATCAACAAAGGCGATGTGAACGGCGCGTTTGAAAAGGCAGACCACGTCTTTTCCGGCATTGTAAGAATGGGTGGTCAAGAACATTTTTACCTTGAGACACAAGCAAGTTGCGTCGTTCCTGAACCTGAGGACGGTGAGATGAAAGTGTACAGCAGTACGCAAAACCCTACCGAAACGTGAGTTTTAAAACATGCATTAGGACTAAGTTCTTTACCTTCACTGACAGTCGCAGCCAAGCATACGTAGCTCAAGTTACGGGAGTACAAGCCAACAAAATCGTCACCAAAGTGAAAAGACTTGGTGGAGGATTCGGAGGTAAGGAAACGAGGTCTGTTCAATTAGCTGCGATCTGCGCAGTTGCTGCAAAGAAAACGAAACGCCCTGTGAGATGCATGCTCAACCGTGACGAAGACATATTGACGTCTGGACAACGCCATCCCTTCCTGGCACGCTGGAAAGTGGCAGTCAACAGCGATGGCAAGCTTCAGGCCTTAGACGCCGATGTCTTTGCAAATGCTGGTTGGAGCCAAGATCTGAGTGGCGCCGTCGTAGACCGTGCGCTTTCTCACAGTGATGGTGTATATATGATTCCAAACGTACACGTCCGTGGTCGCCTCGCAAAGACAAACACTGTATCCAACACAGCATTTCGTGGATTTGGTGGGCCACAAGGCATGTTCATATCCGAAACCTATATGGAAGAGATTGCGGACCGTCTAAATATGCCAGTTGAAAAGCTTCGAGAGGTGAACATGTATGAGCCTCATGCAATAACGCACTTCAATCAGGAGCTCAAAGACTGGCATGTCCCACTCATGTACCAACAAGTCCAGACAGACTCGTCGTATGCTCAACGTAGAGCGGACGTCACAGCCTTTAATGCCGCCCATACTTGGAAGAAGCGTGGTCTTGCCATCATACCTACCAAATTCGGAATATCTTTCACGGCGCTGTTTCTTAATCAAGCTGGTGCGCTGGTTCATGTCTATCACGACGGATCAGTATTGGTCGCTCATGGGGGTACTGAGATGGGTCAAGGTCTGCATACTAAAATGACAATGATCGCAGCAGAAGCACTCAAAGTGCCTCTTGAAAATGTATTCATTAGCGAGACGGCCACCAACACTGTGGCGAATACTTCGTCTACTGCCGCTTCCGCATCAAGCGATTTGAATGGTTACGCCATTTTCAACGCCTGCGAACAGATAAATGATCGCTTAGCGCCGTATCGCGCGAAACTTGGTCCAAGTGCGTCAATGAAGGAGCTCGCACATGCAGCATATTTCGACCGTGTCAATCTATCCGCCAACGGCTTCTACAAAACTCCCGACATTGGGTATGTTTGGGGTCCCAATACTGGGCAGATGTTCTATTACTTCACGCAGGGCGTCACTGCTGCTGAAGTTGAAGTCGATACCTTGACAGGCGATTGGACTTGTCTGCGCGCTGACATCAAGATGGATGTTGGTCGATCAATCAATCCCGCAATTGATTATGGTCAGATTGAAGGTGCTTTCGTTCAGGGAATGGGCTTGTTCACTATGGAGGAATCGCTGTGGCATCGCGCATCCGGCCAGATTTTCACACGCGGCCCTGGCACTTACAAGATCCCTGGCTTCAGAGATATTCCCCAGAGATTCAATGTCAGTCTGCTGAAAGACGTCGAGTGGGAAAATTTGCGAACCATACAACGTAGCAGGGGGTGGGAGAGCCGCCCTTGTTCATGGGCAGCGCAGTGTTCTTTGCTATTAGAGATGCACTAAAGGCAGCTCGTAAGCAGTGGAACTGTGAGGAGGTGCTCTGTCTGCAGAGCCCGGCGACACCGGAGAGGATCCGTATATCTTGTGCTGATCCAATCATCAAAAAAGCAGAGGTCAAGCCAACGGAAGGGGAGAGAAGTTTTTTCCTCTCCATTTGATGTTGGCATGTGAGCAAGATCGCTCTTTCCTTGCGTCATTCTTTAATGTAATGAGATGTTACGATGGTTGACCGAGCAGCTACATGATTTAGCGTGATTTCATAGGATGGCAGGATCCTTTAGTTAGAAAAGGTGAATTACTAGTATTCCTGAATCAATCGCTATTCCTTCTGGCTATGTGACCAACAGACATGGCCCCGCTGGTCCGGGCGTCTGGGTCTGGGTCTTCCCACTGTCCCTCTCCGAAAGCGAAAGAAGGCCCTTGGATATCGTGTCACATAGTAATTGGTTTTGGGATTCCTATCATAGGTTTTGTCCTAATGGCTGTAATTGGCGCTTGGATTTTACATCGATGGCGATTGGGCATCTGGCGTCGCCTTGGAGGGAAGCAGCGAGACTTTCTTGAGTCGTGCGCTTTGTGGTGGTATAGCAGTAAGACCAGTGAGCTCTGCTGAAAATCCCGGCTTGACAAGCTACAGCTCCTCCAATGCGTCTCTTTGCGCCAATGGGCGATCCCGAACCAGCAGCATGTAGGCTACATGGAGAAAGACCCCAACCTACCAACGCTGCTCGTTTAGTCCTCTTGGAAGGTCAAATGGTCTTTACAATGTTTGAGGAGCTGAGGCAGGCAGCACGACCCGCTCTCGAGCTCACCTCCGCTATTCCTCCACCTCCATGCGCGGTGTTGAGAGAGCCACGGCACTGAAGATACGAATGTCTGGCGGCCTTATCCCTGGATATTTCTCTCCTAGGGACACCACAACTCTCCAGAAACAATATTTATACAAAAAGATTTATATTCTTAAAGGGCTAGACCTTCATTGCGTGTGAGTTAAACTTCCTTGGGCTGGGCCTAAAATTTCTGACGTCATTTGCTGTTGCCGATTCTGGTCAAGTGTCAAAGCTCCTTGTTTTACAGCTTTTAACCTGCTTCGTTTACTTTTCGTGGATGCCAACCATTGCTCACCAGCAGCTTGCTTCAATCTGAGTTCAGCTTGCTATGGCTGAACAGCAACAGCAGCACGCCCCTGGCGGCTACTATAGTGCAAGGAATAAAATCCCAGACATCAAGACTTTTGTGCAGAATTTGGACAAGGACAAGAAGGACCGAGACGCACGACTTGATGACCAGAAGAAAGCTCCAGGAGCTCCGCAGAAGGGTCAAAAGCAGGGCCTCGAGGATCAAAAGCAAAATGCTAGCTACAAGACCGTCACTGATCCTACAACTCAAAAGGAAGTCCAAATCGCTGACGTTGGTGAGGACTTTATGGAAAGAGTGAAGAACCCTCAACTGTCTGTTCCGAATGCAAATCTAGGGAAGGATACCACTGTCAAAACAGACCCTTCTCAAACAAATCCAGAGTACAAGGAGAACCAGGACATAACCGCACCGCCAGATCCCGTGGCCGAGGGTAGCACAACTGACGTGCCTATTCATGGCGAAAAAACGAATATCCTGTTCCATCCCACACCATCTGTCAGCTACGAGCCCATGTTCGCCATGTTGGAGACCCGAGCCGGTGGATTATGCATTGGCCTTTTGGTAGCTGTCATTGTGTTGGGGCGAATGTTTGGAGGCTCTTTACTTGGACTGATACCGCTCTCCATGTGCGTTGCATCCGGCGTTTGGCTATGGATGAAAGAGGTAGTACGAAGTGGCCGCGAAGTAGAATGGCAAAGTGAACAGACTCGAGGAGAGACGGTAAGCCAGCCAAATCAGGGGGCGCTCTGTTCAGTGATTAACCTGTTAGGCTGTGGCAAATCTGTTACCCGAATCTGTTGAATGGATGAATACATTCCTTAATATCGTTTGGGGCTTGATAAATCCGGACATGTTCGCTGGTGTTGCAGATACTCTGGAAGACGTTATGAAAGCATCCGTACCTGGAGTGATTGAGAATGTTCGGGTTGCGGAAATCAATCAAGGCAACAATCCTCTCCGTATTCTGAGCTTGCGCGCCCTGCCCGATACACACGTCAAAGAGCTCAAAGAAAGTATTCACGAAGAGAATAAGAAGACAAAAGATCCGCAAGAAGCTGCCGCAGACGAAGAAGGTGGGGATTATTACAACCTCGAATGCTCTGTAGCGTATCACGCGAAGCCCACAAGCGCAAAGGATACGTCCGCGAAAGCCCGCAATATGCACATGCAACTCGTCTTCTATCTCGGCGTCAAGGGACTCTTTGGTGTCCCCCTGCCAATATTCGTTGAACTTCAAAGTCTGGTGTGTACTGCACGCATAAGGTTGCAGATGACACCAGAGCCACCTTTCTTAAAGAATCTTACGTTTACACTCATGGGTGTTCCACAGGTTTCTGCTGGATGCATTCCGATGGTCGAAAAGGGCGTCAACATTTTGAATCTACCTCTGATCTCCAATTTTGTCAATTATGCCATCAGTGCAGCTGCGAGCATATACGTAGCCCCGAAGTCTATGTCCATAGATCTTGGTGCTATACTTCAGGGAGACGACATCTCGAAAGATACATTGGCTATGGGTGTTATGTGGATCCGAATCCACCGTGCCAGAGGTCTAAGCAAACAGGATCGACGTGGTAGCAAGGGAGGCGGCTCAGACCCTTACATAACCCTGTCATTTTCCAAATACGGCAAGCCGATGTACTGTACAAGAGTGATTACAGATGATTTGAACCCTATGTGGGAAGAGACTGCAGCGTTGCTTGTGACGCCAGAGCTTATCAAAGCTGACGAACAATTAAGTGTAGAACTTTGGGATTCTGATCGTTCTAGTGCGGATGACATCGTTGGCAAGATTGAACTATCGATGCAGAAAATGATCCAACATCCGGGTAAGATGTACCCTCAGATATCAAAACTTGCCGGGATGGAAGAAGGTAGCGAGATGCCTGGTGAACTGCACTGGGAAGTGGGATATTTCTCAAAACCAAAATTACGTCCGGCTCTGCGAACAGATGGCAAGAACAAAGCACTCCCTGATACGCTCAAGGATAAGCCCGAGCTGCAAGACGAGAAGGGCACGATCAATAATGAGCATCAAGACGCAGTAGCTCATACTCCGCCTGACCCCTTATGGCCCACCGGGATTTGCAGCATCATTGTTCACCAGATCGTCAATCTCGAATTAGAAAACATTTACGGCAGCCAAGGCAACCGGAAGGGCAGAGAGTTCGAGCCAGCGAAAGCTTTCGGCGAGAGTACCGAAGAAGTTGGCAAGGACCTGCCAAATAGCTACTGCACGATTCTTTTCAATGATCAATTGATATATCGTACACGAACGAAAGCTGTAAGCAACAAACCAATATTCAATGCTGGTACCGAGCGATTTGTCAGGGACTGGCGTTCGACCATTGCCACAGTAACTGTTCGTGACCAGCGGCATAGACAGCACGATCCCATCCTAGGTGTGGTGCCTCTACGCCTCTCTGACATCCTATCTACGAGCTCCCAAGTAACCCGGTGGTACCCGCTGGACGGGGGCATCGGGTTCGGACGCGTCAGGATATCGCTGCTTTTCAGAAGTGTCGAGACCCGCTTACCGCCCAATATGCTTGGGTGGGAAGTGGGTACATTTGAATTCACGTCGAAGAGGATATTGGCGACGGGATATCACCACAGTGCAAAACTGAAGATGCGAACAGGGGGTAGCATTGGTCAGATCGCCAGACAGCAGTGCAAGGCTCTCGAAGAAGGGGACGGTGTTTTCTGGGACATCTCGGAAAGCAATAAAAAGAGCAGAATCCGCCTTCCCGTAAAGTACCGTTATCGGTCTCCGGTCGTCATTGAGTTCCACAATTCTGGAAAGCGAGGGGCTGCTGCTTATTCGATCATCTGGCTTCACCACCTTGTGGACAACGCAGCGGAAAACATTAATATCCCAATATGGACAACGAAGAACCCTGCTAGACTGACTCAGAATTATGTCACGGAGGAGAATGTCAAAGCTAAGGAAACCCCGGGCTTAGAAGATCTCCAAGAGGTCGGTCGGCTGCAATTTCGATGTCAATTTAAAGCAGGCACAGACGAAGATCATGAGGCGTTTGTCACAGACAACGACTCCAGAGAAACGTACGAGACCTGGGAGGCATGCCTTGCAGAAGGTGTGCGAGAACGCCAGGTGCGCCAAGAAGTGCCCCCCATGGTGGAGGATCTGCACGAGAAGTCATTGACTGAAGGCCGCGACGTGCTGAAGGAGGCTGATGACGAAGAACGCAAGAAATGGCTGGCGAAGGATGGGGAGGATTGGAGTGGTGCCTTTACGCATGATCCAAAGGCTTACACCGACTCTGCTGGCCGTAAACGCGCTGAGCCAGGCGCTGATAAGCCTATTCATGATCCTCACGACCCGAGCGATGACGATGACAACGTTCCTGATGATGCAGTAGATGACGATAGTGATTCTTCTTCTGATCTTGGTATTCAGGATGCGGACAACAAAGGTGACGCAAATGATATGAATGGAAACGCGGCAGCAGGATCCATGAAACAAGAAGAGGCGAACAAGAAGACTGAGAAGAGGAAGCACAGGGGTTTATTGCAGTGGAAGCCTGTGAGAGTACGTCAATGAGTGTTCCTCGTTGCAAGGCTAGGGCATGCTAACGAGAAGAAACAGAACCTGGCGTTCGCCAAAGACGAAGCGAAATTCGCGGCGAGAAGGGTAAACAAGAAGCTTACTGGCGGCCTGCAGGGACGGGAGCCTGATGTCGAGACGGAAACTGGATGACCTATCATTACGCATTTTGTATAAACACTTATTCTTAATGAGAGTATTTGTCGAGTCGTGTATTATTAAGCAGACATTGTGGACTATAATGCCCATTGTACAAGAACGGAGGTAGCCTCTATTCGAAAGATGTTAGCAGTGCTTATTACTCCTCCACTGCATGTCATTACTTTGGGTGCTTATGCCTAAACCAGCGTACTTGCATAGACTTAGACATGGGCAGAGCAGGACCTAACAATGGCAGGTGAGCCGTACTCGGGACCGGTGTTGGATGTACAAAGTTTACTCTATATGCAGTATTTACCATGTCTGCTTCACACGCACCGAAAATGCTTACATCTGAAACTGGGTATCTTCAGGCTCATCGTAACTCATTGCTGACTCCATTCCCAATGAGAACCCCAGAAAAAAGGATATTGTCCCATCTAAACATCACTGGCAAAGCCTACTCTTTTCTTCTTTGAAGGTTTCGAACAATCGTGAGCGTCTTCGAGGCCGTTCTGATTGGCGTGCCCATTGGTGCTGCCTTCGGAAGCTGTCATACTATCCGACGAATTTTGAGGTCCAACAGGTGTATTAGCAGCCTTTGGCTTGATCGACTTGACCACGTCTTTGTCCATACACATCCATTGTGATGATGCAGGTAAGCAGGAATCTGCATTATCTGTGCGCTTTCTCTTTTGTCCGTGAGGAGCAGCCTTGAATTCATCCGAGTCTGAAGCATCATCTTCTGCTTCCTGCAATAATGCCTCCAGTGCTGATCCCTCGGTTTTCTTGATGCCTAGCTTTATAGTCTTCTTCGTTTCCATAGGGAAAATTAGATCTGCATATGGATTATCAGGGTCAATACCATTCTTGCGAGCTTGACCAAAGAGCTTGATGGGAGTTTTTAGCTCTGCTACTTGCTTCTCAACATGGTGGATCTCCGAAGGTGAAAGAGGCAGCAGCGACGCATTCTTGATGATGGCTGTCATTGGTTCGTCGTCTAGTAAGCTATTTTCTGCCTTCTTGTGCTCCTGTACTGTCATATTTTTCCGCCGTTGAAGCATTTGATCCTCGAGGGTTCCTTTCAAGACTATAGTCTCTACATAGACCGGCCGAGTCTGACCAATTCGATGGGCGCGTTTTATCGCCTGTGCCTCAACGTTAGGCTGCCAGATCGGATTGACAAAGAATACTCGCGATGCACTCGCTATGTGCAGGCCGTGTGCTGCCTCCTTAATGTTCATAAGCATGACGCGAAAGGTTGGCGCGGTATTAAATGTCGCGATATAGGCGCTCTTGAGGGCAAGGTCTAGTGTTTGTGTGTATATAAGGTACCGCACACCAATCAGATCAAATGCTTGGGCTATGTAGTAGGCAATATGATCGCCTTCGTAGAACACCAGTATCTTTTCCTGTTTGTATGTCGCAATGACTTTGTCGAGTAAATAGCTAAGCTTAGCCGATGCCGTTCCGCGGAGGCTGCTGTAAAATATGTGCGAGTCAGATGGAGGGACTGCGACTGGTTTGGACGGTTTCAAAGCAGACTTCATAGGTGGCTGAGAGTTCACTAGGCCGTTCCCACTGTCGATTTGAGCCCTTCCTAGATCCTTGATCTTCACCGGGCTTAGCGAAGCTTTTGCTTTTGATAATGTGAGACGGTCTGATATCTTGGGTTGCCCCGATGAATATTGGGCTGGCGTTCTCTTATTCTCATTCCTCTGCGGCTTTTTCGATGTTTTATTTTGCCCCTGCTTCGTACTCTTCGGCTGCTCCGAAAGCATTTTCTCATTCCGTTTCTCTTTCGCGTTCTGCGATGTCTGCCAGGCATTGAGCATGCTCACCTGACCCATATTTGAGAGATCCTCAAGCAGCTTCGCTCCGTCTCGGTAAATGTTTTTATCAACCCAAGTCTGGGCTTTACATAATTGTGTAGCCCCTATGAGCAAAGGATCAGATGGCATCCGAGGGACCAAGGACCAACTTTCGCGGCCTTCGAGTGGGAAGTTATCCACGTAGATACCTAGCTCATGTAGCACAGAGAATGCCTTCCATGAATGAGATGATAGCATAATCTCGCCGCATTCGATGGCTTGGTGGAGTAAAGCATGGTCAAAATTGGTTCTATCCTCATTGAGAGCGGCATGTTCACGATGGCCCTCTAAGTATTTACGAGATATCTCTAAGGTCTTTGAAATTTCTTCGACACTGAAGCCTGTCCAGTAGAAACAAGACTGGCGAAGGTTATTGATCAATTGATGAAGCGCGGGCCTGTTTTTCTGGTGATGCATGTAGTCAGAGTCTTCTCGCTCGGAAGTCACAGCATTGGCTATCAACGAAATGAGAAATGCATTTTGGCTTAGCTTATCTTGCCACTTTGGTTCAACATAGGCTATCTGATTAAGCAAAGGAGGTAGTGGGACTTCCGCTTCAATGTCTTCAATCCGATGACGAAGAAAAAGGCTGTCTAAAAGGTTGCGAAGAGAGGTCGGCTTCCGTCTGCCTTGTTTGTCTGGTATGATGTAGGAGGTCCAGTTGGCTGAATCCTCCTTTGAACTATTGGCCCAGGGTTTGACTTTGAAGAACTTGGTCACAAGTAAACCAAGATTGGCAAGGTCTTTCTTTTCCTGATCTAGGGCAGGGTTTCTCTTTCTGGCCTCTAGTAGCATTTGGGTACTTGTCGAGCTGGACGTCTTAGACGTCTCGTATGCCGCAGTATCCACCTCAACCCCTAAGAGGCCTCTTGATGGGGTGCCACTAAGAAGCCATTTACGTTCAACCGTCAACTCGGACAGCGCCTGACACACCCTATTGGTTCCAGTGGCAAATTCATGCCCTTCATCCATGATTATGCGGAGAAAGTGTAAATCTCGGAGTGGTGAATGATAGTCAATATCAGCAGTGCAATGGCATCTTCTGTGTGAAGGACAAGTGCAATTGACAGTTAAGGAAGGGGACATCTCCTGCTCAAACCGCGGTCGTGTAAGGAGAATGATATCGTAAGGTAGAAGTTGCGAGGCTGCAGGCATCATGACGTCCTCTTTAGTATCAAGGCACAGAATGTTGAACGTTCCTGGGTCGAAATGCTGCGCTATCTCCCGTTGCCATTGGCTAAGCAAGTTTCGAGGTACTACTATAATGGTAGCAGAACAGAGCTGAAAATATTTGGATGGCTTCTGGTTCGCTTGTCTGAAATGGTGTCGCTTGGGTGGTGGTGGTATCTCATAACGCCCAACATTCTCTTCAAGGATCGACAAGCAAGCCTGATGATCTTCTCCCGATCGCGATAAATCGTCAAGAAAAGGTTTCCAGGGAATTTGAGCATGGCTGATGGCAGAAGCCGTCATTTGTAGCAGGGAGCCGGTGGTCGGCCGCACAGGATGAAGGCCACAAGAGTACTGCGGCGGAATCGCCGGCCAATGTCCTTTTGTTGCCAGGATGACTGACAGACTGATCAATGTCTTACCGAAGCCCATAGATTCGGCAACGACACCGCCCTTCACATCCTCGTAGACATTCAACTTTTTCAGTATTTTGCCGGTTTGGTAATCGTAAAGAATTGTGTTTTCCATTGGACCAATTATCTGGGCGTATCGGGGATCTGGTGTCGTCCGTGGCTGCACTTCTCTCCTTATCATGGTTGCCGCTGTCCGCTTTTGATACGGGTAGAGCTGAGTTATTAGTGGTTTAAGGCCGTTAGGCTCGAAGAGGCTGTCAATGGCATCCTGGGAAGCGGGGCAGGATACCACAAGGGAGGTAGCATCCGGCGACGGTATCGTATTGAATAGGTAGAAGAGCGAGCAAGTTTCCTCATCAGACCTGGACTGAAAATCAAGGGACCTGCATGGGGCATCTAAAGGTTTGGTAGCTTCCCAAGCTTTTGTAGAAATATCGAGACATTTCAATGTCTGCTCCATGCGTTTTTGTAGTGGTCGATCGGTGCGGTCGACCCTGCGTCTTCCAACATCATCGGTAAGCGCAAAAATACGGACCGACGAGCGCTCTTCGTCAACGTAATTACGTCGACAGACAGCGCGGACCCATTCATTCTTGATCAATTGAGCTACAGGCTCCTTCTTATCAAAGACCCGATCGGTCTCACGAGGATCAATCAGAGTCCACTCATCATAGAACACGCCTTTGATGACAAGAGTACCGACTGGGATATAATTTTCAGCAGGTAGCAAGAAGTCGTACGTGGGGCTCTCCAAAATGTGGGATAGACTGCCATCCCCACTAGACTTTGGAAATGAGTGGGGCCGCTGGTCGAAGGAAGTGTCGCTACTCCGCAGAGGAGATTCGCCTGAGGCAGTACTACTGGCATCGGTAGCCTGAGAGAAATGTTAGCAGAGTGGTAGCTCTCCTGAACCTTTTCGTCTTGCCATCTCACAACTGGGGTCAAGGGCTGAATGCTGTCGCATGCCGCACTCCAAGCCATCGCCGTCACGACTCATGAAGTGGAAGGATGTCAAGTCATGAGGTATTCACTTTTGCAAGTAAATTTGCAGGAAGCAAAACATCTCCAGGAAAGTTGCACGTCGTACCATGCCTGGTGTGCCTCCCAAGGAATATGAACTCGGCGATAAAGTCGGAGATCGGACTAGCGTACAGCCCCCTAGTTCCAGGCCAGCGAAAGGCGTAGTTGGACCCTAATTTCTGAATTGGTAGCTACGCGGAAGCAGGAGAGCAGTTAGGGAGAGTAGCTAGGATTACACGGTACATGGATGACTACAGGCCCTGCATGTTGCTAGACCATTTGCATAAAGCTTTTCACGATAAAGCTTCCTTTGGAATCTTGGCTGTTGGCATTCAATAAAAGACGGGCCATGTGCCATCAAGCTGCACGACGACAAGAGCTTGTAAGCCTCCTTGCAAGGGGGTAGCAAGTGGCCCAACATGGACGCTGGGTGGCGCTGTCGGTCGGAGGGCAGACTTTGCCATGCTGGTGATGGCCAGAGCCGGCTCATCTCAAAGGGCTCAAGGGGGAGCCCCGCAATGCCTGACAGCTCGGGTGAGGGGCAATGGCGCTCTGCATAGCCAAGCTGCCCCAAGCCCGAAGCTATAAGACATGTGCCATCCCCTCACGTGTATAGGGAGAGGAATCACCAAGCCTTATTAATTCACAATCCCAAGCATCTAGAAATACATATTCTCACGACTACAGACAGTGCCTTACGCGCGATGAGTGAAGGCGTCGTGCAGCCTCCCACCATGAAGGTGGCCGAGGCGCACAACATAGGTAAGAGCTCACTGCAGTCCCTAGCGTGTCACCACTGAGCTGTACATCTATGAAGATACCCACCATGTGCCGAAACCAATGTTTGAGTATGATGAATTATCCGGATACCACCGAAATTACCTAACAATGAGCAGAAAACATCCCTCAAAACCTCACATTGGCTCCTTTGATGAGTACCAGTCCATGTACAAGGAGTCGATCGAGCAGCCTCACAAGTTCTGGGCCAAATTGGCCAGAGATCTCTTGACTTGGGAGCGAGACTTTCAGACTGTCCATTCCGGGTCTTTCGCGAATGGCGACAACGGGTGGTTCCTCGAGGGAAGGCTGAATGCATCGTATAATTGCGTCGATCGCCATGCCTTCAAGGACCCAGACAAGCCCGCGATCATTTACGAAGCGGACGAACCGAACGAAGGACGGACTATCTCGTATGGGGAGTTGCTGCGCGAGGTTTCGAAGCTTGCTTGGACCCTCAAGACCATGGGTGTGAAGAAAGGGGACACTGTAGCTCTTTATTTACCCATGGTCCCCGAAGCCGTGATTGCATTCCTTGCCTGTACTCGGATCGGTGCTGTTCACTCTGTTGTTTTTGCGGGCTTCTCCTCAGACTCCCTCCGCGACCGGGTTATTGACGCTAACTCCAAAGTCGTCATTACCAGCGACGAGGGCAAAAGAGGGGGCAAGATCATTGGCACCAAGAAAATCGTCGATGATGCTCTGAAGCAATGCCCTGATGTCACTCACTGCTTGGTGTTCAAGCGGACTGGCGCGGATCTGTCAAAGAATTGGACGCAAGGAAGAGATTTTTGGTGGCATGAGGAAGCTGAAAAATACCCTGCTTATATTGCACCAGAATCGATGAATTCTGAAGATCCACTTTTCCTGCTCTACACTTCTGGCTCAACCGGAAAGCCCAAAGGCGTTATGCATACCACAGCAGGCTACCTGCTGGGAGCGGCCGCAACTGGCAAGTACGTTTTTGACATCCACGACACGGACAAATTCTTTTGTGGTGGAGACGTCGGCTGGATAACGGGACATACATACGTCGTGTATGCCCCACTGCTTCTTGGTATTGCTACGGTCGTATTTGAAGGAACACCGGCATATCCGAATTTCTCACGCTACTGGGAGGTCATTGACAAGCACCAAGTGACACAATTTTATGTCGCACCAACAGCCCTGAGGTTACTGAAGCGAGCGGGTGACTCGCATGCGAAGCAACCTATGAAGCATCTTCGCGTCCTGGGATCTGTTGGCGAGCCCATAGCAGCTGAGGTCTGGAAATGGTACTTTGAGATCGTTGGCAAAGAGGAGGCTCATATTGTCGACGTGAGGCTTGTAAATTTTCAATGGAGCCGACAGCGCTGACCTTTAGTAGACATACTGGCAGACGGAAACGGGTTCTCACGTCATCACCCCATTAGGTGGAGTAACACCGACAAAACCAGGAAGCGCAACCTTTCCATTTTTCGGGATCGAGCCAGCCATTATCGACCCAGTGTCCGGAAAAGAGCTTGAAGGAAACGACGTCGAAGGGGTACTGGCATTCAAGCAGCCTTGGCCAAGTATGGCACGCACTGTGTGGGGCGCTCACAAGAGATACATGGACACTTACCTCAATGTGTACAAGGGATATTATTTCACTGGAGATGGTGCAGGACGCGATCACGAAGGCTATTATTGGATTCGGGGGAGAGTCGACGATGTCGTCAATGTGTCCGGTCACAGACTGTCGACGGCAGAGATTGAGGCAGCCCTGCTCGAGCATCATCAAGTCGCTGAGGCTGCTGTGGTTGGTATCACCGACGAGCTGACAGGGCAGGCCGTAAATGCCTTTGTGTCACTGAAGACAGAGAATGAAAATAATGATCAAGTGAAGAAAGACATGATCCTGCAGGTGCGGAAATCAATAGGCCCTTTTGCTGCGCCAAAGGGTATCTTCATAGTGGATGACCTGCCAAAGACGAGATCTGGAAAGATAATGAGGCGCATCCTTCGCAAGATACTATCAGGAGAAGAAGATTCACTGGGAGATACGTCAACGGTAGGAAATGTCACCCTACACTTTCGAATACCATGCTAATGTTAGCCATAGCTCTCCGATCCTAGCGTCGTTGACAAGATCATCGAGACCGTTCAGACTTCCCGAAAGAAATGAAGGATGTATGATGGGTTGGGGACAGAAGTAGAGCAGGGACGGTTCATAGCTGGCTGCCTCATTGTGGGCTTTTTCTAATGGAGAATGTCATCCACGATCCTGAGTAAATACCCACAGGCTCCGTAAATATGCATTCGCCTGCTTGTACGATGGTGATCAGACCTGACGCAGAATGCATTCTAGAACAGCCTGTCTTGAAGGTCGGTCAGCAAAGATAGCTTATAAGCAGTCTGATAGAGCTACAGCAACCCGGGTCATATGGCATGGCCATTGGATTCCGTACAACATTTCGGTGTATGACTATGTGCACAGCCTATGCAATGGGTAGAAACAATGATTTTGGCGACAGAACTGTCGCAGGTCGCACTGTGGTAGCGGCGGAAGTGGCTGAAAATGATATAACAGGCTAGCGCTTGAGTAGGCCGTTCTAGGCAGGAGCACCAGACCGCCGACGCCTGCAGGTGGTTGCTAGGCCGTCCTCCAACATACCACCAGTGACCAATCAAGCCCTTTGCCCCTGCATAGTTACCGACCACTTGTGCACGATAATCATTCACCTACTATCCTTTCCGTCTCATACTCTCTGTAACCTGTCCTCCTATTCTTGTCGACTGTTTCACTCTACCTAGATCATTCTGCGACTGACCTGCCGCATCTGACTTGCGGGTGACAACCAAGCACTCACACACGCACAGCACCGGCGGATGAAGGAGTATTAGTCTGGTGGCTGATGCTTTCCTTCTAAAACTTGTTCAGGAAAAGGTAAACGGAAGGCCGAGAGAGCGTGGCGCCCTTTCTAGCCAAGCCCGGCCAAGCTGACTGCATAATAGTCCCATCTCGTACTCCTCCGCTCTCCCACGCCCGCCGGCGATCTCGACCTTCCACTTCCAGAACGCTCGCTGACTACACCGCAAATTGCTCTGTACTTCGCTCGCTTTGCCGACTGACACTCTTTCATCAACTCCGTCAAGCAGAGTACTTCCATAATCACTATTCTGGATGACAAAAGCCTCATAGTACCGCCCCGGCTTCTCTTTCATCTCACCCTGAGACCCTTTGACCCGTAATCCTCCCTTCAGTATGAAAGTTCCATGGCGAATATTCGATACCCTGGCTGGCATCTACCTATCATTCGCCCTCGTTGACGGTATGACAGCGTGCTGGATGGTTCAGTGTAGAACATCGTGACTGACAGCAATCTAGCGCACTCGTTCAGCCGCGATCCACTGAATTACCTCTCCATAGTTGAAAATGCTACCATCCAGACTCCATCGCATCGTGTACATTCATATTCAACCTTCGACCTGCATTTCGGTCTTCGCAGCAACAATCAGCGGCTTAGATTGACCTTGGAACCCAACCAGGATATCATAGCCGATGGCGCATCCGTTAAATACCTGAGTCCCGAGGGCGAGTTAGTACGGTCGGAACCAATAGACAGGCATGCGCACCGCATCTTCAAAGGAGACGCCTGGATACAAGAAAGCAACGGGCACTGGTCAAGCGTTGGATGGGCGAGGGTAATGATCAAGAGTGATGGCATAAGCCCGCTTTTTGAGGGAGTCTTTACTATTGGGCGTGATCACCATCATGTCCAACTCCGCTCTCACTATATGGCGACGAGACATGAGCTTGACCCTATAGCGGAAGATGTCGGACTAGAATACATGGTAATTTTCCGGGATTCAGACGTGGGCCGCAAGGTGCAATCAGAGCACTTGGAGCTGAAAAGGTCGGCCCTGGCGGACAGGTCTTGTCACTCCGAAAAACTACATTTCAACGCTGATCCGTCGCAAACCGTCTTGAAACGAGATACCGGAACTTGGGGCGCGACGTCTTTCAACTCTTTGTTTGGCAAGAGACAGATTGATACCAATGGTATTCCTACAGGTGGGAACTCTGGTGGTGTCAATCTGAAGAACTCCATCGGAAAGAAAGACGGATGCCCTTCTACCCGTAAGGTGGCTTTGATTGGTGTTGCGACTGACTGCAGTTACACCGGCACGTTCAACTCTACAGAAAGTGCGCATGCAAATGTCATACAACAAATCTCTAGTGCTTCAAGTCTTTACGAGCGAAGCTTCAACATATCGCTTGGTTTGCAGAATCTTACAGTCAGCAATACGACCTGTCCAGGCACGCCTCCAGCGGCAACGCCCTGGAATCAAGGCTGCGGAGGAAATCAAACCATCACAGACCGCTTGAACACTTTCTCCACCTGGCGAGGTCAGCAAAAAGATAACAATGCGTACTGGATGCTTCTAACAAACTGCCGTACTGGGTCTGAGGTGGGATTGTCCTGGCTCGGTCAGCTATGTGTTAGTGACGTCGCCCAAAATTCTGGAGAAACGGTCAGTGGAGCTTGTGTTGTCGCAAAGACATCAACCGAATGGCAAGTTATGGCGCACGAATCTGGTCACACTTTTGGCGCCGTCCACGATTGTGATTCTCAGGTCTGCGCATCCTCGGATTCTGTCAACTCCCAACAGTGTTGTCCTCTTAGTGGATCAACTTGTGACGCAGGATCTCAGTATATCATGAACCCCTCTACTACTGATAACATCCACGACTTTAGCCCTTGCTCGATCGGTAACATTTGTGCAGCACTTGGTCGCAACAGTGTGAAATCAACTTGTCTGTCGGACAACAAGGGCGTCACAACAATCACCGGCCATCAATGCGGCAATGGGATTGTCGAGGAGGACGAGGATTGTGACTGCGGCGGCGATGAAAGCTGTGGAAACAATGCTTGCTGCGATCCTAAGAGTTGCAAATTTAAGAGCGGTGCGGTCTGCGACGACTCCAATGAAGACTGCTGTAAAGGTTGTCAATTTGCGTCTAACGGTACCGTCTGTCGAGCTAGCACCGGCGAATGCGATCCTCAAGAGATTTGCAGCGGAGGTTCCCCCACATGTCCTACTGACCAGAATGCTCCCGACGGGCAGAGTTGTGGCAAAGGCTCTGACCATCTACAGTGCGCTAGTGGACAATGCACATCAAGGCATCAGCAGTGCAAGACATTGATGGGCTCGTATACGCAGAAAAATGACACTTACGCTTGCAACAGCCAAGACTGCACGCTTTCTTGCGCCTCGCCCGACTTTGGCCCTGGCGTTTGCTATCAAATGCAACAGAATTTCCTAGACGGTACTCCCTGCGGTGGCGGCGGAAAATGCTCAAATGTAAGTGAACTGCATACAGTATTGTTCTCCTCTTTGCTAATGAGATTCTTCAGGGTCAATGTAAAGGCTCCTCAACCGCCAAGGAGATTGGTAGTTGGATTTCTGACAACAAACCCCTCGTCATTGGAATATGTAGTGCTATCGGAGGCCTGATCCTCCTTTCGATTCTTGGCTGTATCGTCAGGAAATGTAGGAAACCTCGGCGTTCGAGGAGGACTCAGCCGACTATGCCAGCGATGCACCAAGGCGGATGGGCTGGCGGTACGCCTCCACACATGAGCGGAGCACGAGGCGGTAGGGGTGGAGGATATCCTCCTGGATGGGGAGGGCAGTGGCAGCCTCCGCCGCCCTCATATCAGCAACCGAGTGTACGGTATGCATAAAATTTGGTTCACATTGCATCTGATTTGGAGAGCGGAATCGGGCATAGCATCTTCGACTGGGAGGTTAACGTGGCACGATATTGCATGCATGGTAAATTTTGAAAGAGTGTGGTCCAAGTAGGGCAACTATATCGTTCTTGGTAGATTAGTGAGACATGATCAATTATTCTAAAGACGACATTCACCTAGATAGTCTCCTGTCTCATCATTATATGTTCTGATCAAATGATGTAGCAGAAGGCTTGGCGCATATCAAATGGTCCTCCTTGACTTGACGTAATCCATACCAAGCTCCCTTACAACCAACACAAGAAGCTCCGTAACAATGGAAAACGCCACTTCAGATATCTCGGAGACTCCCAATCAAAGACAAGCTCGTCTTCGCCGTGAGCGCCGGGAAGCAAAATTAAAGCAAGATGGAACATCGCGCCTTGAAAAAATCACCCAAGTCTCAGGCCGTCAAAACCTTCCAGGTATTCTTTTCCCCTGTTCTACCCAGTCTCATATACCATGACCTCCGATTTACCAAGTGACTCCAGAGCCTCCTCCCCTCCAACCCTCCTCAACTCCCTCCCACGATCCAAGCGATGCCTCCCAACCCCAACCCGAAGCCTCAACCCCACCCTTACAGGCACCTTCAGAAGCAGATTTCTCTGCTCTCCTCCGCTCTGCTACAGCCGCCAATGCTCCTGACCAACAAACACAACAGTCGCAAGAAGAAGATCCCATGATGAAAATGCTCGCGCAGCTAATGGGCGGGTTGCCCAGCGGAGGCGTCGATGGTGGTGGCGCTGGTGGACTTAGGCCTGATGGGGGTCTCCCGCCTGGGTTGGCTGCCATGATGGGCGGCGTGCCCCCTGCCCAGAGTCATGGTCAACCGCAGCGGGGAGCAGGGGCAGGGGTAGGAAGAAATGATTATGTATGGAAGATAGTGCATGCAATTTTCGCATTCGCACTCGCTATCTACGTGGCGCTTGCGACTACGGCGATAGGAGAAGGGTTTGTGGCCGGTAGGATTGCCGGGAGAAGCAGAGGTGAGGATCAGATTGTAGGACGAGGGCAAGGAAATGGGTCGTTGAATCTCTTCTGGGCTTTCGCAACAATAGAGTTGGTACTACAATCTGCGAGATATTTTCTTGAGATGGGAAGGACGGGGAGTCCAGTCGCGGGGGGAATAGTGGGGATGGTGATGGGTTTGCTGCCGCAGCCGTATAAGGGGTGGCTGGATTTACTGAAGAAGTATTCGGGGATCTGGAGCACGATTGTTGAGGACGGATGTGTGATTGTCTTTGTGGTTGGCTGGGTGAGTTGGTGGAGGGGTGCTGTTGGGTGAGTGGCAAACGCAACAGGGGGGAATGGGAGGTGGAAAAAGGAAATCGTAGCTCATTGAAATGGAGACTATGGGGTCATTCATCACTCATTATACGCTCTGTTGATAATCTCTGGCTTGCGGTGAGGGAGCCTCTGCAAGACTACCTTTCTCATCGAGCCTCGGAGAGTTGGGAAAATCTTCTGGCATCGGTCGCCATATCCAATCGCGCCCCCTACTTCGCTTCGCGCTTCTGTTGGGGTGACCGTCTTCCGTTTCGATGGTCGCTCTTCTCTCCTCTCGCTCCTGTTCAGTACCGCTTTCTTCTACCACTTCATCCTCTGAGGTCTCGATCACTGGAGTAGGTATTGTCTCCGTCAGGTTCTCTTTGAAAGTCACTCGTTTGGTAGGAAAAAACATTCGCTTGTGGGGCCGCGACGAGGAAGTCGCTGAGAGATGACGTTTCGGCAGAGGGCTATTTCGCAGGATGCTGCGAGATCCCAAGGCAAGAATGTATGGCGCATCACAACGAAGGGAGACGCTTTGTCCTGGTCTTGATTTACTTGGGGATGGTAGAGCCAGCGTTGGAGGGAACTCGACTCGAGGCTGGATCGCCGAAGCTGGTGTAGGTGGAGGAGCATCAAAGGTGCTTGCGGACGTACTTCGGGCTGTCGGTGATTTTGCATCTGTGACGAGGTCCAACTTGAGATTCGAGGTCGATGCTGGAGGTAGCGTGGTTTGGAGAGAGAGCTTTGGCCGTAAAGGACGAGTCGCAGGAAGTACGGAGATCATTGTGTCGGCAACTTGCTTTCGAAGCTCAATGGTTTCCGGGGATTCTGATCTGGGCGACGAGTGTGACGGTGATAAAGCTGTAGGTTGACGAGTTGGGCTCGGCGTGGGCGAGGGCGAGCGCATGGGCAAAACCAGCATCGCTACAACCTTCCGCGCCAAAGTTGAACAGTGAGACGCTGACTAGCTGAGGGTATTGAGGGGAGAGGTGCCTATCGGAATGAATCAAGAGGCAGTGCGACGCGAATCAGGAAGAAACAGCGCTGAGTGGCGAAATCATCCGAAAGCTTTGCTAGAATATGCTAGACTTAGAAACACTGATGGAAGATAGGCAAAGAAGCTCATTGGTCGTCATGAGGAAGAACTGTGCATCGCAGGATCTGAGAGGGAGGACTGCAGCCGGTGGAAGCGAGATATTGCTAGCGGTTAAGATCTCTTTTGCCATAGGTTGGACGGTGTCGAGGGGGAGGCTCTCATCCCATCTACGGAGGTACGGTCTGGTTCAGATCGACGTCAGGGATGAAAGAGCAGGCGCATGACGGCTGTGGTTGGACGATTTCGCCGAAGAGTGTTTGGACGTAATTATATCTTGGCCAGCCATTGGGCAACGAGAGACCGTCTGACATCCTTAGGTGGGTGGAGAGGCAAGAGAGTAGCTTGGTAGGTAGTAGTGGTCGTGGTCGCGGCAGGCCACAAGGTGACAAGGGGCGAAATTCCTGGCGTCTCCCCGCCATCTCCCGCAAGCGCTTGTTTTATATATAGATCTGATAAGGTGGCAGCAAACTGGTCCATGTTTATGGAGAGTGAAAAATAGTCTGCCTTCGATGTCACCATACCTTGATATTGCCTATATCCCTTATCCTCACCCCATGCAAATGTTTCTATTGTTGGGGCCAGGAAGACGCATCTTTCTTCCCGGAGCAAGCGGACCGTTTTCGGAGAAACGCGACGCCGAAACGCCGAGACAGGTGCGACCCTCCATTAGGGTGACAGGGTATGCAGTCATTTGGGAGTACAAAATGTCTCTCGACTGAACTTGCGTCCATTCGCAGCGACTCAGACAGTGCACAGAGACGAGGCTCTGGTCGTACTGAACTTTCTTCGCCATTGAGGGAAGCAATTCCATCCCGGGCCTTCTCGTGCAAATCTTCTTAGTTCCTGTAAGGCCGTTCTTACCTCGAGATGAGCAGGGAAGTGCCATTACTACTTTCGACGGATCATATTGGCTCCGGAACTTCTAACCTCCCGAATTAGAAAAGGTTCTGTCTTACTGGACATGAAGGATGCCAAGGCAGGATGCAAAATGCTCTACCTGGACCCAGGAGATACGATGGCCGAATCATAATACATTTTGTACGCGATCGTCACGGATTCTAAGCAACGTAGGCATCCGTAGTGACCATACTGACTCGATCAGGACTATGATTGCTTCTATGCGGCCGTTTTCGAGAAAGAAAATCCAAGCCTAAAGGCTTTACCTTTTGCGGTCCAGCAAAAACAGATCATCGTGACCTGCAATTATGAGGCCCGTCGAAGAGGCCTGTACAAGCTGCAGCTTGTGCACGAAGCACGAAAGCACTGTCCCGAGGTTATCATCAAGCTGGGTGAGGATCTTACGCGTTTCCGGGATGCTTCCAAGGAGAATTATAATTTCCTCCAGGGTTACACCTGGAGCAACAAGGTTGAGCGACTTGGGTTTGACGAGGTACGGGTGCTAATCTGAAGATCCAGCTGCGATCCACAACTGAGCCGATGTAGGTATTCATGGACATGACTGATATAATTGACTACAACGTCGAGCTACTGAATTTTCATCACCTTCCAACTTCTTACTTCCATCTTGACCGCTCAGATCCGACAATCGGATTTTCTTACGACGCATCTAGTGTCGTCGGAGAAACATACCCCAAAGATTGCGCTGATTTGCTAGCGTCTTCCCAACCGGCTCCTGATGATTCCGGTGATCTTCCATTGCGTCTTCGGCTAGGTTCTCATCTAGCTCGATATCTTCGCCACGAGCTCGAGCAACGAGGAGGTTACTCTGCGACTGTTGGCATCAGCACCAATAAAGTGCTTTCCAAACTCATCGGCAATGTGAATAAGCCAAAGCGTCAAACGACGCTTATGCCACCCTATAACAGCAACATCCACGGCGAAAGTAATGTCAATGCATTTATCGACGCTCATGATATTGGGAAGATCCCAAACATCGGCTTTAAAACAGCCCAAAAGCTCCGCGCTCATGTTCTAGGCCGTTCTCCTGGGTTTGATACTGGCCTGGTTTATGGTGGTACCACAGAAAAGGTCAGTGTGAAGGACATCCGCCTGTTCAACGGTATGGGACCGACCCTTCTACGGCGCATGCTCCAGAGTCCTGGCGCGCCTAGAGACCTTCCGGAGAAAGCTTGGGGCCTACTCAATGGCGTAGATGATACCGAAGTGGCGAAAGGCAAGGGAGTACCACAGCAGATCAGCATGGAGGATAGTTACATAAGGCTTGATGAAATGTCTGAGGTGGTAAGGGAGCTTCAGATGCTCTCTGTTAGCTTGATCAAACGAATGCGTTTGGATCTCACTGCTGACAATGATGATCCTGATGCAAATGACCCTTTGGAAGACACGAACAATGTTCAAACAGCTGCTCGCTTCGAACGTATGTCAAAGAGGAAGTGGATCGCGCTCCCCAGCTCGCTCCGCCTGTCAACCCGTCCTCGTCCACCGCTGAATCCAGATGGGACTCGTACAAGGACGTTCGCCCGTATCTCCAAGTCCCATCCCATGCCGTCCTTCGTCTTCAACCTCGCCATCCCAGTCGATATTCTCGCAAGGCGCTTAGTAGAAGAAATCATCATGCCACAATTGTTCCGTAAGCTACATCCCGAGAAATCTGGCTGGAATTTAAGCTTGGTCAATGTTTGCGCAACGGGTATGGCCATGAGGGCGAGTGATGGGAAGGAGGGTGTGGGAAGGGACATCAAGGGTATGTTCCAGAAGCAAGACCATCTGTTGAGTGAATGGAAAGTCGAGGATGTTGATAGGCCCCCAAGCCAAGAGCGCAATGAAATCGCCGAGACAATAGGACATGTGGTTGGGGCGAAACAGGATTTATCTCTCATTCCAAGACCGCAACAAGCAACGGAGTTAGGTTCAGAAGATGGTCTCGGTGTTTCGCAGTGCAGTAATGTAATTTTTGCTGACGATTGGGATAATGGCGATGAAATGCAAGACGCTAGTGAAGTGTGTAAGAGCTTTACGGCTGTCATGCCGGCTTTTGCAATGGTGGCTCACAAGCGCTTTCATGACATGATAGACTAGACGAAGCAAGCAGATTTTATGTTGACGCTGTAGTCGGCACAGAAATGCAAGGGTCAAAGCATCACCTATCATCCCTGTGGCTGAGTGTACAATGCTTAGCCCACCATTCAAGGCGTTGCTCGACTCATTGCAATCAATCTCTTTACTCCCACCTGATCGTTGTTAGCTCATGCTCAGTTATGTATGGTACGACCTATTTACCATCCAATTGCCACACTCATCATTCCTGTGAGTCATAATATCAACGTGGATAGCCTGAGCCCTCTCATAATCTTTCCCTCTAATTGCTTGTGCTAGCTCAGCCATCAATGTGATAGTATCTGGCTTGAGTAAGTCTTCGTTGTTTAAATGATCGAATAGAATATTCAGGCGCTTTTCTGTATCTTCCACATGGGCCTTGAAAGACGCCGGTGCCTTGGTCTTGATTCGCTGCATGTCGCTATTTAGAATCTGGTATACTACTGCTGCTGAAGATGGAATATGTGAACGATCGCCGGGCGCTAGTATCCGTTAGTGTGATCTCAAAAGCCAGCTTCAATTGTGTGCACTCACGGTACTTCTTGGAGACGGGGTTACCCTGCTGCTGAGAACGTGGTGGTTTTGAGTCCGGTGTGTTTGCTATTAGAGGCGTTGGTGATTTTTGTGCCTGCTGCAGTGAAGTTGGCGGAAGTTGGGAGGGAGGGTTGCTTTGTTTAGGAGCGTAGGGGTTTGCAGGTGGTGGCGGCGGTTCACGTCCACCGTGTCTATTAGATGAAGGCTCCACCTGCGGGGACAACGCTGGTTGGGTTGGGGCATACCTACTGTTCGGTGGCGGCGCTATGGGAGGTGTGTTATACGGCGATGGTCCACGTGGAATCGTAGCTTGAGATTGTACGGGGAGGCTGCTGGGGGCGGGTGCATATGGGTTAGTGACCGAACTCGGGCGCTCAGTTTGGTGTACAGCAACTGCGTTGCTCGCAGGTGGTGATGTTATTCGAGGAGGGGGCCGAGACCCGACTTTTGGTGGAGGACCGAGAGGAGGAGGCGTTGATCGAGGAGGACCGATGTTTGGATTCGGAGGTGGTACCGAGGATTGCACTTGAGGTGGGCCGTTTGCACCAACACCTGGGGTGCCTCGCCTAGAGGCTGTTGGAGGCTTGAAGAAATTTTCTGGCATATCGTTCCAATTACCCACGTTTGCTGCTTTTGAAGGTGGTGGAACCGAGGGCGATGCATTCCGAGGCGGAGCTCCTGGTGGTCCACTTGGATATTGTCCGCCGTATGCCATGCCTACTTGAGGTGGCGGCTGCTGGTGCTGATAACCAGCGTTTGTGTAACCTGGGGTATTGTATTGGCCCCCTAGGGGAGCATATGGATTGTGTGGTAGGGCAGGAGGCGCGTACGGGTTCAATTGGGCTGGGACAGGCTGCTGCTGTCCAAGTGGCTGTTCTTCGGGCTGCAGACTTGTGGCCGTGCTTGATGTCTTCTGGGGCGCACGACTGGTGGCTGCTGGCTGCCGTGAGGCGGGCTGTGAAGAAGGTTTCCGTAAAGAATCCCTGATTCTGGCTTTGGCGACATCGGCAGCTGAATACTTACTCGGTAACAGATCCAGGTAGCGTGCTGCCACTTGGAGTTGTCCGTGAGCAGAAGCAATGTCAGCATATTCGATGTACTTGTCATATAAAGCTGCCAACTTCCAATCCGACGTAGCCTCTAATCCGTCGTCTTTATAACTGGTAACTTCACGGAAGATAGTAACCTTCTCAACAAAGCCCTGCAAAGCTCTAGCGTGAACAGAAAATCCGGAACCTGTGCCAGCGCCCTTCAGTTTTGATATTTCTTTCTCCTGAAGTTCTATCAGCCAGATCGCTACAACCTTCTCCAGCTTAGATCCTGCAAGGTAGCAGAAAGCAGCATCTTTCCGAAGTTCATTACTGCCACCTTGAGATCGCATATGCTCTTCAAGACGATCGCCAAGCGATTCACAGAGGTCGGGGAATTCTGTAGGCTTGGCGTAGGTACACAATGATGCCATGATATCTTTCCAGTTTTTCAGATCGGCGTTGTGAACGAGGTCCCACAAGTTCGTGCCAACTACGGAAGATAGTAAACGTAGGTAATTGGGGCCACCTTCTTTCTGACTGAAGTAAACCTTTTGAGCTTTTTCTATGCAAGGTTGACCTCCGCATATGGCAATCATGAAGGCGTCGGACATCCGCTCTTCTTGCAAGCAGACATCTAGAGCCTGCTCGAATTTGCCAAGAAGCAAGGCACGCGTGATTTTTTGATCTGATTCTGATTCTGAGCCACTGTATAATTGGAAAGGGTTGTTCGTTCGGGTACCCTTAGTTGCACCCAATTCCGAAAGGAAATTGTCTCCATCTGCGCCGCTATCGAAGAAGGCTGACAATCGATTGTCATTTGCCTTGGCGCGATGCGTGGATTTGTCGTCACCTTTGCTCCAATTCATAGCTGAGGCAGGAACCACCTTGACATCTTCGCCGTGAGAAGTTGTGAAGCCCAGGAAATCGACGAGATCCTTTCGGACGTTCTGGGATGTAAGAAGCTTTATGACTCGCCAGTCGCTTTTATCTGCTTCATCTGTAAGGGTATCAATTCTTTCATCACATATATTGTCGAGATCACCCTGCGTAAGAGACGCTTCAAAAGAATTCGTAGTTGACACTACGGTGTCGTCGATGGCAAAGGTCGATATTCGCACAACAGAGCGCTTTTTGGCTTCTGAAACAGAAGACTTAAAAGAAGCAATCTTCCCACCAAATGCGAATGTTGCACCACAAGGTCTATGAAGCCATTTTGGCGCGTGTTGGAGAGTGAATGCAGCACCTTGAGGTTGCGACTGAGCCTTATTGAAAAAATCTTCGTCATCTAAAGCTTGATTCTGGCCTCCGTCTTGCGCGGATGGGTCAGATTTGGTGTTTTGGATTGGATGAACTACGATTCTTCCGTCGAATGAGGCAGTAGCAATGAAAGCTGGGTTCGTCGGATTCCATTTTGTTTGGAAAGTCCAATTGGTCACCACAGGGAATTCCCCAAATCCCACTCCAGTCTGCGGGTTCCAGCATATGTTTCGATTATCTTTTCCGCAAGACAGGAGCAGATCGCTGTCTTGTTGACACCAGGAAAGAGAAAGAACACCGCCATCATGCCCTTTGAGAACACGTTCCGGCGCATTCGCATTCCTCAGGTCCCAGACTAGGATTGAAGGGTCTGTGTCACTTGGTATCGCAGTAATGAGTCGTGTAGTTTTAGCAGGATCCCATGCTACAGCGCTGATGGGTTTCCTACCGAGGTTGTTCAAAGTTAAGCTCTCTTTCTTATTTTTGATATCCCAGACAGTCATAATGCCTGCACTACTGCCTGTTACCATAATATGTGACGTCCTTCTGTTCCAATCAAGACATTCGAGATCATCGGCTCTGGCAACCGGATTTCCCATCCGGAAAGGACTGCCTACATTATTGACGTCTGAAATGAAGAGCTCGCCCTTTGTCCCCACCGTAGCCAGTAGCTCGGATCGGAAAGCATTGAACTGCAGTGCCTTGATTGATCCGTTGTGCTTCGACGTCCGCGACAAGAAAGGATCATTCTGCCCATCCAGCAGCTTCCCTGCGTCCCAAAGATCCAGAGATCCATTCTCTAGACCGCCAGCAATGATGCCAAGGGATTCCGAAGCGTTATCTTTCGTCCAAGCTATATCATTGAACCTCGAGTCTGTGCTAATGCTGGCTATCGGCCGAAGTTCTCTCTCTCTGGTCGTTTTGTCCAAAGCGAGATCCCACAATTCGAGTTGGGTGTCGTTTGAAAACCCTTCATCCACAGCTCCTGATTTTGTTCCAGTCGCTAGGTAAGACGAAGCGATCTCTGGCGACCAGGTAAATGTAGCAGTCCTAGGTATCTCCTGTAAGCCAACCATTGTAAAGATAGGCCTTGAATCGTAACCTCCGATTCGTAGACTGCGTCCTGGGAGAGAGTCGAGGTTTCAGTAGGGCCTTTTGTCCTTCAAGGCTAGCGACTAATGATGACAACTAGCAGCATCTACCATGGTTGTAAGTCTGTAGCGGCACAAAAATCAATGTGAAATGCGCGTGCGAGGGTCTGCAAGCCTTCGCAATGAGGAGAAGCGTCGTTAAACATGGCATCCTACAGGTATACTGTACTTTCCAATGAAAATGTTTGCGGGCTCGGCTGCGGAGGTCTCGCCCGGCCCGCAACCCCAGGGTTGGCTCCGCCAGAGGTACAATAGATCCATTAATCTCTGGCCACTCTTCATGTGCTCGTGACACGAAGCTCAGCATGACAGATGCAGTAAGTCTAAAATCGTCAAGTTCCGTATAAAGCTTATAGCTGATATTTAAAAGGCACGGTCGAAGGCCACAGTGTATGTCGCAGGACTAGAGAGCGCAGTGGATGGCAATATCCTTGCTGATGCCTTCATGCCGTTCGGGGAAATTGTCGATATTACTCTCCCAAAGCCTGAGCTACCCTCCTCCACAGACCCTCACCGGGGCTTTGGCTATATCGAGTTCGAATCACCTGCAGATGCTAAAGAGGCTATCTATAACATGGACCAAAGCGAGATTTTTGGCAGAGTTATCAAAGTCGCACAAGCAAAGCCACAGAAGGACGCAAGTGAGGGGCTAGGCTCCAAGACGGCTGTGTGGGAGCAAGAAGGCTACTTGGCTAAGCATGCTGTCCGTGATGAAGATACGATAGGCAGGAGCGCAGCAGAAGAAGACGAGCCAGATCCAGGCGTAGACCCCATGCAAGGGCTCGAGGCCGCAGATATTGCGGGTCCCAAGCCGATTTGATGCCTTGCACAAAGAAATTGGATGACGGATGTAGTCAATCTGACAAGTGAGAAAAGAAACAGGTGTTTGCCACTAGACAAGGTCATAATCGTAATCGATTGTGAGTCTCTGGTCTTAGCTTTCAAAATGACAAAAGCCCAGAGGAATGATCTTATGAGCCACAGGATCGAAGAATCTTTACGCATGACTAACCCGACCTTTTTCGCGTCACTGCGCATGATTGCTATTGGTTTTGTTCGGGACACGCTCTCGAATACAGTCCGAGGTATATGAGCAGACTAATCCATTCAAACAACGCCCGAAAGAAAGAGCTAGTCACTAGTGTTGAAAGGACGTAACTTCATATTGCTCGCCCGATTTGAAGTGGGTCTCTTGTGCTTTAGTCGTAGAGGTTTTGGAACACTCAAGCCTTTTTTCCACTTCTATGCAATCGTAACGTCTTGTCGGACAAAAGTTTGTTGATCATACTGTATCCGGCGAATGCTAAAGCAACACTATGTATCCATGGCATTAGTACTCCATGAATAATGCACATCAGAAGACAGGTACCTTACGCTAATACAACGCCTAGATGTGGGTGCTTGTTAGTGTGGACCACGAAGGTGTAGAGATTGTGTACAAAATCACAACGTACCTAGCGGCATCAACTCGGGGGGTATCTTCTTCAGCTGTCGTAATCGCTGTGATATCGTGTGCGCTTGGACAAAATCAGCAAGAGATCGTGAACCAGCCAAACCGGATATTGTGTACCACTATGCTCCTCCTTCTATTATAAATTAGCTAAATAGACCACGGAGTCATTTCACAGGATACGATACCGGCATAGGTCTTGACATCGGACGCGAAGTATGCATAAGCATCGGTTTTGAAGCGTGCAAACATAAACGCCTCGTTGCTTCCAATCGTAGCATTCGCGTCGAAACCATTGTACGTGTGGGATGCAGGATGGTTGAGGATGTATTGATCGTCTATGATCGAACTTTGACAGGCTTAAATACTTTCATTAAATGATGATGGACGGAAGGGAGGTTGAAGCGCCTAGATTTTGGAAGTGATGTCGAGACGGCTAGAAGCTTGGCGTTATTCAATGACCTCAAGCGGCGGCGACTTTGCTCTTTCCCCCTGCGTGAACCACGCCAACTCTTTTCCAGTAACTCCGATAGCAGAGCTTCCTCTGGAGTTTGAGCATGGCAGACGACGACGACAAGCTTGTGACCAAGCCTTTCAAATTCGTGACAGGTCAGTGCTCTAAATGTGGCATTTCATAATATTGCATGCTAATCCAACCTGTAGCTGGTAAGCTTGCGAACCTTTGCGTTACCACGAATGAAACCCCTAGGGCCGGCTATCGTACTCATGTCCATCATAGGGTTTGATGCTCGATTTCCGAACCAAAACCAGTTAGCTAAGACGAAGCAATCTACTGATTCAGAAGCTTATGATCTTCCGCAGGACCAAGCATTGCTGGCAGAATTATGTCGACTATCACAAGTGTGTCTTAGCGAAAGGCGAAGACTTCAAGCCATGTCGTCAGGTAATTAGGAGCCAAAGTCGGACCTTATGATCAATAGTAACATTGAGCCTAGTTTTTCTTAGCCTACAGGTCGCTGTGTCCTAGCGCATGGTGCGAGCGTTGGGATGAACAAAGAGGTTTGCTGGCCCCAATATTCACATCGTAAGCAACGTTGCTAAATGTTGTGACAAGATAATGGAAACTTCCCTGTGGATTTAGAGTGAACGACGTATATAGCGGAAGCACGCATCAAGCATCTGACGACATAAGTCCCACGAGTCCAAAGCCAATGCCCAAAGGCATGGTGGTAGTAGTACCTATGATTCAAATCTATCCCGTACTACCTCTAGCTTTCTCCAGCATAGCGAGCTCTCTCTTCCTCCTTTCGTTGAAGCCCAATTGTCTTTGGCGGTGTGCGTCTCTTCTTTTCTTGTCTTCCGCCACCTCATCAACCTCCGCAGCCTCCTCCGCATCCGTCTCGCGAGGAATGGCATTTGTCACATTGATTAGTTTCTGTAGTATTTCCGATTCGTTTTTATTTTTCATGTCTATAATGTCTGTCTTGGTCCAAGTTTCGTGACTGGATGTTCCACTCGATAAAATTGTAGACGAGACCGCTGGCGACGCACCGAGTGAGGAGCTATCTTGTGGTGTCGCCCAGTAGATTGTGAGAAGAGAATGTCCAGTCTGGTCTTTATGGCGATTGACTGTCATTGATACTCCAGGATTGCAGTATTTGAGGCGAGGGAGGCAAGTGCGCCAGATCTTACGAGCTCCATAATGACCATCACTAATTTTCAAGGCGAAGTCAAGATGGATGCGTTTAACATCGCTGGGAAGAGTCGCAGCGCCAGGACCTATTCGAATATCCAACAACTAGAGCAACATGAGTTGAGGCATATCATGAAGTTGGGATTGTATACTTTCTAGTGTATATTAGCAATGCCGCTCACCCAAAGCTTGCGCAAGGGATTTACAGCTCTAAGATCTTTCGTGCGCCTTACGACATTCATATTTGGCCCACTTAGCAGATGTTCAGTATTCTACTCACCATCGTAACCGTTACTGGCGGGGGCAAATTTGTCTCCAGGATTTCTGGACGCAGGTGTTGAGTGAAAATACAATCAAGTGTTAGTCTGAGTTTACAGACCCCCGGCCCCGTAGGGCCCCCCGAAGGGGGTCTGAGCACGATTTTTACCCAATAGCTTATTTTTGGTGTAATAACCTATTATGAGATATACACCCCTACGTATATTTGATCACTAACTAAATCTACTAACAAATTTGCATACAAATCAAGCTATATAGTCAACAGCAACAGCGAGGTTAAAAGAGCTCTCCCGCCTTATCCCTTTAGCTCGGAGCGAGATTTTGTATAGAAGACTATCCGAGACAACTTAGAGAAGATTCGCATCGATGAAATTTCTATACCAATGACTAACCTTTCATTGTTTTTCAAGATTTCAAAATTCAAGATCAACAACATTATTACTTAACAACTAACACCCCAACAGAGAAACAAAGTTGATACAGTTGTTCAGCGCATAGAAAAGACTTATTTTCTCTATAGAAACTTTTTCTGAAAAATGAAAGGAAAGTAGTAAATGAAAAAATAAGAAATAGGAAAAGATAACATTTAATAGTACATACAAATACTATATAAAATAGTGTTTAATGGTTAATATACGCTAAATCGTTCTCAGACCCATCACGGAGGGGGTATTATATAGGTTAGCGTAGTTATTGATCGTCTAAACTCTTTGTAGACTAGTTGTTGGGGGCCATCATGATCTTACTCCTCCGTGGCAAAAGGGTTTGAATGCTCAGACTAATCAAGTGTATTATTGATAAATCTTCCTAAAGAGGCATAGTTTGATACCTAGTTCTAGGCTGTTTTGAAACCAGATGTTAACCCCGGTAAGTCCTGGTGAGGGTTTCACAGCTGTTTGAGTTATGCCCATATTCAAGAGAAGCAGACCGTAATGTACTTTACGTTTTGGCGCTTTTCAGCCCTTTCAAACTTCGTCTTGGCCGACTTCGGGACTTTGATGAGGCGGACCTTTCACCATTCAACAGCCATGCATTCATCGGCCGCCGCACTCCAACATGTCTTCCGCCAGGGCTCACAACCTCAAAGCGAGGGTAGGGTTTGTCATCAAGAATACTTGCCGTAGGTGAAGAAAGGCACTCCAAGTCCTTTTTACGGACCTGTGCGACCAGCTCAATCCATCCACACCCCTCAATCAATACATCTGCTGAAAATACAGCAAAGGGCAGTGTAGCAGAGGTAAGACCAACTGCGTCTTTCCTAGTCAATGGTCCAGCCCGCTGCTTTGTCACGTCCCATCGAAGGGCGAATTGGCCGGCAGAAAACATACGATGACCCACACCGGGCTTAACAATGCTATGAGCCGCGGATGAGCTATCTTGGGTGTGTTTCGAGATGATGTGGTCAGTAGAAGCCACGTGGCATTTCAGAGGCACGAACGGAAATGCCAGAAAGTTCAAATCGTTTGACAGTGGCGTGATTCGCACAAGGCCTCCGACCAAGAGGGACTGCCCTGGCTTTATTGAAAGCTGATATGGCTTGGGTCGATGCTGCATGACCAATTCATCTTTGAGGTGATCTTGGACGTAGGTCTCAAGGTGACCACGATCTAGCCCCGGAAGATCAATGAGCTCGCCTTTCCCGTTGCCAAATGAAAGTCTGATTGGGCGCACCGTCGTCCCTGGCAGAGAGGATACCAAAGGCAAAATCGGAAACGCTGTTTCCACGGTAGGCGAGGATAGAAATGACTCCTGCCTCGTCCTCCCTGTGTTGAGGAATTTGTTCTGTGGGATTACAGTCAAAGAATCCACAGATGTGGCTGCAGGCGGCATTTGGGTCTCGACCTTATCTTCATCGCTTGTGGCTCGTCGTAAGGTGTCAGACTTCAAACATTTCGTTCGACCTTTGGGGAAGATGCACTCAAAGAGATTACTTTTCCCAACATTGATTTTCCCCACCATCCATCCGGCTCCACCGCGTTCCCAAATCTGCTGTTTAATACTTGAAGTCCACCAACCCCTCTTTGCGCTAACACAACGAACGTTTCCAAGACGAATGTTGTCAGCCGCGTCCCCTATGGTTTCGCGTAGCACAGTCAAAATGTATGGCATTAGACTATCTACCTGCATCTTGCTTGGTGCTAGTAAATCGGACCTAGTAATGATGAAGCTCATCTCGATGATCTTGCCATGCCGAAAGACATGAGATCTTGCGCGGCGATTTCTGGTCCTTTGTGCATTGATTGACAAACGTCTTTGGATACTCGGTACAAGGGATAGGGGAAAATCCGCAGCATCTATGACATGATATATGTGATTGTGTCTGTAAGGCGACTCTGAAATGACATCGGCGAGAGTTTGTAGTGACGGAGCGCAGGCGGGAGCAGCTTGCGAGTGATGTACGAGGTGGTGACACCTATCACAGAGCGGCGGACCCTGGGATGACACATGGGGTTCTAGTTTTGTAAGTTACATATGCAAAACCATGAAAGGTATGCGTACCAGGTTCCAATTTACCGCCCACTGTCTGAGATCTGATCGGAGCTTCTGCACTTCTTTCATCTCCTTGGGGATTCTCAAATTGAGGTGCATGGTCAGAGGCTTCGGCATGGTGTGCAAGGTACGTTGTTACAGCTTTACGAGTCTGGCTGTAGAATCCCACACCATCTGAATCGTTGAGTTGAGTGCAAGCTCCACAGCCGGGACATGATCTTGGCAAGACTCGCAGATTTACATGCTCTGACGCAGCATGTGCTGTTGAGACAGAGTCTGGATGGAGCCCGGCCTCCTTACGAAAACAACGTTGAGAGGTCGGAAGGTTTCGCAACAGGATTCTTCTGGTAGACAAGACGGAGCGAGGGTAGAGAACCCCAAGAATAGTAGTGGAACCAAGTGGGCCATTAACTCGACGCCGAGCATACGGGGTCATAAACTAGATCAAGACCTTGAGTATGGCAACGACCTAGGTTGCCGTGGGTTGTCGATATACTCTAATGTCGCGAGCAAGAACTTTTCTACTTCATAGCTGCTGTATTCAGTAAGGTTCGGCCTAGACCCAAATTGGTATTATTATTCGTATTCTATTAATGGAACAACACTCCTGAACACCTCGCTCCCACCAGCTCCCAGCAGGTAAATCTACCAGTCGACAACCTCGCCCCGTTATTCACTGCTAGAGTCACTCATGAATTCGTTATCCTCTTCAAAGCCCATATAAGAGCGCGTGGCAACACCTTCTTTAGACGTGGATTCTGGGCCAGCCAATGCCGCCGTTGCCATCGATTCCTTCTGATCTTTCTGTGCGGATACCATTTCGCGTCGTCCAGCCATGCCCTGCAGATCGTCATGATAATCACCAAGTTTCATAGTAGCATGCACTGCTTCACGCGTTCGTTCGCTAATCTCTTCTTTGTCCTCTGCCCACTGACCATCGACTTTGCCTTTTGCACCACTACGAATTTCTTCCTCCTTTCGCTCTGCTAGTGCAACAACTTCCTCCCACCTCTTGCGTCGTGCCTCCTTCTCCTTCTTTTCCATATCCGGCTTTAGTGCGAGATACTCTGCCAATGCCTTTGCCTCATTCACAGTTCGCAATCGTCTCCCGTCTAGATTACGATTTGACCCGCTGTTTTCACCTTGATTTTTTTTCCTTTTGGAGGACATGCGGCCACCAGCTGCACGTAGCTGTGAGCCGAACCCCCCTTTCCGCCTCGTAAGGGCACAGATAGCCGGAGCTGGATGAAGTCCCCATCGCCATCGTGAAGAAGGCTAGAGACTTGTGAGCTACACGGGGATATGACTTTGTTGGAAGCTGTTGTAACAATGATTCGGCAATTCAGAGGGGGAAGAATCGCGCGTATCTCCTTCATAAGAATCTCGAAAGACAAGGTTTCTTGGCAGATGAGATTGAACGTTGAGGGCAAGCCTAAACCACCAAAGGACGACAGCAGGACATTGATGTTTCGAGTCGCCATTGTCACGACAAATCAGCCTGCTACGGAGAGAGTAAGGAATGCCAGTGATCTTCACAAAGGGATTAATATGAACGGAGAACCCAAAGCACGCAATGTACATCATTAGTGTAGGCGGTAGGTTTGTAGGCGCGGCAATTTTAGGCGCCATCTCGCTTAAGTCGTCACACATGGGAAGTCACAGGCTCATTGCTTGAGCAGTAAAGATCCCTTTGGCAGCTTCGGCATTTTGCAAAAATGTTAGTCAACTACGCTTTCTTGACCCTACTTGTCTAAGCATTGTTACGATGCCAAAAAGTGTGCTAACGGACGTCAAAAGGCTCATTCCAAAGCAGGACCGCAAAAAGATTCATGAATATCTCTTCCGAGGTCTGATTCTGATGCAACAATCCTAACGCATTGCTGATTCTTCCGACAGAAGGAGTTCTAGTCGCTAAAAAAGATTTCAATCTGCCGAAACATGGGGAAGTTGACACGAAAAATCTCTTTGTACAGCTCTTATACATCACTCTAAAACCCGTGCTAATAGTCAAAAGGTCATCAAAGCTTGTCAATCCTTGAACTCCCGCGGCTATGTGAAGACACAGTTCTCCTGGCAATGGTACTATTATACTTTGACACCAGAGGGTCTTGACTATCTCCGAGAATGGCTTCACCTTCCAGCAGAAATTGTACCTGCAACTCATATCAAGCAGCAGCGCTCACACGCTCCTCCGAAAGGCATGATGGGTGGTGACGATCGCGGACCTCGTGGACGCGGTGGGCCTCGAGGAGAAAGGGGCGATGATGGGGGCTACAGGAGACGAGATGCAGGTGATGGCAAAGAGGGCGACGCTCCTGGCGGGTTTGCGCCATCATTCGGCGGAGAGCGAAGAACCTTCGGACGTGGACGTGGTAGTGGACCTCCGGGACAGGCGGGCATGTGAAGAGACTACAACCGGACTTGCATGAATATTGTGAACAAAGCAGATGCCTATCATGTGATGGCGTCGAAGGCGCTTTATCTCACTCATAAGGAAGCTAAATGTGCGTGAAGTTTTAAGATCGTTTAGCTCTGAGCTTGTCGTAGCGAATAACTGCTCCCAGTAACACTTGCGCTCAAAGTTTGCAGTCTTCCTGTGAACACTACTTTGTCGGATGATGTGAGACGCCGTCACGATAAGGGGTAAATATCATCGCTTTTGGGACTCGTTTGCTCGTGTAGACCTGATATCGAGGGTCAGCTGAGAAGGTCGCTTTTCAAAATGTGCGTCGTGGGTAAATTCACTGAAACGTGACTAGCACCTAAGAGCATTCTCTAATTCGAACGAGAAAAGTCCTTCTCGGATGAAAATTTTGGCACTATCTTCAATGCATATGATCGGTTAAAGGTGAGACAGACTGGTGATTTGCTATTCTCTTGAACTCTTCCTTCCAGTTGCTACTCGACCCCTAGCATTGTTCTATCTTCGGGAGCCCTTATGTCTCGATAGAATTGAGCGGTGCAAGGAATCGTATCTACGCTCCCTGGCCACAAACTCATCCGACCAGTGCTTGCGAGGACACCGTATCTAGACGCTAAGCGATGAGATTGCAGCACCATAGTTGCAGCAGCAAGCATCGTATCAGATCGATTAGAGTAACCTGTTGTCCCAGTGAGAGAACTCGCGCCATGGACACTGATCGTGTACCATCAGTATGCTTGGACCCCTCGTACAATTCCTATCTTTTGCCCTTGAGATTCCAGCTTTGGACCTTGTTCAATAAGTGATTCAAGAGAATCATAATCACAAGCCAGATTTCCGAGGTAGCCAATGCTTCCTTGTTCGTCTTTCAATTTCTCTGCGCCATCTCCTATTTCACGAAGATTGTGGGCTTGTTCTAAGTTTATGTCGCCGCTGTGTACACCAGTGTTCAACATCGAAATTGTAAAGCGAGCGCCTTCTTCATTTGTCTAGTTGAAAACTCCAACAAGACACTCGAATTTATACGCGCTCTCACGGATTACCTTTAGAATCTCGATCCCAGCACAGACACCCAATACACCATCGTATCGACCTGCAGAGGGCTGTGTATCTTACTGTGAGCCAGCGCCAATTTGGGGGCGTAAGCGACGCCCTTTGCGGACAGCGAACATGTTCCCTTACTCATTTTTGGCAAAGCGCTCACAGTTTTGCACCTATAGCTAAAGACCTACCATAGCATCAACGTCTACCTTACAATCCAGTGATAACGTCGCTTCATGCCTGTCTCTTAAACTTTTTTTGCGCAAGGAAATAGTTTCAGCTATGGCTTCCAGTAGGACCTACCTTTTTCCGACAATTCTTGAGGTCAAATCGAATCCGCGCCAATCTCGTCAGTCGGTTGGGGAGGTGAAGCAGAAGAAAGCAGTGCCCCATCGGTGTCCTACACCAAATTTACAGCTATTATGTATGCTGCTCGAAAGTTTGCTCCAATTGGTCTCAAGACTTGCACCATCTATACCAAGATGACATGCCGTGGCCAGAGAGCGTACGTGAAGCACGGTAGACGCCATGAGGGCTAGAATAAAGCTTACCTACTACGCAGCGCATTCCACCATAGTATTTGCCTGAATATGGAGCCTTGTGCTTCCACTGCTTCCACTAGGTGAATCATGTCTGCTGTCATACGCAGGTGCTTGAGGTGTTGGGCACGCTGGGACGAGGGGTGACGAGGTCGGAAACGCCAAGCAAGCCGATCCTCCGTAGGTACCCAGACCACATTCTTCCAACGCTCTTTCCCCGACCCACTTGAGGGACAATGACTATCATTGACCAGAAAATGAATCACTTCCTACGTAGGGCGAAAACGACCCTAATTCGAACACCCCATATGCAACATCAAGCTCCTCCGCTCATCGATACTGGTCAATCGCAGGTTTCTTTGTTACAACCTCATACCCTATCAGGGTGAAAGTATCCTCGAAGCTTGATATGGTTGCTACAGCTCTCGCTACAGCTGCATCCGGGTTTAATGTTAGTTTGAAAGTGCAGAAGCCCAGTGCCAATGCCTTCTTGGCATATCCGCCTTCATGTAGGGTCTCCGTCTAATAAGCCAGCCGCTGCGAGCAATTCTGCAAGCCCAAGATATCCCTTCCCAGAAACACAAGATACAAACAACTCATTCGCCGATACGTCGCTGCACGGTGTTCCAATACTACCTTCCCACAGCCCTTCCCCTCCTCAGATTCGACGGCGGTCTCGGCATTCTCGCTCGCATAGCCATCCGTTTGCAGAGCTACTCCGAGGTAACAGGCCTGCGGATGACGGAGACGAGACCGAGGATGAAAACATACTTGAACAAGATGTGATATCTGCGCCAGATATCATAGTCGGTCACAATGCGCGAGAAGTGAATTTTCCCTTCAATCAGTCCAAGACAGTTCAAAACGGGGAAGTGGAGCTGGTCACTGGCCGATGCGCTACTTGCGACTCACTTGTACGATGGCCCCGGCGCCTAGACGTTTTTCGTTGCACTGTTTGTCTCATGGTCAACGATTTGAAGCCTGCCCAGAGGCACATAGGCGAATCTCAACCAAGCGAGAGGCAAGATGATTTCGGAGACACCTCATTACTGTCAAAACCCCTCATGCTCAGTAGAGGTGAGGAACTCCCCTCTCGTACCGTAAAATATTCATTGATCTGATCAACAGTACGCTACATGTCCCTACAAAGGACGCGACAAATTATTGAGGAAAGCCTCGAACAATTCTTAATATCTGAAATTCCAGAACGCAAGAAGAAAGCCGTATATAGAAATGATTCGCATAAAGACATTGAACCCCAGTCAACGACGCAATTATTATCATCCTCACGAGCTGTCGATATCGCCGACGACAATGTGGATCTGATAGGCTCAGATCGTGGAAAAAACGCATCGTCTTCAATCGGTCATTCTTATTCTGATCAAAAAAGACTTGATGAATCAACCACCTCACAATGCCAAGATAAATCCAAACGTGTATTCCGAATTTTGGAGAGGTACATTACGGCATGCTTCAGCAGCGAATGTCTGAACAATTCTTTCCTATTTTCTCGACCGAACCAGTCACTGAGAGCTGCAAGTGAAAGTGTTATCACCAAAACTCCTGAGACAGCATCCCCAGACACTGTTGACAGCGCCGCCGACCTGTACCCTGAGATCGATGCAAAAACTCTGCTCGTCGGCGATTTCGCAGAAAACGGCACCTGGTGGGCAGGCAGGTCTCCGCCAGCCGAAAGCATTCGACCTCAGACGGCGAAAGGGTCAATAGATAGCTACAGCGACAAAGCCAATGCAAAGGGCCCTAGTATTAACTGGTCTGAAGTTTACGAGTGGTACAACCTTATCAACTCGTTGCAAAGCTCGTGGAGGCTGAAGCTGCACAGCTTTAAGGCAAATAAAGTGGTAAATGAGCATTCTCCAATAGCTTCGGATGCGCAGATTCAAGTCATGGACGAGCGCATTGCTGAGTCTAGTAGCCATGTCCAGCGCACTCTGTTCAAAGCAAGTGAGGCTTTACTGCGACGTCCTGGGCGTCCTCTGAAGCATGCCATTGAAAGTCGATTTCTTCTCATCTTACTTGCCAATCCAAATCTCTCCATGAAGGAGGCGAATCTGTCAATCCAATCGTTTCCTAGCACGACCAGAGACGCGTCCAATCGGGGAATGTCAGAGAGTACAGTTGTGACTTCTACCGCGGTCATGCCGTTCTCATCAAAATTGTTACCACCAACAGGCTCCAGTAGCAACTTGTCGAGGCATTCAGGCATTATTAAACGCATCTTAGGTATTATGTCGAATCTTCCGCCTGACTGCCACCACTATCTCATCAGCTGGTTCTCGCGCTTCACACAACAACATTTGCGGAAGGTTGTCGAGCTGGTGGGGAGCTTTGTTACTTATAGACTTTCTAGGGTTAGCGGGAGAAAGCGTACCAACAGTCATGATCCAACTGTTGGAGGTTTAATTCCCAGTATCTCAGGCCCCGGTGCTGGAACCTCCGCTCAACTCCACGCTGCCATCGGAGTCTCCCAAGGTGCCAAGTCTCAGGAAAACAATACAGGTGGAACAACATACAGCGATGATTGGCAAATAAAGGCCGCAGCAAAAGTTATGTCACTCCTTTTCGCCGCCAGCAATAACGACCCCATCAGGTGGCGTGAAGGCCATCAGAAGACCTCGCAACCACTGGGTAGGCCACGAGCGATTTCAATCACGCAAAAGCGAGCACACAGAAATGGCCAACTCCTTCCTACCAGCGCGTTCTACAATACCATGCTAGACTACACTGACCTCATCGCAGACTTTGACACTTGGGAATCAAGACGAGGCAAGCTTTCCTTTTGCCAATATCCCATGTTCTTCTCCATCTGGGCCAAAATCCACATTCTTGAGCACGATGCTCGCAGGCAGATGGAAATCAAAGCTAGAGAGGCGTTCTTCAACAGTATAATGAGCCGAAAAGCGATCAGTCAGTATCTCATCCTGAAGGTGCGAAGGGACTGTTTAGTTGAAGATAGCCTGCGGGGTGTCAGTGAAGTTGTGGGCACGGGCCAAGAGGAAATTAAAAAGGGGCTTCGCATCGAATTCATTGGAGAAGAAGGCCTCGACTCGGGCGGCCTTCGAAAGGAATGGTTTTTGCTGCTGATCCGAGAGATCTTTGATCAAGAGCATGGGCTGTTCGTGTATGACGAGGACTCACAAAACTGCTATTTCAATTCCCAAACCTTCGAGACTTCGGATCAATTTTTCCTTGTTGGTGCGTTACTTGGACTTGCAATCTACAATTCGACAATCCTAGACGTCGCTTTACCACCCTTCGCATTTCGCAAGCTCTTGGCCTCGGCTCCGACGTACACGGGTCCCTCAACGTTTTCCTCTCGTCCGATCCACGCTTCATCATTGGATGACCTCGCTGAGTTCAGACCCGTCCTTGCCCAAGGGCTTCGAAAGCTTCTTGAGTACGATGGCGATGTAGAATCGACGTTTCTTCGTGATTTTGTTGCTGCGACTGAACGTTACGGACAAATCCAGTACGTGCCGCTCTGTCACAACGGTGAGCATAGGCCGGTTACGAACAGCAATCGCCGGGAATATGTGGACCTCTATGTCCGCTATCTTCTGGATACTTCCGTCTCTCGCCAATATGACCCTTTCAAACGCGGCTTTTTCACCGTGTGCGGTGGCAATGCGCTTTCCTTATTTCGACCCGAGGAGATCGAGTTGCTCATAAGAGGCTCAGACGAGCCCCTTGATGTTGCAACAATTCGAGCGGTAGCCATCTATGACGGCTGGGGCGTCGGCGTTGAGCCAGCTGATCAGATTCCTGTGAAATGGTTCTGGGAAGAATTCGAAGGGGCACAACCGAAAGACCAACGGAAATTGCTCAGCTTCATCACGGCTAGCGACCGGATTCCTGCAATGGGCGCCACAAGCCTTGTCATCAAGATTGTGTGCTTAGGTGACTACACGAAACGGTACCCAATCGCACGGACTTGCTTCAACATGATCGGCCTCTATCGGTATCGATCGAAGGAGGCTTTTGGGAGCATGCTTTGGAGGGCTGTATACGAGGGCGAGGGATTTGGCATGAAATAAACGGGTTTTGGCCGTACGTCATTACGACCGCACAAATGTGGTCGGAAAACCAGCAGTGGCCTAGAAAGTATCGACTAACATGATTGATGATTTTAAATCTCAGCGACCTTCCAAAGTGAGATGAGTCTTATATCTATTCGTTGTATTGTATTTATGGTCCAACAACGTATGATGTCAGATGAGAAGGCCAAAGAACGCAGGCAATCAAATCCATGTGCTTTTGAGATGCAGCTTAATAAGCACGATCGAAGTTGTCCAAGGGGTTGCATCTTGAGGCACGAGCTTTGGGGAGAATACAGGCTTTCAATGTGACACTCGAATGTCTACGTAGCCTGTCGGGCTAAGATATATTCGTACCTCCTCACAACCATATGAGATAAGGTCTGGAGATTTTACGTCATCGATATCTCACGGCACACTTAGCGATATCGCCAATAAGACTCCGTGTTATGACGCTTCCATGTCTTTCTCCGTCCCGCCTTAGTCTTATTGAATTTGTGTCCCTTGTTCAAACCTCGTGACTTCTTGCCGGTTGCTGTAAGACCCCGTGACTCGCGATGCTGAAAAGATTTGTCAACTCAAGATATCAACGCGAAGAAATCATACGACTAAGCCATACCTTGTGAACAGGTTTGACGATCCAATTGATCCTCGAATCACGACGAATCGCCTTGTGTTCCGGATCTACTAAGACGATCTCAAAATATTTATACGTAGAGTCTTGATTGATCCAATAAGAATTCAGAACTCTGAGATTGGCGCAGCGACGGCCGACACGTTCCTCAGCGGTGGCTTTGAGCGAGCGTTGATATTTCAACTGATTGACACCTTGGTTTGTAGGTTTTCCTTCACGGGGGCGAATGTCAGTAAGCTTAGCAGAAGTCTAGCAATAAAATTGCGGTCTCGCTGGGTTTCACTGACCGTATGTGGCACCTTTGGGCACTGGCCTCTTTCTACCGCCTCGGCGCACGCGCACGCGATAGATCACGTAGCCTTGCTTTGCTTTATACCCAAGACGGCGAGCTTTATCAGGGCGCGAGGGACGCGAGGCACGGTGTATGACGTTTAATTGGCGAAGCTATATTAATGCACTCTCAGCAAATGTTCAACGAGTGTATAGCAAGACACGTTGGGATGTGTGCCACAGGGCTCGAAGACGAGCCACCAAGCTGCTTGCTATTCGTGGTCATGCTTGCAGATCTTTCATACCTCCCAGCATCGTACTCGTAGTAGGAAACGGAGGACATCGGATTGCTTCTTTTTTGGAGCTCCTCGACGTATTTCAGGGCGCCCATCTAGAGAGGAGAGAATTGGTTAGCTTCTAGAGCTGGTAGATGTTGCATAAATCACTCGCTTCATGAACATAAAGCATAATGATCCTCAGCATACCTTAGACCTAAAGACCTTCGTGTAAGAATTGCGTCGAAGAGGTGGACGGTTCCAAAGTCTCAGCTGAGGTTGTGTGGAGCAGCGGGCAGATAGCCGATGCCAAGACTCATTTTAGTCTCATCAAGTCGGGCTTAGGTAAGCAACCCTTTAATGTTGTATGCCCCTCCGAATTCTACTACATGGAAGTAAGGAAATATTGTGGGTAGTACGAACAGGATTTTTCTCGATTCTCACGTAGTAAAAGTTAGCAGAACAAAACGACTGTAGCAAGCTATCTTCCGCGCTTATGCATCGTCATTATCGCTTTCGTGATCCGATAGATGCCTGACTAGATTTCTCACATCTTTTTCCGCACGCTTGACGACTTGTACCCAGCCATCTTCTTCCCCTATATTCCGTTCCTCGGGGTCTTTCCGCTTTGGGTTGGCGTAGCAATCCCATAACTCTTGCGCTTCTCTCTCCTCGTCGTTCGTCTTCGCCTGTGTGTCCGATTCTTTCCCATTGAGGAGGGCTGCAATATCTTGACTCGTCTTACGTTCTTGGATGTCGATAATCTGACCCACTTTCTGTATCTCGTTCTGAAAACCTCCGTTGGCTAAAGAGTTAAGCTTCTTCTTAGCGTCTTGAACGCATTCCTCGATATCTTTGTAAAGACCTAGTAGCTTGGTCGTGTTCCCAATAACTTCTTGGGCATTTTTGTTGATAATGTTTGTCTCAAGTACATTTTGTTGCTGGGCCACGCGTCCGACGGAACTGTCGTGTGACAAGATAGCATTTACACCTTCCTGAAATCCGCCCCTTTGCTCTAATCTGAACTCGTTAATCCTTAGTGCTTGAAATATTTGCTAGATCTGACGGTGGTCTTACATCTTAGCCACATGCCGATCAAACGCCTCTTCAGCCAGTCTACTTTGCTGCTTCACAGCCTCTGCAAACTTCTGATGTTCAGCGTCTTCACTGGCCTTTTTAGCAGCTTGGTTTCCTGAAGATCTATCGCTCGTAGATTAATCAAAAATAAAAGTGAGTGCTTATAGCTTTCACTCACTGCTTCATCGCCACCTCGTTGCGCGGGGTATGTGATTTTCCGCCAGAGACTTCAGCTATCTTCGATTTTTTCGTCTTTAGCAATGCCCTAGCAGCACTTTCTGACACCGGGCTTAATAATGTGTCGGACACGATGCATTTACGTGTGATTTACCAGTTGTTCGTTCGTTCTTGGTCATGTCGAGCAATGGCTCGGATGTGCGCGAAACGCGGACTGGAGTGGTCGATGGGAATGGAGGGCGAAGAGCGTAAATCTGTAGCATACAATGCACAAGACGATGAGGCAGCAACAATGGATCATGTTATATGTGAGGCCAGCTTTGTCAGGTTTCTGGAGCTCTAGAAGGTAAGGGTGGTGTGCAGCGACTTCAGAATGACGAAAGTCGTCTGGATTTTAAAGCCTGTAAAATTTCGAAAGCTTGATAAGCATCAGTCGCGTATCTTACATGTCTTATACACAAAGGCTACCCAACCCATCTCAGATCAATCCCCATTAGCGATCTATAGCTTAGAAAGATGGGTCGTGTAGAGGCACAAGGTCGCTTCTATTAACTCGTGAATATCATGAGATCATGTACTTCGTGACGGCAAGGCATAGATTCCAGAGCCGCAGATAGCTTTCTATACAGAATCTACCCGGTCGAAGTTTATTTGATCGAACACCGATAATCGAAAACATAGGAGTTGTAGGCTGATGGGAAAATATATGTTCTTGGTCAATTGCGCAGGTGGCGTGACCTGCCTCGCGCGATTCGGAGCATTTTAAAATGATTGAGAACAATTGCGGGGTGCTGCTATCGCCATCCAGCAGCGTAGGACATTGTCGCAGAACTCTTGCGAAAAGCGGCCGACAAAGGTGCCCTTACGCGGGTAGTTATGGATGGCGTCTACTGATTGATTGAAAGATTACGAAATCCTTGAGTCCACTCCTCAGTACGCATTTGGCGATTTTGATGTCCAGCGCTGTTGTCGTCAGGCTGAGAGGTGAACGAAGAAGTATGATGCAGGTTGGGCCCGTTGTAGCCAATAGGAGGGCCAAATTGAGATGGATGCGCCATAGGCTGTTGTGCTTGATGGCGATAGTCCATCGAAAAAGGCGACATCTGCCGGGCTTCGAATGCTTGGCCCGCAAGAGTTGGGTGATACATCTGCTCGTAAGACATTCCTGAGATCAGCATGCCATTATAGGCCGGTAGTGGTCCATGAGGGGAGGACGTGACCGCGGGTTGTGCATACTGCCCAGATCGGAAGTCGTCATACTCGTGGCCCAAAGGATTCCGAGAAAGTCCGGGCGGTCTCAGGCCCGCGTGAGGTGTGGCGATAGCAGCTGTATTAATAGCTGACATCCAGATCCTTGTCTTGTAAATTTTGAAAAGATCGGTGACTAGGGGATTAAAATTGATGTAGGAGTCAGCAAAGTAGAAGAATGTCAGCTTTTTCCAATCCCTAAACATATAAGCATACACATGGTCTGCAACGAAGATGGTGCTTACATCTGGAATTCCGCGTCGAGAATCTCCATGCTTAGTCGATGGTCGACAACTTTTTGGTGACACATTCGCTTCGCTTTCGCCTCACTCCCTTCCTTTTCACGCAAAGTGGCGATCTCGTGCGACTGGGCAAGTCGCTTGATCATCTTGGGCTTGATTTCGCCACTTGGAAGATCTTGAAAGCCGGCGGCGTTGGGAAGACCTGCAGTTGTCTGTCCCATTGATGGGCCATTTGGGTTCGGTCCTGCAATAGTTCCATTTTGCGTATGATGCGAAAATGCCATGAGCCACTCGTGGTGCCTCTTGGTGTAGTCTTCCTTCATTTGCTTAGCTTCAGCCCACGAAATATCTTCGGACTGTACAGTGCCAAGATCCGTGCCGCGATCTGCCTCGACGATGACAAGGTCGCCCTTTTTGACTCGTAAGCCTGTACCTTCTTGGATGTAGAATACATCTGCCCGCAAACACTTGAATGTTACAATATAGAGCAGCTGGTTTGGGCGCCCTGTTGCATGTCCGATTGGTTGCGACCGATGATATTGGCTTTGCGCGTATGCTTGGTGGAGGCTTGTCGACGAAATGGATTGAAGGTCCCCAGGGAGACGTGGAGAAGGATTTGGCTGAGAGAAATAGTTGACTGCAAAATCACGATCATGTGAGTGACGGGCTACCAATTGCATCTCCCTCTCCGTTTTGCTGGGGGGATACGAAAAAGCAAACTTACTGTTGTCACCTTGCGCCGGGCGACTAGTACCATCCCCAAAAGCTCCAAGATCCTCAGAATGATGATGAGATGGTACAGAAAAGTCCCCAATATTACGACCAGCTTCATCGTCGTTCACTGAGCCTAGAGAATTATGCCTGGTGGGCATCTCAGCAAATGAATGGCGACGGCTTTTTGGTGGCTCTTCTGCACGAGCAAAACCAAGAGAGCTCTGCCATTGGCCTCTTCTACCATGATCCAGCGCTTTGTGGTCAGGGTTGATTCCAAGGGCGTAATGTGGACTCGACCTAGAGCTGTACTCACTAAACCTTCGACCTCCGGCCACTCCCGGTCTGTTAGCTTGTGATTGCTCGCGGTCGTTCGGATCGTACAAAGGCGACGTGAGATCTTCGGGGACAGAGTCTCGTAGCCGCTGATGGTAATACTGCCCCGATGTATGCGGGCGTTGCGCTGATGAGACCGGGCGAGCGCTTCTGACGTTCTGAAGCTGATTAGCTGCTAGTTGCTGTCGCAGCATAGCGTTTTCCCCTGCAAGATCCTCGAAAGTCCGCGCGTCATCATGAAAGCCATGAGTACCACTGGAAGATCCTCCTGAGACCTCTTCGTCGTCGTCAACTTCGCGTAATTGTCCTAGAGCGTTCAAATCATGAGTCGCATCCCCAAGCATGCTAGGTCGTGAGGGTCTGTGATGCACCCCTGCATAGGATGCGCCCCTTCTTGGAGGGTTGAAATTGCTTTGGCCTCCGTAGGGTGTACTTGTATTAGTGCTGGTATCAGTATCAATCTGTCCTACAGAATATGACTGGGATCTGTAGCTTTTCAGAGTAGGCTGTAAGGGTATGGAAAATGGAATTCCTGGATCTGCACCCTGTTCCCGATTAAGCGGCGGACTTCGAAGAGCATTATCGTCTTGATAGAGGCTAGCTGATCCCGGTGGTACTATGGTGGTAGGCGATGGTAGCACCTCCGCTAGTCGCTGTGGAGGTCCTTTCTGGCCGTCACTGTTCCAGATTGTATTGCCCCACGTAAATGAAGAACTACTAGAATGTCCACGACCCAGTGTTGTACCCGCTGTGGAAGCTGTCGCCGTATTCCACGGCGCTTGGTCGCTAGAAGACGCTGTCGTGCCGGGACTAACGGGCGAGAATGGTCCGGTACCAGCACCAAAAGACGGCTTGCGATTAGGAAGCTGCTGGCCTTCAGTGAACCACGAGGCTCGACGGACCTGCTTTGGTCCGGGATTACTGGTAACGGTCTGCAATCTATACAATTGGTCATGTTCGTCGTCAGACGACGCTAGAGCCTCCGAATCTGGCGTCGAGCCTCGCATGCCAACTTTAGCTCGATCGAGAAGTATTGACGCATTGTTGCTTGCAAAGCTGCTGAAAGAAGTTCGTTTTCCTTGACCTGCGGATATCTGGGAGGCGTTGGAAGCCATTTTGTTCTGGATAGATCAAGGCTAAAGCCAGTGGCATGTCATTCTAATTTGGTCCACTACACATGATCAATCCGTTAGCTACATCGTATCAGAAGGTATCTGAACAGTTTTAAGAAGACAAGGACTCGAGGCGCCGGGGTGACATGCAGAATAGCCCGGATTCAATATTTTAGTTTGAAGCACTCAGCAACTTACACTCCGTGATGTGGCTGTACCACAGTTCAGGTATTGTCAACACTTGTATTACACCTTCTTTACCAGTAGCTCTGGCGATGATATTCAACGCAGAACGCACGAAGCGCCCGAGGCGAAAGATATATCGATTGCCAAACTCAACAGTTGCGGGGATGATTCGTGATGATTCGTAACTTGTATATCTAATGTGCCACGAATAGGTCGACTTAATTGTTGAGGGCGGGGATTTTTCGACCTCACTCGTTACAACTTCGAGATGCCTACCGAAGATCCGTGTGAACCAAATCAAATTTCTCTTGCTCACAGGGTGGGCCTCCTATTCAGATCCCAATGTCAAAATTAAGAAATGAGCGATAAGAGTGAAGGACTTGGTCCACAAAGACATAACGGGCACTGAGCAGATGCTTGACAGCGTGCACGTGCAAATTGGGAGAAGTTGCATACCTGCTGTATACTGAAGCAATACTCTCCACTTCAAGTCTCTATTCTTCGTTCGTATGTAGTCCGGAGCCGTAATGCAGTAAAGTTTGCTGCGAATAGTCTTGCTGCAAGCCTGTCAGACTTACGCATCTTGTAAGAGAAGATAAGAAACTTACCTTTACCAGTAATGCTATACAAGAAGATGGCAGGTAATGAGGTAGGCGGAGAGGCGGAAATATTAAGTCGGTGCAAGGCCAATGCAAATTGAACCCGCGGGGAAATATGTGCCTGTAACGATGACAAAGGGGGTATCCGCGTTGAGACGTCTTCACAGATCAACGGATCATATTCTAGAGATATATCAACGGAAAATTTTGCTAGGTCATCGAATCGTTCATGTTGCGAGGGAGAAGGATGATAGGCCGACGGTGATTCTTCGTCGCCTCCTTCGAGGCAAGCGACCAAGAGCCGAGCGATCAGATCGATCTTGTGACAGCGAGCCGACTGAAGTGACTTGCTGTCAACAGTAATTCCTGTAGATAGTGAAGTGACCTCAGGCCACAACAATGGGAAAGTAATTGCAAGGAGGGTGTGGTCCAGTGCTTTAGGGACCCTCGGGCTAGGGATCACAACGAGGTGGTGCAGAGGAAGAGTATGTTGGCTAAGGAGTGAAGACCTAGGCCACAGACGATGGTCCTCGTGATAGGACGCATTCAAGAATCTTACATGGGTGGACTCGTTATATGTGAGGTGAGGCCGATCATTTGAGTGCAGAGGTCGTCAGTGCGGTCAACATGCGGTTTGGGGAGCGCGATGTATGGGGCAAATTAAAACTACGCTAAGGTCCCCCGCCGTCGGGAGCAACGCTTAGATTGGGGGAGGATCTTGCTTCCCCGCCATCCAATGCAACTGAGCAATACGCTTACTTCATATAGTAAGGTAAGCCCCAGACGTGGACAAAAGCAAAAGAACTGCGTTGGTCTGTCGATCTGCTGGAGATCACCATTAGTAACATTCTTCGAAGACTACTCTTGCTTCCTATGTAATAGGTTTATATGAAGCTACGGGATCAGCATTCACCGCAAGTTCAAGCGGCTGGCAGAAGCGGGAGAAGCTAATGGATGAAGGCCATCGTGAGGTGTCTGAACAAGTATATGCTCGGTACTTCCGCCGAAATGCTGCTTGCAGTCCATCCGACCTTACATATCCTTTTCTTGTATACAGGCACGATCATCGTGAGGAACCTCTAGTGACTTACTCCATCGGATTCCCACCAAATCCTATAGTTCGCACGGAACTGGGAAGTTCACGATAGCATCGTCATTCCGGGGTCCTAAGTTTCTTGCAATCATCTTTTTTAGTTCGCGACAAGGCTACCTCCTTCTTTGTGATATGTTGCATGGAAGCAATATGTTTGTTGGCAGAACGAGTCCAGAGGACGAGGGAAGAGGCGTTTCTGTCCCAACTTTCCTATTCCCCTGCTAATGAAGATCATTCAGGACTGACAGCTCCAACATGCCTGCGTGAGCATGTACACTTATTAAGCGCGGATTCTGACCGTAATTGTAAAGCGCAACAGATCATGAGCGCAGCATTCGGTCATGATCCATGAGTCCGCCCAGTGCTTGAACTGTGCTTGATTTTGGTTCAAGGTTGAACAGTTTCAACACTGTCTACGGCTTCTGGACCCTTTTGCTTCTTCAAGTTTTCCTCAAATTTGGCGAACTCCTGCATTGCAATCTCCTCCTCTTGATCCAAGACTTGTGTGACACCTTTGACCTCCTCAATCTATCCATCTCATGAGCGCAAGACTGGATTTAGGGCAATTTTACACTCACATAGTGCATCAACATACTCTCAATGCCATTCCGCAAAGTTACCGTGCTTGAATCACAGGTGCGACATGCTCCTCGTAGCTTTAGCATGACGTGTCCATCCTTGAAGCCACGAAATTCGATGTCGCCCCCATCTTCTTGGATAGCGGGCCGTATCCTTGTCTCCAGGAGTTCTTTGATCATGCCAATGACTTCGCCGTCATTTTCATCATATTCAAGAGTCTCTTCTCCTTCTTGCCCTGCATGGGTGGGCGAGCCTGCAACAGAGTTCACAATCTCTTCGCCGGAGTTCACTGCCTCGGTAATCAAAGCGAAGATTTCTGGTTTGACGTGTGCCCAATTCGCGTCTGATGCCTTCGTAATAGTGATAAAGTCTGAGCCGTAGAAAACGGATGTAATGCCATCGACATTGAAAAGTCTTGAGGCTAGTGGAGAAGGATGCGGAGGAGCCAATGTGGAACGTGGGTTGAGATATTCTAAGAAAGGAATCCTCAATTGCGAGGGGAGAATTGGTCGACTAGGCAAGAATTTCAAAGCCTAACGACATTATCGACTAGACCTCGAAAGGCGGAGATGAGCACGCCTACGTCTGTGTTTGGGGTATTCTCGGTCTGTATGAACATCTTACGAATTCCATGACCGGTGAACGGTGAGAATTGCCATCTAGTGCGCTGTACAAGAGGCTTTGGCCGCGAGGGGGTAGCCCAAGTCGAAGCCGATGATGCAATGCATTTAGGTACATATGCTACGCATTCAGTCCGTTCGCGAAGCTCCCAGGGAATCCTCAGGAAGCTGGCATTAAGAAAGGATCTCTGTGGAATCTTTGTGGATACTCTCAGAAACATCATGGACTTAGCAAAGACAAAGACTTAGGCCTCTCAGACGGACGTCACCTTTAATTGAAGAAGGTTGTGCTTATGTCATCATTCATCTAATCTAGCTCCGGCAGAGGATTAAAGGTATTGACATCTTCGCATTCTCTAGCTCGAAGCATTAGTCAGGATTTCTATTTATCCACGCAAAGAACCGATTGAAAGCGTAGATAGATTACGGTAGAGGTAGGTATCTGCTTCAGCGAGATTAAATGCTAAGTTGACTACATGGCAGCGCAAACATCGTTGGCTGTGCTTGATGTTACAGATGTAATATGCAGGTATATCTTCATATACACATTGTGGTCTCCCTGAAGCCACCTTTTCTAAGATGCAAGTATTGTCTAACAGCCACGCTACCCGCTTTAGCAGTCGTTTCAATGACCACGTATGATGTACTTCGTCTCATGACATATATCATCGTAATAGCCAATTGAACTTTTTGCGGAGATTTTCGCCGACAGCTTTGCCCTCTAACTGAACACTACGGTCGAATAACTCCTAGCTAGCATTAGCTCAAGTCACGTAGGTTGATGAGGCTCCCTTACGTCGTCATCCTTGGAAAACTTTCCGTTCAATATCAGTTGCTGAGCCTCCTCATTTCTACAGAGCGCTGGATAAGGAAGCCCCTGGCTTTCACGGATCCCAATGACGACATCTCCCATGATTTCAAATTTCTTCCAATTGATCCGTTCACCGTTTTCGGTTCGTATGAACGTCCTGTTGCCAGCTTCTGCAGAAACGAGGTCTCGCCGGTGAAGGGGCACAAATGGTATGCGCGGAGAAGACGTGTTCCGCCAGCCAAGTCGATAAGCTGAGTAGCTCTTAGCGGGCGCCATTAATATCTCAAGGCGCCAATACTGTTTTACTTTCTCTGGAGGAACTAAGCCTCGGGTTTGCACGAGGCGGTGTACTGCTGTGCCATTAATTCCTGCGATGATGGCTCCAAGTGAATTATAATTGTTTAGTTGGCGAAGCCTCCAAGCTATTGCCATGAATTTCTCTAGCATTAATGCCCTATGTTTCGGTTTATCACGAATCAAAATCATGCTCGAGACCCAAAAAGCGATATGATTGAAGTGATCGATCATGGCATTCACAAATTCTAAACTCTTGCATCTTTGTTTCCGCTCTGTGTTCAAGCTGACGTGGCGTATGAGGTCTCGCGGTCGAATAGAGGTATAAAGTACCCAGTCAATACGAGTCAATTCGAATGCGATGTTCTCGATAGAGAGGTCCATCACTTGGTGCCACCTAATCTTGTCAAGGCTAAAGCGAGGGGAAGGTCTCAGACGTTGAGCTTGGCCACGCGCGTCTGCCACTCGATTGAGAAGCATCCGAGAATTGAGATTTGTTGATGGGCTACCCGAAGATTCCAAGGATGGAACTACCGGCCCATTTGTCGGATGGCGAACCGAATGCCCGTGAATGGGCTTTTCAGGATTCCTGGTGTCGTTAATTTCCTCCGCGGATGACTCGGCGGTTATTGTCGACGTAGCGGTTTGGGTTGATGAGCTGCTAAGGAAGCTCTCAATGGTGCTCGCACGACTCCGAGCCTGGTCGGAATAGGCCCATTCTGCATCATCATCTTCGCCCACGGCTTCCAGAACAATACTAATCTCTTGGTGTGCTGTTGCAAATTCCGGGTTCATTGATAGTGAGTGTACAAAGGTCGTGATCACATGGCGAGTTGCAGGGTGTGCGAAATCGCCCTGATATTCTGAAATCCATTCCTGAAGTATGTTGAGATACCTCAGCTGCATTGTCAATCGAACCAATTGGGGCATCTCATCGCCCGGCAATCCCTCGAACCGCTTTAGAATTGCAGCTAGAAGCTCCGAGGGTGCGGCAAATATGCGATACAAGCACAAAAATGCAACCACAAATTTTGTGTCCTGCTTTGACATTGGTGGAGCCAGCAATCGATCGACTAGGTTCTCGAACGGCACTCCTAAATCGGACGACTGGTCTTGATCTGATTCTGGGCGAGATTGATGGGAAGTCAGTAGAGAATCCTTTTGGCTAAGATCCGAGAGTGAAGAATCATTGGTGTGCGACACAGCCTCAGTGCTATCACTTTGCGTGCTGTTCGTTCTTGATGCTATTAAAACATTCATAAGTACTTGTTTCGACTCGGACGAAAATATAAAGTCCTCACCATGGTCATCGGGCCGATCTGAAGGAGCTATGGCAGTGAAATTTGCTTGACGATGATCAAGCTCCGTTGCTTTCTCGTCTTTCGCCGAGTGCAGAAATTTCGACGGAGATACTGGGCGTCTGATGGGCTCTGAGTTCCTGATGGGTATATTGAAGGATTCATATGGCACGTTCTCAGGTAATTCTGAAGCTGCGCGGCCATGCTTGCTTCTCGATGTTGGGTTTTGCGCTATTTTCAGGGGACTAGTAGGCTGCGATGAGGTCGCAGCACGCGGACGGTGGTTTCGCTGAGGCGCACAAGGGTCTCCTGTAACGCATAAGCCTGCGAAAAGATCGCAAAACCACGGTACGCTCCTAGAAACAAATTTTGAAGAACAAAACATCGGAAAGGACCGTCTCGATGGCGTACCGTGTCTTTGCAGTATAACGTTGCGGAGCATAATGGAGATGCATCGTTTGTGAGTCTCAGGTGTGCACAAAGCAGTCTGAAACGATTGAATATCCTTGTTGTCTTTCACCATGGAATCGACCATCCGTGGGGTTACTCTCCAGCTCTTAGGTGAGGTATCACACTTGGAAGCGACGAGGACTGTAGGTATGGAATCACGACCGAGTGCGGCTGCAGACAAGGTTATTTGTCAGCGTGCTGAGCGCTCAGAGATTCTTGATCGTTTCCGTCGCAGAACATTCCATCGTCTTCAGGCAGGCGCACTTACAAACGGCTCTTGGGAGCATCTCGATACTATTCAGATTTGTGATATCGAACAGTATTAGAGAACCGTCGATTCGTGGTAATAAATAATCTTTGACCTTCTTCGGCCATTGAAGGCTCCCATTTTGAACTTCGACGTCTTTGATGTCCATCTCAATCAGGCACACAATCGATATCGATCCCTCAAGGGAAACCTTCTTACTGAGCACAGGGGAAAAGACCTGCTTCTTCGAATCGAGTGCGCATTGCATGAAGGTAGATTTGCCTACATGTGAGCAGCCTAACACGGCAATATTGACCTCTTGAACCGAATCAAAATCATCCTTAGCCTATCGCAATGTCAATGAAAATCTCTCAGGACTAACGGCACTATCACGCCAACAAAGTCCAACATACACTACTTTGCTGCAGTTCTTGCGATGAATATAATTGATCACCTGTCGGGTTAGATAGAATGGGCGTAGGGATTCCTTCGGCCGTATAGGGCGTTTTTGGGCTCTGAATTGTGCCTGAAGCCTGCAAAGAACGTCGAGACGGTCGCTGCGACGCTTGCCCTACCGAAAGGCCAGATTTTGGTACCTCTGAAGGACTGGCTGTTGGTGGAACTAGAGGGAAATCTTGAAATGACCGTTTCTCGACCCTTCTAGACGACTCTCCGTATGCTCTCGCATTCCTACTTTCCCTATCTTCCATTGTAATCATCGGCTCTTCAGAGCCATCTGAGAGGCCGACTGACAATGCAAGATTTGCATTTTCCACCCGAACTGAGCACCAGGCAGCGAAATGGCAGATGGTCAGAGCATTCCGCAAGGACGGGGAAGCATGGGAAGAGTGAAGACTTGGTAATTAACTTGGGCTCAGGTTGCTGTCACAAGCCGTCAAGCGGGTCATTCAATTACAAGACGACATCAGAGTATTTTCTTATTCAGCCTCAACAATGGGTTTCATGCAGCAATAACGTGACGGGGTGGGTCTAGGCCTCGAAAAAATAAGCTTCTTTTCTTTAAGTCGTCTTGGCACACTGGCGCAAGCCTAAAGAATTTGGGCCCATATAATTAACAAGAATTGCTATTTGTTTCTACCGCTGGAAATCATCAGCGTATAAGGTTGAATCTTCGCCAATACCTAAGTCCTTCTTTAGTTTTTTTCCCAGGATGTCCTCGTCCAGTAATGCGCGAAGCACGTTCCTCGGTCTACGCGGACTTGCTTTATGTTAACAACCCATATGCAACGGTGGACTTTTCATCTTGAGAATGAGGTCGAAAGTGATGATCAAGCGAAGAAGCTGTGAGACTCGTTGAGAGTTGATTGCAATAGTTTGCTACAATATCGCCAGAACTTGATATCATTGGTAGTGGCACTAATGTGTTTGAATGAAAGGTCATATGTAGATCACTCTACACGACCGCGACCTCTACATTTAGAAAGGTCCCCCTTGATGTCTCCTTTACCCTTCCAAGCAGTACATTCGAGGCTACCTACTGGCATACAGTTCTGAACATGCACGGACGGAACAATGCAGTTGTCCAGCGGAATTGGTTGAATGTCCATTCCTGGTTGAAGGGTTGCACAGTGCTCCGGCTTATATCCGTACTCGTCCGCTTTCCGAACACTTCGGTACTCACAGGCCTCATGCTTCTAGCCCCGACTCCAGTCGTCCAAATCAAAACGCTCTTTCTAGACCTTGACGTTGATATCAAGGATACTGAACAGCGTGTTGAAGATGCTTCGGCCCAGCTGTTCAAAGGTAGAAAACATTGCCGCCAAAAAACTCGTTGAGAGTCAAAGCAGCTCCAGTGTTTTCAAAGCTGAGACCTATGCTATGTTGTGTTGAGACCTCTATCATTTTATAGTCTGAAAGCTAGCCGTGTATGGTACCCGAGGCCTCAGAGCATTAGTGGGTCTCAAACCTAAACCTAGCTTTCGATTGTATCAAAGTGCCCATTACGGCAGACAAGGTCGAAGGATCAGCGCCCTCCATTCGAATGGTGAGTTGCGTGCTTGGTGTCGCCAGAGTAGGGAAAGGAGAAGTGAGCGAGCTCGGACTGGATGGTTGTTGTGGTGTATGCCTTATGTCAAATTCATTTGGAGAGGCAAAAACATCATAGGGTGACGAGGAATATCCTGGAAAGCTTTCATGCCCAACTGGTCCAAAGGACTCGGGGCTGGATACTGATTCAGGATAGTCAAGGTCGCTACAAATATCCAGATCCAGGTCTAGATCTGGGATGGTGCCCATCGTGAAGTCATCATTCGAACCAAGAAAATTGAAATCCTCCCTGCTTTCGGTCTTCACAGTAGCTGAGTCGAATTCTGAGCTCAACCATTTAAAAGGATCTTCGTTCTCAGAAGCGGGAAAAGAAAAGCTGTGCTCGAGATTGTGAAGCCCTGCTTCGAAATCTGCTGACGCAATAGGCGGCTGGTCCAGATCCATATCGAGAGTATTTGGAGGATTCATTTCGTCGCTGGCCCAGGGAGGCGGGGCTATTCCTGCTGGGATGTTCGCCATCTTAGAACAGCATGATGGCACATCGGCTGGCACCTTCAATGCTTTACGCTTGAGAACGGAGTATTGATTCTTCACATTGTTGGCCGATCTTCGAGGAAAGTGGAGTGTTTGAATATCCTTCCAAGCACTTTCATGTGTTTTCACAGCATTCAACAGCGCAATGTTCTTGTGTGCGTTTTGTCAGTCGACCCTACTTATAAGGGACCTTTGATAGAATACTGACTTCTTTCTGTGACCAACTGCTGCGATCTAGTTCTGGATCCAAGCAGTGCTGCCATCGCTTAGAGCATTCTGTGTCATGATGATCAGCGGCTATGACAACTACTAGGGACCGGAGTCAAAGATTGGCTTACGGTCTGCACTCCGGGTCTTCATATCCTGCGCGATGACGGCCCACGAAGTGCCGTGTCTCTTCACAAATTTTTCGAGCTGTCTATCTTCTTCATTCGTCCACGGCCCCTTTTGATATGTCTATTAGGTAATGTGAAACTCACCGCTCAGGGAAACACGTACTTTCTTCAAGCCTTCAGTTATACCATTATAGAATCGCTTCCGGCAGTCTTTGTTTGATCTTCCTTTGATCTTTTGAGCAATGCTATTCCAGTCTCGAACGGCTCCACTATTGGCTTGAGAAGAAAAGTCAATTTTGGGAACAGCAATTTTGAATCTTCGCCATTCCGTGCAAAGAAACAGGAAAGACACGCGCCACGCTGGAATTTGAACCGTCTCCAAAGAATTAATGCTGGGGCAAGTATGACACTGAATGCTGAGACAAATCCTAGCTTTGCAGCAACCCAGGAAATACTTTGCACACCATCCGTTCCAAAGAGAGTGGAAGGCTCGCGATGTATGAAAGCAATGCTTGACGAAAAGTTACCGCAGTGGTTGACTATAATTCGTGAGAAACGAGTGTACCTACCAGTACATTGCACCTCCACTTCTCGCTGTAGGATTGAGTCCTCCTGAGGACTCCACCGCCGTTGAAGCTTCGACATCATTCACGGAATGTAGGGGATGTCTCATTCAGCCTTAGTTCACATAGGTGTACTCCAAGTCTCAGAGATGCTGCGTGCTTGGAAGCGGAGTAAAAGAGAGATTGATATCCTCTATCGGAGGCTTGCAATTGTTGACCAAGCTACCCGGGGCCCGTGCCTACCGTTAAATTGACAATCGTTCTCACTCCACTAACGAGCTGAATGGACGCAATGCGGTATTCGGGTATCAAAAGAAAATCCGCTGTTATTATTGACTAGACAACGGACAAGGAGCAGTAGCTTGCCAAGGATGTGGGCTTGCCGTGTGAGGCGTCATGGCATGACGCGATTACCAACTGCAGCGGGGCATGCAATCGGGTTAAGCAATCTGGGGTCGGGATTCCTTTGTGGTATGCTCAAGCGAGACATCAGTGAAGTCAACGGTGGTCAATAGATCCCACAACAATCATGTTGGGCCACATCCCACCTTATCCGCAAGGTTTTGATCGGAGGCTTACATGAAACCGCCGGGAATCGGTAAGCCGGCTACTCGGGTTTCTCGAGATTATCGTGTATCCCAGATTGACTAGTCCTCGTAATCTATCGTAGTTGAGGAGCGACCATAGGGCAGCTTAAGACAAGCATCTGCGCTAAGATATTTGCGTTACTAGATGCGTCCGAGTATTGCTTCGACGGCGGTGCAGTCTGACACCGACCTCGCCCGACCTCGAAGAACCGTTCAACCGCTGTGCCGGGACGCTGGCAATCAATAATATTTGGTACCGACGGTGGGAAATGTACCTGCCCCGTTTGCGTTTCGTTAGAAGCGGTCGTATCACTGCGAAAGGTATTTTGTTTTGTGTCCAGTTCAACCGATTCCAATAGGCGACGCCAGCTTGGGACCTTCGAGCATAGCAAATGCGACCACCAGGTACTCCATAATAAAGGCAGTCCATTACCTGTTCGCAAACAAAACGCCGAGAATCAGAAAAAGATGGTTGTGGTTCGTTTAGTAAGGCATGAATGCTACCTAGGTGTCGGCAAATCATATCGGACTCCGAAAGCGGGATTGCTGTCTTAGATGCTAGAGATCATTAAATTTAGAGGTGATCTCAACTTATTATTTGTTAAGTTATATTTAATCAAGGCACTACAAGCAGCTATATATTAAATAGCTTTATTATATTATCTTTTAAATATTACTCTTTATATTTATATTACTTAGAACTTAGAAGAATTTTTTATTATAATTATTTATAATTAAAGAATTTTAATTTACTTTAACTTAAAAATAGTTTTATAAAGACTTTAACTCTAATCTTAAGTTTTTTAATAATTTTAAATATTTTAATTATAATTATTCTTATATATATATATTTTTTAAATATATTAAAAATAAAAAATAATAATATTTATATATAAATTTCTTTATATTACAATAAGTTTAAAATTTTTTACATACTTTAAATATTTTAAATAATATATTATAATATAATATATAATGTACTTTAAGAAATATATATAGAAAGTAAAAACTATTTTAAGAAAATTTAAATAAAAAGTTTATACTTTTATTATAAATTAAAATATAAGTAGAATAGGAATATTTTAATTAGACTTAGCTTAGCTTTACTTAGCTAAGTATAAAGTCTTTTCTATTATAGCTTCTTAGATAGCTTTTAATTAATTTATTATTAATTAACTATATTATATATATTACTTATTTTTTATAACCTTATATAATAAGTATAACTAGGTAACTATTATAAGATAGAGATTATAGCTATACTAGATTATAGAGAAAGATAACTAAAAAAAGGAAAAAATAGCTAAAATACTTAAGTATACTTAAATACTAAAAGTACTAAGTAACTTTTAAATTAAATAAACTTAAAGTAATTAAAGATTAAATATTATTAAGTAAGTTAAGTAAAATTATATATATAGAAACTTTTATTCCTTTTTTTAAATAAATTTTCTTATATTTAATATAAGTTTTATTTTTTATTATAAAATTTAAAATAGTTATACTTTAATTTTATTTTATTATTTTATTTTTATTTATTATTTAACTATTATTTATATTTTAAGAAAATTAACTTATATATTTATAATTAAATTAGCTAGTATTATTTACTAGTTTATATACTAAGGTTATAATATATTAAATACTTTTAAAATAAATATAACTAGATTTATAATAAATAAATAATATTTTTAATAAAAGTATATAATATATTAACTATTATAAACTAAAAAAATAATTATTTATATAACTATTTTCTAGTATTATATAATAATAATAAAATAGAATAATAAAGTTTAAATATTTATATATAAATAAAAATTAAAAAACAATATTTAAAATAAGTTTATATACTATAATAAAGAAATTAAAAATATTAATAACTTTATAAAAATAATAATTAAAATTAATAATAAGTTATATTAATAATATATAGAATAAAATAAATAATAAAAATAATACATAAGATAAATTATTATAAAATATAATAGTAATATAATAAGATATTAAAAATATTATAACTATAAAATAAAATAATTCTATAAAGTTAAATATATTAATATTATAATATAATAGTAAAAGTAATTATAGAAACTTTAATTAAAAAAATATTATAAATATAATAAAATAGGATATATTATATATAATTATTAATTAAAGAAATAAGTATAAAGATAATTAAATATTTTATAAAAACTTTTATTATTATATTTATTATTAATTAATAATAAAAAAGCTAAAAGCTTAGTAAATAATATAAACTTAAATATAAAAAATAAAAATAAATTAATATATTAAATAGTACTTTATAAAATATAGAAAAAGTATATAAACTATTTAATATAAATTTTAATAATATAATAAAATAATTAAAATAAAGATAATAAAGATAATAAATATATAAATAATATAATTATAAATAAAAATATTTTAAAAATAAATTATTATAAAGGAGCTAGGCAAATATAGTTATAATCTTATAATTCTCTAAGTCTAAAACTATATATAGTAGGCTTATCGAGGGCTATAGTCCTATCCTTATCAAGTGTTATCCTATTTATATTAAGTATTTCTACTAAAACTATAATAATATTTAGCAATATAAGAAAAGCAAAAGACGCCCTTATCTTAATTAATTACCTATTAAAATAGATAGCGCTCTTATTGTTATATAAACTATATTATATCTAAAGCCGCATAGTTATATATATGTAGTACTAAGCAACATAGCGCCTAAACTTATTCCTAAATACTACTTATTAATAATAGCTAATCTTGATAATTAGCTAGCTTTTAATTTCTCTTTTAATAGTTTATAAGAGTCTTTAAAATCCTTTACTAGTTCTGCTATAATCGTTTTAAGCTTATATATAAAACACTATATATTATAATAATATCTAAAACCAATTTACTTTATAAGATATTAAGGCTTACTATAGATAATATATTTATTTAATAGTTATTTAATCTTATAGATATTATTTTTATTATCCTTATTTATAGTTATAATAGGAGGGGTTAAGTTGTTATTAGCTAATTATTTATATAGGTTAAGATTAATTAATATTAATTCTAATTAAGTAATTAATATAATAGGATATATCTATATAATAAATAGCAAATTTAAATAATAAGTTAGTTTATTAACCTTTTTAATAATTTTAAAAGGACTAGCTTACTAATATAATAATTTTTTATTAATAAGGCCTAGAATTATATAACTATAATATAGTTATAGGAAAACTTTATTTTTAACTTTTATATTTAATAAATAATATAATATATTATATTATTCCTTATAAATTAAATTTGCTTAGGCTATAATATTATTTGTTTAAGTTTATTTTATCTTATATATTTTTAATATATTAATATTACTAAATCTCATTTAATTTAAAAGATTTATATTTCTATTAAAGCAAATACTATAAGTAATTTTATTTAATAATACTCCTATAGCTACGCTTATAATATTATTAAAAGCAAACTATAGGTAAAAT